TTCGACGTGTTTTGTTGGTTGGATTCTGGACACTTTTCTGGCCTGACTCTCTTGAGTGCTTCGAACGCTTCTCACGCCCCAAATTCTTTTCTCCCTTAGACTTCCGTGGACATGTTGCGGGTGTTACGGGCGGTAATTCATGCGATAATCGAGGTCTTATTTTGCGATATCTCAAAGTTGGCTCGGGAGACTGACTGATAAATGAAGATGCAGGTGCTGCCATCCAGTTTGGCCCTTGGCGGCTCTGGTGAAGCCAATGCAATGGATCAGCTCCAGGAGTCGATTCTGGCCATGATGCGCATGTTGCGTCGTAGGGGTAGTTTGTGGGGATGCTCATGAACGGGGGCTCTGTACTGAGATTGAATGGAGCTTCCCCGTGGTCCATTCTGGCACAGGAATCAGCAGCCTTTGAACAGGTTATGGTGCTCAGAGAGACAAAGCACCTGTTATTGCCTTAAAGCTGCAGAATCGATGAGTGAAAATGAAACTGTAATCTGCACTCTGGTCAGAATGCGCGAACGGAAAGGAAGGGGCGATCGATATTCTCGGGCTTGCAATTGATTCTCACTCCTGGCTGGAAGCACAAAACTAGCTGCACCCACTGTAAGCGAACTCACCTAGTGTCGGATCTCCGGGTTTAGTGTCTCAACCGAAATTTGCTCTTGCCTAAAATAGGTGTTCCGAAGTAACCCGGACCGACTTCATTCTTGGTCGAGCCTTCGCTGCGCCCACGTCCTCGATCAAAACCCAGCCATTTCAGTTGTAGAACAGTTTTTTAGGGGGCCCAAGCGGTGATTTTACCATCATTACGAGTGCAAAGCAGCATACAGAATAAAAATAGACGTAAAAGGCTGTTCCTATCCTCCCTTTTCCTCTGCATCACTTGACCTGAGCCCTCTTATGGGTCACCATTGGTCCTCGCCCTTAGTGGCTTTGACTGCGGGCCCACGCGGCAATCTTACAAAACATTCCAATGCGCTTATATTACGGCGTATTCATGGGTGAGTGCTAGGGGTAAATTAGCTCAGTCTCGGGCAGATCATGGCATTATGGTATTCTTTTACCAAGAACTATTGTTGTTAATAACATCGAATTACATTCCAAGGTAAGTCACCAAGGGTACGAAATACTGAGGAACGAATATCACAGCTTCAATTCCAAGTCTCTCTTATGAACTAACATAGCTTTTTAAGAAAGCCTGGGATGATACATGGTTCAATCAAAATGTTTTGCCATCCGCAATTTTCAATGCACGCAGCAGGGAAGACCCGAGCGACCAGATGATGTCTTCAACTCTTCTCCTAAACACAACCTTTCTCTCCGACACAACTTTTCTCTTAAGTATTTCCTGGCTTCCCAAGCCTGCCCATTCCATCAATTCCGACTTTTCAAATAGATAACAGCACATTCTTTCAGGTAAAGAGCGGCTTTTCTCAAAATCTTGGAAAAATCCAAAGACTTCGGGCGGAGATTGATATTCAGGACTTGGGTCGACAATGCCTTTGGGTAAGCCATACTGCGAGTCGAAGTGCCATTCAATATGGGCCAGTAGGGCAAGTACCGTATAGGATTGTTGCCGTGCAAGGACAGTGACCTGTCTGGCGATGAGATCGCTTTGGATAATATGATAAGCATCGTATCTGTAAGTGACGAGGTTTCAACACTTATTGGGACTCGTACCGCAGGACATCCTGAGCATATCTATTCGAAATTTCGGGCTTCGTTGCGAAAAACTCTCCACAGACCCTCAACAAGTCTTCGGCCGCCGGACGAAGTACCTCCTCTGAAAGCAAAACGGGGCGCGACTGCCTCGAGATTAGAACCTGCCTTGTCTGATCATAACAAACTCAACGCACGCCGCTTATCTTTGGTCGAAAAGAACTCATCTGAGTTTTATATGCGGACATGACCTCTATCGCAAAGGAGAGTTAATGCATGGACGGGGGCGAAAAGGGTGGAAGCTGCGTTGTATACACGGCGACGCCGCGCCAAGAAAATTGTTTGTAATGGCTCCTACACATGCGTAACGCACTGTTCTCCTACCTCGCATTTGAGGGGCTTGACTCTGTCCAATCCGCCCTTCGATCTCGCCGAGTACCGATGCGAGGATCATCGCGGCTCCGCAATGCCCTCAGGGCATGCACAGCGGATCCACTTCCATCTCATTACAAGCGCTTTCAGAAAATCTCAAATACAGAGTAATGGAAATGTATTGTCATTTTAGTGTCTGTGCGTCGGGAATATCACGTTACTATCTATTAAAGCTGGGCCTATATAGCGAAGCAGATCCTAGTCCATGGCCCGGTGTATCCCTTCAATACCGAGCCCTTCCCATCAACTCTTCACATTGGTGCGTGGACGACAGCAATGGTAGGTAGGAAGTTCTTTCTTCTCTTTCTTACGCTAAAATAGAATGTACAGACTCCCGATGCCTACCTCCAATTCTCCGCTCACATAGCGTTGATGGCTTTGCAAATATGGTGGCTGGGTACAGAAGAGACAGATACAAACACAAAAAAAATGCAGCTCGATCCCGACACCGCTTCCCTGCTGGATGCCTGTCAACATTTCAGAAAACGCAGAAGCGAAAAAGCCTTACTGGCCGTGTTGAGCAAAACCAAGGAATTGGACAAGCATGTGCAAAAAATGGTTGAAGATCTCGCCGACGATTCACTCTTAGTCCTTTCACTTCTCACATGGCACTTCGACGCAAGAATTGAAGCTCCCCCTTTTCGCCAGCTCCTCTGCTTCTTCGCCGAACCATCGAAAGACATTGACAGAGTATGCGAAGATATCCATGGAAGTTATATCATAATAGCTGCTCCGGTATCGGTAAAAGCTTTCAAGAGGAAGCTAATCTATGGGTTGGGGCTCATTGAGTATTATGTGGCCAAAGGAAAATGGTCTTATGTGTAACTATTTCCATCCTCTGATCCCCGGTCATCAAGCAAACACAATCGACAAGCTATCTGTGTATCCAATAGTGTATCAGAGTCCTATCATCTATCCCTGATCATTTCTTATCTTTCTGCAGCCTTGATATCACCCCCAGAAGATGGATCTCCTTTTCACTTCTCGCAGACGCCCAAGTGTTATTCTCTCGAGGGATATCCATACCGGAGTGCCGTCTATCAGTCCAGACTGAGATATTAGAATACCTCTTGATGTAGCTTCGGCTTTATAACCTGATCAGTCTCTTCACTGGCTTTTTGATAGTGGAAGCACTTACTCATTGAAGGATAGTCAGATATCAAGAACGGCACTGAGAAGGGCTCTTTGATACTCGCTTTCCTCCACTGAGTTTGAATAAGAGACCGTTTACCAATGTAGTGCCCAAGGGGTGTCGAAGACTCACAAATTTTATAGCAGAGAACCGTTTTGATCTCAAAGAATTTAGCAAAAGAGTTACGACCGGGGCCACTCTCCAAGGAGAGGTTTACATCCCACCCAACCGCTTGTCGATAACAGCGGAGGAATTGCGGGAAGTGTTTTCGAAGGTTCAAGCCAAGCCCTTGATGAATTTCGTCTCTCATATTGTTGCAATGTATAGTACGAGATTCCGGTCCTCTCAAAAGTTGGAGGCATCTCGGGCAGATATGGGTGTATCCTGTTTTCTCGGCAGCCAAGAGCAAGATTGCAAATTCTCTTTCCATCTTTCCCGTAGTAATATGACAGGAAGAAGGGGGAAGTAGAGGGGTAGACGAAATGGTGAATTCAGGAATAGAAAAATTGTGTTGAGCGGCGAAGTGATTCATTTAAATAACAGACTTAGCTGGTCATCCAGAAGTAGCGGTGGACAGACGAGTCAACTTAATCGACTGCCCGTATCTTAGAAGAATCGTCGTCAATCGTCGTCATTTGGGACTCGTTTTCTATTGGAGTGTTGATTCCCCTGGTCTATTTCACATGCTTTAGCTTGCATAATCTTTCCCACAATATGACTTCTGCAGTTTATCCCCCGCAAGCCTCCAATACGGAGTTGGGGCCCCCTGGCTTTCATGGACGATATCTTGTAATAGAAACCATATTTCTAGTCCGTTTGGGCCAGGGCCTTTTGTTGAATTTGACGTGAGAACATCGGTTTTGTGACACTAAAAATGTCATACCGGAAGTACGTGGTGCAACATGAAAACAAATCCTTGGAAACGGGTGCTTTCCTGACATAGACACTGAGAGAAACTAATTTACAGCCAACATCCCTGCATACTTACGCAATAATATTTTCCACTCTTCCTCTGGTATCACGTACTGTGCTTGCCTGCTTGAGTGTCGATGTCGCTGGTCTATCGCCGCACCCTCCCCAATAATGTCTAGTGGATCAATAGACACAGTCTTCTTTCTTTCGTCTTCCAATTCCGCGGTGAAGAGAAGAACGCTCTTCCGAACGGGGAAGTAAGTATGCACTTCTCCATGATAACTTTTCAGAACTCTGATGTCTGATGGTCTCGTGAGCTTCGCTCTTTGATTGGCGTCTGTCAATCTGTTCCCGGTTAGTGGGCCGCATGATAAAGATGAGAAAGCAAGTGCTTACAACTGCAAATTGGAAGCCATGGTATTCTGTCCTTTCCTACCAATTCTTCTTCCTTGAGAGGTGGCGTGGGGTTGAAAACCACTGGCTCGTCGCGCTGGCGTGGAGCCTTGTAGATAGGCCCTAGTGGCTTCCGCTGCTCGATATGTGGATATGGTTCACGTAGAAAGGCCTTTGTCGGTAAAGAAGGCAACTCGGCAGGAAAGGAGCGAGATTCTAGACGTTGTGCTATCAAGAGCCTTGGTTCGTTACGAGACCAGCGATCGGAATGAAACTCAGGGTCGAGGTTGTGGAAGCTCTCGATAGAGCTGTTTTGGTGTGAGACTGAGAGGTTTTCTCGATTACGAGAGAGCCACTTCGAGAGTCTCTCGAACAAATTCATTGAATCAGACGCCGCGTATTGATAGCAATATAAGTTGGACTTTATACCCAATCGACCCTAAGTACTTTTTCACATTTTCCTTCTTCTCTCTTAATTGGATCTTGAACCCGGGGGTTTTAGGTGCATGGCCGTGTCTGGCCTATGCAGGTGGTCAACAGGGATCTCGTCAAAGCGCAGTTCTTCCGTGACCTTACTGTAAGCATTAAGATCCTGATAAATCTATTACGACCCTTGTGGTTGGATCTTGAGAGGTCACGACGATTGGTTTTAGTTACGATTGGCTTCCCAAGTGCACATCGAAGCAGATTATAGTTTGGCTCTCTAAGCTACGGGAGTTTCACCCTTCCCTCGTTGAACCAGTAAATTTTTCAATATGTACGAGACGACAGCTGCTGGCTAGTGCCAGGTGCAATGTAGCACGAACCTTTCTGATGGCGGCTGTATTTGGGAAAAGACTTGTAATTTGGAGCGCTTGGACCGCGACCACAATATTTCCTAACGAAATTTTTATTTTGCAAGACACAGAAGTACCATCAGGATCCTAAAGTCCTTGTAACCCAACCCGCTTTACCACTCCCATCCCATCCCATCCCATCCCATCCCATCCCATCCCATCCCATCCCATCCCATCCCATCCCATCCCATCCCATCCCATCCCATCCCATCCCATCCCATCCCATCCCATCCCATCCCATCCCATCCCATCCCATCCCATCCCATCCCATCCCATCCCATCCCATCCCATCCCATCCCATCCCATCCCATCTTACAGTAATATTGGTGACGGTAAATTGGGCGCAGGTTTCGGCGTCTCTTTCACAGGTTGGTGTATTATGGCGGTATCTGAGGAACCTGTGAGACGGCGGCCGTTTCTGGCGCGTTTTCCTGAATCTTTTCCTGGGGCGTCCCCAGGTACCAGTAGATGCACGTGACGTTGGAGCTAGCGCATGGCCCCTTCAAACTGGTTGGCTCTCGGTGGCCCATCGTTGTTTAAACAGCCCCTCCATTAGCTGGCTGTTGCAGGGTCGTAACACTGGTACCTGTAGAAGCTAACATGGAACTTTCATGGCCTTCTATTATGTGTAAAGATATCTCTGCTCGACCCGCTCAAACCATGGGAATATGACTCGTAATACGCTCTAACTCATGGGTATTTTGGTATTCCTTACGCGACGCGGTCTAGCTTTAGTCCCTCCATATCTATTGTACTCGAGAATCAGTCGCACCCTGATGCTCTTAAGCTGCTTTGATTGTCTGAATGGGAGGAGGGAAGAGCATACGACCAAGATCCATCGACCACACTGGCAGAATTTCCTACATCAAAAAGTGGCTGTATAGCTGTCTCATGCATTAGACCTGCATTTGGCAAACCAGCCCCCAACCCCTATTTGTCAGCACACCGCTCTTCCTCTCGTCATTCTTGTACGTTGTTAATTTGGTTCCCTTCCCCTAACAGCTCTTCTGTTGAATCTGCTCTATTTTCAACATTTCGAACGCCAAACGCCGGCTACCAGCGATATGAATTACGAGGTTGAACAAGAAATTGTGGCATTCTTCGAGAAGACTACAACGACTCGCTCAGCCTGTGACAACTATGCGAGTGAGCATCTTGGTGGCAATGTCACTCCAGTCGACGTACAAGGCGTGTGTAGCTACACTGTCTATGCTGGTCCTGACGCCGAATTCGTCGTGCAGTATCGTCTGAAGTCGCTAGCGCTGAACATAGACATTATGAACCTCGCTAAAGCCATTTACGGTAACTTGATGCCCCAGATCTCCTTTAAGGGACAGATTGGGGAAGATCACGAGATTAAAGAACCGCTTTACATATACGTGATGAACCGAATGCCAGGCATCTCTCACCTGGATTTCATCCTAGCCCATAACGGTGAGGTACCTGAAAACTCGCCCGAGTTCTCTCGCTGGCGCCAAAATCTTGTGGCCGACAACGCAAAGTATGTGATTCAATTCTAGGTGATATATATAAAATTACTGATTACATGTCTTACTATGTAGGTTCTTTGCTCTATCTTGGAGGGGTCCTCAGGATGTTGATCAAACATACCGCGAGAACCTAAGCCATCAGTACGAGCGAGACCTAAATTTATTACTTGAAGCTCTTCCAATTCGATTCCGTCCATTGATCAAGAAATCTCTGGACTCGTTGCCGGCAATCTTCTCACTTCCTATGGTGCTACTACACAATGATTTTGGTTCCTTCAACATGCTGGTGGATGAAAACTCTTGCAATCTGCTCGGCGTGGTTGATTGGGCCGAAGCTGAGATTGCCCCATTCGGTATAAATCTCTACGCCCATGATCGTTTGATAAGTAAGATTCATTTGAAACATGGCTGGTCCAGGTACGATGATTATCGCCTTTTGGATGAGATATTCTGGACTACGTTCAGTCAAGAAACCGGAGTGGACAATGAAACGATCAATACCATCAAAGCCGCCAGGATTGCTGGAACACTGTTGTGGCTTGGCTTCACAAGTCGTCTTCCGAATGAGCCAAAGCCTGTACCGATTTCTGATGATGATGAAAGTGGAGCATATGGCATGCGTGATTTAGACGGGCTGTTGATTAACCCAGCTACGAGGTTCATGGACTTGGTATGATTAGATGAACTAGAGAGAAGAGAGCATGTGAACATGACTAGGCAACTGGATACAAAACATAGCACTAAAGGACACCGACCATAGCAAGAGCGGCTTTCAAGTCTTCGACATTCTCCAACTTAGGAATAGGCTTTCCTGCATTGAAGACCCTGTGATTGCCCGTGTTGATTTTCGCATGTGTTTCGTTTGATGCACAAACACGTGGATTGCCATCGGAATTCTCGAATTTCCAGCCTGTGGTGCGGGTCGGCACGGTGTTCTTCAAAAAAATCGAGTTCACCATGACAGTTCCTTCATCTAGAATAAGCTCCTCCATAGAGTCATCTCCGCAGCCAAGGACTTGTAGGCCAATGATACTGGTGAGATTGTTGTTGAGAATATACGTGAGGAATTCATCAAGGAATCCAGGTCCCACGCTAGACAGATCCGGAAGAGGTCCATCTTGTAACTCGTACGCGCACAAGCCGTCCTGAGTGAGGGCGAAAATATGCCCATGGACACGAGAAGGGTCGATGCCGCTGACATGGGTGATTCTCGTCCATCTAAGAGAGTTGTTCTCAAAATTGGTCCCAAGCATGACGGTGTTCTTGGGAATTTTGAAGTGGCCGTGGATCAAATGAATACCAAGAAACTTGTCAGCCTTGTGACGGACGAACATTTCGGCTAGATTCCCAATGTGCTCATCAGCAACGGCAGGCTGATCCGCATCATCGAGGAGCTCGTTGTATCTATAAAACGTTAGCTACGTGTGTGATATATCGAATGGGTTTCGTACAGAGCACAGCTCTTGCTAAAGTCCTGGATCTCCAGAGCTTTATCAAGTCTGGGAAGAGTGGGAGGCATAGAAACTATAGCGGCCATTATGACTCAAACTTTGTGTGCTGTCGTGCAGCCGAGATGCTTCTAATCGAGGTATAGTAAATGATGAAATATTTACTGTAGCTGGATGATTCGGAAAGGAAGGAGAAGGATTGAGAACATCGTCCCTATTTATGTCCTGGCTCGGCAAAGATTGCTTCATCCCTGTCATAACTAATTGCTTGAGCGAGTGCGAGGGGAAATAATTCGCATGCGGGGAACATTGTCATTTGAAGCGGCTCACAGGGCCTAAGCGTTCTTGGCGCAAGCGATTATGCATGTTTCCAGGATGAGAACACATGAACAGGCAAACGGAAACCATTGAAAAGATCAGCGGCCACAGACCAACGGCCATTGGTCATGAGCCCTTGCGGCTGAAACGCGTGGATTCTGCCTTGACCTAGCCAGCCACTCATACATAGTGGTTATTGATGCTGACTGCAGTGGATTACCAGCCGAGAAACAAGTCGTGTCTGTCAAAGGGGAATCTCTGTTTTGGAATATAGCCTGTACCATTGGTTCTAGGACTGGGGATGATCTTTTCTTGCAGGTGAATTTCCCTCGCTACAGAGTTGATCACGGATCACCGCGTCGGGTCAAGCTACGACTGGGGAAGCGGCCACACCAACCAGGGGGCGCAAAAACTGCATGGTGGAATGATCCCGAGCTTGAAATTATATCCCACCCGAGGGCGATGCCACATGGTCACCAATCGCGGTTATAGAAGTGAAGGATCGTGATGCTTAGCTTAAATGCTTGTGGCCCAGGTAAAATGAATTACTGCTCGAGTAGCTTCGATTCACGGATCCGACAGGAAGCAGTAGTATTCGAATTCAGATTTACCTCTCTTCTCTAAGACTTTCATTCCCGAACCCCCTAGCTTGAAGCACACTAGTCCACATATAGTAATTCCGTCGATCTCCTGGTTCTTAAAATAGCAACTGTATTTTACGTATCCCATCAGTCCGCCCCATCCCATCCCATCCCGCCCCATCCCATCCCATCCCATCCCATCCCATCCCATCCCATCCCATCCCATCCCATCCCACCCCATCCCATCCCATCCCATCCCATCCCATTCCATTCCATCCCACCCCATCCCATCCCATCCCATCCCATCCCATTCCATTCCATTCGACCCCTCCCATCCCATCCCATCCCATCCCATCCCATCCCATCCCATTCCATTCCATTCGACCCCTCCCATCCCATCCCATCCCATCCCATCCCATCCCATCCCATCCCATCCCATCCCATTCCATTCCATTCGACCCCTCCTTCCCCATCCCAGTCCATCCCATCCCATCCCATCCCATCCCATTCCACCTCAGTCAACCCAATCCATAGGCCTGCTGTTTTGGAGCATGGATCCTACTGAACGAGACACATTCATTCACAAGATATTCGCTAAAATTACTCAGCTGCAATCTATTGGTCTGATTAAGGACGATAAGGATATCATCGAGCGGAATCGCCTCAGCCTCATTTGGCTCGAAGCTACTAGTGATTCCACTCCATCTTCAACGAAATGGCGACACTCCCGCTCCCGTGAAAAGTATAGGGAAATCGAAGACGTTAGCAGTCATCTCTTCCTTGCCCTTGTTTTGACCATACCGCCCAGTGTTTGCTACACTCCTAACTTCCAACCAGTCATCAATTACTTGGTTGGTCTTGGTGATTACAAGGGATTCCAATTTTTCCTAGGCTTGAAAGAAAAGGAATTTTTCGAATCGGTAGCAGTGGAACAAGGATATGCCGGAAGCCCACTGTACCTTGATTTTATGCGTACAATTTTCCCTGGGCCAGAGAGCAGACGCAAGTAGAACACTCAATGAATCATCGGCCTCGCTAACCGGTTCCGGCAGAGATTCAATATGCATACGGTCTGGTCCCTCGCAACGAACTCGAATCATTTTTGGATACAATGCAGCAAGGGATATATGACAGCAAACAATGGGATCAAGAGCAAACACAGGGAGGTAGCAAGACTGGCTGCTTGACCATTTTGATACCCACAAGTCAAGATCAAGATGGTTCTTGCACCATCAGAGTGGATCGAAAGACATTGATGCAGGCGATTAATAAGTTCAAATTGACCAAGCTCAAGCTCGAGTGAACTTGACCATGCAACCCAATACCTCAAAGCTGGCCCCAGAAGGGATACGAAAAGTCCGTTCGCCTTGAATAGTATATCCTTCTTCTCCGCCAACAACCCTTACAAATCCAACTGAACCATCGCTGCTCGACTTGAAAGTAATCAATTTATCCTCGGGCTGTCCTCCAAAAAGGCCGTCGGCTGATTTCCATTCATCGTAGATAGTCTTCATCAAGGCTGATATTAGTATGCAAAGCAAGATGACGGATGAGGTCAACTCACAGGCCCGTCCGGATCCATTTTATCGGCTACTTCTTTTTCGCTCATGGTGGAGCCCCTATTCAACCTTGGGATTGGCTTCTGTGAGGTTTTCCTGGCCCTGGCCTGTGCGAAGATGTGTATGGCGTAACAAAGATCTGTAACTCTGCAGGAAGCGTTAGTTGTTGATTTCCTGCGAATAGGCCTCCCCTCGTTGTAGAGAATGTGTTTCTGACGAACAATTTTTGTTTCCAGGCGCAAAGTCAAAAACGCTCATCTGTTTGATTTCGAGTGCAACTGTCCGTCGATTCAAAACGGAGGATCCCAAGGTCTTATCGGGTGATCGAGACGTTAGGTCGATGGATTGCAAAGCGGGGTGCAAGAAATGGCAACGACAGATCTGAACGACGATTTACTGACTGTGTCAGAAGAGCTGGGTTGACGGTATCAGTAAACAAGTACTTCTTGAAGTCTGCAAAAGAGCCTTACTTGAATCCAGAGGTAACAAAACGATGAGATTTTGGCGTAGATGGTTTATGCCCGACGGAAAGAGTGGGATGTCTAACGTCATGTGATGTGCCAGGAAAATTCAATTGTCCGTGACAAGAGCTATTGAGTCACGTGCTATATCCCGGGATTGTCCTCAGTTGACCACTCGCGTTGAGTGGCTTTTCACCATGTGCGTGATCATCAAATTAGTTTTATCGAGCTTGAATGAAGCTATTCAGAAAGGCAGGCCTGCGCTATAGTATATATTCAGTTTAATGATCGCTCATTTGCCTACATTCGCCGCCGTAGCTTTCCGATGGAAACCCAAGTGTTGCTCGGTGTTGTGGTTCAAAGGAAGATTGCTTATTCGTATTTCAGAGGGATTGAGAGAAAGAGGGATTGAGAGAGGCTATATACAACAAATGAATCAAGTTGATTTACAATCAACTTGGTTCTTCGTATAGGCACTTCGGGAATAATTTCCGATGGTGCGACTTTGTTCCTGATTTGCGCCAGCCTCGGACTTGGCTTTCTCCATGAAGCTCCTCGCCCCTTCTGAGCCGAGCACAGCCACTTTGACCGCTATGGCTGTATTTGAGAGGCGCCTTTGAACCGTTCAGTTTGTCCAATTCTGAGAAACGAACCGTATGCGCCATGCTAAGCCTGGATATACGACTGAGACGAACCACCCTGATATGGAGGACCGCGTCGCTTTTTGTGTTTAATGCCTCCGAATGCCGTCGTCATCTGAGCCACAACACAGATCTGCTTCGATCTCTATTATCTGCACTTTTGCCTCGGGCGAGGTGAAAGGTCAATCGGCACGAAATTACTCCGCAGTCACAGCTTCTTGTATGACTGCATGACCAATATCATGATTCTCGAAGCCGATACAAAAGCCAAAACATTTATTGATCTGCCATCGCTGCGAGATGAATACCGCCACCTTCAACGCGATGAGTATGATAAAGATGGTTCCTGGCACAAAATCCAGAGAAATGATCTATGCACTCTCTGAGGACCAAATGCAAAGCCTCCAGGGATAACTCCCCCCCCCCCCCCCCCCCCCCACCTCCCCCAACCCCAAAGAGTGCTGTGGACGCTATTTGTCCCGTTTGGACGAGCCAGGCCCAGGCTACAGTTCTTGTCTTGCCTTGCCCCCGAATTCAATGAGCGGCCGCATGCCAACAAAGATAGCAAAATAAATCGACGCATCAGGCTTAACACTAAGCTAAAAGCCTCTCTTTGACCAAGTATCAGCAAGACCTGTCGTCTTGTATCCCGTTAGCCGGTCACCAGAACAAAAGATACGTTTGCAGCACATGCCAAAGATATTTTCACGTCATTATAAGCTGAGCGTCCACTATCATTCCCACACAGGCAGTAAACCTTCCCAATGCTCCAATGCTGGGTGCAAAATGCGTTCCCCTGTGCAGAGCAATGCAAGACGCCACATGCGATTGGTCTGATTTTTCGAAATTATGGATGTAAAGTGAAGCGGGGATATTCCCCAGATTGGAATTATTGACCGCAAGCGATCACGACAAAAAAAAAGGGAAGCCTTGTATTATGCATTTGTTCAGCATGTTAGTACCCTGCAACCCACCTATGAAACCAAGATATTACAATCACCATTTCCCGCGCTTTGTCTGGTTCAAAACCGGAAAGTAAGGATGCTGTTATAGCTCACAGTGTGTTCTTCAAACGTTGCATTGCATTAACAGCAAGAAAAGGCTCCTCTGGCAAACGAGCTGCCTTCAAGGCTTGCGAGTTGCAAAATTAGGATCCTGATTAGAATAGTAGAGAGAGAGGCCCACTTAATCATGCATTAGCGGTATTGAAAATAACCGACACCAAAATTCTGTGTCCGCGCATTCCCTGTGCTGATTCAAGTGCGGTTGCTCGTGAGGTCGTACTTCGGCCTGAGTGGGGCTAGCAGGCGCATAGTGCCAGACTCTATACCACCGTTCATTGCTTGAGCTGTATTCTTCTGTTAAAATACGTAGCAAGCCCTTTTTGAGCCGTCGATCATTGTCCCAAAGTGGGTAGAGCCATAATAAACCGGGCTCAGCTGAGAGAGAATTTTTACGTGTCATGGGCTCGAAAGTTTCGCAATCGTCTTGTCAGCCGCTTGTAACCAAAAACCTGTTGTCCAGCTTTCCGAAAGTTTGACATAAATAAATATTGCTCCTTCCACTGTAGACCCGGAGAAACTGAGACATCGATACTGCCTTCCATCGCCTCGCCCCTGGACTTTGTTCCATTTCACGCTGGGAACCTCACTAAATCTCTCTTTTTTGGTCGTGTGAATGTTTGTGGGAGAACCAGCTGTCATGGATCCACAGACAGCCGTTAAGCTGCTGGATCACCTGAATATTTGCAGCCCAATCCTGTTATTTTCTTTCTTAGTCGCTGCCTCTTTTGCCAGTAATTATTGCTCCGAGAGAAAACTCAAGAAGCGTGACCAGCGCTGCGTGGGTTCTGATGCCCGCACATCTCAGCAGAAAATCTCGCAGATTGTGAAGCGTCTTTTCAGCTGGCTCTCCATTGTAATGGTCGTGGTATACCTTACAGAGGCGGTTTTTTATGTGTCGACTACCGCTATATCGCCTAACGTTATCACGACTACCACCGCAAAGCCCAGAAGGTGGTGGTATGAACAGTCGTTGATGGTGCGTCTCCAGAGGAAGGCTTCCTTTAAAAGCTTGGGGTACCATTTGGCTAATGCTTGATATAGATCCACATAATCGGCTCTTTTCTCTTCTATACGACTGCACTGGTGGCTTTGCTCAAGAATGACACATCGCCAACTATAGCTCTATTCATTTCCTGGTCAGCTGCCATCCCGATTGAAATCGCTATATCCAAAGCATCCTCGTCAATCCTTAGCTCAGTTAACCAAGATTCGACTATCGAAACACCGGAGAGCTGCCAGTTCTGGAGAAGCATCGTATCTAGGAAAAGCATCGAGTTGACTTTCAATGGTGTTCGCATAGCTACTTTCTTAGCTCTGGTTGCCCTCTATGCTAGCAAGTGTACTTCAAAACCCCGTGACTCAACGGTCGCTCAACTGGTGAATGGTGTCCCTGTGGGTACTGGACCTCTGCATTTGCCTCATGCGGAGAGTGGAAATAGCGCCAAAATAACCGACGGGGATCTTGGAGTCGGCTTCTCAGCGCTTCAAGGTGCATCAGGACGTCTCGGCGGGGCATCTTCAGACAGCTGGTGGAGGTACCTTACGGGCTACAAAATCTTTTTTCCCTACATGTGGCCATCAAAATCCCGCCGTCTGCAGGTTATTCTTTTGGTTTGTCTATGTCTTACCATTTTTCAGCTAGCCGTCAATGCTCTAGTGCCCTTTCAAACGGGAGTCATTGCGAGAAAGTTTTTCACCTCGTCCGACATCAGCTGGTTCGAAATCTTCATTTACGTCGGCTGCATGTGGCTACAGGGGGGAGACGGCTTGCTCTGCTCCCTGCGCTCCATTGCCTGGGACTCTGTAAGCCAGAATTTATCCATGGAACTTTCCGTCGCTGCCTTCAAACATGTGCACAGTCTTAGCTTGGACTTTCACCTGGGCAAGCGAAATGGTGAAATTTTATCCTCCTTGAGCAATGGCAAATCGATTACCATATTTCTGGCTCTAGTGACTTTTCAAGTCGTTCCTGCGATTTTTGATTTCGGTATTGCCGTTGCATGTCTCTGGATATACCATGACGCATACTCTGCTCTAGCTTTGAGTATTTTGGTATTCGGCTATCTTTATATGACTGCACATCTGGTACAGAGGGGATCAGGTATTCGACGACGGTTGGTGAGTGCTTCTTCAGAAGAGAACGCCGTCAAGTACGAAAGCAGCCCTATCACATATCAAATTGAGCTAACATGTTACCTTCAGAAATGATTCGCTGATGTCATACGAGACAGTCAAGTACTTCACTGCAGAGGACTATGAGATCGACCGCTACCGCAGTAGCGTGGAAGAAGTCCAAAATGCCGAGTACCAATTCAGTCTCTTCCTGGAGTTATTGAAGATCTCCCAGAATACGCTATTCATGATCTGTATTCTGATAATGTGCTTAATTGCTGCATATAAGAAGTCCATCGGCCACCATTATGCGGGGGAGTTTACATACATGACGGCATATATGTCCCAGCTACGTAGCTCATTGAAGTTTTTGGCGGGTAGCTCTCAGCCCATTCAGTCAACTCTGATCAATTCAGAGAGAATGTTGGAGCTTTTCCAAAAGCAGCCCGCAGTGGTGGATAGCCCTCACGCTACTCCGCTGACTTCGTATGAAGGCAAAATCAGCTTCGAGAATGTGACATTCTCTTACGACGAGAGGAAACCCGCATTGAATGGACTTACCTTCAATTGTCAAGCTGGAACCACGACCGCCTTGGTTGGCGAGTCTGGAGGGGGGAAATCAACCGTGTTCCGGCTTTTGTTCCGATTCTATAATCCCGACCAAGGCTGCCTTCGCGTTGATGGCCACGACGTACGGAGTGTTACTATCGATTCTCTTCGAAGAAATATTGGTGTGGTACCCCAGGACACTGTGCTTTTCAACGAGACTTTAATGTATAACCTGAAATACGCCAACCAGGATGCCACCGAGGAGCAAATCCATGACGCGTGTCGTGCCGCCAGTATCCACGATAAAATCATGGATTTCCCCGATGGCTACAATACTAAGGTTGGTGAGCGTGGGCTACGCCTCAGCGGTGGTGAGAAGCAGCGTGTGGCAATTGCTCGCACCATTCTTAAAAACCCCAAGGTCATTCTATTGGATGAAGCTACGGCCTCACTTGACACAGACACCGAGGAACATATCCAAAGGTCCCTCGCAACTCTCTCTCATGGTCGCACTTTGCTCGTTATTGCTCATCAACTTAGCACGATTACAGAAGCAGATTGCATCCTGGTCTTGCACGAAGGTCAAGTGGTCGAAAGCGGCACTCACAAGGAACTTCTCGATATGAAGGGCCGATATGCGGGCATGTGGAAGAAACAAACCAGGCAGGAAGCCTAAAACCGGGAACAATAAATTGTGAGGCTCGTCCACAACGTCGGCAATTCCAATGGGGGTGGTCATCAAGCTGGATCAACCAATATTAGAGACCGGCTCAAGAGATGAAACATTCTTGTGCTTTAGATCAGAAGTTCTGTCATTACTAGCCTCATTTACAATAACAATAGCGAGGGGTGCTGCCCTCGGTAGCTTCAGAATCGTCACTAAAGTCTTTCCTATACGCCATATGAAATCTGGAGTGAAATCACAATCAAAGAGGCAAGTGACTCAGTTTATTGTCCACGTAAAGCTCATTCACATCAAATAGAGATCATTTTGCCTTCCAGCAAACGTCCCACTATTAAATTCCCCAATACGAACATCCTGACTGAAGGAATAGAATTTCTGCTACTGCCATAGTAGTCTAGAAGATGGCATGGACGCATCGCTCCCAATTAACCATTTTCGTCGCTGTGCTGAGCTCCCATAGCCATTTAGTTTTAAACCTTAGGAGAACGCACTGGCTGCCCGCCTGGGGTCAGGGGGCCGCGATACAACGGATCGTAGAAGGAGCTTGTCTTATCGAGGGTCGCAACGTAGCGGTTTCGACCGCCTGTCTTGCTGTGCGTTTTTGTGTAATGGACGTTGAGATTATCGAGACGTGTAAAGGATCGGTGACATCCAGGAACCCAACAAACATGAGTCCTTTTCTCGGAATGGATTTCCATGTGGCGAGTGAAGTGCTCTCGACGCTTGAAAAGCTTTTCACATCCGGGCACCTTGCAATTGTATGACCCTTTACTGATGGCACGAGAAGAACCCCCCTGATTTGAGTAAGAGGCCACCTGCTTATCGCCAGGCTGCTTGCGTGGGATATTACAGCGCAGATGTTGCGGTGAATTCTCACCATACAAAGGACCCCTGCTGCATTCAAGAGGCTTCTCTGAAGGTAGCCTGGTAGTGGTTCTCGTGTCACAAAGGCTTTCTAAGACCTGGACAGGTGTCGATGAAGCCTGGATCATGAGATGGGGGGCCTTTAACTCGGACTTAGAATAGGAAAGGCCGGGCATATCTGTCAGCTCCGGGAGTATGATGTCTGTGGGAGCGACGGTCTGCGGTGTCTTAGTTTTATCGGGTGGTACCCACTGGAGCAGACTGGGGTCTGACGTCGTACTGGACATCCATTCAGCCTGACAAAAGCTTGGAGGACCGAAGGAAGGATTTGAGGTGTATTCAAACATATTGATCGCTTGACTAGAGCTGCAGTGTTGCATGCATGCTTGGCCAGCGATTGATGTCTCATTTAGACAACCTTGGAAGAATTTGTAGCAAGGTATTCGCTCTGGCAGGTCTATGTTGTCGGAGGGAAGAGACATGTGCAGAGTGAGTAGCAGGATTGCTATGGAAGTTCCAGAATCAAGCGATGGTGAAGACTTTAAAATGAGAGGATTTGTGGTGAACGGCAGATCGAAGATGATCCGTGACCATTTATGAGCGTTGATTATGAGGCTATAGTTACACTAATACAGCAAGCCAGGATGAGGGATACTGCTGCTAGTTTGTTTCAGCCCCGTTTATTTCACCGCGAGAATCATGCATGACAGGGGTTCCCAGGAACACTGAATTTGGCGTGTTGCCGTGGGAATTTTGCTCGAGCATGCTCCACACGTCCAGAACTATCACCATGTAACACTGTGCCTTAAGTGAAACCTCAAAACATGGATTATAAAGGCTCTCCTTAGCGAGGTATATTGAGACCGAGGTAAATTGTCTATCTGCTGTGGCCCTGTCCCCCCAAAAACAACTAATCTTATGGACAGACCTACTGCATAATTACGCTCGAACTGTAGGCTGCGAGATGCATAGTAGCCTTTACGAAAGGTTTAAGTCTGCCTATTGGTTATGAAAAAACATATTCAATTTGGAGAAACCAATGACAGAAACGAGTCCACTCAACGTAACCTGCCACGCTTGACAGAACACGCGAGTCGACGGACATTTTCGACCAGAAGTCTGTCACCAAATTCGAGCAAGGCTTTAAGCCAGTATACCGCTGTTTTTTGCACCAACTCAAGGGGCATTTGATTATGATACCAGGGTTTAGCGGTACCTTCCTTTCTGACCTGCTCTCAAAATTCTCGTTGGTCGGGGTAAGATAAAACCTCGGATAAATTTTGCTACGGGGGCAGCGACACAACAGAATCCTAGGTAATGAGTGTTTGGTCTCCGTTTGACCGTTTGACTATGACAATTGCCCAAAGGCGCTATGCCAAACCCTTCGCTGATAAAAATCTGATTGGAAGTTGAAGAAACGTTTTCCGCTTCAGTGCCCCCAAAAAAGGATGATAGCTTCGGTCTTTGGAATCAGCAAAAGGAAAAGATATGTTCAGCCTTGTATTTTCCGAGGGAAATAACAAGAGTCCGCCATGGTCCACAGGGGAAGATTGACCTTGTGGAAGAGATGCTCAATAGGCATTCAAAGCGAGAGATATAGAACAGAAATTTATAGATGCATTTCAGAAATACATCACGCAGGCGAAGTTGTCGTACAGCATGAATCCTGGTTTCATAATCTTGAGGGCTCGCAAAGGAATCCAGCGTCTTGTCTCCTGTGATAAAATAACCTAAGCTTCCCTTGATTCTGAGAATTTGGCAGTAAGTTGCCCTATATTTAGCTTGGTGGATACTGACTTATTCCACAACACCCTGAAATGGCGTTGAGTCATAAACAGCTCATACTAAAGTAATCGAGCGTTTTATGACCTCTATCTTCAGATTTTAGGTATGTAAAGCCTGGGCTGAGGATGGAACGGAGGCGGCTTGCGGATGACGTCGAGCAAAAAGCAATGGCAATAATAGACGGAGTGATTTGCGCAAAGGAAGTCAGGACTTATTTCGTTTATAAATGCGTCTCTGGGTAAGTGAATATAGCTTGACGAGACAAACGTTCCCTTCTCTTCCTTAGCGTTTTGAGTGGCAAGCGAGGCATTCCGTCCCGAGTTGGGAACAACATTAGTACCAATGGGGAAGTAGAAGCTCGGTTGTGAGGTCATTGTTGCTGTAGGTTCATGACTGAAGTATCATTTGCCAAGAAGGTAACTTAAACCTTCCGATTGCTGCCTAACTGGGCTAGTGTGTGCAGGAGACCCACCTGGCTGGTGATACGAGGCTGACCCTCTGCCATGCAGCAAATCGGAATTTGGCCTGCGCTAGTTCGTAAATTCTACCAGTGTGGTACTTTTTATCAAAATAAAACGCTACTGCCTTGAAATACTCCTAGCCCACCATGGGAGGTAGTGGTTCCATGACGAGCTTGCTAAAAATTCGCACTACAAGCATCAGCCACGTATGCAGCGCTCAGTCTGGCCATGCTTCGCAAAATGGACCCTTAGGAAGGGCATATCTCCGACTGGGACATAGGGAAGCGGCCTTGTCATTCATCATGCAAGTCACGTTTGGGTGGAAAACTTAGCTTTTGAGATTTAAATTGGGGAAACTGCAGCTCGTGATATGTTAGGCACAATTTTCACCTCGTCATTTGTTTCCCTAGGTCCGGGATTCGCAAGGTCCGCTCCTAGCTATGTATTTTTGCTCGCAAAGTCTACTCGAGCATCTTAGTTTGAGCAATACAGACTGGTATGTAGCGTTGCGTACTGTCGATCGGAATTGCCTTCTGGAAATACTCTCCTTTTATATCAGTGAGTGACCGGGGTCATGATCTCCGTACATAATTCACTCCCAAACCGCCGTATATTACCGCTAATGCAGTCGGGGAATCGGCTGTCACACCTTCATTTTCATGTCATTGGTTTGGATCCACTGGAGTGGGCAATGAATAAAAGCGCATGATAGCTTGAAAAATCGGACGTAATGGAAAGCCATAAGACCAGTGAGCGTGATAGCTCACAGAGCTTCTAGGCACGGGAACAATGAAATTATAGTTCCAATACGGGGGCCTGAGTTACGTCACTCTAATATATGGATGAGTCACACAGATACTTCGGATACAAAAGCAGCAATGAGGAGATTTCTCGAAGGCATTGGGAGAATTCAAACACTCGGTCATCCTCCAATTCAAACAGCTTCTCTCCTACCAACTCCTAATTTTGAGACTATGAGCTCTGTACTACCCAACAAACCATCTGCCGAGCCCACTCTGGTCGAGCCCACTCTGGTCGAGCCCACTCTGATGAGGCTTGAAGACGTCGACATACCTCTACCTGCTCTTCAAAAAGAGAACCCCGACATCAACCGATTCAGCGCTGGTTTTATCATTCTCCGCCAGCACCCAGTTGTTTCATCCAAACAACAAGCTCTTCTCATTCAACGTGGATGTGACGGATCATGGGGTGAGACTTGGGAGGGGCCTGGAGGTGGATATGCGCCTGATGAAGACGCCACCATCAAGCACACTGCTTTGCGTGAGACGCAAGAGGAAGTTGGCGTGGTTATTCCACCAAAAGCCATTTTTCCGCTTGTATACAGAACGACGTTCGAGCACAAGGGCTTGCAGATGGCATATTACACATTCGTTGCACAGCTTGATGAGGAAGTACCCGTTATTCTGTCGCATGAGCACCTCGCTTGGGGATTTTTCGACGAAGAGTGCGTCGGAAATTTCGGACCCTTCAACGATGAGAAGAGCCGACGAGAGAAAATTTTTATGCTTGAAGACAAGAAGAGAACACTTTGTCACATCTTTAAAAACAGAGAAAGTCTGAAGAACGGTATTAAAGCTGGAATCATGCCTGTGAATGCCAAATGATAGTGATGGTGAAGATGTTCAAGATCATGTTATGTGGATGTGTCTGTTAAGCATTTCGTTCGGCATTTGGCTCGGGTACACTACACAAGCCAAGAATATTGCCACAAATGAACTTCTCCTTGTGATACTGGAGGTTATTGTCCAAGACTGTATAATAAACCAGGGGGCAGCGGATTGGCCATTAGCACCCCTTTCTGGATTGAAATCTTTAACCCCCATGGCCAAGAAATACGATGAGAGCAGCTTGTCAACATGGAAACTGTATAGTAGGACGTCTTTGACAGGCGCGAAAACAGGTTCGTCAACAGCCTCAGTGAACACTTATTTCGACCCGAATTGTGGGTAGCTTCTCAGATCATCAGCTGCCAAAATTCGAAAGATTTTTTTTTATACTTTTAAAAGCGTTTGCCCGATGGCCCAAGTTACTAAAGTTTCAACACAGTCTGCAATACCGTTGAATAGCTGTTTCTCATCTTCAACGTTTAGGCACCTCCTGAATGCGTAGCATGTTTCCTTGGCCTGTTTCGGAAAACAAGCGGGATGTTACGCGTTGCTAACTGGTCACGGTGAGTAACGTGTGCGAAGTTATACGTAACGATAGACGGCTTGTTCTTATGGGGAGGACAAAGGGGGAGAACAAAGGCCATTTATGACTGAAGTTTTATACACGAGCGGCTTTGCCTTGTTGATGTTTGCTTACCTCCTGTTCTGATCAACCGCACTGTTTTCCTGTCTCAAGATGCTATGTATATGTGGGGACGGCTGCGCAATACAGAGGACTTTTACACGTATGTTTCCTTTCTTTGTACTCGTTTAAAACCAATCAATAATGAAACTACGCACTTTGATTGACGATGATAATGATGGTGATTATTTAATTTGCCCGATGTAGTTCATTCAAAATATATACTGCTATGCGGGAGTGCTCAGGCCTGCCGACAGCTTCAAAGTAATTTCCAGCCCACTGAACGATTGATTCATGAAATCAGCAAAGCGATTTAGTGATCACTCGCTCAAGAATGTAAAATGAATGTCATTTACCCCTAGTCCCTCCCACCCGCGACCAGGGTCCCGCCTCGCCGGGTACACGCACCTTTCCCACACCCTCTTCTCTCCCACACCCTCTTCCCTTCCATCGTCCAATCTGTCGGTTGCCGCTCGCGCCCTCGCTTGAACCAAGGGAGCACTTGTTGAGAGAAGTTTGTCGCCCTTCCAGTTCCTGGGCTGCTTCTTTCGCGTGTTGACCCACAATCCCGTTACCGATAACTCCTTAATGTGCAGGGATCCACCCGAGTTCTATCCGAATGCCTCTTTCCGCAAACCGCCGGGTCAGGTTGAGGCAGCCTGCCAGATAGACCTGACCCGACGGCATCCGGGATTGACGGAGTGCCTTCAGCGCCCCATGGCTGTCTGCGAAGATTACGACCCCGACCACACTTTGAGCTAAAATACACATGAGCGCACCTAAGTGTACCTCATCAGACTCTGACAATTTTTCAATTCTCTGCATACAAGCGAGTGTTCAATCATCTGGCTGGTTTGTGGGAATAACCTAAAGTTACGTTGAGCCTAACCGGACCAGGCGTAATTTTACCACCAATACCACCTTGGTCGAAATTTTCTTGCGTGTAAGCGTTGTTGATGGCTGCAGCATTGGCAGTGATGGATGAACAAGTTTGAGTAAGCTCGTCACATATCCTCATCCCCTGAACATCCAAGCCTGCGTTTTGAGCAACGATGGCAGAGACATCGAAACCTGACCACTTAGTGTTTATCACTGAGCCAAAATCAAACTCGCCCCAGGTTGAAGCAAAAGCGCTTTGTTTATCCGTTGGAATGAATGGGCCTGGTGCAGCTGCCCAACCCCCTTGAGAGTCTTCGTCAAAGGCAACATATTGAATAGAACCAGATTTGAGGATAAAGGTCTTGCACGGTTCACTAAACCAACCCCCTTGTTTTCCATCAGGGCCAATTTTGTTCCAAACGGCAACGGACCATTCGTCCATTGTTGAGCTTTCAAAACGTGCGACATACTTGTATTCTTTCGCGTTTGCAGCAGTCACCTCAATGATATTGCTACAATATGGGCTGCCAATGTTTCCCTGATAAGCCACCCCGGTGCCATGTGAAGCCGTTCTAGAACCAAATCCAGCTGTACTGTACGAGATTTTCGGGGACATAGATGTTGAATCGGCTCGCGGGCCCCAGGAGACAGACCCAGGGCTGCTCGACGCTGGGTTTGTTTCTGGGTCATCGCCTGAAGAAGCTATAGCTCCAATGAAAGCTCCGAATGTAAGAAACCAGAGCATTTGCATTGGCACACTTGTAAATTGAATGAATGCCTGAAAGATATCGAACCGTTGTTGGAAGACAGCTTCTTTTCATATGTGATCTTTAAGCTGGCACAGCTGCTAACCTCACTGATCGATAAGCTCTGGTGGATTGATTCTTCAAGAGAAAATCGTCAGCCGGATGGTGATTTTATAGTGGTGGGCGAGACGCGCATTGCTCACCCAAGGCTACCCATGCCCGTGGCCCGAGAATCACTAGAATCCGCCGATTCTGCCCTCGTAAATCTAGTTTGAGTGGACTATTCCTAGAATTCCAATTCAAGAAATAATATTGCTTCACCACTTTCCCCTCATTCAGGAGTAGAATTTAGGGTCTGCAAAAGTCAACTTCAGATGGCTCGAAAAACGACCTCAATTGTGGGACTTCTCAGTCCACCAACATTTGGTTACCAGCTTATGAAAAATTTCAAGCCCTTTTTAAATCACTTTTTACCCGTACAAACATGTCTGTCACCACGAAAATGTTGAGAATTTCTGAAAAGACATACTTCACAACTTGTAAGTCTCTTGAAAGTGTCTCGGGCAGTTCTTCGAAGATAACTAAGAGCCCTTACTTTTGCTCTTAAGATCTGCATAATAAAAATTGGTTTCTCGTAATTTCATCACGTTTAAAAGCACAAACTGCGTGAGTTTGTCTCTGCATTTGACGCGCTCGGTTTCAGACCGCAGACATCGTAAAATATTGCAGCGTCGGATTGGAAAAGGCGTTCACTTCGGACCAGGGTTAAGTCATAGAGTATCGAACGTAAGAAATGTCCTGGACTCCGCATACAAATCAAATGTATGAAGCGCTTGTGCAAGAAGTACGGGCTGGGTCAGGAACTAGTGCCATTATATCTATTAGAACGTGCGGTATGGTATTTGTTCAACACACACGACCCTCCTAACACGTATCAAGGTTACAAGATGTGGTTGGGCCTGGAATCCCCTTGCGATGGATCAATTGGTGCTTTGGCCTGTTTCCTCAGACACCGGTGGTTCCAGTCGGCGACTTTTTGATAGTCCACAGTAGCTGGGCCACGAATAGGAACAGGGAACTTGCTCCTGCCATCTACAAACGTCAGCCGAGATGCCTACACTAGCAATGATTCTGCCATTTATTTCCGCCTTCTCTGACGCATATTTACCGCTCTACCGTTTATCGTTCCACCGTTTATCGCCCACCTTTTGAAAATTCCCATTCTTTATGATGCTTTTCTCATTTTGAACATGTAAACATTGATGATGATGATGATGAATTGATTTGCTATGCAGGCTGAGTATTGTCAGGCCTGCCAACAGTTGAATTCTAAACCACAATCCAGTAGGCTGGGTACGGATTCGTATTTTAGTCTAGTTGGGAAATCAACTCCAACAGCTAGAAAGTGATTGCCAACCCACTGTACAACTGTTTCATGAAACTGGTAAAGCGGGCTTGGGAGTAATCTTTGAACATAGAGTATCTGATTCAAATGTTTTGTCTGGTGACTATCGGGGAATATGATACATCTCACTAGGCCTTCGATGAAATATCGAGGGCTCATAATATGCTTCAACCCTAAGCCTTAGATTGCCCTAAGTTCCATTAAAACATGCCCAATTTCTTCAGAACCCAACGTCGCTTAGCCCCCCTCTCTTTTGCACCCTTGCTTACCAGATAGGCTTTCGTGAGCGCATTTTGAGCGTTGATTCCGCCTGCTTGTATCAACCATGATAGAGGTGTCGTATACATGTCATCAGTCGAATTTATTTTTGCTCCATTTGCCAACAAAACCTTCACGGTATTCAATGCACTGTATTCTGCAGCCCAGGAGAGGGGAGTCCGCTTGTTCTGATCTCGATCATCTACTGCTGAACCGTTGAGCAGCAGGTACCGTAGGAGTTCGGTACAATCACCCATTGCAGCGTAATGAATGAGCGATCTTTTCATAGGTCCTCGGAGGTTTTGCATCCCATTTGACCCCAGCGATTTATGTGCATCTTTGAGAAAAGTCAGGGCTTTAGAGTCAAGCTTGATCTCTTTGAGTTCGACAATGCGTCCAAATTCATAATCAATAGTTTTTGTGGAGCCCGGAGGTATTGCCATTGTGATCGTAACGGTGTTGAATATAGCCTTGCGAGCAAAGAAGATGTAAATGTTCGAGAAGTGAAAAACGACACTGAATGCACAACTACGATCCAAGGACCACGGTGGTCTTTTATGTAGCATGTGGAAAATCAGTCTTTAGGACGTTGCATTGGCTTCTTTGTTTGATGATTTCATCACCCTCTCTTCACCACCTTCAAACATACGTTTGGGGGTTCCAACCAAGAATCTTGCCCCGTGCTGGGTATTATTGATTTTTTAAAGGATTCTCATTCAAAATTTACAAAATGGCCGTTAGAATAGATCAATAAGCCGTAAATCTGATGATGCAGTTATTGAATCATTGTTTCAACGTTCACTCCGTCACTGAAAACTTCAGTTATTTGCATAACCAAGCCTGACAACGGATGATTGTGAGCAGAGACTATGGGACACCACAACTGTTGGTAGAAAACGTTTTGTACAGTACATCGTTCAAGGCCCGGAGACCTCGTTAAGACTCAAACCTCAGTAAGGCTCAGCCACGGGCAAGTTTTGCAGCGGCGTTATCCGAGGCACTGGCATCTTTTTGGGAGACGCACGGGCAATTTGGAAAGTGTTGGTATCTCGCTGGCTGTTATCGACGGGTTTCTACAAGGCTTTACCGGGAGCAAACCGTCGGTTCTGTTCAGATACCGGGGACCAAGGTTGGTTAGTGGAAAGGAACCGATTTACATAGCCAGATGGAGCGTATACGAAGAATTTACGCGAGACTACCTCACTCGCACTAGGGGCCTGAGATTGACCTTCGTCGGCTGACGCGTTGTCATTCTAGTTAGCCTGCCCGTGATATGAAGCAAACTGAGAAGCTCCCAGGGTGAGAGGCGTGGTGAACCTCGAGAGACCAGAAACCTCGTATACTGAAGGAAGAACTGTGGTGGTTGTCTATGCAAGTAGGCTTATTGAAGCTATTTCATGTCTTTTGGAGATGGAAACCAATAAGCTACAGAAATCCAACAGATCCAGCTCGGGTCTATGGGCCAGTGGTCGTTCCATGTCGCCGAAATGGTTCGAATATTCTATGCCGCCAGCTTAGTGTACAAATTCGCTCACCAAAAAGAGAGGTCAGTGACTACACTACAAGCTCAGCTACGATCTTAAGCGACAGTATGTCTGCCCTACAAGCAATCCGGAATCCGGGTTCCAAGCTAGGGCAACGAGTCATTCACCCCATCTTGCAGGTAGGCTCAGAAGCTCTGAACCGGCGGAACTGCCCTCCGTCTGCAATGGATGTCGGGGAACTGCGATAACCCATGAAACAATGCAGCGGATTGACTGGCCAAGGAGACAGCCAGCCCAGACAAGAACCATCCATTCTGCCCCTTATTTTCCAGGAAAAAGCATCTACTCGCGATCACATTGAGAGCGTCCAAAAAATGGAGCCACCTCCGCAGAATCGACAAATAGCTGCTATCCAAATACACTAGGCGGCTATGTTGTTACCGAGCCTATAGTACCTGCTGACGCAACTACAGACCGAACACTAATGGCTATCAATATATCACAAGGCTCATGGTCATGCTGGAGACGACAAAAGCGTGTGTTGCGCACAATAAACCGAGGTCTACCTGCTTGTAGGGTGCCCAAATTTGAGAAATCATTGACAGGAGCTACGGAGAAACCCCGGGGATGCATTTAACAGCGTATCAGCCCTTCTGGGGGCTGTAAAGACGATAAGAAGAATAAAACAAACAGTCCCATGCGGGACATCAGTGCTGATGCGGTATTGGACTATGCGGAGGCATCACACGAATTCGAAGTCGAGCACCATGAGGGCAGCCTAACAGCGAGAACGGCAGTAGGCCGCAACATGCCTTGGCGGGGCTCTAAGTTCGTTCCAGGCAGTGGTACACCCTACATTTACGTAAAAGGATGTATATAATTGCGATAGCCTGTATATTGCTAAGTGAGTTGATCATGAACCGCCAATCATTAGCCTTGGTGCAGATTTGTATTTTGGCCTAGTGGTTATCCAACTCAGTGGTGGGTCGGGCTAAATGATTTGATACATACACACACACGCACACACTCCTGTACGTCTGAAATCATGGATCAAAACAAATAAGAGAAGAGAGCGATGGTACAATAATGGACATTAGATTTGTCCAGTCTAACACTGAGAAGTCGTCGACATTGGATCTCGCCGGCTTTTTTTTCAGCCTAAAATTTTGCTACCCTCTGAGAGCTTGCTTCCAGTATATAAATCATTATTCTTTGGTAATTGGAGTCCCATCTGTGTTCAAGAAAAAGAAGCTTCAAAAATGCCGGGAACTTTTAACATGAAGCTCCTGGGGGCAAATGGTCTAATAGAAAGATCAATCATCATTCCAAAGGTCATTTCACTCGTCGAAGAACACTCTTACTTTCCGTCGCCTTGCAAAGTCCGCATACAACTCAAGCCATATATCCCGAGCTCGACAATCATCAAATTGCGGACTTTCGACTTTGATGCAAGAGGGTTGCTTTTTTATGGTGATTTTTGGATCATGAAACCAAGGCTAGAAGAAGTTTCAGTATCTTTCTAAAAAGATTCATGATCTCAGACCTTGGATACCTTGGGAACTGGCCAATCTGAGAAGTGAACCAACTTTGCATCTCTCAAGATCTTTTCCGGGTCCCAATCTTCTTCTGAATTTCCCAAGTATTTTGAATGCTCTTTGTTCCGAAACTCGCCGCTCAAGAGGCCATAAGGCCGATGAGGTATTACCAGAGCATTACTTCTGTACAATTTGTTAATGATCTCCATATCATACTCGTTCGGATTCGATGCCATGACAGCTGTCAATATCCTGTTGAACTCAAACTCAGATGGCTGTATGAGCATGATGTAAGACCCTAAGAAGCCATACTCGGGCTCATCCCAGTACGCACGGGGTGCTGCAAGCGGGGATGCGGGAAGAAGAAAGAGCTCATCCATATTCTGAACACAGGCATCTTAGTTTGCCAGACCCATATTTTAGTGATTCAATGTTACCTGGAATAGTGTTGCGTCAGAGTCTAGACAAAGGACGCGAGAATATTGAGTTTGGTTGAATGCGAGGAGCTTGGTGAAGCTCTCGCTCCACGTTCGGTCTATGTGCGCCATTAGATGTCGAGTTTCGAACGCGACTACTGTATCAAAGCAACAGGTAGACAAAGCAAGCGCTCACCACCACTCTCTCGGCTGATTAACTCAACTGGCCTCAATGTTACATTATATTCATCGCGAGCCTTTCGAAGCAGGGTTTGTTGCCAAGATGTTGCCGCACTCTCTGACGAATATTCCGTTGGATATATGAGCACTCGATCAGCTCGACTAGCTGACTGGTGTAGACGTTCGAACATCATAACAGCATTGCAAAGATAGTCGGAATTTGTCGCATACTGCACGTAAGCAAATCGTGACCAGTCAATTGAATGTGACTCTGCCGATTCGTAAAGACTTGTTATTTCGTGGGCTATTTGTGAAGTGAAAAAGGCAGAGCGCTCATTACTATCTAAGTCAGCAGCCAAGCGAAAGATAATCGCAGATGAATAGACCAGCAAAAACAAAGTTGTAGCGAGCTTCACGAGCTTTAAGGGAGGAAATGCTAGCATGACTGCCAAGAGCTGATAACCAAGGAGGCTTTCGAGGGAAGTGAAATCTCTGGGGATTTTTATAGAACCCCATGATCCGTCCATTCTGTAATTTCGTCTAATCTTTGATTCATCCCAAAAGGTATTGTAGAATATGTGGAAAATTTGCGTACAGTATCTGGCCTGTAATTATCTGAGATTGTCTTCGGCTCACCATAAATCTATGAACAAGTAAGCCAGGCTTTACCTCACGTTGAGCCAGGAAGTTACTGTGCCCAATTGAATGGTAAATGTCATCTGAAATTCCGCCGAAGTAGCGTTGCACAAATGATAGAAATTATTGCACCTAAATGAGTGACCACAAAGCTTTTTTCTCGCTATTCTCACAGAAAAGCCGCAAAAAACTGAAGTCAGTAGATTAATATTTTCCGTTGAACTTCGCGTCATTGTTTACATTAATACCAAATTTTCATTAAGTTCGTGGAATCTTCAATTGTCTTGAATTGGATTGGTTAAGAAGATAAATTTGTGGATAGCAGCAGGAAAATGTTAAAGTAGCGGTTTGCAGAACCCTGACAGGTTGTTACTTGGCAAAAGCTTGATGATATCGTTCGTGCCTTTCAAACGTTGTGCCCGGTGAACCCAACCCTGCTAAGTTTTGGCTCTAGCGTAGGAGATTGTTTGGTAGCTATAGCTCTCAGGCTTTTCATCAAATAATTGATTTTACCTTCAGCTTTTCTGGGCGAAGCTGGGTTTAGGCCCCACCAGTGTATCTTCGATTGGGCTATTTTGTTGATCATCACGCTGGGGCGTCTGTCGATAGATCGCATAACTAATCGGCCATAGATATTCTCACCTGACCACAGCTTACCTTAAGCTCTTCAGGTACTCTCCAAAATAATGGAATTACTTAAAAGGTTTTATGTGTACAGTACATACGACCATAGGGTGTGAATAACATAACTTCCCGTCCGCTCAGCCGTACTTAAGCCACACGCCGGTAGGTTAGTAGTTGGGTGGTTGACCACCAGCGAATCCCTACTGTTGTATGTTTTTGCTTCTGCCTTTTCATTCTTGTTTTTTCCAAGCTCTTGGCTGTTTCTCCTGTCCATTTCTACACGATCGATATCAGTGTTACTATTCTGTTCTCTTTAAATGATTCTCGAATATATATTGTAAGAGATGCCAGTCCTAATGTGATTAGTGAATGATCAAACCCCTTTTCTATTCGACAGAGTGAGAAGATCTAGGCCAGATGTAGACAGAAGTGGATTTAGCTAAAATTCAACAAGAACTGAGGAGATTAAATAAGTGAAATTGAATTCGAGCGGACCTGTATTGAATCGGCCAGGTAAAAGTGTAAGGATAGGTCGGCCATTCTTTCTGTCACTCTCTGAGTCCAGCCGTAGAATTTGAACTCTGAATGGAAATGGCTGTGGCCAAATTAAGATGGTCAATGAAGGTGGTTAACGGAGTGGTTAAACAGTGTGGTCAAATAGCGAGATTGCACGGTGTGGTAGTTAAACGGAGAGGTGGTTGAACGGAGAGGTGGTTGAACGGAGAGGTGGTTGAACGGAGAGGTGGTTGAACGGAGAGGTGGTTGAACGGAGAGGTGGTTGAACGGAGAGGTGGTTGAACGGAGAGGTGGTTGAACGGAGAGGTAATTAAACGGAGATGTAATTAAACGGAGACGTAGTTAAACAGTGTGGTCAACCGGTGTGGTAGTTAAATGGTGTGATAGTTAAGCAGTGTAATAGTTAAAAGGAGAGGTGGTTAAACGGAGAGATAGTTAAACGGTGTGGTTGGGCGATGTGATTAAATGGAGAGATGGCTAACCGGTGTTAAGCGGTGTGGTTAAACGGTGTGGTCAACGGGCGAGGTGGTGAATGGATCGGTGGTTAACCGGCATGCTTGAACGGGCGGGTAAATGAACGAAGAGGCGAACAAACGAAGAGGTGTGAATGCTGCAAATGCTCGAACGAAGTAAGATTATTTGACTGAATTGTGATAGATCCCAGGGGTGACTAGTGGGCCCTGCCTGAGCCTCGGGCGGTAAACGGAAAATGAGGAAACTCTTGACGTGAAGATCAATACCCGCGCCTAGAACACGAAACGGTGCCACTCCTGGTAGCTAACAGCCCAGATGCTATTTGGTCTCCTGGTTTGAAATCCACTGTTTAACTAGGTACGATAGTCCAATAGGCTGAGAGCCAGCCAGAGACCCGCCAAAGACTGAAACACGCCAGGAAAATTCACCAGAACTGACAGGGATTCATGACCATTGATAATCGGTATACAGCCGCCAGCTTCTTTGCTACCTGATGGAATTCTGAAGTCAAAAATAGCCACGCCATGATTCGTTCATTCACTGGCACTGCTTATTTATTGGTGATGAATTCTGACGGCGCGAAATGGAACGCAAAGATTGGTCAAAACATGCTGTGGATAACCATCAACCAATTACGCATTCCAGCCTCGGTTAAGGTCACATGACAATGGGGCTTGGCTACGGGCCGATACCCAGCCGCAGCGGTGAGGGTCTCCCTCCGAAGAGGTGCTTCCTCCCTCTTACCTCTTGTTTACGTTTATCATCCTTCCAACATCTGCAAAATGGACTTCGATGATCTTGCGAAGCAACAGTCAGATCGGATCTTTCAGGTGTGGATACAGAACCTGCTTGGAAATTCCCCGGAGACCTTGGCGGGCAAACTTGCTTCCCGGCATTGCCCTGGCAGCACACCTGTTACGGCTTCGCGGCTCCCGAATGGCGCCTTCAATATATGTTACCGAGTCACTTTTGAAAACGACCATCGAGTCGTGGTTCGCTTTGTTGGCCTTGGTCGAGTCATTGCTCGCAATGAAAAAGTCGAAGATGAGGTTGCTCTCATGCAATACCTCGCCCAGCACACAGCAATTCCTATACCTGATGTCTTGGGATCGGGAAAGTGTGCTGTTGGCCCGTATATTGTGATGGGTTTTGTGGAAGGAAAACCGCTGAGCGGATACCTTACAGACGCGTCCCAGCCAACAGCCACGCTTAGCTCAGGTATTTCCATGTCTATCTTGAGAAGAGCTTATTCCAACATGGCGAAAATCCTATTGGAGCTATCTAAGCCCGAATTTCCCTATATTGGGGCCATCAGGCAGGACGAGTCAGGCGAATGGACCGTGCAGAAGCGACCGCTCACTTTCAACATAAATCGGCTTGCTCAATTCTCCAATATACCCCTCAAAGTCTTCGAACGAGGACGCTTCAGCGATGCAGCAGACTATTTCGAGGAGCTTGCTCGTCATCAATTTTACCATCTTGAGCTACAACGAAATGACGCAGTAACGGATGAGGTTGATTGCCGAAAGAAGTATATTGCGCGTTGCCTTTTTCGCAAACTGTCACGCGAGATATCCAAAGAACACTGCAGGGGTCCTTTCCGCCTTTACTGCGATGATCTGCGCCCGGATAATGTCCTCGTTGATGCATCGAGCCTTACTGTCACTGGTGTGGTTGACTGGGAGTTTGCCTATGCTGCTCCTGTTGAATTTACACTTGCTGCTCCTTGGTGGCTATTGCTGGAAAGTCCAGAGGACTGGGAACCTGATCTCGACCAATTCTTGTTGCGATTTATGCCGAGGCTGCGCACGTTCCTTGAAGTTCTCAGTGATTGTGAGGCCAAAAAAATCCAAGATGGATCTTTATCCGAATCTCAGCGGCTATCAACTGCTATGGAGAAGTCGCTGGAGACCGGACTGTTTTGGGTTTGTCTCGCTTCACGTCACAGCTCTATGTTCGATGAGATTTATTGGAGTTTCATTGATTCAAGATTTTATGGTCCATTTACAACGATAGAGGATCGACTTGGTCTGCTTAGTGCAGAAGAGCGGCTTAAAATTGACGTCATCGTGGAAAGTAAAATGCGTCAGGCAAGCGAGGGCACTTTGGTTTCTCATTATAGCATTGATGAGTTAGTTGATCTATAAATATGTGACAGTTTGACAGCTTTGAATATATCATTATTTAGAGACCAAAAAAGAATGCTTTCATTGGGCACAGGTACAGAAAATATAGCAAGCGGATCTAACAAAGAGCGTCAAATGTATGGTGCCAAGCCCAGTCGACCGTCTACCTAATTGCCCGTTTTCCGCTTTCGAGATCGAAGACTCGCTTGCGCTGCTTGGGTCATTAGATCCTTTTCGACAGTCGAAAGGCTCTGAATAGCATCTTGAGTCTTCAAAGCCTCATTTAGAGATTTCTTCAGCTCTTCCCCCTGTTCTGCAGATGGAACGTCGCCCTTCCTCAATCCTATCACGATCTCACCAGATGATGCTCTTTTCACAAATTCCGGAGCCTCATCGGCTGGGACGTGATTTCGGTAATAGCTCAAGATGGACGCAAAGCTGTCGCGAGCCTTCTGAGCTCCGTGATTGGTACTCATGACGCCGATTTGTGAATGCTACTGAATTAGCCTTCGAGCCCAAAAAATAACAGTCGAGCTACTACGTACGGATCAGCTGTTGCAACTTAACTGGAATCTCCTGGTCGGACTTATACAGACTTTTCGCCTTCGTGGTTTTGATGGGATGTTTGACGAGAACAGAGTTCGTAATGAGCCAGTCTTCTGACTTATGTATGCGGATGATCACAAAGATATTGCTCTAAGCGCGTCTTGATAGGTCGGAGGACAGTCGCCCACGCGCCCAGATAAAACAATGTCATGTATGAGATCGAAACTCGGGACACAAATCAGAAAGACCCATTTAACGCCGGGTGACGTCAATTCTGTGAAGCATGTGCGAAGATAATCAAGGATTAGCATCAGAAGATTAGGGGCAGAAGCAGAACGCGCCAGGTCCCGGTCACTTTGGACGAATGGGGAGTCCCCATTGCTATGTACTACGAATGTGTCAACCCAATTCTCGGTTTCTCTGTGAGTGCTCTTTCGGCCCTAAGGAGCGTCCCTATAGTGGAGGCATCGGGATGGGGGGCGAGCATCCAATATCGTGCTTGAGTCGGGGTGGTTGCCTAGCTAAAACGAGCACTGCGCCACGCGAATCCTCTGTTTTGCTGATCAGGGATGAAGATAGAGAATGGTCTCGACTCTTCCATAAACAGAGAAGTTTATCAGGCAGTTCTTACACAAAAGTGTTTCTAAATGGCGACATATTTAAACAAAGTGATTAAACGGGCCGGTGGTTTAACGGTGGGGCTACCTACACGATATGCGAAGTAGCAATTAAGGTCGATTTTCTGGCAAGTCAAATTGTCTTGGATCATTAAGACGGTGCCGACAAGATTATACTTGCTTCCGTATCTTGAGCCCATTTGCCACTGAGAATGTGAAAGGTCCTGGGAACATGAAATAATTTGCTAAAACCAAGAGACACTTAAGAATCGGACGGAGGTTTGGAAGTACCAGGTGCTGAATCGTTTCTGTGTAGATTTGGTACAGTAAGAGAGATACATTAAAATGTTATTTTATATGTCGAGCTGCCCGAGTAGTTGTATGTACCATAAAAGTTCGTCTGATGCCCTATCGAGCTCGAGGGCAGTCTCGATGAGACTTGGCCATTTTACAGTAGCAATAGTGCCGTCCCGGAAACCTTTAATAACTGCAGTCATACAGTATGTAATTCCGGAAATTTGTGTCACCACTTACACTCTTTAATTGTTCCCCGAACCCTAATGCCAAGAACCAATAGACTTTATTGAAAGCATTTTCGGAATATCAATATTCCCGTGTTTTAAGATTACATTACCTTACAGACTCCGCTTACATACCACGTGTCTCATCATGATGATCCGCTGCATCTGGAACCTTCATGGCCATGCAAACAATTGAAATAGAAATCTGTCGGTATAAATGACCGGAGCTAGATTGTTCAACTCCGGAATATGTGCATTGCTAGTATTATTAGTCATGTTATCCCATAACCTGTGTGTACGAAGGGGTAGTAGACAATTCAGACTTTCTGCTATTTTCCATTGGATGACCGACTATTACGGGAACCACTTAATCTTAATCCAACAAAGTCAGCCGGTAATTAGTGGATTTTCGCAGATTTGGCCACCTGTCACCTTACTCGCATCATGCGGGCGTCCGAGTAGCAATCCTCGGCTTACAGAGGGACCTTTATCATTCAAACCTCTTGAATTGACAGAAAACACGGTCCTGTTGATCGCTACACTAAGTCGGTAATGGGCACAATTGCCCACCGCTAGAGCACGGTATTATACATCTCCTCTTCTTAGAAGCGCACGATGATGTCATCGTGCGGTCACTTTTGCCACGATTATTCCAGCTTTTGGATCAGGGCACCCAGTATGTTTCCATTTAGAAAATCAATTTACGCGCTTTAATTTTTCATTATTCTCATCACCGCTCAGCACCCTCATACGTGATGGAACGACGGCAGGAATACGCACATGAAGTTGACCACTTTGGGTTCGATCCCGTTCCACCAATTGCGCGCACAAAAGTTCGAAAGAAAGAAAAGAATAGTACCTGCGATCCCGATACCCTCGAATGTCTAAATCTTAGTTACGAAGTGGCTACAAAGCTGTCTCTTAAAGATGTTGCGCCCCACAGTGAGCCAAAATTACACATTCGCCAAGGCAGCTTTCCTGGCAACTCTCCCGGCTCCTCTTTTGAACTTCCCGACAAAGGCAATACCTGGGTAACGAATGAATGTTGGAGGGTTGATCCAGCCATCAATCCAAATCAGACGTCCATTGCCTCGAGGCCAATTAGAACGCAGCATAATCATGATGATATGAATATTTGCGATGCTATATCTGGTCCGCGAGGCGAACCGAAAACCCGCGTGAAAAGGGAGACCGCCGGATATAAATTTGTCCGGAAATAGGTAGGGGTTTAGGCCGCGCACTTCTATCGGAAGGTGAACGAGGCTTTCTCTTGATCCTCACATACCTCATGGGAAAAAAAGGTAAGGATTGATAGCACAACATATGCAATACTGAGGCTAAGTTATCGGTGCTCCATGCAGACCAACGCAGCTGTCAGCTCAATTCAGTCAGAAATATGCCGATCATTTCCAACCTACCAAATTCGCATTTCCGACTTTATCGAATGAAAAGTTTCCGATTATCAATGATGGATTAAATGAGAGGCATTTGGAGCGGGGCACGGACCTAGATCTACAGGACCTAGATCTCACCCCCACAGCAGAGAGCACACAAATGACGTGGGCCCAGGAAGGTGCGCTGTTGACATTGGAGACTGCCTCCAAGCCACAACAACTACGTTCGTCAAATAAAATAATCCAAGATCTTGAGTTAAACTGATATAAGCAGCACTATGCATTTACTTTCGCCTCCACAAGGATGAAGGGTACTACGGGGACGACGATATTTTCCGTGCCGTGTATCTTCAAGAACGGACCGCCGAAATGTTCGTTCGAGGAGTTTGCGCAAAGTTCCCGATTGACGTTACGTGTGTGAGAGAAGTGTTGTTCTTGGATAGCAATGGGATTATAAACAGGACAGATGATGAGATTTTACAGGAACTGCCCAACGAACAAACTTTGGATATTGAGTTTGTGCCAGTCCATGCGGGCTTTACAAGTACTTCTAGTGCTGTCAGTGACGTAAAAATGCGAGTTCATCTCTAGCCCTTGAAACAGATCGTCGTGCATTCTCTGCTTTCGCAAATAAAGGAAGGAAAAAAAAAAGTCACACGTGATCGAGCTGCGTCCGTATTCACGGTAGCGAAAAATTCACTCCCACTGAGCTCGTGGCAAGAACGGAATAATATGGACGTGAACTTGGCTAGGCTGAGGGCAATGATCTGTTCCACCGCCAGGAGGAAATGCCAAACAAACTCGGGTGAAGCTTGGTGGGCACTGAGCTCGCAGGTTCTAGATCTAACTGTTAAAAAACACATATCCCGCTACTATGATAATCCGGGAACTTTGCCCTGAAACTTAGTGAGAGAAAGGGAACTAATCAACGTGGTGCCCTGAAACGAACGAAGTGAGAGGAAGGGTTTACTATCGCCCGCAGGGAATACCCTTGTTGTCAAAACTTAATCTATGATGTTGATGTTACAGTCATTCTCGAAATCGGCTTGACCGATATACACTGGATAACTCTTTTCTGGACCCACCGCCAAGGCCTTAGAGCAGATCTTTTATTGAGCGGGCCGCGTTAATTTGAGGGGCGCAGTAAAATTTGCTTTTGTATAGTATGTTATGTAGCACCTAGCTACGTAATTTTACATGATACATACGAAAGGTCCGTGGAATTTCATGGAAAAAGTATAGTGGATCTGCAAATCATATGGAGAGGATGACCTGGCACTGAGCTTCTGGACGATCTGCTAGGTGGCTAGTGGCTTTAACTTTCCTTCCCAGGCTGCACGTGTCGACTTTTCGCGTACATCCGGGAGACTTTGCACATTATTTTGAACACAACGAGCGGGAAGAGCTGTGTTCAGTTCTGCAGCTATCTCAATTTCTTCCAATCAATATCAGTATTCTCGCGTTGTATGCACCGTATCTACGAATATGGATCTTAGGGTTGCCCGCCAATTTGTTTCTTGACATCAGCAGTTGAGAAACAGCACCAGGCAGGACAGTGTGAGAGCTACTGAATTGAGATCATCCTTGAAAGTGGCAAGTAGCAGTATTCATCTTCTTCTTCCCAGTTAGCGCCTACATCTGCGCTGCCTGGTTCATCTTTCCTTGGTCCCGATATAGATTCCTGAGATTTCCGGCAGTGCGGAGGGTCAACATATGGTCCGCTCCGAGCGCTTTCTCGAACCCAGCTAGTGCCCGCTTGTACATCTGTTCTGCCTGGTCCAGCTCTCCTTGGGCTCGATATAGAACACCGAGATTGTTGACAATGCTGAGCGTCAACGTGTGGTCCGCTCCGAGCACTTTCTCGAACCCAACTAGCGCCTGCTCGTACATCTGCGCTGCCTGGTCCATCTTTCCTTGGTCCCGATATAGATTCCCGAGATTATTGACAATGCGGAAGGTCGACATATGGTCCGCTCCGAGCACTTTCTCGAACCCAACTAGCGCCCGCTGGTGCATCGGCTCTGCCTGGTCCAGTTTTCCTTGGGCTCGATATAGAACACCCAGATTGTTGACAATGCTGAGCGTCGACATATGGTCCGCTCCGAGTAATTTCTCGAACCCAGCTAGCGCCTGCTCGTACATCCGCGCTGCCTGGTCCAGCTTTCCTTGGTCCCGATGTAGATGCCCTAGATTGTTGACAATGCGGAGGGTCGACATATGGTCCGCTCCGAGCACTTTCTCGAACCCAGCTAGCGCCCGCTGGTGCATCGGCTCTGCCTGGGTTAGCTTCCCTTGGTCTTGATATAGTACCCCGAGATTATTGATAGTGTCGAGGGTCGACGTGTGATCCGCTCCGAGCACTTTCTCGAACCCAACTAGCGCCTGTTCGTACATCCGCGCTGCCTGGTCCATCTTTCCTTGGTCCCGATATAGATTCCCGAGATTGTTGACAATGCTGAGCGTCGACATATGTTCCGCTCCAAGCACTTTCTCGAACCCAGCTAGCGCTTGTTCGTACATCTGCTCTGCCTGGTCAAGCTTTCCTTGGGCTCGATATAGAGCCCCGAGATTGTTGACAATGCTGAGCGTCGACATATGTTCCGCTCCAAGCACTTTCTCGAACCCAGCTAGCGCTTGTTCGTACATCTGCTCTGCCTGGTCAAGCTTTCCTTGGGCTCGATATAGAGCCCCGAGATTGTTGACAATGCGGAGGGTCGACATATGGTCCGCTCCGAGCACTCTCTCGAACCCAGCTAGCACCCGCTGATAAATCTGCTCTGCAGGAAGTAGCAGTACTTAGTGTCGAAGTAGAGATGCAATCAGTGAAGCTTGGCCTAGTCGACGAGGTGCAATAATATGTATGACGTCACTCTGACATGCTCGCTGTTGTAGTAGACCGTGTCGCATGAGCAGCCAAAGGAGAGTAAGAGAGCTTTGCCAAATCATTCACGTTATCACCAATTATAGACGCAGAAATGCAGTCAAAAGCATACCAGTAATGCTTTGCGTCAATATCCTTGTTGAGTGCTGCCAGTTGCCATCACTCCAATGATTTCCACATCATCTGTGATCACTTCACAAAGCCACTTGGGAGGACTATCGGTAAGTCCGGCATGAAAAAGCTTCTACCAAATCTCTGGTTATCGAAGTAGGCTAGTAACTTGAGTATTTTCGCTGCGACTGGATCTTCCTTTTCTAGGCGAGAGTATGACAGACCCCAAGTTGCGTACCGCCGTCAGGGGCCATTGAGGGTGTCGTTCGCCTGGAAGCAATCGACAACTGGCCAGGACGGTCGTTTGCCGATGATATCGCTCGTTGAAATTCTCCGAGCCAAAGAGACATCCACAGGAGTGATGACAAGCCCCCGCTGGATAGGAAGAGGAGACTCTCTCCTGGCAGATCATCAATTATTTAGCGCCAGATGGCCTTTCCCACATGATTTGCAGAGATCCCCCCAAAGGTTTCCATGGAATTCCATGAGCTTTCTTTTCATCGCGAAATGTAATATTACGTCCGGTATGACTGTAACATACACAGCACCTTATATTGCGCCCCTCAGTTTAATGCGGCTCGCTTAATAAATGGTCTGCGCTAAGGCCTTGGCGGCGGGGCCGGGAAAGAGTTTCTCAGTGAATGTTGGTCAAGGCGATTTTGGGAATCACTGTAATCCTCTTCTCCAACCCTAGCCCAACGCGCAAGTACATCTGCTCGACCTGGTCCAGCCTGCCTTTAGCACGATATAGAACCTCAAGATTACTGATAGTGTCAAGGGTCGACGTGTGGTCTACTCTGAGCGCGAGAAAGCGCCCGTCTAGCGCCCGCTGGAGCATCTGCTCCGCCTGCTCTAGCTTGCCTTGAACACGATATAGGATCCCGAGATTATTGACAGTATTAAGGGTTGAGGTGTGATCCGCTCCAAGCGCTTTCTCGCGCCCAGCTAGTGCCTGCCGGTATAGCTGCTCCGCCTGATTTAATCTGCCTTGGGCATAACATAGAATCCCGAGGTTGTTAACAGTGCGAAGGGTCGAAATATGATCCGCTCCGAGCGCTTTTACTCGCCCAGCTAGCGCCCGCTGCAGCATATGCTCCGCCTGTTCTAGATTTCCTTGGACGTGATATAAAATCCCGAGATTATTGACAGTCTCAAGAGTCGACGAGTGGTCCGCTCCAAGCGCTTTCTCCTTTCCGGCCAGCGCCCGCTGGAGCATCTGCTCAGCCTGGTCTAGCTTGCCTTGAACACGATATAGAATCCCAAGATTGTTGACAGTATTTAGGGTTGACGTGTGGTCTGCTCCAAACGCTTTTTCGCGCCCAGCTAGCGCCCGCTGGTACATATGCTCCGCCTGGTCCAGCTTGCCTTGGACACAATATACAATCCCGAGATTGTTGACTGTGTCAAGAGTTAAGACATGATCTGCTCCGAGTGCTTTCTCGCATCCAGCTAGTGCCTGGTAGAGTTTCTGCTCTGCCTGATCTAGCCTACCTTGGAGACGATATAGAATCCCAATATTTTTAACTGTGCGAAGGGTTGACGTGTGGTCCGCTCCAAGAGCTTTCTCGCGCCCGGCTAGCGCCCGCTGGTACATCTGCTCCGCCTGTTCCAGCCTGCCTTGGTTCCGATATAGAATCCCGAGATTGTTAACAGTCTCAAGGGTCGATTCGTGATCCGCTCCGAGTGCTCTCTCCTTCCCAACTAGCGCCCACTGGTACATCTTATCAGCAGCAAGTAGTAGTACTTGATCTCGAAGTAAATTTGCAATTAGTGAAGCTTGGTCGAGTCGATGAGGCGCAATATTATATATGACGTCGTTCGTGCACAAGCGCTCTCGTGTTAGTCTCATGGCATGGGCAGCCAGGGCAGCGTAAGACTGATTGGCAAAGTGATCTGCCTTGTTATATTTTATAGACGCAGAAATGCAGTCAAATGCATACCAATAATGGTTTGCGTGTATGTCCATGTTGAGTACTGCTAAAGTCCAGTCGTGCACACAATTATGCATGCTCCATGAGCCTGACGTCTGGTGCCTGTCCAGAAAAAAGTATTCGGCCAGGGCTCCCATCACTTCATTAAAATTCACGTCATCTGTGATTACTTCACGAAGCCACTCAGGAGAACTATCCGTGAGTCCAGCATGAAAAAGCCCATGCCACAGTATCTGGTTATCAAAGTAGGCGAGTAATCTCAGTAATTTCGCCGCGTCAGGATCTCCCTTTTCTAGGCGAGAGTATGACAGATCCCAAGTTGTGTAGAGTGTACGGTCCTGATACTCCTGGAGCTGTAGGGGTCTATGAGGGCTAATGTTCCAACGTTTCTCATACTCTTGAAGGTAGCGTTCGAAGGTCAAGGTACTACGCCGAAGATATGTCCCGGCGGTGGCTAGAGCAAGAGGTAGACCCGCAAGTCGCTCTGCAAGGCGCGTTGCATGGGGATCTAATGGTAGTGTTAGTAGTTCCTAAATGTGATTGGATGTACCATACCTGATTGAACATTCTCTCGTGTTGATCGGGTTTGTAGGATTGCGAGGCTATCTTCAACATTCTGAAAAGGCTTTATGTGAAGAGAGGTCCCGGCAACGTGATCTGGTCGTCGAGAGGTGACCACAATAGCCCCATGAGAAGCGGGAGGGTAGTAGTAGTCAATCCGAAACTGGGTGGGGTCGTCGTAGTTATCAAGAATCAATAACCATACAGTATTTTTAGGGTTACATAGCCACTGATGTACACGTCTGACGATCTCTTTGTCCTCTAACATTCCAGGTTCCTCAACATCGAAGATAAGGCTGGCTATCGATCGGAAACTGTCTTTCAACGTGGCCTCGGATACTGCGTTAAGCCAGAATACCGAGCTATAAGAACCAAGACCGGACTCTGCGTAGGCGATCGCAAGCTGAGTCTTGCCAATACCACCTATACCACCGAGGACTAGACGCCTTTGCTTTTGAGACTTGTGATCAGGGTGTAGAAGTCTTGCGATCTCATTAAGCTCGTAGGTGCGACCGATAAAGAGTTCAGACGCGATGTAAGGCGCTTGGCCGCGTAAGATGCCAACGGGCCCACGAAAGTTAAAATCTTGCTTCTGCTTCAAGGTCACTACCATTAACGGTCAGTTGAGTTTGGTCTATGACGTTGAGTGAAATTGAAGCTTGTAAAAACAACCGAGACGTTGAAGGACGTCGGCGAATGTGTGCTGGAGATAAGAACAAAGGCATTAACGGTGAAGTATCATGAATAATTTAAACAGAGGCGTCTGCTGCCATGTTAGGGCTACTCCTTACCGGACTGTATATACTGAGTTCCGATATGAGCGTTGTTGTTGAGTTGCTGACCACTGCCGCTATTCACATTGTTGGTCTGCGCCCCTCCACTGCTGTTGATCAAGATCGAATGCTCCTCCCTGGCGGTCAACCTTCCAACAGATCCTATCTCTTGCCCCACATCAGAGTCTGCTAGAATGTCATATGCTATTGGGGCACTGTGAACTTGATCGACTGGGACGGCCAAGAGAAGCTCTTTCGCATACGCCACCGCTACCGCTGCCGCATACCCTTGCCATTCCTTATTCTTGTGTGAGTCGGCGTAGTCGCAGATGCCCCGAATGACCAGACACGGAAAGTCATTCATAAGTCCCGCCGCTTCCATCTCCACACAATATATACCGAAGTCCCGAGCCAGCTGATCTCGCCACCTGCCATCCTTCACAACTTGATTTGCAGATCCGATGAGTCCATAGTGAATTACTGGATCTTGGTGCTCGCGTGGAGGTCGTGGAAATAATTTAGACCGATCGCAATTTATACACGTATCGGATGCGATATGATCATATTCTGCCTGAAATAGGGAGTCCTCTTGCGTCGGTCGCGTAAATTTAGTGGCTTTGTGGGGCGCTAGTTTGGCTTGCAGGTTGGAAACAAAGCCGACGATCCGGCTATCTTTTGTGAGGTGATGTGCCTGGAGAGTTGCGAGAGCGGTTAACAGAACCTTAGGAGGCCGATTAAGCATCCCGGTTCGCTTAAACTGGCCGCCGCTTAGCGCTTTCCCTAAATCGTACTGGATCACGCCTCCAGAAGTGTCAGTCGGCTGGCTCACTACAACATCCCCTAGTCGAATGTCTGCATAGCTGCTTGGTACTCCACCGCCGATACCAACCATAAAACCGAAGCGGATGGCATGAAAACTAGACAGCAACTGCATTCCAACCGTTGCAGTTGATGTATTGCCATATGCGCCAGTCGGTAGGCTAGCAATAACGATGTTGTGTTCCCCGATACTTCCAAGAATATATGTATTTTGGTCCATCGGCAGGCGAGGCAAAGGCGGGTGTATTTTGTCCAACGTTAGCTTCGCAGCCGCTGTCTCCACGGGCAAGGCGCATATCCATCCGACCGTATAATCGTCGTGAGATCGGATACTGGCATCCATAGTGAACTAATCTACTGCAATGAAATTCTCCGTTATGATTTCTGACCGGTCAATTTGTGTGGAGCATGGGAGAAAGAATAATATGGTCAAGCGGAGATGGAGGGAAGAATGTCATGAGTTTGTCAGAGGAAGGCGGGGTTGAGCTGAGGCTAGACACTGGGGTTGTCAGTCAAGTGCACGTGCCCTTGGCACTATACCAGGAAGAACCAAGAATAGGCTTGGGTACGTCCACCCACACGAGGCACTGTCCTGCCAGCATTAAAAGTCAAGAATGGGTCATACTCAAGCTGGCTCGGTCCGCTTATAGTCTACCAATCCGCTTCTACTGTACCAGCGTGAACGTAGATAACTCTCAGATGAGATCGACTCCCATTACGCGTGAAAGCCAGTTAGTTTTCCCCGGTACAAAATGTCACCTCCAAGGCACCAATCACACCGCAGAGATCCCCTAGAATTGCATAGAATTCAATGGGCTTTCTTTTCATACGCGTAATGTAATCTAATGTCACATATTACTGTACCGTACACGGCGCATTTTACTGAGCCCTCTGTTTGATGCGGCCCGCTCAATAAATGATCTACGCTAAGGTTTGGGCAGTGGGGCCAGGAAAGAGTTTCTCAGTGTATATTGGTCAAGGCGATTTCGAGAACGACTGTAGCCAAATTCTGGCCTCTAATTCGCCAATCTGACCCACTGTTCTTCTCTGATTCGCCACTTTCTCATTCCACGCACTCTTCTGATTGCTGTTTAACATTCCGCTCTTTAGGCTTAGTGTTGGCGGTTTTTATCCTTACTTACTGGCTCTTTCCTTTTTAGCCCTAACCGCTGACTCCCTAACCCTAGTGTCTGTGCTGTATTACATACTTGCTGCTTATTTGCTAAGACCTCACCTTCATTGCTTGCATGCTTTTGCTACGCACTTCTTTAAAGTCTTCTTCTAATTGGTCTGTCACCAGGTTGTCTTTCGCGTTCGATTATATATAAGGAAGCGGGGTTAGGCCGCAATGCGTCAAACTCACTCTTTGAACATGGAGCCAAATCAACCTCCTTAGGAAAACCTACTTATTTCGCATTTTTGGCCTCTCAGTCCGGGTTTTTGGTTTGCCGAATCTTTATAGGCTCTCACAAGTTTATTCACGCCTAGCCATGAAAAAGAAAAAGAGCAAGCCTTTGTGCTCACCCACACTCGAGGATGAGGAGCCTGACCCTTGCGAGCTCAGTCTTTCACTGCCCGAGACCCAGAGCAGAGAGGATCAAGACACCATCCTCGGGCTCATTGCGAGGTGAGAAGCAAAATCAATAATGTCCTATATCAGTGCAAATAAAGCCTGGTCGCTCACATAGAATAGCTTGCATCTCAACTCGGACTACAGCGATTTGACCATTATTTGCAAGGACAAGATTTTCTCCGCTCATAAGCTTGTTGTTTGTCCAAGATCAAAATACTTTCACTGTGCTTGCTATGCCGGGTTTAAAGTGACTTAAATTCCACCTGTTAACTACTGTTGCGACTCAGGCTGACACGCGGCGATGACTTCCAGGAGACCGATCACCCGATAAGTCTAAATGAAAAAGACCCAATCCTCATCGAAAAATTGCTGGAATTTCTATATATGGGAAATTACACTACTCCATGCCCTACATATTCCTCGGAAACTACACAGGCGGATGAAGGAGACGTGCCTAACGTGGATAGACAGCCCGCAGGAGATTTATCGCGGGAGCTCAAAGCAGAAAGCGGTGCCACTGATGAAGCTGACGTGCATATTGGTGAATGTTTTTATAAAACGGTTACGGAATCTCTGGAGAAAAATCCAGGGAGACTGATGCATGCGCCACAGATGAATGAGAAATCATCTATAATTGATGGGGGTTGCCCCGGGGACGCAACCGAGCAAGAGGATGAAGGGCGTATTACAGATCCAGCCATCGATCCATTAGTCAACTGTCATCCGTGTTACTTTCATGTGCGCATATATGGCGAGGCGGACTACTTCATGATCAGCGACCTGAAAAGCAAAGCTGAAAAACATTTCTGCGCATCGTTCATGAATTCCCCGGAAAGGGAGTCCTTTGCAGAAATCATGGAGGAGGTTTATTCGACACGAGCAAACTACCAGGAGCTGAGGCAATTAGCAATCAAAATGATAGTTGATAATCTGCCGCTCCTCCGAAAAAGACCCACGCCGGTGATTATGTCAGAACTGATGAAGTCGGTCCCCGATTTTACATACGATTTGTTGCAAGCTACTCTAGATAAGTATGTGGGTGAGTCGTCCGGCATGGAAGAAAATCAATCTCATGTTCGGTTCGGTTACTGAATACTGATACCCCTCAAAGAGGTGCTAATTTGCATTCCGGGGGTGGGATGTGATTGATGTGTTCTCCCCTATATCTTGCACTGCGCATCCACCAAGATATTTACCGTGTCAATACTTATTCCATGCCTTTTTGCCTTGACTTTCACGTCGTTTCAGGGCTTACAGCGTGCCTCAGCGCGCGTCCCCCAGTTGTACGTGCGCGACCGCAAAGCCAAGCAGCTTGTCTACGTTGGAACTCTACGGCCACGCACGCTGCTTATTCGCCCCTGTATCGCCAATTTGATTCTCTTGGCCTTTAGGTTTCTAGGGCTTTGTCTGCATGTACATTCTAGCTCGATGATTGCTTCATGCGTTGCTCATTGACCCTCTTTTTATCCCGACGTTCTACAATTGTATTACCACCCGTGGCTTCACTGGCCTCTGTGCTCTCACTTCACACGCTTCTACAATCTCGGTGTGATACGACCTCACGATGCTAACGCGTCGTCCCTGCCACGATTGTGGTCACTATGTGTGTCTGTCTGCGACGATTCAACCTCCGCGATGCCCTGCTTGTCGATTATCACGTTTGCCCTCTCCTCTCGAAACGCGGTTCTGTCTTGGCTGCCGTATTCCCCTCCCTGCCACCTCTTCAGGCCTCTGTTATAGGACTTGTCAGGCTTGTCATTCTTCTTGTCCGGCTATAGAAGTCTCTTTCCAACTCGCCCTGGCGTGACTCGGTGTTTCCATTGCAGGCCTAGGATGTCTCATACTGTCCCAGAGGCCACTGATTGCGCCTCTTCCATAACCCGGATATTAGTCATACTGATGGCTTCCATCATTTGTTTAAATTATTTAGTGTGTATGTTGACTTACAACTTACCAATTCAACTCTCTACTTACGCGTTGCTATCTTACCACCCACTTCCTCTCATCGTTTCAGGGCCGATGCGCGCCTCGCGCGCGTCTTCCAGTGCCCTGAAACGAACGTAGTGAGAGAAAGGGATGTAATGCCCTGAAACGAACGAAGTGAGAGAAAGGGATGTAATGCCCTGAAACGAACGAAGTGAGAGAAAGGGATGTAATGCCCTGAAACGAACGAAGTGAGAGAATGTAATGCCCTGAAACGAACGAAGTGAGAGAAAGGGATTCTCCGCCCGCGGGGATACCCCTGTTTCTGGAAACTTAATTTTTTCGCTGTCGTTAGCCAAATTACGGTTTCTCATTCGCTATTTCGATCCACTGCCTTTCTCCGATTCGCTACCTTTTCATTCCACGCTCTCTTCTGATTGCTGTTCGAGCAATGCCCAGTTCAGTTTAGTGTTGGCGGGTTTTATCCTGAATCATTGGCTCTTTCTACTATAACCCTAACAGCTGACTCTCTAACCCTGGTATCCGTGCCTTGTGCTTCCTATTCATTCGTTATATCCTCATGCTCATTATGTGCATGATTTTGCTACGCACTCCTTTAAGAGCTTCATCTGGTTGGTTAGATGACTCTGACGTGTCTAGATACACCGCTTCTTTTTACCTATACTCTTGTGTTTGGGGGTTTACTGTTTTTACCCATCAAAGTCTTCGGGGCTGTTTGAAACCTTCTATTGTCTACTTTTTATTCTTGAAGTGCTTGCCTGCAATGCATATAGATATGACGGAGACATATAAACCCATTCTCATTTGATATCGATATTTCCTTTTCTGCGATTCAACCCAGGCATGCCCTTCGACTACTTCCGGAATTCTTTCTCCTCGTCATCTCAACCTTTCCCATCAGATTACCGGCCTGGTGCTGTACAGCCCGACTCCCCACCTCTTACATTCCTTCCACCCACTCCGTCGGCCTCACGTCCATGTCCTTTCCCTCCTCCGTCGTACGATTCACCAACTCGTCACAATCATGTTACTGGCTTTTCCCCGGCTCCGGCGCTACCGTCCCAATTGACCCCACCCTATCCTCACTTCCCTCCCCCATCCTATATGACCCCGTCGAGCGTCCATTCTACCTTGGTTGCACCCGGCCTCTCGCAGACGATATTGCCGCCAAATCCCCCACTTAAAGTCACCTCCGACGTCCGCGCCGGCCTTTGCAGGAAAAGTATTTCATCACGTCCTCGTCTTCTTGCTCCAAGACCGACCCTGGATACGACTACAAGACCCTGTCTGCCCACAGTCTCGGCACCTGGCGATCAAGTTGTTCCAAATGCAATTACCGTTGCCATAGATCCGTTGGTTCAGAATGGGGTGTCTCCAGCCCCACAGTCCCAGTCTATGCCGAGGGCTTCGACCGATGGTTTCCCGGGACCGGATTCCTACAGCCACCGATCAATTCCCCACCTACCTGGCTCGCTTCAATCCGCCGCCCCAACAAAGAGGTCGGGCCCGTCTCAAACGCTTCCGCAACCTAAACGGCGCATGCTGGACACCGATGCTGACTCTACCTACATCATCGATAAAGCTCTAAAGTTGCTGCGTGATGATCTTGAGTCGAGAAGTTCAGCCTCTACGACTTTTCCACCGGTGCTGACTGAAGCTCAAATAAGAGCTTCCATTGCCCAATATCAAAATCATATTGAAGATTCATCAAAGCAAGGCGTCTGCTCATCCTGCGGGAGGTTTGTGCCGATTCCGGAGATTGTAGAAATGGAGGACAGTGACCCTTTGCTCCTGCCACTAGCTACCCACCTTGACTATTGCGGCAAACATGGCGACGAGTGGGATATATGTTTGACCTGCCTCAAGTCTCTATCTCAAAATTCTGTGCCGAGACTTTCTGCTTTGAACCGTGTGAATGTGACAATGTGTCAAAACTATCCGTCGGCGCTTGAAGGCCTCACCCCGGTCGAGGAGTGTCTTATTGCTAGGTGTCATCCCCTCGGGATAATTTTGAAGTTGCGCCCTGGGGGCCACACGTCGCCGGTGTCCTATCGTGCTCTGCGCGGCCACTTCATTGTCATTCCGCAGGACCCGGAGCCACTGCTTGAAATTCTTCCGAGCCCAGCAGTAATGTTGCATGATGTGATTAGGGTGTTTTGGCTAGGAAAGCAGCCCGCCACCTATGCGGACTTATCTCCATTTTTGCTGGTACGTAGACAAAGGGTTCTTACGGCTCTTCAATATCTGACACGTCATAACCATGTTTATCACGACGTTGCTATCAACCGTCAAATGATCGACACGTGGGATGACGACTTCATTCCAGCCGATCTTGAAGAAAATATCATTTCTGTGGATCTGTCCGATGGGCTGGAACGAGAGGGCTACGCGGTCCATTTGGATGCGGGTAACCACGAAAATGATTTCCAGGCTGCACAAGATGCTGGCCGGGAGACTGGTATCAATGCACCCCTGATGACTGGCTCTGTTTGCACCGATATTAACGGTGAACGTCAGAGTCCCGACAAGCGCCTTTTGAAAGCCTTGTTGGACATGGTTTCGAACCCTCTCGCCTCATCCATCCAAAATACAGTTACACGTGGCCAGCAGCAAATCCCTAGCCTTTCTTACAGGATTCGGGGCCAGGCAACCCTTGCTGACCATTGGCATGACCCTGCGTATTTTACTGGCGCATTTCCAACTTTATTTCCCCTCGGCATTGGCGGCCATCTGGACGAGCGTTCATTCGACGTCTCTTTGTCTTCCTTTGCGGAGTGGGCATTGAAGCACCATAGCAGGAGGTATGGTTTACTGAATGCTATTAATTTGTGAACTTCCGTCTCTGACCAGAGCAGGTTTGCGCGCCACAGAACCTTCATGTATCTGATATATGACGTGCTTCTGATTCGAAAATCTTCCCTCGCGAATAAATTGGTCCTTCAACGTCGGCACTGGTCAACAACCGCTGACGACATTTCTTCTCTTACTGAGGATCGACTTCGTAGTGCACTACAAGACCTAGAGATCCATCATGAAATCAAAGACCCAGCGATTTCCCGTCTGCTACATGTTATGAAAGCAATTGCCATGTGGGTCCCCGGCTCTTTCGCTCAAAAATTGAGAATGCGGTCTGAAATCCGAGGTCTCATCGTCCGGTTTGGAATGCCGGCTTTTTGGATTACCATCAACCCCTCCGATTTACGGAGTCCACTTGTCATCATCCTGGCTGGTGTTGAGTATTCCGACGATATATTGTCAGCCTCAAATTCCGCTATTCGAGGTGCGACCGCCACATCCAACCCAGTGGCGGTTGCCTCATTTTTCCATAGTGTTTGTACCGCTGTTTTGGACGGGTTGTTCGCTAGCGGACGCGATCGCATTGGGATCCTTGGGGATGTTTCAAATCATTATGGCGTGGTTGAGACCAATGGCAGAGGAATGCTGCATTTACACGCAATGGTCTGGCTCAAAGGCAACCTCTCATTTGCCAATCTGCGAAGCCGCGTTCTCGCCGACGCTGGATTTGCTACGCGTGTGCTCCACTACCTCGAAAGTGTCATCGTCCAGAGCGTTGATGAGAGTACCCTCGTTGATCCGGAAGTCAATCTGGCGCCGATAAGCCCTTCTGCTTCCGACCCAGAATCGGATCATGATTTCCACATCAGGCTAGCCGGTGATAGCAACCTCGTTGCTCGATCTAAGCAATTGCACTCCAAAAGGCACTTCGCCACCTGTTTTAAAAACCGCCCAACAGACCGGTCTAAAAACATTTGTCGCTTTGGTATGCCCCGTGAAATCGTGCCCTCGTCGAAGATCGACGATCTTGGGGTGATTCACCTGGCTCGGAATCATCCTTGGATAAATCCATGGAATCCCGCCATTGCCAGCTGTCTCCGTTCAAATCACGATATCTCCTGGATCCCCACCGTCTCAAAATCGCTGGCCCTAGTCTACTACATCACCAACTACGCCACGAAAGACGACGTTTCTCCATGGCAGTTGATAGCGAAGGGAGCACTCTTGAAGCAAGCTATTGAAAAGGCAAAGGCTGCCGACCCTCCAACTGCTAATGATCTGCGGCTTCGGGAAAGGAACATGGATAATTTCGCGCTCCGTTGCTTCAATAGTCTGGCGCACGACCGGGAAGTGAGCGGTGTTCAGGTCGCCAGCACTTTACTCCATCTCCCTAACTACTACACTGTCGACACCAAATTCGTCCGTGTCAATCTGTGGTGGCTAAGGCAGTATGTACGTGATCTTCGACGTGGGTCCAGTACAAACATTGATGATTCCGCTGGAACTGCCGACGAGCCTTGTACATTCCAGACTGGGGAGACAGCTCCAGTGAGTTTGTTCGACAACTATAAATGGCGGGGGGTCGACCTTGCTACCTTCTCATTCTTTGAGTACTGCATGCTAGTCCAAATAGGAAGGAAGCGGAGAAATCATCACGACCACTTTGACTTTGACCCGCGCCACCCGAGATGTGGCGCTTGCGTCCAGCATGTCGCCCGCTCACCGTCCCAGGTAGCCACCGTCGCATTCAGTGGACAACTCACACAGTATCAAATGGCGGAAGACTCCATCCGCGGAGGGCATCCAATGACCGATGCCATTGCGAATGATCTCGCGGAGATACTTCTCGGTCTTTTTGTTCCCTGGGACAAGCTACGCGAGAGGTTTCTTTGTGGGCCCCCTGAATCCAATGTCTTGTCACATATCTGGTCGTCGGTCAAGCCCACACTGGTGCCATATATCCAGGAATTTGCCACTAATATCGAACTTCTTCGGAAATCGAAAGATGACTGCCAAATTGACGCTAGATTACGACACTCTTTGAACGACCGCGCTGAGCTGTACGACCGTCATGTTGACAACATAGATCTGGCCGGCCATGAGCAGATAGACGCACCCGATTGTGATGATTTCATGGCGCCCGAAGATGAGCGGCTCACGGCGGAGACCTTGATCGCCGCTTACAATACAGTAACCAAGACCTGGGGCCAGGATTGTTTCATCGCAGCAAAGAGAGCACCGGTCTTGGCCACTTTCTGCCGCGCACACAATCTCACACAGATGAATCCACTTCCTTCCAGTACCCATTCTCTCCGACCTGATCATGCTTTGGATTTAGAAATCGTTGCACCCACAGTCCTGCAAGACTGGGAAAATCAACTCTCCAGCCATAAAAAGCCTTTTCAGGACGGAGACCTTTCTAATCCTACCCCACACCTGCCCGACTTTGATCTAGTAGGTGGGGATGGCATGCTGCAGCCTATACTGATCAACACAAGCACGCCTGGTGATCCACCAGTAAGGCTGGATCTCGAAAATCCGACACCAGATTCTCTCCTCAAGCTCGTCGTCAAAGATATCCCACTAAATACGAAGCAATTACTTATAGTGCGAAAGTTGTTAACTGAAATTATGGGGTGGGCTGAACATCCACGGGACTCGTCACGACGCGGACAACTACTTCTGTGTGTTACGGGCGAAGGCGGCACAGGTAAGACGCAAATACCAAAGGCTATCGAAGCCGCCCTGTGTATTCTTGGCCGGAAACACGAAATTATCCTCACAGCCCCTACGGGGGCCGCAGCAGACAATTTAGGAGGGAACACCTATCATACTTCCCTTGGTATCAATCTTTCCTATAAAGCTGCTGTGAGCACCCGCGTTCGAAGGTTATGGGCACGAAAGACCATCCTCGTGATTGACGAAATGAGCATGGTGGATCTGAAAATGCTAAGTGTGATCAACAACCAATGCAAAGTCGCTCGGTCATTGCCGAGGTCCTCTCCCGATCTCTTTGGCGGCCTTCCGATCGTGATTCTTATGGGTGATTTCTTCCAGTTCCCTCCTGTTCGCGGTCCACCATTATGGAAAAGACCAAGATATGGAGTTGACGATGATGCCGCCGGCCGACTGATTTGGCGTAGATTCGAACACGTTATTATTCTCGATGAGCAAATGAGACAATCCGAGGATCCATCGTTTCGTGGGTTCCTGACGCGCACAAGGCAAGCAGCATTGACCGAGGACGATGTTGCCCGCCTGAATTCCAAATGTATCCCCTCACTCACAGATCCAACATCAGAGGATGCCATTGTCATTGTCAAGTTAAACGCCATACGGCACCAAATCAACCGGATCCGTATTGAGAATTTCGCTCGGCGGAAGTCTCAGAGAATTTATATCTTTCCCGCCATTCACACCCGGACTAAGTCAACTGGCCCCGTGAACCTTCGGCTTCAAGCCCATGACTTGCTGCTCCAGCCAGACCACAGTGCCCAGATTCCATTCCCAGGTCTTCTTCTTTACACGAGAGATATGCCGACCGTTATGCTCACCAACGCCTGCACCCCTCTTGGTCAGGTCAACGGTGCCACAGGCACCGCAGTGGGGGTTGTTTTGGACCCGGCTGGAAAGTTTCTGCTCGACACGTAAGATCCTAAAGCATACTAATGTACTTGCACAGCCGAATTGTTTGATCTGGATGACCTTTACACGCTCTGTACAAGACCGCCTGCCTCTGTAATATTCAAACCGGATCGAATTTTGCAAACGCCTTTTGACCATCTTCCACCTTCGACTATGCCGATCTTCCCAATAGAACGTTCCATCGCAGTGAAAGGCGTGTCCGTGAGAAGGAAGCAGATCCCAATCTGCCCCGCGTTCTGTCTCACCGATTACAAAGTGCAAGGCTCGACGCTCTCTGTCGCGATCCTAGACCTAAAAAATGCCACATATCGACGAGGACAAGATTCTCACCGGAAGTACTGCTCCCTTTACGTTCAGCTTTCTAGGCTGCGGTCTTTTCAAGGTCTCCATTTACTCGAGAAAATTAGTCTTGACGATCTCCGCTTTTCGCCCGACCCCGACCTTATCGTGGAAATGGAAAGATTGCGTGCTTTGGAAGCGGAGACACTTGCGGGTTGGGCTTGAACTGCCTGTCAAAGCCTGCTTGCCCTAATACCTCACGTTTGTATTGCCACTAATGCCACGTCGTTTCAGGGCTTACAGCGTGCCCCAGCACGCGTCTTCCAGTAAACTTGGATGTACGTGCACGTTCCGCGAATGGTTTTGGCTGTTAAACTACGTATGGGTGGCCCTGCCACGCGCCCCCCTGATTCGCCCACCTTCTTGCCCTTACTTTGCTCTCTTCGGACTGGTCTGTCTTGGCTTTAGGGTTCGACGCATCTTTCTGCATCTATATGCACGTTCTCGATCTGTGATTGCTTCGTGTCCTGCTTCTTGCCCGTCCTTTTACTCCAACGCTCTGTTGCTTATGCCCACTGAATTGCCTCTGCTAGCTTACTGTTCTCCTTTGCGCTACCCACTTCCCCCATCCTTCGTATGCCAGTTCCGGAAATGCTAACCCATCAATCGTATTGTGATTGTGGTCGTCGCGTGCGTCTTTCTTCAGGTATCCAGCCACCTCGGTGCCCCAGTTGCCGGTTGGCGCGTTTGCCTCTCCTGCTAGAAACACGCCCATGCTCGCGCTGTCGCGTCCCTGCACACTTGTCTAATATTTACTGTGCGACTTGCCAGATTGCTCAATTGCCGCCGCCTTTCAATACCCCTTGTTCCCCTTGTTTGCTGCTTTACAATATCTCGTGCAGAATAATCCTTTGTACCAAGGCGTGACCATTAACCATTCAGCCGTAGACGAATGGCCTGATGATTTTGTACCCTCCGACTTGCAACAAGAGATCGTGTTTTTGGGCGAATCAGATCACCATGAACGAGCAGGGTATACAGTAGATCTACAAGAGAACAATTACGAAAATGACTGGCAAGCTGCCGAGGACAACCCGGATCACCCTACTGGGCTTTCTCTTCCAGTAACTGGTTCTGTACTCACGGACATCAATGGAGAACGCCAGAACCCTGATATTCGTCTACTCAACACGGTACATTCTCTTGTCAATGACCAGCCACCTGAAGTCCAAGGTCATTATCCTTCCTCTGGTTGTGGTGATCATCCACATCAATTTTCTGGCTCTCGGGATCCGCCTGTGATCAGATATGCCATACACGGCCAGGCCTCCCTTCTGAATCAATGGCAAGATCCTCATTATTTCACATCTGCTTTCCCAACGCTATTCCCCAATGGTGTTGGAGGCCATCTGGACCATCGTGTTATACCTGTGTCAATTGCCGCCCTTGCTGACTGGGCACTACGCCATCATACTCGAAGGTATGCGGGCCTCTAATTCTCAGCCAAGAGCAAAAGCTTAACTGTTCAGATTTGCACGCCACCGAACGTTCATGTACCTGCTTTACGATGTTATTCGGCTTCGAAATTCATGCTTGGGCAACACTCTACTCATCAAACGATCTCAATGGACGTCTGTGGCTCAGGATTTGGGCTCGCTCAATGTTGATCGCCTGCGAAAGGCGACCGAGGAACTTGCCGCGAATCAGACCACAACCGACCCGCTAGTCCGGCGACTCCTCAAAAATATAACTGCTATTGGGGTCCAAGTCCCCGGTTCCTTTTTCCAAAAACTGCAGTTGCGGGCCGAGATTCGAGGACTTCTTGTTCGAGAAGGGATGCCTGCATTCTGGTTGACGATCAACCCGTCTGACCTCCAGAATCCACTGGTTCTTGTTCTTGCTGGGGTTCAATATCCCAGTGGCCATGCAAATAGAGTAGGGATCTTACTAGTAGAGGAAGGCGAAGCTAGGCTTGAAAAAATATACCTGATTTTTGGAATTGGTAATATGGTACATACGTCGCAATGTAAGTTCCCCACTTTTTCCCAGAAGAGCTTGCTATAACGTTTATTGTACAAGACGATTGATGTTAGGACAGGTGACGTTGTCCCAAGGCACCGAGGAAAATATTGGCTTTACTGCACATACGTTTGACTTGATCTGGGTGAACTTGAATGATTGCTTAATGATTGTCAATTGTTGAACCGTTTGGATTGAACAGTTGGTAAAACTTTTTCCAGGTTACTACAAGCACTAGGTAAATCTGCTCCTTCCCTAACGACTGCTTTTCTTTTCTCGGGCCTGCCGCCAAGCCTTTAGCGCAGGCCACTTATTGATCAGGCCATACCAAGTTGAGGGCCGTCGTAAAATGCGCCGTATATGGTACTATATCTCCCTCAATAATATTATACCCAGTGACGTGAGCGTTGGTTGGTAGACATTGATGACATCAGTACTGGGTAAAGGGCATTTCACGGGGGTCGTCAACTCAACGAGGTCTAGTATATATTACTCTCCCCCTAGGATTTTTTTTCCTTTCCTATATGGTATTTTTCGAGACAATCTCGGGCTTATCGTGTTCTAGTCTCTTTTTCCAGTTATTTTGAAGATGCATCCTTTATCACTTGCAATCTTAGTGATCATTCACGCATGCACTTCTAGAGCCGGAATCTTTGAAGTCATAGATTACGATCGCCAATGTTTGATATGGTCCAACGGCAACTATGGCTGCACGGGTTACTCTGCATCTTTTGCTAAACTAGATGGAGATGAATGTTTAAGTACTTATAAACTATCGCAATTGGAACATTTGCTGCTACTAACAGTTTACTAGAGCTCAGTGAGCAACACTCTGCGCGAGGTTTTGAAATTTGCGGCACAGAAGATGGTTCACCAGTTGCTTGGATACAGGTAAACCACACGGGTCTTGTTACTTTTTCCAATGAGAATGGTGACAGCTCGAGCTGCGTTCTCAACAAGGGACTTAAAGCTGGCAGCTGGTGCATTGCATCTAAATCAGAAGTATCCACATCAAAAATGCTCTCATATTCCGCATTATCGACTGCCTTAGCTTCTGTTGCCAACAAGTCACTGTCCACCATTCGCTCTGGCGCCACTCCCTCTACCGCCACTCCCTCTACCGCCACTCCCTCTACCGCCACTCCCTCTACCGCCACTCCCTCTACCGCCACTCCTTCTACTACCACTCTATCTACCACTACTTTATCTACCGCCACAACGAAAATTGATCTTAACACTGTTCTTTGCCATGTTGTGGTTTATCCATCATCTACCATAACCACTAGCTGTTCATCCTTATGGTGAAGAATGATTAATTGAATAGGAGGCTTCACAATCGAAACTACCTATGCTTTAAGTCTAAATATCCGCTTCGAGATTCCATTTTGTTAAATACAGTAGCTACGATGCAGTACTATGGCGGAGCAGCACTTTGTATCCGAAATATCGCTAAAAGACCGCTTGCCAACGGCATTAGACAGCAATGCTTAGTTCTCTACTCCGTTTGAATGACAATTTCTATCTCTTTGGTAGTGTCTATGGCTTTTCAAGGACGAGCCAAGCTGAAACCCCACTGCAACAGAGGCGGGTCCCTAGAATGTGGCAGTCCATGATTTTGAGTTGGAGAAATCTCCGATAGTTGACACGTGAGAATCGAACCTATGATGCGGATGTACGTACCAGCCAGTATCATATTAGGAATAAGATTTGTTTTGTTTTGTTTTGTTCCTCGGGCTTTTCACGACCTTGGGTCGTATGTAGCCCCCATAGCTTGTGTGCGCTGCAATATTCAGTATGTACGCGACATTGCTGGATCCCGTAAGGCGACAGTATTCCCAGACAAAAGTAGGTGATGGTAGACGATGGTGCTCTCGGGCGATGGTGCTCTCAGTCGGTAGGACTCTCAGACGGTGGTGCCCTAGACGGTGGTACTCTAGACGACAGTAAAACCCATCCACAGAGTAGGCACTGCTCGAAAGAACCAGGGGTCGCTTGGGCAAAGGTTGCGCCAGACCTGGGCCCAGAAAGGTCGGTGCAAAATCATCTGCCACGCAACCCCTTCACAAATACGTTGCATCTATCGTGGCATAGTCCGGTAAGGAGGCCTTAGCTATTTCTGGATATCCGTCAACCGATGCGAGTTTTGAGGACCGGTGGAGATAAAGGGAACGCCGATTTGGTGAGCTTAGTCATTACGGAAATTTCTCGGACCGAGATTCAGGATACGCGGGTAGAAGATACAAGTACAATACGAACGAATGATAGTTTGGGGCAGAATAACTGGAATAGGAACCACATATCCCAGAAGAGCCCAAGAACGAGACGGGAACATGTGCAGGCCGAGGAAGAAAAACGAAATATTGAAGTCCCTCGCGGGTAGCTTCCATGGTATTCCATCAAACTTTGAATCAACTGCGCCAGTTTTCTAGAAATATGCAATACCTCGGCGCATTTTACAGCGTCTCTTAATTGAATGCAGCCAGCTCAAGGATTGATTTGCGCTGAACGCCTGGAAGTGGGGTTGGGAAGAGTTACTCACTGTTTATCGGTCAAGCTGATTTGGGGAATGACTGTATTGTGCCTAAACCGTTCTTCTTTCAATTTGTGAGGCTAGCCGCAAAGCTTGAGCCCCTGAATGGAAACGGTTAATGGACTTGATAGGTAAAAAGAAGACGGTCAGTAAGGTGTTTAAACGGAGAGAGAGTTAAACGGAGAGAGAGTTAAACGGAGAGAGAGTTAAATGGAGAGAGAGTTAAACGGAGAGAGAGTTAAACGGAGAGAGAGTTAAACGGAGAGAGAGTTAAACGGAGAGAGAGTTAAACGGAGAGAAGAGTTAAACGGTGTGGTTAAACGGTGCGGTCAAAGGGAGAGGTGGTAAACGGAGCGGTAGTTAAACAACAGCGTGCTTCAACAGCGTGCTAAAACAGCGTGCCTAAACAGGCGGGTAAATAAATGAAGAGACGAACAAACGAAGTGGTATGAATGCTGTTAATGCTCGAACAAAGTAAGGTTATTAGACTGAATTGTGATAGATTCCAGAGGTGACTAGTGAGGGCCCCTAAACCTCGAGGGGTAAACTGAAAATGAGAAAGCATTGATGGGAATACCAATAACCACGTCTAGAACAACTGATGATGGTGAGTGGCTGGGTATGCCGAGTCGGACCCAATTGAACCGGTACGACCATGAGGTATTGTTTTGAAACATACTCGTTCCAGCGATACCAGAGTGGTAATCTGTCGCGACAAATGCGAGTGGCTGTGCCAGATATTTGTGGCTGTGTAAGAGATGTGTATGATATGACAAACGAATACCAGGTTTTAGTACTGAGCTAATTACAATACTACGGTTTCTTGTCCCTTATTCACTGCACTCTCTTTCTATTGCGCGGGCTCGTCTACGAGTGCTTGAAGTCCACATGCTAAAACAGATGACGTTGTCCCAAGGCACTGAAGGAAACATTTGTTTTACTGCACGTACGTTCGATTACGACGAGGTCAGAAGCGAGAGATTTAAACGAATTCCCCTCACTTTCTAGACTGCTGTTTATGAGCCAGGCCCTTTACACTGGAGCAGATTGTGTCCAACTCGAAGGTTTTGCAAGGCCCACCAGAGGCTAGCTGGACATTTCAATATGGTCCCCCTAAATAACAATTGATGGTCCCCATAAAGCGAAAGTATCAGCTCATGAAAGACTGCTTCCTATGTTAACTTCAGAATAAAGCAAGAAGACTAGTAATGGAGGGTTCATCGTCAGCAAAACTCGGATTACGAGCACCGACCGTTCAGCACGCCTTGAAAACGAGTCACGCGAGAAGGGTTTATCAAAAAGTGCAGCGGAGAAAAGAAACTCTCTTTAAAAAAGCTTTCGAGTACTCCATTCAATGCGATGCTGATATTCAGCTTATTGTGCGGATAAGGAAGACCGGTCAGGTTTTTACCTTGACTTCCAACTCGGAAGGGTGGCCGCTCTCTGCAAAACAGCTGGTATGTTAAAACCCATGCACATTTCTATGCTTACTTATTGGTCACTAAACGAGAAAGGCCGCAAATCACCCACTTCCAATACAAAAAACGACGGAGGACCTTGCTAGGCAATACGAGAAACAGGGTATCTCCTTTAATAAAACCAAGGTCCTCAGTTCAAAATGACAGCGGCGTCCAAAGCGTCACAGACAACAGCAATACAGATGGCCTGGTATTATGATTTCTGATGCGAGAATCCAAAGTAGAAAGTGCGTGAAAGGCTTATCTCGGGAAAATTCAGATCTTGGCAGATCGTGACATGGAACATCCTCACGGCCGTAGTAGCTACGCCAGATCCAAGGTAGATCACTATCCACAGTTCCTTAGCGAATTTGCAGAGTTGTCTACACAGCATAGGTCATATGTGTCAGGGCCTTTCAGTAAATTGCATCGGGTGAATGCGTAGTCTTATAGCCACTACTGTAAAACCAGGTACAGTTGGTTGGTTGGTTGATGTCATTTACCTTGACCCCTCGCAGTAAAAGCGATATGCGGGATACAACTACTTGCTAAATAAATCTCGATTGATCCCTGAGATTGTTCCAAACTTCCTGGACAGTGAACTTTGAGCCTCACCTGGTAAAGCCTGCCGTGGTCTTGTTGCCATTTAAGGTATTGGGCTGCCCTCATAGCGCGGCTATAATGAGTTCCTAGATAAGGCGGCCAACAGTTGTCCGCGGCTGGTTGCATCTCCACTAGAAATAGTGATAATCCCGGCTGAGCTGAATTTAAGAGCCTGAACAACTACTGGGCGGCAGATGCGGTATTTGGGCGTTTTTAAGCTCAAATGGCGATGGTTTGTTGTGGAAACGGCGGCGAAAATCTTCAATTGTAAGTGTGAGGTTGGGAGGTATGGGTTGAGGTCTAATGGTCGGTGGCGGTGAAGATGTGGTAGGCTGCTGGAGAACAGAGGCGTAGGTACATTGTTGGCGTTGGGGGGTTGAGGCTGTCGTCGGGGTTGGTTGGATGGGTTGTGGAGGACAGATGGCTGGTCGCTGTGCGAGCGGTTCTGGTTCGAGCCTAATGGGTGGTAACTCGGTAGGGGTCTCGAGGTTGAGTTCCGCTTGGTTCACGGGTGTAGGAGCTGCTGGTGCCGGGTAAGTTTTGGGTCGAGAATTAGATCCGATAGCGGTGAACTAAGTAAATGGAATTGCGGAGGAGGGCGCATAGGAGTGAGGAGGTAGAGACGGTAAAAACGATTTTAGGTCAGGGCAAATAATGGTAAATATAGTAACTTGCCATAAGCAGTCCTCTTTGTGTATTTTCGATAAATCGCCGGTGGGATTTTGCTGGATGGCCTTCAGGTAAAGCAGCAAGCGATGTCGCCTACTCCAGCGCGGACTTGGTGATAGAGCCCATTCTGGGCAAGCTGATGGGGCGTGATACCAGTGAGGAGCTGGTGTTGAAATGAGATAGCTCTGGCTACGATAGTTAAGTAGGTGGTTGAGATGCGGCAAAGTGGATTCGGCGGTGGGGTGAGAGGCTGCGAACGGGCTAGGGATGATTTTGAAAGGTTTCTCGTTCCCATTAGGGCCTGGTGGATGAGACTCCATCCTTCGCCGGTTTCCATCGACCTTTTTCGATTCCGCCAGGTACCGTAAATATGCACAAGTCTTGAGAGCTTCGAGGAGATTAATGTCTTCTAGCACCGCTATCAAGTCTCCCAGGAACATGTTAGTCAGTCCACAGGAATGCAAGTTGCCTTCCTAGGAGCAACAAGTCCCCCAGGAGCGGGTAAACCTTTTCCTGGGATCTGCTAACTCCCCATGCACGCCACACTCTCAGCATTTATATTTACTAGCTTTTCAAATGGTTTGTTTCAACAGTTACGGTGAAGATCCACAACATATTGCCTTCCATTCAAAGTCAGTGAATGAAATTACCATTTATTTGTAATTATTGATCCACCTCTTAGATTCGTCCTTGATCTCAAACTCGATTTTACGCTAAGCTTGCGACACTTATTGGTGAAAAAAATGGTTGAAGTTCTCCGGTGTCCCCGGGCCTTTCCTTAACATTCACGTCAAAAAACCAGAGCGTGTAACAAAAGCAATAAAGACTGCTCGTTAAACATTATTCTGGTAATTGAATCAGCTCTAAACATGCATAGCCCCCCGACCCATAAGGGGTGTAGCGATGGCCGCATTCAGGGTGTAATTCTTGCCACTCAAATCACAGAGTCCACGTAGTGAGCTTGTTACTGGCATAATTCAATGAATGAATTTTAGAATTTGCTAAGGCTTCGTAGCTGGGGATCTATGCAATCCAGCCTTGGTGCATTTGACACACCAGAATGTTTCTCAGCTCGCGAGGTGTACCTCCGATGGCGCCAGGCATCGCTCCTTGTATTCTTGAGTTGATGATGCCGATCCAGCCTTTGGCTTCTTCGGACATTCTGGGTGCAGTTTTCACGTCGACCGGAGAAGCTTGAGTGATTTTCTTTGCTTGAGGGGCTCTTGGATTGCTTTGAGAGCCCGGAATGACGTTGTTTGACTGCGTTCAGAGTTCTTCCGGGAAATTTTTCATGGATACGGCCCCATGGCCATTTTTGGCTGTCTTTCAGATCGAGCAAACGACGATCGTCCTCAGGAGTCCACTTTTCGCGCGTGGTAATTTGTCGTGCTTGTACGGTCGTAGCTTGTCGAATAGGGTTCGCTATTGATAGGGTGCTTGTTGCAATGATACCATATGCGTGCTGCAATGTTTCAGTTGCAAGTTGGATTACCGCAAGATTTCCTTTGAGAATATCGGCATCGGCAAGATCATCAGAGAACTTGGCCTCGACAGTACTTAGGCTGTAAAAACGTTTCAGATACCTGATCGCATTCCCGAGCCCGACTAGATGATTGTCTGCATAGTCATCTTCGCTATAAGATGACGAACTTTCGGCTTCTGATTGACTCATTCGTCTTCCTCGTGACTTAGGCGCATTGATGGTAGTTGAAGCCGGGTACCGGCGTCGTTTCGGGGAGGGGTTACTTGGGTTCCCCAAGGCACGTTTTCTTCGACTTGGAGTAAATTGCATGTGATCATCTTCAAAAACATCGAAGACTCTCGTTGTTCCAGGTCCATTTAGGCCAGTCACAGATGCCGTACTACTGACTCGGGAGGAAGGATAAAGTGCAACCTCTTCGGGGTATCCGGGGTAATTATCGGCGGCTGGTGCATCATCGGGATAAGCGTCAGGCGCAACAGGTCGAGAGAGCCGGCCAGTCTCCGATGCTGGGGATAACGTGTCAATATAAACGCCTTGGAGCAAATCGTTGAAGATGTAACTTACAGGAGTTCATTACTCTGCCTTCTTCTACTGGCACATTGTTCTTCGGGCTGTAGCCGCCTGCTTCGCAGCTTTCTCTTGACGTATTCAGCTGCTCTGTTATAACAATGGTCCGAGTTTCCGTATCAACCGAAGAGCACCTTTGCGGGGAATTCGGTGTTGGCTGCCAGAACTTTTGATGGTTCAGCGTTACCATGGTGAACGCAAGGATCTTACGAGGAGAGTTGAAGGGGGAGATGGCGAAATTGGAGTTAACACGATGTAGGGGGAAAGCCGCATGAAAGTGACCCTTGGACTTTTTATATTCCAGGCGTCTTCGCCCCCGTTGCACTATGAAGCGAAATGTAAGAAGATCGGCAAAGTTTTCGGTCCAATAACTAATGCAGCATGGTAATGAGACTACATGTGTGATCGGCACAGCTTCTCGACCCTTTGCGGCGGCCAATTGAACCCCGTTCTATCTCGTAGTGGGTAGACTGGAAGAAGCCTTCCCAGGAACGCTAACATGATATGGACTGTGTGGGGGACTTCTTTTCGGATTTATACTCGGGCCGATGGTTGATGTCTCCGCTTTTCGTAGCACGGCGTATCGATGCAGTCGATGCCCATGACAGGGAACCTGAGAATATTTGCCCAATGGAGGCAGTGTTTGATGTTCCTGGGATCGAGCCAGCCCCGGACATAGAGATTCGAAGGCAATGAGGGCATTTGTGTTAGAGTCTATTGGATGGACGGCGGGATGGAGCCTGCATTGTGAAGGAAAGAGTAGATGATGGGATATCTAACATCTCATACAAGTTGAAAGTCTGGTTGATGAGCTGAAAGTTCGAAGACCAAGCCGAAATTTACTATAGCACCGCGAAAATACGTCATTTCCTAGCTCCGCTCCCAGGAGCACGAGTAGGCAGCAGTGCGGTTATTGTCGGAGCATGTGAAAGAACGGAGAGGTAGAATGAGATCGAATGGGCCGGTCGGCCTGAGCATTGGGGTGAGCGATCAGGCTGCTCAGGGAGTAAATCAGGGTCGCTCAGGGAGCAGCTCAGGTTGCTCAGGGAGCAGCTCAGGGCGGCGGGGTGACTAACTCACCCTGTGCTCCGGGAGCCGATCACTTCCCGAGGCGGCAGTTTTACCGTCACCATTACTACAGACAAAGTTTAGTGGCGCCAGAAAGAATCTGCTCTCAAGTGAACGATCATTAATAATAACACCTACTAAGGTATATGCGACTCATGTTGGTCGAGGCTAAGAGGCAGGCTTCATCTATTGCTGTAAAGACTCAGGGGTGTCTTTTTTCTGAATTCAATCTCAAGTAATGATCTATGTTATTCGAGCTCGTATATAATTGACACAGAAAGCAGGGACTTAGCCCTCCCCCTCCAAAAATCAGACCAAGTAAGATACTTCTCAGTGGTGGTTCGTCGGCAGTACTCCCTAGCGCCAATATAGCAGTAGAGAACGAGAAATCAATTCCACGTAATCATGGTCCTTTATCAATTTCTGAGTTTATACTAGCCCCCCTATTACAGTGGCCCCCACGTTACAATCCCCCTCCCCCTCCCCAGTTACCGAAATCTTGGCATTACTTTCATACATATTAGTGGTAATACAATTTCAACGCCATGCTTAATAAAGTAATGAAACATCTAATTAACAGGAGTGCCATCCTTTCCGGTCATCTCATCAACATCTAAACTTCAACCTCTTTTCTTCCCCTCTTCTGACCTTCTCCCTTCCTACTCTTGAGTTTATTCCCATAGTACTGAAATGGAATCTCCCATACCGATCAAACAACTTATCGCCATCCGTCCGGAACACATTGCTTCATCGACCACAACAATTCAGGTGAAGCAACATAGCGCGAGCTGGTCCAGCGGCAACTTCACAATTTCAAGCACACCAACCGTTGAAAAACCTCTTTCAAACAAACTTTTTGGCGTCGACGGTGATTTTGCGTCATGGTCTCAGCGACGACATTTTGGAAGTATTCAGGGCAAAAAATCGTGGCGAGGAACTTGTTTGATGTTGAACATAAGATGACCGATATCTCAAAAAACCTGTCACGTAACCTTTTCATATGTGGTCACACTTCATCAGGTTTCTCTTCCCGGCCTGCTTCCGGAGTAGGCTTCACGAAGTCTGCTTCCAGAACAGCAGATACACCAAAGACCATGGCAATAACCATGGAGATGATCTCTTCCAGCACAGACATGCACAAGTAAGCAGTGAGGCTGGTGTGGTTGTTCTCGGCCAATGATTCCATCGAAAAGGTCTTGTTAGAGGTGTAATCACCCAGGGCCGAGAAGATCAAGCGAACCAATAGGAAGGGAGCAGACAATGCAGTACCAAGGAATAACTTCTTCTGATACCTCAGCATTGTGAAGGAGTGTGTATAGAAAAGCCAAGTGGTAAGGAGCATGGTTATCACGTATACAGCGAGAAAGAGGCCCATAGCTGCTTTGGAGAGCGTGCCTGGAGTGTAGCCATTTGTCGTATCGGCAGTACTGACTCCGATTATACCAATCATTAGGCCGGCAAAGGCCATAAGAGTCACCAATAGAAGAAGAAGAGGGGGAATCGATTTCTTCAAATCACTAGATAGAAAACTGTTAGACCACATGCATCAGGCTGAAGAGCCTCGCCATCACCGACTCACATTAATCTCAGCATTCCGACATAAGCCAGCAACAGAGGCGCAATGCCAATGAGCTGACACACGAATATGGCAATTCTGACCTTTGTCGTTTCATGATTGATTGAATACAATGTAGCAATACTGCCAGCAAGTCGAATAAGAGAGAGAGTAAAGGGATATCGCCAGATCTTGGAGCCGACTCTCCAGCCAGTCCGTTTCCAGATGAAAAGGGACGCGACGAGAATGAAAGGAAAAACGATGAGCTGAAGGATAGCTATACCATCTTCATAGGTAATGGCACCCATTATATGCTCTATAGGGAGGGGTAGTACAAGACGAAATCGTATGAGAGGTTTGAAAAAGATACTGGTTGGAGGAGGAAAGAAAGAATTTAGCGTTTTGTGCTCCCCTTGACAGCGGAAATTGGGCTCCTTTATGTGTCTTTTCAAACACACAGTAATGATTCTCCCACTGCCTCCCTTATAGAACGTCACCAAGCCACAACTTCAAATCCGAGCCTTGACTGGTTCTGCATCTGAGATACCCAAAAGGGACTAGCGTGGGCAGGTATTCATCAGAGGCTGGGCAGCCAATCACCGCGCTCAATCTTCAGCCCCAAGTGTTTGCGGCCCAAAAGCGGCTTCTTGGATGCCCCGCTAGGTATAGCAGTGCAGATCACCTCGAGCTAGTGCGTGCTTCGTCACACAGCCTCGCAGTGGGGGCCATTGGGGGCCATTTTGGGTTTCAAGAAGTTTTTTACACCGGTCTCACGTTGGCGCCGGGGCTGCCAAGAGAGTGAAAGCTTGTAACACTCAAAGTGGCAGTGTGCAGTAGCTCGTTTCCGAGGTCAATCCAACCGCCTTGAGCTGACTTCAGCTCGGTTGATGAATGGAAGTCTCCAGTTAGCAACCCTCTCTTCGTTGTCTTGCCCTCGTCCCTGATCACTCATCTACGTATTCTTTAATATGTCCAAATCCAATGCGCCTTGCGCAAGAACATCTAGAAGTTGCGAGAATTGCCGCACTATAAAGCGACGCGTGGGCCTTTCCTTCTTATCTTAGTGGTGTCGGCACTAACGTGGCGAAATAGTGCGACAAGCAGTTTCCCCAATGTGGTCAGTGCATTCGCGCGCATGAAACTTGCGTTGGTTACCGTGATACATGGGACTTAGTCTTCCGTGACCAGACAAACCACACCATTCAACGGTTCAGGAAGATCCGAAAAACGGATAGGGTCGCGACTGGGGGTATCCTATTGGCCCCAGACCCAAGTCTCGACGAGATAGGCGTGAACTATTTCCTACAAGAATTTGTCGCCGGTGGCCGTGTCCCCTCATGCGGATATCTCAACTATATCCCGACCGCATATTCAGCCGATGCTGAGCATCCGACCGTTATTGCCAGTATGGCGGCCGTGGGCCTCCTGGCTTTGGCAACTTGTCAGCCCGAGCTTGCCCGTCATGCACGTGCCAAGTACTCCGAAGCGATCAACCATGTGAACAATGCCTTGGCATCCCCCGTTGAGTCAGTTAAGGACAGCACTTTGATGTCAGTGATCTCGCTTGGGGTTTTTGAGCATGTCTCAAACCTTGAGTCGTGGGCTCAACATGTCAAAGGAGCTGCAGCGCTTGTGATTGCACGAGGTGAATCTCAATTTTCCCGTAGGCCTGCCATTTTGATGTTCAACCAGGTACGCGCGGATATGTCGGCTGTCTGTATTCAATGCCTTCAGCCTTTTCCGGATGACATGTGTGAGCTGCAGGAGAAGGCAACCAAGTATACAAGCTCCTCGGATGCATGCTGGTTACTCGGAGTCCTTGCCTCACGGTGTGCAACCCTTTTCGCCTCCGTCGCAGCCAAGCATAATGGCATCCGTTTTCCTAGACATATGTCTTGGCTTTACTTCCTAGAAGTATCAGTTACGCTTCAGGACGACTTCCAATCTGTTCTTGATATCCTCGCTATCCAAGAACCGTACACAACTATCCAGGAGCCCTGTGGGAGCACGGAGTTCATACCTTGTAATGGTCGATATAGCCTATACAAAACGTCATGGGCAATCAGGCTTTGGAACAACTCGCGAATGGTTGAAATCATCGTTTGCGAGATTATATGCTGGCTCATAAATAAGATCCTTGCCGAGGATCCGACTTATTTCGCTGAGGGCCGCTTGAATCTTATATCAAGGCTGCAGTACGCAATGCAAATTATTTCAAGACGGATAGAAGATATACTGGCCAGCATCCCACAGGGTTTAGGCCTTGTATCGTTCCCCGATGCAATTAAACCCCAAAAACCGAACGTGTCGGGCGGGTATATGCTGATATGGAATTTGTATACTGTCGGAAAATCTCCCATTGTCAGTTATGAAAATCGCCTATGGGTCATCAAGCAACTACAGGGCATCAGTGAGAGTGCGAATATTGCAGTAGCGTCTCAGCTTGCGGAGGATCTTGTTACAATTGGACAAACGTGATGGCCGTCGCCTCTGCACACTTTGAAGGGTCCAAGCAGACCCTCTCGAAGATCATCTTTGAAGGATTACTTGACTTCGACGAGGTGGCATTTAGTCTTTGCTATGTGATTTTTTACTTTGGTGGTTATTATGCTCTGCCGCTGCATGTTGATCCGCATGATTGTAGGCTTGGCAACAGATCCAACCAGGGAAGGTGCCAACCTTCTACTCTTACCCAGGATCTTTGTATCCATTTAGCCTTCCCCGTACGTATGGAGACTTTCTGATATCTGGCCTTCGAATTCCCACTGTCGTTTAGACACGATGCCTTTTCCAATCTACCAAATGGCCTACTGTCCCACATGAGGAAACGCGAGACTACATTAGCTAGGCGTATAATTTAGTACAGACTGGTGCTGCAATATAGGCTAGTTATAGATATAATGCTGTTCTTTTAGGTTCTTATAGGCTATTGTGGCGTGATATCGAACTGGAGAATTTTGGAGAATTGAATACATGTTGCGGCCGATCTCAGTCATAATCAGATGATTCAAGAGCGAATCTCTCCGTCCGTATCCTTATAATCATAGAATCCATGGCCGCTCTTTACGCCTAGGCCTCCCTTCTTGATCATCTTTCGGAGATAATCTCGCGGCTCAATCGGGACCCCGCTTCGTGTGTTAGCGTAGTGGTTCTCGATATCAAGTACGACATCCAAACCAACAACGTCCATCATCTCACACGGCCCCTTTGGAGATTTCAAGACATCTTTGAAAATCGCATCGACTTCCTGGGGCGTGCATACGCCCTCAGAGAGTGCGAGCAGGGTTTCTCGCTTGATCGCAGCCCAGATTCTTCGCAGGTTAATTGTTAGCGCTAAGAATTCCAAGACGGCAAATGGCCTGGCATAACTGTACCTATTGTAGATGTAACCAATCGAATTTTGTCTCACATGAAATGGAGAGAATCCATGGACTCTGCATTGGTCCAATACCAGTGAGATGAGCGACTCATCGGTCTCGTCGTGACCCATGATCTCGATAGCTGTCGGGATTGAACATGTCAGCTCAATGCCACAGGATCAAGTTTGCACATACCCGTCGTCTCCGGAGGCCAGTCTTGATTTGTGTCAGCAATAATATCATTTAGAACTGGGGACTCTTTCCACATACAGCAGTGCGCACTCAAAACTCGATTCTTGTGCTTCAAGTTGAGTCCAACGAGAATCTCACCGATTCCATAGCTGCTGGAATTCGAGGCAATTACCACCTTCTCTGGAGCAAGGTAATCGATCTGGGTAATGACCTCTTGCTTAAGCGGCAGTCTCTCGGGCACGCACTATCTTCATTTAGCGATGGCCATGATACTCTCTCGGTCCACATACCTCGATGACTAGCCACGCATCTTTCAGCACGGATCCCAGCGAGGACGGGTGAGAAATCCTAACCTCGCCCCAAGACCCCGGAAGGTCATTCGCTTCCGTTCGCAGTTTCTGTACGTACTTTAACCCATCCTTGAGTTGTTGCTCTTGGAGATCAATAAGAGAAACGGGTCCTCCCCTTCTTGACCACTGAGCGGCCGAGAGTTGATTGATCAGTATTTGAAAATCCGGAGATCAAAATAGAGTGAACATTGATTTTACCATATAAGCCAGCCGTCTCCCCTGAGTCCCGGCACCGATGATCACCACCGACCCTTCGGGATGATGCCTATCGCCATTCATGTTGCCGTTCATGTTGCCGTTCATGTTGCCGTTCATTTTTCAAGTTGCCCCGTTCCGTGCTTGAAAGATAATGCTGCAAGTTATCAATTGTGCTCTCAATATGACTTATCAAGAAGGGGCAATGATGGTAGTTATAGCGGAGATTCGGGCAGTGACCTCGGTTCCCACCTTGGAAGGTGACCGATCGCTAAAAATGGGCACTGATCCATCGCCGTAGGATCTTCATATCACAGTGATAGTCGAATGACGTCCAGTCAATAGCTCAGGCCTATACGTCCTCTCGGTTCCGAAGGCAAATGATTGCCGTTGTTGATTTGGACAAATCCATGGACCCTGCTCCACATCGGATCCGAGGTGGGGTGTGCGCAAACCTTAGCAGGGGGAACCACAATTGCCGGTAGCCCCCCTTTCCCCGCTGAAACTGGATTGTTGCATCATGGAGTCATGGGGTACACTGAATATCTCAAGTTGTGTGGTATATTGCGCGAGATGAGATGTACGTATGATCTTTCGAGTCGGCAAAAAGCGACGAAATTAAAAGGCGACGCGGACATCTGGAGGCACTGGCCTTGGAAAGTCGACAGACTATGAACAGGCAGAATTCATATTATAGAGTTATGATTGTGCATATCGTAAACTTTTGCTGAATGCAATAGGATCAATTGACTTCACATTAATCCTACTGTGGCATATTTCATATTGTAATTGTGAAAGTTCCAAAAAAGCTTCGTATTAAACATTTCAATCAAATACACAGGAATCCAGAAAGCACCAGCCGTAGGAAGCGATCGGTACCGAACACCCTTGCATTAAACTCCCAGTGATCTGAAATATTTTTGTCCAGCCATCAAACCTCGACATGAACAGCGTCCGCACTCTTTCCTTCGCTATCGATTTCCCCCTTCTCCTCCCGAAGAAACGCACTGTAGTCGCGCCTGGGCAGCTTGTTGGCTACAGACACGGCATCGAAAATCGAAGTTGTGGCCTCGAAGACTGTATCAATCTCTTCAAGCGAGCGACCAGCTGTCTCCGGGAAGAAAAAGTAGATTGTGGGCACGAAAGCCGCGTTCAGGCAGCAGTAGACAATGAAATACTTCCAGCCAATGTCGGTAAACGCCACGGGGGTGACCTCGGCGACCAGGAAGTTGAAAAGCCAGGAGACTGCGGTGGAGAGACCACACGTGGCTGCCCGAAGATGCGTTGGGGCGATCTCTGAGGCATAGAGGAAAGGCAGCCCCAAGAAGCCGAGAACGTAGACGAAGAAGTAGAGATATAGAAAGAACACAGCCGCCTTCAATGCAGCCGAATTAGTTGCTTGTGACGTCAGACCTGCAAGGCAAGCAAAACATATCGACATGCCCGAGGCGCTGAGGATCATGAGCTTTCGACGACCAAAGCGATCTACGGTATATGAGCAGCAGAAAGCCCCGAGCACCATGACAAGCTGCGATGCTGCGGCCAGAATTGCTGAAGTCGTATGACTGAAGTGGAGCTGCTCCTGGTAGATACTTGGGGCGTAGTATGCAATGGAATTGACGCCGGTCATTTGCAAGAAAATCTGAGCGACAGCGGCAAGAACCACGCGGTGGAAGGTCCTTTGGGGACCCATCTTGAACATAGCACCTATGTTTGTTTTGCGGGCGCGTTCCAGGGAAATTTGGATGCTTTCAATCTCTTTGTTGACCGTCTCGCCGTGGGGCTCGACATCGTAGAGGAGCCCCAGAATCTCTCTGGCCTCCTCCCAGCGATTCACCTTGCAGAGCCAGCGAGGGCTCTCGGGCAAGAAAAAGATAAACGAGCACACCAGGATCGATAGAAACAGAGTGAATATCAGTGTAAATCGCCATGAGACAGAGCTGGGCTGTGTATAGGACATGCCAAAGGCAATCCACAGGGCCAAAGCAAGCCCCGAGCCGCAGAAGATTCCAAAAGCAGAAACGTGCTCACCCCGATTCTCAGCTTTGGAGACTTCTGACTGCCAGACCGAGACTGTTGCAATGATACCGCCCGTGCCCAGACCGAGCACAATTCTTCCCACGATAAACTGGCCGAAGGCAAAGGAGGAAGCTTGGAGAATAGCGCCAATACCCTGGACAACGCTGGCGAAAAAGATGGTCTTTCGACGACCTAGTCGATCCCCAAGGAAAGTGCATCCAAGAGCACCAAAGACACCGAACAAAGTATACAAGGCGACAACGGTTCCTGGCTCGATCAGAATTGTCTTGTTTGAGGCTTCTTCGCCGTAGACTCACCTTGGATCCTGGCATTGTATTTCTGGAGAGATCCAGTGGTGGAAATAGTATTCATTCTGGGGAACTGAAGACTGAAGGTCGGATCACCAAGCACGCCACCGGCACTGGCCTGATTGTAGCCGAAGATGACGACGGCGAAGCAGGCCTCCATCCAAATGGCCAAGTGCAGCTTTGAGCCGCGTAGGCCGAAAAAACGCGCCATGTTGAAGGTGAAAACAATTCTGTTTGGGAACAGACCCGGAATCAGGATGGTGAACATCCAGAGCAAGCAAACCAGTCCATTTAAAGATGATCGAAGCCGACCAGACCGCGCTCCCTGAAGGTCGGGATCCAGCACCTATCATGACCTGCCCGACCTGAGCATCCAATGCGATGCTTAGCCATATCGACTCCACACGCTTGGTCCCCGCATTTCCTCAAACTGGGCAAAGTTTGTCCGAGCTCCCCCGGATCCGACTCCAGATGTGACTGTGGCGGTCAAGCAGTGGCGGTATTGGGAGAGGGGGGCGATTTTCGGATCCGAACCTCAGTTTTGAAGGGAGAGCAGCACTTGTGATTTGTAATGCTCTAATAGATACAAATGAGCCGCCGACTTCTCGAGAAGCGCTACGACCGATGCGGTATGAGTGTGCTGATTAGCATCGGATCCGAGAGCATGGACCCCTGGATCCAAATCCCGAGAATCTGCGTAGAAGCGAGGTGGGGGATCACGCAGGCATTTTCGAAAACTGTTGGAAGCAATATCTACAGTAGGATCATATCCCTTTCTTAATGAGCTATGAGGACCAAGAGATGAGGTATGGCTCTTGTTAGGGCCTGACTAAGGAATATCCCCCTTTTGCTTCTTTTCTCCAACGGTCAATTTGGGTTAGATGTCGTATCAAAGCTCAGCCACTTCGCCCTACACTGCCATCTTTTGGTAGTCCAAACAAAATGAAATTGAGGCTTTGTGCCGTTCAAATGTTGAGCCGCGTGACTCGAATGAGGAGGGATGCCGTACCCAAGCGAACAAAATACTAGTTGACAAAAGGCACTACCCACCTTCCAAATGGCCCATTGGATTGGTAGGTGCTAAGCCTTCGGCAATCGTGAAGCCGGGAACCCGAAATGATCTAAACCCCTCATTTGCCGTGGTTCGTATTCGGCTGCGAAACGCGGGGGTTGGCCCACCGAAATCGATTTTATCCTATCTCTCGGACCCGCACTCTTCGACGTGCACTGTTGGATGGCGCTATCACGATGCATAGCGATCTTGCCCCCCGTCGAAAACAATTCTCTAGCTGCGATGCTTGCCGAAACTCGCGTGTTGGCTGTGATGCTTTCAGAAAGCGCACCAAGTCAGGGCAAGTGATAGAAGCTTGCAGCCGCTGTGCATATCGGAACAAAAACTGCAGCTTTCAGGTATTGCCTACCCTTTCTCTCTTTTATGGCTCCCAGTATCGTCTTCGAAATATATGGCTGACCTCAGCGCCGCGTCCTAGTGGATGAAAAATGCTTCTGTCAAGGCTAATAGGTCGTCTGTCTCCTCGAATGACCAGGGCCAGCTTTTATCGCCTTCATCATCAAATAACACCAACTCAAACGCCCCATATGAGCTGGGATCACGGCGTCATAGTATATCGCTAGATGATTTAATGGACGGGTAAGCTCATCGTGTTCCTTATTTGGTAGTTGAATGCCTCCTAACAATATATTCCAGAAATACTGAGTATTCTCGGACTGAAAATGGTTGGAATGTAGCGACGGAACCTCGAGTATACTCTCCTCTAGGCTCTGAATCTTTTGACTGGCTATTAGCTATGTATGAAGGTGTCTTTGAAGCAGTCTTCGGTTCCTGGCTGGGGAATTACAGCTGCCCATTTGCGTAAGTAGTTAGATTGAGTATGATCTTCCCAAAGCTTACTCACATTGTGACAGATTCGGTGAATCAGGCAATTCAACGACCGGTAATCCCGATCTATCTCTATCTGTCAGCATTTCGTCTCTCTGTAGACGGTTCGACCGGTTGATGAAAGGCTTGGAGAAAGAAGGCCAAGCTGACCTCCATCTTCCGCCACTTAATCAAGCCGAGTTAACAAAAGAATGGCAAATTGACAACACCTTGAGCCAAGCAATCCAAGCATTTTCTGCGCAATGGCTACCCTTAACTTTTATTTCAACCTCGCAAAAGACCCAACAACTGCCGATCATTCAGCGTCTCTGGCGAGACTTACGAAAGAGCCTTCCTAGGTCAATGAATAGACCATGTTATCGGTCTATGCTGAGCTTGTATCTATACGCGATGGTTCCAGTGCCAGTTGGAATACCAGAAGAAGAGGAAGAAAATGGTGTACCCGCCCAAGTCTGCGTCCAGGCTGCCTTGCAGCAAGTGCGATATCTTCGGGCCCGTCAGAGAAGCCTAGAATTCAATGGCTCGAAAGTTTCTTTGCTATCAGATCAGACACCTCCCATCTCTACTCCAGAACAGGTCCGGAGCGACTTCATGAAGATTGAGAACATGATCTACTGGGCCGCGATGACGTTTGACACCTCGTCATCACTGACACTCAACACGACATCTGTTCTCTCCGCTGGCTTGTTAGGCTGGGAGTCAGAAGCATGCTGGAGCCTAGTCAAGACTTGCACAAACATATTCCACGAACAGTCTGAAGACTGGAGAGCCCATGGGGTGCTGATCACCGAAGACACAGCAAATCAAATCATCGCGGCTGCCCAAGCATGGAAGCTTCGCATTTGGAAAATGGGCACGATCCTCAAGGAGGCGCTCCGAGAGGGTCATGGCGAGGAAGCGGTACACCATGCACATACCTGTGTAGCGGACGCCATCCAAACATTCAATGTCACCTACCGCCCACTCCTCGCTGCATGCGAGCGTCGGCTTCAGTACTTGTCTCAATATACAAAGCTTCGCTGGTGTAAGTTCGCTTTACTGGTGTTCGAGAACGCCTTGTAAACCCCTCCCGATGACCAAAGTACTAATCACCGTTCTGAGAATAGACGAGTTAATGGTACACCACAGCCTTGCCATTCTCATCACAATCGACGCTGTTGAAATTGCCTCGAGGACTGATATACTGGAGGAATTGCTCATCACAAGGTCCGACACGGAAGGTTGCTTGCTCAACTGCTTGAAGTTCGGACTGAGCAATTACTTTACCATACCCAAGAACCAGGTCGGCGAAGGCAATGTCGGCCCGTTTGCATTAGTTGCCGTTGATCCTTACCCACATCACGTAGTGGCTGGTGTCCAGCTGCTATGGAAAAGGTTAGAACAGGACTTCCATGATGGGAAAGTTGATCAGGCTGCGTATGGAGATATGCAGTCCACTTTGTTACAAATCCTGGAACTGCTGCCACAAACTTCAAAGTCGGTGCGTAAGGCCACAGAGCAGGCTCGAATGGCTTTGACGTCTCATAATTAGCTGCTGGGGCTGGTCCACCACTTGTATGTATACTCTTATTGCCAACATTGCTACCATGTCAAATGCCATCGCAGATTCATGTCGCACCGCGACTGTTTTTAAAACTGTATGCGTAATGCGAGTAGCAAATTTACAGTATTATGTTGTTGTGGGGAAGAAATTGAATGCTTCACTGGCTAGCATGAAAAGCGCCTCATCGATTTGAAAGCTCACATGAAGCGATGTCATCTCATATAACACAGAACCATTATGTCTCCGAGAATCAGGCTCCGATCAAAAGATAATGTTCTTTCCGTTGACAAACTGTTGAATTGTCCGTTTCCGGCTACTCAAATAGTGTACCTAAATCCCTCCACTCCTGCAATTATACGCTCTCCGCGATCCGCTTGTTCATTGCAACGCCGGTACCAAAATGCCAGCGACACAACAACGAGTAAGAAAAGCACGTTAGCCCTAGTTGATATTTAGAATTGAATGACAATAGCAGGGCTTTAGTTAGTGCCTAAAGAGGGTATCACGTACCCAAGAGCAGTGAACACACCCGGCCTGTATTGAGGTGCACCCTTTTCGAAGACCAAGCTGGCAATAATACCGCCTATACCATCAAAGGCAATCAATGTGGCGCTGGAAAATGCCCGAGTCCATTGGCCTCGAACGTTGTTAGCCTGCCATGCCATGCAAGCGGGCACATTTGCATTGGCTCCTGCAACGGTCAAAAAGACACCGACGTATCGAGCTGAGTTGGGTTTCAAAAGCCCCATCATGGGTAGACCGATCAGTGAAAGGCATACATTGAATAGCAGAATTGGGACACGTCGTTTGATTTTATCACCCACCCATGCCGTCGTAAACATCATTAGAGCGGCGAATACCCATGGCGGTGCTGTGAGGCATTGAGCTTCTCCGACACCAAACCCCATTCCATCGGAAAGAATGATGGGGAGGAAATATGCCATGGCATACGTATTGATAGTCAAGCAGCTATTCCGTCAATTGGAACCGGTTAGCAAAGATCTAGCTGAGCCAAGGTTTGGGATTATCACCAGAACATAATTGCATATGCCCATATTTTGATATCGAGCGCTGGCTTCAGGAATCTTCGAAGCGTAAACTCCTCTGCTTCAGCATCTAGTCGGTCATAATTGATCCGGTGGACGACAAATTCACATTCCTCCTCAGTAAGGAACTTCCAACCCCGTGAGGCTTTGTCAGGGAAATCGACAATCAGAATATACACAAGAAAACCGAGCCCAATGGTGATCTGATTGGTTAGATTTCATTTGTTTCCGAAACCGAGAGTCGACTTACCACTCCTTCCAGAATGAAAATCCAACGCCATCCCGCAATTCCGTGAGTGCCATTCATTTTTGTCAATCCAAAGGCAAGAATTCCCGCTAGAGCTGATGCCACGCAGCCCACACCGTAGAACACCGCAAAGCGCTTCTGGACCTCGTCTGTTTGACTCACACGAATCAGAAATCACACAAAAGGTATACATTGGCAATGTAGACATATACATACATCGCATATACCAGCAGGAGAGAAGATACATGCACCCTGGGAAATATCCAGCCGCAAAGACTCCGAGGAGGATTCGTATGGCGAGAATCTCTTCCCATCTCTTAGCGAATCCCATTCCCTATAGAGATAATTAGTGACAAACAAACTCAAAATACAATCAAAAAAACTCACCAACATCAGAACACCCCAACAGAAGATCATGAGCGAAAGAAAAAATGGAGGGCCCATTTTCCGGATCAGGACGGTGGCGGGTGGCTGGAAGACCACGTACGTGATGAAGAACATCAGAACCACGAGCGACTTGACGAAGTTTGTTAGTGATGGGCTTGAAAATTGAAAATCCCAAAAATTATGTCTAAGCTCACGTAGCGAGGTCCGTCAAAGTCGAGGTCTGTGAGCATGCTTTTCGATCGGTGAGCTGGTAAACACATGAAGAAGTGGTGATATGCATTGCTCACCCTCCAATGGCTGCCATTCCAACATTACCACGGTCCATCAAATTCACAGAATATCCCAAAGCTGCGCCTACGATCAGCCTCAGATCCACTTTCCTCATGATCTGCTTCTCGCGGTGGGATAGTGGATGCCCATCGTCGGTGGAACCCTTGACGGGATCGGTCGCTTCGGCGGTAAGCTTCGACATAGTGGATCCAGAGAATAAAAATAAACAAGCTATATCGGTCGACTGACGAGTAGAATCCGTGAATATCAGAAGTTCTAGAAGGGTGACCTCCGAAGAGTCTCTGGACAGGCGCAGATCATATATACGTCTCAATGGCACTTCCTACAAAGCCATATCGCTTCAAATGTAGAAAGGTGAATCTCCAAGGAGGGGTTTCCTCAGGCACTTTGCATAAGTCAATTAGACACTCTAATTTACATCGGATCCGAAAAGCTTATTTGGGACCTTTGACATGGGCACATGATTCCTAACAAGTCTCAAGTGCTGTTTTAACAAAGGGATTAATCAAGGCTATACGAGCCTTGGCCTGGTCTGTGTAGGAGAAAATATCCTAGACCAAAGCAACTTATTATTATAGAAATTACTTGAGAGGTTCAAGGGTTGGAGATTTAGGCTGAGTCGCACCGGATCCGACGCACGCCGGCCTCTTGACCCCGGGGAATTTTAGTAGAAAATATACCAGCATTAAGCCACAAGGCTGGAGCTAAGGAATATCTAGAAATAGGTCTTATTCCAGATAATTGGGCCAATGCAACGGCATATACCTCAAGTGCCGGTTAAACCCCCGTCCTATTAGAAAGAATCGTGTTGGGTCCAATTTATTTTGTGCTTCAACTGACATGTTTGGTTGCTTTATGTCGACTGGACATCAGGAGCCAGGGCGTCATCTACAGTCTGCTTCTAAACAAATGAACATTCGGCAAGCCATAAGTGCTTATTCTAACGGACTAGCGTTACTTTCTACGTTCACCTGAAAAGCTGGATCGGATCCGACTCTTTTCTTCACACGGTCTGTCTACCTTCTACCCCGCACGCCACTTTTAAAATGCGGGTTACGCACAGGCACCGCTCTAGCCCTTGTCCGACGAGGCGAGGCTTCGTGCGAAGACTTAACAAATCGCTGTGCTCAAGGACAGCACATCTATGAAGGTTTTGCTTATTGTGGCTTTTGGCAGCTGGCCGATGTATCCTTACGATGATACCTTTTTGATCTATGAACACTTGTGAGACTGCCCTTCTCATATAAAGGTCACAATGTTTCCTGAAGAACCTCGGTTTCCAAGCTGTCAAGAATCACAACTCGTTAAATATAATTGAATTTGATCTTGAATAATCGCCATGACCAATTGGGCTCCTTTGGTCGTGCTCGGTGCAGTCATTACAATTACTGTAGAGGCAGCATCAGCTCTTTGTGCCTACAATGTTGACTCCTCTGCAGTCTCCGTGTCTGGTCTATCCAGCGGCGGCTTCATGTCCGCACAGCTCGGTGTGGCATATTCAAATGTCTTTCAGGTCGGATTTGGTGTTTTCGCTGGTGGCCCTTTTGATTGTGCCCGTAATCAGGCTGTAAGTTGAACCTACACATAACTGAATCAAAAAACCTCAACAATGATTTACTAATGCTATATCGTACAGTATACAACCTGCATGTACAATCAAAATCCCTCCATTACCACGCCGACTGCCAACATGAAGTCGTGGAGCGGTGATGAGATTGCCACGACGAGCAACTTGGCAAATCGCAAGATTTACCTTTGGGAAGGGTCCGCAGACACCACCGTCGGCCCTAACGTGATGAATGCGTTGCATACCCAGCTCAGCAGTTTCGATGTTTCGGCTGATGTATCGTACGTGACGACAAGCGGTGCCGTGCACACCTTCCCCACTGATTTCGACGGCTCAGGCGACAACTCCTGCAGTATGTCCACTTCTCCCTATATCAGTAACTGTGACTATGATGGTGCTGGAGCAGTCTTACAATGGATGTATGGCTCCTTGAATGCCAGGAACACCGGCACCCTCACCGGTAGCGTCGTTTCCTTTGCCCAGACGGGTGAATACGGTGCCGCTGGCATGGACACAACCGGCTATCTTTACGTTCCTGCCAACTGTCAGAGTGGCTCCACAGTCTGCAAACTGCATGTTGCCCTACATGGATGCTTGCAGAGCTATAGCAATATCCAGATGGACTTTATTCAGAATACAGGTTACAACATGTGGGCGGGTAGGAGCAAACACCCTGGTAACTTCGATGCCATCTGGCTGACCTATTTCATTCCCCAGATACTAACAACATCATCATCCTCTACCCTCAAGCAATCCCTGACAATACTATGCACAGCATCTGGGGAGGCAGTGAGCTAAGCAACCCGAACGGCTGCTGGGATTGGGTGGGTTGGTATGGAGCCAATGCTGACCAAATAGGAGGTGAGTTCAGATTGAAGAAATTGTGGGAACTACTCTTATTAACGTTTCAAGGCGTTCAAATGGTGGCCATTGTTAACCAGATGGCTCAGATCATGAGCGGTAACACCGGCGGTACCTCTCCCAGCGGGGGTAGTACTACCACGTTGAAAACCACGGCGAAGCCGACAACTACAACTACCAGCTCTGGAAGCAGTGGAGCTGGTGCGCCCTTGTATGGACAATGTGGCGGGTATGGATGGACTGGTCCAACAACTTGTGCGCAAGGCGTTTGCACAGCCTATAGCACTGAATATGCCCAGTGCCTGCTACCCCTCTAAGCCTTGTGGAAGGAAGTATGAAACTCAGGCAGGGTAAATTTTATTGAACAGGAAATAGGATTTGGATTGTATAAGACAGATCACAGGCCACTGCACCTCTTTAATGTGTTTGCTCATACAATCTCTCCTACTTGCTCCCAGGGGGGTTCCTAGGAGCCCTCGGGCTAGCCACGGTGAAAGGTATTTTCTTTAGTATCACTTATATGGTAGCTCTTCAGAACACCATATCTCTATCTATGAATGAGTTAGAGCCCTTATGGGTATCCACGCTGACTAGTATTTTATATAGAGTATATAACTGCGCAGGTGTGTATAATCACGTATATTAAGATAAAGCTTCTTTTTATTGATTTAACATCTCTTTCATTTCCGATATACCTAACGTCTTCCAAAACAATCACTGATCGGCAACTGAGTATTAGTCGTATAAAATGTTACTGGGCTAGTGTCGCGGTTCATTGAGGTAGCTTACTTAGGTCGCTCGTCCCTGCGCATTGGTCAGGCTCAGGACGTGCTCAAATTTACTCGGTGATCAAAAAGCGGCGAGGGGTAGGAAATCCACTACCTAGGTAGTTAGAGGCAGTAATACCATGATCATCGAGGGTTCAACTGTAATACACGTGATTTTGCCCCACGAGGCTGCGATAACGTGATAAGCCCCGCTAAAACCGGCCTCGAAGGTAAAATTTCCTAGATCACACACTGCCTCATTCTCCCTTTTCTTCTCATCCTGCTTTTCAATTCGTCTCCCGGGTGTCTTTGACAAGTACCGGCGATATGTCTGCAAACAACGATGTCTACCAGACCCCCCTCAACTCGCGCTATGCGAGTAAGTGACCTTCCCTCTGTCCCGGCCAATGAGGGGCTCAACAAGCCGGGGAGTCTCGAGGATATTAATGGAGTCCAATTGATTAGGCACTGAGATGAAATACCTCTTCTCGCCTCGCATGCGTTTCTCAACCTGGCGCAAGCTGTGGATCTGGCTCGCGGAGTCCCAGAAAGGTACGAATTGAGACAACGGGTGGAATGACCGACATTGGACGTCATAAGGGAAAAAGCAAAATCAATTGACATAGTCATGGTTTAACAGAGCTCGGCCTCCCGATCACCGAAGATGCGATTGAGCAGATGAAGGCTCACGCCACCATCCAGGACGAGGAATTCAAGGTTGCCGCCGAGGAGGAGAAGCGCCGCAGACACGATGTCATGGCCCACGTCCATGCCTTTGGCCAGGTCGCTCCGGCTGCTGCTGGTATCATTCACTGGGGTGCTACTTCGTGCTACTGCACTGACAATGCTGACCTGATCCTGCTCCGGGACGGCCTCGACATCCTCATCCCCAAGCTGGCCGTTGTCATTGACAAGCTGTCTCAGTTTGCCCAGGAGTACAAGGACCTCCCTTGCCTGGGTTTCACTCACGGTCAGCCTGCTCAACTGGTCACCGTTGGCAAGCGTGCTTGCCTGTGGATTCAGGACCTGTTGATGGACCTGCGCAACCTCGAGCGTGCCCGCGATGACCTCCGCTTCCGCGGCGTGAAGGGCACCACCGGCACCCAGGCCTCTTTCCTGCAGATCTTCGAGGGTGATCACGGTAAGGTTGAGAAGCTGGATGAGCTTGTCACCGAGAAGGCTGGCTTTAGCTCCGCATTCATCATCTCCAGTCAGACCTACTCGCGCAAGATCGATGTGGACGTTGGCAACGCTCTGGGCTCTTTCGGTTCCACCTGCGAGCGCATTGGTATTGACATTCGTCACCTTGCCATGCTCAAGGAGGTTGAGGAGCCTTTCGAGAAGGACCAGATTGGCAGCAGTGCCATGGTGAGTTACATCAGCGCATTGAGTCGTTGCAATCACTAACGGCCTGCAGGCTTACAAACGCAACCCCATGCGCTCGGAGCGTCTGTGCTCTCTCGGTCGCCACCTGCAGAATCTCCCCAAGGATGCCCTGGACACCTACTCGGCCCAGTGGTTCGAGCGGTCGCTGGATGACAGTGCTATCCGCCGTATCAGCATCCCTGAGCTTTATCTGTCTGCGGATGCCTGTCTCATCCTTCTGAGTGAGTATTCCTATGAGAGTTGGTTGTTCGAGTCTATCATTCTAACGGTACGCAGACAACGTTACCTCCGGCTTCGTTGTCTATCCCGAGGTCATCAAGCGCCATGTCAACGACGAGCTTCCCTTTATGGCTACGTAAGTTCAGCCCGTTCTTTTCCCTGTGATTATCGACTAACATCATTCTTAGTGAGAACGTGAGCAAACACAGAAATGATCCAGTCATACCAATTGCGAATGCTAACTGTCCCAGATCATCATGGCCTGTGTCAAGAAGGGTCTTTCCCGTCAGGATGCCCACGAGGAGATCCGTAAGTGCTGGATGTCTCCCGCCTTTGATTCACATAATGACTGATCCGTGTCTGTAGGCGTTCTCTCCCACCAAGCCGCCGACAACGTCAAGAAGCAGGGCAAGGACAACGACCTGCTGGAACGTATCCGCCGCACCGCCTTCTTCAACCCCATCATCCCCGAGCTTGAGAGCCTCCTCGACGCCCGTACCTTTGTTGGTCGGGCCCCTCAGCAGGTGGAGAAGTTCACCACTACCGAGGTCGCTGCCGCTCTCAAGCCGTATGCTTCGAACATTGCCAAGGCCGAGACCGCTGCCCTGTACGTTTAAAGCGGGCCTCAGGCGTGAATTGAAGGAGGACATTCAAAATTTTTAAGATAAAAAGATGGACAGGGACGCGAAATAGACCAGGAGTTGTGTGTGTATGTGCAGGTTACGAGCTATGAAACGAGATCTATACCTTTATTACATCGGCTGCCATTATCGATTAGGATATAGAGAACGTAGACTCATCATCCATAGAAGCCAACCTTTTTGGAACCCATTCTAAATTTGAGAAAGTATGCACGTGAAGAGAAGAGGGAGACATGGAGATCATGAGATGAGAGAAAAGAAACGCTGAATGAACGATGAAGATGAGATAGAAGATGAGGCTGAGAATGAAAATGAAAAGTAAAAGAAAATGCCCAAGTAATGCAAATGCACAATGCAATGGAACGCTATTTGGCATATCACGAAATCCAAGGGAAGAGAGATTGCTTAAATGCGAACGAGGAAAGAAAAAAAAAGAAGAAAAAAAAAAGAGAAATGTTTAACTACGTACTCGACACTGAGGAATCGAGTTTTTTCAGCTGCAGATCAGCTGCAAAGCCGTGCCCTCGAACTGTGTCTCCGAGCTGCGGGAAGTGCCACGGGCGTGACGTGGGAGAATGACGCAGGACGCATGACGCAGAATGCAGAATGCAGAATGCAGGAGGTAGAGGCAGGACGGGGATCTCGGGCAGTCGAGAAGGCGGAAAGGCACACTGCGGGTGAGAAGACAATGCGTTCATCCGCCGGGTGTTGACACCTTGCAACGGGCGCCCGCACCTCGGGCACGCAGCACGCCGCACACCGCGCGCCGGCGAGCGTCCAGCCATTTCAGGCACGTCGCCATGCCACGAATGCCAATGGGCCTGATCAAAAGTCGAGACACGAAGTTCTATGTGCCCGGGGCTCGGCGACCGAGGCGAAAGCGCCCAGGGTCAACACACGATCACGGTGTTCACTCGTCGGTGGGCGGGCCGAGCTCGGACGGGGTGAACGGCAAGTAGAATAGGTCTCGGATTAACCACAGGATATAGAGGACGCCCAACACCCACAACGAAGCCATTAACTTGTAGGTCGAAGAGCGCCAGGTGACGCGCCGGATCAGGCGGCGGCCATTGGGACCTTCGATGGGACCTCGACGAGGGGCCGGAGGCTGGAAGGGCGCGAAAGGATACGCCGGGGCCTCGTTCATGGCCTCGCTGTGGGATGTTCGACGACGAGACATGATAGTGGAGGCCGTGACACTGACCTGGGATGGGAAATTGAAGGAAAGATGAGGGGCGCCGGATCACTTCCGATTCCACATTGAATCATCCAGAACTTCACAGAAAGGTAAAGGGGGAATTTGCCGCACACAAACGAAGCGAGGTCCCACCGCCAGACGACAAAGAAGCAAAGCACCAGAAAAGGCAATCTTGAGTCCCCACGGGCTCGCCATGGTATGACGGGCGAATGGGGCATTCCGGGTGTGGATCAATGGTGTCGATAGTGCGATTCTAACTGGCTTTGGATAAAATAGTCAAGCCCTAGTTCCAAGTCTCTACAGGTATCATCATAATTATATCGTGGGACAAAAGTACCAAAAGTACGAGCCGATGTCTTCAGTGATCGCCCCACCATTTCGGGCGAAGGGGAGATCCGGGGGTGACACATGCGAGATACAGTCTAGGGGGTCGGGCATTAGCTCCAGCTTCTCGCACTGGCATTTCGGGGGGTCCGTATCGGCTGTCGTGGCCCCAGGCCAGTGCAAGTGCAAGTGCAAGTGCAGTCCAGTCCAGCCCAGTCCGGCCCAGTCCACTATCATATAATTCCACCTAGATACTCGGCGGAAGATGTCATTGCCCTGGGACCGGTTCATTGCTTCATTGCCCGGACTGGTGACTCATTTTGGGGTATTCGAAGTAACAGCCCCTTTCATACTACGGTCCACATGCTCTATGATATAATTTCACGCAATTACTATAATTGGCTGTCTTGCGATTCGCGGTGCACCTTTCCTCCGACTCCGGAAGTGCGGGCGCCGGAACGCTCCTACCTCGGCAGTGCGAATCTCCCCGACTTAACTTCATCCCCTTCTCACGCGACACCTCTTCCTTCCCAACCACCTCGTCTGTTGGACTTTATCAATCACATTCTCCTAGTCGGCCTGTTGGCCTCTTTAGTGGCACCATGTGGAAGCCGTCGGAGCGCCTGATGGAGACCATCAGGCACTATGCCAGCTTCCCCGCAACCGGGGTCTCGCTAAGACAAATGGTCCAGTTTGGAGACCGACCTTCCACCGGTACGTGCGACTCTTGCTTCGGGGGGGATAATATCGTTTTTCTCCAGATTATCGCTATCTGCCTCGGTTCTCCTCTGACTTTCTCTCTCAGGCACTCTCTTCCGCGCATCTCAATTCCTCTCCGAGGAGCTCCCCATCCGCTTGGCGCATCGGGTCCAGGACCTGGGCGAATTGCCCGATGGACTCAGTGATATGCCTTCTATCAAAAAGGTCCAGGATTGGTATGCGCAGTCGTTCGAGGTATGTTTTTTATCGCTGCAGTATCGAGTATCGCGGGGGTGTGACTCACGGAACCCATAGGAAATCATCACCCTCTCCCGACCATCCCTGACCCAGGAAGTCAAGTCCCGTCTGTTGCGACCGGGCCGTATGAACGGCGGCGGTTCCAAGATTCTCTCCGAGGTCACTCATAACCCCAGCGTGCGTGAGGGTCAATACCGATCATCGCCCAATTCAATTAACGGAAACGGGAACGGCAAGGCGGCTGCCGCGGCCGGCCGGAGATATTTCGTCCCTGCGGATGACCACGCAGATTGGCCCCCCGAGCTCAACGACTACAACCAGCGATTCGCCAAGACCTTGCAACAGATTAAGCGACGACACGACAGTGTCGTGACGACCGTGGCACAGGGCATTCTGGAATGGAAGCGGGTCCGACAGCGGATGCAGATCGACTCGACCATTCAATCCTTCCTCGACCGGTTCTATATGTCACGTATTGGTATACGAATGTTGATTGGACAGCATATCGCACTCACGGAACAAACGCACGTCAAACATCCCAATTATGTGGGGATAATCTGCACCAAGACCAACGTTCGCGACATCGCCCTGGAAGCCATTGAAAACGCCCGGTTCGTCTGTGAGGACTACTACGGTCTGTTCGAGGCCCCCAAGGTGCAGCTGGTCTGCAAAGAGGACCTGAACTTCATGTACGTGCCCGGCCACCTATCGCACATGCTCTTCGAGACTCTCAAGAACTCCCTGCGTGCGGTGGTTGAGCAACACGGTGCCGACCGGGATCAATTCCCCGTTACCAAGGTCATCGTTGCCGAGGGTAAAGAGGACATTACGATCAAGGTCTCGGACGAGGGTGGCGGTATCCCACGATCGGCAATTCCCCTCGTGTGGACCTACATGTATACGACGGTGGAGCAAACCCCCAACCTCGACCCGGACTTTGACAAGAGCGACTTCAAGGCACCCATGGCCGGTTTCGGCTACGGTCTGCCAATCAGTCGGCTCTACGCCCGCTATTTCGGCGGAGACCTGAAGCTGATCAGTATGGAGGGGTAAGCATTGCCATCAACCTCCTTCGAACCCTCCAACTAACCCGAAACTAGGTACGGAACCGATGTCTACCTCCATCTCAATCGTCTATCTTCAAGCTCCGAGCCCCTGCAATGACAACTACCCGTCATGAGAGATGGCAGGGTTCGGTTCACCACCTCGCACCGCCTGCACCCCAACTACATTGAATCGGATCCCAACCCCGCGCCGTCTCGAGGACTGACGCTTATGAACGTCCAGGCTCTCCGCTCGCGTCTGCACAGTCGGGAGGTCTCGGAACGTAAGCAGGTCGGAGACGCCGAGAGTCTTTTCCACGCGGAGCAGCAGCTCTGGAAAGACGAGGATGTGTAAATACCATCTCTCTCCAAACGCTGACTGTCGTGGAAACTCCGTGTCTCTTGCTCTTTCGCTGCCCCCGGGTGCATCAGCTTACGAAACACGACGAGTTCAACACCTTGGGATGGAATCCAGGCCCAGAACGAAGGGAGAGACAAAAAATACCCCCCCTTTTGACCCGCCTAACAAATGCCAGAAATTGATTTTTGGTCCTACCCATATCCAGAGATACCCATTACTCAACCCCCCTCTTGTCTCCTATATTGGTCTCTCCCCGTCTCAGGTCTGGATCTGGTTCTCTGTACAGTACTTTTCAGTTAGCGAGCATATATTGATTCTTCCCACATGGTTTCCCGTAAATCACCGTACAATTTTACCGGCAATGTAGCTCTCAAACAAGATGAAATCCATAATCACGTTCCAATGCTCTAAAACGCCGATTAAAAATGCAAGTCCAGGAACAATTCATCAATTCATCATCAATCCACTCCAGACCCATCCCTCGACGCATCCCTCGAACTCCTCCCAGACACAGATCTCTTCTGCTGGCCCCTGGCACCCCTGGCACCAGTCCACCACCCACCCTCATCATGACTAACAATCTCCTTCCAAGCCCCCGGAACAAGAAACGCATTCGAATTCAAATTCCCAAGGGCATACTCCGGCGGAACCCTAGCGGACGATACAGCAGACATGAGCTCAGACTTTGACTCGGGGACGACGAAGCGCGCCGCGTAGAGCTCGTCTTCGGCTTCGGGGGTTTCGGCGAGAAGTTTGGCCATGAACAGGCGGCGGGTTTGGGGGATTGTCTGGTTTGGTCAGCGTGTTGGTTTAGAGTCTGGGGGGAGAAGGGTTTGATCCTACGCGGCGCGAGTTCAGGGCATATGTTACTAGTAGTTCCCAGTCGTTGAGGACGGCGAGAGCCGCGTGGTCTTCTTCGCGGACGCGTTTGCGGACGGGCGGGTTTCTGTCCTTGTTGTCTCCTGGACGAGGCGATACGGAGTGGCTAGCTGGGTCGGGGGCGAGAGTGGTGAAGTCGGATTCTGTGGTGGTTAGGTGGTTAGCTCGGGTTTCTTTTCAAGAAATTTGCAGTTTGAGATCGTTCATGGAAGGGAGATGTGAACATGAAACGGATCAGAGAGAATAAATGATTCAACTCACCATCTCGATCCAGGCCCATCACATGCGCGTCAAACTCGATCTCGCTCCCGGCGATCTGGAGGATGGATTCGGGCTGGTCAATTTGCATGCCGCCATCGGAGTCTGAGTCGAACTCGTGGAAGGCTTCGCCTTGGTCCAAGTCCGAGCCGGAGTCTGTGTCGATCTGGATGGCGTGCGTCTGGTTTGCACCGCCCGGGTTGCCGTAATCGGCCATAGCGCCGAATGATTGATCAAAAGGTAGAAAGCGATGAAGAGAAGCAGGCGGATAATGGAAGATCAGAGAAAACGGTGATGTAGGACGGAGGGACAGCCCTGTGCACAGTCTTGCTGGAGCAGCCGCTTCCTAAACTTGGAATCAAGCAAGTCCGAAAGAAATGGACATTGATGAAGCTTGGAAGTATACCAAGGATCAGAGTCGGCCGCGCTCTCTGTCCACGGTGATACCCAGGTTGATAGGTTCAAAACGAGATGATCCCAGCTGTATCTAAACAAAATGTTAGTCTCGCAGGTCGCAATATGCACAGATGTACTAACTAGCAGCCCATGCCACCACGGTATTCTAAAATACAGAGTCGTAACGCGGATATTATGAGAAAGTCTGGGGAAGAGTGTTGTGATGGCGTCGGAGGGGATCCGCTGAGTCAGCCAATCCAAACCGGGAGTCAAGCAGTCATTCCTTGTATGCTACACTACAACTGGGAAGGATGTTGATCTGTATACAGTGGCTTAACCTTTAAGCATGGCTGCAGGATCAGGAGAAAATAAGAAATATGATATAATAGTAGGTATCGGATCGATACATAGTATAAATGCTCAAACCCCTCAACGCCAAAACACAATGCCGCTAAAACGACGCAGGAACAAACTCAAGACAACTGTTTAACAGCCGTGCATGTAACTGTTCTTCGGCCATGTATATCCAGCATCCGACCTGTTTCATAATTAGCTTGATCCATAAGATACGGAAAAGTAAGAGTAGACATACCAAGAAGTCAAGTTTGCGTTATCATACGCCTTTTTGTGTTCCTCGATGTACCCGGTCGTCTCCCAGCCAGGGGGGTCGCAGGTGATGCTCACGTCATCAGGATCTTGGTAGATGCGTACGTAGTCGACACGGAGGAAAGCAGGCATGTATTCGCGAATGGACTTGTTCTGCGGAGCGAAGTTATCCGCCATACCCAAGTTCATGACGATTGACATGGGTTCGAGGGGGATCATGCGCTGGCCAATGTTACCATTGGGACCGATAGCGCGGGCGTCGAGTGTCCAGGTCTTGTCAGCACCGACAAACCAAGTGACATTGCCCTTGGCACCGGGGGTGTACTCGAAGGAGTAGATCTGGTACTCGGTGCCGTTGTACCAGCGTGAGTTGAGGTTGGTCAGACCGGACATGGCTTGTTGGTAGATACCGCCGCGGTAAGCGTTGATCTGGGTGATGCTCGGGTCGTACACGGCAGCAAATTCGTAGTCGGGCATGTACCAGAGGTCAAAGGGGGCGGTTTGCAGAGACTGTGAGGCACTGCCAACGTAGGGGCCACCCTCTTGGCCATAGAGTGGTTGCGTGCTCCCTTCGATCACGTCGATTTCCGGAGCGCTACGCGAGCGACCAGGGTTGGGATGGTCGGAACCGGAGCAAGTGCAGCCTGGGAGACGCATGCCGGGCAAGAAGTTGATTCCATCGGGAGAGCTCTGATTTGGGGTAATTCCTGCATCACAGCCGTCGTGGTAGCTATATGGCCACAAACCATCGGTGGTTGCAGCGTATCCAGGGCGAGCCAGGTTGCCCATGGCCCAGAAACCGGGCCAGAAACCCTGGATATGGCCGTCACCGGGAAGGGACAGGGAAGCTTCGAGACGACCGCCCTTGAAGCACAACTTGTTCCAGCTTTGGACCATACCGGATCTATATGGTAAATCGTGGTTCTCGAACGCGTCGAAGCGGATTTCTAAAGTACCTTCGTCCGTCGTAACAGCATCAGGATCGTACCACTACGGTAAATTAGCGATTGTTCAGCTCGATTCTCGTTGCGGGTATACAAACCTCCTTGTCCATTGTCACGCCATACCACAAGTCAACAGCTTGGAAAAATGGATCATCGTCGTCGTAAAAAGTGCGTCCAGGCTTATTAAACTCGTCCGAGAACTGTTCCGTGTCAGCTGAGCTTTTGTGCTCAAGTGTAGGCACCACTCACCACTAGCTTCCAATCTTTTCCATCGGCGTTCTTCTTCGTCATCGCCTCTTGCGGCGTATCAGGGTCGATTAATCCTCGGCGAATATTGGCGAGAAGGGGCCGTGGGCCGACAGGAAGACAAAGCATGTCGCCAGGGCGACAAACGTGCTTCCGGCTGAGCATGCCTCCCACCCATGTTCTAATCAATTCTGCGTTAGTACTTAATCAACCACTTGGAATAGGAGACACACATAACGGGGTATCCAATGAAAAGAACCAAAAGGCCAAGCGTTAAAAAAGCCAAGCCACCAACATTTAGCAGCCCCCGGCGATTCCATATATCACAGTCACGGTCCCGATCCGTCGGGTCTGGGTTGTGCAGGTAGTCGTCCTTCTCCACGTCTTCGGGGAAAAGCAGAAGACCATCTGTAGGCATAATATTAAACTTCTCCGAGACCGTCTGGGTATTGACATCGTATTCATCGCTGCCGGAGCGGGACGAGGGAGCCCGTGAGTCTTCAAATGGATCCATGTGAAACCTGCTGTCACGACTAGCCGAGCTTACACTTGACCGTCCTTGGGACCAGCGGTCCGGTGACCCAGATCGGTCGGAATCGCGGCTTTGTGTAGGCCGCAACTTGGGCGGGAGGAGGAACTCCGATGACTCTGGAGCATTAGACACACCATAGGGCGACATCCCCTGCGCACCAACTACAACCGGTACATCCAGGGACGGAGTCAACGGCCTGGGCAGCGTACTGTCATTCTGCAGGGGGACATAACCGTCATCGGTCTCAGTAAACGGGTTCTGGCGACCCGAATTCAGTCGGATATGAGGCATCTCAAGCTTTGGGGATTCCTCCTCGTGATCCGACATCTGAGAAAGGGTCTGCAGGACCGCCTCTTTTGAGCCTCGACGGTCGTCGAGAGGCTCAAAAGAGAGCGGCCTGGAAAAGTTCTTCGAGTCCGATGAATCCACCGTTCCGGTTCTCTCGCATCAAGCCCTATAGTCGGCGTAGGTTTTCGATTGCTGATGTCCAGCCGGAATTCTTCCCAGTTCGAACTCGTCCCCCTTCGCACGATCTCCAACGCGGTAAGGACCGGAAAAGACGCTAGCTTTCTGTAGTCGTCGAGTGGCGGAGATGCGAAAGAGCGGGACAGGACCACTTGGAAGTGCATCCAATGTCCCTAGGCGTATCAGCGAGGCGAAAGACAGCGTAGAGTGCTAAGAAGATAAAGAAAACACGGCAATACAAGAAGAAAAGAAGAGCCTAGAATGCTCCTGGATGATTGTTTGGGTGCACGAGGGGACCGGAATGGACACTGTTTAAGGGGGGCAACCCGCGGTATGTGTATCTTTCCTTACAAGATGGTTGAGAGACCGTGAATCCAGTATAATAATAGTCTACCAGACTTGAACAACAAGGGGAGCCTTGTTCTGGTTAATTCCAAGAGAATCAGTCATTGTGAAGGTTCTGATGGCTGATGCCATTGTCATTGTACGCGAGTCTTGAGGCCGCAGGGCCAGCGCAGGGCAAGGTGCATTCCCCGTTGCCCCGCGCCAGTGAGGAATGGGTGGGCATGAATGCTGGACAGGAATCCGAGATCGGCATCTTTTCTCTTCAGGGTTTTCACGAGAAAAGCTGCTACGGTCCAATTGGAAGTGGAAGGAGAGGTGATGGGAGAGGTCGTTGAGTACAGAAAAAGCAAAGTGTCGTAGGCGGCTCCGAATTCGCCCTTGGTTTGTCTGTCAACCAGGGATTAGCACCATCTTGTAGTAGACACACTTTTAAATTACTTTGCTTACTTCTCATGTTATTCAACTTCTGTTCGTCTCGTCAATAGCAACTCTAATGAGATATTTTCCAAGCTGCAAAGCGGCCATTCCCGAACACGCGTAATGAACTCGGACTAATGCCGGCAAGGAATGTCACGAAGCCGAAAGTAGAGGCTGTCAGGGTCTGCTCGCACAGTCGTTCCTTGATTAAGACCATGTTTCCAAGGATAGAAGTGCATTCCTTCTAGTACAGGTGCACGGGGGAGCCACGCGGAACTCGGCTTTCCTGTTCGGAACAAGTATATTTCATCTCGTATATCCAAAGAGAATCGATTCACTGTAATGTTATGCAAAGTAGGCTCCATGACCACACCGGATCTAACATCCTAGGACTCAACGGCCTTGGCCCGAAGTCCAACCAATCTACCCTCCGACGGCTCGAGTGCCAGGATCCAGTACTCAATTTTCGTGCTGCTCAGCTCCACGCGGTACACTTTGATATCCACGGCTGATTTGTCTGCACTTGAATCACCCTCGACAGCAGCAGCAGCACGCACAGCATGCAAGACAGACGTATACTGGTCTTTAGGATCGAAGGAGGACGCGGAAAGGGTTTCGATGGCTCCGGACAGGTCAGCCGAGGGGGATATCAAGGACGAAAGCTGATCTGTATCAAATGTGTGTTAGTGGATCCATTTCCCAGGAGCGCACGCCATGAAGGGCGCAACATCCCCAAGTCCGACGCAGCAAGGCGCGGCACGTAGGAAGGTGAAACATGAAAAAGGGTTTTAAACGTACCGGCACTGGGCCAAGTACCCTTGCTAGCTCCCTCCCATTTGAATGCGACAGGCTCGAAGGGCTCGTCTGTGTCAGAAATGTAGTATGCGTCGACGGACTGCAGCGGCGCGGGGACTTTCACGTTGGTATCCACGGTCTCGGTCCGGGCGGTGCCGCTCCCTTGCTGGCTGCGGCCGGCGTTGAGGTCTGAGTTGGCTTTGTCCAAGAAGGACGAGTAGGCGTCGTCGGACATTGTGAGGGAGGTTGTAGAGAAGGACGTGCGAGACTGGGCTGGTGTAGCTGGTTGGTAGCTTGGTGTTGCGGGGAAGTGGGTGGTTTTCTTCGCGGATACCAGCTCTCTGAGCGACGGTGTGGTGGTATATGAGAGTTGACGACGAGGTGGGGACTGAGACTGCGGTCGTGTAATGGATACGTAGGTGGTTGGGCGTGAAAAGCGTGTGATGAGGGCGCGGTTGGCTTGAGGGATGACGCAATGGATCCCGGTTGACGGCTGCATATTGTGCACCTCCGATTCGTGGCCGGTCACTAATTAGCTAGGAGTAAGATATGGACCAATACTGCAGGATCAATTTAATCTTTCCACGATTGTTCCGAGAATATGTCAGGTCGAAGTTGCGGATTTAAAAGAGCAAAAATATATTTGGCAGTCAGCGGGCAGATATCAGTCAGTCCCAATGTCACTAAACGTCCAGCAAAATATACATCCACCACCTGCGCACCGTTGATAATCCAGCATATATAGATACTTCCAGCACTTGAGGGCTACATGGATACCTAGTAAGACCTACGGGTGGTAACCATGTGTTACAAACATTTTAACTCGAAACACATACTGATACGATACTACGATAGCTACCATGTCATAAAAGGTATTGTCCGCTTTTTTTATTGAACTTGAAATACGTGCACCTATCACCAACCATAGCTTGAAACACCTTAAACAGTCTGGACAAGGTCCTTCTTGAGGGTACCCATGAAGGCCTTCTTCTCCTCGGCGGTCTGGAAAGCACCGTGACCGAACTTGGAGGAGGTATCGATCCACTTGAGGTCGATCTTCTCGAGAGCACGGCGGCTGGTCTGGGGGTACAGGGTCTTGCGCAGAGTCATGACGCGCTTCTTGACACCGGGGACGGCACCCTTGACGAGGATCCAGTCGTTCTTGACCTCACCGTAGTGGACGAAGCCACCAAGACTGTGAAATTGTTAGTATTGAAAATTTTGACTCGGGGTTAAAAAAAAGTGTAGACATACGGAGTGATCTGCTTCTTGGAGATATCGAACTCGGTGGAGGCGGAGCCCTCGTCGGAGGCCTTGCCAATGCGGAAGACCTTGTGGTTGCAAGAGGTACGGTGGTGGTAACCCATCTGACCGGCACGGGCAACAGTCCACTGGACGTGGTTAGGGTGCCAAGCACCAATACAGGCGACCTTACGCAGACCCTTGTGAGTCTTGCGGGGCAGCTTGGTGGTACCCCAACGGGAGGTGACACCCTGGAAACCGTGACCCTTGGTAACGGCGATGACATCAATCATCTCGTCCTTCTCGAAGATGGAGTCGATGTCGATGGTCTTCTCGAAGAGGTTGCGGGCGAAGTCAACCTTGTCGGCGACCTGGCCACCGTTGACCTGGATCTCCATGAGGTGGGCCTTCTTCTGCTTGATGGGGGTCTTGCGGATCTGGGTGTGGGCGAGGACACGGACGACAGTGCAGTACTTCTTGATGCGCTCGAGCTCGCGGGTGATGGAGGCACCGCTGCTCTCGGCGTGCTGCTTGGCGTACTTGGTGAAGGCCTTCTTCTTGGACTTGTACCAGTTCTTGTAGAAGCGACGCTTGACCTCGTCGCTCAGGTGCTCAGCCCAGACGGTGGTGAGCGAGCGGAGACCACGGGGAGTCTCGATGTAGCCAACAACCTGTTTACCAATTTTAGCCACGTTACCATATTCTGCTTGAGACAAGACTTGAACTTACACCAACGGCAACAAGAGGGGGAGTCTCGATGACGGTGGCGGCCTCAACAATCTCCTTCTTGTGCATCTTGGCACCGGGACGGTCGAGGTCACGGACGATGGTGGTCATACCGGCCTTGTAGCCCATAGTGGCAGTCAGGTGGACGGGCTTCTTGGCGTCATCCTTGGGGAAGCTGTGCGCAATCGAGTCTCAGTATACCAGTCTTTTCTCCGACACACGAAATTTTTTATAGATTCAGGGACAACAACTAACCTCTTGACCTTTCCGCGGTGGCGGGCAGCGCGCTTGCGCGGCAGGTAGGCCAGGGAGCCTGTAGGAAAAGAATCAGTATATCGCACAATGGTTGTCGAAATTTGACGTCGAGGTGAAAAAGTGTATCACGAACCGTGACGAGGCGCTTCGAACTTCCGGTGACTCCTAAGAGAGGGAATAAAGTCAGCAATTGCGTTGCGATAGTATGATATAGACTAATGATCCCAAGGGCAACTCACATCTTGACCCTGTGTTGTCGTTAGTCGTCGAGGTAGTGAGAGTGACGATCTGAAGGAGTCGGGAGGTGTATTTTGCGCTTAGCGAGTGTGGGCTGACCTAAGCGAGACACTTTCCCTTTCGGGTCAAGCGACATGTGGGTTGGTCATGTGACATGTCACGTGGATAGCAGATTTTACCCTCGGAGTGGATACCAAGCCTTTAGGTCTTAGAGTTATGCAGCTTACCGCTTTGGGACACGGTCTTCAATGTTGAAAAAGGCTGAATTTGGCTATCAGAGATGCCTAGTGCATCGAAAAAAAAATTCACAGGGAAATGAAAGCGAGGAATTCATAACACAGCACAAAGAGAACGAATACAGATAGGACCTCTCCAGAGCCTCGGGCTAGCCGAAGCAGACCAACGTAACTGACACATTCATACCGTACATCACGCAATGGGGAGATAGAAAGAACAAAGAAGAAGAGTGGCCCAAAGATGGTGCCAGGAGAGGATTCATTGCATAATGACCCAGGGCTTTTATTTTTACGCCGAAGACTCGGTCTTCGAGGGTGTGCCCTGGCGACCATTGCTGGCAACTCCGTTGCCATTGGCCGAGTCGGTGCTGTTACCGTTGGGGCTGCTCTTGGCCGCGGCACCAGCCTTCTTCTCCTCATCTGGCTCATCATCGTAGTCCTCATCAACGTCCATTTTCCGCGCCGGAGGCTCGTGTGAAGAAGGCGCCTCGGGGCGAGAAGGTTCCTCCTTGACCGGGGTATTGGCTGAAGGAGGAGCCGAAGGGGGACCGTTGGACGCGGGGGCGGAGCCCTCGGCCATGGGAGGAAGACTGGGACCGCTAGAGGAGTGGGGTGGCATGTTCTGGATAGACGGCAGAGTAGGGGGATGATGAGCCGCCTCCGAAGGGTGGTAGTTCTCGTTGGCACGGCGGGCATCCTCACGGCGGGCCTCTGAGGAGCTTCGTGGCTGCATCTCACCAGGAGACAGCATGCGGGCAGGGGGGCTGGCACGACGGGCGTTCTGGTCATCCATTCGTGCACGGTTCTCGTCGTTGGCCTGCTTCTTCACAGGACCCTCACTCTCCCATTCACGGCCACGCTTCATCGCAGATGTGGGTCGGTCTTCACCACGCTCACGAGCAGCGGCCTCGGCAGCAGCGGCCGCCGCAGCGGGCGCAGGAGCACCCGAAGCGATACCCGTCGAGTTAGCACCCGGAGTAGGGGCGCTAGGGCCGTGGTGATACTGTTGGTGGGGGTAAGTCGAGCCGGGAGAAGAGGGACGTTCGTCGCGGAGGGGGCGAATCTCAGTGGGAGGAGTGAAAGGGCGGTGGTAAGGAGGAGCAGCGCCGCTACCAGCTGCACCGCCATTGGGACCAGCGGGAGCGGGAGCGGGCGCGCCGCCGGGCGCAGGGGGGAGAGGTCCACCGCGGCCGAAGCCACCGCTGGGGACGCGTTCATGGCCAGAGGCCGGCGCATTTCCCAGCTGAGGCAGGGTATGGGCAGATGGATAGGCACCGGGACCACCCATCTTAGGGGATCGAGGTGCACCGCCACGGGGATCAGGGAAGGCCCGGCCGGGCTCCTGGCGAGGGCTGGTTTGCGGAGCAGCGCCAGGAGCGCGGACGGCATCGCGCGGCTCAACGCCGTTGGCCGCCGCAACGGGCGCCTGCGACTGGATATCATTAATGCCGCGGTTCCAGTCCGCGATCTGGCGAGGTGGTGCTGGAGCCTGGGGAGTTGGGCCGACCGGAGCGGGAGCACCCCATTGAGGAGCCGGAGGAGCGCCCACACCGGGTGCCTGGTAGGCTTGGGGGTGGACATCCTGCGGCTGCGGTGCCGGAGCATTGCCCTGCTGGCCGGAGCCAGACAGTTGACTCTGGAGCAGCTGCAGACGAGCCTTGATGTGGACATTGGTCGGGTCAAGATCCGCCGCACGTCCATAAGCATCGAGAGCGTCGGCGATCTGGTTGTTGCACGACTCGTACTAATCAAAAGTCAGATTTACGTTCAGTGCAAAATGTCATCAAAAGGGTTAACCCACCAAAGTACCCAGGTCATACCAGACCTCGGAGATGTAAGGATTCAAGCGAATAGCACGAGAGTAAGCATCGAGCGCATCACGGTACTGGTTGATCTGGTAGTAGAGGACACCGATCGAGCACCAGAAGGTGGGGTTGCGACCGTCACGGTAAACTGCCTGCTGATAGGCTTCGTAGGCCTTGGGATATTTGGCCTGCGACATATAGCAGCGACCGAGAAGGTACCAGCTCTGAGAATCGTTGTTGTCTGGGAGAGAAAGTTAGACGATGTGAAATTTTGATATGATGTTGAGATAAAAGTCTTACCTGCGCTGACAGACTTCTCCAGGAACTCAATGGCTTTGTCCTGACTGGCGTAGCTGTTACTCTGCTGGTGGTAGAGCCAACCCAGTTGCTGAAGGACCTTGGCGTGGTTGGGATCCCGGTCGAGAACGCGTCGGTAGGCAGCCTGTGCAGAATCAAAGTCCTTTTGCTGCTCGTGAACGTGACCAATCTGGAACCAGATATCCTCCTCGGTCAAGGGACGAGGCGGCTCGTTGACAATGAATTTGAAGCACTCCAAACTCTGGGTGAACTTCTGCTGCTGCTTGTATATGATACCCAGACGGAAGTAAATCTCGTTGGCCTTTTCGAAATCGGGAGCCATGCGCATGACCTGGGAGAAAGCCTCCTCCGCATGATCGAGGGATCCGTAACGATCATATAGTATTCCGATGCCATACCACAGCTTCGGTTCCTTGGGATCGCGCAGGTGATACAGAGCTTGCTGGTACGATGTATAGGCCTCCTGCAGGTTATCCATCATCAGGTGGCAGTGTCCCAGGCTACCCCAGGTCTCTCCATTGGTGGGATCCAGCTTGAGGATATTCTGCAGGTACTCGATAGCTTTGGGGAATTGCTCCTTGGTACGAAGGATGCAGGAGATGGCGTTCATGGCCGGAATAGACCATTGGTTGTGACGCAGGGCCTGCTCGTAAGAGTTCATGGCGCCATCGAGATCACCCATAAGCTCGGTCAAGCTCCCTTCAAGCCGGATAGTTAGTATTCATTTTCGGAATTTTTGGGCGACGCGTTCTTACCGATCGAGAGCCACACTTGCTCATTCAGCGTGGCAATCTTCTGAGCGGTGGTCATTGGGACTCCCTTCTGAGCTTGCGCCGGCATGGCGGGCATGTGGCCGTTGACCTGGGGGTGCGCCGCCGGGTGCGCGGCAGCCATATGATGGGGGCCAACCGCGGCGGTAGGCGAAGGCTGAGTATGAGACATTGTTTCCCGGAGTCTAGTTGAATGAAGTTGAGGTTCCGTGGTGATCAGTGTCGCGACCCAAAGTCAACCAGGTTTGCGACACGATGATGCAATCTACCGAAGCGACCAGACGGGTAAAATCGAACACGAACAGATAACTAATAGTCCGGGCAGTCGATTGAATGGCGCAGGGAGAAGTACGGATGATGCGACACGCGACCCCGATGATGGCGGTGGGTACTAGGGGATCGGCGGGACGGATAGCGAGGTTTTGCGCCTCTCCTGGAGATGGTATGGGGGAGAGAGAGAGGCGCGCGTGGGGAAGAAGGTTGGGGAAGGACACGGGTAGTGACCACGAAAAGAGACGGAAAAGAGGGACAAAGAAGGATGGAGGGTAAAAAGGGGAATGGTAGATTGGATGGACCGGGGAGAGAAGGGTGAAGCCCAAGAAGAAGGAGAGAAGAGTCGAGGGGCTGGCAGGAAAGGTGTGAAATTTGCCAAGCCACGCTAGTGGTTGTGTAGCTGGAGGCCGTCACCACAGACACGAAAAAAGCTGGCGGTCCGGAGGGGTTTAGCGTGGCGGGTCCCGGATCTGGGGGCGGTTATTACGTTAGTCCGTATGCCATCCGGGCCTTTGCGCAACGACATCCACACGACATGTGTCATGTGGAGAGATGATGCGGTATCGCGGCGTCGCTCTGTCGAACTATACGGAGATGTGAATTCATCACTCTCGTATCCCAACGTTCACTCGTGTACCAAGAACACCCCGGTTGGGCCGAGTGGCGTCCGGGTGGGTCCTCGGGGTGGGTTCCCCCGTGGTCGCTGCTGCTAAGGTACGTTAGTGCGACTGTTCTCCGTGCCACTCCGACTTTAGCCTAACCCGGTCAAGGGCCTAAGCTAAGACCCGGCATGTTGGACCGTGCATGGTGGCCTTAGCCTCCGTCCTTTGTCCACTGCCCTACCCCTGTCTTCCCTCTGTCCCCGGAGACGCACTCCGCCATCTCTCCTGCATCGCCAACTCAACCCGAACCCGGCGGCCTGCAGCCGTGGCGTTGTGAGATCTTCTATCCACCCATCTTACCTTGCATCTGTTATCTTTACCTAGGGTATCATTCGTATCATTCCGTATCATTCGTACCAATGCTATTGATCGTTATTCTCCGATCGTGCCGAAAGTACCCACCTGTCCACTATACCTTACCCTGCAGGGTTTTACCCTGACATGCCATCAACAATCTGTCTGGGGGCCGCCCCCTTCCGTCATGATTCGCCCGGTTCCCGCATCCAGTCACTTACCATGTCCGGCCTAGCGTGTCCCTCGACTGTTTGATCTATATTTTTGCCTTATTAAGAAAAGAAATGAAATAAAATAAAATAAAATAAATCCTTTTCATTTTCGGCTTTCTTTGCTCCCTCCTTCCCTTCCCCTCCCTTCAGCCACAGGTGCGCCACAGCCCATTGCCGCATACCAGTGGATGCGCGAGGATGATCTTGATACATTTCCAGTGGCCCCCGACAGCGGTGGGGACGCCAATGTGACAATGCACACAACTGCCCCTTTCCCAGTCCACTCCGTCTCCCCATGCTCCAGTGGCCCGAAATACCGGTTTCCACACCCCTGTCCCAACGACTCGATCGTCATGTCGTCAGCGAGAAGAACTCGAAGAACTTGAGGTGGGTACGAGCTCCACTCCCGTGGATACATAACCACCCCCCCCATTTTCCCGTTTTCCATCGAGCAGGGTTTGACTAGCCGAGCCGCTGCCGTTACGTCGTAGGGTTTGTGAAACACAAAACGGGGCCTCTCATACCCTCGAAATGCTTAGGGCATGAGCTACTACTGAGCCAGGGGTCAATGACGGAATCGTAGATCTCGCTGAGGTTACACGGCCGCTGGGGAAATACCCCAAGGTGTGCCGTGTTTGGGCGAGAGCAGAAGTGGGCGGGATCTGGTGTTCCCCTCTTGCCAGCGGATCCCTGCAGGTGAATTCCGACACGACACTGTGAAAAATGAACTCACCCGGACTTGGGAATGCTCCCCACGCCATCAGCCGCGCGCATAGCACGCTGCCTGAGCCCACTGTGGAGCCGGACCCGTTAGGATAATCTCATCGCTAGGCTGCCCCTCGAGCGGGTCTCTACACTATGCTCCGACCCGGTGGGTATGACGGTACGACCGGCCGAACCAAGTCCGGCAGGGTTTAGAGTTCGTTCTCGGCGTTGGTCTGGGCTTGTGTTGGGACACGCTTTGATTGTAGATCTGCTCCTGTCCCACGGGCGGAGAAAACCTGTCACCCGAGGCTATACCACACACTTGAATCTCTTCAACACCGAGTCTGGCTAGTATAAGAAGAAATGATCCGAGACCGAGACCGTGTTGCATGTTCCAACCGAAGCTCTGACCCAGGTGATTGCAATCCGGTCCGGCACGGTCCACGTACGACCCCTCGCACAATAAAAGGACGATGCAATCTCCATGTAGATATACCTTGTACGTGTCTATTTTACCCGGATCTACCTCTGTGACTCAATGGCAGGTTCATTCGAGTACAGGTAGACGTATCTCGCAGATGCGACCGGGGGTTGACTTACCATCGCTAGTCACACACCTCGACTCAGGAGCCTCCACGCACACAAAAAAGAAAAAAAGAGCCAAACTGCCCACCTTGGTGATCAGTGTTGAGTGCAAAGTAATAAATTCACGTATGGATCATAAACAAATGATCGGTCGGTAACTTTCGCGGTCGCCTCGGTTACCTCGGCAGCCCTCCTGTAGAGAGCTATACCCTTGAAGGTGGTACCGCAGTGCAGGCATGGCAGATAAGAGACGGGGGCGGTCGGCTTTTCAATCGATCTTGTCACATCTTAATTGCCAGTGGCTTTGTGTCTGCTGCAGCCACAAACGACACAATCCAGCTTCGTGGGCTCGGCCCCGTGGGCGATCTGACTCGTTTCAAAGCTATATATCCGCTCTGCTACCGGTGCAATACAGAGATTGACTGGGATTTTTTGAAGCTTGCGATCGCCAATTCAATTTGGCCCCCCGTGGGTGTAGTGCTTCTCTTGACATAGCAGGCATTAAACTCTGGAGATGATAATAGCTCGACGTTGTCTCAGTCTGCTTGCGGCCTGCTCGGTTGTCGATGCGCCCGTGGACAGTTTTACCTGCACTCGACGATGTCAACACCCTCAGTCGCCTCATGCTGCCGAAATGGAAGACATCGATGTAAAGATACCAGAGAAAAGTAACCAGCAAAAAAAGCCCCCCCCCCCCGGCCCATGCCACGGGTGTAGGTTATCATTCATAGGCCGGATGCCTTACTTTGCCATAAATCAATAAATAGCACTGGTCGCTCTCTACCCGTGGTTCGTAGTGTGCGGCTGAGACCTACATATTGTCCAGACAACGATAGCTACAAGACAGAAGATAGCAAAGAAATAACAATGTAAATTTTGGATGGCTACAAAGAGGCTTCGTCTTTCTGCCTTTTTCAAAGGTCTCTCTCGATATCTCGCTCATCTCAAGGTAAATTGTTCACCTTCAGCCCGCCCTGAGATCCTCGTGCTCGGCAGGTTTGGCTCCGAAGGATCGGCGATCTTCGCTTCTCTAAACATTCCTCCCTTGCGTTTGAGACTTTGAATTACTTATTTCTGGGGTCTGTAGCAGATAAGGTTCATTGGCTCTGCTTTCTGTACCGGCTTCCGACGGCCGATCTACGGGTCTTGGGAATCCAAAGCGGCTCGGCCCCAACCCATCTTCTGATCTCCCTCCGTGATGGGATGTCATTTCTCTTTATGAAAAAATAAATAAATAAAATAAAACAAATAAAAGGAAAAAGAAAAATAACGAAAACCAAATGTGCCGCTGCCTCCTAATCTCAAGGTATTTTAGCCGGGATAACAAGACACAAGTCACAGATTCCTGTTAGAAACGCACCCCAAGCAACACAGCGCTCGCGCCTATGACCAGGAGATGGTACGGCAGCCTCCATGTCATGAGCTTCACTTCTTTAAAGTAATTCTAAAATAAATAAATAAAAAGAATGTCTCACCTTCCAAATGATCTACGCAAATTGCTAGACCAACCATGTACCCTCCCGAGATTGATGGCATAGTTGTTTTTTCCTGGAGCACAGATATGCAGGACCAATCGTCAGCCCTAGAGCGGCTCACCTAGGTTTGCATTTAAGTAAGGTGAGCATGTCTGACAGGAAGCAGGGGGTCCAGATCTTGTATTTATCCAGGATAAAGCGGTAGTGTGCGTGCCCTAGAAATGACCCCTTGCTGCATGCAGCCGGCAGCCTTCGATCTGCCATTGAGCTTCCCATATCACGTTTTGATTGACGGGTGTTGCGTCGGCTCTTGTTTTTTTTTGCCGATCTACTGCGGCAGAATGTGGTCGCCGAGTTTGACCTGTGCATTGCCATTGGTTCGTCTCCAAAGAATGGGTGTCTTATTTTTTGCATTGTATGTCTCGGTAGATAATGTTACCCTTGTGGAATCGAATTAACAATCACACAATTTCGGAGTGGCTTCCTTGGCAGGACCAATGTGAGCCTCCAGCCTCCACAATGACAACTTGATTTGATGATCGTCCGATTGGCAGGGTTGGCCGTTCCCACCACTATTGCTAAACAGAAAGCCGAGGTTTTATTATACGTCTCGGACTCCGTGGAGCGGGGAGATTTGCGACCGCGGCACACGATGTGATCTATCAACATTGTGACACTGAACACTGTGACACTGCACGGGCGCAGCTGATCGACCGACGATCCGTCCAACCTGTCTCTGAGGCATATGATTCTTCCAAGAAGCCCCGTGTACAGTTAGTAAATTAGACTTCCGGCCGGGCAGATGCACTATCTTTTGATATTGGGGGGGGTGTCTTGACCCCGCGGACGGCAGATCCTAGCCGCACGACAATATGACCCGAAACTCATTGAAGGTCCAGAGGGTGGAAGGGCATCATACGGGAGAGCCCAGGCCAGGCCACGCGGCCCATGTACCCGTCCGCTCAGCCAAGCGCGCCTCGCGGAATTTGGGGTACGCGAGAGGCGCCGAGAAAACCAACAGACGAAGCCAAGGAATGAATTTTAAGCGACAAGATCAAGAGGAGTGGCTGAGCAGGCAAGATGACGTCCCAGTCACGGAGAATTGAAACGCCTCGGTAGCGGAATGAGAGGAGAGAGGGCCAAGACGGTGACCAAATGAAGGATCGCGGTGTAGATACAGTTCCACAGGAAATGCCCCGAGTGCACACTTGCCATCTGACATGAAATCCTGCAGATACCTAAAAAGGGCCTTACTGAATATTGAGAACGTTACCTAACAGATATTGAACCCCTTCAGAGGGGTGCCGATTTTTTTCTTTCGAAGTCAAATGGATGCCAATCTCTCGGCGTCTGGGCAGGCTCGGCTCGGACAAACCGAGGCCGATCTGGGCGATACGGAGCCAGTCGGTCAAGAGTAGATCAATCGTGATCGTTAATCTCATGGAATCTACGCCCGACTGGATCTACGCTAGACTGACAATATTCAAAGGGCACGACACTTTATGCTGATTGAACATCACGTGCACCGCTGTTACACCTCGCCAAGACCCGCACAAGGCCGTGTCGGCCAATCAGATCAAGTTTTCCCGGTCGTCGTTACACTGATTCTTGGCGACTTGGCGATTGGTAAGACAACGAATGCGCTGCGTGGGACAGGCCTCTGTCCAACATGAATTTTACGATCTGCGATCTGCTTCAACAGCAGATGCGACTGTCAAGAAAGGGCTAGAATGATAGCATAGGGTGATACCATCAAACGTCAACGTGAAACACACGCAACAGCGACCTTGAGCGCCGAGTCCTTGGCATCTGGGCACCTTGGCAAGAGCACCTGCAAACAGCAGGAGATGCCCTCCTCCGCTGCCATGGCCTTCCCTAGCCTTTCCGCCGTGCGGTTCTCTTATAAAACTCCCTTTCCGCCCTGGCTTTCCTCGTCCTTGTTTCGGCCAGGCGGAAACGCACCCTATACACTCCCTGCATCCCCCTATGATCCCCGGATCGTGCGAAAACCATGCGGTGAACCCTATAGACATTTAGTCGCCCTCTGTGCGCCTGTACGACCTTCACCGGCTCTCGCTCTCACACCTACACCTCCGGCTCGCCATGCGGCCGCCGGAGATGACATATAATCCTGCCTATCACCGGGCTCAGGACCCTCTCCGTGCGGCACCGGTCTCCATTCTGGCCTCTCGTCCCTGTCGATCGCTGGATTCCCCCGAACCGAGTCACTCAGTCCCGCAGCGCCCCTCCGACGAGTGGATGCCCGGCTGCAACGTCAGTCCCCCCTCCTCCACCCCGCGAGGGTCCCATACGTACTCCCCGGTGGCATCACGGCGCCAGTCCCGAGTGTACGACGGCTCGCAGATGACCCGGATCCTCGTCTCCAGCTCCGGTGCTGGTCACAAGGAAGAGCGCGGCAATTGGGCAGACCAGCCGTCCTTGATTTCGGAAGAGCAGTTGGGCATTCCGCGCGCGCATAAGCGAGGCATGCTGGAAGATATTACCGTCGATCAGGGTCACGATGCGCTTCTTATGCTAGTAAGTTTGCTTACATATATTCCAGAGACTGTCCCAGATCTAACAAACTTGCAGTTCCGACTCTCTGTCCCAGTACCGATATTCTCCTTCGCCGCCTGCCTTTATACCTGTTGCGCCCTTATATTCGCCTTCCTCGTCTCACCACTGCGTCTCTGTTCTCTATCACCATACCTCCGCAACTCCTCCTTCAAAGCACAGGTTTGCGACCTTCTTTCGCCATCTCTCCACATCCATGAACGGCTTGTCTGCATGCGGCCACCCATATCAGACAGTTCCTCCTCAACCCAATGGATCCGCTCCGAGTCCAACTCAGACCAGCCATCGATGCTAGCCGACTCAGCCAGATGTTATACCGTCGGCACCTCAATATGCATTTTGATCTTCTCACCATTCCTGAGCATTGCCATTCTCCTCTGCGCCTGGACGGCCGCCTTCTTCTGGGTTTTCACTATGGTCATGGGCAACCCAGACGGCACAGAGCGCAAAGACGACGGCCGCGCGGCGGTCCTAGGAGTCTGCAAATGGTGGCGGATGTGGCTGGCCAAGGCGCGAAAGCCATGACCAAGGACCTTCCCCTCGTCTCCCCACGGAAAGAACGATATCCCAAGATCGTAGGGTCCAAACACGGACCACGTCTTTCCTGAACTGGTAGAAAGATCCAGCGGAAAGAGATCCACGCGAAACGACCCCATCAACACTTCATTTGCCAATATTTTTTTTCGTCTCTTGGAGGCTACTACTATATACGTGCATCATGCGATGCACCCGGAGTCCGGAATCGGGGTTGTCTTTGATATTTCGAAGCGGGTGCATGAACTGTTTTCTTTTGGCTTCGATTCCCCTGTTACTTATTTTTGAGGGCTCCTTCAGTCCCTGCAGATTCCTGTGCGTGGTGTCTGTTCTTGACTTGACCGGGATGATGTATCATCCTGGGAAGTGAATACCCGCGTCAACTGTACCTGTATTTATGCTGTGCTTTTAACTTTGATACCCGGGTTTATGCCTTCTCAAGTCGAGCTTCTGTGCATAAGATGATTAAGATATAGTAGATCCCTGCACTCCGCATCTCCAGGTCCTCAAGTATCCAAGTTTTCCCGTAGAGAAGTATCACTAACTTCGGCAGTAAACACATCTAATGAAGTTTATATGATAGGCGGCATCCTGCAATGAGCTAAAATGAAACGAGATTGGATCATCTAGGTCTGAACGACCCTGATATATGCTACAAGCTCAAGATGACAACAGGTATTGAATTGCCAGAACGGCCGCAAAACGGGGGCAAAAATAAGCCCTGACAACCAATGAAACATACGCCGGAGAATGGAAATATGGCTCTAAGGCGAGAGTTATTAAGTATTATCTCATGTACATATGGATTGATCTGATCATTGGCGCCATCATTGGTGAGGTGATCGGGGTATGTGTTCGCTACGTGGGCAAGTAACCAACACGGCTCAAAAATGGGGTTTTCTAGTGTGCACCATTTGGTTGCACCTTGATACAAGACAATAAGGGGATCAAGTTAAGAGCTACAATTCAAGGAGACCGAGCGTGGCTCAGATTGCCAACAGTTACGTTGTAGAAAACCACTTCAAGTGCAGAAAAAAGATAGAATTTCTATGTGCAGATGCCCTAACAAACTTTTGCTCGTAATCAAATCATGACAAGACAAGCCCAATGACCTGCGAATATCAGTGAACCCCCAAACGGAAGCGCCAAGGGGGTATTATTCGAAACGTTTCGTCTAACCAAAAAGAACGTGTGCCAGAGCCTTGGGATGCGTGAAATAGTCTTCCCCGATCTCCCCATCACAGTAGATAGAAAGGAAAGAAGATATAAGAAAGCCTTGGACTTGCGTTTACCGGCTTCCACGACCGCGGCCGCCGAAACCACCACGGCCACCACGATCACCAAAACCACCCCGGCCACCACGATCACCGAAACCACCACGGCCACCACGGTCACCAAAACCACCACGGCCACCACGGCCACCACGATCACCAAAGCCACCACGGCCACCACGGTCACCAAAGCCACCACGGTCACCAAAGCCACCACGTCCGCCACGGGCACCGCCTCGGCCGCCACCACGTCCGCCAAAGCCACCACGGCCACGAGCACCATCACCCTTCATGCCTCCGCCCTTGCCCTTGAAGGGAGTGCGGCGCTTCTCGACACGGCCTCCGCCGGGAGAGCCGTGAGACTTGGCAGCACCCAGACCACGACGACCGCCCTGAAGGCTCTCCTTAATAGCGGCGTCATCATCTTCATCCAAATCCATAGCGTCACCGCCTCTCTTGGCTTGGCCCATCTTGACCTTACCCTTCTGGCCGCGGCGGACAGCGTCGGGTCCACTGACAGCCTCGAGGTAAGCATTGATGCCACCGACTTGGGCACCGCCCATCTCGACATCGGCAGGAGCGTCGTCATCGCCGAGAAGAAGACGACCATCAGCGTCAAACTTGGCATTGCGCTTCTTCTTCGAGCCCGGGCCGGTGTTCAGGAAGCGCAGGCTGGGCTTAGTAGTGGAGATGTTGGCCAGAGCATCGGGTGCCAGCAGATCCAGCGGGTTGTCGTCGGGAGACGTCTCGCGGATGTACTGGGTGCTCTGAGCCTTCTTCCTGCCGCCGGGGCCCTTACCCTTAATGCGAGCGGCCCCGGTCTCGTCGACATCGATTTCACTGGCGTCGTCGTCAAATTCATCGTCCGAGTCATCGGAGTCGGAACCGTAGACGGCCTTGTCGAAGGCGTTGCCGGATTGCTGCTGGGCGGGCTTCTCATCTTCCTCGTCGTCATCCTCACCAGCGGCACCCTCCTTCTTCTTACGCTTGTTGCGCTCACGCTGCTTTCGGATGTTAACGACCAACTTACGGTCGTCTTCACCAACCAGGCTCTCCATGAGCGGAGCACCGAAGCGGCGCACGAGTCGATCGATAATGCCCTTCACCTTGCTGCGGAGGCGACCCTTGTGCTCCTTGTTCCAAGCCATGAGGTTGGGGACAAGGGCCGAGAGACGGGGGCGCAGGGCCTCATCGGGAAGAACGACCACGGCAACCTTGACGAAGCCGAGGACAGACCGGACGATCTCGCGGTTATTGCTGGTAAGGAAGAGCTCCACGGTAGCCACGAGATCAGAGAGAACCTCGGGGCGGAGCTGGCTATGGAATTCGAAGAAGAGGCGAGACAGGGCAGTCACGGACGCGGCAACCATATGAGGAGACGAGCCGGCCAGACCAGCGGACACCATGGTGAAGAATTCCTCGATAGTGGCAGGGGCATCGGGCGAGTCGTCTGGCATATGCGAAACCAGCGAGTTACGAATCACGGTACCCTCAGGGTTGCGCTCGGCGTCGGTAGTGCGACGGGAGAGGTGGATCAGCAGATCGAAAGCTGCAGTACGGGCCTTCTCGTTGCTCTCCTTGCATCCCAGAACAACCTCAGACAAGATAGCCGGGATGAAGTGGAGCTCAGAGGTAGGCAGGTGAGTGATCAGCTCGTGAATGGCTAGCATGCGGTCTCGTCGACCGGACGCGGGAGTCTTGTCTGATGTGGCCAGCATGAGAGCCTGCAGCTCGCCGCTGCGCTCTTGCAAAGCAGCGCTACCCGTCTCGGTCGAAGCAAGACGAGGGATGAGCTTGTATGCCTTCTTGATGAGTTGCTGATCGGGGTTCGGGGAAGTTCCATTGAGGATAGCGGCCGCCATGGCGAAGAGGCCGCTGAAGCTGGTGCGAGGCAGATAGATAGACATGGCAATAACCAGGTCAATCAGGGTGTGTGAAGTCGGGGGCATCTTGTTGGCCTGGCCCTGTTGGGGCGCTTCTTGCTGCTGCTCCTCTCCCAGCGAGGACTCGAGCATGGATGTAACCCGGGAGAAAGTCTCGTTGAGTTCCGTCTCGGGAGTGATGCTCAGATAGGCATTAATACACTGCAGAATAAAGCCACGGTGGTGAGGAAGGGTCTGACTATAGACGTTGAACAGCACAGCCAGCAAGTTACTGGCAAAACCGGCCAAATGGGCAATGTTTTTGGTGGCAGCAGCCTTGGTGATCCGGCGCTGCAGGATCAAATCCTCTTCCTCGCTCTCCACAGACAGAATAGCCTGGTTAGACTCGACAAGGTTTTGCAAAGCGCGACAGATATCGACGCGCAGCTCAGCTTGCTTGTAGAGGACGTTGGAAAGCAGCTCAGCAAAGCTCTGGTCAAAGGCCTCAACCAAGTCAAGGGGCAGTTCACAGTATCCGGGGAGGATGCCCCAGGTCTGCTGGACGAGTGTTTCGAATATTTTCATCTCCACATGTTTCTCGGCGCTGCGGAAATCCATCATCTTCTGGTACAAAGCCTCACTCAAAGGCACAAACTCGGAACGGAAATGACGCAATTCGGTATTCGTAACAGAGTCACGGAGAATGGGCAGCATCCAGACACGGCCAGGCTGTCCGTTCTTCTGCTGAATAATGTTCAGCGGTAGAAGCTCAAGAACAGCTGCAGGGCCCATTGCTTCAATGGCACTGCTGAGGACGCCATCAGCCTCCTTCTTTCCGTGGAACGACTCGTTGCTGCGGAGTTCACCGATAGTCGTGACAAGGTTGACAAGGAAGGGGCTAGATCGCCACTTGAAGCAGTCGAACATGGCAGAGCAGACATTGAAAACCTCCATCCAAGCAGCCTGGTACTTGACAGACAGAAGATCACTAGCGGCCTTTGCCAACTTCTCCAGGGTCTTTTCATCGTACACAGATGGATCCAAAATGACACTGTTGGGAATACAATTGTGCAGGAAAGAGATCAAACACTCGGAAGCGGACACGCGAATGTTGTGCGAGGGCGAAGCCAAGAATCCAGAGATCAACTGGAAAAGATCAGGCAGCTTTTCGAAGGTATCTTCAGGGCTGATCTGAGCAGACACATCGTATCCGCGGGACAGTACTGCAATCCAGGGTGGAAGAAGCTGCGAGTCGTTCTGTGCAGGCTTCAGCTCGGAGATGGCGTCCAAAAGACGGGGAAGCTTGGAGGATGAGAACTCGTCCGCCATGCCCTCGAAAATGACCTCGAAGACCTCAAACGCACCCATAGTAATGTACTCATTGCTGGAACGAGAAGCATTCATCAACAGCTCACAGAGCGACTCGATCTTCTTGCTGGGCCAACCGCCCGAGGCCGTGGCAATGGTCTTGACCAGCTGGAGCGAATGGATAATGAGAGGCTCATGGTTATCTTTGTGTGCATCATGCTTGCCCTTCTTCTGCTTAGAGGCAGTCTCAATGCTATCGCCCAGCGTCTTCATCGCAGACTCGGCGCACATATCCGCAGCGGGGTGGTCCAAGGACGGGCTGGGCGGGGGAGTCTTGAGTACATTAACCAAGGCATCCTGTGCGCGCTTCCGAACCTTGGGCCTGTGATCAACCGAAAGACTCAGCAGACCCGCCGTCGCTCGGCGAGGACCGATCTGGGTGTGAGGCAGATTCCATGCTGCGGCATCCTGGGCAATGAGCAGCGACTCGAGGCAGCCAATTGACGGTCGCAGGAGTGGGGCATCGACCTCGGGCAGCGAAAGAGCAGGCGCGAGGCCAGTGAGGATCTGAGAGAATTTCGAGCGAAGGATCGGAGCAGGGACGTAGCCGGTGGTGATATCGAGCAGGTAGACGACCGACGTCGCCAAGTCCTTGTTAACAATGCCTTGGTCGGCGGACAGAGATTGGGAGAGCAGCGCAAGGAGCGCAGCAAAATATGCGGTCGGGGAAAAATCTGCCTTTTGGTCGCGAAGAGTGTCCTCCACTGCAGAGAGCACCACGGCGGTCTGCACTTGGGTCAGTAAGTTTTCGGAGATTTGACACGGAATCACACATACATGGTGCTGATTCTGCAGCTTAGGAGACTTGATCTTCTCGAGCTTCTCCGCCAGGGTCGCCATGGTGATCGTGGACGACAGGGGAGAAGGGGAGAAAGCGTGCGGGGATGCTGTTCTGGCGGTGATGGAGAAAAATCGACGAGAAAAAAAAAGGTACAACGGGTTCTTGGCGCGGTTATCGATAAGCAACTGGCTACAAACTCTCCACGCACTGAGACCCGCTTCTATTCTGGAGAAAATGTAGTTGAAAAAAATTCACAGAACCATCCATTCGTCAAATTCTACTATTGAACAGGGCAAAAAAGGGAATATGGTCCCGAATTGGGTGTGAGGATGGCCATTCTGCGCCACTATCCGTGGGCGTCCCACATATCGCAGCAATCGGGATGCGGAGAGACGAAGGAGAACGGCAAAATCAGCTTCCGACTAGGGGCTACTTGCCCCATGGCATTCTGTAGCGTATCGCGTATCCTTCATAGGTCCCTCGTATAACCTCGCGTGCACAGTTTGTTAGAGCCTCGATAAATCCGAGCGCGACTAGAAGCAGGCCATTGCAAGATAGACTTCCCACTTGTCACAGCCATCTAATAGTGTACAAGCGAAGAAGTTCAGGTCCATCAGGGTGGGTTCCATCCTACCATGACGAAGCCTCCAATGGTTCCGAGAGGGCGACGCAAAAGATTTCGGGACTTCGGAGATGAAGACAACGACCGCACAAGCAACCGTAAAATGGCCACTAGAATAGAATCTCGCCACTGTGCTCAGGCTCAAACCCAAGAGCCGACAGCTCGGTGTGTCGCTTCTTATCACCGCTCTTGCGCTGGTTGTCTTCTTGTTTCTTGAGTTCGAAGACTTCCTCGAAGGGAGCCTTGGTTACCGTAGTTGGGATATCATCTTCACGGTCCAGGTCCTACAACATCGCATTAGCATTAGGGCTCGATGTCTTGGAAGTCAGGGCCCTCAAAAGCACATACCACTTCACCGAGTAAGAGGACGTTCTCGCCACGCACGAGGAAGATTCCGCGCGGGACATCGGCGTAAACTTTCCCGGCGTAGATACGCTCAATAGTATCCTGAAGAACAAGGTTCGCTGTGAAGCGGCAAGAGAGGCTGGTAAGAGAAGGTTTCTGTGAACGGTGATGCGACACTCATACCGAATTGGTCCCAGCTTCGCAAGACACCGATCAATTTCCTCCCATCGCGCAAAACGAGCACGAGCTTCTCTTTAATGCAAAATTTTCATGTCAGCGAATGACTCTTCCCGATTCATCAATGGGTTTCGATCCCACGTACTATCTGTCAAGTCGAGTAATTGTGCGGCGGTGGTGAACATCTGCGGGGGGAGCTGAGGTGGGCCAGAGGTCGGCTGCATCTGACCAGCGGGACCAAGAGTATTCTGTTGAGAGAACTGCTGCGAGTTGCGCTGCTGCGCATTCGCAGGGCTGTCGTTCAGCGACAATCGCTCCATGTCGTCGGTAGGAGGTGCGTGTGTGAGAGAAACGGGGTAGGGGTTAAGGGACCGGTGTGGCTGTGAGAATTTGTAGTTGACGGATATTCAATTCAGGGAGAAGACTTGTTCATTCTGGGTCAGGCTGCACCGGGATTTAAAGCAGCACAGGACAATGCGAAACTGAAGCCGCTGAAGACGATTATCAAGGGCGGTGGGGTGTGTTTGTCAAGTTTGCATCGTCAATGCCGAAGCGCTACTGCGTTCGTTCCTATATTTTTTCCGTTCTATTTCCTATTTTTCTCATTCATAATATAATATTCATTTTGAAAGTATTGGAATATTTCCCTATGTTTCGAAAGGTGACCAAGTCAAGTAGTTGCGATATGCATTCGGAACTGAGCATACCTTGTAAACCGCATTATATTATGGATGGGATAGACGCTGTCTCCCTGGTCTGTCCTCGTGAAGAAACGAGAAAACTGAAGTGAAAGCTCCTATTCATTTTCTACAGCTGTGTTTTTAGACAGAAAATAATATTCGATGCCGACATATCAGATCACAAAGAGAGGAGGGAGGTTAAAGAGAAGGGTAGATATAGAAGAACTATGATAGGTAAAGAGTGAGGTGCGGTTGGGCACTTGGATAGAAACGAAGCGGCCAGAGAAAGCAGATAATCCATTTTGAATTGGTAGCTAGAGAAAAGTACATATATTTAATTCACCAAAATCCCAACACCCTGAAATCAGAGGTTCTTATTTCTCCCCTTCTTTGCCCCACCAGCTATCTGCCAGCGGGTGAATATCATCAGGTGGGATGTCAATCCTGTGTTTCGCGTTCGTTTCATGAACAACACCAAACAGATCATTTCTCCTTGCAATTACGGGGTCCAAGTCGATCTGTGTCACACCCATGACGGAACCCATTAGAGTTGGATACCCGATACCCTACTGGAAGCGAATCACCCCGATCCACTTGCCAAAAGTGCATCGTCTTTCCATGTAGTCCCACTATCTCTTTCATGGCTTCCTTCACCGCTTTCTCCCACTCATCCGGATATTTAGCTTCCGGCTCGGGCTTCTGGATATGGGAGCAGTAATGCGTTGCCTCGATGTAACAGGTCACATTCTCCCTGCCGGGATCGGTTTAGATGAGTAAGACATTGAGAAATTCGCAGAGTTTGTGTAGCGGCTTGTACTCTGGGTTTGGCCCAGACATAGTGAGAGAGAGGATACTTGAGAGATCTTGATACCGTAACCGACTCCGACCGATTTATACCCTGGGACCCACCATAATTCGGATTAGTTTGGGTTGAATACTAAAGCCATAATACCATCATCAGGCCTTTTGGTGAAACTGTTTTCTGTGCATTTACATCGGACGGCTGTCACGCTTCGGGGTTCCATTCGGGGTTCGGGGTTCTATTCGGCGTCTTTTGTCGGAGATCGGGAATCTAATCTCGTACGAGATAATTACGTATTGATAATGTATCGGACGAGAGTTAGTACTGCCAGTTTTGACGATTTTGAGTCGAGGTGCCGGAAGAGGGAAAAGGATTTACTAGGTCGGTATAAGTCAGAACAAGTAATACCAGGGCGAACAGATGGATGCCGATTAAATCCATGGGGGCCGGCGAGGAACTATAACCCGCATAGGTGTGGTGTGACTGACGCCAAACTCCCGCCACGTCAATGGTCTCATGACTTCCATCGTTCTAATCGGCGACCTCCTCCCCCACAAAAACAAAAAAGGCGAACAGAACCCCAGACAAATGAGTAGCAACATCACCGTTGTCGATATTTTAAGCCTGCCGTTGTGATTGTTAAGGCTTTGGGTTCCGACGGGGTTTTCCAATTTTACAAACATTTTACATATAACCCTGTGGATCATGAACGTCTTTTATAATTTCCCTTGTTCTTGACGATGCTTACCAGAGGTGGCTTCCTCAATTCGACCACAGTGAAGCGAATCCTTGTTCGACTAAATTGCGAAGTCGCGGATGACTTAGTCCTGGAGCTTGAGCTCATGGGCCTTGCTGTGGCAACAGGCATCATGGACGCGACGACTTTTCCCGATTACCACGTTTTCGTCTCAAACCAGACTGGCAACACGGCTCTGCTTGCTGTCGGAGCGTTACATATTGATGGTAGTATTGTGAAGCTGCAAAATGTCTGCATTAGCCTTGGGCTTTTCATTGCTGGTGGCCTGATATTAGGCCAGCTCGGAAATGCATTTGGCCCTCGGCGACGGCTCTGGCTTCTAGTCACCAATATGCTTCAAACAACACTGGTTGTTGTGGCGACAAGTTTGAGATGGAAGTATACGACAGGTGAAGGTACTTCCGGCTCATTTGCGGTCCTGGCGTTGCTCGCCTTCGCAAGCGGGGGCCAGATTGCTGTCGCGAGGACGATCAACGTTCCGGAAATTACCACAGGGATGGTGACCTCAGCATACATTGATCTCATCGTTGATCCGCGTATGTTATCCTCGCATAATCGACCAAGGAACCGGAGATTCTTCTTTATCTGTTGCTTGTTGCTTGGAAGCTTTATTGGTTCCATTGGGTATCATTATGTCGGGCCCGCCTTATCACTGCTCTTGTCGGCAATTTGTAAATTGGTCGTAACGATGGCCTTCTTTGCAAATTCCGATATCTCTACAAGTGATAGAAGTGCGGAAAATAAATGCGAAGTATTATCCAGTGCGACACCAGATGATCCCATCCGACCGACTGCTGCCAGGAACTCTGCTGGTTCGGTCCGTTCGGTCAGGTCGGCTCCGCCTTTTCTTTCACTATACGGCCCTCCCAGCAGTTTTGATCTTCGTGACGGCAAGAATGTCCGTGGAACCGTGTGATTCAATATACACTATAAAATTAACACCGCGACGACTAACGAATTTCCTCTCTCGTCATCCCTAGACGGACGTGGCCTACTGGATCCTGTGCAAGTTCCTGCGAACATCCTTGACAGCCATTCGAGACATGATCAGCGTCTGGCTCTTATCATATCACGAATGAAATAGCTTTGGAGAAGGAAATCTCGGTGCCATGTTGTAGATATCCACTTTTTGCCATTCTCAAGATGATGATGGCTTTACCGTAAAAAGATGGATGCCTGGGCCTGGGACTGGCGTTCTTGAATACAGACCAACTTACAGAAAAATGAAATTTAATTGAAGTTAACATTCCTTCCCCCAGAGACAAGGAGTATATGATTTGCTGGTATTTTAGACTATCCTCTGTAAGGCTATCGATCGAAAGGTATCAGTTCGTTCTTTATCCATTTTCACCATGAAGAACAAGACATTCAGACAATATAAAAAAACCACAGAGCAAAGACTGGATTCACAAACACATAGAAGGGCAAGTAATTCCCGAATGTTTATCGAACTACGTAGTTCGCGAATGTGCGCTATCACATTTCATCTCCACCAGGTTCACCGCCCCTAGCGTCGACATCCGAAGATTCAGCTCCAAGTCCATCTTCTCTCTCATCATATGTCTCACTGGGCAGCGGGGTCTACTAAACCCGCTCTTTGACGCTCAAAAGCAACAGTTACATCATAGAGGCAGAACTCAACAAACGCGGCCTCTCCCAGGGCGCAGTTTATTCAGTTTCTTTCTCAGCGCAGTTTCCTCGAAAAGACCAGCTAATCCAGACATGAAGAATAATACACAGTGCGTGCAGCAATCAATTTACAGAATACAAACCATACAACAGAAAGAATGGGGGAATATGTGAACGAAAGCGGCCAAAAAAACCCCCGAAAAGGAAAAGAAACCCAACACAAATCCAATCCAAATCAGCACATTCCAACGAATCAAACAAGACAGACCCCCCTCTGCTGCCCTCTGATCCTGTCTTCTCTCCTACGACTATATGGCGCGCAGTACGGCTCATCCGACGACCCGATGCTAGCTCGCACACCATCCTGCGACCGGTGATACGCCGGACTCGACGGCGCAGGGGCAAGCTGCATAGCCGTGAACTGGGCGTCGGAGATGATGCGCCGGCCGTAGAGGTAACGCATCAGCTCGAAATCCGGCCTGCTGCCTGCTAGCGTCTGTCCGTGCTGGTAGTGTTCCGTTGCGACGTGGTCCAGCATGCGGTCCCAGGCCGGTGGGTCTGTGCCCGTATCGTCTTTTGGAGTGTCCGCGGTGATGATATCCACGGGGGTCATCGAGTCCGAGTCACCGTCGACGAACTTCGTATTCGGGCAGAGCGGGCACCGCGCCGTTGATGGCGGCGGGTGGGTGCGGAAATGACTGTGAACATGGGTGCGCCACTCCGCGGGGTCGTTAAAAGAATCGTGGCAGTCCAGCATGTGGAAAAGGCAGATATACATGCGACTCGGGATATCTTCAGGAACGGAGATGGCGAGAGACGGCGCAGCATTATTCCACGACGAAGATGAAGCGCGCGAAACCACACCCTCTCTTGCAGACCCGAGGGATGTGATAACGGGCGCCATGCCATACTCCATCGAAGCAGGTCCCCCACCGTCAGCGGAATCCACCGACGAGCTCGACGGCGAGGAAGACCCGCTCGACAAGCCCGGTAGCGTGGGCGACGAAGCCGGCATAGCTCTGACGATCACGCCGTGCCTTTTGTTAAGCGGGCTTTCACTCATATGGAAGTTCGACGCAGAGGAAGCGGCGGACGGAGAACGGCGAGCAGAGATACTGATAGAGCAGATCGGGGGCGAATCTGACGGCTCTTGGGACTCGCAGGCTCCGACATGCTCCGCACGGGCTGCTGGCGGGGAAATTTAGATACCCTGGTGATCACGTTAGAGGCTTTGTCGTAACCGGCGCACGAGCCGTATAGGAATCGTTCGGGCGTGCGGAGATTGCGATATTTCAATGAACGAGAGATACATACACTAGAGTCCCCGTCCGAGTTTCGAGGGCCAGATATGATCGCAACTTCTTTTCTATACAAGTACCTGTAGGAGAGTCAGCATGCATGTCATCTTAGGTCCGGCGAAGCCCGACACCCTGCATACAAGCATACATAGAGGTGGGTACGTTTGAACGAACGTACGGAATAACAGACACGATACAGTTCTGCACGGGCTAGGCGTCCATGGCGGTAGAGGGTGGATGCGAAATACAAGGATTGGACTGGACAGGCAAAAAGTTCCAAAGTTCGCGTGTGTACCTGACGGATTTTCTGCGCTAAGCAATGGAGGGGGAGCGGGGGCGTCGGGCTAACGTTTGGGCTGTGCAGTAGCATCGTTGGAAGTGCTCTCATTTGTGTATTTCAAGGTGAAGGATATTTTGTACTTGGGACCAGATGTTGAGGACTGGTCTAGATGTGACAGATCGGCATGGTCGATGGCGTTTCCAAATTGAGTGCTATATCCTTCGTTCCGGCGCATCTCGTGGGAGGGGGTGCCAACCGCATTCATGTGAAAACAACCACACTAAAACTACAGAAACTTGATGAAATGAATATGAATATGAAGTGAGATTTTCGGTTTTTCCCATGCAGAGCAGGGTCAGCAATTAGAGAAGAGAATAAAAAAAAGGTGGTCAAAAGTATAACAGACCACAGGCCTGGGAGAGGAGAATCAAGGACATATGAAAAAATAAGTAGTCAAGGTCGACCGAAAAGAAAATTTTGGACTCGAAGAAGAGAAGACCCCTAGGAGAAAGAAACAGCCACAAGTAAAATCCCATCCGTCTATATCATGGAGACGCCGACTATAAAAGAAAAATCCATCCAAACCGACACCGATGATGCCTGCAATCCAGTAAAATGCACAAAGTCTATATCGTTTCGTGGCGCGCATAACAGAACATGAGAAAGGGCAAGATTAGAAGCGATCGGTCAGGTCACCGCCCACAACAGAGTTGCTGGTCGACGAAGACATGGACGCGAAGCCGACCGTCGGGTTGAGCATGTCCTGCACCGCAACCTTGGGAACTTGAGGCACGGGAAGCTTGCGCTGCGTGCCATCGGGTTTGGACATGATATCCGTGATACTCGGCCCCATGTGGCCTTGACCGGGACTGTAGTAGTTGGGACCCTCGGGTTGAGGCTCCATCGGGGCCAGAGCAGGGGTGTGTTGAAGGGTCAAGTGGCGGATCGAGGGCAGGTGCAGTTCGTTCGCTCCAAGAGGGCGCAGACGAGGCGAGTGTGCAGGAGTAGCCAGAGGAGTGTGATCGGGAGTAGGAGAAAGCGAGTCGTGCGAGAAGGTCGGGGACGAGGGCGCGGTGGAGTTGGGAGAGTTGGGGCGCGAGCGCTTCACGCGGTGTCCACCGTAAGCATCATCATCCTCGTTCGAGTGCGACCGAGTCATGTTCTGAGAGATGGCATAGGCAGAGAGAGAAGGCAGACCGCGGCCGGTGCCATGACGCGAACCGAACATGTGTCGCGATCCGTGGAAGCCCATGTGGTCATCGCGCTCGACCTGGGACGCAGCGGTGGCCAGCAGATTGATATCCATACCAGACGAGGCGCGCTCGTTGTTGCGCGAGTAGGGGCCCAGATTTGAGCGCATGTGATTCGCGTAGTTGGAGAAGGAGTGCGGCGGCGAGACGTCCGGGGATCCGACCTGCGAGACTGGCGCGGAGCGAGTGATGGGCTTGCTCGGCGGAGGCATCATGTTGGTGGCGCTCGCCATCGCAGCATCCTGGCCGGCGGCGGAGGCAGCGGCGGCCGCAAGGTGCTGGGCCTTGTTGCTGCGGCGGGAGTTGGGGTTATTATGGATGCGCGAGTGACGTGTGAGTTCGTCGGAACGGCTGAAGCGCTTGGTGCAGCCGGGGAACTGGCAGGCGTGAGGCTTCTCGCCCGTGTGCGTCCGAATATGCCGGGTCTGGTGCTCCAGGCGGTGGAATGCACGGTCACAAAGTGGACATTTATAAGGCCGGGGCAGGTCCTGACGGACCTCATCGTTGCCAGGACGAGCACCCTTCATGAGCGGCGGCAGCAAGCTCACAGAAGAAGCCATTGAAGAATTGGAGTCTCCCGAAGAAGGAGATTGCTGAACAGTGGAATCCACTGCTTCTTGAGGATTCAGTAGATTGGAAAACCCCGATGACGAAACCGGTGGTGGCATGTGAATATCTCCAGGTGGGACGACACCGGATTTGTGGCCGGTAGAAGCAGGGTGTGCAAAAGGCAGAAGGGAACCGAGGGAAGCAAATTATCACCACAGGAGGCCCAGAGCTAAAAAGGTCCCGGTTGATCTGCACCCGAGGGGGGTTGTTCAAAGCCGATCGATGATCTACCTTGTGATGCTATCACAAGTGTTTCTTGTATATGTGTAGGAGTGTGGGGAAGGTGATGTTGGTATGCGAGGTGGAAAAAGGGGGAAAGAGAAGAATCTGGAGACGGCGATCTGGGGAGCAGGAGATGATAAAGAAAAAGAAGGAAGGGGGGGGGGAAGATGTATGAGGAATGGAGGGGAAAAATGGAGGAAGGGAGAAATCGGGGAGAAGGGGGCGCTTCGGGATCGGAGTTGGGGGAAAAGTCAGAAAATCAAAGGCCAAAAAAAAAAATAATAGAAATAGAAAAATCAAAAAGGAAAAAAAAAAAATATAAAAAAATTAAAAAAAGACTTATCGCATTGTAACAAGGTTGGGCTACGGTGTGGGGGAGAAGGGACCGGGGGGCGAAAAGGGAAAAGCGAGAAAAAAAAAAAAAACTCTGAGCAAAAAGGGAAGAAAAAAAAAGAAAAGAAAAAAAATGGACAACGTGCGGTAGATCGACTTGCCTATTGCAGCGGTGGGAAATTCCCCATCTACGCTTTTCCTTCCTCCACGGTCTACCTGGATCATAGGATCTGATTTTATTCCATTCTGTCTATGTTGTATAATTCATCGGGTACATTTCGACATCCGTCATGGCATGATTCGCCCACCCGAGGTGACGGGGAAAGGAAGAAAAGACGAAAAGGGCGACGCACTCCATACCGCAAATGTGGGGACGAGGGCTAGTTCCGACGCTACGCAAAAGGTCCTCTGATTATCTCATAGTTTCCTGAAGAACTCCGTGTGGCGTGATTGGGGTGCGTGGACTTTGTGCGGCCGCTCCGTGCCTTGTCCGGCTATCGCGCGTCTGGAGAAAGCTGGGAACCAGTTCCTTATCTCCCAAAATGCATGATAAACCATGATGGCATGAGCCAGTCATAAGTGAAAGGTTATCTCCTTCTCGGTCGGTCTTACTCCCACGGTCATCCCCAGTGACGCCAGAGTCAATCATCGATGATGTCGACACATGATGCACTGATTCGAGCATGATAGAGTCATGAGCCCGATCATACAGGTGAGACCGCACGAAAAGGAACCGGATCACATTGGAATTGTTCTGGTCTTGGGACCATGGAATGACCATGGTAGGGTTCAAATCAGGGTGGCCCGATAACAAGAGGACGGGTTAAATACCCCGGATTCTCTGGGGACTAGGACGGTGAGCCCATCGTCCGGACTAATGGGCGCGGATTCCCCAATTCGTGCAGAAGATGCAAAAGCCGCAAGTTCAGATGCAAAAGCCGCAAGTTCAGATGCAAATGTTCCAGGATGACAAGTGTTGTGACACAGGTTCATGCTTCCGAAGGCAGCCGTGATTACGGTCTTGCTCGGTCTTACTTCGGGGGCCCCGTGGAGGTTTAGCCCCAAGCCAAGGCCTCAGGATAAAGAAAGATACGCCCACTCGGCAAGCTCCTCCCGGTTTCCCGTCCACTCAGGCAAGGGCCCCCATGTGATGGCTACCGGCAGCCTCACTGGTTTAGCCAGACGATCGCCTACATACACCCTTGATCGTCCCCCCGGTTCAAGATCCAGGGCGGTGGGCGGTGGCCTGCATATAGCCCTGCCCCCTTTAGTGGCAGATCTTAGGTCTGAAAATAGGCGGGAATGCGCAAAACAATCCACACGTAGTATCAGTCTTGCGTGGCCGGGTTTCCGGAACTCTCTCTCCCTCTCTCTCTCTCTCTAGGTGTTCCGTTCAGGCGAACCCCGTGGAAACGTCCCACGGGCCATCACCCCAGATTGTAACTGCAACTCAATATCTTTTTCCGGGAGATAAGGGCTGAGAGCTCGGATGCCGGACTTTTGGCCGAGCAGATGTGGGGACTCCACCGTGCGGAATCCGTGCCGGACGCGGACACTGCACCTCTGGTCTCTCCACGGGGAATGGTGCAATCACCCTGGAGAAACTCCGGATTCAGCGCCCCGATCTGCAGGGGGGTTGAACATCCCATAGACCTGTCGACCGCTTCGAGCAATTACCCGCATTTTGCCGAGCCCTTGATGAAACTGTACACGCGGTGCAAATGGAACTACGGGGCTTTCACCGGGGGCTACGCTGCACTTGGTCTGATTCTGATTGGAGCGACGAGGCGTTTCAGAGCAACCCGGCTTTCCGTAACCCTCGTCTCACTTCCTCTCTTCGTATTTCCTTCGCTTCCCTGCAGACTTTTCAGAGATCCGCCCCGCGATCGCATTGATCGACACCGCTATCTACCTACTATTGCAGCGCGGGGCTCGTAGTTTCCTCTTCAATTGCCGATTTCTTCCGTAGAGCAGACTCCTCATCGATTCAATGGATCACCGCCGTCTTATCATCACATTCGCTGGGATGATCGTCAAGGTTTGGGGTGATGTACCCAGTGATCGTCACCTCCCAGCATTGGTGACTCAAAGATTGCACTACCCCGCAATCTCCAATCCCCAACCAGAGATCGACCTGCCGTAGTCTGGTGTCATTGCATGGTTTAACGTCTACCGAGTAGGCCAACTAGCGTTATCGCCTTTCGGGTGATTCTATCATGTCCGACATCGCTGATGTCAAAAGCGTCAGAGATGGCATGGCGCCCCCCGATCATCCCGCCGTCCGGGGTATCCAAACTTGCCAACTTGAACTTTCCTCCCGGGTGCGGCGGATATTTCCCCCGTCGCTCATACGTTGGCTCGTATTACCAGATGCAGGATACATGGAAAAGTGGAAAGTGGAAAATGGAAAACATCATATTCAAACCGCATGAACCAACGCAGCAGCCCCGGATCCCCGTTATCCCCGCCCTCCACCACCCAGCTTCCAAGGTCCTTTGGTCAAAATGAGGTTTCACCTACGCGACGGAAACAAGTCACTCGACACGCCACTTCGAATCAACACTTGCAGAAAAAAGAAAAGATAAGCCCAACTCAGCTCAGCTCCGCCCGCTCCAGAATCTCGTTCTCGCATCGAACTCGGTCTGGACACATCAGCAGCTGCAAGCCCCTTGCGACAGCCATGACGTAGTAACCAGCCGAAGGTGACAGATTTACCCGGGTTCGATTCACAATCGTCCTGCTGCCTGGCCACGGAGACCTCGAGCGAAGCGCCATGGGCACGCGAGCTCGAGCTCCTGGTATGTTGTGTAGCGGTGTTGGCAGGGTGAAAGACACCATATCTATTCCAATCACCGGGCTGAGATGAAGTAATACTATAAGATAATATACTAAGGTGACATCGGATGCGGGGAGGTTGCGCAAAAATCCGGGGTAGGATATTTTTCCTAGCTGTCGGCTCCAGTTACTGTGTACAGCGTGGACGAGGCTACTCCCAAGCGAAAAATAACCACAAAGGTCAAGGACCGTCGGCGAAACTGCAACCCTTCTTGGCCTTTACCTAAAAGATACTCATTTTGACTCACGCACTCACGCACTCACGCACTCACTCTACCGTATGCACACGCACTCGACTCCGAGCGTCCCAAACGCCAAGGCGAGCGATCCGCGATCCACAGCTTCTGGAACGGACTTCCCCTGGTCCAATGAGATCCGCCAGGGGCATCATGCTGATATCACTACTGTACACCCTAGACGATGCGGGGCTGAGACTCCGGAGTCCGGTTGTTTTGAGGGGTGTCGATACCGAGATAAACACCACCTGTCCCCCAAGACGACTTGATGCAAAGGATGAAAAGATGGAGTCAAAGGGGGTCGGAGTGGGTTTGCGATCACCACACCTATCCCGTTCTCGGTGAGGGCCGAAAACACCCCACTCAGCTGAGTGAATTATCCCTACCCCATATTCCCGTGTCTAGTAAGCCTCCCCACTCGGCATCCGGGAAAACGGAATTGCCAGACGTGCTGGGCATGATCGACTGGGGTTTTGCCCGAGCCTGCTTATCTGCCAATACCTGTTCCCAGAACATAATCAGGACACGTCGCTGCTCTCTGGCCACTCTTCTTTTCACGTGCTGCCTGCCGCTCATCCGGGGCTCCAAGGGTGACCCAAACTTACACCAGATCCAGACCCTCAGGGATCCACGAGCGAACTCGAGCTTGTGCTTTCGAGAGTTTTCACATGCGAAAGCACGGGGGAGGGTGCTTATCGCAGCTCTTTCATCGGTGGCTTCACGTCACGTTCATCCCTTGAATTCGGTGCACGGGGAACCCAAACTGTCACGCACTCTCAGCCTCGGCTTTCTTTCCCCGGGTAATCTGATCACGTCGGACTGCGCGAAGATGACGCTCGAAATAGTGCTGCTTGCGAGCCGATAATTGTGCCAGATCGGCCCTGCCACCCGAACGGGGCTTTCAAGTTTTTTCCAGGGAGCTGATCATTCCCCCGGCCCCGCGCGTCCGATGGATATCCATTACCTCTACGAGCTATACCCAGCTGGATATACCGGCACTCCGATTTCTGACGTGCGTTTAGACGCTAGCATCGGTTTTTATGGGGTGGTAATCATGCCGGGAGCTATGACGACACGGCTGCAACACAGCTAGACCGATTCTACTGCAGGTACCATTCATCGAGCGTGGTCCAGGCTCAGACAACCAGCCCATAGGGCTGGGCCAAGAGTACCTCCCGAGAGGACAAAGTCGGAAGAAGTCGGAGCAGGCGAGGGTCTAATTATGCCATTTCTCGACCGTATTGCGGAGCTTAGTGTGGCTTTGCCCTGACCCCACGATGATCTAGGAGGCTGCTTGGCGAGTTTGGAGCGAAAGCCATGGGTCCCCGTGGCGGCAGATCGTAGTATCCATGGGCCTTGAGGCTGTTTGGAGTAACGAATGAGAAAAAATTTTCAAGTGATCGGAGCAAGTACTGTAACATGGCATAAATCCGAACCGAAAAGGGATGCCTCGGTGAATGATCCAGAAAGTGTCGACGGCATCTGGCCGCCCCTAAACCCCAACGTGATTCCGTGTCTGGGGCCGCGGGCCCGACCTTACGCACTCGGCCTGCGACTCGGCATTGCCGTCCCGACTCGGCCTTGCGTGCTCCTCAGCCCGTCCCTCTTTGATTCGGGGGGGTTTTTTTTCCTCCTTTTTTTTTCTCGCTCATCTCCACACTTCTTTTTTGCCCAGGGGCCTTGGCTCGGGGCAGGCTGACCCCGCCGAAGATTTTCAACCCCCAAAATTCTTCCGAGGCTCGGCAGTGGCGAGGCTCTGTTGCCTCCGGGATGAAAGCTGAGGAACAGCCTAGGCTGTGCTATGCAGGCAAAAATTTATCAAATGGGCAATATGGCCGAAATCGCTACATTGTACACACCATACACTTCGTGTTCGATACTACCTGAGATAAAATTAGGTAAATTTCCCCCACCCGGAGAAGCGCGCACCGGTGGTCCGACAGGCTGAGGTCCCGCTGGATCATCCGACTTGCGGAGGTTTCCAAACGACATGTTTTTCATCTCTCCGCATGGAGCGGTGAGGCAATTCTCCGGACGAGGCTATACAGGGCAACTCGTGGAGAAGGCTCAATCGGGTAATATGAGTGCCAGAGTTCGCAATGTGGGAATCTCTTTGGAATCACTCAGCTCATACACCCAGGCCATCGTTGCAATCACTCAATACTTACCCTTTCTACAATAATGTACTTTATCACACCAAATAATGCTAGTCGCAATCTCGGAGCCAAGTCCGGTCACAAAAGCGGAAACTTCATTCTGCCACTTGCCTCCGCCTCGCAAGCGGAGAGAATCTCGTCGAGTTCAGTGCGCTGAGACCAGTCCATAGCCTGACCAGTAAGCAGACACTGGCATTGCTCTCTTTGGAATCATTCTCTGTATCCATTGACTGCATCTGTTCTTGATTTCCTCCTCCCCACGCCTGCCGTCCCAGCTATGGCACCCCCGCGCCAGCGCACCGCCGCAATCGTGGACGATTCGAGGTCCGAAGCCTCCAGTGGCACACGAGAGTTCAAGAGCGCTGTGCCGAAGCGCAGGACCGCTGCTACGGCCAAGGATAAAGCTTCAATAACCAGCATGCCGGCTATCCATGACCATCAAGCGGACGAACAGCCCAGAGTATGTACACAAGTCTTAGGGGGACGGGACGTTCGACGACGTCACAGAATCTCCAAACCGACCGTCCCGGAAAACCGAAAGCCAGCTATCTAACACAATTCAAAAGGTGCCATGGACTGACCTCCCTCTCGACATCCTTCACGCTTACCGCCACGTCCACAAACTCCCCACACCGAGCGCCTTCTCCAACGACTACTCCCGCGTCGTCCTCTCTCAAGGCGTCGGCCTCCGCTCCCCCACAGCCCTCGCAGCCCGCCGCGCCCAATCCTCCCGCAAAGAACAAAGCGAAAGGCACACAGCCTCGGGCTCGCAGACCGAATCGTCCGTCGAAGACGCAAGCCTGCGCCGGATTATCGGCCAGGACCGCGTGAGCAAGGACCAGTTTGCGCTAGTCGTGCGCAAGCACTTCAACAGCGCTGGACTTTCTGAGCAGGAGACTATCGCTCGGTTTCTGTATACCGTGCGTGAGGAGCGGAGGGGGCGCAAGTTCCGGCTGAGGTTTCAGCCGTGAGGCTGGTTCAGCTGTGGTGTATGATCTGGGGCTGGTTGGTTCAGTCTGGTGCAATTTCGAATCCCGTGTGTGCCGTGACCTTGGGTTATCCCAATTGGAGCTGCAGTATGCGGATTGAATGTGTGTTGGGCAGAGCGGACTGCTTTGGATTTTTGGAATGCTTGTGCCTCATGCCTCAGACTACTTGAGCTGCGCTCTTGTTTCTCTGCCTCTGATGTCCTCTCGTCTCTTCGTGTTTTATCTCAAGATACCCATTGGCGTTTCAAGTTCTGGGTGATACTTTTGTTGCGGGTCGCCCGCTGGGCCTTCATGTATATACATTTATCGATCATCTCGGCGTTCTGGTGGCGTTGAGTCCTGCCCGCTGGACCTTTTCGTCTGATCTCTATTACAATGAAACCAATTCTTCTATTTTCTATTTTGTTTTGTTTTTTCGTTTCATAGTGCTGATGTACCAATCTCGGGGGGGGGGGGGGGTTTGTATATATTCTAAGAACCTTGAGAAGCAGTTGCGCGTTGCTAGTACCACGACTGCGTATCTTGGCATTCACCACATACAAGTGCACTGGGCAGCATGGAATACCCAGGTAATTCAAAGCAGACATCCCAATCCAATCAGGACAAAGAACCGAACTTAAAACAACGAGGCCGCGTAAATACAACAAGAATAATATTAAAGGCATCAAAAACGAGCGCCGAGATGTATGGCCCCACCATTTTCCCCGCTCGTCATCATGTCTGCCAACTATGTTCATTTCCACACATTGAGACCAGCCCACGGGTCATTAGACGCAGGTGGCTGCCCTTGCGGTTGCGAGGGTGTCTTGTGGTGTCCGTAAGGTCGGGCCTGCGCATAACCACCAGGCCCAGAGGGGTACGGGCCGCCGGCAGTGGGTGGGTATTGGGTTTGCTGCGGGCGTGGGGGAGGCGGGGGAGGAATGTAGCCTTGCGCAGCCATGTAGTGCGATGGAGTGCCAGCGGCGGCTGCAGAAGGAGCAGGGCTGGCGCTAGGGTACCCGCTATAGGGAGTAGGTGTTTGGGAAAAGAACTGCTGGTTTGGTGGTGGGGAGACGGGAGTTTGGTAGGGGTATGCCATGGGATTGTAACCCTCTGACAGCGGGGCAGCGGCGCCTTGCTGGAAGGGTTGGCTAGGCATGCAGCCCGGGGCACCACCCATATACTGGCCATAAGGTGCCGGGGAATGTGACAGTGGGGCAGCTCCAGGCATGGAGGGAGGGTAGCGAGGTGACATCTTTGGTTCAGAGCCGACCGCTGAATATCCTGGAGCGTGAACAGCAGGCGGCGGTGACTTGACCTTAGAAGGAGGCGCAACAGCAGAGCCTGTGGATGGCGAGGTAGACGATGGCTTCGGTCCTGTTGACAGGCGCTCCATCAATTGACGGAGCTTCTCTCGCTCATGGTCTTCCTGATCTGTGACACCGGCGGCCTTATCGCGCTCAATCTGGCTCAGAAGCTGAGCACCTTCGGACCGACGGTTACTGATGAAGGTCTCCACGTTCTTCCGCGTACTATCAACATTGTCACCCATATCGTTATAGAACTTCCGTGCCTGGGAGATGCCTATCGTGAGACCATTGAATGCCTCATATACCTTCTTGTATCGAGCCATCACCGCGTTCCTTTGGCGCGTGATACCTTCGTACTTAGACTGTTCGGCTTGGATACGCTTGTCCTGGAGCAAGTCGCCATATATCTTGGTCAGTTCCTTCATCAGTGATGACTGCTTGTGATTTGCTTGCAAAAGCCGGTTCTGGTGCGGCCGGAATTTCTCCAGCTCCGCTTCGAAGAGCTGACTTTCTTGACCAGTAATCGACTTTTTGTTCAAGATCAATACGTTTGAAATATCATCGTTGTGAACCTTGTAGTTGGTCAGTACGGTGAGCGACGTAGTATACTTCGTTGGAACTTGATGCTCACCTTATCTTTGAGATCTTTGAGCACATTGGCCCGCTCTCGCTTAACGAGATTGAGTTTCTTCAAGATCTCCTCCACCTTGTTGATCTGATCTGAAACGGACATGCCGCCTTCGTCATAGACATCATCCAGTAGGCTGCCTTCTGCAGGGCTGGAAGCTCCATTCTTGCCCTTACTCTGCTTGGACCCAACCTTGATCATTGCTCTTTGGAAAAGAACATCAGCTTCGTCAGTTTCCCCGGCGGATCGCATCTGGTCAAAGTCCGCCTCGTATTGCCGGAACGTAGCAGAAAGCTGAGTGTCACTGGCACTGGCCTCTGCAATGGTATCACGATAGGTGCGGATATCTCCACGAAGCGTCGTATTGAGTCGGCCGCTGGGTTGCTGGCTCCAATCACCTCCATATTTGGATCGCATCTTTTCGCAGACACTCTCTTCCATGTCTAGCTGCTTCGAGCATTGGTCCAGGAGTGATTGGACTTCTGATTTGCGCTCCTGGAGCTCGTCGAAAGCCTTGTTGAAGGGTTTATGACCAGCCAGCTCCGAGCACCAGCGACGGAACTCTTCATCAACCGTCATATCTTGATCCATTCCTCCCTTTAAGATGTTGAGACTACCGGGCAGCTTTAAGTAATCAAGGCTAGCAGCCATCTCGCCGTTTGCTGTCTCAACCTTTTCAGTTTCGGCACGAACCAATTTGGCCTTCTCCTCGTCGTATAAACTGGCAGTTTCTGTGACAGACATAGGGACAAGCTTCTGAAAAATATCTGGACCGATAATCCTTTGGATATCCTGTCCTTGATAGAGCTCGCTGACTGGAATCGCCTTTGCGGCGGGCATCTTAGCAACAGCTGATAGACCCGCCTCGTTTGGGACAGGCTGGTGGTAAATGAAGTCGTTGTCCTTGATCGTCGTGGTAAGCTTGGACTGCACATTCGCCTGGTTATGCTTGATGAGTTCCACCAGAGCGGGCCCAGCCTCAGCTGTGAGATTCGAGGTCGCAGGAGCTGAGGAGGGGAAGGACTTGGCCCAACCGAGTGCAGTGTTGGCCTGCTTGTCAGCCAACTGCAGTCGCGCAATGGCAATACCATGAGATCCGGTCTCGTCATCTGCGAGGGCTTGGTAGTAAGACGCTACCGAGCTCATGTGTGCCGCCTTTGCCTGTACCACAATAGACCACACCTTGTCGAACACGCTCTTGCTGACAAACTCTTGCATTGTCTCCGCTCCCTGGGAATATAGATAGGCGGCCTGGCCAGCCAATTTAGCCAGAAATCCAGACTTCTTGGCATCGGTCACTTGCTTCTCCAGGAAGACCTCCTGAGCCTGAGCGAGTGTAACGTGGATCAATGTTTTGACCGTATCCCGGTTCAGGTCGGTGGAAGGTGCGTGGAGGAAGTTCTCATTGATGTATGTGAACATTCCAGCAGACGCCTGGAAAGAGTGGTAGGCCGTCTTAATACCGGTATCCTCGGCACGGTTCTGATTGGCAGCATGGCAAGAGAGGACAGCGGAGATGTTGAAGATGATGGAGGCTTTCTCGTAGGCGAGGGAGTATTGAGAGGTCGGTTTGTGAGTGAATGCATCGTACCTGTAGTAGAAGTCTGGTCAGAATTCAGTCCGATATAGTTGAAAGGTGGAATCGGCCATACCATGTAAAGGAGATCTTGATGTGATTCTCATCAACCGGGAACCGGAGATCCAATAGCTCCAGCTGCCCATAGTAGCGGTACAGCAAATCGCGACCGGTAGCGCTATCCTTACCGGCGCCTCTCATGTCCTGCCGGAGGCGGTTGAGGGTGGCACATTCTTGACTGTAATTCTCAGGATCCTCGCCATAGGTCTGCCGGATGTAATCCTTGAGGGGCTGGATCCAATCGATTTCGTTGGTTTGCTTCAGCGGGCACGAGAGCATCGGTGACTGAACCATGATGGGACGGTCGTCAGGAGCAGGATGCTCCCATCCAAGATCGTATAAGGAGAGGCGTGAGAGCAGCGGTGAGGTTCGGCGGGCGCTGAGGGGATCGGATCGAGGCTGTGGGGTAAGACAGGGCGGCAAGTCGGCGCCTGATGGTTGATCACCAATGACGTCGGTCCGGTCGAGTCGCGGAGTCAGAAGCAATAGATTGAAGACGACAAAAGAGGGAAACGTCGGAGGTGACGGGAGGTGGGGGGGGAGGGGTCTAGCTGGAAAGAAGGTGACAGGTGGGATGTGATGCCCTGACGTGACTCTGGAACGGACGCCAACAGCAGAACAAAACAACACTTTATACATATTTCTCTCTACACCTCCCCGGTTGCTCAAGTGCTTACGGGACGTAAGTACAAACAACACCATTAGACTTAATTTCTCTTTTCTATGAAAGTTGAGAGCTTCATGGTAAACCTAGCATAGTAATAGTTACAGGTGTCTGCCTCATCCCCAAGGCAGAACGGGTCCCCAATCTCGCCGGCGCTATGATGAAGACATTGAAGTAGATACAGACCAGATGGTATACAGTACATGGAGATTTACATAGCTTTAGGGTTTCTTGGACGACTCCTTGTCGGAGGCGCCCTTGTCTTTGTCAGCGTCTTTGGTATCCTTTGCCTCGGGCTTGGATGAGTCGGAGTTCTTGTCGGTCAGCTTGTGCCAGACAGACTTGAGGAAGCCCTCATTCTTCTGGCTGTCACCGTTGGATTCGGAACTTGAGGGGCTAATTAACACATTAGTATCATCGGAGTCCCAGGGTAGACCAATGTGACTTACCTGTCCTTGTTGAAGTTCATTGTCCGACGGGCCGTCTTGTCGCCCATCTCGTCAGCAAGAACCTCCAAGATAGTCCGCTGGTTACCTGTCAGGTACTTGGGCATGGCGACCTTGAATTCAACCCTCAAATCACCCGTGGGGGTGAAGCGTCCGCGGCCGCCGAGTTTCTTCATGCCCATTCCAGACAGAGTGATCCGATCACCAGTGCCGGTACCAGTGGCCACCTTGACCTTGACTTCATTGTCAAGGGTCGGGATGGTCACTTCACCACCAAGCAGGGCGGTGGTAAGTGGAATTGTGGCTGTGTAAAGAACGTCGGATCCGTTTCGAGTGAAACGGGAGTCGGGAGCGACTCGGATCGTGACATACAGGTCACCATTCTGGGTGCGGGCACCGGACGGGGCGGCGGTTCCAGTGGGAGGCGCATCGCCTTCACCGGTAACTCTCATACGCATGCCATCTTCCACACCCGCGGGGATGTCCACCTTGATAGTCTTCTTTTCTCGGATCACACCGTTTCCGCGGCAGGTACCGCACTCGGACCCGCGAGGAACGGACATACCGGCACCACCACAGGCATCGCATGTCGCGGCAACCTGGAAACCACCCTGCATCATGTGAACCCGAGTCCCGGTGCCATTGCACGTTCGGCACTGGGATTTCTTGGTGCCCTCCTTCATTCCGTCACCTTTACAGGTACCGCACTGTACCAAAGGTGTGATGACAATCTCCGAGGATGTACCCTTGGCAGCATCCATGAATGAGATGCTGCTCTGCACTTCGATATCCTCACCTACGAAGATCTGCTCCTGGAACGGGTTGCGTCGGCCACGGGGACCTCGGCGAGCACCTCCGGCAAAAGCACCAAACAGATCTTCAAAGTTGATGTCGCCGAAGCCTGCTCCTCCGAACCCACCTCCGCCAAATCCACCACCAAACCCGTGGAAGCCACCTCCACCGGCGAAAGGATTGGCTCCGGCGTTCGGGTCGAAGCCGCCATTTTGATCAAACGCAGCCGAGCCGAATCGATCGTAGCTCTCGCGCTTCTTGGCATCGGATAGCAATTCGTAGGCTGTTTGGGCCTCGGAGAACTTGTTCTTGGCTTCCGGGTCCTTGTTGGTGTCGGGGTGGTATTTCTTGGCCATGCCATAGTACGCCTTCTTGATGTCACCGGCCGATGCACCTTTGTCGACGCCGAGAACTTTATAGGGATCAGGGATCGCTGAGAGGGGGGAAGTAGTGTGGAAGATCTACCGAGAGTTAGCTGGCAAAGATCTCAAAACATACAGACCAAGCTGGGAAGCTACCTACCCTGGCTGAGGGCCCGAGGGTCTTTCTCTTATAGACGCCCTCCCGCAGACGTCGAGCAGGAGAAGCAGAGGCTGGCGCATGATATCCTCGTTTCTGCCCCGAGGAGCAGATGCTGGTCTGCGCCGAACATTGTTGCGTCCGCAGCAGGCGCGCGGGGAGGGCCGCGGCCTTCGGGAATGCTGCGGATGGGTTCATGGATTGAATATTGGGCAGTGCTTGGAGGGATATTGTCGTGGTTGAAGCAGCCCGCTGGCGAGGGAAAGAAAGGAAAGGGAATAAAGGAGCGAAGGTCGGACAAACAGAAGAACGGAAAAGTCTATAAAAAACCAATGGAATCGTTCTGCCACTCGCCTTCTTCGCGCAGAATTCGAGATGCTTCGGCAGTGAACCTTCTCGCGGATAAACTCATTAATCCGGCTCCGGCACCGCCTGCTTACAGAGCACTTTCAAGTGGTCCGACTGCGGACCTTAGCTACATTACCCACTACCTCAATTCCCCCCGACCACGTTTCTCCTGGAGCTGTGCGAACACGCTGTTCGAGCTTCTATTCTATACTCTTATCTCCAAGCTTCCCTCTACTCTTAACCCTTCCAGACCCGAACTCACCCGAACCTAGAGGTCTCGAATAGCATGCTCCGCGGCCAGACCCTCCCCTGGAGAGCTGCGCTCCACCAAACACCTCGCCCTTTACTGCGCCGGCCATTTCTAGCTTCGCCGAGGAATAATGCGATCATCCGGTCAGCATTAAGTGTGGCCCGAGTCGGTCGCGTGCTTCCCTCCGCTCCCCGCACGTTCTCCTCAAGCTCCATCCAACGGAAAGAGAAACCCCCACCGGAGGACCCAAAGGAGGAGTCGGAACAGAAGGATGAAGGGACACAACAGGATGACAAGGAAGCGGAGCGAACCCCTGAATTCCGGAGGAAGCCATCCGACTCTGGAAAGAATGCGGAACAGACGGGCCCCACGCGGCGAAAGGACCGGTCGTCCGGTGAGAAGGAACAACGAGCTTTAGAGGATGACGCCAAGAAGGAAGCCAAGGAAGCAGAAGGAAAGAATGATTCGGTCCAGCCATCGCCCGTCCCGCCTAGTAGTGGCTCGGCCGACTCGAAGCCCAGTGCGGGAAGCAGTGGTGGGAATGGCGGTAATGACGACAGCGGAAAGAAGGGAAAGAAGGGATCTGGAGAGAAGGCCCTCCAAAAACCAGCCGTCCCAGATGTATACCCCCAGGTGATGGCAATCCCCATTGCGAAGCGTCCGCTGTTCCCCGGATTCTACAAAGCGATCACAATCCGAGACCCGAACGTTGCCCTTGCGATTCAGGACATGATGAAGCGAGGTCAGCCGTATGTGGGTGCATTTTTGTTTAAGGACGATAATGCCGACGGCGACTTGATCGAAAATCTGGATGACGTCTACGATACCGGAGTGTTCGCCCAAATCACGGCCGCATACCCCCTTCGCGGCGAATCCAGTGGCGTGACAGCCGTACTTTACCCCCACCGGCGCATCAAGATCTCGTCACTGCTGCCTCCCAACGAAACCAACAAGAGTGGAACAACTGAGACCAATGAAGACAAGACGACCGAGAAGCGAGGTGACGTCGTGGCCAGCTTTGAAGAGGTAGCACCTGAGAATGCACCCAAGGACCACTATGAACCCACTTCGTTCCTGAAGAAATACCCAGTCAGCTTGGTCAATGTGGAGAACTTGACTGAAGAGCCATACGACAAAAAAAAGTGGCATTATCCGGGCAGTGACCAGTGAAATTGTGAACGTGTGCAAGGAGATCGCGACCTTGAATCCCTTGTTCCGCGACCAGATCTCGGCTTTTTATACCGATCAGTTCCCTGGAAACCTCAGTGATGAACCCGCCAAGCTCGCCGACTTTGCTGCCGCAGTCTCGGCCGGTGAGCTTCACGAGATGCAAGAAGTGCTCGAGACCATGAACATCGAAGAACGTCTTCCTAAAGCGCTTGTCGTTTTGAAGAAGGAATTAATGAATGCCCAGCTACAGTCTAAGATCACCAAGGATGTGGAGGCCAAGATCCAGAAGCGCCAGCGCGAATACTGGCTCATGGAACAGATGAAGGGTATCAAGCGAGAGCTTGGTATTGAGTCTGACGGCAAGGATAAGTTAGTGGAGAAGTTCAAGGAGAAGGCCGAGAAGCTTGCCATGCCCGAGGCCGTCAAAAAGGTCTTTGATGAGGAAATCAACAAGCTGGCTCACTTGGAGCCCGCTGCCTCCGAGTTCAACGTTACTCGCAACTACCTGGACTGGTTGACTCAGATTCCGTGGGGCCAGAAGAGCGTGGAGAACTTCGGCATCAAAAACGCAGTTAGCGTCCTTGATGAAGACCACTACGGTCTCAAGGATGTGAAGGATCGAATTCTCGAGTTCATTGCCGTTGGTAAGCTCCGTGGAACCGTGGAAGGAAAGATCCTTTGTCTTGTTGGCCCTCCTGGTGTGGGCAAGACCAGTATTGGCAAGTCGGTGGCTCGTGCCTTGAACCGCCAGTACTACCGCTTCTCCGTCGGTGGTCTGACTGATGTTGCGGAGATTAAGGGTCACCGTCGAACCTACGTCGGTGCCCTGCCTGGCCGTATCATTCAGGCCCTAAAGAAGTGTCAGACCGAGAACCCTCTGATCCTGATCGACGAGGTTGACAAGATTGGCCGTGGCCACCAGGGCGACCCGTCTTCCGCCTTGCTGGAGCTTCTGGACCCCGAGCAGAACTCCTCGTTCCTGGACCACTACATGGATGTTCCCGTGGATCTATCCAAGGTCCTCTTTGTCTGCACGGCTAATGTCACCGATACTATTCCCCGCCCCTTGCTGGATCGTATGGAGCTGATCGAACTCTCCGGCTACGTGGCTGATGAGAAGATGGCGATTGCCCAGCGATACCTGGCACCCGCTGCCCGGGAGCTTACTGGCTTGAAGAACGTTGACGTGAACCTGAATGAGGATGCCATCGAGGAGTTAATCAAGTCTTACTGCCGGGAGAGTGGAGTCCGCAACCTGAAGAAACAGATTGAGAAGGTGTACCGGAAGGCAGCATTCAAGATCGTTCAGGATATCGGCGAGGACGTTCTGTCGGAAGAAGCTGCGCTGACCGACGAGGGCAAGGCTGCCCAAGAGGAATCCAAGGAGCATGAGCCCTCCGACCCTGCCCAGGCCCCTATCGAGCCCGAGAAGTCGACCACCGAGACCCCTCGATTGGCCCTCAAGGTTCCTGAGAGCGTTCACCTCAGTATCGGCAAAGATACTCTGAAGGACTACGTCGGACCTCCCGTTTTCACCGCTGACCGTCTCTACGATCGGTTCCCGCCAGGTGTCACCATGGGTCTTGCTTGGACCAGCATGGGTGGCGCTGCGCTCTACGTGGAGTGTATCCTGGAGAACGCCCTCAACCACCAGTCGCGGCCGGGTCTGGAGATCACCGGCAACCTGCAAAACGTCATGAAGGAGTCCACGCACATCGCCTACTCATTTGCCAAGTCCGTTATGGCGCGACAGTTCCCCGAGAACACGTTCTTCGAGAAGGCCAAGGTCCATCTGCATTGCCCCGAGGGTGCCGTTCCAAAGGATGGTATGTTTTGAACTCTTTTTCGCGGGTTATAGCTTGGGTTTGCTAACATGTCTCGAATTAGGACCATCCGCCGGTATCACCATGGCCAGCGCCTTGCTGTCCCTGGCTCTTAACCACTCCCTCGACCCGACCATTGCCATGACGGGAGAGTTGACCGTCACGGGCAAGGTTCTTCGCATCGGAGGCTTGAGAGAAAAGACTGTGGCTGCTCGTCGAGCTGGCGCGACCAAGATCCTCTTCCCTGCGGACAACACATCCGACTGGCTTGAGCTGCCTGAGGTGAGTCACCCTGAGTCATTTGCGCGTTATTAGAAACATACTAACGTCAGGCAGAATATCAAAAAGGGCATCGAAGGTCATCCCGTTGGCTGGTACTCGGAAGTCTTCGACCTGTTGTTCCCCGATCTCGACCACGACAGCGCCCGCAAGGTCTGGCAGAAGGCGCTAGCCAAGCCGAAGAAGAGCGAGGGTGAGGCTGATGACGAGTAGCATGCTATTCTATGTCTGTGGTATATATGTGTGATCCTACTGCTGTATAGTTGCGTGATGTAATTCTGGGATGTACATGGAGTCAGTGTCGTTGCGACACGGAATGCATGGACTGGAGTTTACCGGCGCGTGTTAGATGTGTTGATTTCCAATGGAGCTCTCTCCAACCCAAAAGCGCGAAACATATAAACTCCACTCTATTCTAGCTCTCTTCTTATGTGTTTCATGCAGTAGTTCCATAGTTCCATTAGTTCCCGTGGTCAATAATTCCCCGTTCAGCGTCTCCCAATCAGGCACGATTGTCAGAGTTGTCAGGCCGCAACGCATCGATAAAAAAAATTCATCTGTGCGCGATGAATCATATCTTTTTATAAATTATTTAATTCCTCCCTAGACTCCCTTCATAAAGGGCTCCAGGGCTTTTCTGATTGATCTCCTGCACAGTCCTTTTGCTCCGTTCTGTGAGACATTGAGGCCTTGCAGTTAGATCATCGCACCGCGTCCACAGCTGTTTTTTTCCCGCTTTGGTCTCCTATCCAAAGAAAAGAAAAAAAAGAGGACCGGTCTTTTACGACTCCTGCGAAATATCTTGACCGACATCTCTGCACCGCCTTTTCACCCATACTCGTCTTGTCACGGACCAACTCCCCAGCCTCCGCGTCCATTGCAACCCGACGTTGTGTGACACGCCTTGAATGTTGACGGACTCGAGCCCTTTCATCCTTTCTGCCAGAAGGGGCCATTCGTGAGTTGAAAGAAGGAGAGAAGATCGCATACTCGATTTACCAGGGGGGAATACCAACTATCGCGAGCCCCTCGAACCGGCCAAACTCTTATGGCTGGAGTTTTGGTCAGTGGGGTGATCGAGTCGTTCCCAGTCCAGAACGAACCGTATGGCCATCTCCGTTGCCCACAGCTCCTGTAGCCCGACGCGGCTGGGTCTACCTTCTGAGGAAAAGGGGCAAAAGCAGAGCATGTGGCATCGATTGGGGCTCCGACGATGGCTGGGCCGCGACGATCGAGACTTGGGACGAGATGAACTCTTCCCCCACGATAACAACGAGCGCCAACACCACCGTGCGTCTTCCACCGACAGCTCACGACCCAAGCACGACAATCTGACCCGCCGTCTCTCGCGCCGAGTCGGCGTCGGTCTTCCTCGCTCTAATACCTTCAAACGCCGAAATTCCGAGTCTCGCGATCGCCAGGCACCCCTGGAGCCACAGCACCGCCGTGCCCTCTCCGTCGACCGCCGCCCGTTGAGTGCCGGAAGAACCAGGTCTCCACCGCCAAACGCTGACCCACGACTCTCCGCACCGGAGGTTCAGTGGCTCGGCCCGCCCGCTACCACGGTCGACGAAGTCCCCCAAAACATCGCAAACGAGAATGCGCACGATCTCCACGCCTGGGATCCCAGCCCCGACGTGACAACGGACGCCCCTGAAAAAGATCCCCCGGCGCCGGCGCCGGCTATTGACACGCTTGAAATGGAGCTGGAACGGCGATGGATTCTAAATTTGAGCATGCACTTCCGTGATCGGTCAGAGCGAGAGAAATTCTTTGTTACATATGCGGAGACCCCGACTCGATGGCGGCGTGTGACAATTTCGTGTGATTACCGTGACGCACCGCCCGATTCGCTCGAGCAAGACCTGAAGGAGCTGCGATACCAGCGCGACAAATGCGCCCGTATTTACGAGTCAATCCGTGAATCACTCCCCGAGATCCAGTTCTACGATACCGTGACGAATCTAAAAGTCGAAACACGCGATGGCCGCCTCCACGTCCATGTTACAGAGGATGTGAACGAGACGATTCCCTATCCTCCCATCTCGAGCATCGGACACCTTCGAGGCGCCCGATGTGTCCCAGAGCAGTTCCTGCATTTTGAGTCCCATTTGTCAGGATTTGTTTACAAAGTTCGACTGGGTGGAAAAGCCTATATCAAGAAGGAAATCCCGGGTCCCGATACTGTGGACGAGTTTCTCTATGAGATTAATGCCCTCCATGCTCTCAATGGCTCGCCCAACGTGATCAGTGTGGAAGGCATTGTGGTCGATGAGCATCAGGAAAAGGTCAAGGGATTGTTGATCAGCTACGCCGAGCAGGGTGCGCTGGTCGATATTCTGTACGAGCAGCGCGGTGAAATCTCCTTTACAAGACGAGAGGTATGGGCGAAACAGATAGTCCAGGGATTGTGCGAGATCCACGAGTCGGGCTATGTCCAAGGAGATTTTACACTATCGAACATCGTGGTTGACAGAGACGATAATGCCTCGATCATCGACATCAATCGCAGAGGCTGCCCTGTTGGCTGGGAGCCACCAGAGATTGCCGCCAAGATCGAAAGCAATCAACGCATCTCCATGTACATTGGAGTCAAGACGGACCTATACCAGCTCGGGATGACCCTGTGGGCTTTGGCCATGGAGGAGGATGAACCAGAAAGACAACCCCGTCCTTTGCTTCTCGGTGATGTGGATGTGCCTGATTACTATCGACGACTGGTTGATATCTGCCTCAGCCCGACTCCGCGACACCGGCTGTCTGCGAAAGAGCTCCTCTCGTTCTTCCCTCCGGATCTTCTTTCGAGACCAACATACCCAGTAAACAGGATCCGAGAACTACCTCACAGCAACCTGCCGCCTCTCACTACAAAAAGCAACGGTGTCGTCCCCTCATTGGTGAGAGACACATCCAAGCACATTACTCCCAAGGACTCCTTCAAGGAGTACGCACACACGCACCGCGATGCTTCACCACAGCCTATCTTCGACGGCCACGATCAAGCGAAACGATCGACTCCGACACTTGCAGGGTCCAATGCAGGAGCCAGATTTCCTTCTGGGCATTCTTCAGCATCCACCTTGAACCACCATGAACCTCATACTATCACTGGATCTTGGGACTCCACTCCTCCGGACAACCACACACCTGAGGTCCCCGTGGACAACGAAGTGCAGAACGCTGTGCCGTCTGCATTGGCGCATTCCATGAGTAATTGTCCCATTGCTTACGTGCCGAAGCAACCGGCGGTCTTGGAAGAATCTACCGTTCTCGATAAGTGCGAAGTTGAAAATACGCCGCACTCTACCAGACACGATGCACCAACCGCGGTTGCTACTATACAATCCTCCATCGACTCTTCCAACCTACCTGGGCCCAGTGAACCATCTCTGAGAACCCTTGCTGTGGATAAAAAGAGACCTGAACCCAGTCGAGGGACCCCCTTGTCTGAGCTACAGTCAACCAGGCCCTCCCAGTCGTCACCATCCCTCCTTCTCTCAATCCTTCCAATCAACCCCGCTTTCAGCATCTCTCGACCCAGTTCTTCCAATGCTGCGAAGGACGCCAATATATCTTCAGAGCGTCCAAAATCCAACCACTCCAGACTCACCACCTTCCTTTCCGAATCACTTTTACCAATCAACCCTGCTTTTATCTCTCGGTCCAGACCCATCCCCATGGATGCGACGAAGAATACCAACTTATCTTCTGACCGAACCAAGTCCAGCCACAACAGACTCACGGTTTTCCTCGCCGAGTCTCTTTTACCCATCAACCCGGCCTTCGGCGAAAGATTCTCTCGCCGTTCCTAAGGCTCCATCTTGCTTCCAACGGAGGCTTGATAAAGCCACCAACACAACCTCAGATCTTTTTTTTTTTTTCAAATGGCCCTATCCAGGGTCGTCTACTCGATACCCTCTTCGTTTCTCGCTTGTATAGTTCACCCTTCGTGATTGCCGCGTTCCAGCACAGCTCTTCAGGCATCTGCACCGATGGCGGATGCCGGCGAACTCTTGGCGTCTAAAAAAGTCTTTGCATTCTCTGGTGGATTCGATTACCTTTTTTCTGATTTAAAATCTTGATCTCCTCTTGCGATCTTTATATTTTGCGCCCTCATTCTGAAACGGAGGTCTTTTATTATTTGGCGTTGTTGCAGGGATGTTTGAGTGTATTTTGACTGATTTACTCTTTTGGCTGATACCGGCTGTATTATTTCCCCCTTTGATTGATTACCTGCAATGCAATTCTTTGAAACACGCCGGTGCCCCTCAGGCGTCTATGCTTGTGATAGTATTTGGATATTTCAGCTCTCTTCTACCTACATACCATGCACATATGACTCGAGGCTCTCCCGCCACGGATCTACACTCGATCCCAGTCCTCTGCCGATTAGAACGATCTTGCACCGAATCTCATTACCATCCTTCTGCCAGGGCTCCGAGTCCCGAATCTCGAAGACATCTCGCACGGCCTGGATAATCTTGCTTGATCCGTCTTCAAGGTAAACGATACCCTTCAGTCTGTGGATCTCAAAATTTGTAGGATGAGACTCGGGTGGCGTGTTGGGTGACTCTGGAAGTACTGATTCCCAAAGCACGGAGCGAAGCCACTCGTCGATTTTGGGAACTTTCGTAGCGGAGATTGGAGGGGTAAGGATAGCAGAAGTAGAAATAGCCTGTGGCGTCGAGTCAGTCTCGGTCCAAATCTTTTGGGGAAAAAAAGTAAGAACAAAGAAGATATAGAAACCTACCGGGTCAATGTGACTATGCCCTTTTTCACTAAAGTCCATGTCCGCTAGATGATCGTATGCATGCAAATCCAGTACCACGCCTTCAATCTGTGGCGTGCGGCTGTGATCCGTCTCATGAATCTTCGCAATGCTATTAATAGACGAGATACGGTCCGTCACGGCTTCCAACTCCTGCGCAGAGACCAGATCCGTCTTGTTCAGGATAATCACATCGGCGTGGGAAATCTGCATATGCGCCATGGAGAGCACCGGGCCGGAACCGTGATCGTGGTCGGCATTATGAGACTCGGCCTTCTCTTCGGGGGTTGGTTCGTCGAGCAGGTGCAATATGTTTTTTGCGTCGACTAGCGTCACGATCCCATCTAGATAGATCGAGCTGCCCAGTCCCTCATCCATCCAGAAAACCGGGGCGATGTTGCCTGGGTCGGCCAGACCGGTGGTTTCTAACAGGATGTAGTCGAATGTACCCCGGCGTTCCATGAGGGATTCCAGGGCCATGACGCCTGAGTCTCTGCGATAGTTGTCAGTCCCTGGTTTTCTCCCCTTCGAAATAGTGATATATACTTCACTGAGCAGCAGATGCACCCGTTTCCGACTTCCATCCATTCAGTGACTTCTTGGCCGCCCTCGTTTACTGTCAAGGGCTTTTCGATGTCCGATGCTTTGAAAAAATGTATGTTAGAAGGAGGAAAAAAATCATCACTGCTCAAAAAGCTTACAGTCACCAAATTCTATAGATTTCATTAGTATGACTTGTATAATTTCAGCCGGGAATACGAACCGTTCATGATCACAGCAATCTTCTTGCCATGTTTCTCGGTCAGAATATATTTCAACAGGGTAGTCTTGCCCGCACCCAGATACCCTATAACAAAGAGTTAGCTTAATTCCAATATTCGCCATTTCATCCTTCCATACCTGTAACAAGGGTAATGGGAACTCGAGGGGTCTGTTCCTCCTCTATAGAGGCTGGCTGCTCCGGCACCTCGGAGACATCAACCAGCTCCGGAGGCGCATCATCGTCCTCTATATTGGACGACATGGGTTCACAATTGTTAGATAGCGGAGAACAAGCCAAACAAGCTGCTCATCTGCAAAGCAAAACTCGGGGCGTAGATGCGGATGACGTTGTATTACCCAGACGGGACGTTTAGGGCTTAGGGCACGGGCGGTCATTTGCTGTTGCTTATCTGGGAAGCTCGAGTCAAGCTTCAGCGGCTATACTCTCTCTGCTCTCTTCCATCTGATCGACTTTCGAGGGCGCGGAATTCCCTTCCACTCATTTGCTACTTCCGGTTTCTCTCGTTTCACTTCCCGCCTCTCCAACCCCATTCTATCGCGCCCCTTTGTTTACGCGCCATGACTGCTGCGGGTGTCTCCCCGTCGAGCTCTCCGCGACTCCCCAGTCCTCCTCCTTTCACAGAGGTCCAGATCGGACCTCAGTCGCCTTCGGTGGGCGAGACATCTGGCAAAGATGCAGAGCAGTTTTTCGGGGGCGCCGACGACGATGGCTCAACACGCAGGATTCGGCCGGGTACCAAGACTGCTGACATGGCGTTTGGGCCGCCACTGATTCCACTGTCGCAGGTGTGTACAGACTCTTTTGGTAGATTCTTCGGGTCACTGACAACCGCAGCTTGACTCTCCTTTCCAGCTACAGGAACACCTCAAGGCCTTGTATAACCACTTCACCAAACCTGAGGGATCGGACACGGTCATCCCGATCAACCGCGAAGTCGCGCTTCAACTCGCCGAGCCCCCAGAGGGTGTTGACCGATCACTATGGCTCTACGAGCTGTGTCGCTTTCTCACGATGAAAGTCAACAACCTCATCGTCGCTTTCTTCGCCGAGAACCCCCCGTGCTCAGCGCAGACCTGCCCCGAAATGCGCGCATCTGAGTGGCAATATCTCTGCGCTGTGCATGATCCGCCGAAGTCATGCTGCGCGATCGACTACTGCTGCCACACTCTCGACTGGGCTACAAATACGCTCACCTCGCCCAAATACTTCCCCAGCCGGCTGACGCTGGGCTCCGATGCTGCCGGTGGCCCACAAGCTAGCATGAGACATCTCACCAACATTTTCCGTCGACTGTATCGAATCTTCGCGCACGCCTGGTTCCAACATCGTGATGTATTCTGGGAGGTGGAGGGCCACGATGGTCTCTATGTTTTCTTTAAAACAGTCTGCGACCTGTTCAGTCTCATTCCGGAGGACAACTATACGATCCCTCTCGAGGCGGAAGGCCCTGATGCCGTACAGCCCAAGGATGACGAACCGGTCGAGAGCAAGCGCCTGACCATCTTGCGCAAGGATAATGACGACCCTTTCGCCGGCGGCGTGGATAGCATGGACCCGTCTATTAGCACCGGTGCTACCACCCGTCGTCACAAACATAGCCCTTCGACTGGATCACGCGTCACAACGATCACGGAGAGCGCGGAAGACCCGGAGGAAGCTCCGCGATCCGCTGCCCCTCTCCGGGAGGTCATGAAGGACTCGCCCGAGTCGGTACTGGTACATCAAGCTGCCGAGGAGGCAGGGGTGACCGAGGAGACACAACAGACACCTGCTGGAACTGCGGATCCAATTGCTGCAATGGAACCCACTGTATCGACCGAATCGGCCGAATCTACTGCAGTCGCACAGGAGGATGCAAAGGAAGAGACACAGCGACCGGCTGATCCGCAGGCGGATTCAAAAGCAGACAAGACCGAAGAGGCTAAAGAGCACGATGGCGAGAATGCCAAACCCGAGGAGCCTACCGAGGAGCCTCCCAAAGAGCCTACCGCAGATCCCACTGCGCCCATCGAGGAGTCCACCGAGCCCGCTGAGACAGCCCCCGAAAGTGAAGAAGCTTCTACCGACCACAATTCCAACGAATCCGTGGAAGCAAAGCCAGAGGAAAAGACAGAATCCTTGTCATGACTCTTTTAATGTCCTGAATCCCCCCTGTTTTTTTAGTGTGACGATGTTTTTCTATTGTAATATAGCTCAGGATGTTCTTTATGGTCAATGTCAATGATACCCATTCTCCTGACTCAGATACAAGTAGATGTTAGTTGTAGAGTCTCAGGTACGGTTTCCCCGAACTTTGATAAGCGCTTATCGTGATCGACATCACTGAAACCTCGCCTTTCCCCGAACCCGAGAACCTCCCAATGTCCAACACGTCTTCAAATATGTCGGCGCTGAAAAGCGCCGCGCCAATCCACTTTGGCTCCTTCCTGGTCACACCACAGGTACTTCGCCGGCTTCCAAATGCCTCAACCCCCGTCCAATTATTGAACTACAAACACAGGTCTTCCACCAAACACCACTCTCCTTCGCCCTCGTCAACCTCAAACCAATCCTCCCGGGTCACGTCCTCGTATCCCCGCGCCGCATCGTCCCTCGCGTCGCAGATCTCACCGCCGCCGAAACAAGCGACCTCTTCCTCACCGTGCGACGCGTGGGACGGATGGTGGAGCGGGTATACGGCGCCTCGAGTCTGAACATCGCCGTCCAGGACGGTGTACACGCTGGACAGAGCGTGCCACATGTACACGCACACATTATCCCGCGCAAAGCGGCTGATCTCGACCATCGCGGCGGAACAGATGCCGTGTACGACATGTTAGACGGGGAGGAAGGGGATGTCGGGAAGGCGTTTCGGGATGCGGATACCACAGAGCAATCGAAGACTAGGGCTCGATTCCCTGTTGTCGATAATGAGGGGCGCGAGCCGCGCTCTCATGATGAGATGAAGGGTGAGGCGGAGATGTTGGCGCGCGAGATGGAGATGGAGCCGTTGGATTGAGCTTGATGCTTTCCATTCGGCTTTTGTATACTTCTTGCACTCTTACACTTTTACACTGGAATAGAAGGTCGTGCCAAGAATTGAATTCGTTCTAAAACCCGAAAGGCCAAGCGCAGTCGTTCATCATCATGCATCGCAATTCGTTCTCTATGGTATCTAGGGGAAAGTCCCCGAACGAAAAAAGCCCAGTAAACAAACGCCCATATTTAAGTTGTAGTAGGTGCGCAGGCATCCCAGTTCCTCAACTGGCCTACTTGAGCTTCGGGCGCTCCTTAATAACCTGCTCAGCCCAGACCTTAATCTCGGGCAACTGGACACGAGCAGCGACGCGGGCGAACTCGGAGAGATCGACCTTGTGTGAGCGCTCGTACTCGACCATCTGGAGAAGTAGCTCCATCTTATCGATATCGTGCACAAATTGGGCCTCGAGAGTGACATTATCCTCGTACTCCTGGAACACGTTCCTGATATCCTGGGCGGACAATGCGGCGCCGGGGACATTGCCCAGCAGGGAGGTGATGATGTAGTCCATGGTATCGGCCTCGCGACGGGCCTTCTCGGCCTTGGTGATGTGTACGTCAACTGGAGTGATATCACCGACCAGCGACTCGGCCATGTCGTGAATGAGGGCCATCTTGGTGCAGTGCGGAATGTTGATCTTGGATGCCAGCTCTGGCGGGGCAAACATCGTCATGATCGACATGCGGTACATGTGGTCCGAGATCGACTCGCCGTTGATGCCAAAGCGACGCCAGCCTTCGCGCTTGGTCGTCTTGAGGCGCTCAATCAGGTGAAAGAAGGGGATTGGAGTGGTCGTGTTCTCCTCTGGCGGGTGCGGGAGGGTGGACAGCACTGTAGAGATGTTTAGCTGTGGTCCTGACAGATTAAAAGTAATACCAACCGGTGTGCGGGGCCCATGAGGAGTTGTCGGATCCCATGGCTGCGATGAGTGGAGAGGTAGACAGAATTGAGAGAGGAGGAGAGGTAACGGGAAAGAGAAAGGGAAAAGGAACACGGCGGGACAGCGGGACTGGAGACTGATAGGCGCGGCAAACAATGCAAAAACCCCTTATCGGTTGTTGACGCCCAACTATTTACTAAACTACATCACCCATTCGCTGTACGTGCGACTGCATGATGGCTACCTCGAGGCCGGCACGGCCAAAGCCCTTTGACTGGTCGGCTCCATCTCATCTTACAGTGTTCATCCGCAATTTGAAACTACTCCAACTTGATCAGCGCGAGGACTGGCCCGACATCACACTCCGCTCTTTGTCCCCCTCGTCCCAGAACCAGCGACAGCGCATTCGTCTCGTGGAATGGGCCTTGTACTACCTCTGTACTATCTGGGATCCCAAGAGTGCACAGCATGTACGGATAAGTTCAAACATTCGAACGAATGGACCTCACTAAACATCTACAGAAACTCCGTCCCTTTTTCCCACCGCTAGAACACCTGCAGTCCGTCAACCTCCGCGCTGCTTTGTTCCGTGTCCTGACGGAGTTGAAGAAAAATGGAGACCTCGGGCGAGAGGCCGTTATTCGCAAAACAATGCTGGATGACTGTAAGGGTGAGAAATTCCATGAATTGCTCGCCGTCTTCTCCACCGCTGTTTTGCGGAAGCTCGTGGCGGTCTCCTCCGGGGAGATGAATTGGAACCTCGCCATGAAACTATCCACTGCTAGCTCTATTACCCCAAAAGAATACCAGAACTTGCTGCCTCTGATACTCGCGCACCAAGTCTCACTCAATGCAGCGGGTGCCTGCCGTGCTAGGGTGCATCAGTCCTACGACCAATTTTCGCGGCTGCTGGACGATAAGAAAACCGAACTTGTCGAGCGTGCCAAGAAACCTGCAAATGATAAAGATCATCCTACGGTTGACTCGGAAGGTTTGACTCGCGAGCTTCAAGCCAACTGGCTGGGCAGTGCGGAGTGGGCCACCGCTTTGCTTGACGGCGGGTCACAAAGTAGCACGGATGCTTTCTTGGAACTTCCATTTTCGCAAGCATGGGCTCGAGCCACAGCATCGTCAGTGGACGGTCTTGGCACTGGAGCGAAACCAGATCTGGTAGTTGATCTGGAGACACGGGTCCTGCACCTGCGGAGTCGGCTGCGCAGGTGGCACCAGTACAATGCTTCCCTTCGTAAGGCGCGAGGGGGAAGTCCCAGCTCGATGGGTGCGGAAGCTCAAGAACCTCGTCTTTTGTTCCGGGATCATCAGGCTCTGACTGTTGCGAGCATATCGAAAGCCGTTCGCCAGCCCGGTGATCGTGGAAGAGTTCTCAAAAAGGCAGATGAATCGTTCATGTCGACCGTGAATGAGGCTGTTAGTCGTATCAATGGCCAGTCTCGCTCGAATTCCAGAGACATTTTAGCCGTGGTGACAGAGGGCAAGAAACCAGCACCACTCGATAAAATGACTACCGACCGCTATAACAAGCCACCATCACCGAACTCTGATACAGAGCTTCCCAAGCAGTCACTGAATACCGACTCCCCAGACCCAATCCTAGCCAGCGAGGGTGAGAACAGCCAGCCCACTCCAGTCGTCCGCTTCTCTCCCGACCAAGACTCCGAGAATGAACCAGATCCGGAACCCGTCAAAAACACATCAACCTCGCACTACACCCTCGCCGAACGCACCCGCAAGTCAATGTCACTAGTCCCACCTCTCCCCACGCATGAAGCACAGACCCGTCCCCGACGACGTGGCCCACGGACTTCGTTCCCAGTGAAACAATTCGAGAGACCGCGAAAATCATCACGTCCGTCTGGCGGCCGCTCCGGCGCCTCAACGCCTCAGGACAAGCTATTCGAAGAAGATGCCGAGTACGCCAGTGTCTTCAAATCACGGCCACGTGTGGCGCTAAGCCCTATCTCATCTCCTGCCGTACATATTAGTCCCTCGCTGGGCGAGGATGAGTTTGAGTTGGACGAGGATGATGGGGCATGGGGTGATGTTGATTCTCCTTTGGCTACTTCGCGGATGAGGTGAATTCACTTGTTAATCGTTGATAAGAGTTGCATAAGATAGATACGCTGCTCTAGGCAGGAATCCATTTGCCAGCATGACGAGTGGAACTCTTGTCTACCAAGAATTGCGCCAACTTCTTACGGAAAAGATACGATTGTAATTACTTCATTCTCGCAGAGTCATGAGGAATACGTACAAGCTCTCACATCTGCGGATAATAAAAATCAACTACCATTATTTACAGCTGGCATTGATAACAGACTAGCCCACGCGCTAATCTCAATTTGGTCCCCGCTCGATTCTTATCCGAGGTTTATACTCTTCGGAAAATGACTTGACTGTCTCACCAAATGCAAAGTCCATCTCGCTGTTCACTCGCTACAAGTGGCAGGCAAAAACACACGCATCTACAATGGTCACCTCGCAACCTCACCCATTTGAGTCCTTCGCCATCCTGACACCCAGACTCATCATATTCCCCACGCCAGTCGCAGTCTCTTCAAAATCCTATCGTGCACTTTATTCAAGTCTGCATGCCGATGCGACCTTCTGCCAAATAGCCTTCGGTGAGCGCTTCAAGGCTAGGAATTGGAGTGACGATGAAACACGCGAATTTATTGAGACTCGCGAGATCGCTCGCTGCTGGAACCCACGCGGCCTGGGTGATTTTGCCGTGGGGTTACGCAAGTCAATCAATGGTCTAGATGAGGTTATTGCCGATTCCAGCGTCTCCGTCCTCAAGGGGGCTCAATTCGATCTACTAGCTCGATCGACTGCGGAATACCTGGATCAGATTGAATGGGTTGGATATGCCGGTGTGCGCGACGCTACAACCACGTCTATCCGGTCACCAGATGCAGATTTCCCGCCGTGGAACGAGATGGTCGAGTTACGATACGGTCTTTCGCCGAAGTTTTGGGGTGGGGGGATGGCGAAGGAGGCAGCGGAGGCGGTCATGGACTGGGCTGTGAAGGAGCGGGGCGTGAAGAGATTCATTGCCGAGACGGAAAGGGATAATCGGCAAAGTGCAATGGTTTTGCAGAAGCTGGGTTTTGTTGCAAGTGGGACTGATTATTGGAAAGAACCGAGTGAGGTGGAATGGGAACTGGTTGTACGGTAGTTGCTTCGTTTGGACTCGAATCGAATGACGATTCCGAAAAGCATCGCCATTCTATCGACACGCCAGTCATCTACTAAGTCCTCCTCACAACAAAGATCATACGAAAAGCCTCCAGCTCCTCAGGCCAGGCATAAGCATCTTGTTCCGAAAACCTGTGCTCCTCCACCGTGACTTCAAACTTCACCCCGGTTTCCCGCCCCACCTGCTCCCACAGTAGTCTAAAAGTCTTCAGACTCTGAATAAAGAGCGGGTCCTTGGATACAGGTAACTCCAATGCCCGCGCTCTCTTCGAGCCAACCTGACTGCCGATAATCATAGATCCGGGCTCCGGAGCAAGTAACTTGACGACGAGTTTAGCGGCCTCGACCTGCCGGTCCCAATTCCAGAGGTGGAAGAAGTTGCTTGCATGAACAATATGCAGGCGATTAGTGAATTCGGCTGCGAGAATTGACTCCGGGCTAAAGATGTCGTCTGTTATGAAACGGGCGCCGAGCTTGAGCTTGTCGAGGAAGAGCTCGTAGCCCATATCTATAAAGGTGGCGGACAGGTCTGCGCCGTAGACGTTTTGTGGCGGAGCGCCATCAGAGATCTATGTTTGGTTCAAGTTAAACCTTGTATAGATAGATAGCATTGATGCGTTTCGCGGTTCTCACCAACAGTCGCACTTCCTGTGCGAAACAGCATCCTAGATCGAGGAACAGCTGGCCATTCTTCACCCGCTGCAGTACTTCTGGATAGTCGGGGCACAGGGGGAGGTCCAGATCAAGAAAGGTAAAAAGGCCAATAGAGGCGTACGGATACTATTGACCATGAGCACTCTTACCCTTCAAGACACGGCGAGTCCTGGTCCGAATACGCACCACTTTATATGCACGGTCTCTCTATACTTCATTATCAGCATCAAGAACGATCACTGTCGGCATTGCAGAGCTTACCAAGTCGTTTACATGCTTGGCAATCGATTCCGGTGCAATCCCGCTCCACTTCTCCAGCAACGTGCGCGCGGGCTCGGGGACTTGGGTCAGCGCAGGACGATAGCTCGGGCCCATCGCCACGGCCGGGGGAGCTTCGCTCATGGCGCTCTCGATGCTGGACATGGTAGCTACGAAAGTTGCGATGGCTTTCTGTGGAAAGTTATTGTAGGTTACTGTAGGTGATGGAAAGGAGATCAATCATCTTACGCTGAGATCATCGTATGGGGGTACGACTCAGCCTCAGCCGCGGGGCCTACGGCAGCTCGAGGCTTAGCGGCGCTCTGTGCGTCTTCTCGAAGTCCAACAATCTCGTTTGTATTGGGCAGGTTCGTTAAGCATATTCTATTGTTACATATTTGACTACCTATGCTCTAGGTCGGGCATTCCTTCAACCGCCTCGACGTCGCCGTCTTGTGTTTCGTGGTGATGGTGCATATTCAGGCTCGTCGCCCTCGTCGTCCTCGGATATCGAGATGGGTGGAGACAGCCCCTCTAAACCTTCATCCTCGCTCCCAGAGTCATGAGAATCAGGATTAGAAGGGCCCTCCGCGCTTTGGTCATGGTGCTCTTCGACAATCAAGCCATCATCCCCATCATCTCCTTCGCCAGGCAAAAGAAACCCACCACCGTGATCAATGGGATTGTGAGATGTCTCTTCCAGATGGTCCTCTTCATGCCCTTCATCAGAGCCGTGCACTTCCCGGTGCTTCTTCTTGGTTGCAAATGGATTGTGAGATTCTCGCTCGCGATCTGCATCCTCATCTCCACCGTATTCTTCACGAACACGTTCGGCGATACGCAAGCCGAACAGGAACTTGCGCCATGTCTGCAAAATCCGCTTTTCAGCTTTGAGCTCTTCGCGCTTGCGTTTTTCAGCAGCGTCAATGCGCCAGGCATCTTTCAGCAGGCCCTCATTTTCAGCAGCTACGACCACACCCTGGATAACGGGAACGGCCATCTTTGAACCGAACTCGAACCCGGTCACTGCCTCTGCGTAATCGATGCCCAGCTTCTTGCAAATTCGGACAGTTCCTGGCAGTGGGACATGGGCAGCGCCGCGAGGAATCATACTAGGAACGAAGCAATCGATATTCCCATAGTCGTTCTTTGGAATCCTGCCGTCTTCAATGGGTGGAGGGATGATAAACTCGGTCTGGTCACGAGCATACAATCCCTGCATTGGTTTCTCTCCAGTCTCACGCTGCAGCTCGTCGACTTCACGCTTGCGCATGAGAGTCACGGCTCGAATGGGCACTCTTTTCAGAGGTACTGCGCCGGGTTGGACCTGCCGCCCTTCTTTATGCCAGCTCTCCGCCGACATGCACTTGACCACGTCCGCTCGACGGAACACAGGTTCTTCTTTCGCTTTGACACCTCTGCCTGCAATGAAGGTACGTACTGACTCTGCGCCCGGCCTCAGTGCCTCTTCGCGGCGCAGGAAGCGTTCCAGCACAAATTCAGTCGATTGGCGAAAGCTTTGTAGTGTATCAGTCGTCTGTGTCGCTTTCTTCTTCTCCGGCTGTTTTCGTTGAAGATCTCCTGCATCTTCAATCTCGTCAACCTTGGTTCTGCGTTCTGGATGTCTTTCATATCCACGCATGATCCTTCGGAACCAGTCATACTCGAAGTATTGTCCCCGGCGGCCCGGTTGCGGAATCTTCTCCACGGGCATCCGGAATCCCTTCGTCTTGCCGGGCCACGTTCGCCGTCGGAGGTACCGCGTTGTGACGTCTTTGGCCGTTCCATCAGTCGAGTGCGCAACCACATAGCATATTACCTGCTTGACGCGCTCTGCCTTGGCCCCACGTGGCTCGAATGCTGCTTGAAAATCTGGAGTTGTGGCAACGGGATTCGCAAGGACCAAAGGATCCACTGGGATGATCTGGTGTGTGACCGGTGAGGCAACCTCGGTCCAGTAGATAGGAAAGGGCAGGTCCTTGTCATACTGTGCTTGGTCCTTCTTTGTCTTTGGGGGGTCCTGTTCTGAGTCGGTCTCCGGGTCGAACCCACCAGCCTCAACATCAGACTCGACTTTCTCCGGGTTCTCCGTCTTCGATGGTGTCGATGGTGAGGCGGTTTCTGCTTTGGTCCAGCCAAATCCCAGTGGTTGGAGACTGCCTACAAGCCGTGCTTCGATGTTCAATGCTCTGATCAGAGCTGTGAAGAGCTGGGCGCCAACATCCCGGGAGCCTTGCATGCGCTCTGCTGTTGATCGAAACTCTTCCAGATTGGCAATGCATTCACCGTGGAGCTCCGGACTGTGATCTTCCTCGCGAAACTCCTTCAATATTGCTTCGACCGACGAGACTGAGCGATAGCCATGCTTCCGTAGACCAGAAGCTGTAATGCGAAACTGTTTCTTCCAATATGCAACCAGGACCTTGAGCAGGGGGATAATCGGGTCACCCGCGCTCATGTCTGGCTGACCCGGCTCCAGTCGTTGTGATTTTTCATCCCAGTCTTGCTTCTTCCGTGCCTGTTTTCCCTTCTTCTTGCTCTTGGGTGGCTCCGGTTTGGGCTCCGGAATCTCCAACCCCGCGGCAATGCGCCATTTCTTCACTTCTTTCTGAATGCCTTCGGGCAGCTTCTGTCGTAGTGTTTGGTGTACTTTCTTATCATTGATCCACGAATTGCGAATTGCGTTATGGAAGAGTAGGCATTGCACATGCATGCAATGTGTCTGAGTGCGAATCAGGCGCTCGATCTTGGACGGCCCTTTCTTGCCGTCCAAGAGATCTGACACGTGTGTATCGTCCTTGTCCAGCGTTAATTCCAGATCCTGTATCTCGGGCACGGCCAGGGTTGGAGTTGTCGTGCTCGTCGTCTTGGTGTCGATCGCATCTTCCCAGTCGATGTCATCATCTTCTTCTTCTTCGTCGTCGTCATCAGATGCGAGCGGCGCCTGAGGGGTATCATTGGCGCCGGACTCCTCGGGCACATCGCTCAGCGAGGAGTCCGTATCAGAGTCAGAATCATCAATGTGGAAGGGCTTGGCCGGCTCGGCCTGGGCCTGCCGTTTGGCCGGGGGCGGGTCCTCGGAGGAGAAGCGCTTGCGGGGGACGAACGGCGGCATGAGAGTTGGGCTCGGAGCCCCGTCGATACGGAATAGGAGCAAGTAGTAGGAGGTAGTGACCGGTGGTGGATGCTCCGATAGGCGGAGGATGGAGATGAGCGAAGGGCGAGTTGCTTTCGGCGGCTGCCGAGGTCGATGGTAAATCCTACTTTCTTCCACTTCCTGAGTTGCTTTGTCCACGGTTTCTCTTTGTCTACGAATCTACGAATCTACAAAGTCACGTTTTCCCCCGTTATAGTCAGCATCCCTTCACCACTTATCGCAATGGAAGCCGTCAAGCGATTCTTCTCTTCCCCGCGCTTCGCCGTGGCGGGCGCCAGCAACGACACCAACAAGTTCGGATACAAAAGTATGCACTTGCGGGAACTACATGGAATGTCCTTTTCTAACCTTGAGCAGTCCTCGCTTGGTATCACCAGCACTCGCTGCCCGTGACACCGCTTAACCCAAGGGCAGCGCAGATCTCGCTCCCCTCGCGTACCTACGATACGGCTCCCTCGCCGTCGGCTCTACCCTCACCCAAGCAGACTTCGCTGTCGGTGGTGACCCCACCACCAGTGACCCTCACGCTGCTGCAGGAGGCACATTCAGTGGGCATCCCTGCCGTCTGGTTGCAACCGGGCACCTTCGATGACGGAGTGTTGGAGTATGCGCGGGGACACTTCCAGGCGGTGATCGCGGGCGACGGCGGAATGGGCGGCGAGGGATGGTGCGTGCTGGTGGATGGCGATGATGGATTGGAGGCCGCCGGAGTCAAGTGGACCAGCCAGCGCTTGTAAATGGACTTGATTGATCTGAATGTGAGGGGGGAGTTCGATGTCTCAGAGTCGGGGATGACGCTTTGTTATCGTAGAAACAGACTAGCCCGAGTAGGTAGTCAACTTTGTTTTTTCCCAGCCTTCGTAAGGTTCACTGCGCGCAGTCTTCTCTCCCTTCACTTTCTTTTCATACTATTACGCCAAAATGCCCGACATGCCGGCTGTCTTTCAACCGTCAACTTCGCCTGCTAAAGTCGACCTCGCCAGCGTCAACTCTCAACTCTTTCAAGTCCCTTCATCCGCCTCCGCATCCTCCTCGCTATACTCCCTCTCCGTCAGTCGAAAGCGGCCTCGTCGCGACGAAAAGCTCTCAACAAAATTCGAATTCTCATCTGAGGCCGCCAGCCCTTCACCACTCCTTGAATCCGACTATCGCAAAACAAGTGGCCATGTCGACATCCACGCTGCCGCTGACCTCGACTACCGTCCGAACCGATACCGCGAGTCTTTCCTACCACCGTCTCTAGACGCCAGCATGGAGTCAGTAGATCAAGAAACTCAGGGAAACAGTCGTAAGCGCAGCCGGCGCGACTCGTGCATCGCTTCGCCGTCCGCAGACGATACTGATACCCCAACACAAGTCGGCTGGGGACGCACGGTGATTAAAGCAGTTGGCAAAGTACTGGACTTGTGCTGGACCGGCGCATTCCGTGGATTCTATGCTGGCGGGGGTCAAGGATACGACATGCAAGCCGGGTCACCAACACAATTCAATCCGACCTGGCAGTCTCCCGCCTCAATTGGGATGGAGCGGATCTATCGAACACCCATCCCGGGTCAGTACCCCGACGACGATATTGAACGAAGTTGGGTTGTCATTCCCGCCGAGCCAGCGGATCCATTCGTTGGCGAAAACCTCCCCAGTCCGTCTCTTCGAGCACGTCGGGTTCACCAGGCCCCCAGTCCCCGCCGTCGACCGGCCGTGATGCCCAGGTTGAACAAGAGAGCAGCTCCGTCCTCTTTGCGACCCTCAACACCTACCAAAGGTGCCGGTCTCGGACTTCCGTCTCCGCGATCAAGAGACGGTCCGGGTTCTGCTGAGGTGCAAAGACAAGCTGCTCGGATACGCCGTAGGGAGCGTGAAGAGGATGCGAGTATCCAGCGTTTGAACAAGCAACTTCAGGCGATGATTCGCGAGGGCAAGGAAGCACTCGGCACAACGGTGGAAGTGGACGATTTTGAGATGGACTACGATTGATCCGACCTTGTTTCCTCGGCTCTTTGGTCTTGTATCTGATTTCTTTTTTTTTTCTGGTCGCACATAACGATTCGATACCCCAACAGCACTCCTCGCAGGCTGTTCTTGACCAGGACCAGCTGGCAGCGCTAAACGACTTACGATCTCGGTGTTTCTTCTCTTTTTCTCTGGGGTTTGCTATTCGCAGCTTTTCATGCATACTCGGTTTCCAATTTAAGACTTCTCTTTGCTGGCTAGGTAGCCATTGCTTCTTTTGCTGAACAAATGGTATTTCATTCAAGTAAATCAGTGAGTGATATCGCAGGTCAAATTCAGTAAGTACAACACATCTGGCGTGAAAACAAGTTCCAGCATTCTGCCTGTTCGCCGTCACACTAAGAAAACTCGACTGTAGAAATTCATGTTTACAAAAAGTCTACATGGCCTCCATTCAATGGTTTTACTGGCCTCCGCCGGGGGTCAGAACCTTGCTGAGCTTGCCGAGGACACCGCCGCTGAAGAGGATGGAGGGCAGGTCAGAGCCCTGGATGGGGGAACCACCGCGGGCTTCGTTCTCGTGGACGTCACGGCGACCCTTCATCTAGAGGATATTAGTATGTTGACGGGAGATAAGGATCAGGGAAGACATACGGGGAACAGGCCCAGGCCGTGGTGAGTGTTTCCGGCGAAGAGACCGCCGAGGCCGCTCTCGCTAGCGAGCTGGGCGAGAGGGTCGTTCTTCTTGTCTTCCTTGGCGGAGTGGGGCTGGGCCTTAGACTGACCAGGCTGGGGAGCGCCCTCTAGCTTGGCCAGGGTGGCAGTCAAGCCGCTCAGGTCACGGCGGACCTGGGGAATCATCAGTGATCACATTCAATCATTCTCGCGGAAAGGTTACGAACCGGCATGGTCATATCAGCGGCATCAGAGCTCTGGTCAACACTGCTGTCGAGGGCATCGGTCACGGTATCGGAAATGGCACCGCCATCGCTGGTGTCGCGGCCGGTCTGATAGCAAGTCAGTCACATTCTCATTCTTGGGTACCAGGCAATGGCTCACGGGCTCGCCCTGATCTTCCGAATCCATATATTCGCGTTTGTGGCTGACTCGCTCGGACTGAATTGTCTCGTTAGCATATTCCATACAATCATTGAACGACCAAAACCTACGCCACCGCTGGTCAGCTTGTTGATCAGCCACAGAGCACCGAGCGAATCGGTATGGTGGGCGGGTTTGCCACGCTTCTCCATGTTCTGGCCCTCGTTTTGGCCTTCATTTTGGCCGTGGTTCTGGCCGTAGTTCTGGAGGTAGTTCTGGCCTTCGTTCTGGCCTTCATTCTGGCCTTCGTTCTGGCCTTCATTCTGGCCTGCATTCTGGCCGTGGTTCTGACCGTAGTTCTGGAGGTGGTTCTGGCCTTCGTTTTGTCCGGCATTCTGACCTGCGTTTTGCCCGGCATTCTGACCATAGTTCTGAGGGAAGCCCTAATGAGATATCATAAGATGACTGATTGTAGCCATTTTCCAGACATAGAACGTACAGTCTCCGAGTAACTACGGCGCATGCCAACTTTTTGGCCACCGCCAGTCTGGTGCGGCGAGTTTGCGGGGTGGTTCTGGTTCTACCAGGCTGTCAATTACTTGGTCATTGTTGAGAAAATATCCGGACACATACTCCGCCAAAGATAGATCCCAGCAGGGGGAGGTTACTCAGGTCACCAGTGAACGAGCGGGCCTCGTTGCCTCGCTTCTTCATATCCATTAGCACGTTGCTCTTTTTGGATCATGGCTTTTCGATCACCTACCAGAGGAACGGGCCGGAGAAGCGGACCAACAAGCGGAAGACTCTCTAGAGGGCTGTGGGCTACCACGGGCTTGCGCTCCTCCTCCTCCTTCTTCTTCTTCTGGTCCGCCGCCTTGATTTCCGATGCCTTCCTGCTCTTCTTATCTTCACCATTGGGGCGGTCGCTCTTGGGAGTAGCAAGTCCTTTGATCATCTCGTTGATCGCACCATCCGCGGTGCCAGCACCGATCAAATTACCGGTTCCATCGCGGCGCATGTGGCCAACGCTGGTAGCGTCGTTGCCAACCGGCGGCAACGGCGCGGCCAGGCTCATGGCCACGAAGAGCGTGAGAGCGTAAGTAGTCTTAACCATTTTGTCTGCGTGTCGAGTGAGTCCTGCCGAACGAGAATCTGCGTCGACGAGCGACGGGTTAGGAACAAGCAAGGAAGAGATATTAAGGAAAGTCTACGGAATGCGAAGCAACGAGGGATGGCAGCGATGCTTCTGCCTTTATAGTGATCGCCTTGGTAGCATTCTAGGATACCTAGGATGAAGGGGGTGAGGGGATAAGTGGCCTCCTTTGATCACCAGTCCCTGCTGGGAATGCCATGTTTTGCAGGAGGGGGCGGGTGGCTTGGTCTTTTCGGGATCTGGCAGGAATGTTCCGAGGCTTATTCGGAGAGATATCTCCGTCGATCATAGTTACAGGGAGGCGAATGCAAGGGGTGGTCGTGCGAAAGCTCCAACCATGCGTCTTGCTGGACCGGCACTTTGTTCGGGCAGAGCCGGTTTGTGGCCATTGATAAAATACATTCAGTTTCAGACTATTTACTGTAGCTTCTTTCAGCTGTGGTTGCAAATGCAACTCTGTCTATTTGACTCATGTTCCAGAGGCACAAGGGGTTTGGGCTATTTGCCCCTCTGTAACCCTTTCGTTGAGAACGTCGCACCCCTCCCTCCATTGAGCTCCTGCTTGGGCTTGGAGCGGTATAAATCCAATGTCTTATCTTGTAGCATATTCGGATACATTTCCGGAGATATACCCAAATGGGCTTCTTCAAATACCTGTGGACCTTTTCCCAATTTATTCCCAGATGCCGGCCAATCGTTTTGCTGGCTACAAAATATACAATCCGTCTTGCAACTGTCCAATGTAGAAACACTTGAAAGGCGTTTTGGATTTTGCACCATTATAGGGTTTGTGGATAAGTCCAGCGAAATCAATTGAATGTAGTGTGGCGAACCAGGGGTATAGCAATATAGAGTTCTTTTCACCGCTGATCGGTCCCTATATTACGTACTCCGACACAATCCATATTTGACCGTCGAGCCCTGGCGGCCGAGATAGTATTGCTTGGTAAACGGGCCACTTGGAGGGCTTCATGTATGTACGCATGGGAGTATCAAGGCTTAAGGTCCAGCCGTCCAGATATCAGCTTTAAAGTTGAGATCAACATAATATTTGACATTAAACGTCTATGCGTGTTGTCTAGTCGTCCTCCCAGAAAGACGGATCGCCCCAGTACAGGTCTGGCCCAACACAATATATAGTCCCCTCAACCAAGCTACTTGATCCAGGGGTTGTATCGTCTCACAGCGCCAAACTCGACATTCTGTGCCCATTCAATGGAGTTGCAGGTGTTGTTATCATGCAGTTTATACTGCGTCTCGCAGCTCAGCGGAATGCAAAGTTGCCGACCGACAACCATCGCATGTGTCCCCTTTCTTTGTTATGTAGGTGATTGTCTGACACGCACATTGCTGGGGCCTCTTCCTCTTCCTTTGGTCCCTCGGAGATTATGCCACCATTTGTGGATTTTTAGTATCCGTTGAATGGAGACACTATCGCTTAGTTCAACCTTGGAAGTTTATTTTGTGACTATAGCCCTCTGGGTCTATGAAGCTAACTATGAGGTTAATACAAACTGCCCTGGGCTGTTTTCCGGGACGGCCGGGTTGTCCTGGATCGGCCAATTAGGACCAAGAGCGAGAGACAACAGTGGCGTGTGTGATTATGGGCGTAGACAAACGACCAAATCCCAGATTTCTCTGCTAAGTGGGGAAGTAATCATAAGGCAAACGGTATCTACGGATTCAAGGACCCTGAACTAAGAACAGGGTTTAGGCCGCTAAGGCAAGCAATTTCTTGGCACATCAAGGTTCGCTCCGACACTCCAACCAACTCCACGCTAGTTGCTCCCTCCACCCAATCACCACGACAGTTCCTTGGAGGGCCAAGAAATCGCTTGGCACGAGGGCACCACGGACATAATACTATAGCTCCTCTTAGCCTGGCGCGATGTGACGTTACATGATTGGAATCAATTTCGTGGCTTGAATTAGCCCTTCGTTAAAAGCAATGGTGGATGAACTAGGCATCAAATGCGCAGGCATCAGGGAGCCAGCCCCTGGTTCGCAGGAGGATACTGCCCTCATCGCCATTGAACCTTCTTGGCGTTGCTATCAAAGCGGGGCCAGTCCTAGGCTATACGAATATAGCCTGTGCAGACAGAAATGCTCAAGTGGAAGATCCTGGCGTACCTCGGAATTTGCCATTACCGATAGTTTCCCCCAAAAAAGGCCGCTTCCTTGGCACAATTGATCCTTGGTTTTTTATAAACTCTACTCGGTTCCACCTTCAAGTTGCGGTGCATATTAAATCGCCCACATATTCAGTTGCACCGGGTCATCTTTCGTTCATTCTTGAGCCCAAATTCCTCCAATAATATAGGGACCTTGCCCGGATGGGATATCAACTCTCAATAAGAATCCTAAACCATGGATTTACTCCCCTTCGAAGTCAAGGGACTAATTTGCGCCTTTGTGAGAAGTTTACTCACCTAACTAGCGAATGTAACTGGCTAACTGTTTTTTCCCCTAGGCCAATTCCTATTCACAAGACGATCTTTCCTCGCTGGGTCGATTAAATCGCACTTGGTATGAGGTCGCTCTTCCTCTTGTCTACGACACTTTGAAAATTGCATTCTACAACAGGGAACATCTCTTAAGAGAACTCGCAAAGGTCTCCGAAGGGCCACAGTCACGATTATTCAAGCTTCATACTCGAAGACTTGATCTAGTCTGCTTGGATGGGTATAGGTTTCCGGCGCCCATAAAAGCCGTGTCACGGAGTGGAAAGCCCTCCCCACGCCTGCGCTATACTGACTACGCACCTGTCGCATCTCTGAACACATTTCTTGGAGACTATCTGAACCGAGTCTATGACGAACACACTCAATATAACCGGACAGTCTTTTGGTTCTATGCCGAGAAAGACTGGGAGCCCTTGGTCTCACTGATTTCCCGCCTAGGTCATCTTACAGAACTGAACTATGCCATCAAGGACATGTTTCCTCCAGCACTTCATCATGCTATGCGTCAGTACCACCCAAACTGTCGATTAAATATCTGGATGCACCAGTCATTCAGTCGTGAAATTGCTCGATTGGGCAAATTCCGCGGCATCAACTCTGAAGCCGAGGACCCGTTCGAAATGGAGACTCTTCAGTCTCCCAATCTTCACGCTTTAAGCGTGAGTCATATCCTCACGAAAGATAAGTTCTATCAAGACGCTACAGAGCAAAGCAGTCATTTTGCGGAAACTTTTCCGTTCCTGTTAGCCGCTCCCAATCTAAAGCACCTGCAATTTGAATATTCAGGGTCTTCCAAAGGAGACCTAGCCAAATTGAAGGCTCAGTGGGAAAAATCCGCGCAAAGCGTAAAGCCTATCCCAGTGGCTTCGCTCAAATCTCTTTCTTTTGGCAGCATGTTCAAAGCCCATTGTCCTTGGGAGGATGTCTTCATGTCCATTTCTAATCTCGTTGATCTATCGCGATTAAAGTCTCTCGATATCAGCGTTTCCCGAGCGCCTAGTCTTCTTCGGAATGCCCGTTCCATCGTCCCCAATTTGGAGAGGCTTTTTATCAACATGCATCTTCAGGACAGACATTATGATTATTTGGAGGAGGATGATCCCGAGATGGTGGAATTGATACAGGAATTTAATCCGCTTCGTTTCCTCGCAGTTCGTGGGCTGCGAACCTATTCGGCTCTTCACAGGGTGAGAAATTCTACTCTCCTCAATGAACCTCATAGTTCGATACACTTACCATCCAAATTAGATCCTTATACATCATGGAGATACACTCAAGGGACTTATTATCCCATCCACGTCAGATCGTCGCAAATCTCCCGACACTGATATCGGATATAAGTACCCAGCGCTGAACGGCCAACAAATCATCGAGGTCACAGAGACCTGTCCAAACCTAAAGGAACTTCTCCTTCCTATTAAACGTATTGGGGGCAGACCGGAAGAATGCAATGTCTACAGGGCATTAGGAAAATTCACTCAGCTTCACACGCTAGTCCTGGAAACGATCTACGATCCAAGATCGAAACCCGAACAACACTTCCCATGGCCTAATGATTCCCTTGTACGAGAAATCTTCAGAAACGCGGCCACAGACGTAAACCTCGTCAAGGCTATGTGGGGGCTCATATTCTCGAATCAACCATCGCGGCTATTGAGAAATCTTCGAGTGATACCGATCGGCCAGGCAGAATTCGCAATCAAAGGCGGCGACAATGGGAAATTTGAAGACGGCGTGTTGAGACAGTTAGGCCGCTCCTTCCTCCTCACCCGAACACCAGATGACTCTCTTGATGCGCAGGAGATTGGTAAATTTGACCCAAAACGCTGGCAGGACTTCCTTCCCAGCTTAAGCCCCCACATGAGACCACTCGCTTTTGAGGGGGCGATGAGGTTATTAAGAAGTGTCTGGCCTAGCATTGAATGGGACGATAAGACCTTTATACTTTCGGGTTGGGAAAGCTTCCCTTTACAGATTGATCCTGATGGAGAACCGCAAACTGCCACGGTGTAGCTGCATACACCTTGCACGGGAACCGGAACGATATTGCCACCAACATGCTCCCTTACAAAGCTATTACAGGCTGAGCAAGCCATTGCAGCCTTCTCGAAAAAATTGGCAATTTCTTGACCAACAAAATAAGCCAAATTAAAGTTAGACATGGCGAATATAGGGTGCTGTATACGGTGGTGGTGATTTGAGAAGGAAGAAAATATATAATTAAAGAGGGCAAAAAGAGGCAGTGGCTTCAAGTTTATACCAGTTTGATTAGGAATTAGATAATGTAGTTAACGTAACCGGTAAGCCAGCCACCTATATAAATCAGGCAGGGGGGGTTAGTAAGAGGAAGGGGGGTTGGTAGTATCAGTCTCTAAATAAGAGGGAATTGCAAAATCAGATGAAAGACGGTGAGAGGTGGCAGACCGGTAACTTCCGCGGGAACTTCCATATTGAATTGAACCTCTAGGTAAATATATACACCTAAAATCCTAAACATCTTGACTCATTATTATAGGTTAAAGCCTATGTCATGGTTTCAGAAAGAGCTGGGTTAGGGCTGTCGATGCCCCAATAATAATTTTGGAACATAATGTCAATTTTCCATCTTTTTCTTCATCTTCCGGCCAATTGGCCTAGTGGTAAGGCATCCGTTTCCGGTGCGGGAGATCGTAGGTTCGAATCCTGCATTGGTCGTTTCTTTTTTTTTTGACGTTTTACCTGTCACATGGGCCTCATGACTTTCTTTTTGTCATGCCAAGTAAATCAGAGCTGGGTAAATCAGAAACACATAACTAGTCTAAAAGACTATCGCAAAGTTTGAAATATATATTTCGAATTCGTAGTAATAAATTAGTCTAGGAACTATAAATATAGTTAGGGTATATATGTAGGGTAAGATTTGTCAAAACAGGAATCAGTCAGTCAATAACATTTTTTTAGCAGAAGTATTTCAATCGTGCTTCCTTTTCTTTATCTACTAAAACAGATTTGCAAGATCTCCAAAAGAACCTACGAGGTGCAAAAAAGAAACGACCAATGCAGGATTCGAACCTACGATCTCCCGCACCGGAAACGGATGCCTTACCACTAGGCCAATTGGCCGGAAGATGTAGATTTGTGGAGTAATGAAAATATGATACTGGCTTTCCGAATGCGAAAAACGCCTAGAAACATCGGGAACTGGAGACCTTTAAGTCTTCTTTTTATCAACACAGATCGCAGTGGTGCCAATGCTGACCATTCGGAAGATGAAACACCCATTAAGAGGTCATTTTGTTACTGTTAGGCCCCAATGACAAGATTTGGTGGTGAAAGTTGAAATAAGAAAAGGTACTTGAGAACGCTCATTCTAAATAGAGCGAGCGCAAGGACATAAATAGGCATCATTCAATTTTCATTCATAGTCGTAATACAGTTCCAGTGGCTAGCTTCAGAGGTTGTTTAGCCCTGGCTTACAGAATCTCTGTCCACCCGCGCCGAGTTCCTTGTAGAGTGGATTTCCCAATCAGAAGTAATTTTGATCTGTCCGTGAGCCAGCTCACTTAGTTTTTTTGCCATAGGAGGTTGTGTTGATGTCACCAGTGGGATTTCGGGCTCCTCGACCTGAGAGTTCGACGTGACTGCTGTCTTCCAGTATCCAACAGACGCCGAGTCGGAGCCCGGCCCGTCTGCCGCTGAGCACAACTTGGATGTTCCAAAGATCTTTTGAATAGCCGGAGGTAACAGAGGCAAACATGCGGCAATGATACCCAAAAGGGGGCCGATGCTGGAAATCAGTGATGCTCGTGCAGAACCGTAGGTTGGATCTTCTGGATCGGGGTTAAACTCGATCTTGATGCGGACTACGAAAATTGCAATGATACTGAACAAGCACGTTAGAACGAAATATACATCAAGGTCAAGTAATTCTCACATGATACCCAGAAGGTAGGTCATCCCGAGGGCGACTTTTCTGGCGCGGGCTAGCCTCATATGCCATACAATTGGCAGGGGAAGAAGGAGGATAAATCCATTGAGGATGGCTTCGGTCACAGAAGAGGCAGTGTGAAGCATCTTACGGTCACCACAATGGCCCTGTGAGTTGGCCCACCAAAGCTTGCTGGGCGGCGTACAGAAAAAGACAGTCACGAAGAAGGTTGCAATCCACAGCGCCGAACATATGCCCATCATCACGTAGGTCAACCACATGATGACCTGCTGCTGAAACCTGCAGAGATAATAATGCAGAACAGACATCTGAACCAAACAAACTACGGTCAACCAAAGAAGGTCGCCCGCATATGTAAGCTGACGAACGTTAGCTGCCAAGGCCTTTACCTGCCGTGTGCAGTGGTACGAACCTGGTTGAAGCGTACAAAGGCCTCAGGCCCTCCAGTACGCGCAACCTCCATTGAATGTAGTCCCATACCACAGAGTAGAATTAATATAAGCTCCACAATGTAGCGGCCAAGCATCAGGACCTAGCGGATGTTAGTGTAACCATTTCCTTATAGAAATATGGCTCGGCCTGGGACCAGGTGGAAGATCTTACCGCTGCGGCCAGAATTAACCAGTCATTAACCTGCAACGAGAATTGTTGCAAACGCCTCGACCATAACCGCAGGCTGACAGCCACAAACACGGCGGCAAGCAGGATCGTCTGGACAGCAATATCAGCCTTGCCCAGCCAGTTATGGCCGAGGGCGTGGACGAGGGTACCTATAGGAGGTGGCATCAAGAAGCGCTCAGCATCCAAGGTATCAGGATCAGAGTTAGAACAAGGCACCAGGCACCATCATATATCGAATGTCAAAACTCGGGGGACCACGATGGAGCGGGGGCCGTGCATTAAAGTAAGCGGGCTAGCAAGGGGGTTCCCTGCGCCCAACGAGGAACTGGGGGTCGGCAACTTTATATCACGGGCTTGTAAGGCCCGACCAAGTATTACAGTCCGTGCCGCGCAGGATATCATATGTGATTGACCTTCGGGTGGCCTTCTGGAAAACAAACTTGGGAGCTGGCGTTTCGAGGCAAGGGTCGCCGCACGGTTGTCCGTCATACAAAACATCTCCACTTTACTTTATCTGACACCTGCACACCCACGTGTCACTTCGCTAGGAGCCTGTTCTTTGGTGCTGTCTCATACCATTGACATGGGCATTTCAATTTACCTTTCAGGGCTCTGGGAAGCCCACATGCAGATCGAAACTCGGGTCGAGGTCTAAATCTAGACGAGCTCTGTGCAAGTTGAGTCCCGAGGGAGACGCAGCGGGCAAGCGATGTAGATCGTCCGAGGCCAACGACAGAATCCTATATGGGGGCCCAGTCGAGGCTCCTCTTTAATTGCGCGATTCAGCGTATCTCGAAGTCCTACTGGGCCTCACGTCCCTGGAACTCCGCTGCAACCTGGCACGCTCCCCGGACAGCTTCTCAAGGAAACTGCGCACTTGCTTGGCTGCTGGAGATGGGCATTGAGGCCGCGAAATATCAATCCCGTGGTCCACATACCACGTCACGTCTTTTGTCCCGTTGAACAGGAGAGCATAGCTGGCGCAGAGATGCATCCGTGCTTCGCGCCAGATTACATAAGCTTCTTACTCCACTTTCTGCGTACGTAATCTGGCGCGAAGCACAGGTGGAACTCGTTCCTATCACCCCCCTCAAAGCGCAGTCTCAAAAGTCCCCAGAATCAGTGCGCAACCCATCATTTCTACCGGTCGTTCTGTCCTAATGAAAGATACTCCGTCAGCTTCACGTGTAAATTGTGTAGCATTATGGGTCGAGACCCTGGTTGTCCAAACCCCATTAATCTGGACATAAGCCGGTCCGAGCACATTTGCAACCTCGCCCTCTTCAGACTAGAGATAGCTAGCGTCCTGTATCTCGTGCCAGATAACGTAAGCTTTTTGCTCCACTTGTCGCTTACGTTAACTGGCGCGACCCACAGGTGGAGCTCTGCGCCAGGTATGCTCTCCAATGATGGTGATGGGAACGAGATCCACCTGTGCTTCGCGCCAGATTACGTACACAGAAAAGTGGAGTAAAAGCTTATGTAATCTGGCGCGAAGCACGGATGCATCTCTGCGCCAGCTATGCTCTCCTGGGCTTTGCGGTGAATGCACACATCCATCCTGTGGAGCATCAGTTGACCGTTGATCGTTAACGTTGAGAATATTATTAATTAGGAGATCCAAGAAATTGGCTCATGCTCACTGGACAGCAAGTGGTCAGTATTATTCTCACATGTTGAGACCTCTATAGCGGACCTCTATAAAATCCGATGATATGATCTGCAACACCAGATTGGTTACTTGCAGGGATTACCACAAGGCCAAGTGCATACGCAGCGCCTGAAACCGAGGACGGTCGTCGACCGAGAAATGCCCTCGGTTGATCGTGATTCTCCATTGGGCTGTTTGCCTCTCAATGACGCATCTGAGAGCCGTGGGAGACCCGAACGCTTTGAACGCTTTGAATGCTAGTCCCTCTAAATACTCTCTCTTAAGTAGTGTCGTTATTGAATGATAATCTCATTTTATTTAAACCTATGACAATCCCGAATTCATCGAGCTTACAACGCAAACGCTGCATGAGTTTTTAACATTATATTCCTGCAATATACGTCCTTCGAGTTCATTCAACCAAGGATGTCCGCCATTGGCAGGTATTCCGCCATCAAGTGACGGATCCACATCAAAGCTTAGGTGCTCTTCTTCTGAGCTTCCCGCTCAGCCTTGCGCAGAGCACGTTTGCGGATGCTGTCGTGCATACCCATGTTCTGAGAAACCACGAACTTGCCCATGACTCCAGTGACCGAGGTCAGGAACCAGGCCATGATACCCTGGCTCCAGTAGGGGGAAGAGCTGTAAGCATAGGTCGACGAGCCACCACTTCGGCCGATCTTGGAGAGCACCGAGCGGACGTAGGCAGGAGGAGTCGGAATAGCAACCGAGGCGCGACGGATTTTGGACATGGCAGAGGTAATCAGGTAAGCCTGAACGAGCTCCACCTCGATACCGTGAGGAGCCAGCTCGGCACCCAGAGAGGTAGACCAATGTTGCAGGAAGGCCTTGCTACCAGAGTATGTGGCCAGCAGAGGAGTGGGGAGCAGACCGGCGAAAGAGCCCATGGTCAGAATCAGGCCGCGGCGGCGCTGGATCATGCCGGGAACGAAGAGCTGGGTCACACGCAGGGTGCCGATGCAGTTGATTGTGATGATATCGTTCATCTCGGAGGCAGGAGTCTGAGCGAAGGGAACGGGGATCGAGTGGCTCTGGCCAACGTTGTTAACCAGGATGGAGACATCCAGACCAGAGACCAGAGAGCCCAGCGCCTGGTAGTCTTCGTCGGCATTGCGGGAGAAGTCCATCGCCAGGATCTTGGTTTCGACGTTTGGGTATTTCTTGGTGATCTCCTCCGCCAGGTTGACAAGCTTCGACTCGGTTCGGGACACTAGGACAATGTTGAATTTGGCCCGGGCCAGCTGCAGCGCGAACTCCTTGCCCAGGCCATCAGAGGCACCAGTCACGACGGCCCAGCTACCGGGAGGACCGAAAGAGCGGAGCTAGATTGAACCCTGTTAGTTCCAATTCACAAGCAAGAAACAGGAGGGGTGTACATACCGGCTTGCCCGGAAGCAGGAACAGGCTGAGAAGCACGCGGACGAAGCTCCAGACCTTACAGGCGACAACCAGGCCACCAGTAGCGAGCAGGAGCAAAGCGCCAATGGCCGGGAGACCCGGCTCAAGATGTGCGGGCCATTGCGAGAGGCATTCGGTGTATTTAGAGAGGTCCATGGTGGGATGAAGGCGTGTGGAGGAGGGGAATTTGGGGGAAAGGAAAAAAGATGAGCTTGTTGGGAAGCGTCGATCTGCGCCAAGAACCCCAAACACCTCGGCCAGTTCCTTCACAAGCCGACTGCATCCCCCAGATAAACCCCATTGAATCGTGCAAAATGGACCAAATCCTCCAGTACCTTCCTCCCTTCGAGGGTCTTCTGCCCAAGTGGCTACTGTTTGTATGCTTACCCCTGTTTCCCACCCTCGTCCGTCCGCTCATCCCCGTCCAGGTCTCCGTTGTCTCCGCCGTCAACAGTCTGCAGGCCTACTGCTCCCCCGACTACACCTCCAAGCTCTACACCAATGGCGCCATGCCTGTCGAGCCCCTGTCTGGGCGCGTTTTCGGTACCTGGACTTTCCTCTCCGCCGTGATTCGCATGACCGCCGCCTACAACATTGACTCCCCTATCGCGTACAATCTCGCCATGTGGACGTACGGCATTGCGCTGACGCACTTTGTCGGTGAACTTGTTTTCGGCAACGCTTCCCTGAAGGGGCGCTTCCTGAGTCCGTTGATCGTGGCATCCTCGTCGGTTGCGTGGATGTTGACCCAGCGCCAGTTTTACCTGGGCGCTTAAACAGGGGGCGATGTAGTCGGGACTGCTTCCCGCAAACGACAGACCGTGGGTTCTCTCTCGATCCTTCGTGTGCTACCCGACGTAAAAAGGACTTAGTATAATATCCCACGAAAAAGAAATGCGATCATCTGTTTTTGCGATTCAGCCACTATTGGCCACTCTTTATAGGACACGATACCCTGAGTACACGGACTATATTAGATGGCAGCCGTGATTCAAGAAGTATAAATTTACATTTGATTTTATATCCATGAGATATTTTCGGATGATAATGCAACCCTAGTCCTAAGACTCCCTGGCCCTAACCATGCTTCTGAAAAAAAACCTTACTCCATCTTCTTGCGGTACAGCTCCCCTCCGCAGCCACGCAGACGAGCAGCAGCCTGCTCAGGCGTGATATCACGCTGAGGCTCAGCCATCAGCTCATAGCCGACCAGGAACTTGCGAACAGTAGCGCTGCGCAGCAGCGGCGGGTAGAAGTGCAGGTGCAGGTAGGAAGCATCCACCTCTTCTTGGGTGCCGTCGAGGGGAGCCTGGTGGATACCCATGCTGTAGGGGAAGTGAGTCTCGAAAAGGTTGTCGTAGCGGCGGGTGAGCTCCGCAATAGCCTCAGCAAGCAGAGTTTTATCAGCGTCGGACAGGTCGACGAGGGCGCGCTTGTGTGTGCGGCTGATTATCATAGTCTCGAAGGGCCATGTAGCCCACCACGGGCAGACAACAATGAAGCCCTCGTTCTCAAAGACTACGCGCTCCTGCTTGCGGCTCTCAAGCTCTGCGTAGTCCTCTAGCATGTGGCTACCGCCATGCTCGACGCGGTAGCGGCGCAGCTGCTCGAGCTCAGCGGCCGGCTCCTCGGGCAGAGTGCTGGTGGTCCAGACCTGGCCGTGGGGGTGGGGGTTTGAGCAGCCCATGGCAGCCCCCTTGTTCTCGAAGATCTGCATGTAGCGGTACTGCTCCTTGGGCCTGGAAACGCTGGAGTGATGGTTGACTGGCTGGAGGTGGGTTGGCGGCGCATTCTTAGCCAAGGGAGAGGATGGTGACAGGTGTGCGGCATAGATCTCAGTCCAGGCATTGATTACGGGCACGATCTCGATGGGAGCCAAATCGGCGAGAGTCAAGTTGTGGGCCGCGGAGAAGGTCAGAACGTAGCACTTGCCAGTCACGGGCTCGGCCTTCAGGAAGCGCTTTTCGATTTCTGGGACTTGGTCAGTACGAGTCTAGTTAGCGACCGGCGACAAATGCGTACCATCTCCATTGCTGCCATCATAGGGAGCCTGCTCCTCCTTCACGGCACTGTAGTCGTTGACAAAGATAAAGGTGCTGTCGTACTTTGGGTTGGTGTCACCCTGGGCACGCTGGTTGCCGGGGCACAAGTAGCACTTGGGATCATAGTCGGGCAGCGTGGTCTTTGAGGGACTCTCTTGGGCGCCTCTGCAAAAGAAGAAAGAGAAAAATCAGTTAGATAATGCCATTGTCACACAATTGCAAGGGCAACTTACTGCCAAGGGCGCTTGGTTCGGTGGGGAGAGACGAGAATGTGGGAACCCCGCAGAGGGTTGTATCTCCGGTGGGAGATATCGTCGAGGACGTTTTCCATGTTTAGTAGAGGAAGAGTACCTTGTGGAAGGAAATAGGTGGGAGGGAAGAGGTAAAAAACCCCCGCAGGGGAAGGGGTTTGGCCGGTCGGGCCCCCGCGGGGTCTCCATCAAGAACAATGGACATGACGCAGCGAGCAGCTTAGTCCCCTCGCTTACAGTGTGACCTATATCAATGGATTCCTTGAATGCGACATTTTGCAAATCCAGCACCAATGAGGTGTAACTAAGGCGTTAATATCCATTGAGTAGCAAATTAAAGACGCCGTGTCGGGTCTTGGCACAAGTGTCATTTACTCTCGGTGAGCCGTATAGGCATCGTTCGGCAACCCGTGGGGACCGGGCTTACGGAGTTGAATGCAGGCACTGGTGGGGACCCGAATTTTGGAATCTAACCATTTTGGGATGCCAATTTGGCTTCCACTCGCCAGTTCACGATGTCTAGTTAAAATGGCACTACTGTACTTCGGTATAGTTGGAAATCTGACGTCATGGATATACTGCGTTAACAGCCGATCGATAACCGATAACCCCGTCAGTGCATCCGGCAATTCTTCTAGCTAATGTTTCAGCTAATATTCCAGTCAATATTGCAGTTGATATCTCAGTGAACGACTAATATGCACGGTACCAGAGTGTAACGCAGGACTAAGACCAGCATTCACTGTTCCTGTCAGCCTCTCTTATCTTTGTAAACCTTCTTGTGACCTCCTCCCCCAACTTCAACCTGCCTTCGGGGATCCTACCTCTTTCTATTCAACGTGTGAAAGGCATACTGCACATTTACTGGAAAATGGATATTGAAAGTTCCGCCGGCTCCCAAGGAGACCAGATATCAAAGCTAGGAAACCTTCCCACGGAGGTAAGATAATGTGCTTTTCTTGGCACAGAATGACGGCTAATCCTACTCAAGCTGCTTGAACAAACAGTCTCAGAGCTCCCTGTTGAGAACATGGTCTTGGCGATGTCGGTGTCTCGACGTTTCAAGGCGATAATATCGAGCAATTTGGCTCTCATGCTCGATGCTGCTATGAAGGCTATCGAAGAGGAGCGCTTGAAGGTCATGCTGACATTTGCACCCCCGGCACTCGCCCAAGAATTTGTACTTTGCCGAAATGGTACAGTTGATGAGATGAGTGGATATGTGACTACCCACTCCACAATTTCCCAACCAGAGCCTGTCACCCCGAACCAAGGCCCTCCGAGAAATGCACCTAGTAAGTTCTTTTTTGCTAAAGATAACAAAGCTCGCAAAAGTAACGTTGAGTCTCAAAAAGTGTACAACAACCTACTTCGTGAGGTCACTATTGACGACGACGAGGCATTCACTCAGGTCAAAGTGACCGTGAAGATAGCCGTGTCACCTGGCTCGCACTGGGTGGCGAACCCTACTATGCTTCTTGACAGCACCCTTCGCCTTTCCCATGAGTGGCTTGAGCGAGGAGCTGCCGAACTGCTCTGGCTAGATGATGCGAAGTCCTTTGGCTTACGCGTGCAGCCCCGCCCTAGACAATTGGCCCGCCCGGCTGAAGGGACATTATATTACGATCTCGAGGTTGATGGTAAATGCAACTTGTACCGTGAAGCCGAAACGAAAGCTTACATGGCAGAACTACATATACGGACCACTCGTTTCCTTGCCGCCTTTAAAGAGGCGGAGCGGAAAGAGGAAAAAGAAACGGTATTTAATATTCCTATATTACCCTCCGCATTCTGAGAGCCTTGCTGACCGTCCGTTGGTGATAGCATCTTACCTTGACTTATAATTCCAGGTTTAGCTTGATCTGGTAACAGAACTCTATCGCCACACTCCGTCCGCGAGTTGGAGAGGGAGGAGGTGAGGTGAATTTTCAGCTACGAGGAGGATGTTTGGAGAGTGGGACGCATAGTCAGATGCTAAGCAGAAAGCCACCTACCAAGGAGCGGAAACTTCTACTTCTAGGGCTCATCTTGAGTGGCGCTGACTATAGCTCATTGATTGAGAACCGTGAGACTTGTCAGAAATTTTAGACACCATAGCATGGGCTATTTATACAGTCAAGTGCATCATACTTTTGGTTTATAACGAGAATTAATGAAAGGGCCATATCTAATTTCGGGTCCAGATCTATGCAAAGCACCGAAGTTGATGTGGAAGCTGGAAAGCATTCTGCCGCTGGGCTCTTCAGACATTAACTGCTTATGCAGATCTTGTATAATGGAAGTGTTCGAAAAGTGTGGAGCGACAGGGGATCCAAGCTATCAAAAATACTCCGCGTCTCCACCTGACCTGCCGATTAACCGGTGGAACGGTGTCGGAACGATGAGAATTGACTTGATGATTAGACCTTCTGACCTGCTATACTGCCAATATGATGCAATCTTCAATAAGTCAACAACAAACTAATTTCGGGAAGCCGTGTCGTCACTGGCCGTGGGTGGCGTTCGGGCCGATAATTTGGGAATTCAAACCGCTGTCAAACACGGCTCCACTGAAAAATCCAAGCGTGGCGGATTACTCCGCTTATTTTCGGTAATGAAGCCGATTGTGCCTGACGCACCAATCGCCGCAGAGATCTGACGCGGTGCCTGGAACATGGCTACCCTGGTTGGGAAGATGCCGAGGCTACCGGTTATCCGAGTGGGTCACTTTTTTTTGAGATTATTCATTTCTTTCGCCCATGGCGTGTCGATGATTCCCATTTTTCATTCACTATCGATCGAGATCTGCAAACTCTTTGTTGGCCCCAGGGCATATATGCTTGAGCATCGACCAAATCTCTGTGTTTCAACAGCCAGCAATATCAGTGCTAGGCTTGGCAGATCATGGCAGCTCTCGGTGTTGGAGGCGAGGCCTCGTTCCCCTCCAAGATCCCCTTTTGGCGTCTGATCTTCGACCAGAAGGTCATCACACAAGATGTCGCACAGCATCCATACCCCGGCTCAGGTACCGAGGAAGACCCGTATGCTGTAACATGGATCCCAAATGACCCTCGCAACCCCATGAACTTCAGCGACACGGCGAAGTGGGCCATCACCATTCTGGTCTCTTTCGTCACATTAGCCGTGGCACTGGTGTCATCCGCATACTCGGGCGGAATGCGCCAGATTATCGCCCAATTTGGTGTCGAGGAAGAGATTGTCATCCTGGGAGTCTCGCTTTTCGTGCTTGGTTTCGCCATCGGGCCGCTGATTTGGGCGCCTCTCAGCGAAATATTCGGCCGTCGCCATATCTTCACTTTTAGTTATGCGTTTTTGACAGCATTCAACGCGGGTGCTGCTGGCTCCCAGAACATCCAAACGCTCATCATTCTTCGGTTCCTTGCGGGCTGCTTTGGATCGTCACCGTTTGGTAACGCAGGTGGCACGATTGCTGATATGTTCCCTGCCTCTCAGCGTGGCATCGCGATTAGTTTGTTTGCCGCTGCTCCTTTCTTAGGCCCGACCATCGGACCTATTATTGGAGGCTTCCTGGCTACCGGAGCGGGGTGGCGCTGGGTGGAAGGCTTCCTCGCTGTGTTTTCGGGTGTTCTTTGGCTGTGCATTATCTTCTTGCTGCCAGAGACATATGGCCCAGTTCTGCTACGGCGACGAGCCGCCAAGCTGTCTGAGTTGACCGGAAAGGTGTACCGCAGCAGACTCGATATCGAGCGCGGGCCTATCCCTATGGGCAAGACTTTGAAGACGGCACTTTCGAGACCCTGGATCCTGCTGTTCCGAGAGCCGATTGTTCTGCTATTTTCGATTTATATGTCGATCATCTACGGTACTCTCTACATGCTCTTCGCGGCTTACCCTATCGTCTTTCAAGAGGTTCGGGGTTGGAGCGAGGGTGTGGGCGGTCTCGCATTCTTGGGCATCCTGGTCGGCATGGTCCTCGCTGTGATTTACACCTTCCCGGAGAACATGCGCTATGCAAAGAAATGCAGCGAGACCACCGATCGTCTTCCCCCGGAGGTTCGACTGCCTCCGAGTATGATTGGAGGCATTGCTCTACCTATCGGCCTATTCTGGTTTGCCTGGACAAACTCTCCGAGCATCCACTGGATGGCCTCGATTGCCGCCGGTGCCCCATTTGGATTCGGCATGGTCCTCATCTTCTTGAGCGTTTTCAACTATCTTATTGACTCCTATACAATTTTCGCTGCCTCGGTCCTGGCAGCCAACTCCGCACTCCGCTCGCTGTTCGGCATGGCGTTCCCCCTCTTTACGACATACATGTACAGAAACCTGGGCATCCATTGGGCGTCTTCCATTCCAGCCTTTCTGTCAGTCCTCTGCGTGCCACTACCGTTCATCTTCTACAAGTACGGTCCCCAGATTCGTCAACGTTGCACCTTTGCGGCCGAGGCTGATGCATTCATGCGCCGACTCGCCGAAAAGAACCAAGCTGAAATTCGGAGAGAAGTGGCGGAGGAGAAGCAGACCGAGAGGAACGCCCAAGCCGAGGATGGAGAAGATAATACTAGCGATAGCGAAAGTTTGTCAACCGTCCTTTCGCGGGAAAGCATCGCGCGATATGCCTCGCGGGCCTCTCGTCAATCAGGAAAATCCATGCACCGCATCTCCACCGCGATCCAGTACGAGGAAAATCCATATGACATTGACTTGGTTAATACTCGCCAGTCCGTCATCAGCCGGAAGGACTGAGAGATCAATACCCCGATCTAACGGTCTACTCCACTACTTTACCTATATTCCCTCGCGGTACGGGCACATGCCTTCAAGGAAATGAGGGCTCATTCTTCCTCCGCTCCATCCCCCGTCACACAATAGTCGACCCTCTGGGTCCTTCGGTGATGGGTTCGTTGACTCCACGCCGGTATCATTTTTCCCGAAGTGCCATCTTACCGGCGCCATGCCCTACCGGATCCAGTCCGAGTGCGTGGAGGATTGGCATTGATGATAACCGAGCTTGTTGACGCACGTCACATTGAACAGCCTTGAATTCCCGTTAACCATATCCTACATGCTGTTCGGTGGCACATTGATGGCAAGGGAACCCGCAGACCTGCAAAAGGCGCGAGCATTGCTTTACCTAGAATACCTTTCAACCGCTCTAGGTGATCCAGGTTGTATGGATTTGCCATAAGTCACGATAGCCAATTCCTAATATTTAATTGAATAACTTCTGAACTTGACGAAAATGAAGCGGTGGAATCTATGGAAGATATGCAAGTCTGAGTGACCATCCCTTTTCAGGGGGTATATCCAAACAATTGAGTCCCGCGATGCGAAGACAGTAGACTATGCCAAGCCTCCAAGATCGCGCACCGATCAAGTCCTATCACGGTTGCCTATGCAGCTTATGCATGTAATGCATGTCAATCGCGCCAAAATAAATTATCCGATGAAGTAATTGTGTATTAGTTCAAAGCCGAACCAAAATACATACCAAGCACACATGTTCCCTCAGAGTGCAGTGTACCGACTACATTCGTGATCACTCATCAACTCCACAGCCTCGGCTCCGCCCGAGGACCAGCCACTTATATCTACGCAACCCCGACGTCCCTTCATGTCCACCTGTTGGTTTGATATTGTTATCCAGGGTACTTGATCATCATGTCTGGAAAGATAGATGCCTATGTCGATTGCGGTATGCTTCTTGGCGAACCCCTTTGCCGGCGGGTTGAATTCGGCACGTGGCGGATAGCTGATTTGAGTCTAGTCTCACCTTACTCCTTCTATGCGACCCTGTATTTGAGGAAGAATCGCAAGGCGCTGGAGTCGCACGGTGTGGAGGTCGAGTGAGTGGGCCTGTCTAGTATTGCGGCGCTGTACTAATCATGCCAGATTTCACCCTGTTTTCTTGGGCGGGATCAATGTGGGCTCTGGTGAGTGACATCCACTATGAGATGAACGTTTCCTCATAAGAACCAGGAAATAAACCACCATGGACACTGCTTGCCAAAGCCAACTACTCCAAATTTGACACCCAGCGCGCATGCAAATACTTCGGTGTGCCGCAGATCAAGACACCTGATTTCTTCCCCATCCTTTCAGTCATGGTAGGCATCACCGTGTCTCATGGATAGATTGAAGCTTACGGATAAAGCCCCAACGCTGCATGATCTACATCAAGCGCACCTACCCGCGCGAGCGGTTCGAGACCACTTTCCTCTCGCTGTGGGAGTGGATGTACCACAAGAACATCGACATCAGCAAGCCTGAGCAATTGGCCGAACTGCTCAAGACCCACAACTACTCCGACCACGAAATCAAAGCCACCCTGGAAGCGGCAAAGAGCCCAGAGTACAAGGAGGCTCTCACGGCCAACACGCAAACAGCGTTGGATCGGGGCGCGTACGGCGCGCCGTGGTTCTGGGTGCGGAATAAGGAGGGCAAGGAGGAGCCTTTCTTCGGGAGTGATCGGTGAGTTCGGTCAGACTGACATGTTGGCGTGGCACTAAAGCTAATCGAGTGTAGGTTTGCGTTTATGTGGCAGTATTTGGATCTGCCCTTCCAGGACGTGGCTATTGTTGAGAACACCGGGAAAGCACGATTGTAGAGTACCCCAAACTGTAATCTAGATGGAATGCTAGTATTCTATGGATTAATTGAACCCCCCTAGTCAGTGACGAAATTAAAGAACGGATCAAGATTCAAGCCCGCACGATCCGCACGATCCGCACTACCCATACTGCATTCTTGAGCTCGGGCTTCGGCCTCAGTAACTCACTGTTTAATAACCTCGCCCCGAAGCTCGATGTCGGTGACCCTTAAATTGAGTCCATATGATGTAACGACCAAGAGAAAGCCTTCCCACTGGAAACCGTGACAATGTATGGTAATCGGAAAGCCCGGCTAAAAGGCAAATCCCGGCCCAGGTTGATAGAGCTTTGATTGATAATCCCGGCCTAATTGATCCTCGTCCTATACCCCACGTTGCCCCACGTCGAAGCTTGAATTTAAGACGCGCATCCTGCTCTTTCCATTTTACATCTCAATTATATCTACATCTATCTCTACAACATGTCTGGAACTCGCGTCGCCTGGATTGGCCTCGGCAATATCGGCCGGGTAAGTGATACCCCATCGCCGGGGCCCAGGATGATAGAATATCAAATCTCATCCGTTCCCTACACTTTCGGGACGAAGAGCTAACGCAAGAACAGGGCATGAGCGCCAACATCGCTAAAAAGGGCCCTCAATCCAGCCTCATCCTGTACAACCGCACCACGGCCCGCGCTACCGCTCACGCCGCGACTCTGGACGGCAAAGCGACAGTCGCCAACACCATCGCCGAGGCCGTGCAGGGGGCCGACATTATCTTCACCTGTGTCGGTGACGACGCCGCACTGGATGCAGTCGTAGCCGGCACACTGGCCGACCAAAGCGATCTGTCGAGCAAGACCTTTGTCGACTGCTCAACCGTGCACCCGGACACCTCGCGCCGCGCCGAGACAGCTTACACAGCCCGCGGGGCCGGTTTCGTGGCGTGCCCTGTCTTTGGTGCACCCAACATGGCCGATGCAGGCCAGATGATGGTCGTGCCGGCGGGTAAGCAAGCCGCGATTGCAAAAGCGAAGCCGTTCTTCGAGGGCGTGACTGCCAGGGCGTCGATTGACCTATCTGATGGAACGGGTCAGGACATCGATGTCGGACGCGCTGCGACTCTCAAGGTGCTGGGTAACACGTTCATTCTGAACACCGTGGGTGTTCTCGCCGAGACGCTCGTTGCTGCTGAGTCTACGGGTCTTGGCATCGGGCCTCTGAAGCAGTGGTTGGATCTGTTTGCTCCCGGGCCGTTTGCCAAGTATGCCGAACGCATGATCACGGGTGATTATTACAAGCGCGAGGAGCCGTTGTTTGCTGTTGATCTGGCGCGTAAGGATCTGAGACATGCGTCGACGCTGGCGAAGGAGGGTGGGCAGCGGATGCGCAATGTGGACGTTACGGATGGGTTTTTGCAGGATGTGAAGAAGGAGCAGGGGGAGAAGGGTGACATTGCGGCTATTTATGGGGCGGCGAGAAAGGCCGCGGGGATGAAGTATGGCAACGAATAGATGTCCCCAAGGGCTAGCTAGATATACAGGCGATCACGTTTGAACTAGTTTATACTTCCAAGGTTTACATGAATGGACGATGATGCTTTGTGAAGTATTGAATTGTATTATGGTTGATGACCATTTTCCGATCCGAATTATATCCTTGTCTCCGATTAGGAGACCATAGCAAAGAGATGAGTTGTTCAATATACACATGGGAATTTATAAGTAGAAAAATGCATAACGCCAATGCTCCGTCGACCTTTTGGCCTGGATATCACATGCCCAAGAATTTACTCCTGGATCTCAGCAGACTCGTGCTGTTGCTGCTCACCAGCACCCTCCTTGGGCTCATGGGGTGCGTGGAGGTCAGCCACGATGCCCTCGGGGGCGACCCAGCTAGCGGACTTCCAAGGCTTGACGTGGAGGACGTACATGGTGTCAACCTCCTCGAGGGTACGGCCCTGGGTCTCGTTGACGAAGAAGAAGACGATGAAGATGGCGGCGAAGCAGCAGCCAGCGAAGACGTAACCGTAGCGGAAGTCAATGGCGCTGTTAATGAAGGGGGTGAAGAAGGAGATGAGGAAGTTCCAGGTCCAGTTGGCGGCGGTGGCAACACCCATGCAGGTAGCACGGTAGCGGAAGGGGTACATCTCACCACAGATGGCCCAAACGATGGGACCCCAGGTGGTAGCGAAGCCGACGATGAAGAAGCAGGTGAAGACAATCATGGCAATACCGGCGGGGTGGGAAGTAGGGTCGGCGTGCAAGACCTCGTGGCCGACGGAGGCCCAGATCATGAAGCAGATGAACATCCAGGCGGCACCGACCATCAGGCAGTTACGGCGGCCGTAGTGCTCAACGACGTACAGACCGGGAAGGGTCATACCGAAGTTGACGGCACCGAGGATGATCTGGGTGACGTAGGAGTTACTGAGACCGACACCCTGGAAGATGGAGGTTCCGTAGTAGAAGATGAAGTTGGCACCGGTCAGCTGCTGCAGGGACTGCAGAGTAATTCCGAGCATGGTACGGTAGAACATGCGGGGACCGGTGAGGACCTCGTGCCAGGGAGCGTTGCCAACGGCCTTCTCCTCGTCGAGCTTCTGCTTCATGTCGGCCATCTCCTGGGCGACGACGCGGTGGTTGGTGGGGACACCGTAGAGCTTGGCCATGACGTTGCGGGCCTCCTCAACACGGCCGTGACGGTAGGCGAAGCGAGGGGACTCGGGCAGGAACAGGGTACCGATACCCAGAATCAGAGGCCAGGCAAAGCCAATGCCCATGGTGATGCGCCACGAGGCAGTGGAGTGAAGGCGCTCGGTACCGAAGTTGATGATGTAGGAGATGAAGATACCAAAGGCCACGAACAGCTGGAAAGCGCTGACCATGGCACCACGGACCTGACGGGGAGCGGACTCGGACTGGTACATGGGGACGACGCTGGAAAGAGCACCGACACCCAGACCGGCGACCCAACGGCCCAGAGCAACTTGGTACCACTTGTCGGTGGTGGCGATCTGAACAATGATACCGACGATGTGGATAAGGGCCCAGAAGGAAATGGAAAGCTTGCGGCCGATTCTGTCGGCGATGGGGGCAGCCACGAGGGCACCGATCATGGTACCGATAGAGAGGAGACCGACAATGAGACCATTGCGGACGTTGCTGAAGGCGTATTCACCCGTAGCAGCATTGTACTCGGCGAAACGCATCTTGAAATCCTCCATAGTCGTGAAACCCGAGATTTGACCTGTGGGAGAAGAACCAATCAGGATGATAGTTGGGGCAAGTATATCTGCAGTGGAAACATACCAGTAGAGTATCCGAAGATGAAGCCACCCATAGAGACGCACAGACCCAGGATGAACGAGCGCCATGTTAAGTACTTGACAGGGCTGTCATCAATGGTCAGGTTATCCTTCTCGGCGGTAGTCGAGTCGGCACGAGAAGGGGTAGGTGCCTGGGAGGAGAACTGGGACTCCTCCGCAGGATTCTTGATGCTGGACATAAAGTTGGAGATACCCATGATGAATAAACTCCCTCAAGTGGAGAATATGTCTAGGGTCTAAGATAAACAAAGAGAGGAATGAAAGAAAGAAAAGAAAAAGCCATGGAGGGAAGGGGAGGGAAGGGAATAAATAGACGCTGTCAACGGATTCGGCGTCATCCCTTGGGGTACCATGGCAGACAAAACGGGGGCCCCGATCTCGCATCCCACGTTTGCGCCGGGATTGGGCGAAGGAAATTTCGAACAACTCCATGACTCCATGGGCTCAGCAGTCCCTCTCCGTGGAGGGTTCTTGGGGTGGAGAAAGGGTGGAGAAAGGCATTTGACGCCCTCGCAGAAATGGGGGATGTCCACGTGAGTTGTATCGAACGCAGTCTACTGTCCGCTATATTTGGTTTATTTTGTGTACTGTTTCAGGTCCTGATATTCCTCTCAACAATGGCATTTGAATTGTTCGCTTGTCTGTCTCCGCATTCAGCCTTGCCTTCTACGAGAACATTCCAGGCGGAGGCGGGAATCCGCGATCGGTGGAATGTGTACACACGCCTCTCCAAGCAAGGGATGGTGCCGAGCTTCCCTTACCACATTCTAGAAACCTGCGAAATTCAGTTTAGGGTCGGAGGGACTGGGTCTGGACCCAGCGAATGAAACGCATGTTCCTGAGGACGGATACCGACCGCGGGTACGATCGTCAAGTATCGGCTTTGGCAAGGTGTCGTCACCATGAGGACCGGACGAGCGCCATTTGCCGAGTTTTACTTGATCAAGTCGACTAAGGGAAGACTCGTGCCAATTACTACTGAAACGAGTGGGCTGACAATCCATTGAAGGTAAAGAGAAAAAAATTCTCTATTGTAAATTTCTGTTTACTCAGTGGGGCGGGCGTGGGTTCTACACAGGGATTGAGGCAGGCGCCGAGCCGGTCTCAGACATTGACGATCTCTAAAGTTTGAGGCGAGTAGGTCTCTACACATGCGTATAACTCTGCAAAAGGGAGGGAAACTGTGTCCTGGGTTCAGGTCCCGTTATATAGAATCTCTCTGGGCACGTCCCAGTATGGATGAAGTCGAGAGAAGTTCACCGCAACACTGATAACAGCTGCAAAGTGGACAGAGCTGGGAGCTCGGTGGGCGGACTCGGCCAGGCCCACTATCGGTGAGGCTTCGGACGACTCCCGCGCAGAGATTTACGATCCGCCGAGCCTGCCGTTGGCTCCACTGCCGCCAAATCGGCACACCGATTCCTGCTGTGCTGTCCCGAGACCGACTCGGGATCGATCCCGTGCAGACGTAGTGACAACTCCAGCGGTATGCCACATCGATAACATACCTTGACCACGGTCGCATCTATTATAGCGTGTACTATTTATCAATCCATAATATTTCCCACCCTTAGGAACACCCGACAATGCCATTCAGCAAAAGATCAAAATCTTCTCGGCATCCCGAACACGGGATCGCCCTCGGGGTGGGCGTTCAATGGAGCCACAATTTTCATCGGCCCCACTCAGCCCAAGCCTTGGGTGATCTGCGGTGAAACTGGCGCGGAAAAAAATTCATCTGTTACAGAATCAGCCCATCAAAAATAAAAATACAAAAATGGGGCGTAGTGGGACCCCTTCTCACGCTCCTTCCTTCCTCGGTAACATCCAATCATAACTTGACAAGACCCTTTCTTGCTCGCGATCTAGAGGTTTTTTGGCCATCGGTGACGTGCGATTTTTATTTAGGGAAAGTCTACCGTTCATGCAGTGTCGGAAGACTTGCTGTCTCTAGGCTATCTGAACCATTGATCAATGCAGCTTGATCAATGCTAGCTGGCCATTGCTCTCGAAAGCGTGACATCATCTTTTATGCTATTCTACATAATGAACAAGACTTTTCGTCGGCTTCGATGCTCGTTTTGAAATTTAATTGGTTCCCGATAAAGGACTTGAGACACCACAGCCATTTCCAAGGTTGTCAAATTGCCTTCCCAGCTTGAAGAGTCTAGGCATTCACCGTGAAACAAACGTTTCAAGGGAAGCGGATCATTTTTGCGGAAATTGTTCACTCTACCAGATACTGGTCCTGCAATTGACACAGAAAACAGTAATGGTCTCATTCCCAAGCTGTAGACAGTCTACTATCCAGGTCATACTCAAGGGATAGCCGAACATCAATATTAATGAAGCCACAATGCAAGGCACCTATCCTGGAAGTTTTTGCCTCTCGTTGGCTTTTTGAAAAAATAATTTTCTACTATTGAGCCAACACGTCGGAGCTATACGGCTGTTGTAGGACGCCAATACAACTTGGAAATAACACGGATGGGGTGATTCTGGGTCTTAGCCCAGGGTCAGGGTGCTGGTGGCCGGGCCACCGAACCCATGGAGATAGCCAGGTGGTAAACCAGAGACCGTGCGGCTTGGTGTCTGGAAAAGTCATCCTCGGTATCGCGACGAGGCACTGGGTATGTTTCTGTGCTTCGACTCCAGGGCCAATACTGGATAATACCTGCCCTGTCGCTAGATCATGCCCTTGCCTCCTGAGAGGCCACAACTCATGTCATCTCTCAGCTTCATATGCAATAATCACCATTTCGGCGAAGGCCTACAAACAGGGGCTGTAAAATCTTAAATGTTTATCTCAGTGCAAAACATCAAGGTCGATGTGTCTAACGAGGGGCTGGATCGAATGGAAGTGAGAAACGCTAGGCAAGTATCCGTTGAGATACTGGGATACTATTACAGTGGGCAGATGGAAGGATCGTCTTGGAAGGACTGGACTAGGACTAGGTTTCTCCTTATCCGTCAAGTCTATTTCGCCTTCGCCACAATCCCACTCCACTCCTCAAGTTCAATGAGAACGCACCTGGCCAGATTCCTCATAATACTCTTCCCTCCTTCCAAGGATCCCTCGCCCACCCCATCTTCTGTAGACTAAGCGGAGTTCCAGGATCCCCAGCGAATGTATATCAGCAACGCGGGGCTCTTGCATGGTTTGCTTGGCCCATGAACTCCTCTCCACCGATGACCATTCATGGACTCAATTAGCAAGCCATGGAACTTCTCGCGATAACGTAGAAGAACGATAAATGAGCCGGTGAAGCAGCCACAGTCGTATTGATAACCCTTAGAAGGCACAGAGCCCGACCCAATTCCCAGACCCCAGATCTCGATGCCTTGTCTTCATTTAGTAAGATGCATCCATCCATCTACTCAGATACTCCGACACAAGGAGAAAAAGCCGATCCATGGCCTGTGTGCGTTCCATAAATTCATAACCCAGTTAGTCAGGCCACAAGAGATATATCGAAGTCGATCAACAAGGTGCATCTCTACCTGCATGGGAAACTTCAGCCCCAAAACCTTGGAAAGGAGTTGCTCTTGAGACTTAAGAAACGTACCATCTCAATGTTCAGAACCACCAGCCGGGTAAACTCGAAATGACCCACGGACGCTATAATGAAGAGCTCTCAAGTGTTGGAGGGAGATCACCAAAACTGTCTACCACATTTTCCAATTGCGTATCACTCGAGTACTTCCAGGTCAGTTCTTACACTGCAGATCTGGACAGCACGCTAGAGACAAAGCTCTGGATAAGTCTACGCGGCCTCAAAACACATCCACTTAAAACCAAGAAACGGCATCTGTATTGGTATATGCAATATCATCAGGTCAAGAACTTTTGGTCCTATTGACTGGGAGAACAGCCTCCCACAAATCGTAGAGCAGTTTATCCAGGAAAGATGGAAGTCTGTGTCAAATGAACATGGAAAGAAAAAACAAACGCCCGACACCATTGTGCACCCGGTATAGAAACCAATCGACGATGATTAAGAATGTGTCTCGTTTCGTCGCCAGCGGAGCCTTTAACGGCGCTGGGTCTTGCCCATTCCACGCTTGCCGGAGAACTATGTGATTGTTAGAATTGTTCACCGTGTAGGGTTGGTTAAGGGTACATACCAAGTGCTTGGGCAGAGAGGCGGTGGTGTGACGATCAGCCTCACCCTGGCGGGCCATGCGGTTCATCTTCTTCTGGCCCAGCTTGAACATACGCTCGGCCTTGTCACGGGCAGTGTCGCTGACGACACCGTCGTTACGACGATCAGTAGCCGCCACGCTGCGGGCACGACTCTTAGCCCGGGCAATAGCCTGCTTGGGGTCGTCCAGGTCCATAGAGTCATCATTGGGCTCGTCGCGGGTAAGAGGGCGACCGCGGACCTGGCTCTGGGAGCGGGCCCGGTCACCAGCGGCATCCACATCGTAGCCGGCGGAGTCCAGGGCGCGGTTCATCTCCGAAAGCTTCTTGGACTTGGCACTGCGGGGAATTTGTGCGCGGTTCTTGAGCGACTTGCGCATCTTGGCCTCGTTGCGCATCAACACGCGCTTCTCACGGATCAGGTCGGCCTTCATGCGGATGTCGGCGTCCTCTGCATCCTCCACACTCTCGTCGGACTCGTAGTATCCATCGGCCTCCAACTTCTCCTCTTCCTCTTCCAGAGCAGCCAGTTTGGACTCAATATCGGGGTCCACGAAGTCGTAAATGTTCTTGCCGTTCCAGACTTCGGGGATCTTATCGTGGTTCCACTCGTCATTGGCCAATGTGTAGTCGCGCTGCATGTCGAAGCTGTAGACACCGGCTCCACCGTTCTCCTCTTCAAGATCACGCTCGAGCTTGCGGCGGTTGGGGTCGTTCTTGTCGTACTTCTTGAGGTCCTTGACAGCCTCGGGGATGAAGGTTTCACGCTGCACACCACCCATGGGCTTGGCAACGTGAATACGGGCCAGAACATCGCCAAGACGGCCACCAGGAGTTCCGGAGGTGTTGGTACCAGACTTGAGCTTCTGAGCCACACGCTCGGCAAGAAGTTTGTCGCAAGCAGCATTCTTGACAGCAGTAACACCCTCGGTGGTAGTGCAAGAAGCCTGCAGCATCTCGACATCACCCGAGTTGAGGATGTCCTGCAGCTCCTGTTGCTGCTCGGGGTCCAGATCCTCGGGGCGGCGCACATCGATCTTGTTGACGACAATGTAGACAATCTTGTTGGCGAACAAGGGCTTAATACTGTGGAAAAGCTTGATCTGATCGGCAACAGAGTAACCGCACTGCTCAGAAAGATCCATGAAGTACAGGATGGCGGAACGCAAGTGAGCAACGGCAGTGATGGACTGCATTTCAATGGTGTTCATCTCCTCCAGCGGGTGGTCGAGAATACCGGGAGTATCAATGGCCTGGAATCGCAGGTACTTGTAGTCGAAGTGGCCGACGAACAGGGACTTGGTGGTGAAAGCATAGGGCTGAACATCGACATCGGCACGGGTGATGCTGCGGAGGAAGCTGGACTTTCCGACGTTGGGGTAACCGCAGATCAGAAGAGTACGGGTATTGGGGTCAATGGAGGGCAAACGACCCAAGTGCTGGCGGACCTGCTCAAGGTAGACGAGAGGATCCTTCAGGCGGCGACAGATGGTAGCCATGCGACCGAGTCCAGCGCGCTTGAGCTGCTTGCACTGGAACAGAGACTGCGCGTATTTGATGAGACGGACATAGTCGCGGGAAACGGCTTCGATAAGGTGCTTGGCAGTAGAGACCTGGCCGAGGGCAATGCGGAAGTGGTCGGCATCGTACAGGGTGTTCATCAAATCCTTGTCTGGGAGATGTTAGTCCCCACCCGAGTGGCACCGAGTCGCAGAAAAAGACTTACGGAAAGGATGAATGTCCTGCAGACGGGGGAATCCATCGAGGATGGCCTGGAACTTATCACAGAAGGTCTCCTGAGTAAACTTGACCTTACGAGTGTAGAAACCTATGCAGCGAAAATTTCAATCAGCGATCATGCTTTATCGATAACCCCGATAAGTTTTTTTTTTCCCTCCTTCATGGAGGTTGCCACTCTCTTAACACAGCGACTGGAGTATAGGGGAAAAGCGATGTACCTCTGATACGGCTGATCTTGAAACCGGCACGAATCTGGGTGGGCAGCTGTCGCTGAGTACGGCTCAGGACAATGTCCAAGAATTCCTGGCTGGTGGGCACAGGCGCAATCTAGCGGTGAAACAGGTTAGAACAAGAGGTTCGCAGACCAAGGACGAAAGAAACAAAGGCACTCACATCCTTCCACGTCGTCTTCATGATGGGCCACGGGAGTCAAGCAGGAAAACGAGTGACTCTGAAGTGGAAAGTTGTTGGGGGTCCCGAGTCGACCATTCCATTCTCCACGAAAAAATTGTTGCGGGCATTTTTCTGCCGGGCGGTGAGCTATCGCGGGGACGAGATTGGTTTTCGGGTTTTTGGGTTTTTTGTGGTAGCCGAGTACGTTTCTATTCTAGTGAAATCCTATCTAATGAAGTTCTATAGTTGACGGGTTTTGACGGGTTTTGACGGGTTTTGTCGGTTTTTTTTCGTATAATGGACGACCGCACTTACGTACATCGCATTTAAGTATAGTACACAAGCCCAACCTGATTTGGGAAGCCCGAGGCTCCTTCCGCCCATAGTATCCTGATACCTTGAAAGACTGGCCATCACCATCCCGCCCCAGAAAACATCAAACTCCATTTTTCTCTCAAAACCGAAGACCAAAACCGATGACCGGACATAAAACGTGCGTAACGGGTGACATGGCAGGGAAAATAGATCATAACAAGGGAAACGAGCCGGCACAACGACCCTACACGGTCCACGCCGAGAAGATGCAGAAGAAAAGGGCATTCGGAAGCCTACTGCTCGGGGCCAAACTCCAAAACCTATTTCCAAGTCAGTTGTATTCGCAGATTCATTGAGAGGAGTGTTCGTACCAGATCCACCCAGCCACCTCCGCCAAATTGACACTTGCTGGGGCCACGAGACTCGAAACCGAACGATTCATAGAACGGAATCAAGTGGTCGTGGGCGATGATCGCAATCCGATCGGCAATCTGGGCCTCCCGGATACGTTGAATATACGACTTGATCAGGGTGCTACCGACCTGCTTGCCCTGGTGCTCAGGCAATACAGCCAGCGAGTGTATGGCAATGGTACCGCCACCCTCCTCATGGCCGACAGCTTGCCCTTCTTCAAAGGTCCAGCGCTCGCTTGACCAATTTTTAGGAAGCTTCATGGACCCATCAGTAACGCAAGGCCCCGAAGTGCGGGTGGCAATGATGTGTCCGACAAGAGTCGCGCGGGGCTTGGGCTGGTCTTCTTCAATGACGGGCAGGGTAAAAAGGCCCAGGCTGAGTTCGGGGCATCTGGTCAACCGGTAGATGAACTATTATCCAAACAGAATTAGCAAGACGATGTTCCGAGTTCCTATTTCGGCGCTGATGATCTTCAGTCCATCGCGGCGGCGGCCGTGGCCGATCATGCTTTATACATTCCGCCATGCCATTGTTGTCGACGGGTGATTCCGTACCTTGTCACGCGAGCAGCGCTCCTCCTCCGGGAACGCATTCTCCACCTCCACACAATCTTGAATATTGGATACGGAGAGCAGCTGCACGAACGGGTGCAATTCATCCAGCTTGGTACGGTGGTGAGTCGGGGGCCGACGGAACCAGTATGGGAAGTCGTTGGCGTCCTCCTGGTCGACCGCGACGTAGTCCTCATCCACCTCCTCCTCGTCGTCGTCATCGCCATCATCGAGGGGGAAACCATTGGACATTGTGATGCCGGCACGGCTCATAATTCGAGACAACTCGCTGTTGCTCGGGTTTGACAGGGGCATGTCCTCTGCATTGGACAGCGGCTTCAGCCCGGATGTGTCAGGGCCGGGCATGGACTCCGAAGGGCGCTCGCTGGGGTCAGACATAATCGAGTCAAGGGATTAGGATATCGAGAGACGAAATATTAGGGTACGGAAACGGTGAAATTGGGATGTTCTGGTGTGGATAAAAGCACGCTTCCACAGTGGGCTTGCAGAGGACCCGGCTCGGTGGCGTCGATGGGGATCGAGAGATGCAAATCTAGACCGGTGGGGGTTAGTTTATATGCAAGTCAAGATCAGATCGAAGTCGGGCAAAACAGCCAGCCGATCAGATATATGTCTCCTCTGTAGTTTTGCTCCTGGCGACTACTCTCTCCCGACAAGAATTTGCGACGCGAAGATGCGGGTAGTGTGCGCAAGGAGGGGCAGCGGTCGGATGGAAGATGGGGATAGGGCGAAAGCAGGGGGGAGTCTCAGAGAAGGGAATAGTTTCACATACTCCGTACTTGGATTAAGTTGTATCAGAAGGGGAGCAGAAGTAAAGTTGTGTTCCTGTAGCGAAAAATTACTGAAGTGACAGGAAGTGGCGGGGGAAGAGAATCGAGACTTCGGTGGTACTGCGCGGGGGCCCGCCTTTGGCCTGCGTTGGGATGTACCGCCGTGTATCTCTGTGACCGCCTTGGCATCCGGGGAAATCTGTGCTTCTGAACTACCTGTTCTAAAACGACTCGGCCCGATGCGGTCATATGCTGGAGAAATGATCTTATCTGGTGTGGTTCTGTGCAACATGCATTCATACCTGGTCGGGATGTGGCTCCCTAGTAAAGCGTTGATAAGCATCGTAGGCCTTGCTCGTGATAGCGACAGATCAGGTACTCACTTTCGATCCATCTAGATCGCTAGGTAGTCAATTGTTTATCTAGATGGGTCCTAGAATAAAACAAGTAATCCAGTGAGTAGCTTGAAATAGATTGATAACAAAGCTACAGGTGCATGTGGACAATAAGGTTGACCTCCACGTTTGCAGGGTCAGTGCAATGACAGACCTGAAAAAGCCAAAGACTCTTGAAGGTCTATTCAGGTGGCTAAGCCAGGTCCTCATAAGACCCTTTAAATCGTGACTAGTAACATGATATGCATCGATCATGCTGTGTCGGAGTTGCAGGGGATAGATCAACTATACGGACCGCGACCTACATAGGAAATATAATCATCTCATCACCGCAGTCGATACGCACTCCCGGGCTACCTCCAGGGCTTAGGATGTATATACATAGTCTCCAGCATCAAGTGGAGAACTATCATTATCCGGATTGCAATTATCGCCAAGGCCAAGAATAGTCTTTATCCGACAATACCTCGTCCAGCCTCGGACTTGTGTTCCATGTAGGGCTGCCCCACCCGAGCTCGACATTTTCATTAGCACCTACTTTTGGACAAATTATATAGCTCATGGCTAGCCGTGTAAAACTTAATGCACCCTTCAGCATGGCTAATACCCTTATTCTAGAAGCAATTAGTATCAGCTGACCCCGGTTCGACCAGCCAATGTCTCAGAGCCCGAGCGGATACTGTGAATGCCGAAAGATCATCAGGCGGTGAATCGCAGCTGAGGATGCGTCATGCCGCCTTTTCTCTCGGTCTCGACTCACCTCTTTTTTTTGAAATGAGCTGGCCTTCCCTCTACCGACTGTTCTGAGGTTGCTCTACCATCCCTGCATCTGCCGCAGTGGTGCTGGCACCCGACCATGAGCTCTCGGGCCCTTAACTGGCCGCGGACTGCACAGTCCTCGCTAGTGAAGGTACTATACTCACTACCGTAACGATCACGAGCAGGAAGCTAACTCAGTCACTACAGCAAAATGCCGCTCGCTCCCATGATTCCAGCATTGTGCGCCCGGCACAATTGCTTCCTCGTGCTCAGCAGATTGCCGAGTTCTCTAGCTCTTGCCAAAGTCACGAACGATTAGGGCGTCGCGCCCAAGAGAAGCTACTCGATAAGGTACGCGCTAGGATTGAACGAAACAGGGTCATATATTAACAAGTTCCTCTCATTTAAGGAATTCTTCCTGAGCCTGCTAAACTCTGCTGCGACCAAGCGCGAAGCAAAGCAATACCTGTCTCGCTTCAAAGCCAGCCCTCCCAAGTCAGATCCTAAGCCAGCGGAAGAAACCTACAGAGAGCCCTCGGAGTCTTTACCGTCCGGGGTAAATTTGGGATCTTTCTATGGAGCCTCCCGCGCCGTCTATGACAGTCCGGTGTTCCGACAAAATACAACCCCGGCTCCTCGCGGGCAAGAGCCAGCCGAGCGACTACATATGGCCCTGATCAAGATCACTACTCCTCAATCCCTCGATGATGCAACTATCACGGGGGTGGCTAAGACCCTGTCGCAACTCGTTCGTCTGGGTATGGCATGTTGCGTCGTTATCGACCCGGGGAATATAGATGACGGTGCTGCGGTGCGACAAGTTGCTATTGAGCAGGCTAATCGGATCTCGTCGGCGGTCGACGGGCAGCCCGACTCGAGATCATTCCGCCTGGACTCGGTATTATCGCTTTCAGAGAACGGCTCCGGTCACCCGACAGTCATGTCACGAAAGAGTCTGCTGAACCCTCTTCGCGACGGACGCATCGTCATTGTCACACCGATTGCGTACATGGAGGAGAATCCGAAGGCTGTTCCAGTGACGGCGAATGAGGCTGTCGTAGCATTGACGAAGGAATTTGCCGGGCTGTCTGCCTCCTCGGACCCTGACGAGGACCCCACGGTCGCGGCGGAGAGGATCAGCAGGTTGCAGAAGGAGGTTTCCCTGGATCGAGTGATTCTTCTGCACCCTCTTGGAGGCATTCCGGCATTTAAGGGCCCTCAATCATCCCATGTCTTCATCAACATGGAGCAAGAGTATGATGAGATCGAGGAAGAGTTGATGGAGACGCGAAACTCTCTTGCCGGGGAGGGAAGTGAAACAGTCGCTCGAAGGGACCCCGGGCTTGCGTCCTCTATCTTGGAGAGCAATCCTCTCTCCATGTTCGTAAATCAAGAGGTATTTTCGTCTCTTCCAGGACATTCGGAGCAGCTCCCTGGTGCCCAAGCCATAGGCCATGTTTTGGATGGCCATATGGAGAATCTCCGATTATCACGACAGACTCTAGCCATGCTCCCGTCAGCCTCGTCCGGCATTATCACATCCCCACAGGACGTCGCCAATTCTTCTCGTACACCGCAGACAGATGCGTCGGACTTATCTGCCGTTGGAACTCGTCGCCAGCGCAATCCCCTCATCCACAGTCTCCTCACAGACAAACCTCTCCTGTCATCATCGTTACCGCCAGGGCGTCGTGGTGATAGCAAAGGCGGGCCCAGTGCAATCAGCCCACTGACTTCTCACACTACCTTTATCAAGCGTGGCATGCCTTTGTCCGTTCTCCCGGATCCGTGGGTGCAGATGTGGACTCCTCAGCGTCAGCGTGTGCAACTAAATGATCCTTCTATCGACCTACCCCGTCTCGTCCATCTTATTGATGATTCATTTGACCGCAAGCTTGATGTCAAGAAATATCTGGAGCGAGTGAATGACCGTATTGCCGGTCTCATCATTGCCGGAGAATACGAAGGCGGCGCAATTCTCACCTGGGAAACACCGCCTGGTGTCGTCGACGACGGCAGCGAGGAGAGTGCCGCCCGCATGGTCCCATATCTGGACAAATTCGCAGTCCTCAAGCGCAGCCAGGGTGCAGGTGGAGTCGCCGACGTGGTATTCAATGCAATGGTGCGCTCATGCTTCCCGAACGGAGTCTGCTGGCGTAGTCGCAAGGATAACCCGGTCAACAAATGGTATTTCGAGCGATCGTGTGGCACCTGGAAGCTTTCTGACAGTAACTGGACCATGTTCTGGACCACACCTGGACTGCCAGAAGACATGCAGAAGTTCCAGGACTACGAAGCTGTGTGCAGGATGATTCAGCCGAGCTGGGCGGACAACAAAAGCATTGTCGATTGATGGACATAGGAATGAAGCTGGAACTTCCCGATGTAAATAGCCGTATTTGCGGGGGCGGGAGGGGAAGAAACAATAAACAAACATCTCCTCATTCAAACGGTATTTGTTTCCAGGCAAAATGCTGCAATCATGGTTCAATTGTGTTCATGAATAGCTGCCCGGGGTACACGCGCTGTATAGATCGGTCCCGCTTTGGCTCCTGTCGATCGCCGCCACCCGTCGATTCGCAACTTGCAACTCGCCCTCCCGCAAGCTTCTTCACGGCGCCATGAGACACGATGCCCATCTGCATCGAGTGCTCATATCCGGTCTCGCACCTGTATAGCGCCTACAGTCGTGCCGATGATCGCTCCCAGGGCAAAGGCGTGCGATTGACCCAGTGTCCGCGCTGTCAACGATTCGCCGACAAATACGTCGAATATGACTTTGTCGTGATATTCATCGACCTTGTGCTCATCAAACCACAGGTATGGGCTCCGTAAAAGCTGCGATAGTGGCAGAGCTGACTGTCTCCTGCTATAGGTCTATCGCCATCTCCTGTTCAATCGACTTGGACGCGATGACAACCGATTCGATGTGAGCGCAGTACCATCCAGCATCACAGAACCAGCAAGCTAACTACAGCCACTCTAGCGTTCAATCATTCGCTTGGGCATCCTACTTCTCCTCTTCGACGTCTACCTGACCTGGGCCCGCCTCGAAAAGGACCCCTCCCTCGCAACAACCTTCGTCGCTCGCGCCCCGATCATCGTGCAATACCTGTTCTTCCTGACCCTGAACGCGGCAACAACACTCGCGCATCACTTCACCGTTCGCCTCCTCGCCTCAATCCTGGTACCCAAGTCCCACCGCTATGTCGCCGCCGAACCGACCAGCGGGGCCAACACCGCAAGCACGGGCGACACCACCCCCTCTCCCATCAGGCCCTCCCACGCCTACAATCAAAGCGTCGCCTCCGTCACAGTCGAATACACAAACACAGCAACATCTAAGCCTAGGTGCAGCTGCACTCACTCCCAACCCTCCCACCCACGACCCAACCTTTCCAGAACCATTACTCTTTCCACCAAATGCACCCATCGCAGCACCACAGCGTCCATCTCTCCGACGCACCTCAACAGCACCGCCGCAAAACATCCAACCTCTCCCGCCCCCAACCGCCGCAAGCCCGACAGCAATCAGCACGGCACTACTAGTCAGCAGCTGCGCAAAGCTCTTCCCAATCCTACTAGTGATCTGGGGCGGCAACAGCAACGTGAGCGACGTGCAAGCCGGGAACACAGGGGCTAGGAAAGACGTGGGCGCATCGAAGGCGGCGCTATCCTCTAACCGAGACTCGACATCGCCCTCATTTCTGGAATCGTTCCTTGCCGCCGCGGAGTCTTCCTTGCGGCCCTATCTACCGACGCGATATGTAACGGGTCTATTCGGCGTGCTTGCGTCGCTGTTGTCGCTGGGTGTTGTGGATACGCATCTTGTCCTGCTGAGCAACATCGAGGCGCTTTATATCCTGCTCGGATGTGGGTATCTGCGCGCGGTGGCTGTTGCGGTTGCAGGGCAGATTGCTCGGTGGGCGGTACAGAGAGTTATTCTGGGTGCTGTTGGAGTCGGATAGATACTCTGGTCATGACTTGATGGGATGAATGTGCATAGATACCAGAGAATAATAAAGCATGTGGACCTGATCCATATGCAGTTACTCCAAGACCGAGGAATTAAAGCGATTACGAACACAAAATAGGAAATAATGTCATAAATGCAGAAGGAAAGCTATACAAAACATCGCAATCAAGTGCATGAATTCCGATATCCATCCCAACTCAAGAATTGCATCTATCGCGACTCTTAACTCGAACCCGGAATTTAGTGGGTATGCCACGGGAATAGGGTCTCACCCCAGCCCGAAATACAGTATCAAAATGATCATCAAAGAAGAAAACCGAGCGCGCAGGCATTACGACGGTACGCGGTCCGGACGCATATCGGCTCTCTTTGGTGCGATGAGGGGGTGCCACTGGGCCAAGAAGACGATGGCTGGATGTATGTTAGTGTCAGGCCTTGTATAATAGGAATAGAGAAGAACAAACTCACCCCACATCAAGTAACAGGAGACGAATGAGAGGATAAGTGTGCTCCGCCAGACACTGGGATATGAACGTTAGTTATCGGGTTATCGATTGGGACGACGGGGAGGACTCACGTCAGGTTCTCACCCTTCGGGCTGAGGAACCAGGCGGCCAGGGAGGCGGCCACGATGATGATGAGGCCGATGAGGAGACTCCAACTGTGTGCCGCGTTAGTATCTTTGAGTGGTGGATGTAGTAACGGGATACAAGGTCATGGTCGAGGATCAGACACAGATGCTTCGAGCCTGATACCTCATGCACCATGCACCATGCTTCACATGTCAGGAAGAGCATACCCGCTTGCCATTTTGTCTTGATGTGTCCTTCACTGGGCCTTTAAAGAGCCGGTCTTTCCCCGATGTGTTGTTGCCGAAGGCTGTATCTCAATTGGAGGGCCGCGCAGGATGAAATGAGTATGGTATTTGTAGGAGGATATGCGCTCGAGAGCAATCTGTCGACAAGGTGTAGATGGGATGTTCAAGGCCGGAAAGCGGGACGCGGTCTTGACTCGGAGATTGGGGATGCCGTCGTTCGAGGACCCGTTCGGAGGCGCGGCCGTGAATGATGATTTGAGTCACAAAGGCGTCTTTTATTTTGTCTCCCGGTGAGGTATCAAGCAGAAAATCTAGCTCAAAAGGCTCGGGCGCAGACTGTTGAACAGATCGGACAAGTTGCAGCGGCGTTGGATGTTGGAGCTCCTGGAGCTAGCGGGACTGGAATGCCTCAGGCCTCAGGGCGGTCTGGACTACTCATAGCAATATACACACACGCAGTTTATCCACTTGACATGAGTACTACCAATAAAGCTTGATTTGAAAATTGATCCATTGGGATGGCACAGCAGCAAAGGGGTTTAGATACAAATGGCTACCCCCAGATTAAACGGGCTCGGAAGAGAGTTGCAACAAAACAGAAAATACGCTAGAACTAAGCTTACGCGCCTTCACGGCTCTTGCGGTAGCTAGCCTGGGGGTGGACGTTAGATATAGGTGGGATATATCCCGTAGAGTAGGAACTTACCTCCTGCTCGACTTGCAGAGCATCCACAGTTGGGGCGAGCTCGCTGAGGATCTCGTAGGCCTTCTTGTGGAACTCCAGCTGGGCGGCAATCAGATCGGCCAAATTGCGCAGGGGCTCGGGGGTATCAAGGACCTAGAGTAAGGGGTTGAATATCAGTATTGACGGATCGGCAGGACTTGGGGATACAAAAGGGAAGGAAAAAAAAGAACATACGTTCTTCATCACGCTCACGGCCTCCTCAGTCTGGCCCACGAACTCATCCTCCGCCTGCTCGATCTCGGCACGGGCATCCTCGCTGAGGTTGTCCAAATCGCCCCTGGCAGCAGCCTTCTTGGCAGCCTTGACCGAGTCCAGCGTGAGACGGGCGTTCTCAACGTTCTTGCGGGCCTTGGCGGCGAACATCAAGTTGGTGTTGAGGGTGGTGTTCCAGCCAGCCAGGAATCGCGACTGGATCTGGGCATCCTGGGCCAGACGGGCCTCGCCAACCTTCTCCTCGGCGAGGGCGTACTTCTCCAGCGCGGAGGCGAGCGGGTCCTCGCCCTCGGTGCTCTGAACCAGGGTTTGGGAGCCGGCAAGCGAGGCGCGGGCGATCGCATGGTTGAAAGTCTTGGGCTGAGGCTTAGCGGTGGGCGGCGCGGTCAGAGCAGCCTGGGCTTCAGCGGGCGAGCCGGCCTGCGAGAGGAGCGTGACCTTCTCGTTGATCGTGCGGCTCAGGTCATTGAAAGACTCGCGGATGTTGGGAGGATAGTCGTAGGCCTCGTTGGAGTATTGGGAGCTGCACCGCCACGGCCCGTGTCAGTTGGATCCTACAATCTACACAGCCCGACAAGCTGAGGGAGATGGTGGGACACTCACGTCACCGACAGCAGCTTCTGGTGGACAAGCTTCAGCGCATCGACGCGCTTCTCGAGCTCGATGTACTCATCGGGGAGCTGGGTCTTATCTTCGGCCTGACCGAGCTGCTCCTTGATCATCTGCTGGGTGCGCTGCGCAAAAGGCGTGAAGCTAGCGCTACTCGCAGAAGCAAAACACAAGACAGAGTCAGTACACTGATCACGGTCCAGAACGGGGGGCGAGGTGGGGGCCGCGAGATAGGGAAGCACGGATTTGAGGGAAGGGGCAGTGCTCACCTGAAGTTTTTACCGAATGCCTGCACTCGATCCATGATGGCGTAGGGAATGACAGTTGAGAGAAATACAAGGAGTTGTTGAGGATGCAGCTACGAGGTGCGACGGTCCATCCCGCTCCAGGGCCTGCACCGCCCCACCGCACCGCCACGGTTTGCAATCAGGCACCCATCTATGACATTGTAGTCCGTAAATTGTAGAAAGTGAAGTAGTAGAGAAATTAAGAATACAAGGAGAAGAAACGCGCAGAATAGCATGGTATGCCGTGAAATTATGAAGGTCCTCGCCAATTCCTTGCCAAACTCCGTCTTAAGTCAAAGTGGCCATCATGGCCCGCATCACCCTCGAACTTGGTTCTAGCAAAAGAATGTTTAGCATGCAATTTGAGTCAATGGTCCAATGGAGTGTGAGTTACCTCTGCGCTCCGAGCGGCGAATCTCAGTCACCTCTTCCTCGTTGCCCCGGTCGTCGGTGATATCCATCTCGTTTTGTCGAATGATCTCAATGCCTCCCTGTCGCTCCAATCGCAAGAGCTTGGTTTCCTCTTCCAGGTCTCGAATGTAATCGCTGACATCGTGGTCGCTGTGGCGAGGGCGTACTAGAACCATGGACCCAGAATGGCCGCTCGTCCCAACGCGTTCCTCGACATACTCTCGAGGCTCAATAAATCGGATAGGAGATGATGAATGACGGTGTCCATGCACGGACACCGACCTTGGCCGGGAGACGGTATGCCTTCTTGGTCTCTCGATAACCTCTTCATACTCGTATTCTGAACTGCGGGAAGGTGATGCCTCCACAATAAAGGCATCGTGGCTCGAGCGAGGCGAGTGGTGGGAATGTGAATCAACGACCAAACGCTCGGTGGTGACTCGCTCGCGCGGGAGTTCTCGAACGGGAGACCCCGGTATACGGAGGTATTCGGCTATGGTACGATTAGTTCCTGATTGTCGCACGATGATCCATTTGGGCAGCGACTCACATTCCTTTTGGGCTGGTCGCCGGAATTCTCGACTCAGGCTGATCACTTCGTCGATCTGATCTTTCGACAATGCTTTCTGGATTACAATGGTTTCATCCTAGCCAGGTCAGCAGCCATTCATAAATCAATACACGTCAAACATATGAATACCTCTTCTTTAAACGGATACCCCAGATCCAGAATGGCATGGATATGCACCCATTTGCGTGGGATGCGAGTTTTGCCTTTGCGTGGATAGGGCTTTTCCTCATGGTGCCGGCGCCTTGCACCACTGCTTGAACGACGACGATGATCCATACTCTCTCGATCACGCATGTCTCTATACTCCTCGTCGCCGTAGTAGTCCGGCTCAGCGATGCGAATGTCCTCATAAATTTCACGTTCACGATAGCGACCCGGCGGCGCCCGAGGAGGCGGCGGAGTAGTAGGTATACCCCTCATGCGTGGGGCTCGATCGCGAGCCTCCTCCATCTTGCGACGAGGAATGCGGTCAAAGGTATCCAACGAAGACTGGCGCCTAAGTAAACGGGGCCGAACGAATGAGGGACTCTCATCACGTCGGCGGCGGTCATGCGTCACAAGAGGTCCGGATGTATTGACCAGGTGCTCGTCATCGTATCGGCGACCGGGCGCACGCGCAGGAGGGCCATATCGGTCTTCTTCGCGCAGGTGGAACTCGAAGCGCTCCTCCTCGGCGTGGCGAGGTCGTTCGGCCACGGGTGGGCCGCGATAGCGGTCATAGCGATCCCGGGAGTCTAGGGTCCCTGTCGACGAACGGTAATCGTCATGGCGAGACATGACTGCGGTCGATCACCCGGGTTGAGCAGTGGTGTAAACAGAGGGAGGCAGATGGGGGGCAGATGGGGGGCCAGAACCGTGGATGACGAGGGCGGCTGACTCGCGGCCCGTTCAAGGTGGGGGGCGAGGAACCACGGGAGCGTTGGGGGGAATCGGTGGGAAGAATGAGAGTATAGGGGAAATATGAGAGCAGGAATGACAAGCAGGAAGTTTCAGCTTCAGCTCAGAAGAGGCAGAAAGTGTCAGGCAGAAGCCGAACGATGATGACATTGGGCAAGTGGGGGGAAAGGTCGAGTCCCCGCCACTGAATTTCACTTGGTACGCTAAGGCATACGCTAAAGTACCCGGGACTTGACACTACTGTATATACTGTGCGCCTAATGTAGGTACGAGTCTCGCCCAATCCTACAACTCCAAGTTTTGCAAGTCACCCTCCAAACTCAGCAGCCCCATTGCGAAATAAGCTCGGTCTGGCCCCGTTACAGTGACACATCGCCGGTCGCTAGACTGCGCCCGGTCGACTCGAGTCAGGATATCCGCCTGTGCACACAGTCAGCATGCGCCAAAGAATCAGCTAAGATTAGCACTTACAGGACGTTCACGATCAGGCTTGAAGCTCCGCTCATATGGTGGCCCACGGCCATTCTTGGCTGCGGCGATCCAGGCTTTTTCACAGCCACCGGCGACCGCGTCGGAACTTTTCCAGCCTGTCAGGCGAGAGATATCTCGCAACTTTGCGATGGTCCAGCCTCGCTGTGTAGGATCAACGTACTGCACGCCGGCGAAGAACATTGGTGGGGTCATCTCTATTAGCGATGAGCCGAGTGTTGGGCTGAGGCTGCCCGCCTTGAGGTTGTAGCGCTGCGGGTAGTAGATGCCTGCGGCGATTCTACCAATGATCTGCGCATATTCTGCTGTGGTTGATGCGGCCACTCCGGCGGATACCATCATGGCCGGCGGCATGGAGGGCTGAAGTCGGTTGAGTAAAATTCGGCCGGTATAGTAGAATGCCCAGATAACGGCAATCGTGTGCGTCCGATACTGGATGGCTGGTCCAAATGGAGATGGGATGGCAGTCGTGACATCTGCTGGAAGAGGCTGGAAATCTCGGCCTAGTGCCTGGGCGTATGTATCCATGGCGACCACAATTTCCTCCCATTCCTGCTCTGCTTCGGTATATGTAAAGTCCCCCGGATCCTCTGCCTCTGGTGACTCTTGCTTTTTGCGACGGTTGTCTACAAATCCCGATGGGAGACGAGCCGGTCCCTGGGGTGGAATCATCCCGTACATCTGAGGACCAGCTTGAGGTGGAGGCCCGGCGCCTTGGTGTGGTGGACCTCCCTGCGAAGACGCCGGAGGCCCAGGGGGTCCCGGTCTTTTGTTAGGGTCACCGTTGCTGAAGCGAGCCATGAACTTAAACATCGCAGGACCAGGTCTCCAGTCCGTGCCAGTTGCACGAATAGCTGTCAGCTTTCGCTTACGGTCCCGATAACCAAAATCGGTCAACCGAGCCAGTAGCAGCCAGAGATGATCGGCTGAACCGTAAACGGCATCAATTCGCCCGATGCCTGCTCGCGGCGGACACTGTCCTTGTAGATAGTAGGGCATGCTAAAATCATATTAGTGATAAGCTCGACGACCGAGGAAATTCAGCTCACAAGAGTTTATTCCCACTGATCAGACTATTAAACACATCTTGCTTGGTGTACCACCAGTACAGGTCACACTGGATTCGAAAATTCTCAATATCCTTGCGCGAGAAGTGTCGTTTGGGAGAACGCGCCGGCCCATCTTCGACGAGACCAAACTGGTCGTAGTTGACCCCTCGGCCCAAGAGTGATCCAATGAAAGCCCCGTCAACGCTATCTTCTTTTTCGGCGAAAGGGTCGTCTTCATTGATGTCGTCACCAAAGGCAGGATAATACATCGAGGTGTTAGTCCACCCACTTTGGCGTCGCTGCTCATTGACTCGTCGTCGGTGAGCCCGAAGATCTCGGGTGGTGCGGGCAAAGTCAATTTCTTTCATTAGCTGAGCAGCACCGGCGACATGGCTGTTCCATTTTGAGTGATCGGCAGACATGACCTCGTAGTAACCTAGAAGTTCCGTAGCTGCTAAGGTTCCAATTTGCTTGCGGCGGAGCGGGAGGCCAACGGCACGACCGATGCGCTTCAATGCAAAATGATAGTGCTTGAGAGAGACCGTGGTGGGGGCACCTTGCAGGTATGCAATATGTAAACTGCTGACCGCTAGAATGGCCTGCATTAGTGCTGGGTGCTCCAGGGCTTTAAGTGGAAGCGTGTATGTCCAGAGGCCTTGTTGTGCAGGTGAAACCAGGTCTCCCAGAACAATCGACGAGTCCATGGGATGACGTTCAAATATTGACAAAGAGGGGCCGGTGGAATGGAGGAAGTGGGCGAAAATGCGAGCTGTCTTGGGGTTGTTGAGGGGAGAAGATCCCAGGGACGGGTAATAAGAAGCGAGAACGTTAGGCTCGTTCAAGTGGGTAGTGAAGGAGCGAAGCCGACTGTCGTCGTGGTTTGCAGAGGCCATGATCAAGCTTAGCTGGTTGAAGCCCTCCGCCTGGGTCTGATCCACCACATCGTCGTCGGACTCCACATCGTAGTAGTCTTCCGCTTCGTCCTCCACATATACAAATTGAGTTTGCGTTTGGGGGATGGACTGTGTGGATGGATTAAACTGCGGAGAGAACTGTTCATGTTGCTGCTGATAATGGTATATGAGGCCAGAAGGAAGGGTTGTCTGCATCAAACATTAGCACCGTGATTTGGAAACTCCAATTTGGGAAACGATACATACCTGGGAATATAAGTTGTTTTCATTTTTCATATTCCTTAGACTATCGACAGTGCTTGGCAGCATCGATGCCGAGGCATATTCTTGGCCAGGGATGTTCGCCCCGTCGGTGATTGGTTGCGGGTATTGAGGATTGGCCTCCTGCTTGTGCTCTTTTTGCATGTACTCAGAACTTTCCTCATCAGAAGCAGCTTGAGTCTGGAAAATCTGGTCCTGTGAGTAATTAACGGCCGCCGAGGGTATTCGCCCCTGTCCATCTTGTTCCTCTGGATGTGCTGACCAAGCCTGAGGTGCTTGTACCGGCGGCGTCGGGTAGTAGAACTGCGATGCATTGATAGTTTGGGATGGACCCGATGAGGCGGAGTCAGATGGCGGGAAGTTGTGATAGCCCATTGTCGCGGCGTCGATGGGCCGCGGCGCCAACATCGGATGCTGAGCAGCAGCAGCAGCCTGCTGAGCGGGGAGAGGGCCGTAATCATTGAATAGATGTGTGCGCATCTGGTGTTGCATCATCTGCGGGTCTTGGACTTGAGGTGGGCCATGGGATCCGAAGATCCCTAGAGGGTTCTTGAAGACCACCCGTTGGGCATAGCCCTCGCAACTGCGCTTGGATTTGACGCAATTGCTGCATATCGGCTTCTCCTCGCCACATTTAATGCGGCGTTTGCGACAAGCTGTTAGGATAGGTCAATGATCATAGTTTTAGGGGTCCTTTCTTCAGCGCAGCGTACTCAAACATCCGGTTTTAGTCCGCTTCTTCGGCAATCTGCGGGAACCTGGAATCTTCATACGTGCATCGGGGCTTTCAACAGAGGGACCCGACAGGTCCGGCTGGGAATCGTCAGTCATGGTGGTCGAGGAAAGCACATCTAGGGCAATTGGAAGTGCGAGTCACGAATAGACATAGTGGGGGCGGGGAAGACGAACGGCCGGAGAGCGGAATCGTTCGAGGCTGGACCCCACAGGTTGAAGGGCAAAGCTGCCGACACATCGCAGATCTTCCGTGGTGCAACCGGGGTTCCTCATGCTCGTGTCTCTTTCATTGGCATTTTCTCTACTAGCTTTGTCTCTGCAGGACAGGTACAGTGGTCAGGGTAGCATCCCGCATTCCTCCGCCCCGGTACTTCGTACTATTTGACAGATTGATCTCAGTGGCTCATCAGTCTCAACCCTGTCCAAAACTCTGCACGCCTCTGAAAGGCTCTGCTGCCTCGTATCAAATTCGCACGTTTAGTAAATGCGTCGCTGGCGTGTGTCAGATCGTGGTGATCGGGATCGTGTGTCAGATCGTGTTGCCCGATCTGGATTGCTATGGTCCAGGTTCAGTACAAGGGCATGGAATTCGAAATAGATGGTGAATGAAACTCGGGCCAATTTTGATCTAGGATAACCTTGTTTATGACTTGATCGTTGATCCAATGCATCGAGCCAGTGGATGCCTGAGGATAGTGTACAGTATCGTTGTAAGATTCGTCACAAAATTACCAATGCGGAGGTGAAATTTTGCCCAACTTTTTTTTTTTCTGCGCGGACTATCGCTCAGGACCAACTTTGCTGTCCCGCGGTTAATTACGACCGAAATACAAAAGAAGCTCTAAAAGCTTCACCCAGCAAACATGTTCGCCGTCCCAGGATGGTCCGTCTCGAGCTCTGCGCTCACGCAGCAGACCGAGGCGTCGCAGTCCAAAGATCAGTCCCAAGGCAAAGATGCCTCGACGCCCAATGCGAAGAACAACAACAAGCGCAAGCGCGGTAATGACCGTGTGACCTCTGGCAATGTTGACGAAATGTATCGGAGGCACATCGAGGGCCACTCCGGACCCAAGCCCGGAAAGCGTGCCGGTGCCGGTGCTGGTGCTGGTGCTGCGGCCGCAGACAGTTCGTTGAAGCCATGGGAGAAGAAGAAGCTGCAGAAAGAGAAGCAGGCATCTGCGCTAGAATCCACGAACGTCACGAACGACGCCCCGAAGACCGACGATGCTGGGCCGGGCCAAGAAGACGGGAAACCATCGAAGAAGCAGAAAAGGAACAGGAAGAACAAGGACAAGGACAACCAGGAAGACAAGACCCAGGAGAAGGATGCGGCCTCTCCTTCATCCGCTGAAGCTTTTGCTGCTATGAAATCACTCGCTCCACCCATGCCAGCAGCATCCGCGACCCTTACACCGCTCCAGCAGGCAATGCGCCAGAAGTTGATCTCGTCTCGATTCCGTCATCTGAACGAAACCCTGTATACCACCGACTCCTCCAAAGCGGTGGAGCTGTTCAACGCAAACCCCGAGCTCTTCGATGAATATCACGCTGGTTTCGCACGCCAGGTGAAGGAATCGTGGCCCTCCAACCCGGTCGATGGCTACATCCAAACCGTCCGACGCCGTGGAGCTGTCCCCATGCCGAGGAAAGGCCAGAAGCCCGCCCCGAACAAGCCTCTACCTCTTCCCCGCCGACCCAATGGCGCATGCACCATAGCTGATTTGGGCTGCGGTGACGCCGGACTAGCGCGCGCCTTGACCCCGTCGGCGAAGAAGTTGAACCTGAAGCTCAACAGCTATGATCTCCAGGCACCGGATGCTCTTATCACCAAAGCTGATATCTCTAACCTTCCGGTGGAAGACGGCTCCGTGGACGTGGCCATCTTCTGTCTCAGTCTGATGGGAACGAACTGGGTGTCCTTCGTGGAGGAGGCATGGCGTGTGCTGCGTGGTGACGGCAAGGGCGAGTGCTGGGTGAGTGAGGTCAAGAGTCGATTCGGCAAAGTGAATCGCAAGAAGTCGCAGATCGGAGCCCAGAAGCCCCTCAGCAAGACCGAGCAGAAGAAGCAAAAGAAGAAGAGTGGCAAGGGCGGCGACGCTGATTCTGATGTGGACGAGGCAGATATCTTTGCTGAGGATGCCCGGCCGGCTGACAACGACGAGACGGATATCTCGGCGTTTGTGGAGGTCTTTAAGACCCGTGGCTTCGTGCTTAAGCAGGAGTCATTGGACAAATCTAACAAGATGTTTGTGAAGATGGAGTTTGTAAAGGCTGGCTGGACACCGACCAAGGGCAAGCATGCTTCTGCTGCCCCGGCCCCGGGTGTGAAGGGTGGCAAGAAGCGCTTTGTCGAGAAGAAGACTGACGCTGATACTGGAATGTCGGCCGAGCAAGAGGCTCAGGTACTGAAGCCTTGTGTGTACAAGATTCGGTAGTCCGGTCGCGCGATGACGATGTATCATTAGGATTTATACCCTATCAAAAGCATTTTATTACCAATGGTAAGATTTCCAGTCATGTCCAAACATCTATGCCGACTCTACTTAGATTGAAGGCCAGACGTCATACCTCTCTGGTAATAGATATAGTTCGAGGATATTCAATCTACATGGTGGTCAATATCATTACTTTTTCTATTGCATTCAACAATAAAAGAGGCATTGGGCTGCTTTCAAGGTTCATCTAGGCATAAACGCCAAGCTCGCTAGTCATTTATTGATTCCCACCAAGCTGCGCGACAGCCCGGCCCATCTCCTCGTCGCCGTAGATACGGAAGCCCTTCTCCTTGGTCACACTCGCCAACTGAACGTTCTTAGAATCCAGCTTCTCCTCCATGACCTGCTTCAGGGTCTTCAAAACCAGCGTCTCGGCCTCGGCCAACGTCAAAGAGCGATGGTATTCGTTCTGCAGCTCCGCCTGCGCACCCTCGCTTCCAGAGCCGATGGCCTTGGCGTCATACCGATAGAATGTACCCGAGGGCTCGGCGTGAAATCTATCATCTCAAAGTTAGTAGTATCCACGATATTTCAATTACAATTCCACGTACAGCTGCGGCCCGTCCTCATCATAACCGGCAATTAACAAGGCAACACCGAATGGTCTGCTCATAACACTCTCCTCATCGTCGCCGCTCTCTCCGAAGCGGAGGGCCAGATCACAAATGGCCTGTGTGGTACTCTCAACGCGCAGGGGCTCGGCGTAGTGGAAGGCGTGGTTCTGGCACTCGACACGGGCGTGCTCGACCAGGTTGCGGGCATCGGCTTGCAGGCCGGACATGGCGCAGCCGATGTGCTGGTCAATTTCAACAATCTTCTCCACGGACGAGGCCTCTAGCAGGGTGGATGTCACGCGCTTCTCGACGCCGAGGATGACTCCTTCCGATGTTGCAACCTAGACCTTTGTCAGCATGGGACGGATTTCATGATATGAACGACTGGGATTTCTCCGACGATGAGGTATCATAGCCTCGCATACAATCACGATGGAGGGGGAGAGGGTAGCGCTGGACGTACACCGATGGCTGTGGAACCAAGCTTGATAGCTTCGAGAGAGTATTCGACCTGGAACAAACGACCTTCGGGGGAGAAGGTGCTGTAAGGGTGATCATTGTCAGATTGGGAGCTTCGGATATGGGCAGACGAGGTCAGGCAAAGGGTGCGTACTTGATTCCACGGTCTGTTTCGAGCTGTTAGCGATGCCGCAACATTACCAGGGAGAGGTGACGACGCTTACCATATTCAGATCGTGCAATGAACATTGTGAATTATGAAAAGACGGAGTCTCGGGATAATGAAGGGGATAGAGGATAGAGAAGAACGGTGTAGGGTGAGGGAAGCGGAGCAGTGACACGGACGGAGCTCTGGAGGCGGAAGCTCTACGCAAGTGAGTTGCCTGGGGCCTCAGGCGGTGAGGCAGCGCTGCCCAAGCCCGAGTTCCACGGTTCCCCAATGGTTTGTTTGGTTCGCAATTGCGATTTCAGATCTATGGATTGCGACCCCCGAGTCTCTCTATTCGTGCTACATGACTGCTTCGTTGCGTTTCCCTTATGTCCTCCAATGATCGCCGCGCCGGCCACATGAGCGCTCCTCGACCCCGCGTTGCCTCCAATCGCGTCGATGCCGATAGGCCTAGTCGCGGCGCCGCCTCGCCGCTCCAAGACAACATGGACCCGATGCGCACGAGTAGCTCGAGTCAGAAACACAGAGCTTCCCGAGACCAGAAGAATATGTCTGAGAAACGTACGGAGCGTACTGTGATCACAACAAGGGAAAAGGCGGTGCGGAGGAATCCCGTCAAGGAGTTCAACGTCAACTTCAACGTCTCAGAATGGGAGAATCCAAAGGCCAGGAAGTCCAGCAAAGCAGATGGCGCGAGCCCCAGTGGTAAGAAGAGGGAACCCGTCCCGGAAAATGGTCAGTCGTCACATACAACCCGCGTACAACCCGCGTCGCATACTGTTCGTGTTTTGAATCGATGATATTGACAATGTCTTCTACAGCACCATGGAATCCACACGCATCTCTGATTCCTCACTCGACGGCTCCGCTCGCCTGTAGAGTATCCGTTCCTCCGGCCGCCTCAGCGGCGCCGCCCTCACTCCATCCCCGACCATTTCGAGACCTATCGTCTGACGCACAAGAAGCGGCAATCCTGGAGGATCTGCTTTTCGTCTTCATGGGCTTCGAAGGCCAGTACATCCACTATCACAACTCGTTCGACCCATCAGCCGAGAAAGACCGCTTGACAGGCCCGATATTCCAGTTCGCACCGGGCTTGGATCCTACCCTGCGGGATCTCACACAGTCCATGTTGAGGATGGCGACTCATTACAGCGCCATGGAGGCTTTTGTTGAGATCCAGAGTCGCGCCGAGTATGGAGCTGTTAGCCATGCACTCTGCGCAGCTATTCGGAAACTCCTCAAAGATTACCTGATTCTTATCGCTCAGCTGGAAGGCCAACTGCTAAACAATCCCACCTTTACCCTCCACCAACTTCACCTCCATACGATGCCAACCAGTCAATGTCTCGCTCAGCTGTATTCTTTGGGCCAGGAGCTCCTCCGTCGCAATGGTCTCCTGGATCAAGACCTTGATGAGTCCATGGAGGATTTTGGCGACGTTGATAACATTCTCGAGCAACTAAAGGAAGGAGGCGACCTAGTTCCGGGCGCTATGGCTAGCAAGAAAATTTGCAAGGGCGGCAATATTTTGAGGCTTCTGACGGACCGCTTAGCGACGTTCTCTGGTGATCCAACCACCAAGACTCTGATTCAGTCATTGCTACGCGACGCCAGTCGACCGTACATGAACATGCTGAATGAATGGCTGCATCACGGCGGCATCAAGGATCCTCATGGCGAGTTCCTGGTGAAGGAGCAAAGGTGGATCAAACGAGAGAAGCTCGAAGAAGACTACACCGACGAATACTGGGAGAAACGCTATACGATCCGCGATAAAGAAGTCCCACCACAGCTCGATAGCGTTCGAGATAAAGTGCTTCTGGCAGGCAAATATCTCAACGTGGTACGAGAGTGCGGTGGCGTCGATATCAGTAAAGCTGTTCAGGATGTCCCCAAGACCCTCGACGATCCACGCTTCCTGGACAACGTTAACGCAGCATACACCTACGCCAATGCCTCCTTACTCAACCTTCTCCTAACGAAAAACTCTCTTACAACTCGATTCCGCTCCCTCAAACATTACTTCTTCCTTGACCGCTCCGATTTCTTTTCCTATTTCCTCGAGCTTAGCGCATCAGAGTTGCGCAAGCATGCACGGAATGTGAACGAGGGCAAGCTCCAGTCACTGCTTGATATCGTGCTCCGCCAGCCAGGCAGTATCGCTGCCCAAGACCCATTCAAAGAGGATGTCAAAGTGCGAATGAACAAGATCGGTCTCACAAAGTGGCTGATGGAGGTCGTGAGTGTCTCTGGTATGGACCAGGAGAATCCGCAGGCGTCGGTTGAAAAGCAACAAACCTCTGCCGCTCAGACTGCCGACGACGACAAGGATATTTTGGGATTCGACGCACTGGAGCTGGACTACTCAGTGCCGTTCCCACTGTCTCTCGTCATCAGCCGCAAGACGGTCTTGAGATATCAACTTATTTTCCGACACTTGCTGTCACTCCGCCACCTGGAGACGCTGCTGGTCGCGTCCTGGGCCGACCATAACAAGGTGACCAGCTGGCGGCATAAGTCATCGGACCGCAGGCTGGAGACGTGGAAGCGGCGGGGATGGAATCTGCGAGCCAAGATGCTCGTATTCGTGCAGCAGCTTCTATACTTTTGCACGGCCGAAGTCGTGGAGCCGAACTGGGTGGGCCTAATGGACCGAATTAATGAAGCGAGCGCGAATGGGACTGAAGTGACCGTGAACGGTACGAAGCAGGCTAACCGCACTGTGGATGAGCTTATGCAGGACCATGTGGATTTCTTGGATACTTGCCTCAAGGAGTGCATGCTGACCCAGGCCAAGCTGCTCAAGGTACGCGACAAGAGGAAGATGCTTTGTAGAATGGCACTAACGACTCAACTATATGCAGATCCATTCCAAGCTGATGACTTGCTGCACCATGTTCGCACAGTGGACCTCGCACACTCTTTCACGGGCTCTGATTTCAGCCGACCCAGATCTGGCAGGCGACAAGGCTTTCGAGGGTGACCCGAGGGCCTATCCCTATGACCCAGCGCGTATGGGCAAGCTTGAGGATACTCTCAAGCGGTATGAGGATCACTTCAACCGCCACCTGCGGATTCTGATGGACAGGTCAGTCACCGGTGAACTTCGTGTCTAGTCATTTATGCTAACAGGGACTAGCCTGAACTACTTCGCCGCAACTGAGAGTGTTGTATTGTTGAAATTAGCACATTCCCTGAGCTCGATCAGCAAGGAAGATTGAGAAGTGACGCGAGACATCACTTCCTCATTCGCTTCTCCGTTTCCTCTCCCCATTCGGACTTGCGCTTACGGATTTACCATGGCACAATCGAACATCAACTCGAGAATAATATTGCCGAGCCTTGCACCGACAAATGAGACGCCCTGCGCGGTATTTCCCAGGACTCCGAATCCCGACCCTTATAAGACGGACCCTCACATTATATCATGACGAGGCTGACGGTGGGGCCGGGCCGGTGGATCTCGGAAGGAATCTCGGAAGAGCAACAGCGATAAGATGAATAGCTTCGAACTGGAGAAATAAGGAACAGAGCTTAGGTTATGTAGCATAGATAGCATAGGTAGCAGGCATATGCATTGAATTAACGCCTATTGAAACTGCATAAAGACACGGAGAGAAGTAGAGTTGCATCCGGTAAGAAAGCGTTGAGGCTCTGAACGCATGTCAGCTCCGCCCTCAGCCCCCAATAAATAAAATAAAATGCCTCAATTCTCACCCACCCATCCACCCACCAGCAGCCAACACCACCCCCCAGAGATGGCGGAATCGATCACAAACGCATTAAGCAAAGTGCGCCTCCCGGCCGACCGGCTAACGCTCGTCTTCACCACCGCCGCCGTGCTTGGCAGCGCGCTCGTGTTACCCACCATCTACCGCGACTACTGCACCTTCCGGGACTACGGACCGGGCGGGATCCCGAACAATGTCATCGGCTGGCTGACGGTGCGCGCGCTGTTCCAGCCGTTCAAGCGCGAGATGTTCACCACGGAGGAATACGTGAAGCGGGTGGAAGCGGCCGAGGGCCACGGGAAGGGCGATGATGGGTACCTGACCCTGTCGCCGGAGCAGCTTGCATCGCGCAGTGTGACGGATCGGCCTGTCGTGGGACCTCACGTCGTGCCGCAGCGGCAGTTGACGCAGATCCCGGATGACGATATTATGGATGTGAGTTCGGTGGCCTGCCGTGGACGTGGACGAGTCTAACCGGGAGGTAGAAATTCTGCGCGGCGTTTTCCTCGTTCGAGCTGCGCAATCATCACCTTGTCAAGTTACAGCAGTCGAATCAGGAGGAATATTCGGATGCGCTTTTCTTGGCGGATCATTTGCCTGCGACGGATCTGGCGATGACCATGAAGGGCGAGATTGCGCATCTTCATTCGGGCAATGACCATTCCGTGCACGTTGTCTGCGCGCCGGCCGACTGTAAGTCAGCTTCTTTGATACCGTTATAGCTTGCTTTAGCACGTCGAATTCTAACACGGGGTACCACAGGCAAGAAAATCATCGAGGCCGGATGGGGCCAGCGACACGGGTTCTCGGGCACCTCGGCCATGACATTCCTGAGTTTGGGCACACTGCCCGATATTCCTTCGGAGTACATTATGATTTATGCGCCGCGCACAGAGGCCGAGATTCAGACGGTGATGGATATCGTTGCAGCCGGTGTCAAGTTCATGACGGGATGCGAGGACGTGCGGTAGTTTGGAAGGCATTTTGCATCGGTGGTGACGGTGACGGTGGGGTGCGGTGGTGTTTCCCTCTGTCTTTGGTGAGGCTTGTACGGCGTATTGCATTCTCTTCTGCATTTATTTATACCCCACTCTATGAAGTGATGACGTTGATTTGAAGTGGCTTATGTTACCTGGACATATCGGAAGCATAGAAGAAACGCGGACACTGAGATCTCCGGGATAACCTTCGAGGAGAGTCGAATGAATCTCAATTTGATGGTCTGTCTCCTAAAAGCCGGGAGCGATCCTCCTTAATCACGATACCTAGCACCTAGCAAGGCATCATCCGAAGATGACCGGATACATAAGCCATAAACTGGATTTCACGCCCGGCCTATCACCTTCCAAAGTTGGGGGTAGTGGACATAAGACCGTGCGCCGAAGGACCAAATACCATCCTGAACCCAGGTGCCCCAGTCACGCACGTGCAGTATGCTCCGTAGTACAAGAAAATCGGCATCTACTTGTATCAAAATCTCGGACACCCCGATATATCACGAGGTCAAGGCAGAATAGCACAGCCATCCTGCTGGGGGCTAGGACCCGAGGGAGCGGTACGCTAGGGATAATTCTTTACATACGTAGTCCGCTGACAGTCCCGTGTAAGCGGTACGGATTGACATGATTCGGAAAGAAAGAACACTTATTGGGAAAAGGTAGAAAGGTGGGTTCGGCCTGGACTGGAGTCAAAGCGAGACCGGTGTGTTGGATGGGTTTCAACGGATCCTCCCCCCCCCTTCCCGCTTGCTCGAACCTCGCTGTCGGGTCCAGGCTATCGAGGGTTCCTCGAATTCGTGTTTAGCTTCGATCAAGTCCGCGAAATAGAGGACTCGTCGGCTTCGTACTACTTGGGAAAAACCTTTCGTTTTCACATATAGTGTGAGTGACGACGGTATCCGATTTCCCCTTTACCGGTGTCCCTAATTCCCGAGACCGTAATTCGTAACGTCCCGTGTGTTGTCACTGACACTAACAATAGGGAGACCCGCCGCCCCCGAAGTTTGAGGGCATGGCTTCCCGAGGTCTGAACCATGGCGCTGGGTTCAGAGCCGACGGCCACCCCCGGGATACAACCACCCCTGCCAGACCCGACGCACTGGGTGCACCCCATGGGAACATGAACATCGAGATGTTGACCACCCGGCGAAAATTATGTAGTGGTTGGTAAAGACTTGGTGCACTTGGAAAAAGGGTCAGGGCCACATCCTCTGAATGGAATCCACTGTAACGATGAACATCCCGTGCCCAGCATCCACCCGACGTTTGTACTCCGTCAGAGCAACACCCCGAAGAGGCGTTGCGTCGCATGTGGCAGCGGACCCGACTCCTTGGGATCGATAGTTCGGAGAATTGAGCCCCCTTCGATTCTACGACCTCGTGTAAATTTAGCTCCGTTGAAAATTTCGCGAGTTTTGTGGATTCCCGAGGGACTGGGTGGACACCCCAGAAGGAATCCACAGCGTGGACTCCACGATGTGTTCAGGAATGCATGGATAACTTTTCCGCTCTCCCGTTCTTCCGCTCGTTCAGCCGGCCTTAAGTAGGAGTTCTCATCAGCAGTACTTTTGTCACGGAGACCTTAAGAGGGTGTCACCCCCTGTTGCAAATCTGGATCGTAGTCAGGCCACTCCATTTCGGTCAACGAGCAAAAGCACGACAGGCCGAGGACAAGCGGTGAGGGAAATGAATCAAATCCACCAGATGAAATCCCGAGGAAACGGGAGCCCAACGAGGATGCTGCTGATCCTGACCGTCCAACCCCACTCCGGTTGGAGTTGTGCCTGGGGGACCCAGCTGAACAAGCCACTTGGCTTACTGCATGCACATTGGCCGCCGGGGACGGGACCACTCCGACGTGATTGATTGTGTTGGAAACCCGTCACCGATCCAATTGATGACTGACAGCGGGTGATGACGAAGATCCATGCGAATCCGCCAATGCAGGGCTTTGGTCCTGCGTCGCATTGCAGGGATTGGGCGGTGCCCTTTTTTCATAACCTTCTATGATTCATGTCTCGTCGTAGCCATCACTGCTCCGACGGTAGCCAGGATTCCATGTGATGGGAGTTCTTCGGTGTTTTCTCTCTTTGGTTATGTCATTATTATTGGCAGGCGCGCAGGAATGAACCGACTGTAGAGCAGGGCAATTCGAACTTTTGATTTTCTGGAAACTCGCGCTTCAGCCGCTGGACGTCATTAGACCGGCCGTCATAGCCACAGTGCACGATGACAGGACCGAAAGACATGCAGGTAAGAAAAAACGACTGAATTCGGCCCTGATCCACGCCGTCGGGCGCGCTCTTGGACCCGCGAAGCCGACAGTAGGTCATATGCGGGCGAACTGCTCATTAGTCGACGGCCCTGCTAATGGCAAGGTTCGTTAGCTTGGCCTTAAGCAGAACGGAGCCGAGTCTATCCTGATACTTGGGTGCCCTGTTCGTGGGCCACTCGGTTACTCAACCGACCCGCCCTTTTCTCGGCCCTCATGGGCTCCATGTACAATCCACCCCCTTTGGGAGTAAAGGAGTTTCTTCATGCCCAATCGAGTAGTAGTTCACGCCGGTCAGGGATGTGAGGAGCTCTCGAAAGATCCCCGGGAAGCACAGGAAATCGTTTCGGTGGGCCACGTTGACGGTATTCCATCACTTTTGAGGCCTATTCGGAGCGGAATACCGGTCATTCGAGAAGTGCCCAAGCTCGTTTTCTTGTCAAACTTTCTTGCATCCGAAACGAGGCAACCGAGGGGTTGAATGGGCGCGGTTCAGCTCGCCGTCTCATTCGCACGATTAGTACGTGCGTTGTATGACCGGGGGCCCCTCAGATCTTGACAGGCGCCCACGACCTGAATGATCCTCGAGCCGCCATTCCACCCGAGACCGTTGCCGCCGACTTTCCCTTAAGCGGCACACGATCGCGTCAAATTTACGGTGCCTGGTTTTCTTCTTCCCCTCCGATATTATAATCAGATGCTTCCCTTTGACCCGAAGAGTTCAGCCCCGCCATTCAGCAATCTGGCCAACCGCTGTCGATATACCAAATTACCCTTCAACAACCGAAAATAGTTGATTTGGGGCTATAATGACGTACTGCAGCGCCGTTGTTCCCTTTCCCTGGCAATGAGAAGGCTAACCATCCGGTCTTGAAGGAGCCCAGATTCGCAAACGGAGGAACTGGACCGAGAATTTCTCGATACCATCACGGTCCAGGGCCGCGAATATCAGAAGTATTCAATCGACAACCGCATATATTTCGGACCAATCGACGATGTGAGGAAGAGTATATCTTTCTCGTCTTTATTGCCACTGACAATCCGAGCAGGAGGAAGCCCAGCGTCTTGATGAGCAGCAACGAGTGTTCCAACGGATTTTCGACCACCGATTGATCTTTCCGCCCATCCGGCGTCTGCGAAGAATACTGGACTGTGGCCATGGGTCTGCATCCTGGGCTGTGGAAGTTGCCGAACAGCATCCAGATTGTCAAGTGAGAACCCCCAGCCATCCTGGGCTCAGCACGCGAACCACCTCACACTCTTATTTGTCATAGGTCATTGGCGTAGACATTGCCCCGCACATGAGCCCAGACAATGTGCCCGAGAATCTGTGGCTTCAGGTGAGTAAGATGTCTGTTTTTCTCAACCTTCTCCAACCACGGACGAGACACCAGTCGGAGAGAGTGATCATTCATGATGGCGCCACTCGGCTCACAAGAGTCAACCGTCTCAACCCATCAAATTTGACTGCCAGTTCGATTTGAAGTGCAGTCCTGGGTGACGGTCGCTAACATCACGCTATGTAGGTTGATGATTTGAACCGGCCATTCACGTTCCCTTCGAACCACTTCGACCTTGTCCACTCTCGACTCCTTGCGACCGGCATCCACCGCAACCGATGGCCAACCTACATCAACGATATCGTCAGGTGCGAACACTCCCGAAGAAGCTGAAGGGTTGCAGCCAGCCCCCTTGACCCCCATTCCAATACTAATGATCGGAATATTCAAGGGTATTGAAACCAGGAGGATGGGTTCAAATGGTCGAAATATACTTCAACGTACAGTCTGACAACGGCTCGCTTACCGACCAGCATGCTCTGAGGAGATGGAGCACCCAGTACATGCAGGCACTGGAAGACAAGAAGGACTTGCGAGTCGCGTCAAAGCTGCGGAGCCATTTCCAGAGTTCGGGGTTGGTGGAGATCGACAGCAAGATGATTCAGCTCCCTTTGTCGGCATGGTCAACCGGTCGGTCTTCGCTATTGTCATTGACCAAAGATCCTAACCTGACGGTATCAGATCCGAGAATGCGAGCCATCGGGCAGTCCAACAGTGACAACATCCAAGAACTCCTTCGATCCTTGGCGCTGTACCCTCTCACACAACGGGTGCACATGTCGGCGCAGAACTTCGATTCGTTGGTGGAACAAGCGCGGGAGGAGGCAAGGAATCATTCCTTCAAAGCATATTTTCCATTGTAAGTATGATCCCACCAGAATCAACAGCAGGTAGGCTGATGGAACAGATACGTTTGCATTGGCCGAAAGCCCTCATGAAGGCACGTCTGGCTCTTCCTAGCATCTGCATCCGCTCCAGGCATAGGGCAGTCATTGTCAACCACTGTCGCGTCTGATTGTTTGGCGTACTTTTGACAGCGCATTGTCAACCACTGTCGCGTCTGATTGTTTGGCGTACTTTTGACAGCGCATTGTCAGCCACGGCGTCTCAACTCCAGTAGCTTCGCATTTCCACCTGCATATAAAGTTCAAATTAGCCAAAGACGGTTAGTCAAACGAGTTTTCTTGATCAAATATATACCTCATGGACCATTTGTACTCGGTTTCACCAATGAGACACTGCCGGTCTGCTCAGATCTTAGGGTCCGGGAAGAACAACTGACAGAATGTCCTGGTCACACAAGGCCACATGAAACAGGCCAATGAATGGGATATGGATTGTAGGTCTCACCCTTGGAAGGACGCCCGTGTTTGGCTTGGGAGTCGGGGGCAATGCAGGACCCATCAGATCGTCGCGACTTGTGGCTCCGTGCGGATCGGAGTCGAGAAGATCTGAGGGCTGCGCTAAGCGCCGCCACGGTACCAACAGCAGAGCCTCAACGTCCCGACGACTGGAAACTGCGAAGACCTCTGAAGCAAATGAGTTGGAACTGAAAGGGAGTTCAGGAGGGGCTCGGGCCCGAACTGGCGGGAAGGCACGGGGGAACGTTGAGGCGTTGTCTCGGTTTTGGGCCGCCAAACCTGACGAGGATGAGATCAGATCTCAATACGTCCCTTGTCCCCATTCGTGGGATCCAAGGGGTAGTGCCCGAGGGAGAGTTGGAAATGCAATCTCTGTTTACTCTACGCTCTACGGGTCCCTGGCATACCGACTGCCCGAAAGTTTATCCTGAACTTCTCTCGGAACTGATTGCTTCACCGCACAACGGACATTCGCTGCTCCAGGGAACATTTGATAAGCTCATCATCATGACCAATCCAAGGACACTGTGCCAGAGGCAGCTCATCTATTGCATGGGCCTTCATGTGCCCATAGGCGCTCTCGGGGGTCCCAGCGCCGTTGGTATCTCCAAATTGGGGAGATTCTGTTGCGTTGCCGAGGCTCGAGCGCCATAAAGTTCGCCCTGGAATGCTTTTGCGCTCTGGGATACTAAGAGAAATACATCATGAGAGTCATCTGAGGCCCAAAATATCTCGCTTAATCACTCAGTCTGCAGAACGAGCCCTGTTTTGAGCACAGACTCTACCCGAGACTATCACCGATGCCGTGCGTCTCGCCCCTGGGGCTCCACAGGGATTATGAGTCCCCCGGGCTTTCCATAACAGACAGCTACATAACCCTAGAAGCATAAGGAAGACATCCCGAGCTGAATCTGAAATATCTTGCACGGATCTTAGTTTGATGATCTTTGACAACTCCTTAACTAATTAACTAACTACCGTCGTAGTTATTCTGAACACACGGGAATGTATCAAGAGCCATTGTGAAGCCACCAGGACCATGAAGCTAAGTCATGCGGTTATCATTGAGCCCAGAGTCAATATGATCATCTTTAAAATCGACTCAGATAAGGTGGACATTATTCGGATGTCCGATCTAGATTATCTAATGCCTGGATAATAAGGCACAAACAGTATCCCAATCGGGTAAAGCGGCGGGGAGAAAAAAAGTTGGAGCGCGGATTTTCAGAGCTGCGGACCATCACCAACAGTCTGCGCCGACACCCGCAACGATGCCCTCCACCTACAAGAGAGAAAAGCCGTGGGATACGGATGATATCGATAAGTGGAAGGTAAGAATATATTTGAAAGGCCCCTCAAAAAGTCATATTCCGACTAACAGTCCAACGCATCCAGATCGAAGAATTCAAGCCCGAAGACAATGCCGCCGGAAACTTCGCAGAGGAGTCCTCCTTCATGACCCTCTTCCCCAAATACCGCGAACAATATCTGAAGGAAGCATGGCCCGTCATCACCAAGTCCCTTGAGAAGCAGGGCATCGCCTGCACGCTGGATTTGGTGGAGGGTAGCATGACCGTCAAGACCACCCGCAAGACCTACGACCCGGCCGCGATCCTGAAGGCCCGCGATCTGATCAAGCTCCTCTCCCGAAGTGTCCCCGTTACCCAGGCACTGAAGATCCTCGACGACGGTGTGGCATGCGACGTGATCAAGATCCGTAACCAGGTCCGGAACAAAGAGCGCTTCGTGAAGCGTCGCCAGCGTATCCTGGGCCCCAACGGATCCACCCTGAAGGCTCTGGAACTTCTCACGAGTACATACATCATGGTGCAGGGTAACACCGTGGCAGTGATGGGCCCATTCAAGGGTCTGAAGGAAGTGCGACGTATCATCGACGACTGCATGGCCAATATCCACCCGATCTACCACATCAAGGAGCTGATGATCAAGCGGGAGCTGGCCAAGGACCCGACGCTGGCCAATGAATCGTGGGATCGCTTCTTGCCCAACTTCAAGAAGCGCACTCTGTCCAAGCGTCACGTGCCCTTCAAGGTCACCGACAAGGCGAAGAAGGTGTACACGCCGTTCCCGCCCGCGCCCGAGAAGAGCAAAGTGGATCTGCAGATCGAGTCCGGCGAGTACTTCCTGTCCAAGGAGGCCAAGGACCGTGCTCAGAAGGAGGAGGTCATGGAGCGTCAGCGCATCAAGCGCGACGAGAAGATGCGCGAGCGCGAGAAGGATTTCATTGCCCCCGAAGAGGATGGACCCGTCGAGAAAAAGAAGGAGAAGAAGGACAAGAAAGAAAAGAAAGAAAAGAGCAAGCGGAAGCGCGAGGCCGAGACCGAGGCCGATGGGGACGATGCTGCCGAGCGCAAGGAGAAGAAGAAAAAGAAGAAGAGCAAGTCCAAGGACGCGTCCGACGAAGAGTAATATTCTTATCTTTGGTTTGTTTGAAGTTTGGCGCTTGTGGCAGTGCATGGGTTTGGCGTTTCGTTCTTTTCTCCTTGCCACTTTGCAATATTTTGAAAATGGCCTGTATGTTGTAAAATGACCAATACCATGTTGGGTTCTCTAAGATCCCGATCCATTAAGAATATATTCAATTGTTCCTTGCAAAACAGAAGAGTTAAATCTGTAAGATACGATGAGTGAAAAGTAGTTTCCGGTTTCCCAAACCCTCAACACCAACCCGCCCTTCCAGTTGCTGAAAACAAGGTGTCCATCTGTCAAATTATGGATATGACAGAAACGGAGAATTGAGGGTTTGAAACGTTGCCCTCAGTCAAACCTTTTGAAAAAGAGTGCTGAGCTTATACACCCTCGGCGTGTTAACCGACTGTGGCCTTCCGCTCCTCAGCATGGATGGTGGTGGCTTCATCTTTCTCAGTGGCCATACCCATCTCATGAGCAAAGGTGTCGTGGGGCTTCCATTTGGCGCTGGTTATGGGCGTAGACTCCTCGAGCATCTTGTCAACTTGTTCCAGCGAGAGACCCTTGGTCTCGGGGATGACGAAGAAGGCAAACAGCAGGCACAGGAAAAGGGCGCAGCCCCAGACGAAAAACACTTTGGTCTTCAGATTTCCGTATGCCGAGTCAACCATGTACGGAGTAATAACTGCAATGATGCAGTTCCATAGCCAGTTTGAGGCCGTAGCGAGAGCAACACCCTTGGCTCGAATGGGGAGAGGGTAAATCTCGCCGGTGACTACCCAAGCAGCAGGACCCCAGGTGGCAGCGAAAAAAGCGATGTATAGGCAGGTGAATACTATAAGGCAGGTGCTCCTGTAGAGAGGAAGGTCAGTTTCTCGCTTATAGTGAAGGCATTGTGAGTAACTTACGAAGCTTTGCTTCCCGCAGGAGTAGCGGTGCCGACAATGGCGACGAGAAACTCGCACACGCACATAGCAGCAGCCCCGTAAAGCAGCAAGCTACGTCGTCCAAACCTCTCAATCATGTAAAATGAAGCCGGAGTGCTGACCACATTGGCGATGTTCATGATAGTCGAGATCAGGAATGGGTGTTTCAAGCCGACCTGTTGGAAGAACGTAGTGCCATAGTAGACTGAGCAAGCTAGATTAAAAACTGCAATTGATGTGTTAAATTAATCACTTACAGATAAAATTAATACCAGTCCATTGCTGGAACATCTGCACGCCTGTTCCGGCAATTACACGACGAAGATTTCCACGTGCAGAAAAGCCTCCCTTGAAGCAATCAGCCCACGAGTTGCTTGCAATTTGCTTTTCATACTCAAAGTTGGCCTGGATTTCAGCGAGCTCGGCCTGAATAGCAGGGTTGGAACCTGGCTGGCCACGAACTATCTCCAGGGAGCGAAGGGCGTCATCCATTCGACCACAGCGCACATAATATCGGGGAGACTCCGGGAGGAAGTAAAGCCCACCTGCCAGGATAGCTGCCCAGATAAACTGCAGACCAATGGGGATACGGTATGAGGAACTAGTCTCCAAATCTTTGCAGCCCTGGTCAACACCCGAGGCAACCAGCAAACCGATGGTAACAGCCCACTGGTAGACTGAGACAAGTAGACCTCGAATTCTGCGGGGACTGATCTCGGAGACGTAAAGAACAACTGTAGAGGAGACACCACCGACACCAAGGCCAGCCACAAGACGACCAGCTACAAGTGCAGCAACAGTTGTCGATGCAACCTGAACAGCCACTCCGATAGCAAAAACCAGACACGAAAGCATAATGGTCATGCGGCGGCCAATACGCTCAGCGATGCCACCGCCAATCAGGGCTCCAATAAAAGTACCGGCGGAGAGGATAGAGGTGACGAGGGACTTGCGAGAGGCTGGAATCACGAAACCAGTCTCATCCTCGGATGTGGAGACTGCGTTGCCGAAGTGCTTCTTGACATAGCGCATACCAAGGACACCAGAGATGTAGCCAGAATCGTAGCCAAAGAGAATACCTGCGTGTACTTTAAGTGTTTGGACATCATGAAGTCGTGAGAGAACAAACCTCCAAAGCTTGCAAAGCCACAAATCATGTAGGCACGCCAGGTGACGGGGGCCTCAATGAGGTTCAGGTCGGAGGTGCCGACCAGATGCTGAGTATTGGCCATCTTCATTAACGAAGCGCATTCAGGAAGACACGGGAGGTCAGGAAGACGAGAAGTGTGGAAGAGAGAGAAGAATAACAGAGGCAAAATGAATCAGGTGTCAAATAAGCAGCGTGCGGCCCCAAAGTGGAAGGTGCCGGGAAGTAACGAGGCAACGGTGACACACGTCTTGTTGGGACTTCCGTGAGACCTCTACAGTAATCAAGCAGACAAAAGCGAGGCTCCGGGTAGAGCAATTGTAGAGAGCTGCCTGGATCTAGAAAAACGCAGTTGGTAAGATTCAGCATTTGACCAACGTCGTGAAGTACATCCACCACTCATATATCTGTTTTGTCCCAATTTTTTTAGGAAACCTTGGGATATGGCCGTCATGAAAACTCACAGGTTCGGGATCTTGATCTAAACTACTTGGGTACACGAATATTGCCTTCAATTTTCGATCCAAAAAATGCCAAACAAAGTATAACGCCACGAGGCACGATGACTTGCAGTGAATGTACTCCAAACGACGAATTGGGAAAGCGATAACGGCTTCCCAACGTCCCTGGTCCATGAAGAGCCTTGAGGAGTCAAGTACTACGCCGGTCAACTGCAGAAATCCCACCTGGAGGTGAAAACACGTTGTACTGGACTGGCCAGTGGATGTAAGATGAAACCTAACGGGGTACAAACGACCTGACCGACAATCATACGGTAACCGGGTGGTTCAAGTGGTGCAAGTAACCTTCGGCATTGGGCTAGAAGTGGACACAGCCACAATGAACTAGGAAAACCTTGGCTACGTTCTGGAAGAAAGAAGCCAATCTTAAATAAGGGTTACCAATGGTGAAACATTGACCATATGAGCGATAGGTATATACATGATAAACAAGATGTATCGTATCAACAACTAATCGTATGCAAGATGTATATGTGCAATTCATAACAAAACTCCGAGCCCCATGAGTGAAGATCGAGACACAACTATACCCTCTCCTCGGTCGACTCGGATGAACTACTCTCCAGTCGCTGCAGCTTATCCAGCAGAAACTTTTCCTGCTCGAGCTGGCTCTTCTTCAAATCGACGCAGAGGAAGAGGACAGCAAAGCTGGCCAGACTCAGCGCAAACAAGAAGTAAAACGGAGTGGAGACATTTCCAGACGGGCTCGCGTCGATGATGGCGCTAGAGACGAGAGGTCCGATGAAGGATGAAGTCTTTCCGATGATGCTGAAGAGACTGAAGAACAGGAACTCGTGGCCGCGCGGAGTGACTTCCGAGATCATGATTTGCGAGTAGCTATACCAGGGGCAGACGAAGAGACCGTAGAATGCTTGATATACCTGTATGCAGGATTAGTATCGTGTCTGTGTTTGATTATTGAGGACTGCCTTACCCAGAACTCCCAGGCATTGTGGAACCCAAACTTGTGGGTCCAGATACCGATCATGCCCCAGCCATCGAGAAGAACGATGCAGAATGCAATGGCGTTAAACATTGTCTTGGTTCCCAGTCGGTAACGCTGTTGGATCCACCAGAACGAGTAGATGCCAATTGCCTAACATTCGCTATCAGCTCTGTCGTCAGGGGTTCTGTTCAAGAACTCGGGCTCACCTGCGCGGCAATGCCGACGATCAAAAGGTATGTCAGTTCTAGAGTATTGTAGGCAACAACACTGTTCTGCAGAGTCGAAATCACAGTGACGGTGGTGTTCAAAGAATCTCCCAGTAAGAAATAGCCTGTCAAAGATGTCAGTCAGTCATTCAGATGAATGCCAGGTCTAATTCCGCTTTCATCTTACCGATAAGATAGATGAGACTCTGCTTCAGTTTCCAAATCTGTTTCATCGCATGCCACAGCTGCCACATGCCCGCGATGAGAATACCTCGCCGACCCGGATCTTGACCCGGACGACGCTTCTCGAGGAAAAACCACGGCAGGGAAACCAGCAGCCAGACACCGGACACAAAAGCAATTAGTACGCTGATTCCCCAATTGTTGTTAGCCTCGCTAGCATTGACATGCAAGCCGAACATGATCCCGACGATGATCGCCAAGATAAAAATCTCGGCTACTGACTGGACATAGAACGCAATATTAGCCAGACGACTACGCATCATCATGTCAGCATAGTCGTATTCATCGCGGGTGATGGTTCCGCCTTGATATGCGTCTGCTTTGTCCTTCAACTCGGATGTATTGCGAGCCAGGCCCGGGAACGCGGCGGTCCAGAAGGTCAAGGTTGTCTGGTAAGCGATCAGGCCGACGATGTACAGACCAACGCCGATTTGCCATTCATCCGAAGTATGAACACCCAGCCATCCGAATCCGATAGCGTAGGCGACGATGGACAGGGCGATGAGAATGTTGGGTCGCCAGTTGCCGAAGTCGGCAAAGCTGCCGATCACTAGGAAGACGACTACTTGGATGGCGAAGGAGATGCCATTGCATAGGAGCACGATACTATTGATATTGCGGGCGCGACCGGCGAATTGTAGGTAGCCATCAACGGGCGCGGCTTGGGACAGCAGGTTTTGGAATGCAGTGGGTGCAAAGTCTTCTCGCGTTAGCCTTTGACCCCGTATTGAAGCGAGGGTTTGGGACTCACTGAACAGGGACAGTCCATTGTTTCCGATGTAATAGCTGCCGGTCTCTGTGTTTAGTTTTTACTCTCGAAATTCGATGTCACACGCACGCGTAGTAGGCCCAGATTTCTGTCTGGCTCGTGCGGTACTTTTCATCGAACTGGTCTGGTGCGGCGGGTTGCTTAGATTTATCCAGGACCTCGATCTGGGGACGGTCGTGAGGATCCTCTGCCTTGACCGGGGTAGTGTCGCTGGGGGGTTCCATAATTATTTTTTTTGGCCTCGGAAGCGTCGGGCAAGAGGGAAAATCCTAGGATTAGGGGGAAGAACCTGTTTCACTGGAATGCCACAACTATTTAAAATCGGGTGGTTCAACCCGCCTCCGCCCCGCATGGTAAATAACCGGTTGACCATGCTAAACCCTCAACACAACGCTCAACGCAGCAGAAGCCAGTCGCATTGGAATGATCGTGCCGATCGCGCGATAGCAGTCTGAATTTCAGCTCCACCGTATCCTTGTCCGGGCCTAGCGAGAGCTTAGCGACTCGGCCCATGGGTACAGCCTATCACGTCCAACTGTTCTCGGGGGCGTGCGCGGACATCTCTAGCGGTGCCAACTATTGGCTCGATAACACTTGCCACGCAGCCCGGGCGTACGGCCTGACCAAGATATTGTAAGTGGGCCTAATTAGACGGTCATAACTATCTGCCCGCGAGGTTTGAAAGAGACCTTTAGAAAGGTACCTTGGAAAATAGAATCAAAAGATGTCTTGAAAAGCGCTTACAGAAGTACCTAGGAGGAGATTTAGAAGGACTAAGAAAATAAAGTATTAAAGCCCATTTTCAATATCTCCTTGGTCCGGCTGTACCTCCCCTGATTCTGGTCTTCAAGCCATGACCAATTGTCGGCGACGCTGGCTGATTTCTGCGCCAAAGGAACGTACACCGAATAGAGCTAGGGTGTTATTTTTCGCTGATCGATGAAGGGCGGCTACGGTTGATTGCGAGTAGGCGCTGACGGATAGAAGATCTGCGATATTCGTGCTATCATCTGCTGCTAGACCGTAGCGGCTGTCGCCTTCCAGGTCATCGATAATCTTATCGATTTGTTCCCCGCGCCCAGTCGCATGGAGAATGTTGGCAATGGCTGCGTGCAGAGAAAGCAGATCCTTGTTAGGGACAGCAAGGTCTTCTGGTGGGATGATATGCGCGGCGATGAGATTCGTGTCGTGTCATTGACACCCATCAGGATGGTTGAAGGCACAGTTGGTCTCCTACAGTCCCGAAATCACGCATTTGTTACCGTCGCGTTTGAGACAATTAAACCGCAGTGCCTCTCGACTGTAGCTAGAAGTTGAGCCATTTTGCTTTGGCCTTCCACCTTTTGCTTTCAACGGCCTGAGAATATTATCGCCAAGATTATCGGCGAGATCTCGTAGCTCACTATCGCCAGCGTATAGATGTGCGGCGTAGGCTAAGTTGTCCTTGCCCTCAGTGGTTGGAAGCAAGTTCAGGAACTTCGTCAGAAAAGCGTCTGTGTCATCTGGTCTTTTGCGGTGGAGCGGAAGTGGACTGTAGAATGTAAGCTTATTGCGAAGCTTTTCTTCAGCAGTGATATTTTTGGGGGGCGCGGTGGAAGATGAGATGAAATCAAGCCATGGAGGATTGGGAGCGCGCAGATCATTGGCCATGATCAATGTCCCGAGACATATTCATTTAACGGTGGTGATCTTCTGGTAGTGCTCACTGGGGAGCTGGGTTCTAGGGGAAATGGCCAGAAATACCTCGACATGAAGACATATGGATCATTCCTTCCAGTATTGGCGTCGGACATTCGATATTTAGTACCTGGGTGCGCTAGTACGCATACTGACTTCCGAAACAGGCGTAGTTGAGTGCTAATAAGGGGTATTACTCACGTGATACGTTGGAAAGGCGGATTGGAAAAGGTCTGTGAAGATAAAAGGGGTCATTTGTGGATTTTGGACTGGTTGAATGCCGATCTTATCGCTGCTGGAGAAGACAACGCCGATGGTTTGGAAGCTTGAAATGGTGAGTCCTTCCTGAAGTCAGATTTTCTCGATAAGCTCTTCTGCCGCTTCTTGTACGCTCTGTACTCGCGGGTGGAACTAGATGGAGGGCGAGAACTGCTTTATGGCCTTGTCTAACAGGGGGTCCTTGAGCGATCTGTGGCTGTGGTGGCGGGGAGCCATCTGCGGCTCGGCCCGCGCCCGCATAGTCGCCTGCTCGGATGTGATGTATCCCATACCAACCAAGTTGCTATCCTCATCCCATACCCTCGCTGCCTTCTATTATTCCTTATCCGGATCCATAATTTTCTTCCCACACCTTGACCTCTTGCCCTCTTGCCCTCTTCAACCACAACCAATCTCCTGATGGAGATGCTTCCCTTCCATTCCGTGATGGAAGGAAAACATCTTCGTCATATCAGCCCCACGGCTACTACCTAGTCTGCTATGAGAGATTTCGTTCTCACCACATACCCCAACAACCACATCACAAAAAACAAAATCAAACCGAAATCCTTTCCTGCGGGACTGGGAGTGGTGGAATATCCCGATTGTGGGGAGCACAGAGGCTGATATTCTATAGTGAACAGCGAAGAGAACAGCATGACTTTATTCTCTTAGCCCTTCTAAATCTCCTCCCATCGATTTTTTTAACGTCTTTCTAAACATCTTTTGATTCATTTTCCAAGGTATCTTTCTAAACGTCCCTTCGGACAGATAGTTATGACCGCCTAACTGGCGGTCAGGCACGTGTCCCCGGGTCACCCTAAGAGACGTGAGCTCTTGTGTATATAATCCGACCGTGGCCCCCAGCAGCAGCCTTGGAAGTTTATTGTCCATCCACACCGAGATCATCTATGTTCTTTGACACTGGAAGTATCATGGGATATCTCCTGTGAAGCCCCATACTCTGCTTCGATATCCTTCACACTGTTTACTATCCCCAACTCGAAATATAAGTGAAATAATTATTCGATATAGGTAGGAAACAGATATCTTTTTATTTAAATGAATGACTTGAAACCATTCAATTAACACCCCAATGCTTGATTTAGTACATCAATCGTGTTGCATTATCATATCTGCAATATGAAGACTGAAGACAGGGCAGCTCTTTCCCTCCAACTCATGCTCCCAGGCCCCAGGGTCTTTCATGGAGGGGTTTTGCATAGACATATGTGATAACCTTTTTGACTCTCCTAATCACCATCCATATCAAAGACGTCTTCTTCAAGTCCGACAATTTTTTTCGTTCAGTGTGGGATTTATGCATCATTTCTTACGTTATTCAATTTTCTGTACCGGAAGTTCCGATCTCTTTCAAGTATATACAAAGAGTGTATGTACGTATCCAAGATACTTTACTGTACCGAGGGCTGCATTTTCCATTCTTCAACTCCTGGCAATGGCCCCCGGTGGGGAAAGTCAACAGCCCGGCGTCACGAGTCATGCCGCGGTACTGGAGATTATTTCCTCAAGTCTGATGGTCGGATCATTGGCTGAGAGGTTCACATCGACGTCGATCAGCCGGCAACTGCATCTGCGCGCCGTTTCGTATCTCTCAAGGACCACAGGATTTTCCTTCGGGAGCCACGGAGTTTGTGTTTCAGTGAATTGGCTGTTTACTTGGTCGTGCATTATTTTAAGAGGAATGGAAGATTTATAAAAGTAAAGATTCCATTTTTACCAAGAACCGAAGCATAGCCACTATGGAATCACTGTAACGCCGGAAAAAGCATCTCATGAGAATACAGAGTACGCAGTCGCGATGGTGAATGAAAACGACACCGGCTTTCCAGATCAAGCCGAATTGGTAAGCTCGAAACCCAATTACCTGGGAAGCGGCACTTTATTCCTCTACTTCCTCAACTCGTGCGGTCAAGTCCCGTTTCACGGCTGTTGAGCTCGGGGTTGATGCGGGCTCGGCAGAGGTGGTCGTTGCTGAGGGAGCGGCGTCACCGACGGACTCAGCAGCGGGTTCCAACTTGGACTTCTTGCTCTTCTTCTTCTTGTTCTGGAGGTCATGTGTTAGATTGCTGCGTTCATAGTCATTGGGGAATCAAAGAACTGACCTCCTGCCAGCCCCACAGAGGCTTGAAGCTGTCAAAGAATCCAACATCCTCGAATAGATTAGGGAACAGCCAGAGACCCGGTGGCACGGCGAAGACGGTGATGCAGAAAAGAATCAGACGGAAGATCGACATGGCGAAGAAGAGACCAAGCAACCCCATCATACCCACGCTCAGGTACCAAACACCCTGGCGCAACATGATCGGCCAGAGAGGGAAGAGAACGACGGCAAAGATACCCGCCACCACCGCGGCAGCCAAGGCCTTTTGCTTCCACTGTGGTCCTTCATACAACCAGACGTAGTGCATCATCGGACCCGTCTCCTGGTGCTGCTCGACCTTGACGGTCCACAGACCCTTCACCCGGTTCTTCGGTTTAGCATGGTTGTGTCCGGCGTGGGGATCAACTTTGGAAACTCGGAGTGCCAACAGCGAGAGCGGGAGCAGCTTAAAGACGTTCTCGGCGGAGGCGCGGTCTGTGACAGGGGGGAGCTTGGAGTTCTTTTTGGCGGCGGCTTTGGCGTAAGCGGGGGACTCGATCGCACGGATGGCACGCTTGACTAGAAATCACGGCGATGTTAGCAATTGAAACATGATACGGCATGATAAATTGAAGTTGCGACGTACCCTTAAACATGTCCTTCCGTTGCCCATCCAAGATACACGTCCGCGGCTTCAAGTTCTGCGACCGCAGGAAGTTGGCCACGGCGATGGCCTTGGGATCTGCAGGCTGACCCGGCTGTACGGGAACCTGATGCGTCTGCTGCTGTGGTGCGGGCGGTTGGCTTTGTTGTCCTTCCTGTGGTGGTGTTTGGCCTTGTTGCTGCGCCTGCTGTTGTGCTTGCATCTGCTGCTGATGCTGTTGCATCGCCCGCATACGTAGTTGCGCAATATACTGCTCCGGCGTCAATCCGAGCTTCTCGGCGTCGGCAGTCAGCTGTTCGCGCTGCTTTTGTGCGAACTGCTCCGGCGTCATCCCTCTTTTCGCGGCCTCGGCGGCGAACTGTTGCTGCATGGCCGCCATTTGTTGTGGGTTGGGCGCGGCCATTGTGAAATTGTGTGAAATTCGACAGAAAGTCGAAGTCGAAAACAAAAAGGACGGGTTGGGGTGGTTGACGTGGGAAGTTGAAAGAAAGAAAAGTGGCCAGATCGACTCAGGTGATCTCCGCCCTGCAGCGTTTCTTCCCCGTTAGATCGTCACCGCGCCAGGTAGATGCGCCTCCAATGTCCGTCTCGTATGACTCCGAGAACACTTTGGACAATGCCACTTGGGTGGCTGTCCTCCTGGTGAGTCCTTTCTATTTTCTTATCTTCAATCGGAGCTAATCCCCGTACAGAGTGAACGCGACGTAGCCGGCCAGATCCCGATCAACTTCGTCACCAACCCCTCCGTCTCGCTTTCCTCGGCCTGCTTCGGCGCAGGCTTATACGATCGAGACGATGCCGCCAAATGCATTTCGAATCTCCTAGCAGTCGGATATCGGCGACTAGTGCTAGATCTATATTGGTCGGTCGAGAGCAGGACATGGAGCTTCTGCCCAGTCACCATCCCAGCAAAAGCCGATGTGATGGTCTCCGCGTACACATCCACTACTACCGAAGCTTCAAAGACAACCACGGTGACGACTACGACCGAATCATCCTCGACGACATCGGACGCAGAAACAGCCTCCATAACAGGTTACTCGGATTCCCAGGGAGACACGGTTTACGAGCTAGGACCATATCGCTGCACGGATGATCTCGACCTATTCACCCTAGCAAAAGTGCTGACCGGATACTTTCAAGACACAACATCCCAGTTGACTATATTCACGACCTATCTGGTATTGAATCTGCATGTAGCCGGCAGCGATTCTGCGCCGACGAAGCCTCCACCCGCCGTAACCGGGAATGACCTGCCCTCGTCGAAAGAAGAACGAATTGGCTCGTTTCTCGAATCGAGCTTGCGAGATTATATATACAGTCCTTCTCAACTTGCCCAGGAGCGAAGCAACCTCAACGAATCCTGGTATAAGGTCGACGAGAGTTATATGCCTATCGTGGAATACTACACCATTCATGAAGACCGAGAGGGTATACAAAGCACACCGGATGGATGGCCGTCGACCAAATACATCCAGCTTGCCAAGTCCGACCGTGTCATAATGGAATACGGCTCGGTTGACCCGCAGCTGGCCACGTACGACCTGTCGCAAGATCAAGACGCAGTTTTCCTCCCTGGATATCTGACCTCTACGATAAACGTGTCAATGGCCACGAACGGCTCTGTGATATCTGGTTGCTTGTATAAGGGGGGGCCACAGATGTCTCCCAGGCCAACTCGTCATGGGCAATATCGAATGGTATCTCTGTGGCATACGCTGCATCCGATGATAGCACCATGCAGTCGCTAGACGATACTATCGCGGGTATTACAGGATGTGGCATTTCGCCGATGCTCAATACTACTCTATTTGGACAGACCGCCGACGTCAACGTCGACCATTACCGTAACGTCTCGCTTGCCGCAGGGTGGGCGTGGGCAATTGGTGAACCAGAGGGTGCCGCAACTGGCGGCGGCACGCAAGGCGTTCCCAAATTTGACCGCTGTGCCATCATGGACCTCTCACTCAGTGGCCGCTGGCGTGCCACCAACTGTACCGTGCAGCGACGCGGTGCATGCCGAGTGGGCAATTCACCATTTTCATGGGCTCTATCAACATCTGCTGTCGAGTACAATGATGTCTCGGGCATGTGTCCTCCCGGCTCCAGCTTTGCCGTGCCTAGAACTGGCCTTGAGAATACTTATCTTTATAAATACCTCCTGACTCAACCCCAGTCCATCATTGATCCTGAATCTCTCAACCTTTCTCATCGCGAGATCTACGTCGACTTTAATTCCATTCAAATCACCTCGTGCTGGGTCACTGGTGGTCCTGGGGCTAGCTGTCCCTATGCAGCGGATCCGCAGCAGTTGGAACACAGGACGGTACTGGTTGCTGCCATTGCTGGAATTGTGATCTTGATCATCACTGCCTTGACTGTATTCGTCAAGTGCAATGCCAATCGCCGCAATTCTCGGCGCCGAAAGCGTGTTATCGAGGGCTGGGAATACGAGGGAGTTCCCTCATAGCCCTCATTAATCATGTGTCACGATCCACTGTATTATGCTGTTGTCTGCTTTTAAAATATTCATGATACCCCGTCAATCGATTCCTTTATACTCTGACTCTTTGTATTTTTCAAAAATAGCAAGGTCTTTTTGTTAGGTGCTGACCCAACTTTGCCGGTACGAGGACGATATTATACTAGAAGTGCATGACAACAGCAAGTCTGCGGATCAAATTGTAGAATTCGGCGCTATGTACCCGAGAAAAGAGAAAAGATTTCGCCACATGTCGTTCATGAACACGCAAAAATGGTCGTCAAAACTCCGTATCCAAATAGAAAAACCCATATCCGAAACAAGTCAAACATACTCACAGTCCGGCAAACCGCGCCCATCCTGCGGCCCGAACCGGTGACTGGTTCGAGTTGGGGCTCTGGTTAGGCTGCACCTCAATACTCTTTCCACCACGGCCTTCCTCGACAATGGCACCAGACACGTCCCGCCGACGAGCAACCTTGGGAACGCCCAGGCCTGCGAGATAACTGCCATATGAGGAAAGGGATGCACCAACCCCGCCGACAAGACTTTGCCGAGTGGTATCTGCGCCTGAATTGCTGACCACGCGGCCCTTGCGATCTCCCTCGTTCAGAGCTGGTGATGACGGGGCCGGGGGACTCAGGTATCCCTCATGATCGCTATCGTCCTTTTTGAGAGATTGGTAAGCGGCCATCTTCTTGCTGCGCTTTTTGGAGAGCTTTGTCGGCTTGCGGGAGATCTGATCACTCGGGTCGCGAGAACGGACGCGTCCAAAATTATCTTCTTCCTCCAAATCACCGTAGAAGCGGCTCTTTGCTGGAAGAGAATCGGTATCGTCATGTGGCACAAACACTTGAGCCTTCTGGTTTTGCGACAGATTCGGGTTATCACCCAATGCATTGCGCCGCACGGGATCGGTGTTCTCCAGAGTCTCGGTCAGAACAGGCTGTGGAGTAGGAGGGTTCAACATGAGGGGGTTGAAGGGAAGGCCTCCAGATGTCTCCTCGTGAATATCATGGTCATTCTCTTCTGGGTCGGGGAAGATGTTGAAACGGGTATCACCCAGGTCCTGCTCGTGATTGTTGTCTTCTTCATTTCCGTAATACTCCCGTGCCGACAGTGATGCATACTCGCCCCGGGCGTCCTCGGGAATCACACTTCCAATGTTGGCAGGCTTTTGACCGTATGCAAACCAGTCCCGCATGGTGCTCCCTGTCGAGGTACCCGTCGCATCCGTCCGTCGACTGTAAACCGAAGATGATTGACGGAGGGTATTGCCATCTTGATTGTGTTCATCATTCATTCCATCATTCATTGGCGACAGAGCACGATCCGAGTATGCGACCCAGTTGTCAGATATGGGGCTTACCGAATCCGATCTGTCCGCAGTTCGTGACGCCAGATGGCGCATTTGAGTAGTAGGATCTACAATTTCCGGCAATTGCTTAGGCACATTTCTGTATTCCGGTGCCGGGGTATGGGATGTGAGATCATAAGGCTGACTTGCGGGAGTGTGGAAGAGCGTTGGGCTCGATGGCTCTATGTGAGATAGTCGGTGTGGTTGAAAGAATGTCTGGGACTGACGCTTCTCGTTCATCATATCCACAGACCCTCTGTTAGAATCACCCCCGAAGGACTGGCCGCGAGTGTGCATGAACGGGACAGAGCGAGCAGGCCCAATAAGAGGATCTTCCATGGTCGAGTTCAACGTGGAGGAGCTCATATGCTTCTCACTTATGTCAATTTCCTTGCGGCTTCTCTTGGGACGTGCAGTCAGATTGTCTTCCAGCGGATTCATATCAGGTGGCAAGTGAGAAATCTTGCGGAAGATCACGGCCAGGAATATTGATAGGGAAAGCGACACGAGGTGCAGCCCGGCGTTGGCAACGGCACAAATGAACATAGCTTCGGAGATATCAACCGTCAAGTCGGCGCTCTCGAACAATGTACTCCAGTGGTATGTATCTTCCGTCCATTCTGCTTGGGCCATGAATGCGGTAAACGCATAGAATGGGATCAATCCCGCATCGAGCGTGGAGGCGAATAGTCCATAGCTGGCTTGCGAAGCAGGGGGGCGGGTGACGGGGGAGCGAGAAAGATGATAGATGCCGTAGATAGTGTGCAAGATTGCAGCAATGGGCTAATCTATGGGTCAGCAATTTCTCCTCGACAACTTGTGGGATAGTGACTTACTCCAGCCCGAATGATCCAAAGGGCGGTCGTCGAGACGTTTTTAATGACGATGGAGCAGAATAAGGAAGCGAGAGCACCCAACAAGGTGAGTACTCGCAACCCGAGTTGAGTGCCGCGGGTATACTTGACCCTGTTCTTGGTGTTGGAGTGCATCGGCGTCCATGCTGATACGTCGCGGCTGGTGGTCCACTATATTCAATGTCAGTCGCGCATCGCATGTCCCATCATTTGACTGTCCATACCGAGTCTGGATGCCGGTTGAAATTCAGTAGCGGGCCTTTTTGCTTGGGCTTGGGCTGCGCGTGGACCCGGCTCGCCTGCGTCACGGCTTTGGGGTTGAAACCGGGGTCGGTCGGGCCATGGAAGCTGTACGTAGAGGGACGATCATAAAGGAATGGAGGCTCCGATCTCCCCATGATAGCGATTGCAACCCGTGGGAACCACGCGAGAAGGGAATGTGGACGAGGAATGGAATGCGATCACATCAAGATGACAGTCGCATGAACCATAGGGAGTGCGGAGCAAGGGAGATCAACACGATAGTCGGCCCGGCAACGCGATATCGGGGTCACGTGGGTATGACCGATAAAGATAGACTCACTCTTTGACTCTCTTCGGGGCTCGACAGACCATGCTGGACCGCGCATTCGTCTGTGCTCAATGCACAGCGCGGCTTACGCACCGCTCTGTCTTTCGCATTAAGACGCCCTTTTACTCGGCATCTCGCCGCCTGAGCAGCAATGCTACCCCCGACCGTCCCGTCCGCGTTGCCATTGTGGGCTCAGGGCCCGCGGGATTCTACGCGGCTTCGCGCTTGTTGAGCAAGCAGCAGAATGCGATGGTTGATATGTATGAGAAGCTTCCGGTACCGTTTGGATTAGCTCGCTACGGTGTGGCCCCAGACCATCCCGAGGTAAAGGTATGTACTCGATAAATCAGCGTGAGCGTCCCGTTGCGGCTTAGAACGCGCTGTGCGGCACATGTGCATATTTCAATGGGCTAATTGTTGTAAAAAGAATTGCGAGGAGAAATTCACAGAAGTCGCCACGTCCCCACGCTTCAATTTTGTCGGCAATATCGACCTCGGTCACGACCTGCCTCTGACTGCGCTTAAACCACATTACGATGCCATTTTGTTTGCATACGGAGCATCTCAAGATAAAGAGCTTGGAATTCCGGGGGAAAAGTCTGCCCGAAATGTACATTCGGCCCGTGCCTTTGTCGGGTGGTACAACGGTCTTCCTGAGCACCGCGATCTAGAACCCGACCTGACCAGCGGCGAAGATGCCGTGATTGTCGGTCAGGGTAATGTGGCACTTGATGTGGCCAGAATCTTACTTACGGATGTGGATGCCCTTCGGAGTACTGATATTGCCGACTACGCCCTTGAGGCTTTGTCCAAGAGCCGCATTAAGCGAGTGCGAGTGGTTGGCCGCCGAGGACCACTGCAGGTGAGTAGGAATAAGCCAACATGGGCTTTCACATGATTAACGATGTTAATCAAATAGGCCTCATTTACTATCAAAGAACTTCGTGAACTGCTGCAGTTACCTTCCGTCGCCTTCGACCCGATCCCGAAAGACGTCTTTCCTCCCGAGGATGTCGTAGACGCGTTGCCCCGAGCGCAGAAGCGTCTGATGCAGCTGCTCGGTAAAGGCTCAGCCAATGATCCTCAGACTTCAACCAAGTCTTGGTCACTGGATTTCCTTCTCTCCCCCGACTCTCTCCATTCGTCACCGGTCCACCCGTACAATCTCTTCCAAGCCAGATTCTCCTGCAACCAGCTCGACCCTGCAAATCCACACAGTCCTAGCTCCAAGGTCACACCCAAATGTCTGCCCGATGGGAAAGCTGCCATGGTAAACCTCAACGCCAGCGTCTTCTTCCGCAGTGTCGGCTACAAGTCGCTGCCCCTGCCCGGATTAGACGATATTGGTATTCGATTTGATGATCAGCGCGGTGTGATTCCCAATGATGGTTTCGGTCGAGTGAGGAGTCCCTCAAGCCCCTCAAATATGGGAGAGCGCCAAAAGCTACCGGACGGTTCTTTGATTACTCACCTGGCCGGCTTGTACTGCGCCGGGTGGGTCAAACGCGGCCCAACGGGGGTCATCGCCTCGACCATGACGGATGCCTTTACCACGGCCGACTCGATCATGCAGGACCTAGCTAACTATAATGGCTCTAGCTCATTGTTACATGCTCCTGGGCACAGTAGCGGTCTTGGTTGGGACGGAGTCAAGGCCGAGGCAGAGCGCCGCGGTCTCCGGCCAACGTCCTGGAAGGACTGGCAACGTATCGACGCCGTTGAGCGGGAGCGCGGTAAGCAAAAGGGCAAGATTCGAGATAAAATGGGGCGTGTAGAAGAAATGCTGGAGGTTATTGATTGATATTTCTATGTATAATAGGCACTAGATATCTTGGACCCCATGTACAGTGGCCCGACCCTCACCTCTTTCGAAACATGATCCACTTTGTATCGTATCTCGTAATCACATATTCGTTCCACTGTCCTCCACTCTAAGCCTACATTCCACACTCACTATCCGCGATCGGAGTGTAGGTGGCGGTCACACTACCGAGCTTCACGCCTTGATTGTCGGTCAATTGGTTGAAAGCCTGAAGCCCAATGTTGAACCTGCCGGAGGCGGCATCGATGGCAAGGACGTTGATAGTTTGGTCAGTATCGCCGGACTGGTAATGCAGTGCATAGCAGCTGCCACAGCTCGTCGAATTCCATCCAGCAACTGAGTGAGAGTATATAATATAAGTATTAAGGAGAAAAGAGACTGGAAAAGTAAACTTACTGGTCAGCGCCCCGCCGATGCGAGGGAACGCAGGCAGATCCGAAAATGTTGGAAACCTGCTTTCCAGGCCGTTGTCCCCATCTGAACAAGCAACAGTATTGAGAGATGTTCCACCAACATCATATTTTTGGTCATAGGAAACTAAGACGGACAGCATCTCATCCTGACCGTCTTCGGAGAAAGGAGCTGCTCCAGCAAAGTGGAGAGTGGCCAGAAGGGACAAAGTGATGGTAGTGAAGGTCTTCATGGCGGGAGGAAGTTTTGAAGGGCCCTGGGCAAACAGATAAGAATTCCTGGAGGTGATGACTGCAAAAATGTCGACGGCTGTGATGTCCCTTGACCAGCATTTCCTACCACCCTATTTATATATTCACGACTGGGTCAGCCCACGTCTGAAATCGGTACTATTTTGGTCGTATGCAAGGCTCTGTCGTGCCCAATGCAGATCTCAGACATCCAGCAGACACTTTCAAAACAATAAATCTGCTATTTCCGCAATTGTAGACCGCGAGACCGCTGCATTAAGGCAAAGCGGGCCGTTGCGGGGTGGGGATCTCAGGCGGGTAAGACATGGTAACCCTAGATGCATGTCCGGAGAGGAGATCTCTCGTGGCGCAGGCAGATCATCTGCACGATCCATGTGCAACTGTACCAATAGAACGAGAAATAACAAGTTGTTCGATGTCACTGTGTATACTTCGGGTATCTATCTGGCTACCGCTACGGTTGCATTTGGATGACGACGGATCTAGAAAGAAGCCGCATCAAGGTCATTCTGACTCAGGTTCAGTTGAAAAGAGATTTCTCTTCGACAGAATGGCCAGATGATCCGAACTCAATAGCCTACAATAGAAATGGAAGGAAAAATAAGAAACCGTGGACAGTCCGGGAAAAAAAAAGAACGTCCCCGGGAAGGCTCGAACTTCCAACCTCCTGATTAACAGTCAGACGCGCTAACCAATTGCGCCACGGAGACAATTCATTGAAGGAACCTGTCATGTAATGACTTTTATACCAATGACCCCTGTAGTAGCTTCCCACGCGATCAACTATTGAAGCTTCCCATAACGGTTACAGCTCCGTGAAAATTCACCCCACGTCCCATTAACCTCGGTCCCAAGTACATTAGTCAGACGCCTGGATAAACCCCTGGTGATCATTACTCGAAGGCGGAAATCTCTTTGTACCGTGGAGATTGTCAGTTTCAAGCACAGACCGCTGCATTGACTAGTTTTTGGGCAGTGTCTGGCGCAACCTTGATGGGTCCGAAGAACCAGTACTTCCAGGTTTTCGAGGCTCTAGATATTGCAGATATTGCACTGTGATCCAATTAAGCTCCAAGCATTATCTGATTTCTGAGAGTAAAAACTGTTGCGCGACCAATCAATAAATCGTGGCGAAGATCATAGTACGGAGCATTGTACGGAATGGGCAAGTCGATTTTTATAGTTTGCAGCTCAGCAGGGGTAAAACAAGGCTCGTCACAATAACTTCAAGAATAATATGAATGCAAGTTCGTCGTTAGATCGGCATGTTCCCCTCTTCGCCCCCTGTGATGGCGGCATGCACCGCTTTTTCCAGGGTTCGACCCAACCTATTGCTCATTATGGAAGTCGGTATTAGCCCGCCAGCGCTAGCTGTCAAACTATTGTTTCGGCATCTAGCTTTAACACGAGAACGGTTCGCATTTTGCCCATTTCCCCCTTTTGTGTCTCGCGATCGTAATTGTGGATTCGATGGTCCCACTTCAGCGCCTCCGATAGGATTTTCCATGCGATCTCCCCGACTGGCAATCTCAAACGTTTGATTTTTGCGCCGCTGAATCTTAATGGACTTCTGAAAGTGATCGACGCCTAAACAACCTGTTGTGAAGGATGGGGTGATGTAATAATGTTCGGCAGAAGTGCCCCAATTCTCAATTTCAGCGCGACCAAACATAGTTCGGAGCCTCATCCACTCCTCCCTAACTTGGTATACAGTCCTCCGATGGACAATATCCCGGTGACTATGCAGCCACTATGATAATGGCGAATCAGGGGATATTCCACCGATCCATTTACAAAATGACTTGCCGAGGAGCCAAGCAGTGGCCAAAAAGCTTTCTGTTGCTTAGCACACAATGGTGGAGTATATTTTTATGGGTACAGGCCGCTGGGCCCAGTGCCCTGGTCTCAGGAGCCGGTGGCCTGGAACTCCCGAAAATCCGTTGCATTCTTATACAAGCGCTGGCCCCTCCTTCTGGAGCGTCGAGATTTTTATCCCGGGCCTGCAGAGACCCCCATCTATCTTGGTCATGCTATCAATTTTGCGATCCCTAGCCTCTGGGGATAGTGGCAGTGCTCTTTCACGCCGCTGGGAGTTCCGCGATGAATCCCCGCTCAAGGGTACCGATCGTGCGCTCTTTATTGCGATGGGAATTTGTGGCCTACTCTCCCTGATCTCTACACTTTCTCTCTTGTCTTTCCTTACCTATCGATTCATCTACTGGCAGCGCTACTACAAAAACTCGCTAGCCAAGAACCAATACGTTGTGCTCATTTACCAACTACTGCTGGTTGATTTCCAACAATCCATTGCTTTTACGATCAGTCTTTACTGGGCATCTCGTGGGCGTGTTAGTTTTGGAGAGCCTGCCTGTTACCTTCAAGGATGGTGGATTCAAACGGGAGATCCCGGCAGCGGTCTGTTTGTTCTCTCCATCGCCCTTCACACAGGTGCTGTCGTGCTGCGCGGCCGACAGTTGCCCTTCAACATTTTCATATGCTGCATTGTTGGACTGTGGGCATTCATTCTTATTTTGGGATTCATTCCCGTTGGGCTCTATGGTGACAAAGCCTTTGTCATCTCTGAAGCCAACTGGGTAGGTCGCTGTCCCCAAGCAATTGTACAACGAACGCAAAATTAACTGAATTGGCTTCCTAGTGTTGGCTCAGTCCCACACATGAGAACGAACGCCTCTGGGGACATTATTTTTGGGTCTTCTTGAGTGAATTTGGAACCGTTCTGGGTGAGAAACCAACCCTAAACCCCAACAACCCAAACTATGGGGGGACTTTTGCCCAGTCCCTCGATATACCAATAGATTGAGTTATAACAGCTAACGTGTTCACGGCCGTCCAGAGTATGGTATCATGTTTTTCTACCTAAAGAAGCGCATGGCTTCTGCAAAGCTTTTGCGTCGAGGTCAACAAGAGAGCTTGCACCGATTGAACCGAGTCGTCATATACATGGTTGTCTATCCGCTTGTATACTTGATCCTGTCACTGCCACTTGCTGCTGGTCGTATGGCCACTGCACGTGGTGACGCTCCAAGCAAGACCTACTTCGGCGTGGCGGGCTGTTTGATGTCTTTGTCAGGTTTCATGGATGTGACGGTGTATACGTTGACTCGTCGCCACCTGCTCATCGATACCGAACATTCTACTACGGACAGAAACTACCTCGGCGACAATACGGAATCGAACTGGCAAACACAGATCACCACCAACGCGGGCACTCAATCCCGGAAGGGCGGATTTGGCAAGGGATCTCGATTTGGGTCCAAATGGCAACGCAGTGCGCCCACTATGGACAAGGAGACTCGAAATAGTCCCTTCGAAGGATCAACTGAAGACATTGTTCCCAAAAACGACATGGAAATGTCTGATTTCGGGGGGTGTACCAGGAAACAACTATCGAGATCTCCCACGAACCGGCCGCGTCGGCAGACTCGATGATGAACCGGAGTGCGCGTCACAGCGGCTAATGCTTTGGCTATGCTGTATGATTTTCGCCTTTCAAGACTTTACTGCATATACAATCTGACTTGTTCACCCGGCGTCTCTCACCATTTACATATTCATTAACTTTTATACTTAATTTCAAGGTCGTTAGGGTATACCAAGCCACGTGATCACCCTCTTTCCTCATCTTCCTGATGCACCTTTTCTTTCTCCCATTCTCGTTTCCTTGCGGGATATATTACATAATAGTTGAGAGCACCATGGCGATTCAACGCAAAAATCTGCCTGAAATCGGCGGTCGATGATGTACGAGGATCATCCTGGATTAATCTCGACTCCTGAACCAAACTCTCGGTTCTGCACTAGAAGATTGCAGCATGGCACCAGAAGATTCCAGCATGGCACCGTCGATCTGTAAAGGGATCTGGGATTTTTTCACAGCGGATTCAACCATGCGACCGCCAAGTCTGCTTTGCCCTGATTTCTCGAACCCGCAGTGGGGCTTGGTTCTCCTAGTGGGTGCTTAAAGTAGTTAAGGTGGATTCGATCTAGCACGTTCGTGCGCACTGTTCGCGCATGGCGCTTAGTCCCGAAAGACACCATTTTTTGCCCCATGGATGTGTCATTTGGACGCCTTCAGGTGCGTTTGGTAGATCTTCATTTCGGCAAACGACCGTGATCCGCTTGCCCGATATGGAAATCGGTTGATGCTGAAGGCATGTTTGTCTTCACCATGAAGACTCAGCACAACTAAGATCAATTAGTGTAAAAAGTATTTTCAATGGGAGATAGAATAATATAGAAAAAATGATATATAGGTATGTTTTGCACCTGCAAACTCTATATCTAAAGAAACCTAAAGTACGATCCCGAGTATGATTACATGTGAAACCCACACTAGCTGATCTTGTGGAACGCCACAGAAGAAAATAAATAAAAGAAAGCGTTCGAGTGGCACGGGGAGCAAAACGCCGTGCATGCGAGAGAGTCACTAATACAGAGTCATGTACTCGGTAATTTAGAATAAGGTACAGCCGCCCTTCTAATTCTAGATAAGAATGATGCGATGAGACAGAACCTAATACATTCTTCTCAACATCTCGAGTCGCGACTCCCACGTGGATCTTCTGGCTCATCCTGACTCCTGAAACTCTCTTTTTCTCTCATCGCACTCGCCTTTTTGACATTGCGCCACTCCATCCCTAGCGCTGGCAAGATCGTCACGCAGGATAGCGCTACTGGCAAAATGAAAGCCCGGTGAAGTGCCGAGTTATAGATCACTAACACAGGGCCAATCTTGCCTTCGGGGACCATGTCTGCCAGACCCGTTGCACCAGCTTTGAGGATTGCACTTGGGTCAATGCCAGAGATTCCGGGCAGGGCTTGGGCCAAATGATTGATATAGAGATTTTGGCTGACGGCGACCCAGACAGCACCCCCCATAGATTGGAAAAAGAATATCAGAGCAACACTAATCGAGACATCGGTCTTGTCGAGCACGGTTTGTGCAGCCATGGTCGGCTGCTGCATACCCGATCCCAGCCCCAATCCAAAGAGAACCTGGTATCCGATCCACGCTGAGTGGCCCGTGTCAACTTGAAAAGTGGTGATCAGGCCCGATCCCGTAGCCATCAGCACGGTCGCGACAAACATGAATGGAACATAGTGTCCCGTGCGCGATATGATTACTCCAGATAGAATGCTGGCAACAACCAGTGACAACACCATTGGAATATTGTCTATCCCTGACTGCACTGCACTGGTACCCTTGACTCCTTGGAACCACAGTGGCAGTGTATAGAGAATCGATATCATGGCCCCGGAGACAAAGAATGTGTAAGCTGCACCAAATGCAACACTACGCTGCTTGATGGTCCGTGGTGGAATCGTCGCGTCTTCTTTTCGCCAAACTTGAACGACGCCGAAAGCGATAAGCAGGACGCCTGCCAAAACAAACAATAAAATAATGCGACCATCGTCCCAACTGTAGGCGGTGCCACCCCACTGGAGTGCCAGCAGCAGACAAATCACCCCTGGCATAAACAGGACTGTACCCAAGGGATCGAGTCGGATCAATTGGCGCTTTAACGTTGCTGTGTTAGAATGAGGTGGTGAATTAAGAAAGAAGGCAACGATGAGAAGAGTGACACCCCCGATTGGAAGACTAGAGGGAAATGATGAGTTAAAATTGGTTGACCTAACGGGAAATAAGCTGAAAGCCACAACTCACTTGATATAGAAGCACCAGCGCCAAGTCACTCGATCTGTAAATGCACCTCCCAGCAAAGGACCGACGATAGATGAGATCCCGAATGTGGAGCCCATAAGGCCAACATACATGGGGCGTTTGTGCAGAGGTACCATCTGCGAAATGATGACAGTTGATCCATTGAAGATGCCCGCTGAGCCAATTCCAGCAATAGCCCGCCCAATGATAAAGGCCGTGGAGCTGGGTGCAGCGCCGCAAACTGCAGAGCCAACTTCAAAGACCACGACTGCTGCCAAAAATAACAGTTTGGTCGAGTAGAAGGTGTAGATACGGCCCCAGATGAGCTGGGTTGCGCAGCTGGTCAACAGGTAGGCACTGGCGTACCAGCTAATATCGTCGATAGCATGAAATTGGTCGGAAATTCTAGGTACAGCCGTGGCAATGATTGTGCGATCCTATAGGAATACCGATGAGTATTGGTGCACACAAGTCATCAGGATGACAGCTTACCAGTGCAACGAGAAACATGGCACTAATGAGTGCGACCAGGATCAATGCAAGCCGTAGTCCGGTAATAGAACCCTCTTCGGCTTGAGCCTTTTCCTGGGGTTCCTTTTTTGATGGGCTGACTTCGGTGGGCTTTTCCGAAGGTGATATTTCTGGTTCTATACATTGTCGTGGATCCGCCATGACGGTTATGTGTGATGTTGAAGAAACCAAGAATCCTTTGATAATAGTAAATCTCAAAAATAGCAAGAAAAAGGGAGTTTCTCTGCATGACCTTTATAGTTGCCTTTCCCCGGTGCGTCTGCCCCTTTGTGATGCTGGCGTCGGCGCCGAGACTTTAGAGTCCCGAGGCTCGGCGCCGAAGCACATCGACGAGGGTCCGAAGGAAGTGCGTGTCCACGAAAGCATCCAACACACCAAAGACACCATGGCAAGCTACTTCATGACTCAGTCTTTATCAGGCCCCAGCCCCTGGAAGTACTAATGTTAATTGAGAAACACTCAACGCATTCCTTGTGTAATCTGCAGCTTACCAAAATGGCCGTTATTTTATCAACTCTCTGATCAGGCAAGCAAGCAGATGAGGTAGATAGGCTGCTGCTATTTGGAGAAGTTGGAGCAAAGATGCCCGCTGAGGGACCTTGGAGATATGGTCTGACGGTGCGGGGATTCTACTTTAAAGCGGGGCAATCGCCTCAGAAACGAAAATCGACGTTGCTCCGATCAGACAGAATCAACATGACAGAGAAAAGATCGGTCGCGATTATTGGAGGTATGAGATGGATATTTATTTTGAGCTCATGCGTAGCCTTGGCTGATCAATCACAGCCGGAATCTTTGGCATTTCGCTGGCCGTCGCTCTCCGCGAGAGGAGTAAGAATTGAGCTTTAATTGATGAAACAGGCCGTCGGTTGACTTGTTGTACACAGATTATAAAGTCACCGTCTTCGAACGAAACCGCTATGATCCAAATGGATATAGTCCGGAGGCTGATGCACAAGCCGCGTCGGTGGATCTGAACAAGATCGTGAGTAACCTCGAATGATAGATCAAGCGCAGCTGACAGCGGATGGGAGTAGTTTCGCGCATCGTACGGCACGGAGCTTCATTATCAGCGTCTTGCCATGGAGAGTCGAGAGGCTTGGTTAGCAGAGGATGAGAAGCGCATATCGAGCCAGACGGATGACCGGAATGAGAGGAAACTCTTTGTGAACAGCGGCATGCTGCGGGTTCAACCGACACGGGAAATGGAGGCTCTAGAAAAAGAAACGTTGGAAAATATGGAACGCGACGGACTGCAACACACGCAGTTTGTGAAGAGTAATCCCGAGGACCAACAACGTGCCGATAGCTTGGGATGGAAGGCCAAGCTACTCGATTTTGAGATACCGCAAATCTTTCCGCCCGATTCTTACGAAGCAGTATTGGACTCACTAGCCGGTTTTGTACGATGCAGCAATGCCTGTGCGCACTATCAAGAAGTTGCAGCTGCCCAGGGAGTCAAGTTTTACTTCGGACAGCTGGGTGCGGTGGAATCGCTGGTGAAAGTTCAAAGCACCACCGAGAGCGGCAAAGAAAAGGTGACTGGACTGAAAACAAAAGACGGTGTTATTCATAGTGCAGACACAGTGATAGTTGCGGGTAATGTGCTGAGATCAAAGAATTAGTGCACTGACTGACTGGTGGCAGCTGGGTCCTTTTCCACGCAAGTCCTTCCCATCTTGAGCAGCCACCTCGAATCATCGTCTGGCAGTTTAGCAACCTTCAAGATTGACCCGAGTGATACGAAGCTGTGGGAAAAATACTCACCGGAAAACTTCCCTGTGATTACATGGAAGACTGCACCCAGAGACGGTGCTGGCAAGGATACCGGCAGCATTTACGTTTTGCCTCGTACCCCGGAAGGCTTCGTGAAGATTGGATTTCGAGGCATCAAGGTAATTGAAAATCACAGAATTATCTCCACAGCCACTGACATCTCATCGCACAGTTTACCAATTTCCAACCAGCTCCGGAAGGAACTCCATTCACCCAGGACGGTCAGTGGTCAGTGCCTTTGTCTTCAGAGGCGAGCAAGTCAATACCACAGCGGGCTGTCGAAGCTATCAAAGATTTTGTCTCGATTTTCCTTCCGGAGTTCAAGGACGTTCCGTTTCATTCCACGAAGCTTTGTTGGTATACGGACTCATTAGACAATAGTTTTCTAATTGATTACGTTCCGAATTACGCAGAAGGCTCCGTCTTTGTCTGCACAGGGGGCAGTGGACATGGTGCCAAATTCTTGCCGGTTCTTGGAGAAGTAAGTCAATCCCTATGTCGACTCGAAGAGATGCCATGGGCTAATAAAAAACTAAGCATGCTGCGGACATTCTCGAGAATGGAGATTCGAGCTCCTCATACATGCGGCCATTTTGGAGATGGCGACCCGAAGAACCTAGAAAGAATGGCTTGGAAGAGGGTCCCGCTGGATCGCGAAACATTTCCGCTTCTTTCTCTTAAGGAATCCTAAATGCTTGCACCAAATATGTGCTTACCAGTGAAATCCAGATAAAATAGGATTGACTCCATTTTTCATTTCGTTAAAGGTAGCGAGAAGACTTGTATGGTAGTTACTTGAGTGACAAAATCTCTGGAAGCAACGTCCTGAAAATCCATCAGACTAAATGGCCCATCTTGCCGTAAACAATCACAGTATTCTCATTATATATGGCGTATCCGAAGCCACAGGTTAAAGCTTGATCCATCGACCCATCTACCTTTCGTTGAGCTCCTTGGCTTCGTCAACCAGACCCAATTCCAGAAGAAGTTAAATTGATCCACGAACAGAAGAGTGCAATGAAGAGCTCAGCCAGGCATGCGTAGGAGCAGTGTGCTCTCCAATGAAAATGGTGTTGTGTTCAGTGTTGTGGTATGCTGGAATATAGAGCTTGTGTTGCTCTATGTCTGGGCGGCACCACGAAGACGCGGTGTGCTGGTCCTGAAGCCAGCAGAGACGCTCATAGTCACCAGTGTAGAGCTCACGGGCCTGTTCCATATGCAAAGATATGATTGAATCGAGAACGTTTCAACATGCTCCTCATGCGAGAAACTGACAAAACGATCGCTCCAGTCACCCCCTCGGCAGTGCATGATCAGACCGGGACGTGATTTATTCAACCCATACACGGGATAATAAAGAGCTCCAACGAGATCGCTGGAAGGCTTCGAGTATCCACCGAATATTTGGGGCTCGCCTTTCTCCCAGAAACGTTCTTTGAACAACAGAGCCACCTTGCATGCCGACTTGAAGCGGACATCTGCCTCATTGATTGCGCGGTCCAAAACAGAAGAGAACCTCGGCAGAACCATGAACCGGGTCATGGTGAATGGAACTGCCATGATAGTGTAGTCGTAGTCCTCCGACTCGTAGGTTCAGTTTGTGACGCTCAGGGACCAAGAGAGCCGAGTGCAGGTGCTGCCATGAGGATCCTCCACTGTTTCCAGCTTTCTGACATGTCGATTTAGGGTGAGTCTATCGCTGATATACTCTAAAGTCTCCTGAATCTATAAGATTATCTCGTTTAGACGCTTAGGGGTAAGCTTTAGACGTCGACCAGCCTTTTGCTTCTGCGGCGTTGTTCGGATATAATTGTTGGCATATTTGGCTTGCCCACGGTGCATCCTATTCGGGAAACAATAGATAGATAGGTGTAGCCCTCGTCTCGTAGGAATTGACAATATTGGCGCTGATCGTGGGTAAGCTCTGTATGTCAAACCGTGGTTGAAGAGGAAAAGAATTGGATGCGTCACGTATAGTAAAATAAAGGGGAGATATGTAAAAAATAGGATAGCGGCGGTGAGGAAAAGGACGTTTGTTTCTTGGTCACCCTGTAGCTTTTAGCTGCTCTAGTGTCGTGGCAACTTTTTTCGCCCAAGCGAGTTCCAAGGTTCATACTCTCTTCTGCCGATAAACCTGCCTTTCGACATCGTCGTGACCATGAACACCACTCCACAACCGATCCTCGATATTGAAGACGCTCTAGTGTCCGATGACAACCCGGCACGTGATGACGGCACTCTCGACTATGAGCGCTGCGCCAGACTACTCAATTACCTGGTCGCATATGGCTGGATGACCCGCAACGGAAGAGAAACGCCCGACCTTGATGCGCTAGCCAGCGAAAAGTGGTTTTTCCATGAAGCAAACGAGGAGGTCGAAGCTATTATAGAGCGCCTTGATGCGCCGCTAAACAAGTTTTGGATTTAGTCTATGATCCTACGCCGCCCTTCTTCTACTGGGTTAACGGTCTTGCGATGATGCTCAGCGACGAGTTCTTTATTGATGATAATGAAATGGAGGGCAAGGAGCGATTTGTTTTGATTTATGGCACTATTGCAGATCTGGGCGGGCATAACCTCGGCGTTGTTTATGACCAGCAGCTCAATCAGGCCTCATTCCCAATGACCACAGACAACATGGAAAGTGTGGAGCCTATTGACGAGCACGAGGAAATGTGGTTCCCTCTGGAGACTATCCTCACCCAATGGATCTATATGACTCGGATTGGTAAGGTTGTTGCTGGGCTTCCCGAAACACTCCCTTCTGGTGGTCCCCCGACAAATAGATCGCAATTTTATCTGTGGTCGTGGCTCCCTTACTGCAATGCCCAGATTGATAGCACTATAGCTGCGATAGAGCGCTACTCAGCTGCAGTCGAATCTCGAATGCCTCCTGACTCACTTCTGCCTATCTCTGCACCGCTCTTTACCAGTGCAGAACTGGACGTTGCGGCCGTGCCGCAGGACTGCTTTATTCGCTTGCTCCTAACACGAGTTAAGACTCCGCGTTTCAAATTTATCGCGCCTGGGCTTGAGGTTCCGCATGACAAGGAGGCGTTTGCGAGGCGCCAAAGGTTTACCAATATACCTCATGAAGAAGATAGCATCCCAGGGGTCCTACTATTTGCAGCTCCAGACCGATCGGTGGATCTCAACCTCGAGATTCGTCGCTTGTTCTCCACCGCACATGAGAATGTGAGGATGAACGACGACGATCCTGTTCCCATCGGGCTCTATAGTGAGCCTGTGCGTCGAGGAGTTTATGATATGGAGGAAGCGGGTTTCCGTCTTGTGCTACCATTTCAATTACGACCTGGTTTCTTCCGAGATGAGGATGGGGCTAGGATGAGTGACGGGAAACCAGTTACCTCGGGCTCATTTACAGAGCTCTTTCAACATGGTTACTTCCATCCGTTTGGGGGGGAACGGCGATCGCAAAGACTGGAGAGACTGTTTGAACGGTGGATAGTGCTTATTGAAAGTGGTGTATGGACAGTGGGTGAAGCTGGTGTGGAGGGAGGCATCGATAAATTCGGAGATGCGGATAGAGGTGCGTGGAATGAATATTCGATCGCACCAAGCTGGTGAGATATTTGTTAGATCCACACTATTCGTGCGGCTCAGGACGAGTTGCGAAAGAATATTGCCCACCTCGATATTGGGCAGATCAGTCAAAAAAGCAGATGTCTGGGATATCTATTTTTGGAACCGGACTAGGACAATGAGATTTTTCTCACTCTATCGTCGAGCGATTTACCTAGCGACCCTTACCAAGCCAAATGCAAATGAAATCGGGTTAGGGACGAGAGATGTCGCCCTCAGCTTTCCGACAGCCGCTTTATCTGCAACTTAAAGTCGACTTCATGTGGCCTTGTTTGATGCAGAGGGTAAAGCGGGTTCAGATGCTGCACAGTTCATAACTTTGACACCGATGAGGGAAAATATGTCAACTTGACTCCAGAAGATCTCGAATTCCTCCGCAAGTACAAACAAGTACGTTTAAAGCTGCCTGCAACCACGCCGAATCCCACGGAAGATACTCTGCCATCTTTTCGCGGATGCGCAGACGTGCGCGTCTATCGCGTGCGGTTCTGTCTCGACGGCGTGCGATTGCAGCGTGACATCCGCAGTCCCAGCAATCACATCGTTCTAGATGTCAACCTGACCCACGAGGGCGATAGCACTTACTATGACCGTTTCGGCAACTGGCATGCATTTACCCATGACCCCATCGATGTCAAACCGTCTTTTCGTGTGTTGCCATCGCCGGATGGTGGTAGTGCTCATCTTTCCGCCCTGGACAACGGTGCTATTGTTTCGACTGTCCCTACAGCTGGAGGCCTTCAGAAGTATGCCGCTCCGAGCCCATTTGCGACGTGAACTGTCTCTTTCCGGAATGTGGATTTCAAAACTCTCGATCTTTCCGGGATCACAAAGGGATGGCTTGAGTTCTTTGGTACGAGCCGCACTTTCCGCTAATCGGCTTTTACAGAGATTTCATAACCTATTGGGAATGTGATCTACATCGTCGGTAAAGAGACGTAGATATGGGCTAGATTGAGCATTAAGACGAGTCAGATGTCAGATAATAGATTAAATTCTTGACACAGAAACAGCAAAGTAAGAATGATGGATGATCTTGAAAACCGAAAACAGTATAACCTTAGCCACCTGCATACCTGCTCATGCGCTAAAGGCTCTATCGTAGAGAATTTTGCCGGACCAAATTATCTCTATTAAGTTGAGCTTAGACTTATCTCTCGCCTTAATATATAGGCTGTAGTCTACGTGTGGGACAAGAGCAATTCAACTCAAGATATAATTTTTATGGGACATGGTATGGTTTTTGGTGTCGTCAGAGGGTTATAGTATGACCAGATGCATGGCCAACATCAAAAGCGAAATGTCCACAGGAAGATAGCTCTCTTGGTACATTACACTTATCTCATCAAGCAGCACCCGAGAGGAAGCCTAACAATGGAATCCATTTTTGGCGCTGCCTTCTCGGTCAATCCCAGTCTAGTGTGGTGTTGTAAGCTTATCCTTGGTCCTCCCATCTGTCACGCCAAGCTGACAATGTTGCACAGAGATATAATACCTCGAGGAAATCCTCAAATATTTTCTCTTTGTGCTTATGCATTATTCTTACCGAAGACGGGTGTCCCTGTCATACTCAAGAACGTGGCGGAAGAATCCGGAAGACCGCTGGTGATCAATTGCTCCTGGCGCCCCCATGAATAGGAAGGAGAAGATTGATATCAACAATGTATCACAAGCCACCTTGCCAATTACCTACATCGAGCTTGATCTTTGATTCTGAAGGACTGATATACTGAGGTAATTTCCTAGAGAATGCTGGTTACCGAGCCTTTGGTCACATACCTTGCCCTCTATCCGTCCTTTACTTATCGTTTGATCTATCTGACCCTGGAAGTATTCCCAATCGGTCTCGAGACCACGGGCAATAATGGAATACGGTGCCACATTGAGAAATAAGTCAAGATTAGTTTCTGGAGAAGTTTAGCTGGGGCCTGATCTTTATACGTTTTGGAATAACCCGATACAATCATCAAAAAAGATAGTAGCTGCCTATATAGAGCTATTGGCAGACGTAAATTTGGGTTCTAAATTTTGCCATTTAAGGAATATTGAAATATCCTTCCGACGTGCTGCGAATCAGCGCCAAACATAGCAACAGACGACCGGGAATATCCCCATACACACTTTCTACTTTGCAGGGTCCAGACGCGAAAAATCCCGAAGATATCTCTCGTTCTCGCATCGGTCTACCCTGAAGTGCCATATTATGAAGCTCGAAGGGCGTTTGGGATGTGGTGAGATTCCATGGGTTGGAAGATCCGCGTCCCAGATACGTCCGTGAAGGCGCAGCATGGACATTCGTGTAGAGTTCACGACAGCATCGAGAATCTACCTTAGCATGCCTTGCCAAAAAGTCAACCTGAAAGACTTGATTTGGTATGTATCGAGAGCTGCCCATTGTATAAAGTGCTTGGCTGAGTCCGTCGCACCGATGAAAATGACTACGATGAACCCCTGGAGATCAAGTGGATGCGTGTTCCCAGTTGGTATGGAAACACGGTTGTCAACTAAGTTTCTGTGTAGTGATTATCAGCTCAAGACCTGACTATTTATGCCGTGATTCGCGCCCCTCTCTTTTGTGTGGATGACAATTATATTTCCCTGTTACGATGACGGCACTTCGTGCGCTTTTCTTGCTCGCAGGAACACTTTCAGCCGCCGCGACGCAATTTGCAAGTTTTACTTCCCCTAGAGATAAGTTGATTACCTACGATATCCATGTTCTACAAGATACAGAGATAACGGGGGGTGTATCCATTAATATTCAGCTCAGTTCCACCCAGCAGTTGACGTGCTTCGTACTGGAGCAGGGAATCTCAATGGTTGGGGCCAATATATCGGTGGTTTATACCTGGGAAAACAATATGACAATATCTTCCAGACTGGCGAAAGGTGAAATACGACCTCTTTACAAGGAGAATGCAAATATCACAAGTATGGACCATACCGGAGTCCACGACGGAGTCATCACCAACTTCCGATGTGATAGCTGCATCTCTTGGCAGGGGGGCCGCCTGAACCCAAACGTCTCCCAGAGCAATTGGATTTGGGCTGTGAAATCCGGAAAGCCATTTTGTTCCAACACTTTATCCGCAACCGTCACCGAGCATGACAGCATGAGTCAAGAAACTGCGAACCTGAAGCGAGCGGCAGATACCAATACCGGAAACCCCTTCGGGGATCTATCCACCTTTCAAGCTAGCAACGCGATGCACATGCGCCCGCAGATTGACTACGAAGCATTCGATAGAAAGAGAAAGGCCCACGCTGTGCTGATGATAATTGCCTTCGTTATTCTGTTCCCATTCTTCGCGTTGGCCTTGCATCTCTTCCCATCGGGTATTGTGGCCCTACACGGAAGTCTGCAAGTCATCACACTGGCAGTGACTATCGCAGGGATGGGTCTAGGAATTTCCATGGCCAAGGACATCCGGCTACTGAGCCACTATCACCCGGTGATCGGGATGGTGGTGGTAGCCGGTCTGGTACTGTTCCAGCCAGCAATGGGGTTGTTACAACACCGGTACTTCCGCAAGTCGGGCGGCAAGGGACCATTTGCCTATTTGCACCGGTGGTTTGGGCGGGCCATGATCGTCCTGGGGGTCGTCAATGTTGGCCTCGGATTTCGATTGACAGGGATCGGCAAGCCTGGCGCTCCTCGCCCCGCGGTTATTGCGTACGGGGTGGTCGCCGGGGTCATTGGACTGGTATATATCATGGTGGTTTTTCTGACCGGGATAAGGCGAAGGCGCATTCCTGTTGATTAGTTCCAGAATTGTGGTTGTAGAAAGAGAGATGGGAAAATGCAGTGTTTACTTCGGGATCCCAATGACATCATCGCACATAACTCGTTTTTAGCTCCAACTCCTGCCAAATCATGGGGGAGGATTGCGCGGTGGCTTACTTTTACTCCGAACTTCCCTGTGACGTTTACGTTCTTCCCTCCTTCATCTATCGTGGATGGCAGCATCATGCCATTGCATACGGTCGCGTTGGGTGCGGCTCTGACTCCTACTGTCCTCCACACTCTTGTTACTCATGTGGGTCTCCTCTACGATACCTTCATACTAAGATCAAGCTGACGAACTGTCCCTCTCCAGTACCTGAATCGCAAGGCCAATCATTCCAAACCGACAGTCCACATCACCTACGATGAAGGCATTCAGGTCATCCGCCAATTTCTGTACTATGCGTCCAAACACCCCGTCGAAGATATCCAGGCCTTCACACGTCAATGGGTCCCCAGCCCGCACTGGGTGAGGACCGAGACCGTCACGATCTCGGACGAATTTCTCGTGCCCGCAGCAGCTACGATCTCGAAACAGCTCGGCCCCAAGGGCATCGTACGCGTCGGCGGCGAGAAATGGTGGCAATGGCGCGGTCCGGCCGAGGAACTCAAGGGGGAGTGGATTGAGATGCGCAATCACTACAATGAGAACAAGAAGTCCAAGCAGCGTTGCAACCGGATCATGCTATACGTCCACGGCGGCGCATACTTCTTCGGCAGCGTCGATACTCATCGCTATATGATGCAGCGCCATGCGCGCAAGTTGAAGGGTCGCGTCTTTGCGCCGGACTACCGCCTCTCGCCTCAGTACCCCTTCCCTTGTGGCCTGCAGGACTGCTTGGCGGCCTATCTCTGGCTGCTGAAGTCATACGATTCGAGCGAGATTATCGTTGCGGGAGATTCCGCGGGTTCGGGTATGGCGTTGTCGATGCTGGTCATCATGCGCGACCAGGGCATCCCTCTCCCTGCAGGTGCAATTTTGATCTCCCCTTGGGTTGATCTCACCCACTCGTTTCCGAGTATTGTGCAGGATAACCCAGGCGACTATATCCCTCCGTACGGATTCCGCTACAAGCCTTCTTCCGCATGGCCTCCGCCCAATGCCGACGAGATCTCGAAAATCAGAAAGTTGTCCCAAAAAGGAACGGTCACCGCCAAGGATGTCGAGCAAGCGATTCCCGGAAACAACAGCGCCTCCGTAGAGACAGCGGTTCGAGGCTACACTCTCCACGAGGAGAAGACTGCAACGGATGAACATGCCTATCCTGGCATGCAGCAGAATCCTGCCCCCGACACAGTACACGGCGAGCCCGATAATATACATATTGTCTTAGATGAGAAGACGGTCGAGCTCAAGGACCAAATTCAAATGTACACGACCAATCAGCTCCTCTCCCATCCCCTTGTTTCGCCGGTCCTCCAGCCATCGCTGGGTGGTCTTCCTCCCCTGCAGATCCTAAGCGGCGGCGGCGAAATGCTACGGGATGAACAGTTTTATGTGGCGCATAAGGCAGCCAACCCGACAGCTTACCCTCCCGGTGACATCTACCTGGACGAGTTTGACCCCGATAGGGAAATCTTGAACAAATACGAGCCGACATACGTGCAGCTTCAAGTTTGGGACGACTTGTGCCATGTTGCCCCTACCCTAAGCTTTACCAGGCCCGCAAAGTATATGTTCCGCGCGATTTCTCAGTTTGGTTCCTGGGCATTGGCTCGTGCGCAAAATTCCGAAGTCCATATCGTGGACGAGGCCGTTGTCTCGTCTAGTGACTCGGATACCGAAAGTCCTCGCGAAGAACCAGGTAGGAGGAAACCAACGTTTGAACCCGGCGTTTCTGTTGGAAGAGCCGGCGATCCTCTGCCAGCCTTTGATCTGCATATGATCCGGCAGCGTGTTGATAAGCGTGGCCATGTCTACCCACTTGATCCGCCATCATCCTATCCTGTTCTGGACATTCCACCCCGCAAGGTCGGTGCAATCAACCCCGAGCTTATTAGAAAATGGCTCAAAGCCAAGCGCGAGTGGGACGATAAATTTTCCAAGGATAAGCTTCACGTCCAGAGTCGTCGCATCAAGGAAATGGCGCATGGCTTCCAGGACTTTGAGGGAGAAAACCCACCTCCGAGCTCGCTAGCCGCCCGTCGTGCTGCCCCTGGGGTTCTGCCCAAGCGGCACTCAAAGAAGAACTATGGTATGATGATGTGGAGCGGCTGGGGTAGCAAGCACGACGAACGCACCATGGAACGAGAGACCGAGGCTGGAAAATCGGGTCATCGCCCAACTCGTACGAGCGTGGACGCTGGACAAGCTGGAACATACTCGAGTGAGCCCTCAAAGGCCCGCCAGCCAGACAATGCCGAGACGAAATGTACTGGTGGCAATACTGTCACTTGGAACAAAGGTAGCGAAAAGAAGGAGTCGACTGGGGATCTCTCACTTGGACACGCCTCCGAGTCAGCCACCGGCCGCCCTGTTTCTGAGAAAAGTGCCGGTCCGGTTCTTATACTGCCCGAGGTGGACAACCAAAAGCTGAATGATGAAGCCGCTAGCACGAGAGCACTTTTTCATGCCGCCATGACCTCTGATGCGTCTCTACCGTATGTCAAAGGCAGGCCCTCGTCAGCGGCCGGTCGGAGTGACTTCATGTCCGACACTGCTAGCACGGTTGGTGGCGACAGAGAGTCGGTTACACCATCCGGTGTTGCCCCGGACGGCGCCAGCACCCGTGCTGTGTTAAATGCCAAGGGCGTGATCGGTGCGGTTGGCGCCAGCGAGAATGGTCGCTTGTCTACCGATACAATGTCTGTACTCTCTGGTCGGGGCTCTACGTCTCTTCGACCGGAAATGCCCGAGAGGGAAGTCTTCAAGACAGCCGACGAAACGCATTAGACGTCTGATCTACCCAGCTTTGCCATTTCTGACCTTCCATAATCAGTCACATTTCCTTTATCTATTCGCGTTCTTTACTTTCCCCATCTCGAACGAGGACCTTGCTCACACACGTTTATATTCCTATGTTGTAAATTACTGAAATGGTCGCAAGACGCCATTGCTCTCGTTATGTATGATTACCATGTGTTAAATATACCCTATGACACTGGTGATGTTTATGGTAACGCCATGTTATACCATTTTCCCCGAACAGGCCAATGGGCATGATATACGGCGGGCCCAATTGGTGGAATACCTAGTGTGTCAATTTGACAGATGGACTCGATCTTGGAAATGAGATGTTTCAAGTAGAAATACGAGCGCCGATAAAGACATCACTACACGGTGACGTATGCAAAGCTTCGTGAGTAGTGTACAAGAATCATGATGTTGATACAATTAGAGAGGAAATCTCAGTGCCAGTCCAGGCCAATCTTTTTAGCGACTTGCTCAGCAACGGCGAGGAAAGCTTGACGTCTGGCACTACGCTCTGCGGTCTCCTCCGCCACGACGGTCGGCATACCGCGGTCAGCATCTTCGCACACCCGTGCATCGAGAGGAATATCTCCCAGGAAGTCGACACCCAGGCGCTTGCACTGCGCCATCACACCACGGTCCTCGCCACATGAGTGATCGCTATCGCCATGGGAGAAGATCTGGGTTTGATGTCCGCAGTTGGGGCAAGCAAAGTAGGCCATATTGCGGACCATACCGAGGACTGGAACATCCATTCGTTGGAACATGCCAATGCCGCGTACGGCATCGCGCAGGGCAATATCTTGGGGCGTTGTCACAATCACTGCGCCGTCGATGATGATTTCTTGGTTGATGGTCAATTGCACGTCTCCAGTGCCCGGCGGAAGATCTAACACGAGTACATCCAATGGTCCCCATGACACCGAATGGAGAAGCTGGTGCATGGCTTTGGTCACCATGAGACCGCGCCACGAAATCGGAGTTGTGTCCATGGGGACTTCGCCTGTGGTACTGTCTGCCTGAGTCTGTGGTAGCAGATAACCCATCGACATAGACTTAAGTCCGTAATTTGTGAGCGGGACAAGGCAATTGTCTAATGTAATAATTTTGTGAGCATGTTCCCCGGTGCCCACGTTGAATAGCAGGAGAATTGGATCTTACGTTCATCAAGTCGAGGCTCGCCGGAGAGGTTCAGTAATGTTGGAATAGACGGGCCAAAGATATCGGTGTCGAGAATACCAGCCTTGATACCTCGTCGAGCAAAGGAGAGGGCGAGGTTTACTATAAATTGTGCGACTTATTTAGCTTTGACCGGATACGCATTCGATACTTGAGATGCAATTGACATCATCATATTGGAAAGCAAGAATAAAATGCGGATAAAGAAATCAAAAGCTATCAACCCACCAGCAACTGTTGATTTGCCAACTCCACCCTTCGCTGATGAAACTGCAACCACTTTCTTGACGTCTCGGATTTTGCGCTTCTCCGGGACTCCACGACGACGAGGAAATGACGGCGGCGTTCCAGAACGTGGGAGACCCTGGTTTATAGATGGTTAGCCTGTATTCAGCGTGATGATACTATGAGACCAGTGACAAGCGTGCAACTGGTTTGCCCAGCATGGGAAGATACGGGAACGCAACTGAACTCACCAGGGGATTGTCATGTTGCAGGGCTCGGAAGGTTGAGAATACCCTCCTAGACAAGGAATTTGAACCACCTGGCACAGCCCACATATTAGTCAATGTGGTGGAAGAAAGAGTAGCATGAAATACAAGATAAGTGACGTGCAGATCAACAAGAAGCTGCGGGATGGAAATTGGGCAATGGATTCTGCAGATCAAATAGAGACCGCCCCCGAGGCCGCCTTTGCTAGCGTCCCTTAGAAACGCGCTAGCCCTGAAAAGGAAGATTATTCCGTTATCCGGAAAAACAAAAAAAAGTTGCGGGCATCGCTCGGCTTTTGACAGAGCTTCATCATTCACCATGGCTCCTGGAAAGACGCGTCCTGGACGCTCGCTGGCTGACCAGCTGGCAGATCTGGAGGATCCCACTCCCAAGGGTATGTTGGACTGCTCTCTGCTTACATTTGCTCCATGTCAGAGACTTCGAGACCTTCGATAACTGACTTGGGTACTAGATTTTGATCCCGAGGATATTGATCGTGATGGCAATTCCAGTGATGAAGAGACTGGCAAGGCGTCAGATATGAACGCTGGCAGAGAGCACTATCAGTCTGTTGGGTAAGTGGAGCTTGACATACTCGTTGGCAAAAAATCAATTTACTGATGGGTCGAAACAGCAAAGCCAAACTCAGAAAACAAGAGCCCGTCGCACTGGGCAAGCAGTATGCTGGTTCTCGAGTCAGCAGAGATGCCCTCGAGGCCGATAGCGATGACGATCCTTTTGCGGCGCCTTCCGATGATGATCAAACCTCCGACGAAGGCCCTGACAATGAAGGCTCCGATGATTCAGGCCTCGAAGATAAGTCGGTCATTGAATCTGGTCTGAGCGATCTGCATTCAGAGTACGACTCGGCCGTCGACGACGAAAAGTCCGACGAAGGCGCCCGCGAAAACACCAAGACTCGGCCCGACTCGTCTTTGCGACAGCAGAAGCAGAGCAAATTGAATACCCGGGAAATGCCCTCGAGGGCCCAGCGGCAGGGCAAAGGAAGCAAGCTGTCCCAGGACTCATTGGATGAAATGGACATGACCGACTCGTCAACCGCCTCGTACAGCGGCAGCGAGGCTTCCTCAAACGAAGGGGACTCGGGGATGGGGGACAACATGTTGATGGCGGATGAAGACGATTCCGAAGCAGAAGATGATCTGGGCAGCGGAGAGGAAGACGAGGAGTCGGAGGAGGAAGATGAGGAGGACGACGAGACCAATGCGAAGGACAATCGACATGCCACCCGGGCACACAAGCAGGATGACCGCGAGGAACTGCGCAGGTTAATGGCGTCCGATCAGAAAACGATTGCTGCAACAATCTCACAGGCTGCCAAGGCAGATGCTGCAAAGGGAAAGGCCGTGAAAGAGCAACGTACCACTTTTGACGCGCTTCTCAACACTCGAATCAAGTTGCAAAAGGGACTGAGTGCAATCAATGAGATGGCGGATATTGTTGGGGGAGCGGATGATCGTGCGACAGATTCGAGCGAGGCCGAGGAGGATTCAGAGACGATCAAATCGGCTGAATCCGCGGCACTTGCCCTTTGGTCTACTCTTGAAGAACTACGCACTGCCTTGTCTGACGCACACTCTAAAGAGGGCGCTAAAAAGCGCAAGCGGATTTCTCCGGTTACTCCTACAACCACCAGCTCTTCTCTCTGGGAACGCATGGCCGATCTCGAATCCGAGTCTCTTCCTCATCGCCGTTCCGTTCTCGACAAGTGGTCCTCAAAAGTACGCGGAACCTCAACCTCTCGCCCCAATGTTGGGGGCAAGCTTCTTGGGTCTGCTTCTGGCCTCCAGACTATTACCACCGTTCTTGACGCTCAAGTCGCAACGGAGCTCGGCGACCGGTCATCGAAACGTGCTCGCCGGAACGCAACTTCCAATGGCTCTGGTTCAACAGCTCAGAGCCAATTGGTGTACGACGACACCGCTTTCTACCAATCCCTACTCCGTGAGCTCGTCGAACAACGCATGTCTTCCGAAGCCATTTCCGGCGGCCTCGACTCGTTGCAGCAACTCCCGTCTCGCCTTCCTATCCATCCCATCACAGGGATGCGCAACGACAAAGTAAAGCGAGACGTCGACACCCGCGCCTCGAAGGGCCGCAAAATGCGCTTCAACGTGCATGAGAAGCTACAGAACTTCATGGCGCCGGAGGATCGTGGAGCATGGACGGTTCGGGCAAGAGATGAATTCTTCGCCTCTCTTCTGGGCAAAACAGCCAGTGGGCTGTTAGGTGAAGGCGACGAAAGTGACAGTGAGGGGGAGAGTGACGATGACCGGGAAGAAGGTGGTCTGCGCCTGTTCCGTGGCTGATTTCTAGTTTGCACCAACTTTTACTTGTATCATACCCAGCATACAGCTACTATTGGTTACGATTGCAAATTAAGCAACCAGATTGTGACCGTTGAAGTGATCACTATACCGTCGTAATTTGGGCTCTAGTCATGTAAAAGAGGCTTTGTTAGAGCAGCCATGCACCCTTCACAAGTAAGAGCAACAAAGCCCTGACCCGGTGCATTCCGTCTCATCTTTGATCACGTACAAACAGTACCACTTCGCCAATCTGTGTGTATCTTTTTCTCACAGATGACCCTCGGCATTTTTTGGCCCGGTAAGTCGGAGAACAGCTGTGTCCGCCATCCTTCTAAAAGTGCTAAAGACCTCCGGCTCCTTGATTCACACTACCACCTAAGCCATTGAATAACATGGCATGATATCAGTATCCATTGGATAGGTGTCCACATCTGATAGATTTACAAGGACAGAGAATGTAAGGCCATGAGCGGGAAATGAGCGGAAAGTGAGACAACGTTGCCTTAAGATCAATGAATATTCAGGAGTAAACATACTGAAACGGTAGTAGGAGAAACCTTCAGATTCTCATTGATATAGTAACTACTGGCATAGGGCGAAGTGTATTCCATGTTCAGCATCTACAGTATTGGTATCGAGCTGATTCCGATCACGTCGACTACAGCAGGACCAAGAAGATATTGTAAGTGGGTCTAATTAGGCGGTCATAACTATCTGTCCGGGAGGTTTGAAAAAGAAGGTTAGAAAGGTACCTTGGAAATTGGTATCAAAAGATGTCTTGAAAGACGGTTTAAAAAATTACGATGAGGAGATTAAGAAGGACTAAGAGAATAAAGTATTGAGGCCCATTTGTAATATCTCCTTGGCCCGGCTGTAGTTAAAGCACATCGAAGATGACGATCCTCGGTTCGACATGAATACAAAGATCTCTATAAACATGTCACTAGCAGTTCACCGCACTATTCGCGTATCCAAGGGTGGCCCACGCTGCCAAATGCCGCTCAAGCCCAACCCCGCAATTCCGTCCAAAAGCCGCAAGTGGGGGTCGTGTTGTGATCCGCATCGCCATTGAGGTGATCGTTGTGGGGAATTCATGACGTACCATGTCAAGGGGCGTAGAGTTTCTCCCCTCTTGCCTCCGTACCTTACCATTGATCCGTATACTGGTTATACCGGATCGAACCTTCTTTCTTCCATATAGATCCTGCTGGTCGCGCCCGGCGCGCGTGATCAAGATCCAGCCCTCGATCTACTCAAATGCGATTCAATATGCAGACGCCCCTGGGACTTGGCTCCCTGTGTACCTCACTGTTCTCGTTCCTGTGTCGCGATTCGGGCCATATCATTCATCACCCAGCACAGCCGCCCTCCTACCCGCTCGCCGTCCGCAACCCGTACTTGTCAGCATGGATGCCCAGCGACCGCGTGCAGCAGCTTCCCTATGCTGACTCGCAGTTCTGGGCCGGCCAGGAACTTGGCTGGTCCGTCATCGTTCGTATTGATGGCCAGGCCTATAGTCTGATGGGCGTGCCGGACTTGGAAGCCAGCAACATTCTTCCTGCCAAGGTGCGCCGCGCCGAGTTCACAGCAACCCATTCGCTCTTTGATCTCACGGCGGGCGGAATCGCATTGACCTTGGACTTCTTTTCGCCTGTTTCGCCCTCTAACTATCTCCGGCATTCGCTGCCTTTCAGTAAGTTGGTGCCGCACGTGGAAATCTTTGGTCCTATCTAATAAAATCGTGTATAGGCTATTTAACCGTCGAGGTTAAAGGCGCCCATGGAGCTGATATCCAGGTCTATTCGGATATCGACGGGAGGTGGACGGGTAGAGAAGACCGCTCGGTCCATGACTTTGAGGAGCATGACGGGCTTGTCGTCCACTCCCTATCGGTGGCAGATGCAGAAAGGTATGCCGAAGCGAACGACATGGCCCTCTGGGGTGACGTGATTCTTGCCTCTCGCCAGTCGAATTCGAGTACACTCTCGGCACTCGCAGGTGAGGCGAAGACAGTACGCAGCCGTTTCGTCCAACATGGCGATCTTTCAGGCCAAGAATCCACTTGGTCCCACCAAAGTATTGTGGCTGTCGCCCACAACCTGGGAAGCATCACTGGTGGTGCTTCTGTAACTTTCGCCGTGGGATACGAGAGAAAGGAGGCCATCAATTACTTGGGCGAGGCTTACACGGGCTACTACCGAGCATACTACCCGACCACGCACGAAGCCCTTGCCTTCTTTCTGGATGACTACGGGGATGCTTCGTTAGAGTCTCTAAAACTGGATCACGAAATGGTGTCCTTTGCGACAGCTACTGCCGGCCCCAAATATGCCGATATCGTAGCCTTGTCAACGCGACAGGCATACGGAGGCATGGACCTGACAATCTCCAACGAATCGCTGGACACCGATGGCGTGCTGGCCTTCATTAAAGAGCTTTCCAGTGATGGTAATGTCAATACCATCGATGTCATCATGCCGGCTTTCCCCATCTACTGGGTCATGGATCCGAATTGGATCCGGCTGCTGCTCGAGCCTATCATGAGATATACGGCTGCCGGTCGCTGGCATTTGCCCTATACTATTCACGACCTTGGGTCGCACTATCCAAACGCCATCGGTCATGATGACCAGCAAGCTGAGCCTATGCCTATCGAAGAGTGTGGTAATCTACTCGTTCTTGCACTTGCCTATGCGCAGGCGACCGGAGACACCGACTGGACCGATCAGTATATGGGCATCTTCCAGAAGTACGCCGATTACTTGATTGAGAACGGCATCGACATCGCCAACCAGCTTTCTTCCAATGACGCCGCCGGGCCTCTCCCCAATGAGACCAACCTGGCTATCAAGGCAGCAGTCGGTATCAAGGCATTCGGCGAACTAAGTGGGTATGAACTGTACTCGCGGATTGGTGAGGAACATGCAGATCTATTCTTCTCCGAGGGCCTGGGCACAGATGAAGGACAGACCCATTTCGTGTTGCAGTACCCTGGCTTCCCGGAGTCCTGGAAGACACCCTACAACCTCTTTCCAGATGTCCTGTTGGGTCTCGGGACGTTCTCTGACGATGCATATCAAATGGGAAGCGCCTTCTTCTCGACCGTTCGTGGCGAGTACGGTGTGGCTTTGGACAGTCGACAGGACTGGGCCAAATCGGATTGGAACATGTGGCTAGCGGGTACATTTGATACGAGCACGCGGGACGAGTTCGTCGATGATCTGTGGGAATTCATGACCAACAGCAAACATAATTGGCCGTTCTCGGATCGGTACGTCTCGACCTCCAAGCACGGCAATGAGCCGGGTACTCCTATTCTGTGCCGTGCTCGCCCAACCGTCGGTGGTCACTTTGCCTTGTTGGCATTGAAGGGACCTGCGTCGATGCAGTCTCTGTCCAACCAGACATCTGCATATGGCATGCCAGCCCGGAAAGCTGATAAACTGCGGCAAAACCACGTTAGTGAGCTTTGATTGATCCTGTATGAAATAGCGCTGCTCCCATGGTTTTATTCTTATCTACCGCATGTCGACGCATAGCGTTCTTTGTTTGCAGTATAGGTGTACTCGAATCCATTAGCCACACTTTATGGTGTTAACGAAGATCAAATCAAGATCTGAAATCCATTCGGGGGTTGCGCAAAGGTGCAAAAGAAGAAAACATAAGGTAAATAGTGACTTTTGAACACCATTCTTGAGAGGGTACCTACAGCGGGACCAAGGCACTATACTACTAGTAACTGGGCCTCAGTAGGTTATGACTGTCTGTCCGGCCATATTCAGAGAGACATTTAGAGAAATACTTTGAAAGTAGGAATCAAGAGATGTCTGGAAAGACGTTCAAGGAAATATGTAGGTGGTTTAAAAAGTCTAATAGAATAGATTGTTTTGGCCCATTTGCAACAACTCCTAGGTCCGGCTGCATCTACGTGAAGAGATGCATGAAGTGTAACTCCGCGGAATCTGCAGATTCTGATTCGAAGAGTCCCCTGTTCCATGAGGTTTCCATGAGCGGAGCATCAATATTACTATATGTTTTGTGGTGATTTATATGAGCTATTTTCAGCCAATTAACATATCGTAGCCTACTTGGGCATGTGGTCACAGAGTGTCCGCCCAACCCATGTATAACACTGAAGGCCGTTTAGAATAACCACAATCAGTGCTGATTCTATCATAGCCCACCTGCTTTCAAGTAGAAAAGGACCGTGCAGTCCGCACCATCAACTTGCCTAAAGCTCTCAGTATTGAAAACGCGCGAGGTGTTGTTGTGCCGGCGCCAGGGGTGCTTACCTAATATGCATGTCACGCCTTCCAGCTGTTGCTTCATCGATTCACAGGTGAATCTTCTTTTTGCCCTTCGTCTTAATTCAACCTCCTCCCCCTTCCTTTGATTTCCTCCTTTCCTTCCTATCTCCCCCAGTCCTACTTGGCCTCCGACCTGTTAATTATCCCCCTCCACTCATGGCTTCTGTAAGTGTCGGATTCAGCTTCCTCTCCTCTTGCGGCGTTACCCCCAGCTTCCCTCCGCGGAGGACTTTCCGATCTACTCAGCCCAGAGTCTGGCTTTCTAACCTTTCATTACCTTCCTCCAGCCCCGCCCTCACAACTTCGGTCCTCAAGGCTATCCTCTCTCGAACGGTGCGACAACCGCAGGTCCGGCCCCCGGAGCCACGCCGCTGCTTCCCAACAATGGCAGAGTAATCCAGAACGGGCCTACCCGAATTCTGTGCATTGCGGATGTTCGAGGTATGGATTATCAGATGACAATCTTGTATAAAGCTAGGCTAATTGGGTTCGCGATGCAGGAAACCTGAAATCTCTGAATGAACTGGCGAGACAGGCTCGCGCAGACCACATCATCCACACGGGTGACTTTGGTTTTTATGATGATACTTCGCTGGAGCGCATTGCAGACAAGTGAGTGTGACCCCATCCCAAGCTTTTTCAGACACGCCCTTGCTGCCCGAGGAGTGACAACACGCTCGCGTCAGCCGGCCATCGATCTCAGCGGACAGACTCAGCTAATCGTTTTCTGTCATCTACGCGCAGAACCCTTAAGCATGTGGCCCAATATTCTCCCCTTCTGCCAGAGAACGTGAAGCGGACGATTGCACAGGTCCCTCCTGCGCAGTCGATTAAGCAGCGGTTCAACCCCGAGCAGCTCCCCCTCTCCGAACTGCCGATGCTCCTTGACAAGCGAATTACCCTCGATGTTCCGGTCTACACAGTTTGGGGTGCCTGTGAGGATGTCCGTGTGTTGGAGAAGTTCCGGTCGGGCGAGTACAAGGTCGACAAGTTGCACATCATCGATGAGGCCAACTCGCGGCTGCTGGATATCGGTGGCGTTAAGCTGCGTCTGCTTGGACTGGGTGGTGCAGTGGTGATGCACAAGCTGTTTGACAACGGCGAGGGCAAGACGACTATTGCTGGTGGCCAGGGCACTATGTGGACAACACTTTTGCAGATGGGCGAGCTGATCGACACAGCCAACCGCGTCTACGATCCTTCCGAAACCCGTGTCTTCGTTACCCATGCCTCCCCCGCTCGTGAAGGCATGTTGAATCAGCTTTCCGTCACCCTCAAGGCAGACTTCTCCGTTTCGGCCGGTCTACACTTCCGTTACGGCTCTTCCTACAACGAGTTCTCGGTAAACCCGTCCCTGGATCACTACCGCGGCAAGCTCGCTGCCTCCAAGGCATCGTTCACCGACGTTTGGGAGACTGTGCGGGGAGAGGTGGAGTCGGCAATCTCGTCAAACGAGGCCCAGAAGACTTTACTGGACAATGCGCTGGAAGTGGTGCAAAAGATGCCTTCGATTGCCAATGGCGGCAACCCCTTCGGCGGCCCGGTCGCTGCTGGTAACGCTGCCGGTCAAGTAGACGAGAGCGCCTTCAAGAACATGTGGAACTTCAACCTGGCTGACGCCGCCTTTGGATACCTGGTTCTGGAAATTGAGGGAGGACGGATCGCGACGGAGATGCGGGCTCAGGGCTTCAACTTCGCCCACCGCAGTGGCAAGCCTTCTGCTGGAGGTTCCCAGGCTGTTGCCAGCGGCCCGCCCGCCACTACCGCTTCTCCTGCACCCACCGGTGCTGCTGGTGGCCGGCCCACTGCCTCCACTCCTCAGTTCGGCCAAGCCCCCCTGCCCGCTCTGCTCCTTCTGGTCAGCAGGGCCAGAAGGGTCACTCTGCCGGTGGCTCGCCAGCTCCCATCATCCCCAAGACCGCGACGCCCCAGCCTCCCGCTTCCGCTTCCGCCCCTCCCTCTGGGGAGGAGAAGGTTGCTGCTGACGCCAACGGCGCCGTTCAGCCCGAGAAGACCGAGTCCCCTGCTTCTCGCAATGAGAAGAAGCCGAGCAACGGACTATTCGTGTCCAACGTCGACAACGAGCAGGCAGTGCGTGACCTGCTGCCTGAGGAGGACCAGACCAAGTTGCTCAAGATCGAAAAGTATGGCAAGTTCAACCACGTCGTGACGTTCCCGACTGTGGAGGACGCCAAGGCTGCTCTCGACCGCCAGCCCATCGAGCACAAGAAGCCCACTCCCGCCGGTCAACCTCGCAAGCCCAACTTCAAGTTCTTTGAGGACCGCGGCGGCCGTACTCAAGGCAATGCCGGAACCTGGCAGGGTAGCAACCGCGGTGGAGCTAGTGCCGGTGGCCGTGGCTACCAGAGCGCCAGCGACAGCGAAGGTGCCCGTCGGGGTGGATTCGGTGGCCGTGGTCGGGGTGACCGTGGCCGTGGCCGTGGAGGACGTGGTGGCCGTGGCAGTTTCAAGGGAGGCGCATCAGGCGATTCTCCTGCCCCCTCGACTCCCTCCGGTGATAAGCCCGCCCCATCTGGTGATGCTTAATGGCTAGACTCATTTACCCTTCATCCTTTTTTCTCACATTCGGGTTGTCGGTACACCATCGGCTGCCCTGTTTTCCTACGCCTCATGTTGATTCTATGCCCCCTTTCTTTGCCCCATATTCTAATTCTTTTGTGTCCTTTTTCTCCGTGAAACATTTCAAATTACCCAATCTTTTTCTTTACTCCTTTCCCTTTAGCGAGATGGTGTTTCATCGCGCTTGTCCCAGATGTCGTGTGTTCCTTTCGGAACATTCACATATCTGGACATCGCAAATCCACCATGAAGCACGTTGGAATCGACCAGATGGAAATCTGGAGAGCGCGTTTGTTGTGACACGCAGAGAGTGTGGAAGACGCAAAAAAAAAGAATGTCAAAAAAAATATTTACCATCTGCCCCCTTCCTTTGTTCACCATCCGTTTCTTTGTACTTTAGTTCTTTTCCCTTTTTCCGTGGAAGAGACCAAACATCGATACCCTTACAACTTCGGTTTATACTCAGAGCGTTTGCTGTAGACATCTTGCCTAACATGGTAACACGAATGGATTCGCAATTGGCCTGGGGCTGCCCATGCCGGCATCTACAAGTTAGGAGAAGTAGACCTAATCCTTGAAATGTCACAGAATTGAAATTGTTTACAAAGGTCCAATGTCGGAGCCACAAGGAACGCAAATCTCCCCAATATTCCCGTTCGCCGAAGTCCAGATTTCCTTCCAGTACAGTGTGTCTCACTCCCAGGCCGATGAAAATAAACACGCATGAAACCAAGGGCACAACTACTGTAAGCATCGGGAAGATGTCAAAAAGGAAAGAAAATATGAGTGAAAGTAGATTCGCCAGAAGGCAGCCATCGGTACGCCGGTGGACATGGTTTCAATTTCGAAAGAGCGCCATTTCCTCTCTTTTGTTGGTATTCGTGACGCCGTGCGTTTTCAAATGATAATTCGTGGGTATGAGTAATATAACGTAGTACACAAGTTCAATGGACGTGTACGGTTTCCGTGAGTCGTGAAAAAAAAAAGGTCCGGAGACGGGCCCGGGCCATTATGCCAGTCGTGGGTGAGGTCGGCTACTTGGCGCGGCCCATGATATCGTCGACATCCCTCTGATTCACAACCACGCCGCCTTCGGAGCATCGAGCCTTGGTCCGTAACTCGGAACAGAGGTTGTCGACGTCGATCTCGCCATTGCGGAACTTCTCCATGGATTGCAGGCGATCCCTGTCGCAGGGAGTTAGTGACCTGTAAGAAGAGTGGAAAGAGTCGACGGGAAACATACCAGATCTTTGTACACGATAGCATTTGTGCCTTATCCTCGCCCGGCACAACCTCGTCTTCGTCCAGCTTGCTGTCGATTTGGGCGATCAGGTCCTTCTTGGGGCCTTGTGTGGTGGCAACCTCGGTCAGGTTGTGAGACGGGCTGCCCAAATCCGGAAGTGGGAAGGCGTCGTTGAAGAAGGACCCGAAGTCCTGGGACAGCACGGCATCCTGCGGCTCACGCCAGTCTCCAAAGAGCACCGGATCGAATTGACCGCCATTCTGCTGAGCCAGCCAATCGAAGCCCATCGAGTCATCGGTGGAGGTGGGGGCGGGTTGATTGCTCGAGACACTGTTGGACTTGGCCTTTTGGTCCCGGGCAGCTGGGATGGGGTTATTGATGTTGCCGCAGGCCATGCCAAGTCGCGCGCAGAAGGATTCCTCACCATCAATGGAGCCATGAATGCACACATTTCCAGCGCCGGAGTTCTTGACATCCGGCGGGGAGTTCGAGCTGGGCTCGGGTGATGTTCCACTCGACGAGAGCATCTGGCTATGGTGTGAGTCGGAGGAGGACGATGGCGAATCCGAGTTAGATGTATCCTGAGTGGGGGCGGTAGAAGCTTTGAGGGCAGAGTAGGGTGTCTTGACTGACGCGTTACTGCCGGGAGTTCCGTAAGAACCGGCAGTATTTGCATTGGGAGTGCTGGAGTTAGACTTGGTCTCTGGGCCACGCGAGCCGGCGTTCAGATTGTCGCGGCTCAGTACACCAGGAGCACGAACACCATCCTTGTTCTTGGACTGATCCTTATTCGGGCCGTTGAACAAATGGGCACCCGGCAGATCACCGAATTTGGGGAAATCAAACAGGAACTCGTTGTTCTGCAGACCGTACGAACCCCGGGACTGGGCATTGGGGTAGTTGCTCACGGCCGAGAGACCGCTACCACCGCTGCTCATCCACGAGAGGCGTTTGCGGTACTCACGGAGTTCGACCTGAAGCCGCTCGACCTGAGCACGCAGCAACCCATTCTCTTGGGTGGCGGTATCGGAGGATTTCTGCAACTCGTCCACCTTGGTCTCCAAATCCTTCAGGTGCTTTTCCTTGCGCTCCCGGAAAGCCCTCTGAGCAGCTCGGTTCTGAGCTTTACGCTTCTATTTGGGGAGTTAGAAAATACCACCCACCACTCAAATTGGGCAGAAGGAGGAATGCGTACTGTAGTGGGTTCCGAAGTCAGTGGCTTCCGGCCAGGCTTCTTGGCCTCGCTCTCTCGCCGCTTCTTGCCCGTCTCTTCACCCTCCTCCGACTTGCCGTCGATGGACTTTCGCTTCTCGCCCAATTCATAGTCCTGTCCTGGGAGGTCCCCAATCAGATTCCCGGAGCCGGTGTAGTCGAAGTCTACACCCGGATCAAAGTCAAGATACGGGCTCTCGTCATCTCCAAAGTTGCCGAACTGGTTGAGATGTGAGTTGGAGTCCAGTGCACCGGATGGAGGGCCACTGAGGCCGTTAGAGGAGTTGTCGGGACTGTGATCAGGTTTGATCTGTGGAGTGGGATTGGGGTACTTGTTGGCGGGGTTGTTGGAGTGGAGGGCCGCCATCAACAGGTCCTGCTGATCGGGGGAGAGGTAAAGCCCCTGGTTATAAAGCTGCTCGTAGTCACCCATGATGTGAGGCGATGGGGGTGGCGAGGGAGGTGAAGAGAAGAGAAAGAGAAGAGAAGGGAGGGGCGAATAAGATTAAAGTGAGGCTGACGACTAGCAAATGGGCGTCTCGCCCGCAAAGGAAGAGTAAGAAGGCCCAGGCAACGAGGTCTGAGGATCCCTTCGAGAACAATTCCCCGCTATGGATCCCCAGGAGATGGGAGAGAGTAATGAGAGAGTCGTGAGGGAGTGATAGAGGAGAGGAGCGGAGAAGGGTCGAGTTCAAGATCGACTAGCAGCCTGAGGCCAGCAAGAGAGCAACGCTAACAAGCCCCGGTGTGGCTCGACGTAGATTGATTGAAGTGAAGATGCAAAAAAGAAGATGATGAAAGATGCGAGTGGGCGAACCGGCTCCATCATTGGCCCGAGGTCCGCAACAGGTCATCGGAGGCCAATCACGGCGGATTTCGTGAGGGCTTCATTGCTGCTTAGAAATCAACGTTCCTCCATATTCCCCATCCTTCGCTGTCGATTCGCTGCCTGCGGACCCCTAGGGCTATTCTGCGAGACTCATTGGAGACTCCCGGTTACACGTGGACTACTCTAATTTACCCTAGCTTGCTAGGTGACTCACTGATCGTATTCCTGCAACTTTGTCGGGACCCCGCAGGCGGAATCAGGCAGAATCAGGCAGGAATCGGTCCCGCGTGGCAAAGTAAGCCGGGCCTAGAATGACGTTTCCACTTGCCATCCGTACAGTACCACAGTACATGACACTGGGTCCAAGATTCTATGGATTTGGCTCTCCGAGAAAGGAGGGGGATCGCCAGTTTCCAATTAGACTCTCCGTTTTCGCATTGTATCAGAACGTCGATCCCGTCGAAAGGTAGGCTGATCGGCCTGATCGGCCTGATCGGGCTTATCGGAGTTACTGAACTCGTCAAGCAGGTGCATAGATACCACCTTGCTTCCCTGCAATGTACACCGCTCGATCCTAAGGGGCCGCGTAGTGTGGTATTCATACGCCAAGTTCCCATTTTGATATACCCTTCGTTTTCCTTTGGTACCCGGGGATCGTCGTAGATGCCATTGTAGATTCCGTCCAAACACCTCCTCCCGTCGAGCACGCACGTGACTGCCGCTCGACCTGCAAAGACGACGGGGCCAGGACTCTCCGCATATCCACCACAATTAGCGCCAGAGCCGAGCCTCGCTCTTCAGTTCTCTTTAAGCTTTTTCCGACCTCACGAGTCCCTTTGCATACCTCTCCTCATCGACGATCATGTCCGACGTGGCCGCCCTCGAGGCAGAGGTGAGGGAGTTCAAGCTTCAGGTCAGTTCTCGTCGCTCAATATCATGGTCACTGTCCATATTGACTCGCTTTTTTTTTGCCAGCTTGAAACGGTCGACTCCAGCTTGCAGGTAGATCCCGATAACTTGGAACTCCAAAGCCTCAAGACTGAACTTGAAGAACTCATAACCCTCACCGAAACTTCCATCGCCGAACTCAAACCACCAGCGACCGCATCCCACTCGGCCCCGCCGCCTCCCAAGGAGTCTTGGAAAGAGCAGGGGCCTCGCAAGCCGAGAGATGAAAACACGGAAGAGCCACACCCCGCACCTCCCGCTTCATTCCGCGTCAATGACAACGTCCTGGCCCGCTGGGTGTCGGGCGACGGCTCCTTCTATCCCGCGCGCATTACTTCCATCACCGGCTCTTCTAGCAACCCCATGTATCTGGTGTCGTTCAAGTCTTACTCGACCAAGGAGAACTTGACCTCCAAGGATATTCGTCCCGTCGCGGGCTTTGATCGGAAACGCAAGGCTGATGGAACTCCAGGCAGTTCGGGGTCACCATCTCCCGCACCGCCGCCACCGAACGTGATCTCGGCGGCGGCCGACATCAATCCCACTCTGGCCAACCAGGCCCGGCAGGAACCCAGCAAGGCCGGAGATGGTCCAGCGCGGCCAGCCAAGGTGCCGCGCAAGGTGAAGGCCAACAAGGAGCTCGAGGAGGGAAAGAACAAGTGGAAGGATTTTGCGGCCAAAAGCAAGGGCAAGGGCAAGTTCGGAAAGAAGGACAGCATGTTCCGCACCGGTGACAGTGTCAATGCACGAGGTATGTTCCGTCTCGTTCCATGAATCCCAGTTCTTCACGGTGCTAACCATCTCTTCTCAGTGGGGTTCACGGGGTCTGGCCAGCAGATGCGCAAGGACCCAACCCGGTCACGCCACATCTATCAGCAGGCTGATGATGAGGGTTATTAGAAGGCCGGTTTGAAATGCAGTGGCCATGGCTACGTCAAGTTCTATTCTGATATCTATTTCCTCGGTGTTTATTGGATCATCCTTCATGTGCCCATCGCTAACTGGATCGGCGATGCAGATACAGCGATTATATGTATTTCGCACTCGGAGTTATTTGTTCATAGAGTCCCTTTCTCTTCGAGTTTCGACTGGTCTCTCACCCGGACGTCGCAGATGGTCTCCACATTCGTGTAGTTTTTGCAATCTGGGCTCGGTGTCGGGTCCCTCCATTCCCTGTCCTCCAGAGCTGTCGAGATGTGGGGAATCTGCTCTACTACTATTAAGTCCACGGCGTATACGTAAAACCTTCGCGTTTTAATCGTAATAGCAACACAACCATTTGGAAACCTTGGGACGGTCTTGATGACATGTATATGTACACATCAGACAGTCCGGACTGAAACCCGCGGAGGTCGCATAGGCGCGAACGTGGCTCTCGCAGATGATTATATGCTTAATGATTATCACAGCTCATGTCTTTTTGGAATCCTTCTTGCTAGCTAACCCAGGAAAAGGCAAAACATTTGAAGACTTCGATCTGGCCGGATGTAAAGCTGATACAGACTGTCTACGTATAATACTCTAACTGTTTCCCATAAATGTTTTATTCGGCGCAGTAAGGTTGTATATCATACTATTACTTCTCCGCATTCCTACCTACGTGAGAGAAAAGCAGGATATGTATTATGATCTAATTTGATAATGTATCGCACCAAACCACGAAGGCCATTAGCGATCTCCAATTTAGGCAGGAAAACACATCTAAATGACCATGGAGCGTGGATGCTAGAGATCATAACAACATTGGAACTCGCGGCATCTGAGTAGTGTTCGCGTGCGGGGCCGGAGGTACCCGCCTAAGCAGTTCGCCTCCGCCTCGGCCCAGTGCACGTCATGCTACTCAGCTTCTGCCTTGTTAGCTGTTAGCCCGTTTCTTGTTGCATTCTCATTCAACCATCATTTTCTACTCGAAGTCGTGTGGTGGATGTTAGCATTGCATTCTTGACCTCCTTTCTGGGTGCCTTGTGCCCGTGTCCGTGACCTGTTTCCCTCCTTGTACAGCTCCCGCGGCCTCGCGACCGTATCTCCTCGGTGCATGGCCATCGATCTCGAAACGACCCGTGACAGCCAAGAAGCGACTTATCTCAATATCTCTGCAGAATAAAGCTTGAGATCCTGCTGTTCTCCCTACAATATGCGGCAGCTGGGTTGGGTTTCTGCGCTCGTCGGGTTGGGCTCTCTTGCCTTTCAGCCGGCGCTGGTCGGCGCGCAAGGCGAAACCAAGATACATGAAGAGGGTCGCTGTGCGATCCGTGGACATTGTGGAAAGCAGTCCATCTTTGGCGGTGAACTGCCCTGTCCCGACAATGATCTGGCACATCAACCGGACGATCCGTCGCGGCAGAAGCTGGTCAAACTCTGTGGCTCCGGGTGGGAGGAAGGACCGGTCTGTTGCCGAGAGGAACAGGTGAGAAGAGTCCCCAGTTTTGGATTTCGCGGTCATGATTGTTTTGTTGCTTTTGTGCTGATTCGCATTTTATCGTAGATCGACGCACTTGGGAGGAATCTGAAGCTCGCAGAAGGCATCATTGCCTCTTGCCCGGCCTGCCGAGAGAACTTTTTCAACATTTTTTGCACTTTTACTTGCTCTCCTGACCAGTCTCTCTTTATCAACGTCACCGACACAGAAGAAAGCAGCGCCGGTAAGACACTGGTCACGGAGGTGGAGAATATATGGTCAGAGGAATACCAAAGCGGCTTCTACGACAGCTGCAAGAACGTCAAGAATGGCGCTTCCGGTGGCAAGGCAATTGATTTCATCGGCGGAGGTGCGAAGAACTACACGCAGTTCCTGAAGTTCCTGGGTGACAAAAAGTTCCTGGGCAGTCCGTTCCAGATCAACTACCGTACCGAGCCCAGTGGACCTGACCCTGATGGCATGACGGCTTTGTCAATCAAGCCCAAGGCCTGCAACGACCCTGACAAGTCGTTCCGCTGCTCCTGTGTCGACTGTCCTGACGTGTGTCCTGAACTGCCTGCCGTGCACTCGCAGGAGGCATGCCATGTAGGGCTTTTGCCTTGCCTCTCTTTTGCAGTCATCATTATCTATTCTGCATTTCTACTACTGGTCATGGGGCTTGCTAGCTATGTCACATTCAAGGAACGACGATTCCGCAAACCCGAACGAGTGCGTCTCCTCCAGGACCCGACACCAAGTGACGACGAGGATGAAGAAGAGGTTGTGCATCGCGGGGGCTACGTGGAGCAGCTGCAGGGAGTGTATAAACCCAACTCTCTTCTCTCTGCGATCTTCCACCGGGTCGGCGGGGCCTGTGCACGCTTTCCCGCCATCACAATTGTCTCCAGCTTTATTGCGGTGGTTTTGTTAAGCCTAGGTTGGCTGCGATTTACCGTCGAAACAGACCCGGTCCGGCTTTGGGTGAGCCCCTCATCTGCGGCTGCGCAAGAGAAGACCTTCTTTGATGAGAACTTCGGACCATTCTACCGAGCCGAGCAAGCCTTTTTGGTGAACGAAAGTGGTCCTATTCTGGATTACCCGACCCTCGCATGGTGGTTTGATATCGAATCACAAGTGCGTCGAAGGACTTCGCCCAATCATGGTCTCAACTTGGAGGACGTTTGCTTCAAGCCAACTGGAGATGCCTGTGTAGTACAGTCATTGACGGGCTATTTCGGTGGCTCTGTCGGCAGTCTCGACCCAGATACGTGGCAGGATCGTCTGCTCCACTGCACCGAGTCCCCCGGTGATGTGAGCTGTCTCCCCGATTTCCAGCAGCCCCTGAAGCCAGAGATGATCCTAGGCGGGTACGATGACACCGGAGACGTTCTGGACGCCAAGGCGTTGGTTGTGACCTGGGTGGTGAACAATTTCGCTCAGGGTACTGAAGGAGAAGAGAAGGCCATCGACTGGGAGAACGGTTTCCGTGACATGTTTGATGACGTCCAGAAACAAGCTGCTGAGCGTGGTCTCCGCGTTTCCTTCAATGCCGAGGTCAGCTTGGAACAGGAGCTGAACAAATCAACCAATACCGATGCGAAGATCGTGGCCATTAGCTACTTGATCATGTTCGTCTATGCTTCTCTCGCACTCGGATCAGTCACGGTGACCTGGAAGTCTCTGCTGACCAACCCCGCCAATGCCCTCGTGCAATCCAAATTTTCGTTGGGAATCGCAGGTATCTTGATTGTGCTGATGTCTGTCTCTGCCTCGGTGGGATTGTTCTCTGCTGCGGGTGTCAAGGTGACCCTGATCATTGCAGAGGTGATCCCATTCTTGGTGCTGGCAGTGGGTGTTGACAACATTTTCCTCATCGTCCATGAATTCGAGCGGGTCAATTTCAGCCACCCCAATGAAGAGATTGATGAGCGAGTCGCTCGTGCTGTCGGCAGAATCGGTCCTAGCGTGTTCTTGTCTGCCCTGACGGAGACCGTGGCATTTGCCTTGGGTGCCTTTGTTGGCATGCCTGCCGTCAAAAACTTCGCGGCATACGCAGCAGGAGCTGTGTTTATCAATGCCATGTTGCAAGTCACGATGTTTATCTCCGTGCTTGCGCTCAACCAGAGGAGAGTAGAGAGTCTTCGCGCAGATTGTTTCCCATGTCTCACCGTTCGAAAGGCGAACTCGTTCGGCCTGCCCGAGGAACAAATTTACGATGACCACGAGGCCGAGAGCTCCTTGCAAACCTTCATCCGCCGGGTGTATGCCCCCTTCATCCTGGATCGCCGAGTAAAGGCAGCGGTCGTGATTATCTTCCTGGGTCTTTTAACTGCCGGCTTGGCCTTCATCCCAGAGGTTGCTCTCGGCCTGGACCAGCGAATTGCGCTTCCTAGTGACTCGTACCTGATCCCCTATTTCAATGATCTCAGTGACTACTTCCGCACTGGGCCTCCCGTCTATTTTGTGACGCGCAACGTTAATATGACGGAAAGAGAACATCAGCAACAGCTTTGTGGACGATTTACCACCTGCGAGGAATATTCGCTACCGTTCGTTCTGGAGCAGGAATCTAGGCGTCCAAACGTTTCCTATCTGTCTGGATCCGCTGCCAGTTGGATCGATGACTTCTTCTACTGGTTGAACCCCCAGCAGGATTGCTGCAAAGAGGATGGCAAGCTGTGCTTTGAGGACCGTGTTCCTCCGTGGAACCTCACCCTATACGGAATGCCAACGGGGCCCGAGTTCATCCACTACGCCGAGAAATGGATAGAGGCACCCACCGATGCCTCTTGTCCCCTTGGTGGCAAAGCGCCCTACAGCAACGCCTTGGTCATCGATAGGCAACACACCATGATTAATGCTAGCCATTTCCGAACTAGTCACACTCCGCTGCGAAGCCAGGAAGACTTCATCCAGTCCTACATCGCGGCACGCCGGATTGCCGATGGCCTTTCCCGCGAGCACAAGATCGACGTGTTCCCTTATTCGAAATTTTATATCTTCTTCGACCAGTATGTCTCCATTGTGCAGCTTACCGGCACTCTGTTGGGATCGGCCGTCGCCATCATCTTCGTCCTGACCTCTGCCATATTGGGGTCGGTCGCCACCGGCGCGGTGATTACCACGACGGTCGTGATGACAGTCGTTGATATCATCGGAACCATGGCCATTGCTGGTGTTTCTCTGAACGCCGTGTCTCTCGTCAACTTGGTCATCTGCGTTGGAATTGCAGTAGAATTCTGTGCTCATATCGCGCGTGCTTTCATGTTCCCGTCGCGCACTTTGATGGAGAAGGCCCCCGCCAAGTTCCGTGGCAAGGACGCTCGTGCCTGGACGGCACTGGTCAACGTCGGCGGAAGTGTCTTCAGTGGCATTACCGTCACCAAGCTGCTGGGTGTTTGCGTTCTGGCATTCACTCGCAGCAAGATCTTCGAGATCTACTACTTCCGAGTGTGGCTCGCGCTGGTTGTGTTTGCCGCCACGCACGCCCTCATCTTCCTGCCGGTAGCTCTCAGCTACTTCGGCGGTGGAGGTATGTTTCACGATGAACCGGCACCGTACCTAAACTGACCGAATCTAGGATATTTTGATCCTGCCTCTGACGGTGGCCTGGAAGCCAATCTTGCATCGCGGGGCTACCGCTCATTGCTGGTCGATGGCGGTTACGACTCTGACGAATACTAAGCTCTTTTGCTCGAATGATTTGTTTTGGTATCCTGCCCTCCGTATTCATACTTGGGTTGTTGCTCTTGTTTAATTGATTAAGACATACTAGTCCATTTGTTTTATCTGCTACAGTCATGAATACACGCTCGGGGAGAAATTGGAGTTATAAGAGCAGATTGGGAGTTAAGGAACGGATCTTCAAAACAATAAACGTCATTCTGGAACGTTTTGACATCCTTCTAGTTTCATAGTATATCTCATTCCCCGCTTGCAGACCCCAGGGTAGGACTTGCGTGTAGCACAACTACTCTCTAATTTCCAATTCTCTTCCCAGATCTCTTCTTAAACCTCTTTAGATAGACACCTGTCTAGATGTCTTTCTAAACAACTCTTTGAATATGTCGAACATTCTACTGTTCAGAAAGCAGTCCACGTCGTTTTCCCCCAGTGGCTGCTATCAACGCCCGTACACGACCTATCCCACAATCGTCGCACAATATGAAAGTTCAATCCGCGACACGACCCAACGTCGCGCTGGTCAGTGCCCAATGTAAATTTTGAAAGCGCGTCGAGTGGTCCCCGCGGCACTAAACCCAATCGGGTGGCCACCCTACAGTTTTTTTCTGCCGTCCCAATTTCTTTCTTCTTCCCCTCCATCCTCTCCTTTTTTTTTTTTTTGATACCCCCTGAGCTGTTTGTCTGATCAAGACAAGACTGCTCATTCCTGTTGCACAAAATGGATAGGCTTCTGCAACAATTAAACATTGTCCTCAATCGTGGGTTATCTCCATCTGTGCTCAGCGTCACCTGCTAACTCATCCAAGCCCAGCAAGGAAATGTGAAAGAGGCCACAGGTATCCTGCAAAGGGAGTTCTACAACAAGCCCGAGTCACTCGTCCTCCTCATCTCAATTGCCACCGGCCATGAGGACCCCAACCTCCGCCAGCTGGCGGCCGTCGAGGCTCGCGGGCTTGTTCAGAAGCACTGGTTGAAGGTGGCCGCCGATCAGAAGCCCCAGGTCCGGGACCAGCTGCTTCGATCCACCATGGGCGAGAGCTCGTCTCTTGTCCGTCACTCCGTTGCTCGGATTATCTCGGCTGTGGCCAAGATTGATTTGAACGATGGCGAGTGGCCGGATCTGCCCAACCTCCTGCTGCGCGCGGGTGAGAGCTCCAACCACGAGGAGCGGGCCGTGGCCATCTACATCCTGTTCACTATTCTGGAGACTCTGGGTGAGGGCTTCGAGGAGAAGTTCCAGGACCTATTCAACCTGTTCAGCAAGACTATTCGGGACCCCGAGAATGCTGAGGTTCGCATCAATACTCTCCTGGCTCTGAGCAAGCTTGCCATGGTCCTCGACTCTGAGGAGAACGAGGCTCCTGTCAAGGCCTTCCAGGAGCTCGTGCCCTCCATGGTTGCCGTTCTCAAGGACGCCATTGACCAGGGCGAAGAGGACCGTGTGATGCAGGCTTTCGAGGTCTTCCAGACCCTGCTCGGCTGCGACCCTGCCCTCCTCACGGTTCACCTGAAAGACCTCGTGATCTTCATGAACGAGCTCTCGGCCAACACCGAGGCCGACGATGACACCCGTACTCAGGCCATCAGCTTCCTCATGCAGTGCGTTCAGTACCGCAAGCTGAAGATCCAGGGTATGCGCCTCGGTGAGCAGCTCACCCGTACCGCTCTGCACATTGTCACCGAGCTGGATGACTCTCCCATCGACGACGACATCACTCCTCCCCGCTCTGCCCTGGGTCTCCTTGACATGCTCTCCCAGAGCCTGCCTCCCAGCCAGGTTGTTGTTCCTCTGCTCCAGACCCTGGGTCAGTATTTCAACAGCAACGACCCCAACTACCGCCGTGCCGGTATCATGGCTCTCGGCATGTGCGTTGAGGGTGCTCCCGACTTCATCAGCACTCAGATGCAGGAGATCTTCCCAATGGTTCTTCAGCTCCTTGCTGACCCTGAGCCCAAGGTTCGCCAGGCCTCGCTTCACGCTGTTGCCCGTCTGGCCGACGACTTGGCCGAGGACCTCAGCGCTGAGCACGAGCGCCTGATGCCTCTGTTGTTCAAGAACCTTGCCAGCGCCATGCAGGAGTACAAGGGTGAGGAGGATGGTCCCACCATGGACATCATGAAGGCCGGTATCAGCGCCATTGACGCTGTCGTTGACGGTCTGGATGAGAAGGACGTTGCTCCCTACCAGGCTGAGCTTGTCCCCATCCTGCACAAGCTTTTCAAGCACCCCGACTTCAAGATCAAGTCTCTGGCTGCCGGTGCCCTTGGTTCGCTCGCCTCCTCTGCCGGTGACTCGTTCCTCTCGTTCTTCGACGAGACCATGCACCTGCTCCAAGAGTTTGCCACCGTCAAGGACTCCGAGGAGGAGCTGGACCTCCGCGCCAGTGTCACTGACGCTATGGGCGAGATGGCCGCTGCCGCTGGTCCCGAGCGCTACCAGCCTTACGTCGAGCCGCTCATGCGTGCTACCGAGGAGGCTCTGCACCTCGGCCACTCTCGCCTCAAGGAGAGCACTTATATCTTCTGGGGTGCCATGGCCAAGGTTTACTCCGAGCACTTCTCGCCCTTCCTTGACGGTGTCACCAAGGGTCTTTTCGACTGCATTGAGCAGGATGAGACTGACCTCGAGGTCGAGCTTGGCGAGGCCGCCAAGGATCTTGTTGGCCAGGAGGTGACCGTTGCCGGCCGCAAGGTCAAGGTTGCTAGCGCTGACGATGACGACATTGAAGGAGAGATCGAGGACGTTGACGTCGAGGACGATGAGGATGCTTGGGATGACATTACTGCCACCACCCCTCTCTCCTTGGAGAAGGAGATTGCTGTCGAGGTTATCGGTGACCTGGTCACTCACACTCGCAGCTCCTTCCTGCCCTACTTCGAGAAGACGATCGAAATGGTCATGCCCCTGGCTGAGCACCCCTACGAAGGTGTCCGCAAGAGCACCATCAGCACTCTGCACCGCTCCTACGCCATGCTCTTTGCCATTGCCGAGGAGAGCGGCCAGATGCCCAAGTGGCAGCCTGGTCTGCCTCTGCATGTGCAGCCGGCCAAGGAGGTCAAGAAGTTCGGCGAGATCCTCATGACTGCCACCATTAAGATGTGGACCGAGGAAGATGACCGGTACGTTTTCTAACATTTCTTTTGCTTTTTGATTATTATTTTTCCTTTGTTCTTTTGGTTACGTGATGATCCCTTCCGCTTAACCCAGCTCACTTTGACACGCAAAGCGTGCTTGATGTAAACGGCGAAGTCTACTCCTGATACCCATTGTTACTTTCTGCAATGTTTATATGCCATCGCTTTCAATTCGCATACTGACCGATGGACACTAGTGCTACCGTCGCGGACATCAACCGCAACATGGCCGAGAACCTCCGCTGCTGTGGGCCGGCGCTCATCGCTGACGAGACCGTGCTTCACAACGTGATTCAGATGATCACCGACATTATCACGAAGCAACACCCTTGCCAGATGGAGTTCGGCCCCGAGGAGGAGACCCTCGAGGCCGGCGAGGAGACCTCTGAGTTCGATTGGGTCGTGGTTGACACCGGCCTGGACGTTGTCTCGGGCATGGCCGCCGCTCTGGGCCAGAGCTTCGCTGAGCTGTGGAAGGTGTTCGAGAAGACCATCCTCCGCTACGCCAGCAGCACGGAGTCCCTGGAGCGTGCCACCGCCGTGGGTGTTCTGGCCGAGTGCATCAACGGCATGGGTGCCGCCGTGACTCCCTACACCTCCTCTTTCCTCAAGCTGCTTCTGCACCGCCTGGGCGACGAAGACCCCCAGACCCGGTCGAACGCTGCCTACGCCGTCGGCCGCCTGGTTGAGCACTCCACTTCAGACGAGGTCGTCAAGGAGTACCCCACCATCCTTAGCCGTCTGGAGTCGTGCCTCTCGATGAACGTCTCTCGTCTGCAGGACAACGCCACTGGCTGTGTCAGCCGCATGATCCTCCGCAGCCGCGAGAACGTCCCCACCAAGGACGTCCTGCCCGTGCTTGCAGGCATTCTGCCCCTTAAGAACGACTTCGAGGAGAACGAGCCCCTGTACCGCATGATCTGCCAGATGTACAAATGGGAGGACGAGACCATTCGCGGTCTCACCCCGCAGCTCCTTCCCGTCTTCCAGGCTGTTCTGACCGGCGACGAGGACCAGCTTGAGGACGAGCGTCGTGCCGAGCTGATTGAGCTGGTCAAGTGGCTGAACCAGATGCAGGCGGGCACTGCCCCCTGGGTCGAGCAGCTGTAAACATGCTCATAATGGACTTTTGATGACCCCTGGGTGGACTACGTGTAATGGTATAGACGGATGACTTTTGGAACCCAACGAGATGACTAGACGATACCCCGTCTCAAGCGGACGTTCCCGCAACGAGTGATGAAAAAAAGTTGATGTTGTACATATTTTGAAATGATTTATTTTTTTATTCATATTGGATGATCTCTTCATGCTCCCGGTAGGTTTGCGCTCTTGCAGTCAATAAGCGCCTGGTCGGCAACGCCCTCGCGCTCAGTTCCAAGGTTACACGAAAATCCCGAACCGAGGCTGAGAAATAAGTCTAGAGCTGAAATTGGACGCCAATAAATTGGCAGTAAACGGGAGCCTCGGAGCTCCGGTCAAAGTGCAGAGGGGAACTGGGCCGATCCGCCGCTGAAAATCTGCCGCGCTGTATAAGTCAGGAGTATAAACCAAAGTCGGGCAGGACCCTGTGACGGTGGTGGGGAATCGGAGGCCCAAACGGTGCAATCGCATGATACGAAACGCTTCATTGATCTGTCGGATTTGTACTATGATTGGTTTAGGGCCTGTCGGAACAGAGAAATAAATGGCTGCCTGGGAAATCCCTGGAATACAAACGGCCTTTCCCTTCTTTCCACTCGGGCTATCCTTCCCTGCTCCAGGCCTGTTTGTCCGAGGTCAGATCTCCGGATTATGATGCCCTGTGCCTCGTCATCATTGCTGACTCTTCTCAGGAATTATCTTTTCTGACCGACAGTAGTTTCCGACTTGGTCTGGAATTTACAAAGATGGCCGCCTCCATCTCTACTCCTATCAACTGGGTTCTCCCCTCCAGCAGCTCGGGTGGCTCGATCAAAAAGCCCATCAAGACGGTGTCCAAGCCCTGCTTTGGCTGTGACTGCGGCGACGAAGAATGCGATTGCTGCATCTGCACGGTGATGTGAAATGCGGAGCCTCTGACACTCGGCGGGTTTTTGCTGGGAGATAATTTGAGGTACTTGGGAACTGAATGTCGGGTTATGTTTGGATGTTTCTGGATTTTCTTTCGTGTTTCTTTTTCTGCATCTTTATCTGTTTCTCGGTGTCCGTGCATTGACACTCGAGACTATATCCCATATATCCCATATATCCGGCGTGCCCTGTTTGCCGAGCAATGCAACTTATTCCAACCGTTCTCATTCTTTCTCTATTCTGTAAAAAGAACAACTGCCTTCCAACAAACAAATAGAGCAAAACAGCGCAAAAGCCGAAAGACGGAACCCTTTCCAAAGGTTACAGAACTCGATCACATCCGCTGACTCAGCGCATCCACGACGATCCGAGAAGATCAGACGCCGAATCTCTCGCACTCCATGCATTCAAACAACGAACCACGCAAGCGCACGGTGCGCGCTTGCGATTCATGTTACCGGCGCAAGGTATTTAGCCCACCTAGCGTATATAACCTCCAGAAATATGCCTGCTAACCAACCAGATCAAATGCGATGGAGCACTCCCGCAATGTAATTGGTGCAGCCACCACGATCTGCCCTGTACCTTCAATCGTGTGGTACAGCGCAAGCGAAAGAATGGAGATGATGATGGGTAAGCGTCTAAACGTTGTCTCTTTTGGCCTTCCTCGCACCCACTGACACCCGAAGTAGTCGACATAAAGCCTCGAAGCTGTCGGAGCGAATTAGCCGTATCGAGCAGCTTCTGGCAGAGAATTTGATGCGGGACCCCGGCTCCGGTAGGTTTCCCCTCTGTTGTGGGAACTACATATTATGGCTAACTTGACCAGTGCCACCGGATTTGTCGCAGATTGCAGATGGAAGTATAACTGCCAGCACCTCGCCCGGCAACAGTAGTAGCAACCAACCTCTAATTTCGTCCTCAGTGGGGCTTCATTTTGCTGGCCGAGAGCTGGGTGGCATCAGTGTATTCACGGGGATTCCATTCCTGCTCCCAGAAGGCCAACAATGGATCCAGGCTCGCACCGGGCAAACCATCTCCAGCGACAAGCTCAGCCCAACTCGAGTACCATGGGAAAAAGAACGAGGCCAAACCTCCAACAATCTTCTCATGAACTTGCAAAATCAGGATCCCTTTGAACTGCCAGACTTGCGAGTTATTCGCCTTTACTTGGATGCTTTCAATAACGCCTTCGTGATGATGAGGCTATTCCCCGTCATTGATCCCGATTTATTCGAGGACACCGTGATTGCAGCGTATCAGCAACCACAGAATAGCTTCCATTTCGGGCAAGCCAGCACTCGAGCGTGTATCATCGCATTCCTTGCATTTGCCGCTCGTCTCCCGCCGGTCAAAATTCTGGTCGGCGCCTCGACGTCCTCCTCCGTAGACCACGATGCCATGGCCACCAGAGCACAATTCCTACTGACCCAACTCTTGCAAGAACCGGCGTCTCTCGAGGGAGCACAGGCAGTCGTCATATTGGTAAGGGTTTTCCTCAAACAACGACATCATTGGAGGGTTCTAACATTTTGACTACACTCCAGACACTTTATGAGTTATCATGTGGAAACATGCGGGCAACAAACTATTTTGGCGCAATTGCGGCGCGTCTGCTCTTCATGTTGGGTGCTAACCTGACAACCGTACACACCAACTCCAGCGTGCGCGCCAAGAAAAGACAACGGTTGCTGCGAAATCTTTTCTGGATTTGCTACACACTCGACAAGGACGTGGCGCTCCGCATCGGGCAACCGCCTACCATTGCCGATGAGAATTGTGACTTGACGCTCCCGTCGGGCTATGTGGACCAAGCCCATCATGATGTCGAAAATGAAGATGTGCACTTCGACCAGCCGGTGTTTCCTTTCGACCTGCGACTGAGCATCATCAAGTCGCGGGCACACAGTGCTTTGTATTCAGTTAGCGCTATGAAGAAGTCCGACGCAGATCTTCTCAAGTCAATCCGCGAGTTGGATGACGAGTTGGAGGAGTGGCGGCTATCACTTCCGCCTCATTGGCGTCCCACAATGTCCTTTTCGCCCGAGGCATCTGATCCTAACATTAGCATGCATTCGGTTATGTTACGACTCAACTACTACCTGTGCATGAGCATCATTCACCAGGCGAGCAGTCGATGTAAGGCATGGCAAGAAGGAAGTGGCATGATGGACGGGGTCAGTTCAAGTCTAGCGCTCTCTGTAGAAGCCAGCCGCTCGACTCTTTGCTATCTGGAAGCAGCAGAGCATGTACTGGTCGATGGCGTCTTCTGGTGAGTTTACTGCTCCCTGGTCTCAACCGTGTTGACTTTTCAAGGCTAACTTTCGTCTAGGACGCTGATATTCTACCCCATGTCTGCACTACTTTCCATTTTCTGCAGCATCCTCCAGAACCCACTGGATCCGCGTTCACGCGATGATCTGGGTCGCCTGAAGATGGCCACTCTAATGATGCAGCGTATCTTCTCGCGAAAGCTGCCCGAAACCGAAGTGGTCCACTTCAAACTGGTGGCCGACTTTGTGGTGGAGCTGAAGAGGTTAGCGGAAGCCGCGATCGACAAGGCGTGGCTTGAGCAGAGTCGCAGCTCGCTTGTCTCCAAGTGATCTTTCTTTCGTTACAAGGGTTGCTTTATGGCTTACTTTTTACGGCTAGGGAGTTTAAAAAAAGGCATTGGGGATGTTGGCGCAAATCAGATGCTGGGAATCCCGGAATAGAGCGATACGCAAGGTGTTAGGATTTAAGTACATATTTTAGACTGAGATGATTTAATGACGACCTCCACTGCTACGACATAGTACCTCCAACACTGTACAAGAAGTAATCTTCAAATCATCTTTGTTTTCATCCATGTGTTGTGATTTCTCTAGTCGAGTCGATTTCTTTGGCAAAGTTGTTCTACAAATCTTCAAACGGCATCCAGCACCTGGTATTCGACAGGAAAACGAGTCGAAGGTGCCTGTACTAAGATCTAGCCGTTTATTGCAATCCCCATGCTATCACATTTAGGACCAGGAAGCCCACTGGCTGGAGATCTCTTTTAAAACGGAGAGTGGAATTGCTCCGGACATTAGGAAGAAAATGGGTGCCTTGTCCGTATGCGATACCGTCCTTTCTCGGAGCCCAGATGCATGCTCAGCTCTGGATGGGATGTGCGCGTCACTTGCGCGAGGCAGATGCCGTGCTGCTAGAGAATCGCTGGGAGCACTGGGTGGCATTCTGCCTCGGCCTAATTGAGCAAGAAAAAAGCTCAAGTGATAGCAAATCCGGCCAGTGAGGATCGGTATCCGTAGCTATCTGGACGTGACTTTTAATCGGCCCACGTTGGCCAGGCCCCAGAGCAATGAGAGGTCTCAAAAGGCCAGTCGACAAGCTTGCGTAATGGTGGTAGGTGAAAGTGTTTAGGAAGGGCAATATTCCCTTCAGTTTTCTTGGTCCAAAAGGTTCCAGACCAGTCGGGAGTTTTCAACAGCGCGTCGAGCAGCCTCCTTCGAGTGATTCTCACCATCGGACTGTTCTGCCAATCCCACTTGGCGGCCCTCGGCCTCCAGCTGGTCTAAAACGCCCTCAATATCCGCCTTGACTTTGTCCATTTGCTTAATCTCATCCTTGGTGCGCTGGAGTTGTTCCTCCATCATCATAATGAGCGATTCGCGGGCCTGGTGAGGTCGGTAGAGATTCAGAAGGTGGTGGGCGTTGATGAACAAATTGCGCATGTCCTCCACTTTGGGTTCAAATTGCTCGGGCGACACCGAAAGGACTCCAACTAATTCCAGAAAATTGAGAAGAAGGGACTTGCTGATCTTCAGTAGGTAGTAGGCGTGGTTGAGTGGGGAGGGCTTCGAAGGGTCGCGTGAAGTGTCGGCCTCTGGCTCCGGATATAGCTGCTCGATGCCCTGTTCTTTCAAGGATGGCAGAGTTGTTGAGAGCTGCACCAAACCAAGTCAGTCAAGCTCCCTGTGGCAACGTTTGTAGTTCCAACTTACGCTTTGTAGCTCGCCAAAGACGGAGTATTGCCCCGCAGGAATCTCTGGTGGCACCAGGAAGCGCAGCTCTTGGGGCACATCTAGGGCGCGCAATTCTGACGGTGACCACTGCTTGTTGCGATTGACGCGCCCGTCCTTGCCCTTGGAGGCCTCGTTCTTGATCTTCTCCAGCCGGTCGAGGTTGTCGCGTGTGAAGTGCTTCCACAAAGGCGGCGGAGGCGCAAAGGCTGTGGGGACTGCTGGCTGCTGGTTCGCACCCTCCATGATTCCAGAGCCGAGTTGCAGAAGTGAAAGTCGCTCAGCTGGGAAAGAGTGGAGGTTGACGGGGTGTAAGGTGCAAAGGTGCAAGGTGCAAGGTGCAAGGTGCAAGGTACAAGAACGCGGACGGGGAAAAAGTGGGTCTGTGCTTCCACACCTTGCGACTCTCCGCTTCTTCACTTTGTCTGTTATGTGCCAGCGAAGGCGCTGAAATATTCGCTCGGTCTCTTGGGCAGAAGCATAGAATGTCTCAAAGCTCGGGCAATGGATCCATCCCGGTTCTACAACGCGTCGGACTCGCGGGGGCTCTAGCTCGACTTGGCCAACGCTCCTATGCGGCCGACTACATCGCATTGGGGTTCCTGGCGTTGGGTTGGATGCTGGTCAGTTGGAATTATTGCCCTATCACGATGAGCTTCACCTGCTAACGCCTCGATTTCTGCCGGGAACAGATCCAATTCATGAATCCTTTCCATCGAATGTTTTCCCTCGACAACAAGGCCATCATGTACCCATTCGCCGTCCATGAGCGAGTTCCCGTTTGTACGACTCTTCCCGCCCGTTCTCGTTCGCAGTATACTTATCCTATCGCTAGTATGGTCGGTCATACTCGCCGGTGTGATTCCCTTCGGCATTATCCTCACTTGGTCTGCTATGTTGCGTCCCGGGGTACAAAAGACACAAGTCACGGTGCTCGGGCTACTGGTAGCTCTGATGTTGACATCTTTCCTGACGGACTTGGTCAAAAATGCAGTGGGAAGACCTCGTCCAGATCTACTTTCTCGTTGCAAGCCCGCTCGAGGCACGTCAGCCAATGTGCTGGTTTCATGGACCGTCTGCACCGAGACCAACCAGCTAATCCTCCAAGAAGGCTGGCGCAGTTTTCCCAGTGGGCATAGTAGCTTTTCATTCGCTGGCCTGGGTTATTTCTCGCTGTAGGTATCGCTCTGTCTTATACCGAGATCGCCGCTAACTTGTACATCTGCAGTTTCATCTGCGGCCAAATGCATGTTTTCCGTCCTCGGACGGACCTCGGCCGATGTCTCCTGGCATTCTTTCCCCTTCTCTGTGCTCTTATGGTTGCCATTTCTCGCCTGGATGACTACAGGCACGACGTGTGGGATGTGACTTGCGGTGGGCTTTTGGGTATGCTTGTGGCCTGGTTCTCCTACCGCCGCTACTACCCACCTCTGCGATCGGTGATCTGTGATCACCCCTGGAAAAAGGGTGAACTTGGAAGTATGGAAGGATTTGCTAGGCTGGATGATGAGGAGCAGGCTTTGTCGCGGCCGCTCATTCTGCGCGAAGGTCCTGTGTCGGAAGAAACTTACCAACTGGAGGAAACCCAGCCATCGCCGCGAGTATAATGACTTTCTCCATTTACCTAAACAAAACTAAACCCATTCACAAGTTGGGTGTAACAATAGTACTTGTTCGTGAGGCACGTACTTCTTACAGTACTCATAACGTGGGAAGGTCGATATCTCACGTTGCAGACCAAACGCCTGTGCATTATATTCAACCCTAGGAGGATGTTTAACAGAGCACCGGAGACCTAACCACCAGGCACATTCCGATCACCCCCCGTTCAGATTCATCGGACAATTCAAGACTCAGCGACCTTATTGAAGTATAAGCCCCCCGGTGAGCTAAACAACCGTGGAAGACAAAGTTCAGAAGAGCACCAGAGCTGACGGTGCGCTATACAACCTGCGCAGGATTAAAGTAGATCAAGAATACCAAATGAGGTTAATAACAGGCATGATTCCCCCTCACGGCTAGGAATAGGACTTCTGACCAATGCGGGGTGGAGATTGCGGGAGCTCCTGGGTTTTCTTATCATTGCGGGGCTTTTCTCTTTTTCATCCCTCCTCCAACCTACATCTCCGGTCTCAACAAGAGTCGACTTCGGCTTGACGTAGCTCTCGCCACCCGATGGACTCTCGACACGATCAGGCCATGTGAGCATTGTCCTTTCATGCCGCGCAGAAAAGCCGCCGACCGCACGGGTCCGGTGAAAACCCGGTCTCGCAGCGGATGTCGAGAATGTCGAGCGAGTCGAGTGCGATGTGATACCAAGAAGCCTGTCTGCACGCGATGCTGGGAGAAAGGACTGCCGTGTTCCACAAATCTGGTCCTGAAATGGGAGTCGGAGTTTGTCAGTCGGGGCATGGCCTTTGGCCGTGCTGGTGTCTGGAGTAAAACCCGCGACGCAAACTCGGCTGCTTTGCAATCGCCCTCGGATGATATGCGCAACTGGGTGTCCGTTCCCACGATTCGGCCATGGGGGTTTATCAATAGCGGAGTCGCCACATTTGACCATCCAGAGCAGGTTGATATCGTGTTGAATGAACTACATGCCCTCGTCCCCGTTGCCGGGCACAACGCCAGCAATTGGTCGGCTGGTGCTTTTGCCGCGGTTCTCAACCCGAGTCTCGGACCGTCGCTCTCGCTCTTCCCCGAGCTTTCCCACCTGGGAAATGGAGAATTATTCGATTACTATCTCCAGCAGGTGTGTCCTCGTACGACGGCGAGTTCCACGGTGTCCTCGCCATTTGCGTCGATAATCCTGCCCTTCAGCTCATCTGCCTCCCCCACACTTTTCAAGGCCATTCAAGCGTTGGGCGCATGCCATCGGTCCCGAGCCGATCCGTCGTACGGCGCCCTTGGGCTTCGCCTAAAATCCGAGACATTACGAGATCTCCGCCGGCGTCTTTCCAACGAGGGATCTTTGAATTGCGCCGGTGATCCTGAAGTCCTGGTCATCATGATGATGCTCTGCCTCTATGAGATTGTAGATAAATGTGACCAACACTGGACGATTCATCTCAAGGGTGCCAAAGATCTGATTCGTCTCCGGCGGCAGCAAACTGCGGCCCTTCCCGAATCCTCCAATGCACCAGATCCTGCTACCGCCTTCGCGGAGCATTTCTTTGCGTTCCAGGACGTTATGGGTCGTACTGCTTGTGCCAAGGAGGTTTTATTCGGCAGTGACTACTGGAAGGCTGACGATAAAAACATCGACTTGTGGATGGGATGCAGTCCTGAGTTGGTCAATATTTTGTCCACAATTACCGACATGAGCCGGGCGAGGCGACAGCTTGATTCGAATGAGGCCCGAAGTACATTCTCCATGCGTGCTGCATCTCTTGAAAACCAGCTCGAGCATTTGGTCCAGGAAATTGGAGATGGTGACGACGAGATTCTTGCATCTGCAGCGGAGGCCAAGCGACTGGCAGCCGTGCTCTACCTACACTGTGGACTACACGGCGCGTGCCCTACCACTCCCTTGGTAGTTGATTACGTACGCCAGATTCTTCGCCTGGTCTCGGATCTGCTGGACCGTGAGGCCCTCCCCAGCATGACATGGCCGGTATTTGTGGCAGCTGTAGAGCTGGACCCCTCGCGGGACGAACTTTGGTCAGATCCTCTCGCTGAGCCGGTGTCTGGGCGGGCAACCGTGCTGCGAGCCCTAGCTGCGATGTCTGAATCCACCATCGCCAATATCGCTCGAACGCGGGCCGTCATTACTCAAGTATGGCAGGCGCGCGACCAGGATCTAGTGAAAGGAGCGATGCAAGGCGAGTTCAATGACTGGGAAAAGTACGTTGTGCCTGTCAGTGACGCCATGAGTTTGGCGTGACATGTGTATAACTAGCAACTGTGTAATTGTACAGTACTCTCTCTACATAATTGGCCAAATACTCCGTTGATGATGACAGTGATTAGAGTGCAAAAGACTCCTGATGTTCAGGTCGTGTATAATTAATTTTCAGTGAAATCATGGGGTATCGTGTTCGTGTACAGGGGCAAATGGCAAATGCAATGCTCAAACAAAAAGTGAATACGTTCCTCCGGGCTTACGCCTCTCTCTTCCCTCGCGTTCGAACCAAGTCCCGAGTAATGACTCCGCTGTCCTCTATTAACGGGACGAGGCTCTCCATTCGTACGGGCTTCGTCAAGAACATGTCCATGCCAGATCCGATCGCATCGCGTTGCAACTCGGTCTGCGCGACGCCAGTCAGGGCGACGATTTTGACATGGCTCTCGGTTTCTGATTTTCTCTCAAACTCGCGGATGCGTCTGGCTGACTCGATGCCGTCCATGACCGGCATGGAAATATCTGAGAAGGTCAGCTTCGAGCAAAGATTCAATGTTCCATCATTTGAACTTACCCATCAAGATCATGGCAATTGAAGACGCATTTGCTTTAAATAAGTTCAAAGCCTCTAATCCGTTCGATGCAGTTTGATTATCGCATCCCAACTTCTTCATGAACTCGACCAGAACCCTGACGTTGATAGCATTATCATCCACGATGAGGATCTTTGTTGCTGCGGTCTGCTGGGACTGGGATGTGTAGTTGTCATCGTTGAGGGCAGTCAGCGGGATATGAGGATGGTCGGGCTCGACTTGATGATCCAGTTGACTGTGTGGACTCCTTGGACGTTCGCTGGGATATGGAGGCCCTGAATTGTGCGCTGGTTCTACCAGAAGATCATCGTTGACGTCCAACAAGCTCTGTCGCCGCTGTCGGCGCTCGGAGAGGATTTCAAAAGCCTTTGCCAGTTTGCGGGGTCCGCATGGTTGACTGATGAATTCAACAATATCTGGACCGTCTCGCTTCTGGGTCTCGATAAACATCGAGTGAGCTATCCTTGGAGATGGGCAAATGACGATGACCGGCAACAAGAGCCGCTCATTTGTGGAGTTTACAATAGACTTGATATCCAAATGTCCCTTGTGCATAAACTCCAAGGGCGATATGTAGAGATCACAATGAGTGGGATCCGTCTCGGACGGCTGGGCTTGAGAGACGTCCATTCTGAACCTCTCTTGGCACAGCTGTTGCAAAGATGAGGATAGAGCCAGGTCCGAGTCTGACTGTCCAAATCCCAAGAGGCTGATTTGTTTCCCAGAGACGAGGTCTTTGGCTGCTTCAAAGGACGAGCTTGTCCATGCGTCCGGCGTCTCGTGAGATATCAACTCAGAGAGATGATCGAGGTCGATGGAAACGCTCGCTTCGGTGCCAACTCCCTTCTGGGAATTGATTTGAATACTGCCTCCAAGGGACAACACCGTCCGATGAGTTATGTTGAGACCTAGACCATTGCCGATTGCCATACTGTTCTCCTGCGAAAAGGCGCTAAAAAGCCCGTTGTGTAAGAATTCCGGGCCGATACCACACCCAGTGTCTTTGACAGTCAGCGTGACCTTTGACCTGATGGCCTCACCGTTTTCTCCTAAAATCACTGGGCATGTTTTCACGGACACGTAAATAAAGCCGCTTTTTGTATATTTCAGAGCATTTCCAGCAAGGTTCGTGAGGATAACATGCCAGGCTCCAGGCCTGGTTGAAAATTTCCAATCGGAAGAGCTGTCGATATCAAGGACGACCCGAAGTCCACTCGGTGAGCCGTCATTGATCGCATCAAGAGACTGCGGGACATTGAAGAAGGAATAGCCCGCAAAGACGGTTTCGATTGCGTCTTCGATGACTATGTCAAGTTGGACATACGAATTCTCGTCATCCTTCCCAGTTTGCAAACCTTTCCGGCATAAGTTCAGCTTTCCATCTGATGGCGCCTTATAACCAAGGCTACCTAGGAGTTGAGAAGTGGGATAGTTCTCGCGAAGGTCTTTGATACTCGCATATTCCAGAAGTTGATTGATCGAGCCTAGCAACGTGAAGGCACATGATGAGATCGTGTGAACAAACCCTCGCTGCAGATTGTTCATAACTCCGCTATTGAGCAGGTCTGTCATGCCGAAGATTCCATGAAGGGGGAGCGAAGTTCATGGCTGAGACCTGCTAGCAGGTTTGTCTTTGCCCGCTCTGCAAATAGTGCACCAAGTCTGTGCACTTCTGCCATGACACTATTGCCGAACGCAAACATGAATGCCAATTCGTCATCGGATGTGAAAACGCGATGAGGGGATTTGGTCCATGCGATGCTTGCGGAGTACCATCGTTCTTTATGGGAGTCCCACAGTGGCGAGAATATAATACTTCGAGAATCGGGAGCGAGTTGTAGAAGTGTCTCGGCATCGTGGCGTAGAAGGGTTTTGCGTGTTCTCTTATACCTCTTGCCTCGCCTGCGGGAACCGCTCCCGGGGCCGGTTGGATGACCGCTGCGCTGCAGGAAGTTCTTGAAAGTGCTGTCGCTAGTGTCACTGGACGAAATCGATCCGTCTTCGGAGAAGTTAAAAATCTTGCCCTTGGGATAGCGGCGCAAGAGACCCCCTAGGAATGACTCGGACAGTGCGATTTTTCTATCGCCCGTCAATTGATCATTGACGCTAGATGCGTTAGAAGTGGAAAAGCCAAGTATTCCACATGGATTCGAGGCCTCTTCACCCGATTCTTCGGAGTTGGCGGCGCTGTAGCAGCTGCGACTGGTGGTCGGTCCTTGAACTTTGAATTCATCGCCTGAAGCCGAAGAGTAACTGTCCTGGCCGCTACTTTCATAATCGGATCTTTCATCGTTCACAAAAGCACCTTGTGAGCCGAAATTGGCGTCGAAAAAGACCGTCGCCTCGACTTCAATGCTTTCACGAATGATGTTTGCTGCGCGCGAGAAGGCCTGCTCCACCTGCTTCTTCTGGTTTTCCTCCGGCAGTTGATTATCCGCTTGCTTGCTGCCGTTTGCAATGGTCGATTCCGGAAGGGTCTGCATGGAATGAACCCGAACGTGGTCTTTTCTCATGACCTTTGAGCCCTGCGATTGCCGTTCCTCGCGTCGACGTCGGGGTGTTTCAGCGTCCGAACGGGTGGGCAAATTCCTTACGGCGCCAGTTCGCCCAATGGTCCGGGTCAAGTCATCCGAAACTTGTTTGTCTTGCTGCTCCTGGTTGACGGTCCCCTCAGAATGATAATTTTGTGCCGGGGAGCCGAGATCCTCGGCGGCATCAAGCCACGAGTGACGCAGGCTGCCTTTACCTTCGAGGAAGCTTCCCAGTCCGACAATCATTCGCTCGGAACGTATATGCTGGGTTTTCGACCTGGCCGCTTGCAGGTAATCCATCACCGTGCTCGCCATTACCGACATGAACTTGCGCAGGTTCGTGTCCAGCGATTCACGCGGTTTATCATCCAGGACGGTGTAGGCTCCAACCACGATGCCCTTGGGGCTGATGATAGGGCTGCATGCCATAAATCGAATGTTCGGATAGCCCGTCACATCCGGATGGCTCTTGAAATGCTCATCCTGCGCCAGGTCGGGTACGATCATCACCTGGTCGGCGGGGGGTTCAGCGGATGGCGGGAGCACGAAGGATGTACAGAAGCTGCGATCGTATGACATGGTACAGCTCCCAACCCAAAGCTCATCGTGAGCCGTGTGATCCGTGTCATCTTGTAGGCTCAGGGTCCGAGTGGCTTCGGTCAGAATGTGCTCTTCGTGTCGACCGAAAAGGGAGATCAGCGCGCGTTGTGCGTCCACTCGCAAACACCCTAGCTGGGCGAACGCGGTTAAAACAGGGTCCGTGGATGATCGTGCGGTGAATTCGTTCGAGGGAGTGTCTTCGGCGACATGCTGGAGCGGTGATTTCAAATGATATGGCGGTAGGTATCTGTGGGTCGAAAGGCGCGTCTTACGGTCAGTCTACGTACATCCCGGGATCCCAGGATCTGCGCTTGGCAGGGCGGATAGCAGGGATTATTCGAATGTGCACCTGGTATACCTACTTATAAAACTCTCGTTCTCTGGAAGTACTGTAGCTGACCTGTTGTTGAAAGGGGAATGGCCGTGGCCGTGGCATGATCCGACGGGGGGTGGTCCTTTGCACCAAAGATGGGGGGATACGATAGTCCACAAGAGGTTTCGAGGGAACGCGAGCTTGGAAAGAAGAAACAAAAATCGGGACTCGAGCAATGCTACGCCTGAGCGTGGGGTCGACCCGACTCGGATATCATAGCCCCATCAATCACGTTGCAGGAATGAAACTCGGGGGATTCGATACATTTCGCCGTCCATTCACTTTTCTTTACGCGGGTGGGTATAGCCCCCTCCGATGATCGCCCACCATTCGCGAAGATCAGTCCGAAGTGTCGACCCGCAAGAGAGATGCGATTGGCTCGACGTGGGATAAATGGGGGTTACGGTTATACTCGAGTGCTTGGGGGTCAAGGAGATGGAACGTAGTTCTTATTCCTTCCCCCTCTCTCCTACCCTTTCCTCCTGTCTCGGTTAAAGCGTGCTCTGGTTCAGTCTGATTGTCTTTAGCACACGGCCATCATCGGCATTCGTCAGGTCTATCTGGCTAGTTTTATTTTGCTATTTAGGACCAAACCCTGAAGTTGCCCGGTATGTTAAGGGGCCACGAGAGCGCGTAGTATATACCATCGTCCCCCGCGGTTAGGCTAAAGCATAGGTAACTACCAACTACTCACCTATGTTTACCTCGGTGACCGTACCTATGAGAACCTATCCACACACCTGCATCTATCTAGAAACCTAGCCGACCCAATACCCTATTATTTCAATCGTTTTCGTACCTTGAATGCCGATTGCGGGGCTTCCTGTTTCGGGTTTAGCGCCTCCCCCCATCGCAAGCGCGCGATTGCGGTTCATCGTGGACGAACGTCTCTGGCACGATGTCTCCCGTTACTTTCATCCCACCGTTTGATTCTTGAACAATGGCGCAGGTCCGGCCTTCAGCGCCTGGGCGAAGCTCGTCTGCCCACTTGTTCGAGAGCAAGCTCAGCCAACAACTATCCCAACCCGAACCCCCAGCCCACCCGGAACCTACTCGCTCGCCCAAGTCTCGCTCTCTGTCCGATGCTTCGAAACCAACATCGATACCTCAGCCGGCCACGGGGGATTTGAGCCGCCCGCCCAGTAAAGATGATAGTGCGCTTCCTTCGTTGCCGGCAACACCCAGTCGATCGAATCAACCGAACCTGTCATTAAACCTGTCCTCCAACGCACCTTCTCCTTTGATCGCCAACCGCGGACCTTTGTCGCCCAAGTTGGATTCATCGCATATCTATGGGTCGCCGGGGTCGATGCTGCCTCGACGCTCCCGGGGTCTTGACTTCTCGCGCGCCTGTACCAACCTTCACCACTCCACGCTCGCAGAGTCCTCGCCGGACTCCTCCCCCACCGTTGGAGGGCGTGGCATGACCATTCCTCAAAGACGCGGTTCGCAGGGCTCAACTTCCATTCCTCCGTTTTCGACCTCCGGCCCCGCCGACCGCACGGCCATTTCCAGTTCCGTGTCGAGCGTGAACATGATGGAATCGGATACCAGCAGCAGTGACGACGATGACGAAGTCATGATGGCCGACCGTGATGATCCCATGCTCACCACGCCGCAGGCGGCGCGGATGGGCGGCGGGCCGAGTCCCTTTGCGACGGGCAATATACAGAGTCCCGGAAACGAGTGGATGGGCGGCTACTCACAGGCCGCAGCCAGTCTCATGAGCTTCCAGCGAGCTCGCTTCCGCAAAGGACGCAGTCGACACAGCTCAAGTAGTGCTAGTGGGAACAGCTCCAAGCCCAGCCCCGGTCCTCCTCATTCTCCTCCGGTCTTGAAGAGTGTGGAAAATCCACCAGGAGGCTACTTCGGCCCGCGGCAGAGAGCCCGTTCGCGGCGAGAGAGTCTAAGTCTGGGCACGCGTGATCTCCGACTATCGGATTTGAGTGATGACGGCGAGAGTCGTGCCGTTCGCGCAGGCAGTCCAACCGCGGTGTCTCATTCTGATGGCGGGCCACTGGGAGTGATTCGTCGTGCTGTCACTCGACGAGGGAGCTTACTAGTAAGTCTCTTTGGCAATTGCATACATTTACTTTCGCCTTCTAACTGTTGAAACAGCCCAAAACGAAGACGTTTGCTCGCATTCGGGCAGCTCTAATGGAAGAGAGCGCGCCCATCGACAGCGACATGAAACGGGAGGCGGAGGTCATTCAGCAAGTCCGCGACACCGAGCCCGAGACATCGCCTACCCTCAGCGCTTTTTCTTCTCTCCATCAGCCTCCGGATGAAGCGGCACCGGATGTCGACCTCGGGCCTGCAAAGGCTCGGGGATCTTCCAGTAGCTTCAGCAAACAAGCAAGTCGCAATTCTGGCGGAGTTGAGTTTTGGAACTCGTTTGACGAACGCTACCGCACACCACCACCATTGCGCCCAACGGGCGCCTCTTCCGTTGCGGATGACGATATGTTTATGGACATTACTCCATCAACAACCATCGGGTCGACGGCCGACTCAAAGGCGCGTTCCCGCTCTTCAACACCCCACCCTCCCGGAATGGCCATTGGCGAGATCCAGCGCAAGCGGCGTCGGGAGGACGACTTCGACCCCAACCTCTTCAAGCGCCGGGCCGTGTCCCCCAGCGTGAGTGCCCAGAGCAGCCCTGTGCTGACCCATTCCTCTGTCGTCGACAACGTGCCCAGCATCTGGGGTCCACCATCCAAGCTCGGTCCACCTTTCTCCGAGCGACCTACCACGAGCTCGGACAATGGGAATGGAGGGAATAACAACCGGACCACGCCTCATACAGGCGGCACCAAGCGCGTGGGTCTTCAAGGCATGACCGAGGCCAGCGATGGCTTTATGAATATGAGCATTGAGTGAACGTACTCAACTAGATGCATTCGGGGATTTTGTTTACTTCTTGACTTGGCGTTACCGGGGATCACACCCTTTTTTTCTTCCCTTTTTTTGGCATGGCGTTGGGGGATATTCATACATAGGGACACTTTTTTTAAAGTGACGAGATACCTAATATATCTTTTTTTTTTGGGACCATTATTTGACAATGCTATGAAATGACAGAGTAGAGTTTGTGCCGCCTTAAACCACGTGTGGATCGCTCTCCGCCCGGAGCTCCCCTTCTCCTACACCACAGCTCGACTCCCCGACCTCCTCTGTGCTGCTCATTTCTGTCGCTAGCATGTCTTCCACAATTGAGCTTGCGTCTGCCTTTATTGAGGGAGCTCCGCCGGGCGAGGTATGCCATCCCCCATTGTTTTGGGGATCTTCCCCCGGATTACCCCTCCGCTTTCCTGCCTGGACTCGCACGCTGACCTTGGACCCGATTGCAATAGCTCGCCGATGTTGTTGCCGGTATTACACCCTGTTTCTGACCCCAGCTCGACGCCATCTAGCCGCACACGATCACACCCATTCCCCGAATTCAGGTTGATACTGAGTTTCTTCCGCTACAGATGTACAGGCCCTGACCGAGGGCGACGACATTCTCTCTTCGCTCAGCCCCGCATTCGAGCGTTACAATGAAAGCCAGCTCACGACTGTTAAGCTGCCCGGATCAAGTCAGGAGGTTTGTTCAATGATCGGATGCTCACTCTCGCCTGCGGACGCTGACACCGAATCGCCTCAAGGTTATTGTCAGTGAATTCAACAAGTTGGAGGGCAACCGCTACTTCGACCCGGAAAGCCAGACATCGTTCGAGATGGATCACACCACACAGGTAGGACGGGAAGAATGAGGGGCACCAGATCCAAATTGACGCATTGGAAGCTAACTACTTGGGGTCAAAGACTGCCTCTGGGGCGCAATCCGCGCCGTTGGAATCCCAGAACGCCGACTTGATGTAAGAGAATTGAGAGCCTTGGTATTTTTCGAGGTATAGCTGACCCACCATCCAGTAAATCACTTCTCAAGTCCCTGGCCGTCCACGCTCGTGAACATTACACCAGCTGCTCTTATGGTGTCTACCCGATCGAGAACGACTCTTCCGTCGCCATTCTTTTGGTTGCAAACCGCTACTCTCCCAATAATTATTGGTACGTAGTCCTATGCCTTTGGGGAGCCATTAGATCAAGCTAACCGTCTTGATTACAGGAACGGTCGATTCCGATCCATCTATCAAGTCCCCGTTTCCTCCTCACCCACAACCGTGACCGGCAAGATCCACATCGACGTGCACTACTATGAAGACGGAAATGTGGCTCTCAACACCAATAAGCCCGTCTCCGTTTCCGTCCCTTCAGTGTCTGCCGAGTCGATTATCTCCCGCATCGCTACCGTCGAGCGTGACTATCAGGAGGAGCTGAATAAGGCATTCGTTCAAATGGCAGAGGGTGCATTCAAGGGACTCCGAAGACAGCTTCCCATCACACGACAGAAGGTTGAGTGGGAGAAGATTGGAGGATACCGCCTGGGCCAGAATATCCAGGGGAAATAAAGCAGAACTGTAGAGCCGAAGCGATATCAAGCGGGAGAAATCATGAGCGTTGGATCCTTATATCCCTACTAAACTACAACTGCTATTATTTGCAGTCATTTCACAACTATCCACCTTAGTTTTTCCGTGTTTGATATTGTTCCAGGGCTGGTCTCTCGTCCACGCAAGCGCAGCTGGACGACCCCGATCGACCCCCTCGAGCTCCCCTCAAGCCTTTAGGCCACTCCACGCGGCAATACTTTCCGAACTGTAGACCGGAATCAGTAGCACATTTCTGTGACTAACACGTTCGAAAATCCAGCGCTACAAAGGGGCTTAATAAGCAGTTTTTCATCGAGCGGGACAGCCCGTTAACAGACACATCTCTCCACCCCCGCGCCCCAAGACCCCAGGATCCCGGGAATCTCACGATGATTGCACAGTTCAATCGCTTCGTCAGAAATGGCGCCGGACTGGAGAAGTTCCTCCGTCTAATCCAGTCCGTGGCGCAAATCGCCGCCGTGTTCAGCGTCGGCAGCACGGCCGTGCGATTGACGACGGCTAAGTTGCAATTGGCCCTGAGTAAGTGTCCATTGGACTCTGAGATTCAATCAGTGCTGAGAATGCTCTAGCGCGGAGATATTTCCGCTTTTTTGGATTCATCGAGTCCTTCCAGCGTGTGTCCGCGCTGCTCAACAAGGAAGGAATGGGATCTGTGCCCGGGTGGATCGACCTGGCCAAGTGGACATGCTTCGGTCTGTACTTCGTGCTGGAGGATTTGACTATGGTGGGCTTTATTCCTTCGTCGAGGTACCTGATGCTAACATGGAAGTAGCTGCATGCAATGGGCGTGTACATGGTGCCCTGGGAGGAACGAGTCATGCGTGAAGCGAACCAGTTCTGGTTCTACGCCCTGTCTCTCTCTCTCCTCGGGGCTATTTATGCCCTTCTATCTCCTCCCAGGGCATCCAAGTCGCAGAACGAGAAGAAGAAGGGCAAAAAGACCGAAAAGACTGCTCCAACTACCGTCAATAGCTCGGCTCTGGTGAAACAGATTGTGGTGGACTCCTGCGACCTGTTGATTCCTGCGGAGCTTCTCGATTGGTATCCCACGGGGGACCTGGTTTTGGGTGTAACCATGGTGCTGAGTACGCTACTCACCGGCCAGGATATCTGGTCTAGGGTGTAAATTGACATTGGAATGAGAACCTTGGGTTATAATTGGCCTCGGGAGGGCTCTGTCTGGGATGGATATACATGTGTATGATAGACCATAGACTAACAACATTGAACCAAAATATAAGAGAAACCCCTAACCAATGGGATTTCAAATCCGTCGTGCGAATCGACTTTGAACGAGATGAAAATTGGCGCAGTCTATTTAGACCGAAGAAGGTCCCGTTGCTCTCTGGTGAAGGAGCAAGGCCCAAAAAAATTTGAAAAAAATGGACTCGCGGGGAATCGAACCCCGGACCACCCCCATGCTAAGGGGGTATTATACCACTAAACCACAAGCCCAGTTCATGTGTGAGGGGACCATTTCATGTTTTATCAAACCTATTGGCAGAAGCCGCGGGAGTATGACGCCGCCGAATAATCCTGTACCCTGATATCACCTCAGCTGGTGTCTGAAACTACTGCGGTGGGACAGGGTTGTTCTCCAGCAGAGAATGCAGGAGATCCAGCATTGGATCGGTACCTCAGTCGGTGTCAAGCCCTTCACGGGTCAAGCGGCACGCCCTGCGCCGGAGGAATCCATCAGTGAGATGGTGACCGAGATCTGCTAGAGCCTGCCTTTTGCACTAAGTGATGTTGACCTTCCTGTACGTTCCAGAGCAGACATAAGGCTGGGCCAGAAAGGATCGAAGGCCGTCGGGGGGTTCACGTTAATATGGGCCGGTTTTCTCCGTTCGGTTTCGGGATGCGACCCTCGTTCAGCAATATCAGACATACGATGCGCTTCGGCGGATCGCAACCAGTCCTGGGATTAGGCTGGTGATAAGATTGGGTGACGAGACCGTGCGGCTAGATCATGTCGCTAGTCGGAATCCCTCGCGTATTTTTGAGGCTTCACCCAGATCAGATTTGATCTGAATCTTACATGGAGCTGTGTATCTCTATGAATTACCTTTTTAGGCAGATACCCCAATGAACATGAACGAATACACTCTGATTTTGCTGTATTAAATTGTTTACATCTAGACAATCCACTACCATTTCCCCATCTTTTCGATCCAAGCCTCCAGCGTTCCCGGCACTGCAGCTCTGCTCAATAACCACGATGGCTCGTAACAAGCCGCGCATACTGCTCGCACTCTATTCTCGTCCCAAACATCACACGATCCACATCGCACTGCTCATCACGGGCAAGATCAAACGCGGAGCCAAGAGAGGCTCGATCCCGGCCAGGAAATGGCATGCAAAGAACACCATCCAGTTCGTCAACAACACCCCCACGAGACCCTGGCGCCGCGAGAGAGAGATAATCACCGACATTGACAAAGACCTCCGCCTGCTGGCGTGTGCCGTGATCGCCAAAGTCCACAACGTCGATGAAGCCGAGAGACTCCTGAGTCTCGTGCCCGTCTATCAACCCGAGGACGCCGACCAGGACATGGCGGCCGAGTTTGACTGCACCGCCTGGGCCATGGAAGCAATGAGAGTCTTGCGATGGGCGGGAGTTGTAAAGGCAACCCTCTTCACCAAGGCGGAGGAGACATTGAAGTCCTACATTGAAACCCACCGAGCACGATGGAACGCCCAGAGCGGCCATGACCTGCAGGGCCAGCCTCCGATTGTTCCGATCGTCGATATGTTTACCGGGAAGATGCTGAGGGAGTGAAAGCGATGGCTGTGACCAACATGGAGATGTACTCGGAGGTAGACACAGCCACTGGGAGCCTGGTGGAATATTCCAATGAGGATTACGAGCAGCACGACTGAGACTTGCCTCTTCAATAATACGAGAGAATTAACTCAAACTTCTCCTAGGACAGAAATCGGTGGGCCCTTCATCTCGTACGGCGTATTTAATTGGCGAATATCGACACTCGTTCCCTGGGTTGCACGTCTCGATCGGATTCGGGCTGTCGAAGTATAGCTCTATAAACCGGGTTGAACCCCTTCGTGGGAATCATGCAAGATATCAAGTCAAATCCATCATGTCTACTGCAGCTAGCGTTTACCCTTCAACCAGACTCCAAGGACGCTTGCGCTTCATTTTCCAGCAGTTCCAGCACTGTGTGTGACTTCATCGACAGTCCATCTTCTTTCTATCCCTCTCGCACCCTCCACGTCAATGCGCTAGGTATCAGAGCATTCCGGCTGCCTGTTCCTCCCGGCCAGAAGGAGATCGTCGTCACACACGCCGACGGTACCGAGGCCTACGTCTCCACGAGGGACAAACACTGGTCCGGCAACTATCGATTATCTCGACCCGAGACGGGAGGCCTTATCGAAACCGAGTATTTTTTTGGTCCGAATCGTGATCCAGTCCTGCGCCTTTTGCAGAGCTCCAGTTTTCTCCCCGAGCAAGTCAAAGTCACCGGACGATGGACCTCACGCACCATGAGTTTTACTGCACCTAAGGCATTGAGTTCGAATGGAAATACGCCAAAAAGAGACATCACGACGGAACAAAGACCAATTTGATCACCTTGCAGACAGCCAATGACAAGGATGACGAAAAAGAAACTCGATGAATTGCGCAGCTTGTTCGCAACAGGGGAACGTGCACGCCGGGTACGAGTAAGTGTACGGCTGACAATGGTGGAGAACTTCAGATCGATGACTGAGCGCTGAATGGGTTTGAGCTGGATGAGCCGATCGTAGTGGCGACGTGTCTGATGATGCTCAAGCGAGAGATTGACCGACGCAGAATGATCCAATGCGCAGTGATTGGAGGAGGTACTGGGGGCTAAGAGATTTGGATTTCCTTTCTATTCTACCGGATTTTGATTTCTTTGTTTCCCCACAACGGCTTTTCTATTTCTCTATCTTTTTATATAGTCTATGGAAGATGCGGGGAAGGCCAGCCCGTTCCGCATCGATTCCCGACTCAATTGCACACCAATTGAGCTTCAACTTTGCAGATCCGTCCTTGTCTCTCACTTGCGCTCGCTCAATAACTCCGCTATGTGTCCGTTTAGCCAGTACCCGTCCAATGCATCCGACGACATCTGCTTTGCACCGGATATCCAGCCTCTACACTCCTCAGCCCCGCAGGTGCATGTGAATGGTTGATCCATATCCCACTCCGTGCTGGGATAGAAGAAGGTGAGGGCATCGCCCTTCTTCAATGGCTTGTCGTCGACGACGCGCACTTCCATGCGGGCCATGTCGAAGACCAGACTGGGAGCGCATGAATGGTTGCAGTACACCACTGTGGAACACGTCAGCCAACAAACCCTGACAATCCTGACAATCGAGGCTCCGCAAAGTGCTTACGGTCAGAGTTCAATTCGATGTGCGAGTCGCGTCCCGTCTGCACACTGGTGTAGGCCTTCTTGCCGGGCGTGGTACCCGTGATCTTGGCAAAGAGTGCGCCGGCGGGCAGATCGACGAGGGATACGGCACCGCTGCCAAATGCTTTGGCGCTGCGATTGACGTGGAGGCGATCGGAATGAGTCGGAGCGGGGGCGTCGCTGCGGAGCGCAGGGATGACGGGGATGGGATCGACGGAGGGCGCCATGGTGCGGGTGGTGGTCAATTGGTGAGGTGAAATGTCAACCGTCGGTAGGAGAGGTCAATTGGCTCTTATAAACAATACGAACTTTCCCTTCAACCGAGGAATGGGTGGAGCGGCCAAAGAGAATGTCGTTCTCCTCGGATTGGGGTAGGCCGAGGCCAAAAGGTCGGAATGACGCCAGCGCCGCGGAGAGACGAGCCTAAACGCGACTAACCACAGTCACTAAGGCATCGGGTTCCATCGTGGAGATGACGCTAGGAACCTTCCATGTAGCGGTCGATCGGCCTAGCGGGTGCACAGTACCATGAAAGCGTGTCCCGGTGAATCCACTTTCCGCCCGCAATGGAAAGATATCCGTTTTGCATGTGCTCGCAGTCTCAGCCGTGTGATGAAGGGAGTAAATGGCTTCAGAAGGAGGGAGGGGCACGGTGATCGATAGCAGTTGCATTTTATATCCGTAAAGTAGCTGGTATTGCCATGGCATGTGAATGTGGCTCTATCCGATCCAGACGGGCTTAATCCATCTTCCGTGATAGCTCTTGCCCATTTAACCACCTCTCCAGATTCTCGGCCACCTCTCGATACCATCCATGTAGCAGATCCTCCTCTCCATATCCCATATGCGGTGACAAGAGCACCTCCGAGCGTCCGTCCCGGCCCCAAGCGGTCGTGCGCCACGGACTATTCAATGGTAACGGCTCCGGATCGAACACGTCCAGTGCAGCCCCTCGAATGCGCCCCGCATTCAGGGCTTCCAATAGAGATAACTCGTCAATCAGCGGCCCGCGCGAGGTATTGACGATCATGGCGTTGGGATTCATGGTGGCCAGTTCGGGCGCAGAGACAATACCACGGCTGCGCTCAGAAAGAACATTGTGCACACTCACAACGTCCGCGTTGGCAAAAAAGTCCGACTTGGACGGGGACACTACGAAGCTGCCGGCGGGCAAGCCCTGGGCCTGGGCCTGCTCGTCGGCCTTGTCCTGCGTCAAATTGGCCGACCAGGCGGTCACGTTCATACCAAATGCCTGGATGGCAATCTTGCCCACCTGGGAGCCCAATTTGCCGAGTCCTAATAATGCTAGAGTCTTGCCGGACAAATTGATTCCCAGAGAACCCTGCCAGTCACCCCGTTTCACCGCGGCGTCATCCCGCGCGACGTGCCGTGCCAACCCCAGGATCAACGCCCAGGTATGCTGGACGGTGCTGTTCACACCGGGCGGACGGCCATCGGTTCCAGCTACGGGGATCCCTCGCTCTGCAAACGCCGGCAAATCCAGCGAGAGGTTTCGCGTGCCGGTGGTCAAGAGCAATTTCAGGTTCGGGAGGGCAGCCACGGTTTGTGCGGAGAAGGGAGTGCGCTCGCGCATAGCGAGCACCACGTCGAAGGGCAGGAGCCGTTGAACAAGAGCGTCGTGCTGTGCGGGATCGCGGGGATCGAGGGTCTCGGGGAAGCTGGAGATGTCGACGCGCGACTCCAGGTGGGCGAAATGCGGGGGGCGATGCCCTGGTAGTCGTCCAGGATGGCCAATCTGGGCTTTGGCGTCATGGTGGAGGGTAGTCAGTAAACCAGTAAACGATAGGAAAGTTAGGAATCCAAGCTTTCCTTCCACGGACGGGGAGCTTCATCTCCGGCACCGTCCAGGGTCGCGGGGTGATTATGGCTCGGTTGTGTCATTTGCCGCGGATTCCGTTCTGCGAGTGGGGTTGTGGAGTATCACAGACATGCCCATGGGCTTTGAAGACACCGAAAGAGTGCTACGAGCACCGTCCAGGTCGGTGAGCCTGGCAATAATATCTCGAATGAATCGATAGGCGATCGCATGGATCATGTATTTGCTACTGGACTATCCGAATGCCGATTATTCAACCGTTCTCACTCCCAGGCCGACATCTAAATAGGTCTCGCAAAGGCGGACTATTGAGGAACCGGATCTCTAATCATGATCGTAAATGTATCCCGGCCCCGCCCTCCGAATCGTGCGCGATCCAAGATCATCTCCTCGACGGGTCTCCATCCATACTTGAGATATAGCGGAAGACCTTCAGGCGTGGCCTCCAAGTACAGCCGGCGACCCCATGCATCGGCCTTTGACGTGCCCCAACTGAGCACGGCAGACCCGATTCCACGCCCTTGGCGGACCGGTAGAGTGGCCAGCAGGTCCAACACTAATTCAGTCAGCCTTTGAACTGCAACATGAAAGATGGCCACTCACCCATATCTTGATCCGTGGTATGTTTCTTGCGATAACCCTCCAGTAGACTGCGGAACTCGGCATAAAGAGCTTCGTTCATGGGCCGTGGGGAAAAACGGATAGGATCTTGAGCGAACACGAGTGCCTGTTCACTCAGAGCCGGTTGACTGGCCGCAAAGTCCACCGATGCTGGAATCAACCAGCGACCGTAGCCAACAATCTCTCCATTGGCGGGATCGGTGACCTTGAGAACATGCATTTGCGGGTTGGCCAGATGTTTCGTGGCGTAGATCGCTTTGTAGTCCGTCAGCCTAGCTTCATTGGCCTCCGGGAAGACATCGTTGAGAATTCCCTGGCCCCGGAAGCTCTCGATATTGATCCTTGCGAGGGCAGGGGCATCTGCCTCGGTGGCATATTCAATCTGGTACGCCATGGTATAGGAGTTGAGAAGAGAGATCGAAATGTCCGGGAGTGTGTATGGATTTGACTCATATCGGAGCGGAGTCTAAGAGTAGTTTAGCCCTCCCCCACGCCATGTCCCCACAACTGGAGGACGGAATGCCAGTAAATTTGCCAGCCGGTGTCACCAAATCCCCGAATAGCAATTCATAGTTCGCTCATGCTAGCCTCAAGCCGCCAGTCGCGATTCTCCATGATATTCGGCGTCATCTTCGTATCAGCGTCTCTGCTCTTATCACAATGTCAATTCAAACGGCAGTCTTTGTTATGCCACGGCTTGCTACCATTGTCGGCCTTGACCCGGCATGCGCAGCTGATGATTTGCGTTCGAACTGAACAGCGAATCCCGAGAAGATAAACTCCGCGTTGAACGCGACGCGGCTCTTGCGGACCTAAGGGCCCGGATTTAAAGGTCACCTGCGGAGATAAACGTCATGGACTGCGATGCAGCGTCAACCCGGGTTATTACGAAGGGGGGCTATATAATCCTATATAATCCTGGGGTAGCATCGATTCTACTTTATAGTTTCTAATAATAAAGCGATTCGGAGACCCTTTATATAAGACCACCTTGAATCTCCCATTGAATCTCCATTGAAAGTCCGTTCAAGTTCCTCGTCTACCATCAACCATGAGCAAACTTCTCGTCGTCTTCGGTGCCACAGGCCAGCAGGGCGGCTCCGTAATCGACACCGTTCTGAACGACCCAGAGCTCTCGAAAGAATACTCGGTGCGCGCAATCACTCGAGATCCGACGCGCCCAGCAGCCCTGGGCCTGCAAAACCGAGGTGTGGAAGTCATCAAGGGTGATGTGGATGACCCCAAGTCACTCTCGGCGGCCCTCGCCCAGGCTCACACCGTTTTCCTCGTTACAACCACGATTTATGATGACCACCTCAAGAGCCGCGAGTTTCGCCAGACCAAAGATGTGGCCGATACAGCCGTCGCCGCCGGAGCCCAGTATATCATATACAGCTCGTGCGTGGCTGCTGAAAGCCTCTGGGGAAGATCAGTCCCCGCATTTGATTCGAAGGCAGCTTCAGAAGCTTACATCCGAACTTTGCCCGTGAAAAGTGCCTTTTTTCTCCCCGGCATGTTTATGCAAAACTTTCTCACGAACCAAAGTCCGCGGCCGTTGTCCCAGGAAGGTGACGAGACCACCTACGCCATTGCCAATTTCATCTCCCCAGATGCGCGCATGCCACTGATCGAAACCGTCAAGGATGGCGGCAAGTACGTGGGTGCCATTCTTGCCAATCCTGACAAGTATGCCGGAAATAATTTCTTCGCCGCGACGGAGTTGCATAGCTACCGCGAGGCTGCTGAAATTATCACCCGTGTCACCGGAAAGAAAACCGTCTATGTGCAGATGTCCCTTGAGCAATGGGTCAGCTATCTGCCCCCAGGATACGATAAAGCCATGACGGAAATGATGCGCTGGATCGAGAGCCCGGGATATTTTGGGCCTCGGACCAAGGAGGACGTCGAGTGGACGGTGCAGCAGGTAAAAGAAAAGCTGACCACGTTCGGGGAATTCGTGAAGGCACATGCTACCGACCTGTTCCAGCAGTGAAAAAAGAACAAAAACGAAACCTGCTCTTCAGCAAGTTGATCTATTGTGGGAACGGCATCTCATGTCTTTCTTTCCTTTGTTAGCATTCAACATTTAGGGTTAACCCTTGGAGTTGTATTAAAATCATCTTAAAAATTTGCGACAAGTTCCCGAAACTTTGAATGTCGTTCTGGAGGATATTGATATTACTTTTGAAATCAATGCAACTTGGCTGGGTGCGCCCGGCTCACGCAAGAGAATGCAATAATCATGGCGAATCGTATTGAGACCGAGGTATATAGATCAAGGTGGATGAAAAGGAATCTTCCACGACACTATGGAAACGATTGAGGATGCTGGACCACAGAGCTCAAGTGAGATACCTGAAAGATACCATTGACTTGGTGGGCCAGGCCGCATCGATCGTATCTCGCATTTGGATCCGGCCTTGGGATTTTGAGAAGAACCACCTTTGTTGGTCTCAGCAAGGGTCAAAATTGATGAATCGTTCTGTAACATCAAGGCGGAGTATGAATAGCAAATTGAATCGTGCGAATTCCACGATTGTTTTCTGATCGATGAGATGCAGCTGCTAGATTTCTTACCTATCTCCGATCAGGAAACACGTACACGATGTTCCGGTGTGATGGCGTTAACTTTGACAGATGTGGCCCAATTGTCAATCCTTCTGCTGGTTCGATCTCGAAATGTCATTTGCTTGGTGCAACAAGACTAACAAAATATGTGAAGATCATAGTGACAACTGCGGCTATGAGGCAAAATGTAGTTTGGTACAAGGGACCCCTTGGTTCGTTTGTTTGTCTTCTCAAGCAGAAAATACAAAGATGATTTTCTTCACTCTACTTGCTTTGAATCGTTTGACCACGAGGGCAATTCTAATAAATAATCCTCACGAAGTGTCTGCTTTATGACTATGTCATTGCCGGTGGAGGGCTCACTGGCCACACGATGGCTGCGCAGTTAACAGGAAACGAGAGAATATCAGTCCCGGTGATTGAAAGTGGCTTCTTCCAGTCAGGCCGAGGTCCAATCGTGGAAGATTTCAACTCATTCGGTCAAGCCTTTGGGGGCCTCTCTCGACCACGCCTTTCAAACCATATCCCTGGATATCAACGGGCGTCCATCGACCATTCACTCAGGAAACGGTCCGGGTGGCTCGACTCTTATCAACGGAGCATCATATACAAGTCCCTCCAAAGTCCAGATTGAGTCGTGGGAGTCACACCTAGGGAATGCCGGATGGAATTGGAATAACATTTCTTCGTACATTCGGCGGAATACACGGACTCGTCCGCCAACAAACCAGCAAATCGAAGCTGGTCATTTTTTTGACCCTGAATGCCACGGCCAAGATGCCGGAGACTTGCATGTTGGACCACGAGATGAGGGAGGCCAATACTCACCCCTTATTCAGCAACTGATGGACATAGTGCATAGAAGCGGTGCTCCCACAAGAAGAGATCTGAGCTGCGGGAATCCTCGAGGTGTCTCCATGTTTCTAAATACGCTAAATAAAAATGGGACCTGCTCCGACGCTGGTAGGGAATACTTACTTCCTCGTTGGGCACGCTCGAAATTATTGGTGCTCGTCGGCCAAAAGGTTGGGAGAGTATTGATCAATCAAAATGTATCGCCTTCATCCGCACGAGGAGTTGAGTTTGGAAGTGAAGGCCAGAGGTACCAGGTACATGCCAAACATGAAGTCCTCTTGGCTGCCGGTGCTCTCGTCACGCCTCTTATCTTAGAGTACTCCGGTATTGGACTGACCGAGGTAAGAAGCCTGGAACTCATGAGTGGTAGCAGAGATGTGCTAAATTTAGGAAGGTTCTCTCGGCCGCTGGGGTTCCTCAGATAGTCGATCGTCCTGTTGGACTCAATCTCCAAGACCAAACCACCACTACTGTCGTGGCAGATATTCACTCGGATGGTGCAGGCCAAGGCCAAGCTGCATACTTTGCGACACTCGATGAGTTATTCAATGCACAGGAAAATGAGACCGCCCGTGGACTCTTGCATTCTCAATTGAATCAATGGGCTGATGATGCTGTCACTGGGGGAGGGGGTTCCAACCAAACTGCCCTGAAAACCCAATTGGAGCTTTATCGCCACTGGATCCTGAATGATAATGTTGCATTTGCTGAGCTTTTCATGAACGTGCAACCGAAGGGCTCCGTCAGCTTCAGCTCCTGGATATTGCTATCCTTCACCCGAGGCTTTTTACACTTGAGAATCTATCAATTATATAGACATCCTACTCGCGAATGGCACTAACGGATCAATTCCGAATAGATTGTGGACAAAGACCCCTTCTTATGGAAAGTGACCAGAAACCCACGTCACTTAGAAAATGATCTAGACAGTCTTGCGCAGGCAGCGGCATCTCAACTAGCACGAAATCTTCTCCGCGCGATGCATCCGTTTGTTTCAACGGAAACCCTTCCTGGATCGCTGGTCCCGGATAACGCTACAACCGACGAGTGGATCTCCTATGTCGCCCAGGATTTCCAGCCAAACTTCCATGTCATCGGAACATGCGCAATGATGGCGAAAGAGCTGGGAGGAGTCGTGGACCCCTCTGGTCGTGTATATGGGGTGAAAAACCTTCTTGTGATTGATGCGTCCATTGTCCCGACCCAGGTCTCTGCTCATACATCTGCCTTACTTTACGGAGTTGCACAAAAGCTCTCGGATCTGATTCTCGCTGATTACCATAGAAACCCAGACCGCATGACATAGATGCTGGTCCGGGATATGAGCTTTGGGAGTACAATGGCGGCGAGACACGGGCATACTTTCGATGGACTACTTGAGTTTCTATATTCCAGTCCTGGAGAGCCGACGGATTTCCTCATGCGTCAGTGGCTATCCTATTCGACTGCCATAATAACCTCCTTTTGTAGTAAAGTGCCCGTTCGGAGTCGAGCGGAAATAAGCGGACCAGGCTCGTTCGAGTTTATCGAGCTCGAAACATTGAGTTTTGTCGAAGCTATGGGTTTTGCACACGGGATTGGGACTCTAGGTGCTATCCCCAGCATCAGAATGACTGTAAGAGATTCGTTTCTTGAAAGTGACTAGTAGTCAGCGATCTGAACACAGATACAATTTCTCTTTGTGTGAGGTTTTCTAACCTGTTCCTTTCATGCTGCCTAGGCTAGAAGTAAATAACAGCCATTTTCGGTAAGTAAAGCGGTGTGTCTAGCCTCCGGCATCGTCTGCATGTGGATGTATCAGATGGATCTTGTCTTTAGTCGTGTCCAATTTTTCATGCACGGCACGCATCTTCCGTTTGGTCAAGCCATATCCCTCGACCCCAGCGAGGACGGCATAGGACTTGCTGATAGAAACCCGGGACAAGTCTACTCCCCGTTCTTGAAGGGAATGGTGAAAAGCACGAAAATTAGAAATGTGAGGGCGGTAATGACCACTGGAATGGACGTATCAGCCTTGATATTTTCGAAGCAGCAAATTGCAGTGAAAAAGAAAGCCAGCTTATACCTTAAAGGAGACAGACTGCGCAGTTGCCCTTTGCGAATTTTGAGCATTCCGGCTGCCGAGATACGTTTCCCCATTAGAAAGGACGAGTGTTGAAAAGCACCAGGGTCTTTGATGCCAACGTATATACGGAAGGACGTATCGGCGACCTAGAAAAGGGTTAGGCAAGACTTTACGGAAGAAATAGGAGATTTCTGGACTCACGAATATCCACATGCCTTTCTTGACGGACAGACTGCCCGCAAATCGGTCATAAATCGCCGCAGGGTCGACACGTGAAGACTTCTTGACGTCCTTTTCCAGTTCATAGTCTTCCTGTGTCGAAGGAGTTTGGTCTCCATTGCTTTCATTGACATTATGCTCTGGCAAAGGCGAGGATCGCGATGAGGTCGAGTCGGGTTCGGATGGTGTTTTTTCAGAATTCCCTCCAAAACGAGGCGCATCATCTTCAACAGGAACTACGCCGTGAACGCTGTCCCTGAACCGTTTGTCATCCGTGTCGACCAACTCGTTGTTTTTTGCCCACCGGAACAAGCCTACCTCATGTTGATAGACTCAATCAGCTTCAGCTTCATCTTCGTTTCAAGATGGTCTTACCAGCACCGTCTACCTTGACCAAATACTGTTGTCTCTCGCCCGACGAGAGATATCTCACCTGATCTCTCTCCAGGAGTTCACGTGAGACCCGTTGATGCTCAACATCCCTTCCTTCTCCCAGGTCCAGCCAGTAAAAGAAGTTCTCACGCGAGGGAGAGGATTTCCAGAGAGTATGATAGGCGCGTAGATTGCTGCCATGCCGATGTTTGGTATCCACCATTTCCAAGAAGTATTCCAGATCCATCATCTTGGGTGTCGACTCGTGCAATACCTCAGAGTGATAATTTAGCTCCTCTTTCTCTGGATGGTCGTTGTCGCTGGCTTGTATGGCAACATTGACAGCTCGGTGCCAGTTTTGGCGAGCTGGCCTAGGGCTTTCATCAGCGGAGTGCGGGGTGCATCTCTCAGAGGCATCTTGTGGGTTTTCCTGGGGTCGTGGAGTGTGCTATAGAAAGGCCAACGATTAGTTTTAAGTAACGAGGAAGTATCGCGGGGTCTTTACCTCGAGTCGTCGCAGACCAAGCCCTCTGAGTTCTCTTCGAGCGCGATATCCACGAAACGTTCGCTAGATTCATGATCAGAATGGCTTATCAACAAAGCGCCATTCCGAACCTCGTACCTGGATTGTGCGGGCGGCGCGATCTGAAGCCAAACAAACCGTGACGTCATTCGCATCGCGAGGTACACGAGCCATCTCACCGGTGGGCGAGTCTCGCTCGCCAGACTGGATGGACCCGGTCATGTTGCAAGAGATGAAAACTATGGAGGCCACGGGAGTGCCATGTATTGTCCATGCCAAGTTGTCTGGTCCATCGATTGAATGTGGGATTCCAAGTTTCAACGATGAGTCCTCACGTGTACTTGGCAGCCTTGTTTCAGCGGCTGCCCATCATCACTTCGAAGGTCCCCAAAGGTAGGACCTTGCGGGTGCGTCGTATATATCACGCTTGTCCCGCTCACGTCTTTCATCTTTCATGATTCTTCCGCATTTTCGCCATGAATTTCACAGGCAACTATCTGCCCCCGTCCCCGTGGACTAGACACCATGACCTTGTCAACTTGCCTTGACGGGTTCTCACAGGGCACGTCATCTGGAATGTTCTTTCGTTTCTATCAGGACGATCCTCCGCCCAAATTGCAATCGCAAGTCCGCGACAATCAGTTGGAGAAGCGCCCCGCGCGAGTTGGATTTAATTTCCCGTTACGACCTCAGCGCAGAAGGTTGCCCCTTTCAGATGGGCCCCACTCCCGATGCACAGTTGCGATAGAGTCTTTCGGGTCCTGGGCCCGGGCCCCGTGAGATCACGGAAGCTCGTCCGTGAACTCCGTCCCCCTCATGCGGGGAAAGTGAGTTGAGGCAATGGAGCAGAGTTGCGGTCTTGCGACAATCGCTATATATGGGGTGGTTGAAATGATTCTGTCTTTCAATCAATCCACTATATCTTGATCTAGCGATTCAATTCACAAAAATCAACCATGCCTTCAATTCATCCTCTCATCGATAACGGTATCACCAAAGGGGACCCCAATTTCCCCGGTGGCACTCTGCACTGCCGCTGTCCCTCTGACCAAGTCGTTGTCGGTCTCAAGAGCAACGTCGCCCACAACCATGCCTGCGGTTGCTCCAAGTGCTGGAAGCCCGCCGGGGCGCTCTTCTCCATTGTCGGTGTCGTTCCTCGTGACAACCTGAGCGTCCAGGCAAACGAGTCGAAGCTTGCAATCGTCGATTCCTCCGCAATCATCCAGCGCCATGCTTGTATTAATTGCGGTGTCCATATGTTCGGCCGGATTGAAAAGCCTCATGCTTTCCATGGACTCGATTTTGTCCACGTCGAGCTTTCGGACCAGAAGGGATGGCAGGAGCCCCAATTTGCAGGTTTCGTCTCTTCTATCATTGAGCAAGGCTTCGATCCCAAGGTACGTTCTAGCTGCCGTGAATCTTTTACTCTGCTAACGTGTTTGGTAGGGAATGGATGAGATTCGATCGAAGTTCAAGTCCGCCGGTCTGGATACCTTCGATGCTTTGTCGCCACCCCTGATGGACCTGATCGCCACTTTCACCGCGCAGAAGGCCGGCGTGAAGTTCTCCAACCTGTAAGGAGGATGCTTTGGAGAGCCAACGAGTTTCTTGTGTTGGCATGTATATCATAAAGTCCTAAGTTGAGAAGGCGTGGCAAATTAGGGTCTGTTTCGACCCTTTTTGTCTTCGACTTTCCCTTCGGCGAAACGAATGAGCAGTCATGATCATCTAGAACTTTTCCAGTCATCAACGTATTTTCTCGTCGTCTATTGCATTTTCCGAAGATTATCTCCTGCTCCCCCCCCCCACCGGTGACTTATACATGTTTGGAACGCCTTCGCCAGATTGTCGTTCCTGTATCGTTAGCCAGTGCTACGGTGCCGTGGCTACAAGAGCAGAGGGTGGAACGGAATCATCATCGATGGAGATCCTGAATTTCTTCGATATTCGGACCCGCGAGAATCTTATAGCACTAGCTGCAAGCTCTAATCAACGGGCCCGCTAGATAAGGTATCGCCTCTGTATCATTTGCAGCTCCTAAAATCCGGTCCACATTTCTCGCTCTTTCACCACTTTAAACCTCACCACTACGGGGCTTTCTTCACTCCGTCTGTTTGGACTCCCTACATGATTCCATACAGGACAGGCTTGATCGCCGGTTCGAGCGGATGGTTAAGTAAAAGACCATAATGGAAACTGATAAGCGCGATTCCGAGGCCACCGTCCACCGCGTAGAGCAAAGTCGACCGGATCATGGGAGACTACGATACTGTCAAGACTATGATGCAGATAATTGGCCGCAGTATGACTTTTGACGAACCGGGGCCCATTTATCACCTCCGGCCTTCTTGTCGTGTCCCCCTGTTTTGTGACCAACAGCATCTTCTTCCATTTACGCCCTTTTCTATTTCTCGGGAGACCTCGTCATCTAGCTTTAGTGTCATTCCGGATACTACTGATTGCTCCAGTCTTGGTATGAAAGGGATTCAAAATAGCCATTCTCGACAGTAACCATTACTGTTTTTAGTTCATCAAACAGGACCATCTGGCAGCACACCGTAGGTGGAAATAATGAAATACACAAGATCATGGAAGTCAAGACCACGAGAAATTCTGCCCGTTCCTCGCACTGCTCTCTGTACATTCATACCAGCCTGCATGAGTTTACCCTGTCTGGGAAACGTAGATTCCAGCCTAGAACGGATCTCTATAGTATAAGAAACCAGCGTGAGTGGATGGAGGCGTGAACCAAGGGCGGTAACCGACGCGCCGAGGTAAAAGTTGCAACCCCCTCATTCGCATTCGACCTGCACACGAGCCGACACCTTCACAAGGCCAGATGGAATTTATTCAGTGTCCCAACATAAATCGACTATTTGTACGAGCTATAAAGTCCGAACCCGACACCCCGCAATTTTCCTAATTCATCCATCCATCACCGTTGCAATTTTACAAGGCAGCGAACATGGCAGAATCTTTACACTCCCAGCCTCCGAATTCGAAATATTTCCAATTGTCTTTTCCCAAACCCGGAGTGATTTTGGTTACCATTAACCGGGAGAAGCAGCGCAACTCATTGCCGTCGGATGCCCATTGGGACGGGCACAATCTCTTTACATGGTTTGATGAAGAGCCGACGCTGCTGGTCGCCGTGGTCACCGGCGCCGGGGAGAAAGCGTTCTGCGCCGGGCAGGACCTGGCTGAACAGAATTCGTCTCGTCGCGGACCCAAGACGGGCGCGCAATCGGCCGTCATGAACCATCCACCGACTGGGTTCATGGGCTTGAGCCAGCGCCGAGGAAAGAAGCCTGTTCTGGCTGCCGTAAATGGATTTGCGCTCGGGGGAGGTTTCGAAATCTGTCTCAACTGGTATGAAAAACCATGACGATCTGTTGGCTTGGTTCGCAAACGTATTAATTCTTACAGTGACATGGTGGTGGCATCCCCTGAAGCCCAGTTTGGGTTGCCCGAAGTCGCCGTTGGACTATACGCCGCGGCGGGCGGTCTTCCCCGTGTGATGCGCATCGTGGGCCTTCAACTTGCATCCGAGATTGCCATGACCGGACGTCGGCTGTCTGCTCAGGAAGCACTCGAGTACCGCTTAATTAATCGAGTCGCTAAGACTACGGGGTCCGTTGTTGACGAGTGCCTCGACCTAGCGGGTCGTATCTCTAGCTTTTCCCCCGACGGGATCATTGTCACGCGTCAAGGGCTTCGAGAAGCGTGGGAAAACCCAAGCGTGGAGCAGGCCACATCGCGAACCAGGCAGGAATATGTTAACAAGCTGGTTGCCGGCGAGAATTTCAAGATCGGCGTAGAGGCGTTTGCGCTCAAGACGCGACCGAAATGGGTTCCTTCCCGTCTGTGACGTAGAGACTGCCTCCTCTGAGACCGAGTCTTTGTATATAATAGTCACTATTCTATAGTTAAATATTGAGCATTGAATATACTGGACAACTGGCTTCTTTTTAGCTTTCGATTCGTTTTTTTCATTTTCTGCCCGCAATGGATCGGTCCCCGCCGACGCTGCCATATGATCCTCCAATTGCTGCTCGGGCCGAGGGTCAATTTCACGTCATTCACACGGCGCACATGCCTGTACCCCCTCTGCCAACCTATATACATTCCTGCCCTTGATAAAGCCTCGCATATCCTTTGATAAAGCCCATATATTACTCATTGCGACCAGAACAGAATGATTCCGGTAATTATTGGCGTTGCCGATATCAAAAATCGGTCAATTGCAGTTGACGATGCAAAAGAGCCGGCAACTCTAATGCTTGAGGCGATTGGCTCTGCCATTCAAGATGCCACTACCTCACGGGAATTTGCGGAGGCCATGCGATCTAGTATCGATAGTATCGACGTCGTTCGCACTTGGACTTGGCCCTATGCGGATCTGCCGGGACTCCTTTCGGAAAAACTTGGAGTTCAAACGAAGCATCGCGGCTACAGTGAACACGGCGGGAATCAACCGGCCAAACTTTTGGATGAAGCAGCTCGGCGAATCGCGACCGGTGAGAACAAAGTCGCCGTGTTGACTGGTGCGGAAGCCCTAGCTTCCTGTAAGAAGTCCTTCCGTTTCGTAGTTCACATACATTATACTGATGAAATAGTGGCCGCCTGTGTAAAACAGGGCAAGGTTCCACCTTCTGGATGGACCACGCCTGCAGAGTCGGTGAAGAGTGTTTTCTCGCCCACTACCAGGGAATTGAAAAAAGGTATGTGAGATTCAAAACGATGAGCGCTCTTCCCACTAAAGCATTGGAAACCTCTAGAAGATATCGGTGGTTTGCACTCTGTGGGCGCACCGATCCATATCTATCCGTTATACGAGAACGGGTTCCGGGCTCATCGTGGCCAGTCGATCAAGGACAATCATGAAGAGTCGACCGCTCTTTATGCCGACTTCAGTAAGGTCGCGGCTTCCAACCCTTATTCATGGAACCATGGCAACGGCACCGAAACGGCGCAGTCGATTGGAACGGTATCCAAGAAGAATCGCATGATTTGCTTCCCATGTAAGACCTTTCGAAAATGTTTTATCGGAGAGATATTGACAGACCCAATTAGATCCCCTTCTGATGAACGCCTTCAACACGGTAAACCTGGGGGCAGCTTGTATATTGACCTCGACGGAATTTGCAAAGCAGCTGCAGGTTCCGCGCGAGAAATGGATCTACCCACTTGGCGGTGCTGGATTCAAAGAGCGTGACTTATGTGCGTGAAATACGGACTCTGTTGACTGAAGGATCACTGACATGAAGCAGTTTGGGAACGCCCTAATTTCTTCGAAAGCTCGGCCATTTCGAATTCACTCGATCAGTGTCTTGGTGCCAGCGAGCTCACCGGGAATGAGATTGATGTCTATGATTTCTACTCGTGTTTCCCAATTGTGCCCAAGCTTGCCTGCCACCACCTCGGTATTTCAATCACCGAGCCAAAGAAACCTATTACGGTCCTTGGTGGCCTCACTTCCTTTGGAGGCGCTGGAAACAACTATTCGATGCATGTATGAATTTTACTTCCCGCATAAAGTCCGAATAACTCTAACCACCCATCACAGGCAATCACCGAGATGGTGCGCCGCCTACGTCAAGGAGCCGGACACAACGGTCTGATACTGGCTAACGGCGGATTCTTATCCTACCAACATGCGATCTGCATTTCAACCCAGCCTCGGAAAACCCCCGATTCTTATCCGGACAGCAGGGCGCTACACTCTGGGCCAGCGGATCCCATTCCTCCTATAGACTCAGAGGCAGAAGGCGAAGCGAAAATTGAGGTAAATCCGATCCTTTCGAGTCCTGATAGGAATAGAGCGAGTCACCTTTGCTAAAACCAGTCCAGACCTACACGGTTGAATTCAATCGAGATGGCAGCCCGGAGCAAGCGTACATTGTAGGACGCTTGACGGGGAGCAACCATCGCTTTTTGGCAAATCATGGAGATCAAATTACTTTGAAACGACTTGCATCGAGTTCCGAAGAGCCGATCGGCAAGGTTGGCACCGTGGTGCCTGATCCAACAGGGGAAAAGGGGCAAAGAAGAAACCTGTTCTATCTGAACGATAACTCGAGGCTGTAGTTCGACGCAATAGTTAGCATACTAAGCAGTTCATGAACTTCGCATTCATCACACGTGTTAGTACATTCAGGTATTTGAGATGCCTTTCAGTTAAGAAATGAAGATACACGAAGAATGAATAATACGAAGTCCATAATGGCGGCGCTTGCAGAGCCTCGAGATTAGCCCGCAAGCACATCCGCTACGACCTGTGTGATTTGGATCAACTCCTCATCGCGCATATTTCTGCCCACTAACTGCACGCAGCAAGGTGCGCCTTCCACCGCTTCAGCCGTGTCTGCAGAGTGAAATTGCGTTGTTAGTCTTTCTCAATCTGCCGCTCTAGTACTGTACCCAGGCATTGGAGGATATAATACATACAAGGAGGTCTGTAGTCCACATTGCGAATGAAGGCTGAATCGGCAGTCTTGTCTGCTTGGCCAAATGGTACGATGCACGCCGGGTACTGTGTAAACATGAGTGTTGAGTCTTCAAAACCCCTTTCCCAACCACTTACATCTAGCAGATTCCAGAGGACAGTATATGGCACAAAACCGAAAAGATCATGTGGTTGAGCAGTTCCTTGATATCCAGGCATGATGATAGCATCAATGCCCGCTTGCACGACGAGCGAGCGGAACTCCTCTTTGAATTTGTTTCGTTGCTCGTTCAAATCGTAGAGTCCCTCGAGAGTCAGCGGGGCATAGTCATATTGCATATATTCATGTGGAAGAGACGTCGAAGCCAGTGCCGGTATGGTAGGTTCTCCACTTGCAGCGATATGCCGAGACGCAGTGCCATCCGGGTCCATGGCAAACATGCGGAATGACAGAGCACAGGCGTCCTTGATAGACGGTGTGACCAGTGGAACGATCTCATGGCCCGCAGCCTGGAGCTTTTCTGTAGCTTGCTCCAAAGTGCGAAGGACCGGTGGGTGCAGTGGGAAATGAGGGTCTTCCCGAATAAAGCCCAATCGTAGCGACCCCGACTTGGTGGTGACAGCACGCCAGGGTGAATATATCACCGACGAATCAAATTGCCACGGATCAAAGTCGCTCACCAGCTTCATGAACATATTCAGGTCTCGAACGGAGGTCGCCAAGGGCCCAGCACATGCCCTAATGCCTGTCTTGCCCCCTCGGCCGGAGCTCGTCTGTCCAGCGTAAGGGACTCGGTCCGCCGAGGGGCGCAGTGCAAAGGTACCGTTGCAGATAGCGGGGATGCGGATAGACCCAGCAATATCCGTTCCAATACCCAGCACCGAGCCCCGCATCGCGATTAACGCCCCTTCTCCGCCAGAGGAGCCACCAGCCGTAAGATTGGAGCGATGGGGATTTAGAGTCCTCCCGAATACAAAGTTGTGCGAATCCGCGGCCTTGAAAAATTAGTATTCATAGATATTGAAGATTAAATGGGAGAGTTAAGTACCATCATGGTCTGTGGGATATTCGTTTTGACGTATGGGACTCCGCCAAGAGCCACAATGATCTCCACGAGTGCTGAATTCGACTTGATAGGCCCATTTTTGATGAATGAGGTAAACCCAATGGTGGTGGGAACACCTTCAATGTTGAAACAATCCTTTACGAAGGGTGAGTGGGAGCCCTGATCCTGCGGTATTCGCACATACCTTGAAGCTGATGGGCAGGCCATGGAGCGGTCCAACCGGTTGACCTGTTTTTTGCAAATTTTCGTCCAAATCTTTGGCTCGCTGGAGAGCGAGGTCGAAGAATGTCTCTGTGAGGCATCGGGTCTATACGTTGTTGTCAGGACATGCGCCATATTTTACGGTTTCATTAAGAAGTGATACCACTTGCTGCGCAATGGCTGCACGGATGCAAAATGCCTCGGTGACTTCATAGGCAGACAGCTTCCCGCGATGGATACTCTCTAGCAGGGATGTGGCGTCATAGCTTTCGGTAATCTCCAGTTGCTTAGCAGTGAGGAGACCACAACGTCGCGGAACATCGAGGACATTGGCTCCGGCGGTTTCAGAGATGTTGGTGTATTCAGTGGGAAGACGCCACGTGCCAGGGATTTTGGCAGCAGCATTTGCCTGCTTTATCTGCACCAGCGACTCCCAAGATTCAGTTGCCATGATATGTATGGATAAACAAGGAAGATATATGGATGAAGGGCGAAATGTGGAGGTAAAGAAAGGATGCGAATGAGTTAAGCGGGGGACGAGCTATCTATGCCACTGTTCACAAGAACTTGGGGACGATCCATAAGCGAGGATATGGCCGTTGACTATGAGGAGCAAGTCCATGCGCAACGAGCAGTCTTCTCATTGCTGTGCTCCGATTTCCTGTTTCCCCGCGAATCTCTTATCGGGGCTCGTCCGGGCCAATCACAGCTAATTTCGCGCTCCCCATTCGATACCCACTTAACCATCAGGTATCCTGATGAAGTATTGGAGTATACTTTCCAAGGTTATAGGTATTTCTAAGAGAACGTTCTACCTGTCTAATCGATAATACCTAAGAGTTGGAACGTCTACACCTTCCTAGCTTAGACCGCGGTGAATTAGCAATCTGCTACAGTATTCAATAAGGTACCTAGGGGTAGATAATCTTATTTGTCCTCGTGCCCGCTTCCACAAACCAGCCTTCGGCAAACACAGCTGCCATCCAGTCCGGTTCCCTGCCCTCCGTTTCCGAACCCTCCGATCTATTCCCGAATACTGCGTAAACATACGCTTCATATTCGGCACGGTCTCTCGCTTATCTCTCCCAATTTGAATAACTTGAATAGCATCATCTCTATGTTTTGATCCTTTCATCCTTTGATCATTTGTTCTGTTGATCTGTGTTGCGTCCTCGCTCGAGGAGGGGGTTGATGACCTACAGGATCATACGACTCCCTTGTGCTCTACATGAATCTCCTTACCCCACGGGGGAATCGACAAGACGGCCGCGGCCGAAGCATTTGTGACGTGGGCCAAGGCACTCCCACAGACAGACATCACCATCTACTCGGACGGCTCCGAGCAGAACCTCGCGGGATATCGGCGCGTTGGCTATGGCTACGCCGCATACAAGGCCGGCGAGCAGCTACACACTAGACACAGGACTATCATCAGTATATCATATCTTCGACGCGGAGGCGGTCGGCGCCTAGAAGGGCCTCAGGCTGTCCCCGAGGCAACGTATCAAGAAATCGCAAAGAAGATGCGCGAAGAGAGCTTCAAGCTTTTCCTCATTGGTCTTGTAAGTTTACCAGACATGTTTGATAAGCGAAGCGAGACACTCAATGCTAATACCGACCATAGGAAAAGATCAACGCCGAAGTCATCAGCTTGATTGACCTGCAGGGAAATTTGGACCGTGAGTACGCGGTCGGCTTTTTCTTCGGCAACAAACCGAGTCGAAGCAGCCTTAAGTCTCGTTGGCCTGAGAATGACATATCCTCTCCCTTGACACCCTCGGCAACGGCCGAGCAAACGGACCAGCACCGCGTATCTAGCTCTGTATCGATAGCACCTCCGTCATCTAGGGTATCCGCGGTGATACCTCTACCACCTCGCAGTGGGCCTTCCTAAAGTGTCAGGAGGCGATAGCCCGATACGATATCCGGCTCAAATAGGCCCCCGGCCATATAGGCATCGAAGGCAACAAGGCGGCCGACACTCGCGGACGAGGGCGCCCGCTATACGCCGTCGAGCGACGGCCTAGAAGTATCGCCAATAATCAGTGACATTCGATCCATCTACTGCACCCTACGCAACTAGGCATAGGAAGAATAGTGGGCCAAGGCCTCCACCAAGCTCTCTCGCTAGTACAAATCCCAGGGCCACGACGAATACGAGATCAAGCCCCATCCCGAGCTTAAACTACAACACCCTGTCCTCTATCGATGGCTCGCCCTTCGATCCTCCCACGGGGACTTCGACTAATACCACAGGCGGTACCACCACGATAAAGTCAAATTGACTTGCTCCTATGGAAGGAACAAAAGCCCGGAGCACCTCGCCTTCTGCTCCAGGGCTCAGCGAACGCTCTACCACTAGCCACAACGCCCGCCTCAGGTCGGTATGAGGCACTAGATTACCTCCGGTCCCTCCAGCCTGGCGAGTTCGCGGAGTGGCTACGGGTCACGGGGTTCTACGCCAAGACCTGCACGCTGGATCGATCAAATCCGAGAAGCATTTCGAATCTCCGGTCTTGGCGATTGACGATGATCAAATGTGGAGCTTTCACAAGCCTACCGTAAAAATACATCGTGCTATTCCACCGCCATTTCAGTCCACTGGCGCCCCAACTCTTGCCGTATCCACGCGGTTCGCCAGCCCAACACCTTTTCTACGCGACAGAGAAAACTTAGCGATCCCTGTTGTTCTACCGGGTTCCGCAGAAGATGGCCATCTGAATGATCCGTCAGCAAACTCCCCCAACCGATCGGAGCAGAACGAACAGCGGTGAAGGAGGTGGCAGGCCATAAAGTATGCATTATGCACATTCTCGTTCGATAAAGAGAGACCGATGACCGTTGCAACGTGGGTGGCAATGGTTCTCTGGATAATGCCTGTCAGCCATCAAGTCGTGCAAATCATGCTTCAAACACAAATCACCTCGGCTTGGTGCCGGAATCGGACTCTTGCGTAATCGTTCATTGGAAGAGACTGGGGATCGGTCAACGTGAGGAAGATGCGAGCCGTATGGTAGTATTGCATCCCGACTACTGGATACCGTCGTCAGTCGCGTCACCGTCTCCTCAGGGATGGTTGGAATACAAACCAGCGGGGGCCGACATCATCCATATTTCAGGAAAGGGTCGGTTCGCGGCTACATCGGGTACCTGATATCGAATGGGTTGCCAGGTCATTGGCTTTTTGCCATGCCACTCGTCTACGGCTCCGGCCACCCGGTGCCAGGCACTTCCTTCGACCGTCTGTTCGGGGAAATGTCGGCACAGCTGAATGATATGCGCGCAATGGAAAATGATCATGTTGGCAAATGCTGCATCGTCGTCGCGTTGGAACATGGATGACCGCTCATAGTTCCGCAAGTCCAACTGAAAGTGCTGATACTGCACGATCGACGCATAAATGGCCTGACGCAGGAACTGCCAGCTGACAGCCTCGGCCATCCCGCCCGATGAGGCAGAGCGAGACATGAGATTGATGAGGCGGCTGGATCCCAGGAGGTGAAACTTTTCATCCGTGTTGTTTTCTAGCTCCTCGTAGATACGCAGGATAACCACCGTCAGCAGGAGGTTCTCGTCGTAGGCGTGCTCGGGCCGATCGAGTGCCGTGATGAGCAGCTCCAAGCACTGCCCATGATAGGAGGAGGCCTCCCAGTCGCTCGTCATATTTAGAATGGCATCGTGTCGCGCCGCGAGTGCCAGAACCGCCTTCAATACCATGGGGACTTCCATTGCATGGCGAGGTACGACTGTGCTAAAGTGTGACTGAGGGTCACATATATCCGCCTATATTTTTATTTAGATTGCGAACTTCTCCCGCCCCAGTCTAATGGGAATTACTCACCCACGGTGCGATCTTCTGGATAAAACATCGAATCAGAGACGCCTCTCTCAGCGACAACTGCGGTGCTTTCTCCGGGCAGGGTGCTAGTGGGCTTCTTGTATTGGGCAGCTCTAGTGCATGCTTGTTGGAACTATACGAGCCGTCCCCGGAGGTGACTTCTGACTGCGTCTCCCGACGTTGGCCGGGGGAGTCGTTTGGGGCCAAGATTTTAGCTGTACTTGGGAGATCCTTTTCATGAACGAGGTCATCTCCTTCCCACTCGTCCGAGGCCTCGTTTATAAATGTCACTAAGGATGATCATCAGCACATGGAGCTGAACGCGAAGGCAAACCAGACATACCGGGCCGTGACACATCCACCCAGACCTGCTCCTGGCCCCAGACGAAGTCGAAACGGGCGGACGAGCCGTTGATCTTCTGATAGACATGGTGCACAGCCTTGAACTGAAAGCGCGGGTCGAGATGACATACTCGGCCTAGGCGCGCGCACGGGGTGCAGGCAGAGGCCCCCGCGGGGATCACACAGCGGATATGGCGATGGCGACACCGATCACAGCCTTTGCCCACTCTCATGAGGGGAATCTAGTGATGCTATCATTCTCGCCGACTGCACAACATGGAGAGGGTTTCCCCGCATTGCGCTGACTCAGCCCTAGAAAGTGGGTGGGAAATCAGGCATAACGATTCCTCAGCTAACGACTATCTGCGATCAGAGGTAGATCATTCTGAAATAGCCCGTCCATTGGCTTGAAGTACTACGTGCAGTTCCGAAAATGTCCAAGTGTCTAGGGTGGATCGACCAATTCTGCTGCCTACCAAGTACCGACCGATAACATACCGTGATATGGATATTAATAGAACACTCCCGCTCCTAGACATCTCTTTTTGCGGACACTAACCCTCGATGGGATAGGAACTGTCAAGAAAGAAACGGCATCACCTCTAGGGCCTAGTATACGGGGTAATCAGTGCTATGTACAGTAAACAAGTCCGGAATTTACGTGGTGGATCCGGATGGCGGTGCTGTTCAAAGGTTGTAGGGCTACAGAGCCAATCAGCCCGCCACCAGCCTCTGCAGCGGAGAGCATCGGCTCCAAAGTGAAACGGGGATTGGCCTCGACGGGGACATGCAACAGCTCCCGGCCAAGCTCGACTCCGCCTCAACTGAAATCATGATAATGACCGGATCCCCGTCTGGCCGTGCCCGTGCCGTAGGGAGACTTCGTTCCTCGAGTTTACTGCACGGATGTTGCTCCAATTCATCCTGGTGGCTAGGTTGTGGCAGTCGGTAGTTGCGGATTCCAATAACTGTAAGTAATACTATCTGAATCGCACGGAGTCTGGTTGCTGATGATCCCACCTGGACAGGCTCTAGTAGTGTAACCATTTCCAGCCAAAGCGATGCCGACAATCTGCGCGATTGTGATACTCTTGACGGGAGCATCATCATCTCCTCTTCGGTCACCGGCATAATCACTATTAGCAACGTTGAACAAATCAACGGTGCGATGACGGCCGAGGGAGTATCAGGTCTCACCAAACTAATTGCTCCGGACCTTGACACGGTCAAGGGAGCCCTGACATTGGATGGGCTCGACTCTCTCACGACTCTGACTCTGAACGCACTGTCTCGGGTGTCCTCGGGCCTGACAATCGCTGACAACTCGCGGCTCGAAAGCCTTGACTTTGAGGAGCTGGAAGAAGTTGATGGGCAACTGATACTGACGGGCTCATTCAAGGGGTTGGTCGCTGATTGCAATTTGTTACGATGTACTAACTGATGGCAGTGTCTCATTGCCATCGCTCGACCAGGTCAGAGGCCAGGCAATCATTCGAGGTAGCAGCTCCATGTCTTGCAGCACGCTAAACGGCCTGCGATCGGATGGGGTGTTCCGAGGCGGATACTCCTGCTCGGCTGGTTCAATGGGCAATTCGCTAAGCGCCGGCGCCAAAGGTGGCATCGCAGTAGGTGTCATCGTTGGGGTTCTGCTCCTGTTGTTCTTGCTGTGGTACATGCTTCGACAGCGGCGTCAGCGAAATAACAGCCGCGGGGAATCAGACGCACCACCCTCGCCAGTACTGCTCGCGGACGAGAAACCACCCAACTCTCAAGACAAATCTATCTCATCAGATGAACCCCAACGTTTTTCATCTCACTCATCTTTCTCGCCTCCGGTCCTGGCCAAGGTACCCGTGCCTCGGAAAGCGATTGGGCCGCTACCAGCTTTGTTAGATGGAAGGTCGATCCATGAAGCGCCGCACGCGGTGACACCCGTTCAAGAATATCACGAGCTGGACGCTGGGCCAGTTTTCAGCACCCATCAACGACCACTTAATTCCGAGGGCTAATTTCCGAGTAAATGTCGACTGTACGGACGGTTTCCTCGCCTGACCGGGGATCTGTCAAGGTCAGGATCATGTTTGAAGTCTTGGTCAGCTTTTTTCCTACGTCTATATACCTCCTAAGCCCGAATCGGCATCATCAAACGAGTTGAATGCTGCCGTTGTCCACCCCCGACGGCTTGGCTCGCTTCCCGATGCTGATTGTGGTAGCTGAATCTCTAGCCCCGTTTGGGAACAGCGCCGGACCCTTGAAATCGGATCCACTCCTTGAATAAGCTCCTCGGCTAAGTAGATCTGTCTGTTTTTGGTGAGATTTCACTTTGGCAAATTCTCCTGTCTCATCCTACGCCGTTGAATTTTCCAGCTGTGAGCAGAATACGAGGGGAAACGACGGAATATTGTTGTACATTGATTAAATCTGTTGCTTCCATTCGTATAAAGCTTATTTGTATCATTCGTAGTTCCCAAACTCCGCTGTTTCGAAATTCCAAAGCCGTTTACTTCTCCCTTCCTGAACGCCAATGGAAAAAGTATTATGAGATACGCGACCTTGAGAGCATTGTGAACTCGCGGACCGTTTACGTTCAATGATATATCCTAGCAAATACCCAAGGTAGCCGCTGCCCATGTGGCATTGGTAACTTCAGCGGATTGTGGTGTACGTGCTTTTCGATTTTCTATGGACATCCTAGCACATGAATATACATATCTCATCATTTATTTTTCACATTTCAAATAGGAACGAGCCATTTTTAGACAATGACCTTGTGCTCAGCAGGCTGCTCATCAGGCTCGCCGAAAATGTTAATGTTCCAGCGAGGCTTGTTGGCAGAGTAGGGGGTGTTGTAACGTCTGCGGTCCTTGCCCAGAGCGCTGACCTTCTGCACCTCCTCGGGGAGGAGCTCGATCTCCTTGAAGTTATCACGGATGCGTGACGGAGTGACCGACTTGGGGATAACACTGTGGCCACCGACCTGGGACCAGGCAAGGCTAGAAACGGTCAGATGATGTTACAAATGGGAGGAAATGGGGAGTCGACATACATAACGTGAGCAGGAGAGACCTCAGTGCCGGTACGCTTGGCGACAGCCTCAGCGACTTCCTTGACCTCGGGGCGGGTGATGAGGAGAGGGATGTTGAGCATGTTGTTACCGAAGGCCTAATCGCATTAGTACCCATATTCTTCCGGCGATCAATTTGTAGGGCACGTACGGAGTAGGCAGTGATGTGGATATTCTTCTTCTGGCAGTACTCGATAAGGTCGTTGCTCTGCAACACGGGGTGACGCTCGATCTGGTTGGCAGCGGGAACGACACCGGTGCCGTTGATGAGGGCCTCGAGCTATACGGGCTGACGTCAGTACGACTGCAGGATATTCAATTCAAGCGGAGGCTAGACGAACGTGCTCAATAGTGTGGTTGGAAACACCCACGGAGCGAGCCTTGCTCTTGGGGAGCTTGGTCATGGCTATCGGCGGAGAAAGAGTTAGTCCATACGACCGCCACGGTATAAATGGGCCCTACTTACCCTTCCAAGTGTCGACGATGGAAACACCATCATCAATGATCACATCACCACCCTCGACAGGGCTGTTGGCAACGAGGGGAAAGTAGGACTCGCCCTTCTGGAAAGCGACAGGCCAGTGGACAAGGTAGAGCTAACTCCGTTAGTGGCCACCCGCTTGGATTGCAATCACAACACATACATCGAGGTAGTCCAGCTCGAGCTCAGCGAGGCAGGCATCGAGAGAGGCTTCAACGACCTCTGGGCGGTGCTGGCTGCGTACTGTCAGAACCATGTGCTTCTTGAAACAAAAGACGTTGGGCTCCGTGAATTTACCTGTTCCACAGCTTGGAAGTCTATGTCGAAACGAGAAAGGTTAGGAAAGCTCCATTCGTCCAGAATGGGACTTGTGAGATACTTACTATGAAGAGGTCCTCACGCTTGAGGCCGGGGACATCCTGGTAGGCGCGCTTGATACCGGCGGCAACCTCCTTCTGGTTCTGGTAGCTAAAAGCAGAGCGGTAGGTCAGTACATCGGCTTGGGATCACCATCGAGACCACAGGTGGGAACGAGAGGTTCGTACATAGTAGCAAGATCCTAGGACGCGTTAGTCTCGACTCTATTTGGGCGCGCCCGCGCCGAGGAAATAAATACATACCAGATGACGGTAGCCGGCCTTCAGGGCCTCGTAGACGGCCTCGCCGACCTGGCCGGGGGCCGATTGCCAGGTGCCGAATCCCAACTGGCTATGCGTGTGTTAGCCTCTTTTGACATTCACAGTTCCAGTTCGAGTACATACGGGATCTTGTGGCCGGTGTTGAGAGTGACCTTCTTGCCGAGAGACATCTTGTTAATCGAGTGATAGATTTGAGTAGGAACAAGTAGAAGAGGATGCTTGGAAGAGGAGCCAAAACTGGGAAGAGGCCGCGTCTAATAAACCGACGTGTCTGCAGCGGGGTTCGAACAATGCGGTCTCGCTGCCCCTCCTTCGGAGCAGCCCCCACCGAGGGCGGATCGGCAGTGGTGGATGGAGTATAGCAAGATGTCATGCCGGCGTGTTCTCCGAATTCCCCAGGCCATACCGGTTTCGGTTATTGCCCCTGTTCCTACCTTGTTCTTGCCAAAGCCACCGTTTGGTCCTGACCATGTCTCCCCGGAAACTCCAACGAACCCGGGGGCAGGGCCGTGTTCGTGATGTCATCTGCATCGACCGGGTAAAAGACGGGTAAATTCCCGATCCGCTCGGCAACAGAACACCGAGAGACGGGGGGCTTCAGGTGGCCCAAGTGGCCCGGAGTACGCAAACCAACGCATGATATCTCGAAGTCTAGTTTCCATACCCGGTGTAGCTCCCTCTACTATGAGATGGTGGTCCTGTCGGGCACCCGATCTGGCCTAGTGAAACAAACTGCGCCAATTCCGCCACTTCGAGGACCCTCTGGCCCGGACTAACTCCGAGGTCATCGTCACGTTCCCTCGGGCCATCGCGTTTACTCGGACGGGATGGATTAGTAAAAGCTTTTCCGTGCGATATTCGGCTAGCAGAATGGCCTCGAAGCCGGGAACATTTCCGAGCCGAGCCCGGGAACCTTTTGAAAATCCGTATTGCAGCCCAGCCCGTCTGTCCTGAACGGATTTGGAGCTGTGAATCTTTCTCCAAGTTCTTGGCACCATCTCAACGTTCACCACCCGGTGACGCTATCCATGAGTTGCCTCATGGCACTCATCTTGCATTCCGCATTTGCGTGAAAGGAAACCCCTCTGAGCCTTGAAATCTATTCTATGACTTATTTTCCACGGTCTCTGAACGTGTGGCAGGAGAGAGGCATCAGCCCGAGGGTTTTGAGATTGGGTGTCACTCACAGTGGGTCCCAGATCAAAAGTCTCTCCACGATTTGGGTGTTTGCAGCGCTTGGACCTGCCGCGACTTATCTGCGTTTTCCTATCCCATTCTTGAGTACTCGAATCCTGCCCATGACTGGGCTCTGGAGTGACACCGGAGCTATACTCGGGACTGTAGAGCAGGATGCCTTTTGAGGTCTTACAATGACGGCTTTCCAAGTGTCTGCTTTATTTCTAATGCAAGATGTGCGGCCTAAGGGAATGACGCTTCGTTGTGTTATCGCTCCAATTAACTACGACATTCCATATTGACTTAGCGAATGACTGAAATATATAAATTATACGTCGTATACAGTGCCCGGGTAAATTAACTCTCGGCAATGTAGCCAATACCGAATGTTTACTCATCCATAAAGGCCTTCAGTAAGGCCGGGTAGTTTGGGCTACCCAAGCCAGTGACCGGATCCCAGCCCACGCCAGCGGAGAACCCGTTGGTGCCACAGCCGGGGTTGTCTCCCTTGGTGATATCGAAGAAAGCATCCGGGTGAGCGTACAGAACGGGGTTGACAAATCCGACGGTCGACTTGTTTGCAGCAAGTCGCTCCTCGTTGATACGGGTCAAGATAGAAGCGAAGACCGGGGACGAGGCCGATGTACCGCCAATCGAAGTGGGCAAGCCCTCGTTGAAGATGACAACATTGTCACCAATAGCGGAGACATCAGGGTAGCCACGGCCGATGCGGTTGTAGATACCGCCATTGGCCGCGAAACTGTCATTGTTGACGCTCTCGTAGTATGGGTAGGTAGGGTTGGCCGTGGAGAAGTACTCGGCCACGGCGTTGGCTTGGTATTCGGGTTGCTTGTAGATGTTACTGAAACCACCACCGGACGGGAAGCTGGACACGGCCTGCTCCTTGTGGTCCTTGGCACTAGCGCCGAGAGGAATCACGGTCGCCCCCACGGCTGTCAAGTACGGGCACGTGGCCGGGAAGTCAGGGTTGAAGACTGTGCCATTTTTGCCCAGGCAACCGCTGGACCCAGCCACGCCGGAGTCACCCGAGGCGACCACGACGGACACGCCCAGCATGCCCAGCTTCATAAACTCGCTGCACTGGCGTCGCTGGTAGGCGATGGGCAAGTCGGCTTCGTCACCTCCATACGAAATCGAAATGACGTTGGTCGGCTTATAGACACCGCACTGCAAATTCCCCTTGTAACCCCCGGGGTTGGGGTCTGGGTAAGGAGGGTCGAGCGGCGAGATTTCGTCACAGTACGAACCATCAAGAGCATCCAGGAAGGTGTTTAGGAAGCCACGGAAAGTGTAGTCCTCCTCGTAGACCATGTCGTCCGTCTGGAAGAGAACGGAGTTCTGCGGCCAGATAATCGGGTAAGAAATCTGGAAGTCCAAATCGGACTCGGGGCCTGCGCTTTGCAACGGTCCAGGTGCCGTGGCGCCATCAATCGCCTTCAGGATTGGGTGAGTGCCAGTAGGGATCTCTCTAGAAGAGGAGTCAGAGAGAATGATCTGATCAACGGGTGGGGCTTCATTACTTGGCAAGAGTTGTGAAGAAGAGGTTGAGATCCTCTTGCGCGTAAACGTCACCGATGTCTTCGAAGATACCCAGTTCGTTGCCCTCGGTCGCGGAGGTGCCCTCTGTGATGTTGTACATATCTACAGGACGGTCAGCCTGCGTTTTGACTCCAACAAGTGTCTCGGTCGCTTACCCCTGATGCACTGGGGAGTGACGGCAACGTCACAGAAATCAAGCACCTGATCGAGCAACTGTTCCAGAGGCAACCCGATCGGCTTCAGAATGGGCGGCAGCCCATTTACGGCGCGCTTTTGGAGATTTCCACCACGTTTTCCGACGCCGGTCACCTCGCGCAGGGTGATACCCGGCGTGATATAGTCAACGTGCCCGCGTATCGAGGCCGGAACATGGTACCTAACGCCCCCAGGGTTAACCGAGACTTCCATATGTGCAGGGCCAAAAACAAAACTTACTCGCGGCATGCGACATGAGAACGACCGGTCTCGGAATGAGAGTAAATGTAGTATTCCGCACGAATCAGCTTCTCCAGCTCCTCGGCATCGGCATCAAACTGCATCCACTGTTTGTTCACGGACTGCGAGATTCGGTCCGCGGCGATGCCCGAGGACTCCAGCCATCCACGGACCCTGTCCACGCTTTCCTGGCTGGGTGCAAACAAGTCATGCACATCCGATTCGGACATGTGCTGACCATAGCGGCTCGAAAACGGGTCCGACCTTGAGTACTATCAGTCATTTGCCGCGGAGAACGGATCGAGTACTGCTATGCCATAACATACATCTGCATGAGAAGGTCATGACCATGGTCCAGGTTGGACTGCGTGAGACCGATTCGCACGGGCAGCGATGTCGAGCCGTCCAGTCTCTTTCCCTCGATCCAGGAAGTCGGCATGGATTCCCGTTTCTCGTGCAGCTCATAGCTATGGGGAGCGGGTACGGCGATGGCGCCGATGGCTGCCGCTCCCAGGAGCAGAATTGAAGTCTTCATGATGTGGGAGGTCACTCAAGTTCACTCCGTACACCAAATTGAACAGGGCCGCAGGTGATGGGACAGGGCAAGCTTTATATTGTCTTTGTACGGACTAGAGCCCCCGCTATCGCCCGTGGCTCCATCGTTCTCCTGGACCCTCCTCGGCCCCAAGCCTAGGTAGCATCCAATGGAGGCACGCGCACCGCTCGCACTTTAAAAGGGAAAAAGGCTCATAATCTGAATCCCGCCTGATGGTGGAACTACGATCGGCGGACTATCGCTAGGTCCGGTGGATTAGGGACCTTCCCAGCAGGATAAGCCAAACGACGATCACCGAATGCTTGGACCCCGAGCTAGACAGAAGACGAATGGGATTGGAGAGTGCAGTGGTTTTACTTTCACCGAAAATGCACCTTTCGGATATCCCAGGGCAAACGTCACGTCCGTGAGAAAGGTTCCCTCCAGATCGACCCTCGCCAGTTCAGGTCCGGATTCCAATGAATCGCAGTCATGGCCAAAGTCATTGAAGTATCTGATTTGTTTTTCTGTGTACAGTGTGTACGGTGTGTACATCCTTCGGAGACTTGAAATAATTCCTTTCAATGTCAGAGTCGACCGTCGAGACCCGACTTCTTGTCGACTCGATAGAAGCTAGTCTCAGCTGATAAAGACACTGACTACATGAAAGCACATTTGTCCGCACCGTCTTTCTCATGGTCATATCATCTTGAACTCGATCTCCATTTGCATTCCCGCTCCCACTCCTCGGAGGACCGAAGCGCGCCACATAAGCTTACTAGAAACTTGAAATCGTCGACGTGGGCTGAGTTTTTCCAGCAGGCTTTTGCGGGCAGCACAGGCACAGGCACAGGCACAGGCACAGGCACGGGCACGGGCTAAGACCAAGGCCTCGGTGAATTCGACGGAGTGATAAGGGGACCAAGGCATATGGCATCCTAGCCCGGCCCACACAAGGTTCCCCGCCTCCACTGCAGAGACACCAAGTGGGGGCAACTTTATCTCCATCAGGAAAGTAATCGGCTCGATCGTCATCATGAGTTCGGGATTTCTCGCTGTCCAATTACCGTGCACGAGTGACGATCCTGATATACCCCCTGAACCTGAGTTCGGGTCTCTTCGTGGTGAGGTACCAGGCACCCGAAGAGCGGGGTCGAGACGGAATTGACCAAGAGCTCACCGTGTTTGAAGCTCTTCCGTCCTGGTGGAGTGGAGTACGGCCGCAACATATTCGTAGCTACCGAATTACCGGCGCAAGGCGCCCGAGGGGTTGCATCTCTTCGACAGCAGCATGTGCTGCGTTATCCCGACAGAGATGCTGTCGACCATGGTTCGATGCTCCACTGTTCCTCGCGTCCGAAAATAGCGTAAACGTCGGGATCCATGGACCCCCTCCGATTGTACGTACTTATATGCACTATTTTCCATTTTCATGCGGGAGTTCGCAGGAGGAAATCCCCTACACCGTACTCCGTACTCTACATTCCCGAACAGAAACCACTTTCTTATACCTTACCCTACCTTGGGTTAAGGTAACCTTGGGATTCGCGATCGGCGGGATACAGAAAGCAGGCATCAGTGGCTGCATGAGGCGTTTCTCGAGGCTTGAGAAGCCTGAAGGTAAATATGACATGATTTCTTCCAGGGGCGCAGATCCGAGCGGGGTATCCGGCCCAACCCACTCGTTCCCGGCGCGGAGACCGGAGGGGAGCAGAAGGGCCTGTTCAAGTCGGCATCGTGTCCAGGGTCACTCTCGGCGTTCAAGGTGAATCATTCGTGGACATGTGCAGGGGAACCGGACGTCCGTAATTGTGCTTGGCTTTTTCGGTGGCAAAACCTCTCATTCCCAGAGGGGAGATGGAGCGCCCTGCGGTTATCCTGCCACCTTTTGTGCGCTTGTATCATCGACACAACCGGGCTTCCAACGCCCAAGTATGGCTAGGGGCGCTGTCATGGGGAGGGGAGCTAGGAAAAGGAGACCGATTCCTGACACCCGTCAAGGGGGGTTCTGCGGGAAAGGATACTGATGGGGTTTATGATCCGCACCATTTCCACAGGATATCCACCAACTGCTGTCGGTGAATAGGCTTAGCTACGTAGTCATTCATGCCTTTGGCCAGGTACGTTTCCGCATCTCCTTTCAGCGCGTTCCCGGTCAGCGCGATGATGGGGACGTCGACGTTGAGCTGCCGGATTTGCCCCGTTGCCGTCAAACCATCCATCACGGGCATGTTGATGTCCATCAAAATCACACTGTAGGCCAGGGGTTTCTGTTTGACCATGCGTACGGCCTCGGCCCCGTCCCAGGCCGCATCCACACATTCAAACCCTAGTGTGCCCAGGAGCTTGATCATGATCGTTTGATTGACTTTGTTGTCTTCAACGAGGAGGATGCTTTTACGCAGAGCAGCCTTCTGTAGGAGAGAGGAGGTATCGAGGGTGGTTTCGGGGACTTGCGGAGCGATCCGTCGGGTCGAAGGGACAGGCCGGTCGATGCGACCCATTTTAACGGACATCCAAAACACACTACCAGGCCCATCGGGATTCGCATGGAATCCAACTGCACCGCTCATAAGTTCGGCCAGGCTCTTGCAAATGGACAGTCCCAATCCGGTCCCCTGATAACGCTTCGTGGTCGAGTCCGCGAATCGAGTAAACGGGGTGAAAAGTGTACTGACTGCATCCTCGGGGACCCCGATCCCGGAGTCCACCACCTGGACTGAGATGTTGTAAAACTGGGGGTCGTTGCTGTCCACTGAATAAGACACATCCAGATGGATGTAGCCACTCTCGGTGAATTTGACGGCATTGCCGACTAAATTCTGCAGGACCTGGCGAAAACGCAAGGGATCGCCCTTGACGCCATGGGGGAAAGCGGGGGCCACAGAGGTCTCGAGCACAACTCCGGGCTTCAGGGTCGGCTCGCAGTTTCTGACGACTGCACTCACCACGGCGGGGACGTCCAAGACATCGGCAGTCAGAGAAAAGGAGCCGGATGACAATTTCGAATAGTCCAGCACGTCGTTGATGACTTGTAGGAGGATGGAAGTCGAGTCCTCCAGGATCGATGCGTATTCTCGCTGATCGGGGCTGAGGCCCGTTCTCATCAGCATGGTCAGAGCCAAAAACATCCCGTTCATAGGGGTGCGTAGCTCGTGGGACATGTTGGCGAGGAAGTCGGTTTTCAGCTTAGAGGACTCCTCAAACGCGTCGATCAGTCGAGCCTCTGCGGCTTTGCGCTCCGTGAGGTCTCGGGTAACCTTGACAAATCCCACGTGGCGCCCAAGTTGATAGATAGGGGTGATCATGACGTTGGCCCAAAATTGCCCTCCGTCTTTCCGGTAGCGCCATCCCTCGTCCTCGACCTTTCCATCCCGCAGGCAGACCTCGAGCTCGCGGCCCGGTTTGTCGAGCTGCAGGTCTTCGGGTCCGTAAAAGATAGAGAAATGCTGGCCGATGATCTCACTCGCCGTGTAGCCCTTGAGAATCGCGGCGCCCGAATTCCACGTCGCAATGTGACCCCGAGTATCCAACATGAAAATCGCGTAGTCCTTTACGGTATCCACGAGAGTCCTGTAGGTCTCGTTGAAGTAGGTCTGTTCCATCTTTGACGCAGAGTTCGACCGCCCGGTCATGTGCGCTTCTAGGGACACGTAAATCAAAGTATCCCCGTCGAAGATGGGCGTCACGCGTAGAGCAAAGTCGAATTCGTGGCCTGCGACGCGAATGGCTTCGATTACTTGAACTTCACGAGTGGAGATGGCTGCACCGAGCGCGCCACTGAACGAAACGATGTCCGGGGCGGGAATGATGCGCGGGGGCAGCTCGTACACGCTCGTTCCCACTAGTTTTTCGCGATCATGTTGGAAGAGTGTCAAATGGCTATCCGATGCCTGCACCACCCGAAGCGAGCCATCTAGAAGGATCGTCGGCGTCGGTGTACTGCGATAAATTCGGGACATAGGATGATCATCCGTCACGGTCGCGGTCGCGGTCACGGTCGCAGTTGAATTCGCAGTCGCCGAAGAAGGTGAAGGCGCCGGCGTGGTTGTCGTGGCGGGGTCGTCAGCAGAAAACAGACCAGCTGCTTTGTCCTGCGGTCTCAGTTCGCTCTCTGCAGGTGGCGTCACGACCAGCGCGAAATTGACGGGCCGGCGATCCTCAAGGCTGAGGTGGAGCATCTGCTCGTCCGGATCCATCGCGATCTCAACCGTCCTGCCACGGGGCAGGAACCGCACACTCAGAGAAGGAAAGGCGTAGCGGGATCATTCACGAGTAGGCTATTGAACTTGGAGGGGTGATTGATGAGCGAGCGACGGGTGAGAGAGGGAGGAGTGAGAGGTGAAAATCGCCGTGAAAGAGAAAAAAACCAGGATCGGTCCCGCAGCCCAAGAGTACTCCAGACTAAGGACGTCGAAGGTTGGAATTTGCAGACTGAAAAAAAACCTGGAAAGAATCAAGTTGGTTGAAACGCGGCCAAGCCAGCCGAAGCTCTGCGCTGCTCTACTGGACGGCAAAAACGACCGGCGGGGGAGAAGATCCGCTATCCCGGATCTAGAGCCACCGACGCTGCCATAGATCGAACCCGATCATTGTGACACCGAGTGGCGAAAACAAGCCCGGTGCGGCTGCTACCTGCCTCATGCCGTTTTTCTCCCCGGGCTTCTCGAGCTCGGTAAACACCTGGCGACGTACTGGCATCGGCGAACTCTCGGAGCCTCGCCCGAAATATAGTCGACGAATCCTATCATCACGCATTGTTCGACGTTCCTTAGGAAGGCTTGCAAGGACATTGGGAATCGAGCATCACGCGTAAAAAACTCCACGATCAACGCGGTAGTCGACGACAACATAGCGGACAACTAAACAATCACATTCCTGCGCTCCGCCTGCTCCACCATCTTCAACAATGCGTCCGCAACCCCGTACGAAAATGCATATCCACCTCCGCCAAACCCATAGGCCGACAGGAGGGTGCGGCAGCCCTGCCGTTCCGAATCGAGCCGGAACCCCCCCTCGTCGCGATGGTCGGATTCCGATAATATGGCTTACGACGTCGTCTGCGGGGTGTTCAGGAACGATGTCGGGGGCGAGTCGATGGGCTCGTGCAATCTCGTCACGGGCGATGTCCAGATCGACTTCCGGGGAACTAGGAGCGACGGTCAGCATCACGGTATCTCGAGGCCGGGCCGGGTATGCATGCATACAGGTTATCCCGTTCCTTGACGCCTCCGAGCACGACGCCTTGGGAAAGGGGACGAGGGATCACGTAGGTGTACTCCTTGCCATTCCGGAAGTAGAGTGTGTTGCACCGGTGCGTCCGAAGAAACACATTCTGTCCCCGTTCAGGGAAACAGCGGTCGTCTTGGACGTCCGCCAATGTCTTGCTGCCTAGGCCGCTGGCGTTGATGAATACGCGAGAATCGGGGAACATCTCGTACAACTCATGTAGAGACTCGACCCGCCGGCGGATGAACTTGCCTCCAAGGGCCGTGATCCGTTTTCCCAGATACGGCATGTGTCGGGTAGGGTCCGTGACGAGAGTCCGGTAGGCCCAGCCACAGTTAAAATTCGAGGGATACTCCGTCGGGTCCAATTCACGGAACTGGACGATGCATACGTGATCAGTGAGGCTCATCCACCGTGGAAGCAGAGTCGAAACCTACCTTGGATACCACCGTCTTGCCCCAGACGGCCGAGTCCGGGGCCGGTTCTTGCTCCAGATACTCACGGGCATCGACAACGCTGACGCCCGATTCCGGGTCCTGGGCCATCTTGAGTAGCACGCGGTGTGTCACCGCCTGGTAATAGCGCTGGTCGGCCGTGATGCCGCCTGCGGCATGCCACGCAGCACCCGCCCAGGCCGATGCGTAGTAGATGTCCTGATCTCCAGGAAGGAACTCGGCTACGAGTACAACCGAGAAGCCATGCTGTAGTAGTTGACGGGCCGTCGCGCACCCGATGATCCCTGCCCCGAGGATCACGACGGTTCTTTGTGCAAAGGGCACCTCAAAGGTATTGCGAACACGATTACTTTCACCCATCATGGGGAGGTGTTCGTTTTTAGTTTCCACAGTTGTGAATTGATAGTGACGGATCCGAGAGGTCCAAGGTTCAGGGAAGAGAGTGATGCCAGCGAGTCCCGGGAGATATATAGATCAGACCTCCATGTGCGTGGAGGTGGGGGAAGGAGCTCTTCAGGAAGATAATTCAAGCCCTAAGATCTCTCGCATCACTTTCCGAAGCCGTAATGACTGTCGTGCGAGCATCGCCAGGGATTTTTGCCGGGCCAAGTCTATGGTGTCCGTTGAGCGCTCTGCTCCGACGAGTGGAACGCACAGAAGCCTCGTGTCGGGCCAAGCCGACGAGCCCCCACCGCATTCGATGCCGTCACTCCCTTGCAGAACGTGCCCCGGCACTGAATTTCTTCGCTCGTTGCTCTCTTTGGATGGGGCTTGCAGGATAGATCTCGGCACATCCCGCTTTGAGTGTTCGGTAGCGGCAAGGCCCGACAATATCCCCAGATTGGAGGGGTGAACGACGCACTCGATCAGGGTTTTCAGCTCCCGACAGGGTCCCTGTTCGATCCTCACGCTTGTCCCGACGCAATTTCGGAACATATGCGGGCTGTAGCGTCCCGATCCGCTTTTTTTGCACCCTAAAACAGCTCCGTTGGGATAGCAGGGGTCTAGAGCTCGTATCCAGCTCCTCTCGCCCGATTTTCACAGGCCCTTGGCCGGATGCTCTCGGGCGTCCTACGGACACCGTGATGGATAACGAGGATGAGGAGGAGGAGGAGCATCACCGGCATTCTTGGTCTAAGGTAGGTTAGAGACCCTCTCCCCCCTGCATGTTTCATAGATGATCGCCCCACCACTTCATGCGAGCAGGGATCTCTGCTTGGCAGCCTTTAACTTCTCGCCCGTTTGGCCCCGGGTCCACGACTTTAAAGTGGCCCTATACACAGCTCCACCCCGGTGCCAAGCTGCAGGGCTAGCACCGTCGTGACAATGACAAATTGCTGACCGTTGGTTTGGGCAGGACTCTCCTTCGGATCAAGTCTGTGACGAAACCTTCGTCCTCCGCGACCGAGACGCCGAAGAAATCCTACCCTACGATGCAGACAACTCGCCCTTCCCCGAAGTGCGCGCGGTCATTCAACCGGTCGATGATCTATCATTGCCGGTGAATACGGTCCGCATGTGGACCATTGGTCTTGTTTTCACGATTGTGGGTTATATCCAATCACGACCGTGATGTGCAATGGCTCTGACTGGGGTTTTTTGATAATATTTAGATCGGCAGCGGGTTGAACCAATTCTTCAGCCTACGGCAACCTAGCGTCACTATCAGTGCTCTGGTAGCGCAGTTACTGGCCTTCCCCTTGGGTTGCGCGTGGGCGAAATTGATGCCCGTAGGTGCCCTGAATCCAGACCGGCACTTTAATATCAAAGAGCATGGGTTGATCACGATCATGGCCAATGTCTCCATCGGCTCGGCTCAGGCCACGCAAGTCATCGAGGCGGTCGTCAAATTCTATGGCATGCCGTCCAACGGTGGATTTGAGGTGCTCTTGTGCATCACTACCCAGCTGTTCGGGTTCGGACTCGCCGGCTTGGCTGCTCGTTGGCTCGTCAGTCCGGCGTCAATGCTCTGGCCGCAGGTGCTGTCCAATGCGGCACTCCTGACGACTCTCCATTCCCGTGAAAATGTCATTGCGGATGGCTGGCAGATCACGCGCTTGCGTTTCTTTCTCCTCGTGTTTGTTGGAGGCGCTATCTGGTACTTCGCTCCCGGATATCTCTTCACTGGCCTCAGTACCTTCAGTTTCATCTGCTGGATCGTCCCGTCCAACGTGGTCGTGAATCAGTTATTTGGCCAGACGACGGGGCTGGGAATGTCGGTCTTGACCTTTGACTGGGCCCAAGTCGTCTACGCCAATCAGAGCCCCCTATTGGTGCCATTCTGGGCCGGGCTCAATGTAATGGGGTCGTTTGCCCTGTTCTTCTGGCTGATCTGCCCTCTCATCTACTACAGCAATACGTGGTACTCGGCCTACTTGCCGCTTCTCAACTCGAACACCTTTGACAACACTGCCAGGCAGTACGACACTGCTCGTATCATGAACACCGATGGCACCGTAAACCAGACCGCCTATAGGGACTATTCGCCCATGTTCTTACCGGCTGGATATGCGATTACGTTCGGTGTCGCTTTTGCCAATCTAACGGGTATTTTTGTCCACATTGGACTCTACCATGGCCGGGATTTATGGCAGCAGTGGAAAGGAACGGGAAAACGAGACGTCCACGCTCGACTGATGTCTGTCTATCGGAATGTTCCCTGGTGGTGGTTTATCGCTGTCACCCTGTTGACATTCGTGCTCAGCATTGTCACGAATGAGGTTTGGCATACTGGGCTACCGGCTTGGGCGGTGCTAGTGGCCTTCTTGTTGCCCATGATCTACTTCATTCCGGTGGGAATCATCAAGGCCCTCACCAATATCAGCAGCAATCAGTTGAATTTGATGACGGAGTTCATCGGTGGCTATGTCTTTCTCGGGCGACCTGTGGCCAATATGGTCTTCAAATTCTACGGCTACGTTGCCGTTCAGCAAGGATTGGAGTAAGTTGTTGATTACAACCATGCTTCCACCCGCGCCAGCTCACTCTAACACGTCCTAGATTCGTCGCCGATATGAAGTTGGCGCATTACTTGCATATTGCTCCGCGGACTCTATTTGCTGCCCAAGGTCTCGCCACGCTAGTCGGTGCAGTTGTTCAATGCGGAGTGACAGTCTTCATGATCACCCGAATCGGCGGTGTTTGTACATCCAATGCCGAGGGCAACTTTACTTGTCCGCATGGACGAGTCACTTACTCGTCGTCTCTCATCTGGGGTATGTTGACTACTGGCTCCCATGCCGTCATATTCCGTCGCGATCGTCGCTCACTAGCAAGCAGGTGCCGTTGGTCCCGGTCGGCTCTTTTCCCCCGGTCAGACGTATGGAAACTTGTTATGGTTCTTCCTCGTGGGTCCGGTGGTGGTACTCATCACTTACCTCCTCGGTCGCCGGTGGAAACGCATTAACTACCTATCATGGCCTGTGGCTTTTGGGGCGATGAGCCTGGTTCCTCCAGCTACAGGTGTGAGCTTTTCCTCGTGGTGGGTGATCAATGTCATATTCAATGGCTTAATACGCCGCCGGAAGCCTGCGTGGTGGTCCAAGTACAGTATGTCTCCCCTACCGTTCTCCAACATGGCTACCCCTTTATGTTCGATCTGACCGATGTGCTCCAGACTATGTATTATCCGCTGCGCTCGACTGTGGCGTCGCCGTTTCGACCGTGATCATATTTTTCTGCATCACCCTACCCGCTGGTTCCTTGAGCTGGTGGGGCAACACCGTGTATATTCAAACAGCCGATGGGCAAGGCACACCGTATAAAGATCTTCCCGCCCGGGGCTACTTCGGACCTCCGAAAGGTACGTGGCAATGATTTCTGGGCTGCCCGGGTATAGTCTGTCATTTGTCCAGCGTCTGCCCCGTGTGCCCTTGTCTCCGATATTGCTGTGTATTATAATGCATTTTTCGGTGTGGTTCGTCTGGGTCTTCATATCACCGGGTCTGGTTCATGGTCGTGTTCTTTTCACTTATATGGGTGCTACCTAGCGTTATTTTCTGTACGGATAGTCTTTTTATTCGAGACTCGGCGTATTTGGTCGAATGGATAGATCTTTCTGTAACAATGGTTTCCTCTTGCAATGATTTCCAGTGTATCTAGCAATTAAAACTACATACTAGAACCCGCTTGTTAATTTAGTTATCAGACCTTGACTGATCGACCGCGTACATATACCTTAGAAATGTTGCGATCGTCACCGGTCATGAGGAACTTCTCGAAGATAACCGAAATCGAGTCTTCCTCTTCAACGGGCGTCATCACTCCCGGATATTTTAAATCGAGCGTGTGAATCTCGAGCGCATCGAATTCCTTGCCCACAACGAAATTCCCAATTCTTTCGTCAAGTCCACAGACTTGGGCGCCCCCTAATGTAGCCAGGAAAAACCCTTCCGACAGGGACAAAGCAGGGTCCTGGCCCTGGGTGAGCATCTGCCTGGCATTTGAGACCACAAATGCCTGCTTCATGATTTCCAACATGGAAGATGAATGTCCACCGCCACTGTCGGTGCCCAGTCCAACTTTGATGCCGCGTCGCAAGTACTCGCGTATCGGTGCAACCATGAACTCCTGCATAGTGGTATTTGAGATCGGACAGTGGGAGACACCACAGCCAAGCTCCTTGAGGGCAGCCATCTCCTCCTCCTCCAAGAAGATACAATGGGCGAGAATAGACCGGTCGTTCAACAAGTCGAATTTCTTGTACAGGTCGGCTTCCGTGCGGAAGTCGGGAAACAACTGACGGGTGAACTGGATTTCCTGCTTTGCCTCGTTAAAATGGGTTTGGATGGGTATATGCGGATGTTCCCGGGCGATATCGCCCAGACCCGATAGAAGATCTGGGTCGCACGAGATGGCAAAGCGCGGAGTCAGGACCGGCTTCACCAGTCGATTCTCCGGGTCAAGTTCCCCGATATGGTGGATCAAGTCACGCGTTTCGCGGAGCGAGTCGGTAATCGACGAGTCTCGGTACCAGTCGGGAGCGTTTCGATTCATATTGCACTTGCCGACGAGGGCGCGCTGGCCTTTCTCGAAGCAGATGTCGGCTAGGATACGACTCGCCCCGCCATGGTGAGATCCGTAATACGATGCCGTAGTGATCCCCTGCTGGAGAAAGCCCGTCACACAGGAAGAGTAGATGCGCTTGGCATATTCCGGATCGGCGAACTTGGACTCGTGTGCAAACGTGACGTTGTTCAACCAGTCTAGCAACGTCTGCCCGCGCCCAACCCCGCGTTGGGTCCATTGAGGTGCATGGTTGTGGGTATCAACAAATCCGGGACACAGGAATTCGCCACGCCGGAGGTGCTTGACGGGGAAGACATCCGGAGCGTATCCGTTGTCGGCCACGATGGCATTGATCTGGCTTGATTCCACGTCCGGCTGCAGTGCTTGAATCTTGCCAGCCTTATCCACCAGAACGAAGCAGTTCTCCAGAATCTCGAGCTCACCGAGGGAACGGGAATGAATCACCGTGCCATGAAAAGCCAAGGGTAGACCCGATGCCGGGGAAGAGTTTCTGTCCAGCGAGTCCATGGGAAATGAAGTGAATGAAAAGTGTGAAACCCAGAGAGGGCGATTGCTGCGGCCAAGATGGGGATGCGCGGAGATGTATTGCATTTATCTTATCGGTGAGGGGTTTGCCCTGCGGCCAATGGTGACCAGGTACATCGGCAGAGGGCTGCAAATGGCCAGACGTGTGGGAGTTTCGATAATTGAGGCATGGCTTGGATTGCTAACCCGAGGAGTAGACTACACTGGGGCGTTCTCGCGGTCCTGATGAAACAGAGGTCAACCTACCTACGTATAGAATTCAGTACCCCGCGCCAGTTCAATGATCAAGCGTTCCGACGTTGTATCCTGGTGTCTTCATTCCTTCCTGGGATTTCTACGGGTCTTCGATCGTCGAATATTACCGATTTAAATAGGGATTTCTCGAGCACAAAGTAACCAAGGACTCAATAAAGCAGAGAGTGAATATAGCCCGATTGAACTAGCCACTTGGAGCTGCACAGCCCATCGGTAAGTCATGATTGAACCAGACAATAAGTACGATCAAACATCAAACACCACCCATTCTCTGTTCACGAGGCTTTAGCCCTTAGCAAAGGTCTTGAGGGAGTCCTCGCTACCATTCCAGAGATCCGAGTCGCCGCCGTAGCTGTACGAGTCCGAGTTCTGCCAGATGCTCTGGTAGGGCCAGCCACCGGGGACGCTACTGATGGAGCTAGCATACTGAGCCAGCACCAAAGGGTAGTCTGTCCTGAAGGCAGTGCTGCCGCCGGTACAGGTGTTCCACCAGTCAGCGGTGGTGTAGATCATGGGATAGCGACCCGTCTTGCCGTTGTAGGTCTCGCCGAAGTCCTTGACCCATGCAACCATATCGGATGCGCTCAGCCCGTAGCAGGTCGAACCGGACGGGTTGTACTCGATATCGAGCATGCCGGGCAGGGTCCGGCCATCGTTGGTCCAGCCACCCCCGTGGGCAAGGAAGAACTCGGCCTGGGTTGCACCGGAACTGTCGTCCGGGTGAGCAAAGTGATAGCCACCCCGAATAAGACCGGCATCGGTTGCACCCTCGTAATGGCTGGAGAAGGAGCTGTCGATATAGGTCGTGCCCTCCGTGGCCTGCGGATGTATCAGTGTCTATCGAGGAGTCTACCGAGATCTGCGAGATCTGCGAGAAGTTCGTGGAGGCTTACCTTGATTATGACGAATCGGGCGCCGGCATCGTAGGCACCGGAGAAGTCTACGGTACCCTGGTAGCTGGAGATATCAAAGCCCTGAACCCCGCTGGCGCGGGACTCCAGAGGATTGGCGCTCGCGGCACCGGCTGCAAGAACGAGGGAGAGAGTAGCGGTCTTCATGAAGGAGGCCTGGTCTATAGAGACAAGAGATAATGGTATTCACAAGTGCACCGACGTTGCATACCACGAGAAACTACTTGAAGGTGGGGGCAATGATAGATGGTCCACGGGCAGAGCAGTCGCTATTTAACTTGGAAAAGGACCTGTCGGGGATTATCCACCGAAGATGACCTTGGAAACAGTTTCATCCTCGTATGCAATCAATCGTATCCCGAAATCACAGGCCCGTGGTCGCCGTGGGGCCCGTCATAGGATACGGGCCCGACTCCAACCCGGTAGAGGCATCTGGCGCGGGCGATCGATCCACTCGACGGGGCGAGAGGGGCGTTTCAGCCCGGCAGATGAAGGAATGCCCGGTGGCTCGACCAGAGAGGACGCAGTGAGATCAATGGCGATCGACCGTGATCAACTTGCGATGGGCCTTGACTGAGATACGAGCCCAGCCGGGGCCAAATGGCAGGTCCTGCCATCGCCTCGTTCAATCCCGAACCCAATTTACTCGTCGAATTGGTTGCAGAATACCCTTTGTTCCTCGCAGATCGCATCAAAGTTATAGTTCCTGGATGTAACGATGGCGCTGGAGGCTTGAGGGTCCACCTCTCGCAAAATGCCACCGGAACCAGATCGATCGGCTCCCATTAAGCGAACCGAGTTCCGTCCGTCACCTTCCCTCATCCCCGTCCCTCCTCCGATCCCCCCGATTCTCCCCCTCCGCATCTCTCCCCCCCCCCCCTCCCCTCTCCACCCCTGTGGCTGAGATGGACTGCGGTTCCAGCCGCCGTCACCATGAGCAGCACGGGTAACAAGGACTTCCGCGATCAGCTAGGCAAGTTCCGCCTCGATTCCATTGGTGGGCCTTCTGCTCCTCCGATATGGTCGCAACCGCCTCCCGAGTCCACACCCGTTCCCGACGGCGCGTCGACCCCGTCTTCTCGCAGCAAACGTGTCTCTACGGCCTGTGACTTTTGTCGGAAGCGCAAGAAGAAATGTGACTTCCGCTATCCCAATTGCACCGCCTGCACCCGCGCCGGGGTTCGCTGTACCATTCCCCCGCCCGGTCCGCAAGTCGCCAACGCTTCCGTGCCCCGAGACCAATTGGAGAACCTACAGAAACGAGTCCGATGGCTGGAGGAGGTGGTGCGCCGGAAATCTGGCATTGCAGTGGCAGAGATGTCCACGGGGACCCCCGTCGACGGCGAGGGAGACCCGGACTGGTGGTACCAGGTCCCGGCGATGGTCGCGACCGGTGGAAATCGTCCATCTACGGCCTCGATGCCGAGCCCCGGCAGTGGTGGCTCGTCCGTGACGGCCGGTCCCGCAGGCTCGGAGTCGTCGACCGGGGTAGGCACCGAGCTACCCAACGTGGGTGAGATTTTTCGCGATCAGTTGGAGCATCGCCGACCGTCCGTGGCGCGCCCGGCATCAGCTCCGCGGGTACTACGTCTATCATCGCTGGAGGAAGCGGAGCGGATTGCCGGACAGTACTTTGACAGCATGGGCTACCAGTATCCCTTCATGTCTCGCCCGGAATTCATGGGCCATCTCCGGCATATCTATACCGGCGGCGTGCCGTCACCCGAGGTTCACAATGCATATCATATCATTCTTGCGATCTCGTTGTTGATCGGGTCGGCGGACGCGTCGCAGGCTGCAGAGTTCTACCATGCAAGCCAGGAGACATTGCCCTTGGCACTACAAAACGAAGACTTGGCCGCCGTGCGGGCTCTGCTAGGCCTGGCGCTATACACCATGTTCGCAACGGCGGGCCCGAGCATTTGGCATGTCCTGGGTGCCACCATGCGACTGTCGATCAGCATGGGACTGCACAAGGCTCGCTCATATGCGACCGTGGCGGAGGAAGAAACGTCCAAACGGGTCTTTTGGAGCCTCTACAATTTGGACCGTCTCATCGCGAGTACGTTGGGTCGACCTCTCGGAATTGCGGACGAAGACATCAGTGTCGGCCTCCCACGCGAGTTGAATGATGACGGGACTGAGGCCCCGGGCGCCAGTGCCATGACCATTCCACTGCAAGTGATGCGCCTTCGACAGATTTTCTCGCGCATTTATCGATACCGTGAGTTCCAGATCGTTCCCCCGTTTCATCCGCTGCGCGGCCTCGCATTCTAATTTGGATCTAGTGTATAGCAATCTACCCCGGCCGTCGCCGCAGGAAGTTGCTACCATGCTGGGTCAGTTTCGCCACGAGGTGGACGACTGGCGCATGACGGCCCCGGTGTATCCTTCGGCCCTTCTCTATTCCACCTCATACTACGACTACTTGTACTATACAACCCTTTTGCTCATGTATCGGCCCAGCCCGCGCAACCCCACGCCGGACGTGACCAGTATCGTCAGCTGTGGTGATTCCAGCATTCAAGTGATCCGATCATACTGGGACAGCTACTCAGTGGGCAAGCTCAAGTGGATTTGGTTAACCCTGAGCCAAGTCTATTTTGCGGGCATCACCATTTTGTGGTGCCTGGAGCAGAATGCGCGCTCATTACGTGAATCCCGCCCTGCGCCATGGCATCCCGAGGAGCAGATGATGCGTCGTGGGACCCAGGCGGTCGTCGTGCTGCTAGAGGAATTCGGCAAGCGGCACCCCGGGGTTGACCGGCTAGCGGAGACATTTCGCCATCAAAGCACGATGATCTTCAGTCAAATGGCTTACCAGCAGCAGCAAATAGAGCGACAGGATCAACGGCAGCAGCGGCAACCACAACAACCACAGCCTCTCATTCCACCACAATCTTCCATCACCTTGGCCCCGCCTCCACAACCTCCTGTCCCCTTGGCCCCCGTTCTCGACGATGTGCTACTGGTCGATGGCAGCGGAGCCGTGCCGATGATAGATCCGCAAATGGCGGAGCAACTGTTTTATTCCTATAACTGGTTTCAAGAGGAAATGGCGAGTTACTATACCCTTTGAACGATATTCTCTCTCATGATAGATACGTGCCGACTCTGGTGGGAGGCGAGCAGAGTTACGGTCTAATTCTCCCAGTGTATTTATTATTTTACGCAAGTCCTGAAACGTAACCCTGGAAATTTTATACATGCGATGAGATGCTATCCAGTCTAGGGCGCTGTCCCTAGGTCTCCTCGCAGGATACTGAATCTATGCAATCCATTTATAAGAGCTCGACCGCCTCGTTATTCCAACGTTCCCGCGAACATTGGCCATATAATCGTACGACCGGTATACCAGATTCGGATCCGTGCATTTTAACGGCCTGCTTATGCATAAGGTATGTATATATTGAGTGTTATGCTGGTGACCGGATAATAGCACGTGCCCGGCGCCTCGAGGCCGTGGCGGATGTTGAGCTCGGCTTCGCGATCGAGGTGCACGGCAGCAAATGGGCCGGGAGTGCCGAGTGGGTCACCGCCTCGGTCACCGCCCGTCCATCAGTCGAAGGCATCGTCCTCTGCTATTGTATTCCCATGCAAGAGAAGGATGGAGACGGCAGAATGCCAATCGGCATTGTCGAAGATAGCCTCTTTGGCTATCAGGAGTGAGAAAATCGCGGGATCTTCTGATCGCCTAGTCATGGCGATGTGCGAGCTCGAGATCTCGCCTTCCACGGTCCCAACGTTGCCGTACCACGAATCAATTCCGATCCCTCCATCTCTACGTCAATGGCATATCCGCGGCCGTGATGAGGAATGAGGCTCATAGGGTGCGGGATCCCAGGAGGATGCACTAGCGTCATGGGTGGAATTCTGCCGCTCCACCGTCAGTTCGGCAGTGGGATCGCCCGGTGCCCGAAGGAGTCAGAAAGCGCGGAAGCGCGGGGTCGCCAGTCGACAATGCGGGGGAAGTATGAGATCTCTGCCGCGGATAAGTGCTGACCCGGTCCCCCGCGAAGTTCACGCGTATACTTAACGTCTACTTGCGACCTGCCAGCCACTCGGCTGTTAGAAATCACCGGGTTGAGAAGTAAATCCATCGTGTAGGAAATCAGATCCATCGGCACGTAGTAGCGGGACCCTTTTTGCCCTGTTTGTCGGCCACCGTTGGAAATTGCCCAACACGGATGAGGAGCCGAACGATTTGCCGTCGCGGTCGCTTTCGGCTCCCTTGACACTGTAGACTTGCCACGACCTGCCAGTCCCCGGCTTTTTTTATAATAGACCCTCGATGCCTCTCACATTTCCACATCTCATTCTTCTTCATCTCCCTGAATCATCCCTTCTTCTACACCTTCCCCACAACCCATCACGATGTCTACCAACTCGCGCTTCGATCCCAACTTCACTTCCTATGTCGTGAACGCCATGGGACCCAAGACCCCCGAGCGCGCTCGTGTCGTCTTGGGTTCTCTGATCAAGCACATTCACGACTTCGCTCGCGAGGTCGAGCTCACTCCCGCCGAGTGGATGCTCGGTGTCGAATACATCAACTCCATCGGCAAGATCAGCACTCCTATCCGCAACGAGTGCCACCGTGTCTGCGACGTGATCGGTCTCGAGTCGTAAGTGTGACTGGAATTTCAAGAAATTCAAAAAAAAAGAAATAATTAAGAAGAACAATAACTGACGGATCTTCATTAGCCTCGTCGATGAGATCGCCAACAAGATCGTCACCGAACAGGGTCTCTCCCCCACCTCCAACGTTATTCTCGGCCCCTTCTGGTCTCCCAACGCCCCGTTCCGCGCCCTCGGCGACAGCATTGTCCAGGACCCCAATCCAGAGGGCAGGGTCACTTACATGCACGGTGTTCTCACCGACATGGAGACTGGCGCCCCCGTTGTCGGCGCCGTTCTCGATATATGGCAAGCCTCCGCCAACGGCCAGTACGATTTCCAGGACCCCAACCAGTCCGAGAACAACCTCCGCGGAAAATTCAAATCGAATGAGAAGGGAGAGTTCTGGTGGTACTGCTACCACCCAACTCCCTACTCCTTGCCTACCGACGGTCCCGCCGGTGTCCTGCTCAACGTTATGGACCGCTCCCCCATGCGCCCTGCCCACATTCACCTGATGATCACCCACCCCAACTACGCCACCGTTATCAACCAGATCTATCCTAGCGATGACCCTCATCTCGACATTGACTCTGTTTTCGCCGTCAAAGATGATCTCGTCGTCGACTTCAAGCCCAAGACCGACGACCCCAAGGCCTCCCTCGACATGGAGTACAACGTTAGCATGGCTCTGAAGAAGCACCACCCCAACCCCAACTCGGCTCCTCCCGTTTCTTCATTCGAGCGTCAGGCCAAGAGCAGCCAGAAGCTTTAAGAAAGGATATCCATTGCAGTGTCTCGCGGAGTTTATGTATATTTAGCATTTCTTGCATTCCATAGGACATATGATCTCATGACTTCTTCACTTTCCCTTGGCATAGATGATCCGATTTCAGACCCCAGTTGGAAGGCTCGAATCTTGTATCTGAATTTGGTGGTCCCCGGCAACGAAGCATGGATATCAGCCAAGGTAGACCGGATCCAGTACAGGGAAGAACCTTTTGAAACTTGAATTCCAAGGTTGTCTCTGGCACCAGCTCAGTTACAGATACCCGAACCGGTACATAATTGAATCATTCATATCATTATAGTACGAGAATACAAGCATAGGAAAGACAAGACACGGAGAGAGAGAGGCTGGTAGACCAGAATACATATATGTATTAATGTCGATACCTGGGGCATTCCGGCATCTTCAGTAAATAGTACCGGTGAATGAGAGTTGGTCACAGGTTTGATCGAGGGGATATAGATTCATAATTAGCTATTTACATAAGCTTTAAGGTTCCTGCGTCTTCTTGGTACGCGAATTTCATAGGGGTATGGGAAGATTGTTTAGCCGAGATGTAGGCGACCGAAAGCCTACCTAGATACCCCTGTGTATTGAATTTCCTCTGCAGGGTGAGCTTTCCTATCTCAGCTGCCGCCGCTTTATAAGGTCACTCAGAATTCGGGTCACTGAGCCACTTAGTGCTATTGCGTGGTACACCTTGATGCCCAATAAGTATTTGAGACTCCGGCCTATAAACAAGTTTCGGACCTCCCAAATAGAATTCCTATAAGAGAGTTAATGCTACATAAAGTGGAAGTACTGTACTGGAAAGGAAACAAGGAACACATATTGGCGTTCATTTTGAATGAAAGCTAGTACAGAAATTCAATATAAAAGTAAGGAATAAACAATCACGACGGTAAACAAAACCTGTCCTAGTATCCGCCTCGCTGGTTGCCGACGTCGTTTTGTTGATAATTCGAGTCGTGGACTCTGGGGTCAAGTTTGTCCACGTAGTTGGGGGTTTGAGAACCAGCTGGCTCTCTTATACCGGAGCGGTTATCATTGTAGCTACTGCCACCAGTTGCACTACCGCCGAAGTTTTGCTGACCCATACGACTGTCAAGGCCAGGCTCGGCATTCGGATTCATCTGGCAGGGGGTGATATGGCTGGTTGCGGAGTGGGATTTGTGTTCCTGCGCGGACCTGATATGCTTGTCCTCACTCGACATACGATCATCGCAAGGCTGGGAGCGGGAGTTTTGTTCCTGCATGGAGCTGCTATAGTTGTCCTCGCTATTTATATGATTGTCGCAACCGTAGCTGCGAGGCTGCCCGATGGAGGCTGTGTTGTTGAGGATGGGATCCTGAGCACCGGCGCTGATGTTTCGTGAGCCGGTAGTTCCAGCGTATTTGCCGCGGGTATCTACATGTCCAGTCAACGTGTCAATAATTAGCATAAAAAGAAAAGGAACAAGTCCGAGGAACCTAACTGTTTAGCTGGGAATCATGATAAGTACCAGTGTCATTACCGAAGCCAGGACCAGAGCCATGAGTGTTAGACCCCATGCCGGGAGAGCGGCCCATGTCAGAAGGGTTGTACTGGTTCCGACCGGGGTCCATTATGTGAGGATTGGCGGGTCCGTAGGTATCGTGGGTATCTATGTAGGTAATGGTAAGTATCACGGCGCGATGTCAACGTGAGCATTGCAAAAAGCAAACCATCGGTATTGTTAGGAGATTTGAAGCCGCGAGCTGTATCTTTGACTTTGTGCATGAAGTTCGACATGGTAGGTGATAATTGTCGTAGTAGAAAAGATTATAAGTGGGTTGAATTATATGTTTGATTATTAATTGGCACGGGGTTTTCTGAGTAGCTATAGCTATCGTATTAGAAAGTATATTAGTAGAATTGATGCTACCAGCAGGATTATATGCCTCTCGACCATGCTTTGCCGCGATTAAGCTATTACTAGGCCGTCCCTTGGGGAGACTTGGTGACGCCATAACGCGGGGGGTCACATGAGGACAGGAACCAGAGAACTTGGATAAGTGCCTATTGATTGTCTGGTTTTCCATTATCATGACGTGCCAACCAGGTTAAAAGTAGCCAAATGAGATTGTGGCTGAAAATGAGGAGACCCGTGAATGTCATCCGTCGTCATGTCCGGGATCATAAAGCAAAGAATGGCACTGAACCAGGGCCTCCAGATCAAGCAAGTGGGGAGGTAATGCGTCCTGCCGAAAACCAGGAGATCTTTTAAAACCAAGGTGTTCTATGATGGGTTTCCATGGTTCTCTCGTCACCAACGACTCCGTTTTCAGGTTTTGATAGATATCAAAGAACGGTATCATGGCCATCTACAGAAAAATGGTCAACTGTTACATTCTGATGTTGAATAAGAAACCTCTACACGCATGGAGTCTGTGGAATGCAACGCATGCCAGCCCGGGTCTTTTCTCAACTACGAGAGAAAAGGTGGGGCCGTGTTGCTCATCCTATATATTTCGTTAACCAGTGTAGTTTCACCGCCCATGATGACTCAACGGTTTCCCACCCCATTAAAATGCATATAGGAAACATAGGAAATCCAAATTTTCGTGTGGAAAGGTGACGGGGTGAATTACTCGATTGCCTGAAATCGCTCAAAATGTTTTCTTCATTGCTATCTACCTACAAGGCATTCTATGGGACTTGGTACCTACGCGTCAAACATGCGCTTGAAGCAGGGCATTCAGCCTCCTTGGCCATTATTCTCTTCTTTAGAGTACTTTGGCAAGGTAGTCCAAAAGTGATCCTATTCAAAAAATACAACTTCAAGCCAAAATCATTCCAATTCTGGGTCAAGGACAAAATATCCTTCTCCAAGCCAAAGTCTCTCTCGATCAACCCTCGGTAAAAGTCGAAAAGACCTCCTGCTGCGCAATGGCAAATTCGCTCTCAATCGTCCGTCGAACGGTCTTACTCCGCACCACCGGCCGACACCCGTACGGTTTTGCACAGTACAAGAAGCCGTGCTGATACCCCGTCACCGGGTCACTATCATTCGGCTCATCTGCATCCCCCGGCTGAAACTCAAACGCCCACAGGAGCTTCGCGATCGCCAGGAACATGTTCCGCTCGGCCAGATGGATACCGGGGCAAATGCGTCGACTGACCCCGTAGCCGTAGTGATCGCGGTTCTCCCATCTGCCCGCGACATACTCGGGGGCCAGAGAGGGGTGGTGGGCGAAGCGCTCGGGCACGAAAGCAGCGGGGTCATGCTCTTGGCTAGGATCCATGTGCAGTCCCCAGGTGTTGATGACGATCATGGTGCCTTTGGGGATGAATTTGCCGTCGATCCAGTCATCTACGATCAGTGAGCAAGTGTGAGCGAGAGGGAGAGAAATATCGGTGATTGGTAAACGGAGGGAAATGCGGGCATACCTTGACCTACGGCATGAGGAAAGCACAAGGGCAAAATTGGACGCCACCGATGTCCCTCCTTCACAATCATATTGATATACGGCAATCGCGACAGATCCTCCCACACCGGTGATCTCTCATGTCCGACCACAGCATCAATTTCGGCGTGCGCCTTGCGCTGGACTTCCGGGTTCTGAATCAGTGCTTGCACAATTGCCAGCGTCAAGCTCGAACTCGTGTCCGATCCCCCTTCCATCAACACTCCTCCAATGAAAGCCAATTGATGCCGCGGTAACTGGTGACGATCTTGCGAGGAGAGCACCCGATCCATGAAGGTCCCGAGCTCTTGCCCGGCTTCGCGGCGTTTCTCGACTTTGCGGAGGATATCTTCGTACAAGGTCTCCATTTGCTGCCCAATCATGCGGGCCCTGCTCACGTAGTTCCCGAAGAACCGTTCGGGGATCTTCTTCAGCCAGGGGAAGATGTCCACCGGGGGCGTGGCGCCGGTTTCCATAATCTCGGACCATTCTTCCATGATTTTGTAGAGCCGGTTCATGTTGCTGCCATGCCGATCGGCCGTGCGGATCCCAGACACTAACGAGACGGGTTAGTGTCTCCCTATCTATCTGACCAGACCAGAAAACCAGAGGGGGACTTGTAGATGGGAAGAATAGAAGTGTAAAAGACAGACCGATCGAATTGGTAATGCTGTTACTATACCGCTTCGGATGAGCCATGTGATGGCTTGGATCAACCATATAGTCCCTCACTAACTGAATCGCTTCAGCATTGACAACCCGCAAATGTTGGCTCTCCACCATCGACTCCATCAGATGCTGATGCACCAGCCGACGGAAGGTGCGCCATTGTGGTCCATAGTGCATCACCAGTAGATGGTCGCCTTTGGTGATGAGTTCATGCGAGACAAAGGAGTGGGGCCGGTGGCTATAGAGCGAGCTTTTACTATCAATCACCTCTTTCACGATCCGGCGATCAGTCACTACGGCCATGTTGCTATGGCCCACTTTGAGCATGTACAGACCGCCATATTTATGGGCCCATTTGGTGAATCTGGTTATGAGTGTACTGGTCTGAGAAAGGGGGGGGGGGGGGGGGAGCTCAGGGAACGTACTGGATGTGCGTGTAAGTCTTTGGGATTAGGTGCGCATTTCCAATGAATGGGAGGGTTGGAGGGCCTGCCTATAAATTTCTAGGATTATGGCAAGAGGAAAAGAAGAAAGAACTCACCTAGAGGCATATTCGAAGTGCGATGTCCATAGGTCAAGGCCGCTCGAATGAGGGCCACCAGGACGATAGCCCCAATTAGAAACCACAGAATCGGTTGCATTCTGCCGTTTGTGATGGGTTCGGGAATGAGCAAGAATGGGAAGTTAGACGGATGTATATAAAAAAGAGAGACATGGAAAGAGAATAGAAAACGAAGAGACAACGCTACGCCCCGCATTCCCACCTGTTCGTGTCCGAAAACAGAATGTACAAACAGGGAATCCTGATGGAGCATCGGGGGTGTCACAGCCTTGGCCCTAAATTGTTTGAGCAGAGATGATCAATCGGGTTAGACAAGGCTACCCGATCGGAGGCGGCTTTGTTGAGTGTAAGCCCAAGTTTTTCCCAAATGGAGACCAGGATTATAGACCCTGTATTACTCGAAATGGATAGTGGAAAATGTACTCCTTCCGGGTAGTTCAGCGGTGCCTAAAAATACAGTTGCTTAAAGAGGGGGCAAATACATAAGACACTGATCCCCGATCCTGGAGAAACAGGGGGCTACAGATGCGTTTCCCATATGCTACTACTCCCCTCCTCTTCTGTCTTCTGCCTCAACCGGGAGAACAGATTCAAGGCACTCCCTCTCAGGTCCTCTACCGCAACTCCATCCGGCATCTCCTCCTCCACATAGCGGGTAAAGCGGATAATGGCCTCGGTGGGCGCATTCGGAAAATCGCTCCCAAAGAGAAGATGGCCCGGTTGGGCAAACTCCACCAAGGCCTTGAGGGTGACTGCATTCGCAGAAATGGCCGTATCGAAGTAGAAGTCGCGTGCCCGCTCGAGAATCTCCTCGCGACTGATTCCGAGGTTCCGGTCCGCCGGCATACAGGGGAGCATGGTGGCCGCGCGATGGATGAGGTACGGCAAGGTACCTCCAGCGTGGGAGAGAATCACTTTACAGCCGGGATTCTGGCGTAGTCGACCCGAAGTGATGAGGTCTAAGGCGGTGCGGCCGGTCTCATGGGGATAGTCGAACATCGGTTGAGGCAGGCCGTGGTTGATTAGAGCTGTATCCTGGGGATGGGTAGGGTGGATGAAGACCACCGCCTGGCGACGGCTGAGTTCGGCCCAGACGGGTTCGAATACCTCGTGGCCGAGATAGTTGGGGCCTTGGCCGTAGCGAGTGAAAAGCGTGACGCCGTCAGCGTGGAGAAAGTCCAGCGCGTACCGGATCTCTTCGAGCACGAGGTCAGTGTCGAATAGCGAGGGGACGGAGGCGAAGAAGCCGTATTGCGCGGGAGACGCATCGCGGATGCCGGCGGCGGAGAGGTTGCATTCTCGGGCCAATTGCGCGGCAGCGGCAGAGTCTTTGGCGATGACTGGGCCAGGGGCAGTGACGGACAGGATGGCGGTAGATACGTTCATGATTTGGTTGATTTCCTGGTCGAGTTCGAGAGCCCAGTGAGGAATATACCAGCCAGAGGGGTCTCCGCCTGCTGCCTCGAGGGCTGATCATATAGTACATCGTTAACATTCAATCCGGCGAGGACACAGAAGGTACTTACCCTCCCGCATGGCGGGGGATAGAAGTGGTGGTGGACATCGATCTTCATTATGTACATTTACATCTAGAGAACCCGTTTGCTCTGAAGATTGAGATGATGTTGGCGGCCGACGGGATGTTTTATATTTATTTCATCGAGTGTCATGTACTTTCCCACTGACGAACGAGACTCCGCAATTCCGGCTAATCCGCGCAGAAGGTCCTTGCTCGGTTTAAGGTAAGATGTCATCCACAGCCCCGAATTAAGTTTCACTCCGATTCTCCATGGAGAATCCACAAATCCACACAATTTACCATCTCACCGTTCTCTTGCTTCTCTAATTTGGGGAAACGCTACTCCGCTTCAGGCGCTAACAAGGAAGATTTACATCCGTCTTATGCACAAAATACGAGATCGTCAGCGCCTTCACCCCCGGGGGGAAAAAAAAAAAAAAAAAAAAGAACAACTAGTCGAAGCGGGCAAAGATCTCCTGCGCCTCCCGAAACTCCCTCGATATCGTCTCCCTCTTCTCCGGGGCCCGCAATCGGACTCCACAGCTATAAGTCTTCGGGCAATGCAAAAATCCCTGACTGGCCCCCGACTCCGGATCAATGTCACTGTAGCTATTGACTGGCTGCATGAACTCAAATGCCCACAACAGTTTTGCAACGCCAATGAAGAGGTTGCGTTCTGCCAAATGGATGCCCGGACAGATGCGTCGGCCAGCCCCGTACCCATAATGATCGCGTTTGTCCCATTCCCCCGTTGCAGCGTAGGTCGGGGCCAGGGCTGGATAGTTTTCGAATCGGGCTGGTTCGAATCGATCCGGGTCCGGCCAGCAGTGAGGATCGTGATGGATGGCCCAGACATTCAGCACGATCGTGGCACCTTTGGGGAGGAACATGCCGTTGATGTAGTCGTCCTGGGCCACAGCATGGGATACCCCCAGGGGACTGACTGGTCGCCAACGATGCGCTTCTTTGATGATGCAGTTGATGTACGGTAACCGGGCGAAATCCGACAAGGCAGGCGATCGTTCCGATCCCACCACGCGATCTATTTCCGCATGGGCTCTGGTTTCCGATCAGCTCAGTCACCCAACTATGAACTATGAAGACAACAGACAAATGGAACACGCGGAAGGGGGGTGGGGGTGGCTGGCATCCCCAAGGATCATTATTACCTCGCTTGCACGGCAGGAAACTTGGTCATGGCCTGGATGATGGTCAAAATCAACGAGGACGAAGTATCCGATCCGCCTTCCATCAATACGCCCCCCAAAAACCGTAGTTGGCTCTCCGAGAGAGGTGTCTTCTGCATGTGATCCAACACTCGATCCATGAACGAGTCGCGATGGATGCCCCGAGCTCGACGGTCGCGTACCTGGTCCAACACCGTTGAATACAGCGACTGCATCAAATTCTCCACCTCCAGGGCTCGATTCCGCCAATTCCCCGTCATCCACTGGGGCAGGTTTCGCAACAGCCAAAAGTCATCGACCGGAGGAGTGGCCCCGAGTTCCTGAACTAACGACCACTTCTCCATCAGATAGAATAATTTCTCCATGTACTCGTCATGCACGGTTTTGGACCGAATGCCGAACACCAACGAATTGGTAACACTGTTACTGTATCGTTTGGGATGAAGCATGTGGTCTTCCGGCATGGTAAGAAAGTCATATAGCATCTGATTTGCTTCGGCTTCCTGTACTTTCCAATGTTCCTTTTCACAATTGGACTCCATGAAATACTGGTGGATCATTTTGCGCAGCATCCGCCAGGTGTCTCCGTACTGCATCACCAGAAGGTGGTCCGAGTGGGTGATGAGATGGGAAACCAGCGACTTGGGCCGATGGGAGTACAAATTACTTTTCTTGTCGATGAGCTCTTTGATGATTTTCCGGTCACTGATGACGATGGTGGTGTTTTTGAAGCGCCTGAGAGAAAAGATGCCACCGTACTGTTCAGCCCATTTCATGAATCTGTCTTGGTAAGTAGGCTGATATCGCAGACGGCGAGAGGAAAACGGGCATACTGAAAGTGTGCATCAGTTTTCGGGATTTGCAACTCATTGCCAAAAATGGGGACCGTTGGCGGGCCTGCATTCCAGTTAGCTGGGTCGATATATGCTGTAGACGATACCAATGGACGTATATACCCGGTGGCAGTGACGTAGGTTGACGACCGGGTTGCAACGCGCCATGAAGGAACAACGAGATAGCTCCAATGACCGCAAGCATAGCAGCAAGATAGAGGTAGGGAGAGTCTGCAAAGGCCATGGCGAGTATTGGTCTCCTCTACTGATGGTAAAGCTAACGCTAGCAAGAGAAGAGGAGAACCGCGAATATAAAAGCTAAGCTAAGCTATTGGAAGCGATCATTGAATTCATTGAGTAACCATGGTCCAAAAGGAGATTCGGAGTCCGTCTCTCATTTGTGTCCTTACCCTTTCGGCATGTCAGATCTGCTTTGGTGAATTGAGAGAAACATACCGAATGTGGTAGCAGTTGGAAGCTGCTTTATTCAGGGCTCTCTATGCTCTTGTACACACCGGAAGACATCAGCGATACGCCGCTCTCGAATAATTTCGGTCCTACAGATCTTGTATGACTTAAATAAGTCACATAGATGGGGGTGCTTGGAAATTGGATCAGGCCCAACGCTATTAATATGGTTGCGTAACCTACGAAGATTATTACTTTCCAAATCTAAGGTGTTATCTTGTGATCATACGTTTCATTGAACTTAGCTCCGGTGAGATATGACCACGGACTCATAGCCGAAGGATACTGGAAGACCTTGGCCGTTGCTCTTTCGCCCATAAGGGTAAATGTAAGAGTCGATGCGGTGGGGTTGCCAGCCAAGTGAGTTTCCATATCAGTTGTTGACATTACTGCCTAGGGGTTCTCTTGGTTTTACGTTCCCAATGGCGTAGGGGGTAACAGGACTTCTACGTTTTGAATGCTAAGTATATGATCACTATCTGATCCTTCGTATTTGAGGTTGATTTGTCGTATTGGCCCGGCACGAACAAACACCTAACCCATACATTTACTATTGTGCTATTGAACTGGAAGTAATATCATGTATAGAATAACTTGAAGTGAAGTGCTCGTACATATAGAGTATATTAATCTATATTAATCAAATTACGAAATGGATAAGTTAGACTGAAGTAAAAAGGACCATTGGCAGATATTCAATCGCAATGATCGGATGTATCTAACTCTTGAAACGAAAGAAGCAAAGAAAGGATAGATACCATCTCTCAATGACCGCCATTTGCCACCGTTTTTTTCAGGACTGTTCCATTTTCCCAGTCGGCGCCCGTTGTCTGTCCATTGTCGCCGTTGATAAGACCATTGATCCCATGTGAATGTCCACCGAGACCATTCGCACCGCCATGCGCATTCTCCACCCAAGCACCCCGTTCATACCTCGGTGCCGGTAGCTCCAACGGCTTGGGCGACATGTCGCGCACCCACGTCTCAAACTCAGCATTTTCCGGCCTCGACGTGGCCTCCAAGGCGACCTGTTCGGACCAGGACTTCTCCGACGCAAACGCATCGTGCACCAGGTGCTGCTGGAAGACCGACCCCTTCATCTTGGCCACGGCAAAGTCCCAGTCGGTCGTGTATTCCTTAAAGAAGGGCCGGTAGCCGAGAAGTCCGCCAATCCAGCGCCCGACGATGACGCAGGTCCAGTAGCCGACTTGGCGCCGGAAAGGGACCCAGGCGGGAGCGGGGGTGTATGCGTCTCCGCCGTCTTGGATCTTTTGTCCTTTGGTATTAGTGAACTCTGATCTATATATACGGAGGTAGAAATCTCGAGGGTGGGTGTTTTGGGGGGTGGTAAAAAACACGTACAGCTAAAAATTGAATCCAATCCAGACCACCATCATGCAATAAAGCATCGTGCCAGTAACCATACCAATTCTCAAAGAAGATGCGATCCAGCTGATAGTCCATTCCGGAGTCCGACGCACTCAGGTAGACGGTCATGCTCTCTTCAGAATCCGGGTGAATGAAGAAATTGTGAATGCTGCCCGCCTTGACGGATACTTCCCCATCGTCGGGTGTCACTCGCTTCATCTGCCCGTCGACATTGATGCCCATCACCCCGGACTCTACACGGAAATACTCGGTTTGGAACTGATGGAAGTGGGGGGGCGGACCTTTGGGCCGGTGGGGGCCGTTGATCAACTCGCGCAGATTGTCGGGGATGGGGCCCTCAACGGTGTGACGGTAGGTTTGGCGGAAAAGAAAACATCTTCCCGGTGGAGGTTCGAGGAATTCGGTCGTAAGGAGACCACCGAATCTGGTTCATCATGCAAGGCGTGAGTCAAAGAGTGAGAACTAGTTTAGTTGGTGGCAGACCAGACATACTTCACGATCTTAGATTGGCCGGCGGAGTTGTGGTAGGGGACAAACGGCATGATGATAGATGATGGGATTTAGTTCGGCGGTAGGATAATACGGTCAAATTGAATCGTGATGCACCTGCGTAGGAATGACACAATACGGCTGGAGAAGGAAAAAAAGATATATATAGCAGACCCAACGTCAATGATCTGTTCACGTGAAAAACGTCTCTCGTGTTTCGCATCCCCGTCAACCGTGCTCTTTTGGATCGGACGGTCGCCTTGCTCCTTTCGGACATCACCAACCCCGTTAGGGCTTACTGTTGCATGCGGCGTTGCGGCCGTCCAGGTCCGTGGTGTCTGGGCAGGCCAGATTAAGTCTAGCACGGATTGCCACGTTTTTTCTGACACTGCCGAATTTTGCATTTCCAGATTCGTCGTACCCCATTCGTCTCGGCAGACGTTCTGGAATGGAAGTCGATCATGCTCGATGGAGAAAGTCGATGAAGTTGGCCCGATGGAGTTGAGATGGAGTTAAGATGGAGTTGAGATGGAGTTAAGATGGAGTTGAGATGGAAATGAGATGAGAACAGACGGGATAAAGCCTTGTGAGGCCAGGGCCTACAATATGCATTTATAGTCCAGTCCTCATCCATGGTCCATCATCCATCATCAGAGCAGCACAGCACAACACGCTACAGTACGCACAGCAATAATCTATTAGCACTTCTATCCCCAAATTCTCCATTGTTCAGATCTTGAACTGTCTTCCTTCACCTGGTCAAAATGCCTCACTTTTCGTCTACCGATTCTAACTCCTCCTCCATCGCGACGCCGGAAGCTCAATACTCCGGTGTGAGCACTCCCGTCACCGAGTACAGCCAATTTGTATGTCTTTCCATTGCCACCAAGACACCTGAATAGACCGGTGACACTAATCCGCGTAGAACTTTGGCAAGGAGGTTGCTGTGGTCGGGATGGCCTGCCGGGTTGCTGGCAACAACAACAGCCCCGAGCAACTCTGGCAATCTCTCCTGGAGAAGCAAGATGCCTCGGGGGAGATTCCCAAAATGCGTTGGGAACCGTACCTGCGCCGCGATCCTCGCAACGCCAGGATTCTCAAGGAGACCACCTCGCGTGGCTACTTCCTCGATCATCTCGAGAACTTTGACGCTCAGTTCTTCGGTATCTCTCCCAAAGAGGCCGAGCAGATGGACCCTCAGCAGCGCCTGTCCCTCGAAGTCACCTGGGAAGCGTTGGAGAATGCCGGTATCACGGCCAAATCGCTCTCGGGCAGTGACACGGCTGTCTTTTGGGGGGTCAATTCCGATGATTACTCCAAGTTGGTCCTGGAGGATCTGCCCAATGTCGAGGCGTGGATGGGCATCGGCACGGCTTACTGTGGTGTTCCCAACCGCATCTCGTACCATCTGAACCTGATGGGCCCCAGCACTGCGGTTGACGCCGCTTGTGCCTCGTCGCTTGTTGCCGTCCATCACGGTGTCCAGTCCATCGTCCTGGGTGAATCCAAGATCGCCATTGTCGGTGGAGTCAATGCCCTCTGCGGGCCCGGGTTGACTCGCGTTCTCGATAAAGCGGGTGCGGTCTCGTCTGAAGGACGTTGCTGTTCATTTGATAACGACGTGAAGGGATACGGCCGTGGTGAAGGAGCTGCGGCCATTGTGCTCAAGAACCTTTCGAGTGCTATCCAAGACGGCGACCATATCATGGCCTTGATCAAAGGAACCGCCGTGGCGCAGGACGGCAAAACCAACGGCATCATGGCCCCCAACGCCAAAGCCCAGCAGCTTGTCGCCCGCAACGCTCTCAAGGTCGGCAATGTTGATCCTCTCACGGTCGGATATGTTGAGGCCCATGCCACCTCGACCCCTTTGGGGGATCCCACCGAAGTTTCGGCCATTGCCGCCGTCTACGGCGCTGAACGAGAGCCTGAATCCCCATGTTTCATCGGATCCATCAAGCCAAACATTGGCCATTTGGAAGCCGGCGCCGGCGCCATGGGCTTCATCAAGGCGGTCATGGCCGTACAAAAAGGTGTTCTCGCCCCTCAGGCCAACCTCACCACCCTAACCAAGAAGATCGACTGGGACCGCGTCGGCCTGAAGGTGGTCCAGGAAGAAACCAAGTGGCCTTCTACTGACGAGATTCGCCGTGCTGCGATCTGCTCCTATGGTTACGGTGGGACGGTTTCCCACGCTGTCATCGAGCAGTTCACTCTCCCTGAAACCCCGGATCTAACTCCGGTCTCGTCCTCATCAAGTCCCACGCTGCTGCTGCTTTCGGGACCCCAGGAGAAACGTCTGCCCTTCCAGGCCCGTGCTCTCGGTGAATGGTTGCAGTCGGAGGGTTCTCACCATGAACTGAAACGCGTGGCCTCGACGCTCGCAGTCCGACGCGATCACCACGACTATCGCGTTGGCCTCGTTGTCGACAGCCAAGAGGATGCCATCCATGCTTTGGCACAGTTGGCCTCGGGAGCCCATCAGGCCAACGCCTGGACCTCGCAGAGCCGCGTCTTCGGCAGGGATGTCAACAAGGAGGTCGTCTGGGTGTTCTCTGGCCATGGCGCTCAATGGGCCGGGATGGGCCAGGAATTGCTGCAAAACCCTGTCTTCTTCCAAGCTATTCAACCCTTGGATGATATTGTCCAAGCGGAGACCAATCTCTCTCCAATTGCGCTTCTGCAAACCGGCGAGTTCGAAGCCTCTGACCACGTCCAGATCCTGACCTACGTCATGCAAATTGGCATCGCCGCCATCCTCCACAGCCACGGGGTCTATCCTCAGGCCATCATCGGCCACTCAGTTGGTGAAATTGCCGCCAGCGTGGTGGCGGGCGCTCTCACGGCCGAGGAAGGGGCGGTTCTCATCACACGTCGGTCGGTTCTCTATCGGCAAGTCATGGGCCAGGGCGCGATGATCCTCGTCCACAAACCCTATGCGGAGATGGCGGACGAACTGGCTGGGGCTGAGAATCTCGTCGTGGCCATCGACTCTTCCCCCTCGTCTTGCGTCGTGGCCGGATCAACCGCAGCTGTTGCCCAAAAGGCCGCCGAGTTGAAGCAGCGGTCCATCCAGACCTTCACCGTCCGCACCGACATCCCCTTCCACAGCCCCATGTTGAATCCGCTAGTGGTTCCCTTGCTGCATTCGCTCGACGGCCGTCTCGCCCCCACGGCCCCAACTCACGCAAAGCTCTACTCGACGTCTCTGGCCGATCCTCGGGGCCAGGACTTGCGTGATGCTACCTACTGGGCCAACAACATGATCAATCCCGTCCATCTCACGTCGGCCGTGCAGGCCGCGCTGGCGGATTCCTACCGCATCTTCCTGGAGGTGTCCTCACACCCGCTGGTCTCGCACTCGGTCAACGAGACCATTATGGCGGCCGGCCTGGAAGATTTCTGCATGGTCCCGACTCTGGTGCGCAAGAAGCCCAGTGAAAAGTGCATCCTCCACGCCATAGCTCAGCTGCACAGCCGCGGCGCGACGGTGGACTGGAAGTCGCACTGTTCCGGACCCTGGGCCGGCGGATTGCCCAACACCCACTGGATGCACAAGCCTACGTGGCGCCAGGTTGGGGCAGGCAATGTCCATGAACCATCGCAGCAAACTCATGATGTCGAGAAGCACGCTCTTCTAGGTCAGCGCATCGGCGTCGCTGGGACGGATACGGTAGTGTATACAACTCGACTGGACAACGACAGCAAGCCCTTCCCCGGCAGCCATCCATTACATGGCACAGAGATTGTTCCTGCTGCCGGTCTGGTCAACACCTTCATCAAGGCCACGGGGGCCAATGCCTTGCATGATGTCGCCCTGCGCGTCCCCATCGCCATCAATGCGCCCCGATCCGTGCAGGTTGTGACTCAGCGCGATGAAGTCAAGATCATGTCTCGATTGATCCCAGAGAACCAGAGCGCTATTGACGACTCCTCGTGGGTCACTCACACCACCGCGCGGTGGAATTCTATGCCTACCCTAACGACTTCAAAAGCCCACATCAATACCCAAGCGGTCAAAGACCGCATTGGAACGCGTTTGCGCGATGACTTCTCGATCGACTATCTCGCTAAGGTCGGCGTGTCGGCCATGGGGTTCCCTTGGGCCATCACCGAGCATTACGGCAACACCGAGGAGATGATTGCTCGCGTCGATGTCGCTCCCGCCGTGGCTGCAGACGGTGATCTGCCCTGGGATACATCCTCTTGGGCTCCCATTCTGGATGCAGCCACCTCCGTCGGATCGACCATTTTCTTCGACCAGCCCCGGCTGCGTATGCCAGCCCAGATCGAACGGGTCGAAATCTTCACCCGGGAGAATCCGCCCAAGACAGGGTGGTTGTATGTGCAGGAAGCCTCCGACTCCGCCCTAGCGTCGCATGTCAGCGTATGTGACGAGGCGGGCAATGTGGTGGCCAAGTTCACCTCGATGCGCTTCGCCGAGATCGAAGGCGCTCCTGGGGTCAGCGGCAGCATGGAGAGTCTCGTCCACCAGATGGCCTGGCCCCCAGCCGTGCCCGTTGAGGTGCCTCTTCCCATTCATCAGATTGTGCTGGTCTCTGAGGACAAGGCTCTCCGAGAGGAATACGCAGGCACGATCTCGACGCCGACGCAAATATTCCAGCTCTCCAATGCCAGTGATCTAGCCCTCCAGCGGGACATTTTGCCTCTCAACCACAAGGAAACGGCCATTGTATACATTCCGAGTCAGGTCCCTTCCCTGCAGAACGTGCCTGAGGCGGCTGAAGCCTTTACATGGCAGCTTCTCGAGATCGTCAAGTTCGTTATCAACCATACCTTGCCTGCCAAGGTCTTTGTCGTCACGTCTAACACTGCCGAGGGAGCAACTCCAACAGCCCTCGCGCAAGCACCACTGGTAGGTCTCAGCCGGGTCATCGCCAGCGAGCATGGGGATCAATTCGGGGGCCTCATCGACACTGAAGTCCCGACCTTCCCTCTGGCGACGATGCGCTACATCCAAGGGGCCGATATCATCCGCATTCGCGACGGAATGGCCCGCACAATGCGTCTGCGTCCTCTCCCCCGTCACCTCCTCCTGCCCACCGATACGGGCTCCCCATCTCCTGCACCGCTCCTACCCCGTCCCGATGGCACATACCTCATCACCGGCGGTCTGGGAGCCCTAGGACTCGAAGTGGCCGACTTCCTCGTCAGCAAGGGCGCCCAGCGCGTGATCCTCCTCTCTCGGCGTGATCTTCCTCCGCGCCGCGCCTGGTCCGCCCTCCCGTCCGACGATGCCCTAGCCCCGGCCATCGCCAAAATCCAAGTCCTCGAGTCCCGCGGTGCATCCATCCACGTCCTCGCCCTGGACATCAGTGTCCCGAATGCAGCGCAACGTCTTACGGGGGCTCTGGATCAGCTCGGTCTCCCCCCTGTCCGCGGCGTCGTTCACGCCGCTGGGGTTCTCGATAATGAACTGGCGGTGCAGACTACACCGGGGGCGTTTTCGCGCGTCCTCGCCCCCAAGGTCACCGGCGGGCTAGTGCTGAATGAAGTCTTCCCAGCGAGCACGGTCGACTTCTTCGTCTTATTCTCCTCATGCGGCCAGCTCGTCGGCTTCACGGGGCAGAGCTCCTACGCCGCTGGTAACGCCTTCCTTGACACGCTGGCCACGCACCGCCGCCAGCAAGGGGATCACCACGCCGTCGCCATCCAGTGGACCTCGTGGCGCGGTTTGGGCATGGGCGCCAGCACCGACTTCATCAACGCTGAGCTAGAAAGCAAAGGTATCACAGACGTCTCCGCCGACGAGGCATTCGCCGCCTGGCTACACCTCGCCAAATACGATGTCGACCATGCCGTCATCCTCCGCAGTCTCGCCTTCGACGCCGACGAACCCCTCCCTACCCCCGTGCTCACCGATATCGCCCTGCGCCGCGCACCGAGCGTGCCCTCTTCCGCTGGTACCACCATCACAGACGGTAGTCATTCGGTTGTTACCAACTCGGATCGAGCCAAGATGCCCCCCGTCGGTCCCGCCCGGAAAGCCTTCCTCGACGAGGCCATCCGCTCCTGTGTCGCCGTCGTCCTCCATCTGGCCACCGACGAGGTCGACTCCAAGGCCGCGTTGGCCGATCTGGGCATCGACTCTGTTATGACCGTCACGCTGCGGCGGCATCTGCAGCAAGCCCTCAAGATAAAGGTGCCACCCACGTTGACGTGGAGCCATCCCACTGTGAGCCATTTGGTTGGTTGGTTTGCGGAGAAGCTAGAATCGACTGAATAGGAGTCGGTTGTTGTTGTTGATGATGAAAACGAACTGATAAAGTCATCACTATCACTACGCTCTGCCTTGATTACGCAGATTACGCAGATTGATCGGATTTTCGTTTGCCTCTGTGGAATTTGACGGGATCGGGTTCGCTTTGGGGTCTACTTTTGATTATGTCCATGCCTGTGCCTATGCTCATGCCCATGTTTGTGTTTATGCTTGGGTTTTAATGGGCTGTCCATTGTTCTCCACCGAATTGGCTAGACCTGTCCTTTTACAATCAGATAGATGCGTAATAGAACGAACAAATAACATTGATTGAATTTTCCCTACTTTAAATCTTAGAATCGAGACAATACCAAAATGCAAGTAGCGGAATAGATTGTCCTTATCAACATGCGTTGGAATTTAGATGTTTCGCACCCCAAGAGATGAAGTCTCTAGCTATTTGAAGCCAGCTGACCTTTGCCTTCTAAAAGGTATCATCACTCATGCCGGAGTCGTTGATGCCGAAGGCTTACGCCAGTCAATGATATTGTGACCCCTTCAGAGCCTGCTGGCAACCATCAGATCATGGTACATCCATCCAATAGGACCTTGATAACTCGCCAGTGTCGATAGTGAGTCTGCAGAGAAAGGTAACCGGATTTTTCAAGTGCTGCATTATGGAGACCAGCGAGCCTGAGATATATACTAACTGCGAGGCGGATTGACGATGACCACACCAAAACAAACAGAAACAACCAAACCATGATGAAAGAAAGCGGGAGTCGTTCGTCTATACCAATGGCAGACATGTAACAAAAAATATCATCGGTATCATCAGCTCTAAGATGGGGGAAATCAGACAGACAACGGCATTGAAGGATAAACCCGAATGAAGTGAAACGGAGGGCAGAATCATTGAGACCCATATTCCTCCCAGGAATCCAACGACATCGCACCATTTGACATCCACTGTGTACCAGTTCCTACCAACAGATCACTGGGTAGATTGAAAGATGTGTCCATGAAATCCAATGGGGGAGTGATGGTGGCCGGATCGGAAAAGTCGTTCCCCAGCATCATATTGGATGGCAGATTGGTCGGGGTTAGCAATGCAGAAAATGGATCGATTGGCTGTGAGGTGGAAGTAATCACACCCGGTCCAATGCTGGGCATCCTAGTGGTGGTGATGATGCCAGTGGAAGACCGCACCGACACCGGGGGCAGCACAGCTGTGTCTGAGGCGCTCTGGCTTGGAGGCGTGAGCTGGGACCACCCACGCGGGGTTGAGCTGGAACGGAACTGCTCCCAGGCAACCTGAATGGTATTAGCGACAGGGGTAAAAGACTGGCCGAGAGTATCTAGATTCCGGAGAGCCATCGGCAAGATTTTGCGCGCGGCTGGCGTTGGAGGACACACAGGGTTTGCCACCACAAATGATAGGATGCAGATGGTAGCATCCCACTGATACTGGAAAGCTGGCGTCCATCCACAAAGTAGATCCGTCTCCGACAGGACCTGGTTTAATATATTGGTCACCACAACAGCGTGGTTGAGAGCAGAAATACTATGACTATCTGACAGTGGTGTGAGGGACGCGCCACGCGGAGGAAAGCGGATGAAGGGACGAAAGGTGGCGATTTGAAGATGGTGATATATGATCTCCAGGAGAAGCCGTTGACGTTGCAACCAGAGCGGGCTCGCAGGATTCAGATTGAGTGACGTACGGTCTGTCGAAAAAGCCTCGCCTGAGCCCTTGCGTTGATTCTTGAGAGACCGCGGCACGGTCTGCACCCAGTCGTACATCGCACGGACTCCGCTTCCCAGAAAGCTTCCGAGCAGCTCGAGGGTGGGTGGATCCTCATGGATATCTTGGATATTTTTCGTCTGTAACACTTCGGCACAGCGCGCACCAAACGCAGCGTTGACCCCGCGCGCCGCGGCCATCAGGCGAATGTACTGTACGTGGAAGCTGAGCCAACCTATTTCCTCTTCGGGAGGCGATATTAACACCGTGGGTGACAATTGCACCGCGTCACCCATGTCTGTGGGTATCGCACATCCGACCTCATTCGGATTGATCAGCGGCGGGCGGCCGAGAGTCATCGAGATCTGGCTGTCCAACTGGTACAACGTCCACCAGATCCGAGAATACAGCTCCTGCGTCGTTTTCGGGAGAGGCCCCAGAGGACGTATGTGCAAGCGCAACATCTGAGCAACTCTAATGGCCAGTCCGAGGAGAGCATGACCGGTGTCTAGATTCGCGGTGTTGTATAGGTAGATGATGCAGTAAATATGGCTCTGCAGGGACGGGATCGAAGGATGCTCCAAGGACTCCATCAGTGCGCGCTGACTCCGACGGTAGAAAGTATGCGCGGCGGTAGTACATTTGGCAGCCTGCGTTTCTGTCTCGCCATTCGTCACGTCCTCATCGTCGACCAGAAAAGTGCTGCCGTACTGCATGCAGACGGCCAACAAGCTATCCACAAGAGCGGAGGGCTGGCGCGGGGCTTGTCCGTTGGTTCCAGCCCAAAGAGAACCGTAGTACTCTCGGAATTCCTCTTCTGCAACAATGGGGTACATGCAATGATAGGCCTGCCACAGAAGGACCAGGAAGTGCTCTTCTTGTTCTCGCGAGAGGTCCTCCACCTCGGCCAGTCCCAAACGAAGGCTGGGAGGTTCCATTTCGTCCGACAACTGCTCCTGTGAAACGGTGGGTGAGTGACGGTGTAGCTGCGAGAGGCGGACCGGAAGAAGAGATTTGAGATGTAGTTGGTTGAACGATTCGGACATATACCGGTTCAAACGCATCACCATGTACGACGAGGAGAGAGGGCCATAATGGATCAGCCGACCCGTTCGCGACTCCGGCTTTTGAAGGCCGTCCCATGTCTTGCGATGCGAATGTGGAAGCTCCATGAAAAATGCGATACCGGGAGAGGTGGAATTGGAGGCATTGGAGGATTGTCGGGACGGGGATTCGGCGTCTGTCGCGTGCCTTTTTGACTCCTCGGTTACTTTATCCAGTTGCTCCTGGTAATCCTTGAGTCGGTTGCGCAAACGATGTATCTCCCTAGCCATTTATCATCAGCTTCCTCCGGCTGGGGCTTACCCGAAAGAGAGAAACAACCGCATGAGGAGGAGCAGAGGGAAGAGTGGTGGGATGTCTCTTACCGATTCGCGGCAGGGAGTGAAGGGGCTTCAAATTGCTTGGTATTACTGCAGTAGCCGCCATGGTTCCGGCAATTCTGACAAGGCTGTTTGTCGTCGCACTTGATGCGATTGAGACGGCACCAGTCGCAAGCTCGCACAACTTGATTACGCTTGGGACGAGGTGCGGCGGCGGGTTTCTCCGAGGGGCGATCAGTGGAGTTGAGATTGGCGGAGAAGGTGGAGAACATGGCCAAGAGAGACGTGATAGCAGTAGTTGATTTCAAGCAGGAGGGACTCTTTCCAAAGAACGTAGAAGAATCCAGCCGGAGGAGAAGGGGAGAGGAAAACGAGTAGGAAAAACAAAGGAACAAAGGATGATGAGGGGATAAGAGAGAGCCAACAAGGAAACAGAAACGAGCGAACGGACGATGGGCCCGTTGCATGTAACGGTGTCTGATAGAAGCTGTCCATTCCGTTTTTGTTTTTTTTTTTTTTGTTTTTTCTTTTTCAATCGAGTCTTCCTTTATCCTGTCACATGGACCGCGGATCGCCGGGGCGGCCTGACTAGACAGGCTCGTCGCGATCGATTCAGACAAGCGATGGTCCCTGCATATGCAAAATAAATTGGTGGATCCTACAGTAGGTCATGCACATTTTCTGGTTATCCCGAGTGGGATGGCGCCCGCTTAGCGTTTGAAGACTTCCGTCTGACACACATGATGACCTGGACTCTCCATCACAACTAGCCACGGACTAAGAACGGAGCTGACGAGTAACCAGCCGGAAATCCAGACGCAATCCAGCCCGCAACCTTGTATACTGGCCCGGCAGCTGAATGTGCGGTGAAAAAAAGGACGGAGATGTCCTCGTCGCGTGGCGTGAGCCTCAAGATAAGCGGGGGGAGGATCATGTGACAAGGCTTGACCTGTCCCTCGCAAGCCTAATCATTCCCAACGTTCACAGATCACGGGAGGTCCCGAAGTGCCGCCACAAACGGGTGAGGTGCACCCAAGGTCACGTCCTCAAAACGGAGACCGTGTGGCTGCAGAGCAGACAGGATGGGATCGCCGTACGCGAGCTTCTTGCTTAGCTTTCCTGGAGTGGAGCACCAGCCCAGAAGGGCAATCGCATCACATCTCCGACTCCGTATCAACTCCCACCCTCGCTGAAGGATCTTGCCTCATGGCAGACAGAACTAGGCCTCCTGATCCAGCACATTAGCAAGAGCGTCATCCAGTCCCCGATGGACCCAGTAGATGAGTTGTCGAGATCAGATTGAACTCGTGCTGTGGACCGAATGATAATGATGCTTCTTGAAGCACCACATCGCCTGGATGGCCGGTCGTGTTGAGGTGGATTATTGACCGGGGAAGTTGGGACCCGATATTCAAGATAACCCCTGCCCGAAGAACGCCACAATCTGTACTGTTCGTTGTCACTGTATTCTATGTCGAGGACGGAGAAGCACGTGTCTGCGATAGGGTGCTGCAGTGTAACACTGCAGATACGAGCAAATCAGCGCCTTCCTGCGGGGGAATCCTATAATAGTTTAAGCGAGAAAGCGTCAGTGAAGGCTAGTTACCGGAGTCGCGTCTCAGCTCCCTTTCAGGGTTTCAAGATCTCACCATTCCCAGAACGACGGCAATTTCCTACATTATGTGCCTACCATTGTGGTGCGGTGAAGATTGGGCTCTTAGAACCAGATTCCGTCAGTATACAGTCTCATGTTTTTTCAATTTTCTTGGGCCTGCGGGAACTGCCGCGCCCGAGCCGGTCCGGTAGATCTTTGGGCCGAAATTACATACAGCATCGGTCTATACATCGACGTGACAAAACAGGAAATGAAATAAAACTTACGAGGCGTTTGATACGCCAATCCCAGAGAAATCAACCAACAACCCCTGAAGTTGGACGAAATCGATCGAAGCCCCAGAGAACCCCTCTTTCAGCGATGCCGATGCACCCGGGTCAAATATGTAATGACTAGTACCATGGTGAAATTGAAGGCAATAAAGCCAATGAAGACGGCAACATTCCGGCCCCGGTGCCCATAGCTATAGTCATATTGTGTGTACTAGAGGTAGGTTGCAGTCAGCCAATCATTGCTCGTCACCCGTAGATCATAGATGCGATGTGGAAAATGCAGGCAGGAATACTCACATAGGCTTGACCGTTCTTATATGGACAGTACTCGCAATTGGCGGTGCTGTTTGGGTTGACCAGGAACCCAGTGGCATTCTGGAGGAAGGACGCGGCATACTGGTAGCATGTCGTGCTGTTGGGCGGCTGAAACACGGACACTTCCGAGTCTGTACAGTGGAGAGGCAGGTCATGCAGGACGTCTACCACGACGCCTTCGTTCATGTAAAACAGGGGTGAAACCTTGTAGTACCAGCGCCATCCTGCCGGCGTCACCGGTTTCGGTGATAAAGTGCCAGCGAAGGTGTTGCAGAACATGAAGAAGAAGCCATTGGCAGAGAGGGCGGCTTCGATGGTGGGCATCAGCGAGGCGCACAGTTGGGCTAAGCTGGTGGCAAACACGGAAAAGAGCTGATAAATCAAGAAACTGTACCCTGCATGGTTGGAGTCTCGGAAGTAGCCCACGGGGAAGTACCACAGCAGCCAATATACAAGCGAGGTGAAGAAGGCATACGGCAATTCGACGAGAATGGCGGAGAAGCTGAACGCCAGCCAGTGGTAGGTCAGACTCTCCCGTTCGCGGTGCTCGAAGATGTTTCGCAAGGTCACGAACCGCGGCTGCACCTGCAGTCCCAACGGCGGACCGACAATCAGGGACATGAAGGAGGAGAAGACGCGGTTGTAGGCGCCTCGCTGCGTCAGAGGAGAGTTGAGATACGTCATTCCATTAAGCAATGCATTACCGGCGTTCAACCAGAGCTTGGCTCTAGCATAGTCTGGAGCTCGCCAGTAGTAGAGCCATGTCCGCTTGAGCAATACGAGCATCTGGTAATGAAACGGGGCGGCGTGAAGCGATAGCGAAGAATGGCCCCCACGACTACCTGGGCCGCCAAGCTCGGAAGATGCAAGTGCATTCTGGTTGCCTAAAGTCTGATCACGGCTCTGCTTCCAGATCTCCACCCAGTCTGTCTGAACATCCTGGCGGGTGCCAGCGCCAATCACTTCTAGGAAGTACTCGGCTGGGTTCTCCCCCTCACGACAGGGGCGAGCATATGGCGAGAAGTGAGCGACAGCCTGCCGACAGTCCACTCCCAAGGGGCCGTCGTACACCACTTGACCACCGCGGGCCAACAGATAGAGTCCGTCAAAGGTTGCAATCAGTTCCGCAGCGGGCTGATGGATCGTGCATATGATTGCCTGTCCGGAGTCTGCAAGTCTTCGCAGGAGTCGGACAATGGAGTAAGCCGATTGCCCGTCGAGACCGGAGGTGGGCTCATCCAAAAACAGGATGTCCGGCTTCGCAGCCATCTCCACACCAATGCTGACCCTCTTGCGCTGTTCCAGGTTGAGACCAGCCCCGGGGGTTCCGACCAAGGCGTCCGCGATTGGTTCCATGTCTAGCGAGCGGATGACCTCTTCGACATAGGCGTCCTTCTCTTTGAGGGAGACCTCTTGCGGTCGACGAAGTCGGGCGGTCATCTGCAATGCCTCTCGTACGCTTTGCGTGGGGAGATGAATGTCCTGTTGTTGAACGTATCCCATTTGGCGATTGAAAGACTTGGGAAGAAATTGACCATTGAGTGCCAGTGTTCCCGTCAATGTTCCGTTCTTTGATCGGCCGGCTAGAGCATTCAACAAAGTGGTCTTACCGGCGCCAGACACGCCCATCAACGCTTTCATCTGGCCGCTATAGATGGATCCATTCAAGTTTGTCAGGAGACGTTTCTGGCCGTCTTTTGTTTTCACGTCAAAATTGAGCATTGTCCAGGTTAAACTGCGAGACTGATATTCGACGGTGGCGCTGCGTTCCCGAGTTGTGTCTTCGCTCTGCACTGGGGGAGCATCGAAATCCACAGGACCGCTCTCTTGGTCGGACGACTTTGATCCTGGCCCGGAAGGAGATTTACGGGATTTCATGCCACGGTAAAATACAATTGCCAGGCGACCTGCCGGTTGCTTCAAGCGTTCCATGCCAATACTATGTCTCATAGTCAGCACACCTGAGTACGTACGAAGGGAAGGAACTGAAAATCGGTCTTTCAAACTTACGCTGAAGCGAGACCAAAAATAATGAAGAATGCTGCGTTAATTCCCAGGTTTCGCCAGAGGTTGTGCTTTTCAAACCCGTATTGGGCCTTGAGATATGCCATTCCGGACAGGAGTCGTTGACCAGGTGTAGAGCCTACCACAGCGCACACCTGATTAGCAATGTTTGTATATCCAGGTCCTGATGGGACCAGATCCGATGCGCTACATTCGTAGCTCAAATTGGCAAATTCGTTGATCATGACAGATTCGAAACCGTAGTGAAGTGGCTGTTTCGTCTGGTTAACGAGACATTCCCACTGATGAGAAATAGGTAGGAATGCTTACATTCAGGTATCTCAGCCAGCCTAGCCATACCTGCATTTGAGGTGGTGGCACATAGAGGCCCGTGTACAGAACGTACATGTTAAAGAAAATTCCCACTGGGAGGACGGCACGGTACATGTTGGATGAGAATACTGCCACTGAGCGGAAGAACATGGATAAGGCCAGATGCTCGATATATACCACGACAAACCAGATGAAAAAATTGGCGGCATTTTGCTGAAATCCAGTCAGGAAATATAGAGGAATATTCCAGAAGACGACGAAAACTTTCCAGACGATATCCGTCATGATCAATCCGAAGCCGTAAGCCATGGGTCGGTACAAGCGGTATCGCTTGTGTTTGAGAATGAGTGGCCGCTGGGCGAAAGTACTGCGAAACTCTGCCATGGCTTGCAAAGCGGGAACAAGGACCGAGTAGAAGAGGGCCGATGCGAAGATGAACAGAGACCCAGTGCTCCTCTGCTGGTTTCGGAACAAGGTTCCCAAGATCAAGCTCTGGACGACAATACACAGGGCCTCCACAAGTAAGGAGCTGTAGTTGTGCTGGATGATGCGCACCTGGCGCATGGCACAGTACGAAATCTGTTGATGAAGTGGTAAAGCATACTGGATGGACTTGGTCGGACGGAACACCGCGGGAAGAGATTTCGCCTGCTGTACGGCATATTGGAGCTCTTCGAAGTGCACGCTGCGCCGGAATTCACTCTGGAAATCGTCCGGTGTGCGAGGCGCTCGATCTCGGCGCGCTTCATGTACACGGCGGACCTCAGGATCGGCGGACATGGAGTTCAAAAAGTCTGTGGTGGTAGTGGCAGATGAACATTCGAAACCCAGACTCAGGAAGTGCGCTTTGGCGTCCCGAATATTTCCGTAGAAGATCTGACGTCCGGCATTGATAACAACAATTTTGTCGAAGTATGGAACAATGGCATCACTACCTTGATAGACACTCATGGCGGTCACGCACTGACTCTGCAGTGTCCACTCCCGCATCATTTCCATGAATTCGAGGGCTGTCGAGGAGTCTAAGCCATTGGTCGGATTGTCTAAGCAAATGAGCCTGGCATAGGTATTTCCATGATCAGTATTTCTGCTTGCAAACTTGGCCGGGGTGGATCAGATTTACCGTGCACACGTCGCCAGCGCCTCAGCCAACGAGACCCGGCGTCTCTCACCTCCACTCACTCCTCGAATATACGCGTCTCCAACCTTGGTGTTTAGCACCTTACTGAGTCCGACCAGTTGGGCTAGATACTGGACCCTCTCATTGACCTCTAATGCAGATGGCTTGGGCCCACAGCGTGCCCTAACTGCGAATCGCAGCGTCTCGAAGACAGTCAAGGTCGGGAAGTGGTCATCGGACTCGCCTGTGTCTAGTCAGTCACGACGGCCCTGAGTATACTAGGCGAAGAAGTGAACGAAGGCTTACCGCAAAATACAATGTCCTGGGGATGATTATCGATGACGGACTTCACGGACTGTCCGCCGAAGGACAACTCGCCTTGAACGCCTTTATACTCATCCCACATACCAGCCAGCGTCTTCAGGAACGTGGTACAACCGCTGCCGGGCTTTCCAATCACCAAAACCATCTCGCCTGGTTGGATGGCAGCGGAGAATTCTCGAAGAATAGGTCGCGACGATGGCCTATGAAGCCTAGTTTGAATCGGCTCCAGCAGGCCAAAGCCCGATTTCGCCGCTGTCAAGACACTAGGGGCCGGAAGGGCCTTTCACTCAGCTGTCAGTACTTCGTCGCTGGACGTGCGAAGAGGGGCTTGGGTGGCTTACACCTGTGCCACTGCCTTCAACTGTTACATTCTCCATCACGATCCTTGCAGATTCAGGGTTGTGGTCATCGCCATGCCGGAAGGATAGAAATCGTTTCACGCTCAAAGCAATCGGCTCAACCGCCACACTGTTAGATGAGTCGGACAAAAAGTCTTCGTGCAGACCAGCATGTGCCTTCTCCATGATCAACTCAATGTCAATGGGCGTCGCTGCACCGCTCTCCTCGGAGTCTTGATGCAAGGTATCTGTTGCTTGGTACTTTTCCATTGGTGCTGTGGATGTTGAATGATTTTCGTCCGATGCACCACGCGAACTTCAAGAGGATTATGCTGAGACAAGAACAAGGTAGCCGTCATTATGAGATAGCCCAAGGGACTTATATAGCCCATGAGAAAATTGCCCCCAGAGTTTGGGGAAAGTTGTTCTCCGCTACCTCAGTGAATAGAAGAGCAGTTCCATGATAGATCTTCTTCCGTCCCGATTGGGAAAGGGCAGAATGAATTTATGGACTTCCTAAAGGAGATTCGGAAATGCCCCGATATGGATTAGCGACCCGACAACAAGAGTGTTAGTCATCAATGCTTGTGTTTCAACTTACCTGATTTAGCCGTCCGTAAGGAGTACCCAGGCCAGATACAGAATCGCTCTCAATATGTCCAAGGGGGAGTTCGTCGCCACGACCTCCCAGGAGACTCTGAAGCAGACTGAAATTTTCGGGTCCATCACACCGAGACGAGGCTCCGTTATGTGGGCTACTGTATCTAGTTACTTTAGTACACGCGGCTTACAACACATCAGAGTTAGTACGAAGTCAACGAAGAATTATGGCAATTATACCTATGTGTATATATAGTAAGCGAAATGCCCCTCATTTCCCATTAGTACCCCGCCATCATCACTCTCGTCTACCTCTTTTTTTGCCTCTCATCTGCCCCCAACGCCTTGACTTGACACTATGCCTTTCGAAACTGGCCTCCAAGGCACTCATGTTCTCATCACCGGCGGCACCCGTGGCATGGGTCAGGCCATGGTGCGGCGATTTCTACAGGAAGGGGCAGACGTCTCATACTGCGCCCGCACCGTCACCAACACCGAATTTGATGAGGTACATCAATCTCTCCTTGAAAACAACCCTGCTAGAGCATTTGGCACTGCCCTTGACGTTTCCTCCAAAGAAGGGATCATCAATTGGGTCCACAGCTCCGCCGAACGCGTAGGACGCATCGACGTGGTCATCGCAAATGGTTCGTTACCCTAGCCACATTCCCCGCCAAAACGGGAAAAGAACGAACCAACTGATAGGCTAATGATCTCTTCAGCATCTCCTATGCATATGGAAGGTGAAACCGAGCACTGGCAGAGCAGCTTCGAGATTGATGTCATGGGCTTCGTGGAGCTGGTGAAGGCGGCAGAACCCTACCTGGAGAAGTCCACACAGGCCTCCATCATCGTGCAGAGCTCTTTCATGGGCCGCGAGTTTTACCGAAGCCCGCCTGCGGCATACGGACCTTGTAAAGCCGCCCAGCTGCAACATGTGCAGGAGCTGTCGCACTATCTGGGTCCCAAGGGCATCAGGGTCAATGCCATTTCGCCGGGTCCAGTGCTCTGCGAAGGCGGTCCCTGGGAGAAATATTCGAAACTCATGCCAGAGTGGGTAGAAGAGCAGCGGCTGAAGATTCCTTTAAGGCGATTGGGGGGACCGCAGGAAATTTCAAATGTGGCTGTCTTTTTGGCAAGTTCATTGGCTAGCTTTGTCACCGGGTCAAATGTACTGGTGGATGGAGGTATCCACGTCGGCACACAGTTTTAGATGTAGTTTATCCAAGGGCTGGACAGTGTCGAAAGATGCTTCCACTGTGTGTTAATCGATCTCTTTCGTAGTTCTGGATTGCAATATTGCGACACCATTCTAGGTAATTGGATGCATTTGTTCAATATATCTGGACAGGATATCCGAGAATTAGGTCTGTTGCCCCGGGAGAAGGGAGCCTGCGAAATAATGGGTTGAATGCAATCCGACAATAGAACTATTCATTATACTTGTTGCACATACGGCTCATAGTAGAATTGTGTTGCATTTCTCTTTGTTTTGATGCCTAAGACCTGCTTTCACTTGATCTTGTACAACATGAATCATTCCCCAAAGTATTATAGTTCTGGTCCTTCCTTGATATTTAGAGGTGGGAAATGTTTTAAAGCAAGCTAATAAAAACACGAATTTGCCGTAACCAACCCAACAAGAACTTCACAAAAAACTATGCTATTCCGCTTTTGCCTTGCATGTCGCTTACTCCGGTCGGAGTCATCCACTTCCATTTAGGGCAAAGACCAACTACCATTTCCGGAAATCCTGCATTCCGCCAACTCATCCCAGCTCCATCCGGCGGACTTTTGTGGCTGTCTTAATATATCATGGTGTGGGCCCGGACAAGGCCTTTACTGTGTTCAATCTATATCAATACATATATAGGCCTGCGATACGCACGAATCCATGCGTCGAGATATAAGCGATTCATAACAATTCCAGCAAATCGGAGAGCCACAATGTTGCTGATCAGATTTTCATTCCTGGCCTTTGTGATCGGTGCCACTTACGCTTGGCAAAACAATACATCCTTTTCCCAGTGTAGATGTATGCCCACCGACTCCTGCTGGCCATCTGTGAATGAATGGTCTCAATTCAATTCCACCGTGGGTGGGAGACTGGTCAAGACGGTTCCACTGGGCGCACCTTGTCATGACCCCAACTACAGTGCCCTTGAATGTCAATATCTGCAGGACCAGTGGACCCAGCCCGCCTTGCAGTAAGCACACTTGCATTACTTCCCAACCTCTTGGTGATTCATTCCATTCTGGTGTACTCTAACATATCCATGAATAGTGATGCATCCTCTTCATCCATCATGGCTGCTGCCGTAGCTAACGATAGTTGCGTCCCATTCACCGCTCCATCAAGACCCTGTCAGCTTGGAAATATGGTGTCGTATGCCGTCAATGTCTCATCCCCAGCGGAGATTTCCCGAACGATGACCTATGCAGCCGAAAAGAATCTCCGACTTGTGATCCGCAACACCGGCCATGAGTAGGTTCCGATCAGATAATAAAGCTTTCAAGACAATCCAGAAAAACTAACAGTTCGCCAGTTATATGGGCAAGTCGACCGGTACAGGAGGTCTCTCCATCTGGACTCATCACCTTAAAGAGATCAAGGTCATTCCAAACTACTCTTCACCACATTACAGCGGCCCGGCAGTCACCATCGGAGCCGGCGCCCAGGGCGAGGAAGTCTACGCTGCATTGCACAAGCACAATCTAGTGATGGTCGGTGGGGAATGTGCCACCGTTGGTTTGGCAGGAGGGTACACGCAGGGCGGCGGCCACTCCGCCCTCAGTTCACGGTTTGGCCTCGCCGCCGATCAGACATTGGAGTGGGAGTTGGTTGATGGTAAAGGACGACAGCTTCATGCCTCCCCCACGGATAATGCAGATCTGTACTGGGCCCTAAGCGGCGGTGGCGGCGGGACGTATGGCGTCGTCACCTCCTTGACGGTCAAGGTCTTTCCTGATTTCTCCGTTGCGGGCGTGGTTCTCGAATTCGAATCCGATCCCAGCAACCTTGACCCATTCTACGACGCAGTGGAATACTACCACTCCCTAGTTCCGGCCTTCACAGCGGCGGGGGGCATGGCCATCGCCCGCGTGATGAACTCCTCCTTCCTTTTGACGCCTCTGACTCTTCCCAGCACCAACGAGAAGAGGGCACTGGAATTGATTACCCCTCTCATCAATAAGCTGGATCAGTTGAACATCAGCTACGTGATGAAGCTCACCCATTTTCCATCGTACATGGATCATTACAATGCTTTGATCGAACCCAATCCCACGCAGCTCGTGGACAATGGCCAATACGGCGGTAAATTGATCCCCTTGTCTGTGATTGAGCAATCTAATTCGGCTCTGACTGCCGCGATGCGTAACATCACTCAAGATGGCGTGACGTTTGTCAGCATCGGATTGAATGTCTCTTCCACCGTGATGGGGGCCACGACCAATTCGGTCCTTCCATCGTGGAGGACCGCGGCAATGAATGTCATTCTGGCAACGTAAGCTCCTCTGAACCCTTCGTCCTCCGTTAATTGTTGCCTTCAATATCTCGAGAAGTGTGTGTTGAATGTTCTCATCCTAGATCCTGGCCTGAGCACGCAAACCTCGGAAGAATGAATCAACTTGCCAATGATATGACCCATAAATGGATGCCAATGTTGAGCTCTCTGACATCTGACCCAGGGTGCTATATGAACGAGGTATGTATCAAGGTCACCAATTTTTTTCTAGCGTGTGGAGAGGCAAAATTCAGCAAGTTGCTAATTCAACAACATTCTCCAGGCTGATCCGCAACAACCAAACTGGCAAGAAGCCTTCTACGGACCGAACTATAACCGTCTTTTAGCGATTAAGAAGAAGTATGATCCCGATGACTCCTTCTATGCGCACACTGCTGTGGGCAGCGAAAAATGGGTGCAGGAGTCGGATGGTCGGTTATGCCGGGCGACTTCATCTTAAGATAATCACGTTCGTGTCCGTATACCAATACACCAATCCATGCATAGACTTAAGAACCTTCTAGCGACCAGATCGTTGAATATATGCCACTGGCTCGGAAGAGGTAAATTCCCTTTTTTTCGTTTTTTCCCACCTTCCGTCTTAGCTCTCGCGAATCAAGTAACACAGAATGGCATTTTAATCTTAATAGGCTGCTCGTACAGTTTTATTGCTAAGATAACACTTCGTGGTTTGTACTTTTGTGGCCCGCATTGTAACCCGTGTCTATGTACTACACAGAGAGAAATTCGAGTTAGCAAATCGTGAAATTCCGATCTAAGCCGAGAAAATATATCTAGTCGTGATTTTTTAACAAGCTACGAAATATTCACTTATTGAAAAGTCAACCAGCGGCTATGTTCGTATTATCTAACTCTCAAAATTTATCCACACCAAGAGGCAACAAACTCTTGACGGCATCAACAATACTCTCCCTTAAAGGTCTGAAATGAACACCCAGAATCTCTCTCGCACGGGTGTTATCGAACCCATAAACCCCATCTGGGGGATACTCCCCGGTCTTCAAGGAATCCCCGGTCGGCAAACGATCCCGGTACTCAGGAAACTCCTCGCCAATAATCGTCGCAATTTCCGCATTCGAGAAATGGCTCGAGACGATGAAGAATCGTTTCCCGCCTGCTGCTTCCTTCTCGACGGCGAGGACGTGAGCCAGGCCGAGATCACGGACGTCGACGAAGAGGTAGTTTCCGGTCGGCGGGCAGCGGGTCTTGGCCGCACCAGAGAGGAAGTCCCGGATGCGTTGGTTGGAGGTGTTGAGGGCGTCGAGGGAGCTGAGGTTGTGGACGATGGGGCCGAGGACGAGGGGTGGGTTGATGACGGAGAGAGTGAAGGTGGGCTTCTCTCTCTCGACGAATTCCCATGCCGCTCTTTCCTGGGGGGCGACATGAGTGGTTAGTGTTCGCGGTCCCGTCTTTCATCAGAGGGATGTCGGGAGGCTTACAGCGAAAGTCTTACTGGCTCGATATGCGTTGGCGGGGCTGTCGTTTGCCTGTGCTTCTGTGATGGGACTCCAGTCCGCCTGAAATTTGTGCCCTACCTGTCAGATATGGAAGAGTTGGTTGGGTTCATGAGAAAAACACACCTCGGAATAAACCTTGCAGGCTTTTGAGGCGAAGACATCGTTAATCGCAGCAAAAGAGGAGGTCACCACCACGCGTTTCACAAGAGGCGCATATCTCTGCACGGACTTGAGGATCCCGGTTGTACCCGTGATAGCTGGAACCAACAGCTCCTGGGCATCCTGCGCATGAAAGTGATACGGGCTAGCCGTGTGAATGACAGCCTCAAAGGGGGGGTCAGAGACCACTGCTCGGTCAAAAGCTGGATCCTCAGTCAGCAACTGTTTGCGTTTCTATCTGATGATTTGCCAGACAGGTTATACCATTCGGCTGGGCCATGTCTTCCACAATGGAAAATGACAAGCGGTCATTGTTAATTCCCGGGTGGTCTTTTTGGATGGCGTTGGCCTTGGTCTGGGAACGAACGGTGGTGACGACGGAGTGGCCCCGGGCCAGGAGAGCCTCGAGTACATGAGCGGCAATGAAGCCACTTCCGCCTAGAAAGTCAGTCAGTTAGGACGCCTGATTCAGCGAGATACAGCTGGATTGGGCTCTACCAGTCAAAAGCACACGAGTCATGGGTATGGTAGTAGACGTGGTATAGTGCGAAGAATGGAGGACGATGGAACGAAGAGTATTGTTCAATGGATGTCTGATTCTTATTTGTAGCTTATCATCTAAATGGCACGCTAGCTATAGTTTTCGAATTTCGCAGAAGAATTAGTAACTAACATTACTCAAAATCGATAAACAGACCCAAAACCGCGAAAATGGCAATGGTAGTAACCCAAGGAAAGGTTGGATTTGCCCGATTGGGTGATCTGGAGACACCGCCCTCGCACTTCCCAAGGAGTTTCGGACCTTGGCCCTTCCTGCCCAAAGGAGTTCACCGCCCCACTTACTAGGAACGGAGGAGTACCTGATCTTCCTAATGCGATTATTCAAGCTCCAGACGGGCAGCTCTACCAACAGATCAAAATTCTACAGTGGTGGTATTCTCCCATTCGTAAATCTGTATCCATTCTCTCGTACCCTAATCCATCTCCGTCTCCATCACCTCTCCAGAATTATTCTTATCTTAGTCTAGGTTCATTCACCAAGTTCTCAAAACCATACACTTCCTCCGTAGGGATCAGCCCGATACTCCTTCTTGCCGTTGGCCCAGAAGGTACTCGCCGTCCCAAACGTGTCCTCCATATACTGGAAATACGTGATCTTTCCCTCATCGTTGACTTCCGCACGAGCTGACCACGGCGCCGTGATTGTCTTTTGCATCGTATTGGATGTGATCTCGAACTGTCCCCAAGCGGTGACATTGCCCCCATCGCCAAAAATAACCTCGATCGAAAACGGGCCCCGCGTCCACCAAAGACCGACGCGTGTGAAGGTGTCCAGGAAGGCCTGGGGTCCCACCCGGTAGCGAGTCCCTGCCCAGGGCATGATCTGATGCAGGTCCGGGTTATCCATAGTCAGCGAGACATAGGTGGCGTCGAGGGCAACGCAGTCTTTGATGAGGTCGGGGTCGGGGTCGGGCTGGGTTTCGAGGACTTGGCGAAACACATTGAGCGGAGTGCGAGTGAGATTGGCAGGCCAGATGACTGTAGGACTGGTGTAACGCTTTACGAGTTGTTGTTCGTTGTGGGTGTTGGTCTCGGAGGAGGAAGATCGATATGGTGCGACGGCGGCCAAGGAAGACAAGGGGAAGAAAACGCTTAGTGCCACGAGGAAGAGGCGCACGGGGGCGATGGATGCCAACATGTTCTTCTGCTGTATCTTGGTAACAAGTAAAAGAAGGTTTCTGTAGGCTCCGAAGATACTGTTCAATGGAAGGAATCTTTTGTCTTTAATGGTCATTACAAACCATTTATATATCTTCGCCGCCAGTGACCGCCAAGGCTGATTCCACACTGTATCAACAGTATTATTAGGACCTCCTCAACTATTGCTGATATTGTCAGTAGGTTCATCCTCATATCCGTGAACTTAGTATCCGGAGTGGTCCAATGGAGTCACGGAATTCCATAAAAGGTCATCGAAGAAGTTCTCCGGAGATTTGGGAGGCGGAGAAGATAAATACGAAGGATAATTGTATCGGATTGATCCTACCAACCCCCCCCTCTTCCTGATCTCTTAGGCCAAACTACCTAAATAAGCTTAGAGTAATGAATATACCAGGGTTTATGATTTGCCAGAGGGTACCCACTAGACATTGACATGGGACTCCCATGGGACTAAGGTCCGTCCCAAGTCCCACCCATGGGAATACCCATTTGGGTATGCTAAGGGAATACCCACCCATGGGTACCCATAGACACCTGATTATGCCTGAATTCGCCTGAATTCGCCTGAATTTTGTGCATAAGATCACTGACTAATCTTTGTTATTTACGTCTGTTTCGGTTGGAACAAGTAATATCACTACTTTTTAACCTACCTACTAGGTAATTATAAGAAATAAAGTTGTTTATATATATAAAAGGGTCCGTTTCATCGGTCGCATTAATGTTTTAGGCCTATCGAAGTAAAGGTAAAAAAGCGGTGGTAGAAATTATGGTTTGTCCTCTAAGATATATATTTATTGTATACAACCAACCACTCTGCTATTATTTCCTTTGATTTTATTATATTATAATACTAGGTTATTATGGCTTATTTTACTAGTTAATTTAATTACTATAGCTTCTTTTATATATATTTATCTTGCAAACACCTAATTGCTAGTGTAGGGTGTGTGGTTGAGAGAAAAAGGTCAGAGTTGAGAGCAAAAGTTAAGAAATTTCTAGGGGGCATAGCTCTTACTGAATTCTATAGGACTATAGGACTCCCATAGGACTACCTATATAAATATAGAGAGTTAGGCCAATAGGATAGGCTAGGTAGACCCACCTAGTAGTGATTGGCTTATAAAGAACCAATAATATTAGGCTACGTGCTTAAAGCCCTTAATATGCCTTACCTTCTATCTAAGCTTTTTCTCTTTACCTTGGTCTTAGTTTCTCTTCACTTTCGCTAGTATAGCACACCTCTCGGACCCTATGAGCCAATCTATATATAGCGATAGTATTGATCCTATCCTTCTATCTGATTCTTTCTCTTTTGAACCAAACGAACCAACTGAAAGCCAAACAACTGAGCTTACACCACCACTACTACTACCACCCTCTATTCAACGTGTTAGAGACCGGACGAAACAGTGGGCACTTTGGACGGAAATGACCAAGACTGAATTTATTAAATAGTGGCTTACCACTCTATATAGGATAAAACCCGAAGCAAAATATATCTATTAGGATAGAAAGGGCCATCAATCTAATGTATAGACGCATTTTGACCAAGTTGCATATATTAATACAGGAAAACCAATAGTTGCTTGCAAAAGGTATAGTATAATAATAAAGCATCCAGTAAAAGATGGGACATCTAAGATGCGACGACATCTAAAAAATAGTGCCTGTTAGATAAAAAGCAAGCAAATAAGTATTAAGCACTTAATACAGAAAGTGGTATATTTACTAAAAAGTGAGAGAAAAGTAAGAGCAAAATAAGAGAAAACTAACCTATCATTCTCTCACTAGGCAGTCAACTCTAATCTATCCCAACCTTGGTCTAGACTGCGCCAAAGCCCACCGGGCCCATGGGCCGGGCCTTGGGCCTGGTTCCTGGGCCCATCGATGGGCTATGGGCTGGGGTAGATAGCCCATGGGGGCCCATTGGGCCTAAGTAGGCTACAAACCATGCAAACAAATGGTATGCATTATTTATACAATATAAGTCTGTATTTTTAGGTATTTGACTTGCAATTAGCCCCTCTTTGTACGTCTATTTTTTCTGATATACGTTCGAAGAATTTTTAAAGCTACGGCACTAGAATTCTGACGGCCGTTAGAATTTTAGGGGTATTTAGCTATAGTTTTGGCTTTTTTGACGGCCGTCAGAAATATAGGTTCAATTCGCTATAGTCTTGATCACTAATGATATGACCATTGATCGTCCTCCTATCGAGGACGCTTGCGAGATCTCTTAGATATACGCCGCGCCTAAGTGCTTTCTATTTCAGGAAGGTTATTATCGTCACCCTTATCATTGTTTGGCTGAGGTTCATCCTCGCTCTCCCCCTCAGCTTCTTGGGAGCCTTCTTCGTCTAAACTAATTAGATCAAGCCCGAACTGGTCAGGTGTATCCTCCCTTTACTCTTCTTTTAAGAGATCAATCTCCTCCGCAGTAAAAAACTCCTTTAAGAGGGCATTCTCCTCTTCCTAAAGATCAAACTTTATTAAATAATAAAACATCATTAGCTCTTCAATTGTCTCCGTCCTTAAGCGGCCTCGTCGATAGTGGTATATATCCCGTGCGGTATTAAATAGACGTTCAACACTAGCACCTATGGCGGGAACTGCAAGGATATCCCACACAAGTGCACTTATCGCTAGGAACCGGTGCTGGTTCTCTTTCCAGAAAGAAAGAGGCTACGCTTCGATAGTATCTATAAAAGGTAAGTAAGTATGCAGTAAGGAGTTAGGTAAAATAAAAGACATACCACTATCAAGGTATTGAGCCATTTCGTCCCTTGGCGGAGCTTTATAGCCCTTACGTCCACTAAGCATCTAATTAAGCCGCGATCCCTTCTTTGCTGCTACTTAAAGCGTAGGTTGATCTTGTTGCGACTTAAGACGTTCCTGATAAGGAAGAAGGTACTCCTTAAAGCTCTTTCGGTACCTCTCGCGCCACTATTTATCCCAATCTATGGTTATAAAGAATTGGAACTTATTAATAGGTGCTAGGATTGTTCCAATTATATAGAGATCACCCCGAATATAGTCAGTCTAGCTATAATATTTGCTTAGCTTTTGTTTCCTAGCCTTAAGTGCTATAAGCATATTCTACTTCTAAGGCACTTTCTTCCGTCGAAGCTAGTTAACTAAGGACTCGAGATACTTAAATAGCTTATTATAGATTAGAAAGATAAGATATATAGTTACGTTAGTGGTCTTTGAAAGCTCAAGGGTAAAGTCAAAGAATGGTTACGTAATCCATAAAAGGTAATCAATTTAACGCCATTCGTCTGTATTAAGTATCATATCTAGCCGATCAAACGCACGACAGAAGTCGGTTAATACCAGTCAAAGACGCTTTGCGCGTCGAAGTATTAGAAACGTAGAGTTCCATCGCGTCTTAACGTCCTGAAGTAGTAGTAGCTTACTTTCTTCAGTCTAGAGGTCGCGAAACGCCTCACGGCGCTAGGAGCTATAATTAATATAGATAGCAAGGTCGCGAACCTACTATAAAGTGAGTTAAAGGCTAGAAGTAAGAGAAAGGAAGAAATACCTTGCTTAAAGTGTACGATATCTATCGCTTCCTCGCACTTACGGTTGCATTCGCCCAAGCCCTCTAGGACCGCTCAGTTATCCAGCGTAGCTTAGTTATATCATTCTCTAGGGCTGCATTCATCCTATCAAGTAGCTCATTTAAGCTTAATTAAATAATATAGGCAAGGCATAGAACTCAAATAAGATCCATAGAATCCGGTAATGACTACTATAACGCAGTAAAGAGAGTCTCGTTATTCGATGCGTTATCAGCGGTAACTACAAAGACTCTATCCTAGATCTAATGCTCCTTTAATATATCTAGAAGTAATGCACAAAGGTTTTCTCCCGAATAGACTCCGGGGGCTAGCTTAAAGCCTAGTAGAACCTCACGATATTACCAGTCCTCGTCAATAAAATAGCTAGTAATAGCTATAAATAATTGCTTAAATGAGGATATCCAACAGTTAAGGGTAATTAAGATCTTCGAATGCTCTAGAAGCCTACGTATAATACTCTAGTGCCATTCTTTGACTATTATCCTAAGACGATCACAGATAGCCTTTGCTTTAGGCACTTTAGGCATTAAAGGGGCAGACTATATTATTTGTAATAACTGGTGGAACTTAGGGTGCTCAATAAGGCGAAATAGGAGCCAAGCGGCAGTGACAAAGGTAAAGATTTACTCTTCCCACACGTCTTACGTAAACGCTTTCTTTATTAACGTAATTCACGGCCAACCCGTTAACACGGCCAACCCGTTAGCCCCACCAGAAATCGCGCGTCCAGTCCTACCTACCATCTTCAACTACCCACCATGCCACCAAATCGCTCTGAATCCTGGCATAAATCTGCTGAGCAGGAGGGCAGGATCCTATTAGCCCTTCAGGCGGTGCAAAAGGGCCAAATTAAATCTCTCTACGCCGCAGCGAAGCTATACGATATGCCCTACACTACCCTCCACGACCGCGCTACCGGAACGTCTCCACGCGTCGATAAACGCTGGCATAGCCATAAAATGACACAATTAGAAGAGGATTCGCTTACTGAGTGGATCATCTCTATGGATTCGCGTGGTGCAGCACCTAGGCCCTCTACTGTGAGAGAGATGGCTAATATCCTACTGGCCACTCGTGGGATTCACCCTCCGCCTACTGTAGGCGTGAATTGGACATCATCCTTCGTTAAACGCCGCGAAGAGATCCGCTCGCGCTTCTCGAGACGCTACGATTACCAGCGCGCCCTGAATGAAGATCCGAAGTCGATACGAGAGTGGTTTAATACCGTAAAGCGCGTGGTCGATGAGAATGGGATACAACTAGAGGATATTTATAACTTTGATGAGACGGGCTTTGCGATGGGCCTTATATCGTCACAGAAGGTGGTTACGCGAGCTGAATACTACGGTCGGCGCTCTATCTTACAGCCAGGAAACCGCGAATGGGTTACTGC